GGTTCATGAGGCCGTCATCAGGAAGTCGCTGGAGAAGGAAGCTCTTGGTGCCTCGTCCATCCAACTGGGTATTGTAAAGTCGGATCTTGGCCGGCTGGATTTCATAGTCGAAATACGCCCGCCAGTAACCGGGTGACGAATCATAAAGGAGCCAGGTTTTACCCTCACCAGCGACACCGCTTGTCGAGCAGACCACATTGCGAGGATCTTTGTAGCCATTCAAGGTGGACACGTCGTCGGAGGAGATGTCGGCAGTCTGAAGGTTCACCACTTGCATGCCATGCGATGACGAGGAAGAGTTTCCAATGCCATTGAATGAGCCTCCAAAGATGATGTGACCATCTCCTGCCTGCAGAATCGAAGTAACGGGACCATTGAGGCCATCGAAAGGAAGAGCCTCCCAACCTTCACCAGGAACCCAGGCGAGCGCGTTGGTCGTGTTGTCGTGCTTCAGGTCGCCGCCGACGTAGATACGGTTCGTTGCCTGATCGCATGCCGCGGCCGCCACAGACCCGGAGAGGCCTGGTAGGGCCGTTACCTGGGCTGTGTTCGGGTTGAAGAGAGCGGCCCCGGGGGTGTCAACACCGCCCAAGGTCGTGAAGTTCCCGCCAACAAAGATCCCTGCAAACGTTCCATCTTCCTGCGTGAAGGAGCACATGGTCGTGATCTGGCCATCGGAGGACGAGATGTTGGTGAGGATACCGTTCGGGAGGGGAGTGAGAATCGACTGCGGGCCATTGGTTTTGGTGCTTTCGGCCTGGCCTTCGTACGAGTAGAGGGAGACGCCGTCGAAATCACCGGTGATGGTGACGCGACCGAGCGAGGAGAGGTCCAATTCCGGAATTGAGACCTCGGTGAACGTCAAGGAGCGGACTGTCGATGAGAACGCCAACACACCGGCCGCCGCAGGCCCCAACAGTGAGGGAGCCCTCATTGTCTCAGGCGCGACGACAGGCAGAGATCCACTGAGGTGTAGCAGATGAGAAAAAACAAAAAGCTCAAGAACGAAAGTCGGGTGGTAGACGATGAGTCGTCGGGTTAAGAGTTCAGGAGGCCGTCAGGGCCGCGCAGACGCGTGGACCAGTCAAATTAGAGAAAGGAGTGACAAGAATGTGGCATAGAAATATTCTTAGAAACGAAGGAATGTAAAAGAATGAATCATGCTGGGAGACCGGAGCCTCGCTGCGAAGGCAGAACGCAAAAAGAACGAATGACTGACGGTGGTGAGTTGAGTGAATGAGAGAGTGGGAACGAAACAGGGGTGGGCGAGGAGACTGCGGATGATACACGGATACACACTGGTGACCGACGGGCATTACCGCTAACGCCAAGCCACCCGATACCATCCCGCCCCAGCCCACCTTCAGATTATTATCAGCAACCAAGATATGGTTGTGGTAGGCATCGTAGATTCTGGGGACTCTGTTGGATTAATAGGAATATCTCGGATTGAGTGGCTGTTTCTACAGGAGGCATTATGTATCGACATGACTGGTGCGGTGATGATGACATCGCCGTGTTGTATGAGGATCTGCTAACGGGATGATTAGTTGCCCGCTTCAGCGCTAGTGTGTACGGCGTGGTACAGACATTGGCCAACACGCCAAACGTCCATGCGACCTCCTGTCGGGTTGGCAGTTGAACCACTGCAGGCCCTCTGCCCATCATTTATTTACCTCTGAACGGTCGGTATTTATAGCATCGGGGCAGGGTCTCATATATTATTGTTGCCTGGATTGTTGGTCGACCAGCCTTGCCGGGCCAAGGCTGCCATGACTTGTCGCCTGGCATGAGGGCCTAAAGGAAAGATGCTCTGTCCCGATCGAACTCGAGGTTGAATCATGTTTCACTGCAGGCGTGGATCATGGGATGTGATGTAGCAAGTGATGAAACGATATAGTGTGAACCCCCTGGCATCAGGTAGTGCTATTGTTCCAACTGAACACCCTCTAGTCTTGAAGCACAGGATCAGGGGGGAAATATCAATGAGAAGGATCCCTTTCAGATCAATAACGATCCATCTTCACTCGCCTAAAGAATACGTAGGTACCGAATATAGAATGTATGGATGCCTGACTGCCTTAGACACCCACGCTAAGCCCCATCGGGTGAGAAGTGCCACCCTACCGCGACTTGACTGGTTCACTCACGCGCAACGCGAACTCTGAACGTCCCAGCTTCAACAACCCATTCCAACGTTTGACTCCCCCCCATCTCTGCTTGAGCTGGACTTGCCCACCTCTATCATCGGCTTTCTCTCTCCTGTCACTCATCCCATCCTCGATTCTTCCCTGACCACAACAACTCAAAAAAAACCCAACTCTTTGAGAGCTCCTCCGTCATGTAAGCTCCCTTTGCCCACGCTCGATGCGACCGTCGCTGACAACTACACAGGGAGAGCTTCGATAACATCTACTTGGACCTGTCCAAGCAACCAGGAAAATGCAAGCTGGCAGAAAGCGGTCTGGGCTGGCGGCCATCCGGGGGGGGCGACACCTTCACCCTGGACAGCAGCAACATCGGCGCAGCCCAATGGAGTCGGGCAGCGAAAGGGTTTGAACTAAAGATACTGTCCCGGACATCGGGGGTGATCCAGCTGGATGGGTTTGACCAAGAGGTAACATGCGCTGAACCCTGTGATCAACTAGCCACTGACGGGTGCTGGCTGGGTAGGACTTTGAGCGCCTGAGCAAGGCCTTCAAGATCTGGTACGGCATCAACGTCGAAAACCGCGAACACGCCCTCCGAGGATGGAACTGGGGGAAGGCGGAATTCACCAAAGCAGAGCTGGCCTTTAACGTGCAGAACCGACCGGCCTTTGAAGTTCCCTACTCCGAGATCTCCAATACCAACCTGGCGGGCAAAAATGAGGTGGCCGTGGAGTTTGCGCTGTCCGCCACCGACGTGAACGGCACCAATGGGCAGCCGGCTGGCAGCACCAAGAACCGGGGCCGAAAGGCCGCCGCGGCCCCGGACGAGTTGGTCGAGATGCGATTCTACATTCCCGGAACAGCTGTGAAGAAGGAGAAGGCAGAAGGTGCCGAAGGCGAAGAAGAGGAGAATGAGGAAGAAGTTGAGGAGCAGAATGCAGCCAATCTCTTTTACGAGACACTCATGGACAAAGCGGAGATTGGAGACGTTGCAGGGGACACTTTTGCCACCTTCTTGGATGTGCTTCATCTCACTCCCCGTGGTCGCTTCGATATCGACATGTACGAGTCGTCCTTCCGGCTACGCGGCAAGACTTATGACTACAAGATCCAATACTCTTCGCTCAAGAAGTTCTTCCTGCTCCCGAAGAATGATGATACCCACACGCTCATCGTGCTGGGCTTGGATCCTCCTCTCCGCCAGGGACAGACCCGTTATCCTTTCTTGGTGATGCAACTGAAACTGGATGAAGAGATCAGCCTGGAGCTGAATATGACAAAGTTTGTTTCCACTCTACCCTTTCTGGAATGTTGCTGACCGGAACGCAGTGAGCTATTGGAAACCCAGTACAAAGATAAGCTGCAACCGCGCTACGAAGAGCCGATTCACCAGGTGGTCACCAAGATCTTCCGCGGGCTGTCCGGGAAGAAGGTGATTATGCCGTCCAAGGATTTCACAAGGTTAGTCGATGGTACCCGTTTTGTAGAATTCTTTTCTGACCGTTCGCAGCCACCACGGCCACCATGGAGTCAAGTGTTCCATCAAAGCCAACGAAGGGTCTTTGTACTTCCTGGACAAGAGTCTCATCTTTGTTCCCAAGCCTGCTACCTACGTTCAACTGGAAAACATTGCCGTGGTGACGATGTCGCGTGTGGGCGGTGCAGTCTCGGCCAGCCGGACCTTTGATATCACAGTTAGTTTGAAGGCCGGCTTGGGCGAACACCAGTTCAGCAACATCAATCGGGAGGAACAACAGTCCCTGGAGGACTTCTTCAAAGCCAAGAGCATCCGCCTGAAGAATGAGATGACTGAAGATGTAAGTTTGCTCGGTGACCTGGGTTATCTAGTGGTCTCGTTCTAACTGTTTGGTAGACTTCTGGTCTCATAGCCGCGGCTCTGGACAACGACGACATGGAGTCCAGTGGCGATGAAGGTGGCCGAGCTGACCGTGGCTCCGCTGATGAAGATGATGAGTCGCCCGATGAGGACTTTGATGCTTCTTCGGACTCGGATGTGGCGGAGGAGTTTGACTCGGCGCATGACACCAGTGGGGATGAGGACAGCGATGTGGAGATGGAGGATGGGTCGGATGAAGAGACTGCCCGACCGAAGAAGAAGAGCAAGACGGGGTGATCTGTACATCTAATTCTTTTTCTACTCATCCATCCAAGAGTGAATTTCTGCCCTTCTCTATACTTCCCGTGGGCCAAGTCGCTCACGTGGGCGGTGATTAGCCCCCCGGCCGGCTTACCCCTGGCTGCGCCAACCGTTGGCGACAGACCATGTTGACGATGGCACAACCAAGATGATGATAACTATTTTATTCTGAGGATTCACATCAATTCACGCCATCCACGGCCGCCATCAGAATAGAACCGTCCTCTCCGTGTCTAATGCTGTCCACTCCGTAACTAGTAGATACATCGCACTCCCAAGCGGGTCGATCCAAACCCAACCCAGCATAGGCCAATCCAGTCTTTTGGGCCCCCCTTTCTTTCCCAGACTGGAACTCACTCTCCTTCCTCCTCCCCAACCCTCTTCTCCGTCTTCGCTCTTTTTGCTCTTTTTCTCTCTGCTCGATTCCCGGCATCTTTTCTGCCTGGGTTCTTTTTTGTTCTTCTCCCCCGTCCGCCCACTTTGACGCGCTGATCTCGCTTCCCCCCTTTTTTCCCCCAGCGTTCAGGTATGAGAGCATCCCTGGCATTGGAGATCTTCCGGAACTTGCACTTGGGACAAACCCCTTGGAAGAAGACCCCGCTCTGGCCTGCATCGGTTGCGCTGACAGCATAATCGGTTGATTCAGAAGACCACGACCTTTCCCAACCTTTCGAACACGACCAACTTTCGCAATGGGTAAGCTCCTGACTGCGGACTTGTTTTCCCAATTTCTCTTCCCAACTACCACAACAACCCACCATTGTCCACAATGAGTCGTCCTCTGCTGTTCACTTCTGCTGGCTCTTACACGGAGCCGTACCCTGCCCGATCGACGAGACTGCCACTCGGTCATCACCATCTTCATCACCACCACCACCACCACCACCGCGCTAACTCGGAATACTCTCTAGCTTCGCCGACTGCGAATGGATCCCCGGTCGCGTCCCGGGACTCGCCCACGCCCAGCAGCGGCAAGGAGTCGCCTTTTGTTGAGCGCAGCAACCCCATGGGCTCAGGCATTGCCCAGACTGTTAGCTCCCGCGACCCCAAGGCCGTCGCTCAGGCCGCTTCCGACATGAAGAACGTCGTCCGCCGCAAGCTGACTGGTTACGTTGGCTTTGCCAACCTGCCCAACCAGTGGCACCGCAAGAGTGTTCGCAAGGGTTTCAACTTCAACGTCATGGTTGTTGGTAAGTAAATTCCGGAGACTATGGGGAAGCTGTACGCTGACGGGGAAAACAGGTGAATCTGGACTCGGAAAGTCGACCCTTGTCAACACCCTGTTCAACACCTCCCTGTACCCCCCAAGGAGCGCACCGGACCCAATGCCGACATCATCCCCAAGACCGTGTCGATCCAGTCGACTAGCGCCGACATTGAGGAGAACGGCGTGCGTCTGCGCCTGAGCGTCATTGACACCCCCGGATTTGGCGACTTTGTCAACAACGACGACTCGTGGCGCCCCATTGTCGAGAACATCGAGCAGCGCTTCGATACCTACCTGGAGGCCGAGAACAAGGTCAACCGCAGCAACATTGTCGACAACCGCATCCACGCATGCGTGTACTTCATTCAGCCCACCGGCCACTCCCTGAAGCCCCTGGACATTGAGGTGATGCGCCGTCTGCACACCAAGGTCAACCTGATCCCCGTCATTGCCAAAGCGGATACCCTGACCGATGAGGAGGTGGCGCTCTTCAAGCAGCGCATCCTGGCCGACATCCAGGCCCACTCGATCCAGATCTTCGAGGGCCCTCGCTACGAGCTGGACGACGAGGAGACCATTGCCGAGAACCAGGAGATCATGTCCAAGGTTCCCTTTGCCGTTGTCGGTGCCAACTCGGAGGTCACCGCCGCGGATGGCCGTCGCGTGCGTGGCCGTAGCTACCCGTGGGGTATCATCGAGGTGGACAACGAGGAGCACTGCGACTTCGTCAAGCTGCGCCAGATGCTCATCCGCACCCACATGGAGGAGCTCAAGGAGCACACCAACAACTTCCTGTACGAGAACTACCGCTCGGACAAGCTCACCCTGATGGGTGTCGCTCAGGACCCGAGCGTGTTCAAGGAGGTCAACCCGGCCGTCAAGCAGGAGGAGGAGCGTGCCCTGCACGAGCAGAAGCTCGCCAAGATGGAGACCGAGATGAAGATGGTCTTCCAGCAGAAGGTGGCCGAGAAGGAAAGCAAGCTCAAGCAGAGCGAGGACGAGCTGTACGCCCGGCATCGCGAGATGAAGGATCAGCTAGACCGGCAGCGCAGCGAGCTGGAGGAAAAGAAAAACCGCCTCGAGAGCGGCCGCCCGCTCGAAGAAAAGGGCAAGCGCAAGGGTTTCTCCCTTCGCTGAGCTGTGCCTCGCTGCTGTTTGGTGATGAGGCACGCATGGTGGTCCTCCGATGCCAGTTTCATTTGGCTCATGATTGGTGACTGTCTTGCTCGTCTCTTTGCAATATGTTTTGACAAAAACTCGCAACAACCCCCTCCCGTTCTTTTCCTGCATTTCTTTTCTTTTCTCTTATATTCTGTGTTTTTGACTCCCATCCACTCCCTCGACTCTCCTTCTCTCCTCAACTAACTTCCGCACTTGCTTTTTTCGCTGGGTGGGCCCACGGACCCAAAAAACAAAAAAGGTCTTTTCCTATGAAAGCAAGATTAATTAATATCTCATCCTGTTCAGAAGACGGGGATTGTTCCTGCCTGTCTATCTGCTGATTGGGTTAAAGGGGGGCTCAACAAGTCGCCTGGGATTTACCTTTCTTGTGATGTACTTTTTTTGTTACGCCATATCTTGTTTTTGTTCCGGAGAACCCAACCTCTTTCTGTGTGCCCTATTACCCGTATGCGCGCGCTCTCTGCCTCTCTCATTTTGTTTCTTATCCCCGCCCTCTGTGTATGCTCTTTAGGGGCAGGTCGGTCTCTTTTTGACTGTCTGTCCGTGTGTTAGTTCCAATTGCAGCGCTTCGGCTTGTCTACTACTCGTGGCTACTTTCTTGTAGAGGTACTGGTTATCAAGCAGTTGTCTATGTATATCATTGGCTCTTATCACTCCCTTGGTATCTGCATCTAGTCCTGTCGACTCTTCTCCCGTTCTCATTGAACCCAACATTCGCATACCCAAAAACACGCTGTGAGCTGCTATTGGTGTGTCTTCGTACCCGAAGAGGGAGAAACTTCTTATTCCATTCCTTCTCACAATCTGCCAGTCCCGTCGCAGATCAACGGCAGGTTTATGCTAAATCGGACCCTTCCTACTAAGCTTTCCTTCCTGCAGGGTTCCAAAGCTCCTCCGGAGAGTCTGCAATGGCGGGGATACTCTGTGCTTCTGAAATTGATGTTTCATACCTCCATCAATCGTAGTGAGGATAGAAGGGACTACATGATCTCTAATATGGTTGAATTAAGTTGGTTTGTTCACTTACTTTTCATCAATATAAATTCAACTGACGAGTAGGATATATTACTCCCAGCACATAGTTAATCATTCATACGTACACCCTGCCAGTCTTCTAGTCCAGACTAGAGAGTTTGTAGTGCTTGTATATCTGTAGATCTTCAGTTTCCATTGATGGATCAAATCTTGACTCGGAATATATACTTTGGTAGACAGGGCCGAAGAACATCGTCTCGCACGCGATAAGACCCGGTGATGTGTCCAGTTGACGTGTTCATAGCAGCGGTCATCATGATCATGCTCTAGCCTCGGTAGATAGTCCTAAGGAACGAAATGACATCTCTGTAATTGATAATAGCAAGTTAATAATCGTTAATTCTTGCATAGGAAGTCAGCGACGTCATGGGCAGGCGGTGTTCATCGTCCAGTCCACACACCCAGCCAAACACACGCCGGTTTGTCCCCCCCGCCCGCACCTTCCCAGCCTCCCCCAATTCCTCTCTTCCCTGGATCTCGTTGCATTTACCTCATCACTCTTTCCCCCATCGCCTCGCACGACTCTACCTCCTAACAACACACTCCCCATGGCTCCTCCTCCTGCTGCCACCCTGCCTCTGGCTGAGCGACTGAAGGCCCTGGCCCAAACGTTGCAGTACGTGATCCACACCGCTGGAAGCTCTCCCCAAGTACTGACGCAAAGCTCTCTCATAGGTTCGCCTGGTTTGTTGGGTAAGGTCAACCATCGTCGATCCACTCGAGACCTTCTTGCTGACCTTGCAGACACTTGACCCTGCTCGTTTCCGTCCTCCGCTACACCCTGTCCTTTATCTTCTTCAACTACTACTCATCCTCGGCCCGCATCGCATATCGCCTGGCTTTCATCTCAGCCGCTGTGACCTATGGAATTGTGGTGTACAAGGGCCACTTCGCCCGCGGCGTCCAGGGCAATATCCCGTCAATCCTGGTGAAGCTCGTCTCCGACGAGAATGTGCAGTATCTCTGTGAGTTCCTCTCGGTGCCAGGTGGCCTCTGGCGACCACCGGCTGATGTGATGATTCTTTAGGCATGGCCCTGGTCTGGCTGTACTCGCGCCAGATCATCCTGGCTCTCCTGCCCTTCAGCGTGTACTCGGTCTTCCACGTCGCGACCTACAGCCGCATGTACCTGATCCCGACCCTTCAGCCGCCGCCCGCCGACGCAAAGCCCACCTCCCCGAATTCGAAATCCACTGCCAAGCAGTCCCCCCTCGCCGAGACCATTGGCCGTTTCATCAAGCAGTACTATGACGCTAGCATGGGTGTTGTTGCAACGCTCGAGATCCTCCTTCTGGGCCGTCTGTTGATCTCCGCCATCACCTTCTCCAAGGGCAGCTGGGTGCTGCTGATCGTCTACCTGGGTTTCTTCCGCGCACGCTACGCCCAGAGCACCTTCGTCCAGCAGGCCGTTCGCCAGCTTACCGCCCGCGCCGACGCCTCCCTCTCCCACCAGAGCACCCCGCCCCAGGTGCGCGGCGGCTGGGAGACCCTCAAGGGAATCGTGCGCCAGGTCTACGAGGCTACCGATATTAGCCGCTATATGGGCCCTCCCACCGCCGCCAACAAGAAGCCCCAGTAAAGGCGTGATGGGGTTATGCTGGCAGGTATGTCTTCTGACTTGAGCCTTTTTGAGGACTCATGACGGCATGACCTCAGCTTGTGCTGTGGAATGCATGCCAATGTCGGTATAACCTGGATGGATGGCCATATCTCAGGGTTTGGTCCCGTGGCGGACTTCCTGTGTGCTTCCATGGGTGGATGGAGAGAGACAAGAGTGTGTGTGGTGGTGCGAATCAAGGAGGATGTGAAGCGGATCCCCATGATTGTAGAAAAGCGGCGGATGCGGAGGACACCCCGCCATTGACGATGCTATACGCGATGCCATGTTCACTATTCCTAGAGTTCTGCGGTGCATTGTTTTCCTGTACTTTCTGCTGTGGTTTAGTTTCGGACGGTTTCGTTTCGCATGTCTTTTTCAATAGGTCCGAATCAAATTGTCCTTGTCGAATCTGCTGGTGCTGTAAAAGTTCAGTTGGTTCAGTTCTGGTCGCCCTATAGCTGAAGCATCATCTTCACCCTTGCCCTAACCCCGGGATGGATGCCTGGGGATGCCTAACCAAAACGTCATTGTATGCCTCAGGCACCAACTAGGCCTCGGCCGCGCCGAGAGAAAACCAGCAGAATTTTGGCCCAAGTCAGCCACTCGGTGCGGATAGCTCTCCATCATTCTTTCACTCTTTTTGCCGCGGTTGGTGGATATTATTTGCGCATACTTGCATTCTTTTTGGATTTTTTAGTCTTCTCCCTCCTACCCAACCCCCAGTTTCGTGGCCTGGTCTCCCCCCGACCAGCATCGTTCGGGGTTGCGGTCTTTTGGTCATCCTTCTTGCCATGAGCCTGACCCAGCGAGTGTTCGGCCTGTTCTCGACAACAGCGACGTCGGACTCGACGACCACACCTATAGAGACATCGGTGGCAGCACCTACCAGTGGGATTCACCATGATATCCCGCACACCGCGAAGGACGGTGTGTTGTCGGTGACAGAGGAAGAGGAGCCTCGGCCACCGTACCTACATGTATGGTTGATTCCCCGGGAATATCTTCTTCAATTCAGATTCTAACTACTGTGTCTGTAGGCAATGCTGGCGGGTGGAACGGGAGGAACATGCGGTGACGTGTTGATGCATTCGCTCGATACAGTCAAGACTCGACAACAAGGCGACCCAAATTTCCCCCCGAGATACGCTTCGATGACCTCTTCCTATGCGACCATCTATCGGCAAGAAGGATTGATGCGCGGCTTGTATAGCGGCGTGACGCCTGCGTTGTTGGGATCGTTCCCGGGGACCGTGATTTTCTTCGGCGTCTATGAGGCCACCAAGCGACAAATGTTGGATTCGGGGTTTAATCCCAACGTTGCATACTTGTCCGGGGGTTTCGTCGCGGATCTGGCCGCCTCGATCGTCTACGTGCCGTCCGAAGTACTCAAAACACGGCTGCAGTTGCAGGGCCGATACAACAACCCTTTCTTCCACTCTGGATACAACTACCGCAGTACGGGGGATGCCTTCCGCACCATTGTCCGCCAGGAAGGGGTTTCCGCGCTGTTTCATGGCTACAAGGCGACCATCTTCCGGGACCTGCCGTTCTCGGCGCTGCAGTTCGCGTTCTACGAGCAGGAGCAGACCCTAGCGAAGCGGTGGGTTGGCCAGCGGGACATTGGGCTAAAACTGGAGATTCTAACCGCCGCGACTGCCGGCGGTATGGCCGGCGTGATTACCTGCCCATTGGATGTTGTAAAGACGCGCATTCAGACCCAACAAAACTTGCCCGAGTCATCCGGGCACAGCACCCATTCCTCCAAACCTGGCGAACACGCGCCCAAGGACAGCCATCGGCCGCACGCGCCGGCACCATCACAATCGCACACTTCGCGGACGCACTCGCGCCCCATCTCGACATCCTCCCCCTCTACGTCAGTCGCACCACCGGGTACGCCGCGCTTGGACACATCGTCGGTGTTTACGGGTCTCAAGATGATCTACCGCACCGAGGGGCTTGCGGGCTGGTTCCGCGGCGTCGGCCCCCGCGGCGTGTGGACCAGCGTCCAGAGCGGCACGATGCTGGTGATGTACCAGTACCTGCTCAAGCAGCTCGAGGCCTACCAGGCATTGGAAGAGGCACCTCTGTGATTTTATTACGTTATGCATGCATTGGGGTGGGATGGCGTTGGAGGTGTTTTGATTTCTTCTATGTATACCGTGTACCCTACTCTCTCATAGACAGTCATAGACTTGGCCCTGTACAATATTATTGATCAACTACTCTGATTACCGTCCTATGTATTTTATTTTATGGTTCTCCAGTACATAATTGACGAATCATGTTGCAGACCCCGAGGGGCGTAAACGCGCTAACTGTGAAATGGTTTGTTTTGGCGATCTGCAATGTAAACAACTGGACTTAGTTGGATCGATCGCATCTTCCCCCCTCCTCCTCCTTGCTCTTGCATCTCCCCACCCCCAGATCGTGAACTGGCTCATCCAAGACAAAATGTCTGGTCTTCCTTACCTCAACAAGCTGCGCAAGCCAGAGCTGGTCGAATTCGCTGAGAAGACGGATCTGCGCGAGTATGTTTCCCTCACCGTCCCTGGTCTTTCTCTTTGTCCCTGCGCCCGTGAGTGTCCTGGCGCATCGTTCCCAGAGGCTGATTTGTGTCTACTGCTAGTTATGTCGAATACAATAAGAACGAGCTCGCCGTCGCGTTGGACAAGCACCTGCGCGACAACAAGTCCATCTTCTCCGGTGAGAAGACGCTCGCCGACTACTACAAGCGTCTGGCCGCGCCGCTGCGTGGAGGATCGCCCGTGAAGCGCGAGTCCGCCGAGTCCCCTGTGACAGAGAAGAAGAAGCCTGGCCGGAAACCGACCAAGCAAAAGGAGGAGGAAGCTACGTATGTCTTTGATCTCATTAACGCGTTGTTATACGCTCATCGTCGCGTCAATGATTGACCCGGCGCGTCGCAGCGAATCCGAGACTCCCGCCAAAACTCTCGTCAAAACTCCCGCGCGCGCTTCAGCGCGTGCTGTGCGGTCCGTTATGAATGCCGAGTCTGCGTTGCCTCCATCTCCCGCCGTCGTGTCCCAGGCAATTGACCGGCAGACGGCAAAGGTGCGCGAGGGCATCGAACAGGTGTGGACCTCATCAGGTGTGCTGGAGCGATCTGACGCGCTGCGCGCCAGCCTGAGCAGCCTCAAGGCCATCGAGGCCATTGTTCTGGCCCTGGAGGGCGGCAGCGTGCTCAAGGAGCTGATCCCATGCCGTTACCTCACCACCACGCCGGCGGTGTCAGCCGCGCATCTCCCATCGCTCCCAATCAAGGTCCCTGATCTGTTTGTGCTCGTCAGCGGCGCGTTTTGGGCTCCGTTTATCCTATGGTCCTTGACCAGCGTGATCTTGCCGCTTGTCGCTGCATTCTTCTTCAATCTGAGCGGGGGCGCCTCTACGCGTCGCACTCGCTCTGCCTCGTCGCGCGCTAGCTTCGACCCGCTGACCTTCAACATTGCCAAGGCACTCCTAGTCTACATTGTCTATGCAGGCCACTTTACCTTCTGGGACGTCTTCAGCCACTACACCGTTCAGAAGGTCAACGTCTCCATCCCTGGTGAATGGTCGGGCATGCTTACCGGCACGGCCATCGGTGTGATCGGCACCCTGTACGAGGCCATCCTGCGACACTAGACGATTGCGTCTGCTTCTGCCTGTACAGATGCTCTAGCTGGACCCAGATGATATGAGGCGATAGTTGCTGTTGCTTACTGTGTTGTTTCCAACCTCCCTTTTATTTCCCCTTTCCCTTCCTCCCCTATCGTGCGTGCTACTTTGGTCGCTTCTGGTTGATATCCTCTGTTTCTTCTTGTGGGTTATGGGTTTGTGTACGTGTTGATGCCATACGTCATATCGGGGTTTTTTTGGGTCTTTTCTTCTTCTCCTTCGTTTCCTAGTCTCCTGCTTCAGCCAGAGGAGGCGCCTGGGTTGGATTCTTGTTCTGGTTATTACCTATTGCGGCTAGTGTGATGTTGTTTCTGTTTTCTGCCTTTTCTGTCTTGTTTAATGACTTTTTCTGGAGGGAAGTGAATATGGGGACTGTAGTGGAGTGAGTGTGAGAAAGAAGGAGGAGTACGTAGTAGTATAGTAAACATGAAAGTTTTCATTCCTCGTTCTATTTTTTGCGGCCATAGGTCGATGGCAGCAAAACTTTCGAGTTCTAGGAACGGCAGAGTTTCACTAAGCCCCAGACCTAGCTGTCGCTAACACTGTGTCATGACGAGCTTGATTGATCGCAAAAAGAATGGGTTCATTCCTCGTTCTATTATTTTGACTTCATTTTGACTTCATTTCATGGTGCCCTCTTCAGCCTTGCCGCCAACTCTAGTGTGAATAATACCGGCACCGAGGTGGAGACCTCAACTTTTTCTGCGCGGATGTGGTTGCTCGTCGATATTTGACCCCCGATCTCGGTGTGCCAGTCCGCTACATCCCATTCGAAGCCTTGTGTTGTGATTGAGGCTGGTGCGGAGAGGGGAATGATGCCAATGTTTTCTTCGAAGAAGAACTGCTCTTCTTCTTCTTCTCCTGCCTGTGCTGCTGAGGATGCACGAGGGACATCTGGCCGTCGAGTCCTAGGGGTGTAGATAACATTTCTCCCTGTCTGCAGAATGAAGGTGATACTTTCTTCAGAGACAAGGTAGAGGTCCCCGCCTGCGGCAGTCTGTTCGGGTTGGGTCGTCTGGTGCAACTGCCGCTGCGTCTGCGTCATCAAGTACAGATGGTGGATCTGGGAGAACGCTTGGTCGACGCGTCCGCCGAGCCCGCCGAGAATCAGGATCTCAAGCGTGGTGTCTCCGGGGAAAGAGGAGGTTGCCTTTTGTTGTCGTGGAGATGCGAGGATCTCTGTGGCATGTGAATTGATGTGCTTTAGACACTTGGTGAAGTCTGTGGAATATTGGTCTGCGTCTTCTAGAACCAGAACACCACGCTGCGAGTAGTACTCTCGTACTGCTGGGCGGATGGAGTCGAGGTCGCCGACTATTGCATTTGGGAGCTGTCGGCACAGTCAATTTTTCAGATCAATTGAGACTTCATGCTCATGAAGAAGAAGATGGGGATTTCTTACACTCGCAACTTCGCCCTCACTGTCCCTCATCATATCATACAGTCGATTGGCCCCGCCATCCGCGCAGATAATGTAGGACGCTAGAGAGATCATCAGCAAAGTGTAGAGGTTGAGGTCAATTCCAACGCACCGTGCTGACTGAGAGCATTAAACGCCCTGTCATTGATCGGCTGGTTGAGTACCAGCAGCGCATACGGCGAGGGGCTCCCCGAGCGCTCAAAAAAGCGACTTGGATGCCACTCCATGATTATATTGTCGTGAGGGAGGGATACCTGTTTAGGTTAAGGTACGATGTTCGGCCCGGCGCTGCAACGTGACTGGCCAGCCTCAGGCCGAAATCCACTTCGTTCTCTTCCACCTCGACTTTCGCCCTGCCAACTCGCCCTCCTCCGGCACTTCCCTCTCCTCCCTCCTCCTCCCCCCACTTCCGCCATTGAAGACAGATACGATGTTCCGTCCCGCTGCCAGAGCGCTCGTTCTCCGCGCGCCTGCCGTTGCAGGCCGTGGTCCGGCCGGCTCGCGATTGATAAGCACAGGCCCGGCGCCGAAGTCGAGGTCTTGGAAGAGCACGGCTGTGCGGTTGGGATTGGCGGCTGGCGCGGTGTACTACTACAACACGAGCAGCGTGTTTGCTCAGGAGCCGACGTGTAAGTTGACCTGCATTTTTCCTTTTTCTTGGTATCCGAAGTGGCCACGGCGTATATGCGACCAGTCCGGGATGAGTCCATTGGTAATCCATTGGCAGTGCAAGACATGACACAAAATGCTGATTCAATCATCTCCATAGTTTCCCTCCGCCCGAAGCCCCAAAAAGACTCTGACAATGAACTCTCCACCCAAACCCTCGACTCCATCACCCCCAAGATCCGGGAAGAACGGCAGCAGCAGCAGCATGCCGCCGCATTGGAAGGTGGCCTGAACCCACAAGAGCTGGAGGAAGAAGCCGGCCAGGAAGCCGCATTCAACCCGGAGACGGGCGAAATCAACTGGGATTGCCCGTGTCTGGGCGGGATGGCCCACGGCCCGTGCGGAGAGGAGTTCAAGGCTGCGTTTAGCTGCTTTGTGTACTCGCAGGAGGAGCCAAAGGGGATTGAGTGTATTGAGAAGTTCAAGTACGGTTCTCCCACCAGAATTGTTTGCTGGCGATTTGCTGACTTTTTTTTTCTTCTTCCCACCATAGGGGCATGCAAGATTGCTTCCGACAACACCCTGACGTCTACGGAGCCGAACTGGAAGATGATGAGGAGACCGAAGGCGCTGTTCCCGCTTCCTCCCCCGACACCGCCGCCCCCGCTGCCGAAGGAGAAGCCCCCTCCGACTCCGATGAGAAGCGTGCTCGCGCCAAGGACGTCCACGCTCAAATGAAGGCCGATGCCGCTGAGAAGGGCGAGCACACTGATAGCGAACTCCTGCCCAAGGCTGTGCACGACGCCGAGGACAAGAACGAGCCATTCCAGAAGACGGAGAAATAAACGCCGCTCGTCGCTAAGCCCTTGATTACATCTTTTCCTTTGTTGTTATGACGCCGTGAGCTCGAGATTGAGACACCCCCCAAGGCTTGTCTCTTTGAATATGAAAGGGAAGAAGACTCGCTGCGAAAGCAAAACCGAGTCGTGGATTGGGAAATCCGGGTGTGTGTGTGTATGATATAAAACCCTTCTTCTCGCCATTTCTCTTCTCTTTTATTTCTGTTGAATCCCGCCTCTCATATCCTCCCAGCATATCCCTCTTCTGCGCACCTGTGTTTCACTCTCTTCTTGTCCTGCCTCTCTTGTTGTGTAACTTAGTGTATTGGTATGCTCTGTCCGATGTGGATGGATAGCAAAAGAGGGGAAATAGAATAGACCTGTTGCATTTTCTCTTTGCATTACCATTAAACCTCGGGTTAGGAATGACAAGAATGACAACTACAAGAAAGACGCCCCAGCAAAGATATTAATTGCTATCTAGTAATCTTTTCCCTCCCGTTCACTCCACCTTCTCTTCCTTTAATTGCTGCGCTGCGCCCACTAAGTCCATTGCATTCGAGTAGAACCACCATGACAACTCTTCTATCATCCATCAACCAATGCGCCCCCCCCCTCTTCTTCTCTGGGACTCTGGCTTCGCACAGGCAATTGAGAGAGATAGGAATCATATCATATCATATCATCGAGTCCAATCTGGGCCTATGATCAATGATGCCAGAAGGATGGGTTGGGATTGGATGCGATATGTTGTGTTGAAAATAGATAGAGCGGACAATCCTGCAACTAGGAAGAAAGCCTGCACCTCACAAGGTTGTTTGTTTCTCAGAGAATGTGGCAATCAGACGTTGAGGTGGGTCGAGTCTCTTCGCTTTCCTTTCGTGCTCACCTCACAGTGAATCATTAGGAAGGAAATAAGGAGAGCCACTCCACTCCCATCCCAGGGGCAGAACCGAGAATATTGCAGACACGCCGTCAAGCCTGACGCTGGCTAGAATAGACACATCCCATGATGTTGTCTCTGAGCAGAACAGCGCGATATGGCTCGCCGACACCCACCCGAGCTTGCTGGGTAATCTATGCATGTCGGTACAATCCGTTTGAACCATTCAAACCCACCCGCCACGCTACCAATTCACATCACTAAGCTGAAGTTTCCTGGAGCGGAACGCGGCGCGATTGGCGCTGGATTTATCCATTCTCTGCGGGGTGCGCTTTTCAGGGAGTGCTGTTCCCAGTTCAGATTAGTATTTTGACCAAAAGTTTTGGCCTTTTGAGGCAGGGAAAAGGGAAATACCTGGATAAGACTCGCCTTCGCCTGGCTCTGGTTCGGTCGAGGCCTCGTAGTTCAGAACTAAGTTCTTGATGCGCCGCTGTTCCTCACGGTCTGCTTGTTGTTGGCTGCGCATGGCGACAGCGAAACTTGAGTCCGAGGGGAGGTCGATGGTTCGTGTCTATACAATCATTAGTGGGGGTTTAAGCGTACGGGAAAGAATAATACTGACCTGCTGTTTGTTCCCCTTCTTGGTCATCAACGAAAACGCCATTGTTTTGGGAGGCGCAGGTACAGCAGATGCTGCCGCCGGTTCGGCAACCGGTTCCGCAGCCGGGACCTCAGGCACAGGGCCAGGGCCAGGGGCAGGAACAGGACCAGATTCTGAGGATGCGGTCTCACGGGTGAGCCGTTTCATGGGGAGCGGGATATCGAAAACAGCTTTCCGCTCGAAGCGGCGCGAATCCATGCTTTCGGCCATCATCTTCTCGAACTCGCGATCAAAGTCCGCCTCAGCTTCAGGGTCACGCTCCTCTTCCTGTCGCGTGACGATGATCTGCTCATCTTCTGACTCGTCGTCGCTCTCGCCATTTGCATCGGCGTTCGGACCGGATGCCTCTCCCTCGCCCTCCTCGCTAGACTCTTGCTCCTGCTCATCATCAATCTCGGGCATGGCAAAGTCCTCCAGCCCATCATCGGACGAACTGCTCTCTGCATCTTCATCCTCCAGCTCCGGGTCGACGGGTCTCTCGGAGTCCTGCAGCTTGTAGTTCTGCGCAACAGCCTCGCTGAAAATGCGCGTCGCTTCTTCCGGTTCGGTGGCTAGTTTCCACTGCGGACGAATGGCGGAGTAGGTATCCTGGACTAGGAAGTCGACATCCATGGGTAACGGATCTTTCGTGAAGAGATAGTACTGGAAGAAGCACAGGAAAAAGTCCAGCTTCTTTTTTGGGGAGCCCCGATCGAAGCAGTGGCCACACGTATCGAGGAGGGTACAAGCGAGACGAAGGCGGAAAAAATCGTCTGGCATGTCCAAGACATTAATCTTGCCCGGAACGGGGGTGCCGCCTTCGTGACCGAAGGTGATGATGCGGTATAGCGTGTCAAAGATGACTGGCGAGTCAATCATCTTGTAGTTGTACAACTCACCCAAGTACTTTACTTCCGCGATGCGCTTCTGGTTGAATTTGAAGTCATTCTGCTCGAGGCCCAGAGTAATCTGTTCCAGGATGTTGTCCACGACACCGATGACGAAATCCTGGTGATACCGGTACAGCGCACTGATCAGGATAGCCAGGAGGTGAATGCTGCCGTATTTCACCTTGACGGGCTTGCTGAAGACCCGCTCAAGAATATCGACCACCTCCTGTTCTTCCCAGTGGAGTTTTCGAATTGTTTTGAGAATCCGGGTGTAGTTGCGCTTGTTCATGTCCAGGTATATCAGGCGTCGGATATACTGCTCCATGGGCGTGCGTTCTTTCTGTTGAATAGCTGGACGTGGAGGCGGGTCGACGTAGTAGATGGCATTTTCAATGACCATGCGCTCCTGCTGCCCCAAGTGCTGCACGGTCTTTTTCCGGCTGAGCGTCTCCAGAAACGAAGCCATCCGCGGCGAGGTCTCCGGGTTGCGCAGCAAGTAGCGGCCGCAGTTCTCCAGAAGATTGCCGATAATCTCGATATTCATGCGCGAGAAGTCATCCAGCGAAACCTTGAAGCAATGGAAGATGATGTGTTCGGGCACGACGCCGAATTTGGTCAGTTCGGCCAGATAGCGCACATTGCTCATGCGCACCTGCCCCAGAAATTCCTTGGATTTGCGCCGCTGCAGACTGCGGAATTCTTCGTCGAGATACGTCGTGATTCCCTGCGGAATGTCCGGCATGTACTGGCCGAGGGTGGCCACCAGGCGAGAGTACAGGGGCAAGAGGTCAGAGCGGCCTTTGGGGATGTCCGAAACAGCCTTGACTAGGCGGTTGCGGGAGGCCTTGGAATTGACGAAGCAGAAGTCCAGCGCCAGTTGATCGACCTGGTCTTTGATCTGCAGCTCCGGAAGCTTGGCCAAGAGGGCATCGACTTGCGCTCCGACAGTCTTGCTGGCGATTGCAGTCGACTGGTCATCCTCCCCTGCAGTCTTTTCGTCTGCCGCTTCTGTGGATTCGGAGACAGTTTCCCCATCAGCCTTCTTCTTGCCGGTCTCTTCCGCTTCACCCTTCTTTTTCTTGCCATCCTCCAGCAAAACGGCCGGTACTTTGCCCTTCAGGTCCATCAGATTCTCGTAGAACCGTCTCTCTTCCTCGTCTTCCCAAATCCCTGCCCCTTCGGTTTGTCCGCGCAGGTAGTCTGTAGTCTTGACCAGGCCAATTCCACCACTCGAGGCAGCATCTGTGGGCTCCTTCTCCACCAGATCGGGCATCTCAACCCCCAGCGCCTCACACAGCACCTGAGTGTTGGCCACAAGCTTCTCCAGGGATTTCGTCTGCTTCTCAAAGTTCGCCTGACGATCCTCAAAAATCTCGCCGCTCTTGACATACGCCTCGGCATTTCGACGGCTCTGGTTTGCGAGTGCGCGCTGGTCCCGCATAACATGGGCCTTGACATCCTCCAGGTAGCGGTTCAAAATGTTCCGAAATCGCTGCTGCGTCTTTTCCGGTGTAAGCGGCGCATCAGCCTCGGCGGTAGTGGTTCCCTCTCCGTCCGCATTCGCCGCATCCGCGCCAGTCGTGGTAGCACCATCCGCTTCAACAGTCTTCCGGCCATCCTCCGCCAGCTTCGATCCGAGGATATCCCAGCTAAAGCTCTTGACAAACAACACGGCAAGCGGCAAATTCGCATGGTCTCGATCGTGGCCCAGCAGCTCCTTCAGAACCTCCAACGGAAACGGCTCGGCCGGTTTCTCCTGATCCTTCGCCGTCGCGGCAGCAGAAGGCGGTTTCGATTTCAGCGGTGTCTCGGACGGTTTCCCTCCTCCCATACCATCCTTCCCCTTGGCACCCAGATCCTCAGGCCGTTCGACATCATCCAACGTCCTCAGCACACCCACCAGCCACAGCTCCGTCACAACGCGCAGCAGAACCCGATGTCTCGATAACCGGTCCTTCTCCTCTCGTTCGCGCAGCTCCTGGCTCAGCGCCTTAAGTTGTGATTTGTCCGGCGTGCTCAATCCCCGGCCTAGCAGCCACGCCACCTGGCGAGTGTATTCCGCGGGCCCAAAGCGCTGGTGCAGAGCACTAACGACCTCGACCCCCGCGGCAATTTCGCCGGGTGACTTGAGCTTGCATAGGCCTTCGTAGCACGCAGAGATGATTTCGGAGAGGTACTTGTGCAGCGAAAGGGTGCGGATATCGGCGAGGAAGGTGGACAGGGCGGGCGCGCTCATTCCCGTGCGGAGGCGCTTGATGAAGGCGGTGTTTTTCTTCAGGGCTGAGTCGAGGGATTTGTTCACAGCGAAGACGTCTAAGCCGGTGTCAGTTCGCATTGTCCCTCCATCAGTTATATAGTCAATCCGGAGCGGAGGGAGGGGCAAGGGTAGTGTGGGGGTTGGTTGTACCAGTCTCGCCGTCCCAGGCCCTTTCATTCCCATCGCGAAGCTCCCCTAGCAAAGTGAGCGTCAGTTACTGTTCTTTGTGTCAGTGGAGGTGTGTGTATGTCATACTCTTCCGCGTGCGATCCATCGCCGCGGTGTCGTGTGGAGTGGGGGGAAGTCTTCAATCGTGGGGGGTGAGTCCTTTCTGAACGACTGAAAGGAAATCGCATGAGTGGGATGGACGCCACATTGGGAGGATTGTAGTGTGTAAGTAACAATTGCGACCGAAGACCAGAACAGGTGGAGAGGGAGAGGTCAACGAAGAAGTGGAAGGCGGAAGGAGAGAGAGAGAGGAAGGCAAGGTGATGAGACAATCGCGAACTTTTATTTGACGATGCTAGCTCCACTTCTTCCTGCACTACAATCACTATGTGCGTTAACTACATATTTTCACTCTCAGTAAACCCCGTCTGCTCTCCCTGCTGCTGCGCCCGCACCATCTGGTCCTGCAGCTCATGCTTGTAGTCCTGGACACTCCAGCTCTGTCGACGGTCAGGTCGTGGTTTCCAGGGTTGGTCTTGTTTCTGGTCGTCTTCGCTCTGATTCTGCCCGATCTCGGATAGATTATTGGGGATGGGAGAAGAGAGGTTGCTAGTTGCAGGCAAAAGGATGGTCTGCTCAGTCGGATGGTTGGAGTCTGCGGAGGGACTTTGGTGGCTCGGAGAGAGAGAGGTCATTTTGAAGATGAAGAGATGATAGTCTGGATTCTGGGATAGATGGATAGATACACGGAGAGAAAGACAGGAATCAATCGATGCTTTCATACCGTCACTCCCCGCATCGCCACTGCAGTGTACTTACGTAGGTACTTAGTGAGAAGTAGATAACAGGACGTGGGTAGGGGAGAGTGACGTGGGGTGGCGAAACAGAGCTACTTAGGGCCTTCTTGGATGGAAGAACGGGGACAGTGCCACAGTACAACACCTCAGAAGCCAAATCAAATCAACAGAAGAATGCATTGACACTACGGACACATTTTCAACGGTCCCAACACCCTAGGGCGCTAACGTACAGGTCATGACGGCATTTACCATCAACAGCAGACAATTGGACGGATGGGAGGGAGTCGTCGGGAATCGGAGGGCGAGAATGAGAAGAGGCAGACCACTCTCAAGAGAGAGAGAGAGAGATGTGCAACGCTCGAAGACAGGGTGCAACCAGCAAGAACGACAAAGCAGGATTAAACACAGGCAAAAAAAAACATCAACGATAGGAACACAGGTTAAACAGGCACCACACTCCTCATCGTACACCTCCAAAAAAACAATTCAAAAATATGAAAAAAAAACAGGGTATGTCACACGCCACGCTATGCGGGTAGCCCTACCATCGAAGGCAGGACGACCAAGAAGAACGAACTATGTACGGAGGAAGGTGGGAAGTCCGACGGGAGAATTCTATTTGGGCTTGCGCCAGAAGTATTGCTGTGAAACGAGTTAGCCTTAACGGTTCAGGGAATCCAATACTAGCGTCACGGACCTTGTGCTGCTTCCGGCAATTTCGAAGCCCAGGCTTCCGCAAGTCATTGACCACCGCCTCACGTCGCATCTCATCCTCGTCAAAGTCCGGGATGTAGTAGTACTCGCTCTCGAGGGCCTTGCCCGCGGCATCTTTTCCCTCACGGGCGACCTTGCCAACACACTTGGTCGATTCGAGGATGGCGCGGATCTCCAGGCGGGACGGGCCCGTGGTGGATCTCTCATCGGACTTCCAGAAGGCAGGGGGAAGGTTGTTCAGGATGGTGGAGAAGGGGGTCGAGGAGAGCCGGGAGAAGGCGAGCTGGTTGGCGGCATGGTTGCGCACGCGCTCAAAGTGCTCGTTGAGTGGCTGCTGGAGCTCGACTTCGGGCTCGTCGGGGACATGGTGCTCCGGTGCGTTGGAGGGCTGGCGCGGGGAGCGGCTGGGCTGCAGGGGCTGCGTGGGGAGCAGGCTCCGTGGAGAACGGGCAGACCGGATAGGAGAGTCGTCTGTGTGGAACGAGGCCATGCGTGGCAGGAGGTTCTCGCCGAAGGGACCGAAGGAGTGCACGATGGGATCGTTCTCCTCGTCATTATCGGAGGACTCTTCGGCCTTACCCAGATCGCTCAGCGAACTGCCCTGCGAGCTCTGGAGAAGGGCACTGGCACGGCCGAGGCCGTGACCGACAGTGTGAGAGCGTTTGATAGGCGAAGCCTCGTCTTCATATACGACCACCGCATTACGCGAACGGGTAGGCGTAAACAAGGGCGACGACGGCGGGATGAGGGCCTGTTGCACCGCCGGCGATGGGGAGATGGGAGACACCATACGCTGAAGCTCGACCACGGGGCTCTCCTGCAGTGCCTCCCGGCGAGACGGAGCTCGCTGCCTTGGGGTAGTTTCCTCCCATGTTTGCTCCGAGTCCGTTGACGGACAATCCTTGCGGTCTTCGTTACGCGGCCATTGCACCAACACCCGCGCCTCATGCACATCGATCATGATATCGGCATCCTTAATGTCCGACGTAAACGTTTTCCCCTTGGCCAGGTCATACGTCTTGCCCTGGCAGTGGAGCTTAATCCCATTCCAACCCATGCACATAATCTCCACCCTATCGCGGTCAAAGGGATTCGGTGCCGGCTTGTAAGTAGCCTTGACGTGCACGCGGGAAATCATGCGACTCGCCGCAAGCTGGTGGTGGCATGAGGCACTCGAACGGCCCATGAGCACGGGCTCACCACTGTCAGGGAGCATGATAGTCGGCACCGCCGACAAGGGAGCGCGTTCCGATGCTCCGGAAAAGGTCCGCCGCTCTGGAGGGCGAGACACGGCAATCCCTGGCGGAGAGGACGAGAGAATGTGCGTCGAAGAGGTTGGCACTGGAGTGGGATAGGTGGACACCTGAGGTTCGCGTGCTACACGCTTTTGGGGCCGTGGCAGAGACGGGGACGAGCTCAATGGCTCAAAGGCTGGGAGGAGGGACGCTGGACGCTTCATACCGGTGGCGGGAGCAGCTAGAGTGCTCCTCGACGGAGAGGACTCCATGACAAGGTAAGTCCACACGAGCTCCCACGATCGAGAAACGGGTTGAGGGACTCGCGTCTCGCCGTGTGTATCCTAACAAGGAAGGCCAAACACGCAGAAGAAAAAGAGGAAGAGAGAGGGAGGGAGGAAGTCAGCCCAGAAGGGAAAAAGGTGTGTGGAGGTGAAAGGAAAGGTCGAGGAAGAAGTAGAGGGGAGAGTATTGAAGAAAAAGGCAGAGGGTGGAATGAATGTGCTGGGGCGGGAGCGTGGGCAATGCACGAAGACGCGTTATAGGCGCCGGCGAGAATCTCCACTCTGCCAGTCGCGCTCGGGTTTTTTCACACGATGAATGTCATCCTGGGACTAAATTGATGTGGGAAAAAAGCAGTGTGTGTTTTTCGCGTTCAATGGTTTGTATCTTTTTTTTCTTCTTGCTCGACTGTCCTTCTCCCTGTCCAGTCGGATCTATACCAACGCGTCGGAGATCACGTGGACCCCCCACGGTGACTGCACGCGAGACATGTATGAAGAAAATGTAGAGCCCCTCGGGATTATTCTGACCTTGACCAACTATGCCAGACATTGTACATGGAAATAAGACATAGAACTCATCAATTGAAAAAGAGGAAGAAAAAATAGTCTAACCCGATCCATCACCAACTCCTATCGAACCCAGCTGTCGCCGACTCCAGGGCTGCATCAAGCAGCCAACGCGCCAGGGAACCCACGCGATCACAAGGAGAGAACTCGCATTGGAAGCGGAGATGATCGGACAGAAAAAATGAAACTTGCCAGAAAGTCAAAAAAAAATCCTCCAGAGGACAGGACGACGGATAGATGTGGAATCAAGATTGGTGCACACTTGAAGTACAGAAGAAAATCTAGCCAAAGGTGGTGTGTGTGTCCGGAGGTAGGGCCCCATGCGCTTTGGTGGCAGGAGGCGTTCCGAAGAGAAAGAAAAGAAGGTTCGATCATGGTCAACAAGGTGTGCTGGATTTCTCCTCTCCCATGCTTTACATGTCAAACAAGAAATGAAACCCCCACGGAAAAAAAAAATTAAGATACACGGAATCAAAAGCAACCCTTCAAGTAACAAATCGTGATATGGACAGAAGCGCAGAGGTCAGACCTCCTTTCAAAGGGTGGCCAAGCCAAGGAGAACAAAGCTCATCAAACTCTGCTGAGCAATTTGCCCCCCAACCCCGATCATGCAGGAGGCATCTACTCGTAGAAAACGTAGGTAGCGTCACCGGACATGACCTGGGTGGTGCAGCCGTTGTCGATGGGGCTGCCGTTCTGGTAGAATTGACCGTTCTCATACTTGCACTCGGCACCCAGGTCGTCACCGACCAGTTTGACCTTAAAGTTGAGCGGGACGTTGGTGGTCGGGGTGTTCTGGAACATGGACAGCCACTTGCCGGAGCTGGTCTGGCCAACACCCAGGTTCATCGGGGCCCAGTTGCCAATGGGCGAGGAGCCGTCACCCCACTGGCAGCCAGACTCGGTCGAGATACCGGCCGGGTTGACGTAGTACTGGGCCGAGGTGTCCGAGTTCTGCCACTTGTAGTAGCTGGCGGCGTCGGGGCAGGTCAGCGGGTGGGTACCCCCAACGGTGGCCGCCAGCGGGATGGTCTCGGACTCGGTACCGGGGTAGTCGGTACGGCAGACGGCGGCCTGCTGGCTCATCTCGTTGCGGACAAAGACACCGCCGACACCCGGCATGCAAAGCTTCTTGCTCAGCGCGCTGTTGGTGAGGTACAGCTTGCCACCCGAGCACTGCAGACCGCCGACGGACTGGCCAGTGCTTCCCTGCTTCTCGGGCCACTGCGACTTCTGGTAACCAGGGGGCAAGCGTACGAGCACATACCACCCTCATGGCAGTCTTCGCCGGCCACGGCAGTGATGATATCGCTGATCAGCTCATCCTCCCACGAAGCGTATTGGATACCGGAATAGCCACCCAGGCCCAGGTAGTCGAGAGGAACAGCACCGTAGTTCGAGGGGAAGTCGGTGCAGTCAATCTCGCCATCGGGGAAGTCTGCGTCAATGCCAGTGGCACCCGAGTTCGCCGTGGGAGCCGGGGGAACGGTGGTGGTCGTGGTCGTGGTCGTCGGGGTGATTTCCGCCGAGGTCTCCTGGAGCACAGCAGGAGTTGGGGTTAGGGTGGGAGTCGACGTGGTAGTGGTGGTGGTGGTAGTAGTGGTGCTGGTCGAGCAAGCGGCCCAGACAGGCTCATCGGCCCACTTGAACTCTTTGTCGAACAGACCAGCGCATGCCTTCTCCAGGGAAACAGCCTCGACGTTGTCGCCGTCGGCAATGACAAAGTCGTACACCACGGGGCCGGGCACCACGACGGTGTTGGCGTCAGCGTTGCGCTTGTGCTGGTGACGGTGCTGGTGGTGGTGGCCCTGGGCGGCTACCAGGGAGCCCGCGGTGGCCAGGGTGAGTGCAACAGAGTTGGAGAACTTCATGGCGTCTGAAAGTCAAAAGAGATCGAAGTCACAGTCTTGCGTGAACTTGAAACGGTAGATCTACATCAAGAACGGTTCTTGTCAGCCCTCGGTTCATGTCAACAGTCCCTGGGTCAATCCTCTGCGTCCTGATTGATGCCCTTCGGCGCGCACATCGCATTGCAAGTGTATTGCGCGCGCACGAGAGAAGACCAAGCATCGTTCCAGTCGCCCCAGGATCCTCCCAGTATGATCATAATCGCACATACATCAATGGCAAACCAGTCGCACGATTGAAAGATGGTCTGTGCAGAAGAAGCGAAAGTGTATGAAAGTGGAGAGAGCGGCGCGAGTTTTCCGGGTAATGAGCGTGGACGAGAGACAAATCTCTCTGGGTCGGATGGGAAAACGCGATGGATAGCTGGGGGAGTGTGTGTGTGTGTGGGGAGAGAGGGAGGGAGAGGAGGGAAAGGAGGCACAGCGTAGAGGAAAGACAGTCAGTCGGGCTATGACCGAAAGGGGTTACGCTGTACGAGACTGGCAAACACAGAATGGCAAGCCACGAAAAAAGGGTGCGTCCTCCGTTTTGGTCTCTCGACTCCACCGATCTTGCCGTGTTCCTTCGCCTTCTTCCTTCCTTCGCCCTGTCCTCCACCCTACCCTCTCTTTCTTGCTTCATCCCACTGACATTGAATTTTCGCCCTTGTTTCCCTCCACCAAGCTTGGCATGGGCCCCATTTTGACCCAATTTGACGTTGTCCCAGGGGCCAACCAATTAGTGCCCGGGGGGTTTCCAGGGATCCACGCAGGTTTGCGCCAGGCACACCAATCAGCAGCGAGAATGCCAGGGGTAACCCTGGACACCCCAAATTCCTGAAGGCCCGAGGGTTCCCGTATTACTTGAGGTAAATAATACGAACACACTCCCGGCAGCAGGGGATAACAATCTTCTGCGTTGTGGCGTCGACCCATCATCTCGGTCGAGCCATGTTTATGCTCAACATTCAGGTCAGTTGGCACCCCTCAGGCTGCCGGGTCAACTCCAGTAGGGCGCCGCCGGTGAGCGGCCATGATCCTCTGTGATAGTGACGTATCGCAGCACCGGAGGGCTCAGAGTTATCTGATGTATGTATGTATGTATTATTGATTGATGAGATTAATACCGCCAATCCCCATTTCAATAGTGGTCCCCATGTGGGAAGGATCATACAGGCTAGCCTGGGCGGTCTCGTCGATCCGTCATCCACAATGGCCTTCTTGGCAGACGCCTCCGTGGACGTGGACAATATAATGTTGGCTGTCCATCAATGCTAATAATTGGGCTGATCGCAATACATAGGTACATAGTATTTAAATCGACGTGAGAAAACAACCCCTCTACTGTACATCCATCACTACTGTGTAGATTGCGGCCGCCTATCGTGGAGACTTTGCACGCCATGCTAGCCAAGAGCCAAGAGCCAAGAGCCAAGTAGGTCTGGATTCGGGAGGACAGCCGTACATAGTGAGATATCACTCCCTCGGTTTCTACCCCTGAGTCTAGACCGATAACAATCGTAAAATTTGATCAAGCTCCGACTACACTACATCCCGTATGGCATTCAGTTAGCCCCAGATGACGACATCTACCAATAAGGAACAGTGTGGCACGTGCCTTTAGCCGAGATGAACTATACCGAACCGTTCGTCTTGAAATCGAACGAACTACTGAACTATCATTATTGTTTCAAGTTGATGATTTTGGAGACGACATGCAGTGTTGTGGAGTTGACACCTAAATGGCCAGGCATTCAACACAGATCACGTGGTATTGCATTTGTTTGCTCTAGATGTCATTTCTGCCCTTCCCTATACATGCCTTTCGACGAGGAGTGACCTGACCTAGTGGGGCTCTGAGACAGGAATTTCCTTGTTACAGACCCAGTAGAAACTTAATAATATATATGTTTGCCTTAGGTCGGCTAACATTCCTACACCTGGAACGCACTGGTACATAACAATATTTTGAACATAAACCCAAGCTGTCGGCTGAGGCTGTATACGTACACTACCGGGGGAAGCGGAAGCCATGCACTGACTGCACTGCATGTATGTATGTGGGGTCTGCTCGGATCCAGGCAAAGCTGTGAAGATCTACGACCCTGGTCCCATTAGGCCCTGTCAACTAACTATAAATAGTAGTCAGGTCTCACTGCTCTGCGTACTTTAGTCGAGGGTAGAACTTGGTAGAATAGAGCGGCTGTGCAGTTTATTTTTAGGCGTTCTAAGAGAGCAAAAATACAGTGACCTAGTGTATACGATGTTCCGATGTCTTGGGGCTTGGCTCTGGACTCAGTCTGACGCGGACAAGTGAGACATCTGAGCATCCATCTCAACACATTTTGAAACAGTTGGTAATTGGTTATATTCCGGGTATTGTGATGCTGTATAGATGTGCGGCTCATGTCATGGTAACCAGAATGGTTTTTGTGAGGACTATATCCACGGTATGTGATATCAATTGGGAGGTGATGAAAGATATATATTTGACAGATCCGTCGCCCTAAGTCAGCATATCGACTTTAAAGTAGACGAAATGAGAACACACCGTGCCAAAATATATCGTTTCATTTCATAATCATCTTGTAAATGATTATCCTCATTGATTTCGATGTGGGTTATGCCAGCAAGAAACAAACCCCCCCCCCCCCCCCGGGCAAACACCCACATCACTCTGTCTTACGACGTGGGCCGATATACAAACTCCTCCAGCTCCTGATACGCCCTCTCAAGATCATCATTAACGATGATTCTATCATGCACACCCTGTTCCGCAAACTCCATCTCAACCCTAGCCTGCGCCAATCTTCTCTGAATCTGTTCTTCATTCTCCGTCCCGCGACTCCTCAGGCGCGCCTCAAGAGCCTCTACACTGGGCGGTTGGACAAAGACGTATCGCGCATCAAGAGCGCAATTCTCTTGTATCTGCCTGACACCGTCCATCTCAATATCTAGGACAACAACTAACCCCTTCACCATCTGGTCGGCAATTGTCTGCTTGCTGGTGCCGTAGTGATTGTCGCTGAAATATGCATGTTCCACAAATGAGTCTTGGGAGATGAGAGTTGAGAATTCAGTCGTAGAGATATAGAAGTAGTCTATACCTTCGCGCTCGCCGGTACGAGGCTGGCGCGTTGTGTGGGAGACACTTAGTGCAAAGGTGTCGGGGTACGCGTCGAATAGTTTTTGGATTAATGTTCCCTTCCCAACGCCTGATGGTCCGGATACCACAATGGACCTGCGGTCTGGTGGTGGTGCTGGAGTCATTATTATTACGGTGAAGGCCAAGTTTCAGGGTTGATTGAAAGTACCAGCGCGTCAGTCATAGTTGGGTTAGTATCACTGCGAATTGTTGCCTCAGGCACGAACATCGGGCAAACTGCCACCGCCTTCCGAGATTTTTTTCCATCTCCAATTGCGATCGTAGCGAACCAAAAAAAAAAAAACCACCAGTCGAGTCTGTCGCTACAATGGTGTCTTCGACTGCACTCACCTCCAAGGTGGCCTCGGGCTCACCCTACCAGCTTGATAATCCTCAGGTTTGTAATTCCCCCCGAAAAATTTCGCCAGTTACTGACAGTTGCAGGTCGCCCGAGCTTCATCTGCACTGCTGCGACACATCAAGTCCAACCAGGAGGAGAAGGAAAAGTCCGCAACCAAGAAAACTCTGATTGGCGACAATGACGACGACTCCGACGCCGAGGACAGCTCGATCTCCAACGAAGCTGTCTGGCTGATCCTCACCACCAAGAAGCACGTGGTGGACAAGAACCGCCTGAAGCCCGGCAAGATTGCTATCCCGCACTCCCTCAACTCCTCGCCCTCGCTCAGCATCTGCGTGATCACCGCCGACCCCCAGCGCGGCGTCAAGGACATCATCGCCGACCCGATCTTCCCGCAAGAACTCTCATCCCGCATCGACAAAGTCATCGGGTTCTCGAAACTCAAGGCGCGCTACCAGAGCTTCGAAAGCCGGCGCCAATTGTTCTCGGAGCATGATGTTTTCCTGGCCGACGACCGGATCATCACGCGCCTGGTGCCTACGCTCGGCAAGATCTTCTACAAGTCCAGCAAGCGGCCGATTCCCATTCGCATTGCCGAGATTGAGAAGGTGGACGGTAAGCGGGTGAAGAAGGATCCGAAGAAGAAGCCTGCCAAGGAAGAGCGGAGCGCGGCGTTTGCAGCGCCGTTGATCGTGGCCAAGGAGATTGAGCGCACCCTCAACTGTGCGGCTGTGCACCTTGCGCCGGCCACCACAGCGGCTATCCGGGTTGGATCGTCCAAGTTCACCGCCGATCAACTGTCTGAGAATGTCGCCGCCGTGGTCAAGGGTCTGACGGAGAAGTTTGTCACGAAGGGCTGGAGGAACATCAAGGCTCTGCACATTAAGGGCGCCAACACCATGGCCATGCCGATCTGGCTGGCCAGCGAGTTGTGGGTGGAGGATGCCGATGTGGTGGAGGAGGGGCAAGGTGTTCCGGCTATCGAAGGCGCTAAGAACTCCAAGAAGCGCAAGTCGATTGCAGACCAGAAGCCCGAGGAGAAGAAAGCAAAGAAGTCCAAGCCGGCCGACGACGACGATGATGATGAGGAGAAGGCATCCTCGCGGAAACAGAAGCTCCAGCAGCTCAAGGCCAAGGCGCTGGAAGATGGCGATACGGTGGTCGCAGCACCCAAGGCAGCTGGCAAACAGAAGAGAAAGTCGACCTAGGTCCATAATGTTTTACTATCTGCATCATGTTCAGGGCTTTTTTTCTGGGTGGCGTACAAAATGTGTTTTCTTTCTGTGTGTCTGGTACATATTCTCGTACAATCTATTCTTCTAGACTTGATCTCCCTTCAGTACAGAGGCGATGTAACTCTTCCCTGAGAACCATGAATATCTAGATCTCTGATTGCTGATTAACCGAGGTCGGCGCTAGTCTTGGCACCCCGACGATAACCACCCGCTTCACCGTGAATCGCCGAACCTCCAACTCTCTCCCACTTCCTTCACCTCTCCCCGGCAGACGGAGTCACCACGTCCCACATCCCGTCGCCATGATTCCCATTGCCAGACACTCCATCCTGCGGGCAGCCCGCCCTCAACTCTATCCCACCCGCGCCCTGCGAGCGCCCGCTTCCTCGGCGCTGGCCCGGCTTCTCTCGACCCTCGCCGTCCTCGAGCAGCGCGATGGCAAGCTGCAGAACTCGTCCCTATCCGCAATTGCGGCCGCACAGAAGCTGGGTGGTTCGGTAACGGCTTTCCTGGCTGGTACTGGAGTGAAGGGCACTTCGGCTGCCGAGGCGGCGAAGATCAAGGGTTTGGAGAAGGTGGTAGCGGTGGAGAATGATGCCTATGAGAAGGTTTGTATCTTTCTGGGCTGGATTGGTATCTGTTGCTGATTGTTGCGTGCTTCCAGGGCCTCCCGGAGAACTATGCTCCTCTGCTGGTCGAGAATATCAAGAAGGGCGAATACACGCACATCGTTGCGGGCCACTCGGCCTTCGGCAAGAGTCTTCTGCCCCGCGTGGCTGCTCTGTTGGATGTGCAGCAGATCTCTGACATTACCGGGATTGAGAGCGAGGACAGTACGTAGCCCACCTATTCTGTTTCTACGACACGACATGCTGACCATCAATCCAGCCTTCGTCCGCCCCATCTACGCTGGCAACGCCATCCTCACCGTGCAATCCAGCGACAACATCAAAGTGCTCACCGTGCGTGGCACCGCCTTCCAAGGCGTCGAGATGGAGGGCGGCTCCGCCGAGATCATCGACGGCGCCGACCCCAACGCCCCCGCGCAGACGGAGTGGGTGTCCGAGGAGCTGGCCAAGTCCGAGCGGCCCGACCTGACAACCGCCTCCCGCGTTGTCTCGGGCGGTCGTGGCCTCAAGTCCAAGGAGGAGTTCGAGCGCATCATGCTTCCGCTGGCGGACTCGCTCGGCGCCGCGATTGGTGCCTCGCGCGCTGCGGTGGACAGTGGCTTCGCCGATAACAGTCTCCAGGTCGGTCAGACCGGTAAGAACGTGGCGCCGCAGCTTTACCTGTGTGCGGGTATCTCGGGCGCCATTCAGCACTTGGCCGGTATGAAGGACAGCAAAGTGATCGCTGCGATTAACAAGGATCCTGATGCGCCGATTTTCAATGTCGCGGATGTCGGGCTAGTGGGGGATCTGTTTGAGAAGGTGCCTGAGCTGACGGAGAAGCTGAAAAACGCATAGCCTGATTTCTTCTTCTTTCTTTTGTTCTTGTTTGTCCAACATCTTCCAGTACAGTATACCACCGATTAGAGGGCTGGTCCAATTTCACCATACAATCAATTCAATCAATTCTCTACAGACTAAACCATTTGATAACGTCGTTCGATAATAATTATTTCCTATACTGCGTGGACTGATCTATACTACCCCTGCCCAATCGGGTCTAGTGCCAACGCGTCCAGGCGCGTCTCTGCAGCTCCGCGGGGACACCGAACCCAACCAACTAACTGCTCAATGATTCCCTCGTCACCCTCGTTTCTCTCATCGTTCGATCCGGCACTGCATCTACACTCCCAGGACGATATCGCACCGGATCCACCCTCCGAGTCCTTCGCTGACGACCTCGAGGCCCTGAATCTGCAGCGCCTGGAGCACAAACGCGACGTAATCCAGCACCGAGCGTGGGACCTGGCCGATGTGTTCCGCAGTGACGACGATATAAGACCTGGTTTGTAGTTCCTGGTGGTGTATGTTAATTAAATCCACGGAATTGACAGGGATTCATTCAGATACGCCGACGAAGCTGTCCGCGGCCACATCCACGTCTACGCCGAGACAGATTCATAATAGAAGACCGTGGTTGCAGTCGTCCCCTCCTGTCGCGAGGATGCCGTTTATTTCTTCACCTCGCGCGGCCGGTACCGAGTCGCAGAAGAGGAAAGCGTCCGATGATGATGTGGAAGATGGCGCGCAGTCGACGGAGCAACAGAAACGGCCGCGCATCTTGGGAGGGTTTTTGGCCGATGGTGATGATGACGACGAGGATGATGATGATATCCCTCCTAGTTTGAGGGATGAGCAGTTCAAGAGCCAGTTTGAGCTGCAGGAATATGTGCTCGAGTCGGGGCCTGCACCTATCATATCGGAAGCACCAGATTCAACAAATGCGTCTACACCCACGCCTACACCCACACCATCGCTCTTAAATCCGCTACCCGCGAGAAAATCGGCGGCACCGCAGAAGTTCCAGATTAAAACATGTGCCGGCAAAACGCACAGCGTGTCCACGCGGAGGACCCAGGCCCCGGTTTCCTATGAGCAGATTATTGCCAGCCGATCCGAGACGGCTCCGGGGCGAGCTAAGACGGCCTACTACGGTATTGAAATTCATAAATTGCTGGATGACGTGGCGAAAACTACGAAGAAGCCGTCAGATACGACTCCCCCAGCGCCAGTCCAGCAGTCCATCGAAAACCCCAAACAAAGCAAGAAGGATCATGCCATGTGGACAGAAAAGTACCGCGCGCGCAAGTTCACCGACCTGATAGGCGATGAGCGGACTCATCGAGCCGTTTTACGCTGGCTGAAGGGATGGGACCCCATTGTCTTCCCTGGTCTGGCCAAGGCTCAGGCTCGCGCGAAGAAACATACTCAAGGGGACGAGGAAGAGGAGCGTATACACCGGAAAGTTCTGCTGTTGAGTGGACCTCCGGGTTTGGGCAAGACGACCCTGGCCCATGTATGCGCCAAACAGGCTGGCTATGAAGTGCTCGAGATCAATGCCAGCGATGACCGCAGCAAGGATGTGGTCAAGGGCCGGATTCATGATGCGCTGGGTACGGAGAACGTCAAGGGCATGAACGTCGAAGTGGGCGAGAAGAAGATCCGCCGCGCCGGGAAACCCGTCTGCGTTGTGGTGGACGAGGTTGATGGCGTTGTAGGCGGATCTGGCAGTAGCGGCGAGGGTGGTTTCATGAAGGCATTGATCGATCTTGTTCTGCTTGACCAACGCAACTCGGCGCGCTCCGCAGAACAAAATGGGAAAACCAATAAGAAGCGCAAGGGGGACACCTTCCGCTTTCTGCGGCCGCTGATTCTGATCTGCAATGATCTCTACCACACTAGCCTTCGACCTCTGCGGGCTGCTTCTGTCGCAGAGATGATCCATGTTCGCCACGCGCCGCTGGAGAACGTTGTTCAGCGAGTGAAGACGATCTTCACCAGAGAAGGAATCCCCTGTGACAGCGACGGCGCTCGAAGACTCTGTGAGGCGTCTTGGGGTCTGGCAGCCAGGAGACAGCGTGGCTCAAAGAGCACCGGTTCGGCTGAGGGTGATATTCGCAGCGTACTTGTTGCTGCCGAATGGGTGGCACATAAACTCCGCCACGAATTAGCAACCCCCAAATTGACCCGAGGCTGGCTGGAGCAACGAGTACTCAGTGCCTCGACCGAAGGCAGCTCGTTCTTCAAGGGAGTGAGTCGCGGCGGCGTCCGCGAGATTGTCAACCGTGTATTCACCGAAGGAGCCGGCTTCTCCGATGACCCCGTGGGCACGACTTCATTCCAGGACCGACACGACGGGCCCAACTCTCGAACTCCTGTCGGTGTGGCGGATTTGCGCAAACGACACGCTATCAACCGACTGCGGGAGATGGTGGAAGCCAGTGGCGACCATGACCGATGCGTCTCGGAATGTTTTGCTGCATATCCCGTGCAGGACTACCAGGACGATACTTTTCTCTCCAAACCAAACGCCGCTTACGATTGGCTGCATTTCCACGACTCGATTTCCTCAAAGGTCTACTCGTCTCATGAATGGGAGCTCGGTCCGTATCTGAGCCAGTCGGTCGTTGCATTTCACCACCTCTTTGCATCCGCCGCTGGGAAGACCGAAGCGACAGGTCAAAACCCGGATGAAGCTGACGCTGAAGAAGATCACCCTTTCTCCGGGCCAAAGGCAGACTACGCCGCGTTCGAAGCGCAAAAGCAGAATCTCCAAATCTTAAACGGGTTCCATTCTTCCTTCCCCGCGCCCTTGCTGCGAATGTTCCGTTCACCGGAGAACGTGATCACGGACTTGGTTCCACATGTCATGCGCATGCTCTCTCCCGACGTCAAACCGGTGATTGTTCGTGGTGGCGGCGATCAGCGTAGCGTGGCCAGCGTCCGGAAGGAAAGTGAACGCGCGCTGGTGCAGTCTGCCGTGCGAGTCATGGCTGGGCTGGGAGTAACCTTTGAGAAAGTGCGAGTGGAGCATGACGGCGGTAGTCACGGTGGATGGGCCTACAGAATGGAGCCGTAAGTATTATTTACCCCCTGCAGATAATATCAGCGCTAACAAGACACAGTCCAATTGACTCTCTGGTCTCCTTCTCCAAAACCAAAGGCAGCTCCATGGCATCCGCAGCTCCCGTCCGCTATGCCGTCCGCCAAGTCCTGGACCAGGAGTATCGCAAGGAAACAATGCGCAAACAATCCGACCACTTGAGCCTGAATAAAGCGGGCGCCGTGTCCGGGGGCCTGAAACAAGCCCCTGGACCGAGCGACGCTGTACAGAAAGCCATCAAGGAAGCCGCTGTCAAGCGCGATTTCTTTGGAAGGGTCATTCAGGAGCCGGCCTCGGAGACGGGCGAATCGAATGTGAACTCCGCAGTGGACGAATCGTCCAAGGCTGGTAGGAAGGTCTGGGTTACGTTTCATGAGGGCTTCTCCAATGCAGTCAGGAAGCCTATTTCGTTAGGGGAGCTGTTGGCTGGTCTGTGATGGAGTGGATGATAGTACATTTTCTTTTTTTGGGTTGTTGCGTGAGCGTTTTTTTGTAGATTCGGATTAGCAATTGGCATACTCATTACCGACCCATGATCGTTAGATTTTAGAGCTGTCCAGAACGGACCACAGCTTCATCTCACTTTAGCATCGCATAGCTAATGGTAATTCCTCGAACTGCGCAAGAGAGTTACTGATGAGGCGGATGCCTGAGGTGACAGGCCTTTCCCTGTTTGGGAGATCACTTAGTTCATACAATTCACCTCGTTCATTTCCTTTACTTCGTGACCTCGCTCCTTCTCTGGCTTCTGTCGTCTTTCTGACACATCCCGGCGTCGTCGGAAAATTCGGAGTTTATCGAATTGTCCGGAAGAGCTCAGCTGTTTTTTACTGCCCAATCAAAATGTACCTTCTGGCCCCGCATTTCTCAGGATTTGACTAATGTGGCGGGAGTGGGAGAAGCAGAGGTCATTTCTAGTATAGAACTCTCAGTCCGTAAGGAAACCGAGGTCACTCGAAATACCTAGAGGGTCTATCAGGTATACCATCGCTTCTTGGCGGGCTAGACGTCTGTTTTGGTAACGTGATGAGTCGTCCGTTAGTCAGCCAATGGATGCAGGCTCGGCCGCAGTAGCCATACGCAGTCCAAGTGACCATTTTGAAGAGACAGTCAAGCTTCGATTATCGTGAATTTGATCTTTCTGATTTCGAGGAAGTAGGCTGGGTTGTCTGAGGGCATCGCTTATAACCCGGTCCATAACTTTCACTGCAACTCACTACTGAACATGCCCTCGGCGTCGTTGACTTGCCTGCTTTCCTGAAAGTTGTCATGGAAGGGCCCGCATCTGTTACTCGAAGCGCTGGCTGGGGGGCGGCATGTGGTTCCTGCGCAAGGGCAAAGGCCAGATGCCTGCGCTCTAACCATACACCTGGAGCCAGATGTGACAGGTCAGCTCGTTCTCCACGGGGTCTACTCCCCACGAAAAGCCGCTAATAGATGCTAACTACCTTCAGGTGCCAGAGCTTGGAGAGGAGTTGTACGCCAAGGGAGCGTAAGCCAAGAAAAAGAAGGCAACATAAGGGGCCGTGAGTAGCGGCTTTTTTGTCCTGTATTTCTTGGCATGGACTAACGGAAACGGCTTTGAAGCCAGATTGCCCGGTTAGAAGAGAGGCTGAGCGATCTCATAGAATCTTTGAGCCAGCGAGAGAAGACCTCCATATCTCCGGAAGTGCTGCCTGAACGAACTGGACAGCCATCATCAACGGCCACCTTCGAAATACCTGCGCAACCTCAAGACGAAACTTCCGCGAATGTTTCACTGCCTGGTTTCAACACATTTGCACGCCCAACATGCACCTGCCAGCCGGAAGTCAGTAAAGAGGATTTCAGCCCGGTTGAGTCAGATGAAACTCTATTATCGATATACCATAATCAGCTTCGCTCCCAGTTTCCATTTGTCGTCGTTCCACCTGGTGTGAATATAGCACAACTTCAACAAAGTCGACCTTTCCTTGCAAAGGTGATCAGAATGGTAGCTTCTATCCAATGTCGACGGTCAATGTGGGGCCAAAGTCGTGCGGTAATGCAGCATATTTCTGATGCCGTGATCATGAGGTCCGAACGCTCTCTAGACCTCCTCCAAGGAATTGTTGTCTTTTTGGGCTACTACCATTACTATTGTCTAGCCCATGGACAATTCAACAACCTCACGCATCTGGCAATCAGCATGACTGGAGATATGGGCCTGGACAGGCGTACCAAGCCGCGCGAAACGGCTCCGTATTTGACAATGGATCCCGAAGAGCCAAGAGCGATGACGAATGAAGAGAGAAGGGTCTTGGTCGGTGCCTGGTACATGGGCTCAAAGTGGGTAGGCCCGTCATTGCACAGAACGTAAAAGCTAATGACAACTCCACAGCGCTGCTCTCTCTTTCAACAAATTAGAGTCACCAAGATACACGAAGCATCATGACCAGTGTCTAAACGAATTGAAAGACGCTGCGGAATATGAGACAGATGAACTCCTTGTACAGCTAGTTCGCATCCAGCACCTCACCGAGAGGATCTTTCAGTTCAACCACCGAGACCAGTTCTTCGTTGAATTGATTGGAGTAGCTTTACCAGAGACAACAGTCGCTGGGCATCTCTCTGCTTTTCAGGCAGAATTGGATAGTCTCGAGAACTCACTGCCCAAGAAGCTCAAAGCCAACTGTGAGATCCTCCAGTTTCGCAACCCAATCCATGCGGAGTCGTCGCTGACACAAACTGCAAGACTTACTGTTGAGCCACTACAACACTGCACGGCTACGGCTCTTCGCTCCGCTGCTAAGCGATATCAGGCCGTCAAGTGTTTCAACCCCCGCCTCCGTCCCGCTATCGCTTTTGCATGCGGAGGCATTCGATCGCTATCATGCTGCCACCTCTGTCCTCAAGTCCTGGGTCACTAATTGGCTCGCTATACCCGTTTGCTACTACTTCCATATGCCGCAGCCTGGTTACGGCCATCTTATCTATGCCATCACTATGCTTGCCCGCCAGGCGCGGTTATCGTTGCTCGTCAATACTCAGCCCAACTGTGCCAGCTCTATTTCCTCTAACATATCCGCAGACACTGCTCAACCTGAAACCAGGAATATTGACGCCGAGACAACCAAAACCTTGGTGCTTAATGCTCTAGAGTCCTTTGCGGCACGGTTCGAGGCTGCCAAGGTGGAGATCGGCGCTGCTCATGGGCGAGAATGGGAGAACGACCTTTTGGACCTGATCGTGAAGACTCTCAGGGTCAAGAAGGCCCGCATCGAGAAGTGGAGTAAAGTCCTCGAGGCGGCAAGGAATGGTGGTTATAGCGGCGACGGGTTTCCACCGGGAAAAGACTGGCCAGCATTTAGCTCTGTTGATGGCCAAGAGAGTAATACCGGAGCCAGGGAAGATGCTGCAGAATGGCTGTTTGAGCAGCTCGATAAGTCGCTGCTGGACGATAATTATCAGGAGAGCTGGCTTTGGGGCGGTGACCCCTTAGATATTCTGTGCATGGACCAAGGGAATCTTGAAGAGGCAGAGGGGACCGGTGTTACTTGCTTGCCCAACACTGGCTTCGACTACCAGTGATGCTGCCGAGCAAGATTGGAGCAATGGACATCCTGACCTATCCTTCACGGTTTCTCGGTGGATATGAATTCATTTGTGAACATTTCTGACTGAGGTTTGCTGACTGGAGGTGCTGCTAACGAGCTGGAGAGTTCTGAGGCTTCGAGAAATGTGAATCCACGATTCTTTTTTTCCCTCGTGGTAGTAGTTTAGTTAGGGCACGTTTAGTTAGTTCACTAGCTAACCGTCAAACAATGCCACCGGCTGAGTCATCCGGAAATTTCAATAAACCCCGGCTTTCCGTGGAGATTCGGGGTGTAGAAGTCCTACTTAGCAGTATAGTTATTATTTAAGACGAGCGAGATGCATCTTGATACGTATTCTTCCATCTCACACCATCTTCTATCCCTTACAGCTTGCAATCACAGCTCAGGGTTTATTTCATCGTCATGATGCGCGTCGCAGGGCTAGGTCTACTACCGCTTCTCCATACACTCACCTACATCTCGTCACTCCTTTGCCATGTTCAGGCCCAGAACACAACCTGCAAATCGACGCCATATGACGAATCTTGGCCGAGTATCTTCCAATGGAATTACCTCAACGCAAGCCTCTCTGGGCGCTTGTTACATCCTTCTCCACCTGCATTAGCCTGTCACTCCTGCTACCTGGGCTCCAACGAAACCTGCGCCAACATCATGAGCTCTTGGAATACGTTCGCCTTCCATCAAGACAACCCCGTCAGCACGGCGTGGAACAACATGAACAACGACTCCTGTCTGCCGAACACGACTGCGCCATGCAGTGGTCTGGGATACCCGGTTTACGTTGTCAATGCAACGTCTGCCAATGATATCAAGCTCGCAATTGACTTTGCGCGGGAGAATAATGTTAGGTTGAATATTAAGGCTTCGGGACATGACTATCTCAAGCGGTACGTGGATAAAATTGAATGATCCGATGTTTGACCTACTGAAAAGCGACTAATGTCTGATTTGAGAAACAGATCTGCAACTCCATATTCTCTATCAATCTGGACTAGGTACATGGTCGGAGGATACGAATATCATGACCAATTTAAGCCAAAGGGCTGCGACATCACAATAAACACCACGGCAGTGACTGCAGGAGCCGCGTCATATGTCAGTGACATATACTTCAACCTGGACCAACACAACCTAACAGTTGTTGACGGCATGGGACCGGAAGTCACTATGGGCGGTTATCTTACTGGCGGTGGGCACAGTCCCATCTCCAACATCTTCGGACTAGGTTCCGATCAGGTTTATGAGGTGGAGATGGTGACGCCCACAGGAGAAATAATCACTGCAAACGAGTGTCAGAATACAGATCTGTTTTGGGCGGTTCGAGGTGTAAGTGCCGAGTCCTCTATCGATCTTTAGAAATGCTCATAGAATTTTTAGGGCGGCGGGGGCACCTTTGGAGTCCTGACGAAGGTGACTATTCGAACGGTTCCATCCACACCAATCGCGATATACGACTTCACGATTGAAGCACAACCAAACTCCACGGCCTACTGGGACAGTGTAGCATATCTGCTAGCACAATTTCCCACCCTATCTGACTCGAACGTTGCGGCGTATACATATCTTTACCCCAATACCAGCGCTGCCGGGCTTGGGGGTGATGTGGCATCCTTCCAAGCAGTTTTTGCCCTGTACGACCCTGCTTCGGCAAATATATTGGAGGACTTGCTGAAGCCCTATGTGCGTCATGTCAATGAGACGTACTCAAACCAAACAACTAGAAAAGTGACCTCAACCGTCTTTTCAAACTTCTACAGCATGTTTCTCGAGTATGCCGACGATGACGGAGCAGGGGTGGATAAGGTGGTCGGATCTCGGCTTTTGCCCCCGGAGATTCTGACAGAAGATGCTTTCAGCGGCGCCCTGATGGACTTCTTGGGAGATTCAGGAGGAAGATTGTACATGGTTTCTGGTAAAGGTGTCTGGGATGCGGAACCAAGGGGCGGCAGTGATGCGGTCAACCCCGCCTGGAGAAAGGCGTTAATCCATGCCGGTAAGTAAAGCTAGTTTATCCTGGCAGTACGGGTTCAAGATCCTGACACCTCAAAGTGACTTCTCAAAGCTGGACGCCTCTCAATTGGACTCAGCAAGCGATTGCTGAGTACAACATTAACAATGTCCAAACCGAAGCTTTCCGGCAATTGGTTCCTGATTCGGGAGCTTACATCAACGAGGTATGCAGCTTCAGCTCCCTGCCCGCTTAATAGAGTAATTACTAAGAACACAGGCTTATTGGAATGAACCCAACTTCCAGAACGCATTCTGGGGTTCCAACTATGAAAGATTGCAAGAGATCAAGAAAGCTGTTGATCCGGATGATGTATTTTGGTGTCATATTTGTGTTGGGAGTGAGAGCTGGGAAGAAGTTGGAGATTCTTTATGTCGAGTTTATTGAAGAAGGGAAGAAAATAGCAGACCTTAGTCTGCTATTCAGCCTCAGCCTCCTATTATTTCCGTGTGCGTAAACCTTCCGCCTCGTCGGTCGCTCTAAACATTAAAGACTCGACTTTATGCTATTCGCCCTCCCCTTCTGGAATATCAGACTGATCTCCCACCCCCTACCCTAATCTAAGTTCGATTTTAAAGATATGACATAGAGGAGGCATTTGTTTTATCTAATGGAAGAGGAACAGAAAATTATATACAGAAGTGACGGGCTGCGAATTCTTCGGCAGATGCAGTACTGTAGCATGATGTGACAGTATCTTCAATGGATTCCGTTTCGCACAACCTCTTTCCTGCCATAACCACCTCCACCAGGGGTCATGATCACGACTCGGTCACCAGTCTTCATGGGCACACTACCCTTGCCGCCCATGTTAACTCTCCTGTCTTGACCGGTGTGCTTATCTTTTGTAAGCCACAGATTCAAACCAGTGGATCCCGGCTCACCACCCTCCATGCCGTATGGCCGATGCACACGTCGCTCTGACAGGATGGAGCACTGCACTGGAGTGAGAAATTCGATTTCTCGAGCCACGCCATCACCTCCCTGATTTCGTCCAGCACCTCCCGTACCCTCACGGAGTTCGAAGCGGCGGAGCACACAGGGGTACCGCTTCTCGAGGATTTCAGGATCAGTGATGCGGGTGTTCGTCATGTGTACATGCACACCACTTTCTCCAACCCAACCCTCCCCTGCTCCAGCGCCACCCGCAATTGTCTCGTAATAGCCGAAACCCGGTATGAACTGGCCAGTCGCCTCATCGGTCTTTCCGTCAATCCCGAACGTGAGGTTATTCAGGCAGCCCTGAGAGGCAGCGCATGCGTGGAGCGCTTTGAGCACCACATCGGTGACTCGCTGACTCGTCGTGACATTACCGCCGACAACGGCAGCAGCGCCAGTGGGGCTCAGGATGCTTGGCTTTGGGATCCTAACATCAACTGGGCTCAAGCACCCCTGGTTCAGAGGGATATCCGACTTGATCATGCACCGCAAGGCATAGATGATCGCCGAGTGAGTGATAGCCTCGGGCGCGTTGATATTACCACGGACCTCCGGGCCCGTCCCCGTGAAGTCGAAGACCGCCGATCCATCCTTTTCAATCGTGATCGTGAGCTTGATGGGTGTGCCGTCATCCATAAAATCCAAGGCCTCCAGCGGGCGGCCACCGTAGCGGTGGTACATGTCCTTGAGAAGGTTTCGTACAGCCAATTCCGCCGTTCGCTGGATCTCGTACATGTACATCTGCACGGTTTCAAGCCCATACTCCTCAGTCAAATTCTGGATCAACGCAATCCCACGAGCGTTGGCGGCAATCTGAGCCTTGAGATCCGAAATATTATCGCTCAGGTTTCGGCTTCCCGAGCAGCCGTCATACTTGGATGGGACATCCAGGAAGAGCTCTCGCATGCGGTCCTCGTTGAAGACACCGTTTGAGACAACCTTTTCGGACTCAATTGCCGCGCCTTCCTGCCAGAGCTCGGTGGAGTTGGGAGGCATGGATCCTGGCAGAATACCACCGACTGCAAACCGACGGTGTCAGCAATCGTGGAATAGAAATAGTTTGAGAAGACTTATTTACTTACTGTCTGCATGATGGCCACGTGAGGCAACGTAAAAGATGATGTCGTCGGTTCCTTGCTTGAACACAGGGGTGACAACAGTCACGTCAGGCAAGTGAGTTCCGCCAGACACCGGGTGGTTCGACACCAAAACATCACCCTCCTTCAGCTTTCCTTGCCAGCGCTTATGCTGGTATCGAACGGCAAACTGCATAGATCCTAGATGAACCGGCACGTGGGGCGCGTTGGCGACAAGCCCACCGTCGGGGGAGAACAAAGCGCATGAAAAGTCGAGACGCTCCTTGATATTGGTCGAGACGGCCGTCTTCTGCAGGGTACGGCCCATCTGCTCCGCAACAGACATGAATCTGTGACCAAAAATCGACAGACGGACGGGGTCCACCTTTGACGAGTAGGTGGCCTCGCGAGGCGCACACTCCAAGTCGATGAGCACACATGTGTCAAGGACGTGGACTACAGCATTTGGATTGACCACGATGGTCTGAGTCTCGTCAATGATAATGGCTGGGCCATGCAACTTCACAGTAGAGCTGAAATCTCGAAGTTGATAGACAGGGGTGCTTTGGTATCCAGTTTCAGAGTCGAAGTAGACGTTTTTATGCTGCACGGATGCACTGGGTTCCTGAAACTTCGCCTCCTTGAGCTGTTGAAGCGGGCTTTTCTCGGTAATTTTGTTTGCAGACGCGATAGTTCGAACGCGGACATCGTCAATGAGGACCGGACGCTCGAATGTGAAATTAAACTCCCGGCGGTGTCGCTGGACAAAGGCCGACAAGAAATCGCCATTCTCGGGCTTGAGGATCATTAGGCTTGTGTCCGAACCCTCATACCTCATGTTCAGAAAGACTTCATGTCTGAGTTGCTTCTCCGTGAAACCCTGGGTCTGCAGGTTCTTGGTGGAACGGCCAATGAGACCCTGTATCTTGCTAGTGACCAATTCCTCAGCGCCAACATATTGAGCAGCCATGGGCTCTTGTGTCTCGTGGACAATTTCAGCAAGAGCGAGGCCGTAGGCCGACAGGATGGACGAGTATTTGTGAATGATAATGCGCGAGATACCGAGAGAAGCAGCAACGTTGCAGGCGTGCTGGCCACCCGCACCCCCGAAGCATGCCAGGTGGTGAGAGGACGTTTCAAAACCACGAGCTTCCGTCAGGTTGCGAATAGGCCTCGTCATGGACTCATCGGCCACTTTCAGGAAGCCGAGAGCTACTTGTTCTGGGGCGAGTAAGGTGGCGTCGTGCTCCGAGTTGATCTTGTCGGTGAGCTCCTTGAACAGCTTGCGAGTAATGTCTCGGTCGAGGGGCTGATCTTCATTGGGGCCGAAAATCTTGGGGAAGTATTCAGGCAGAAGGCGGCCTAGGAAAAGGTTTGCATCGGTGACAGTGAGAGGCCCTCCTTTTCTGTAACAGGCTGGGCCAGGGTGGGCGGAAGCAGACTCGGGTCCGACCATGAAGAGACCGTTCTTCCAGGATAAGATTGATCCACCTCCTGCGGCAACCGTATTGATATCTAGCTGTGGCGCTTGTATGCTGACACCCGAGATACTGGAAGAGAATGTGTGATCAAGATGACCATCGAAACGCGACACGTCGGTCGATGTGCCACCCATATCGAAGCCGATAACAGGAACTCGCGCCTCTTCGTCCCAACTTGTCGACGCATATCCAACAACACCGGCAGCAGGACCGGAAAGAATAGCTTTCAAGCCACTGAACTGACGGAAGTCGACCAAACCACCGTCGGACTGCATAAACTCGACTCGGCAACCATGCGAGCCTTCCAAGCCCCCATCAAAATTTGCGGAGATCGAATCGATATAAGACTTGATGACGGGGGTAAGATAGGCGTCGGCAGTAGCCGACATACCACGAGGGACAACCTTGATCATAGGCTGTAGCTGCGACGAAAGGGCAACTGACAAGCCTAGCTTGCTAGCAATCTCGCCAATCTTGAGCTCGTGGTCCGGGCAGGCGAATGAATTAATTAGAGCCACAGCCACTGAGCGATAGCCCTGCTCCTTCAGAAACTGCAGGTCTGCAGTAACCTTTTCGATACATAACTCCTGAGCCACGTGGAACTTCTCCCCTGTGATGCCCTCGATTGTCCGGAAAGGCAAGAGAGCGTTTTGAGACGACCGCGGATGCGAGGGGATGATGCGCTCGTCAACCTCGACTACCTCTTCGAATAAGACACCGGGCCGCCTCGCGGAGAGGTCGAAGATATCTGGACGGGCCTGGTTGCCGATCTTGAGGAGATCCTTGAAACCCTTGGTGGTCAAGAGCGCTGACCTCATTCCTTTCCGCTCCAGAAGCGCGTTGGTGGCGACTGTTGTGCCCATCCGTAAGCATTCTATGTCATGTAATCGGAGAGGCTTGCCTCTGGGCAGAGTTACGCCTGTAGCGGTTTCGAGAACCCTGCGGATGCCTTCTGTCGGGGCATCCTGGTAGTTGGAAGGGTCGACGGAGAGCAGTTTGAGGACAATGTCAGGCTTGCCGGGCACGATGGCATGCACATCGGTGAACGTGCCGCCACGATCAATGGAAATCTTGATTTTGTTGGCCGACATTATGAGTAAAGAAATGAATGGTGGGAGTTGATTTCCAATGGCGATTTGATCTTCTCTCATAAATACCTTCAGGTCAGTGGGCCACCGACGAAGCAGACCGGTCTCTAGCCCCGCAAAGCGGCGCGGACACGGTTGCCGCGTGGTACCAAGGGCGTGTAAAATTCCCTTGGCTGCCAATATCCTGGGAATCCTAGGGCAAATTCAAGGTATCGGAGCCCACTATCCGACGACTAGGACTGCGGGTGGTGTGGCCCGATCTTAGCGCAACGCGACGATATGGATGGCGATTCCGGCCAGGTATAGTGACGCAACCAACTACCCTGGGTTCCTTATTTCCACCCATCACGGGATACTCTGGATATTGCTTGGGTAACTCTGTTGGTTCATGGAGTGACCGGATTGCAGATAACCAAGGCATCCCCAAACAGTGTCTTGAAAATGTTTCCTGATAGTGTTATTAAAAGTGGTTATTAATGATTTACTTTGAGATACAGTACCTTTCTACAATATTTCTTATTCTATTAGCCAGTAAGTTATAACGCGGTTGCGTTGACTGGCCTACTCGCCCGTGAGTTACAATAGTTAATAAGGAAAATCAAGTACTCAGGGACTCTCTAGTGGGAGTATTGTGAGAATCATGATCCAAATTCACGTCTTGAGAGAGGTTTCTGTCATTCTGAACCCAGACAATTATTTTACATCAATCAATCACTCCCTTCGCTGCTGTCCCGCCAACAGAGCCGACTCAACCCACTGTCGATCCATATCGATACCAATAGAGTCCAGCACTTCTGCCCATAAGCCCGGATCCCCTTCAAAATCTAAATTGAAAGCTGGAGGCTGGTCATGGGAAACTCCTGCAACGATGATATTTTCTGTACCGGTATTGTCATCCTCTGCCTGATTTCTTACCTGAACCTGCCCGTCCTGGCTCGCAAGATTAGCTGAGTCTTTAGTCTTAACAGAACTCTTAATCTTGGTGAGAAGGGAATGACACGCTTGAATGTACTTGTTCCCTTTCTCTGCCATAGTCTGTAGCACGTCGAGAGCCATGTCCATTGCAGAGGCATTCGTTTCGTTATATGGGAAGGCGATGTTGACCATTACCAGAAGTAGCGCCGCCGAGAAGGCCTGCTCTCCGTCGATAAACCCATACGTTGCTGGTAATTATTTAGTTAAGGAACGATAGAAAGATTTGCTATCTCCTTGAGACTGCTGCTAGACTTACCGACGAGGTTATATTTGGCTGCGGCGTTGAGTAACAAGGCGCTAGATCTCGCGGCCGATATGGCTGTCTCGATGACATGGACAATTTCCGGCGAGAATCCGTCTTCCCATCGAGCCGCATTAGAACACTGTGCATTTGCTGCCAATTGTCGCTGAATTGCATATAGTAGAATCGGCCGTGCGGTCATGTTAATACAATGATAATAGTGCAGATAGGTCGACACAACCTCTCGCTGCGGTGCTTGGTTCAAGTCGGAAGGATTCAATTGCACGGAGTCTGGTAGCTGCTGAAACCAGTCGTTTAGCCGTTTCATAATGTGCTGAACACAGGCAGAGAGGTCAGGGCCGGACTTCTGTCTCTTGCGATAGATCTTCTCCCCTATGATCCCATGTATTCTGGATAATTCAGTGTAATTGGTGAGGACTAGCGCCGCGTGGGGGTCCTCGCCTGGCGTGGGAGAGGGAGGCAGAAGATCAACATCCTCGTCCTGAATTGATATTGGATGTCCCGATGTCACACAAAGGAGCCTCTCCATGCTGTAGGTAGACCACCAGACCCTTCGTCGGCGCTCTCGGGTTTCATTGTCAAGCTCTTGATCGAACACTTCCCGGTGCAGCCCAAGAGAAACTGCCATTCGGAGGGCAATACCGATGTATACGTAAGCCGTATCCCTTCGATTGATCGCCTGCATAAAGTATGCAACGTAGCTTAGCACCTCAATGAACAAGATCGAGCCGTCCTCAAACACACTTGGTAAAAGCGTAAGGGCGTGTTTGAAGTACTGGAATCCTGGAGGTCCCTCGTGGCCAACCCATTGGTTGATTGAGTACATCTGACCAAAGGCAAAGACGAGAAGTATTTGGCAATAGATCAGGCATTCCTCTCCATTATTAGAGTCCGGACTTCGCGAATACACACGTTCAAGGCGTTGATAGAAAGCAGTGTCACTGAGGAACGAGAAGATTGTGCCAATGTAGGCATGCTGGGCACGATACAAGCGTTTGGCAAGTTCAAATGGTGGAAGTGGCGGGAATTCAGGTCTGATGGAGCGGCTGAGCCACGCAGTGTCCTCGTAGTGGGGATACATGTGCCAATCTAAGTTCTCAGTCGTCGGATTCAGCCGATTGGCAATATATGTCGATGATGAATTGCCCATGAAATCTGCACCATCTCAGCTAGGTCGGTTCCCAGGAGGCTTATGGCGACATACAGTATTGCCCTGAGTTGCTGAGAACCCAGTTGTCGGTGCTCGCGAACCCCAACTCAATATCCTGGTTGGATATTTCCATCTGATCCGAATCACCATCGCGGCCATGTCGAGCGTTAATGGCTCTGTGAGCTTGATTCTGAAGGTCAATCAAATAGCTCTCCGGGACAGTGACTCGTTTCTCAGACTCCGCGTAGACGCATATATGCCCGGCATCTCTACATCCTTTACAGGGATAAGGAGGTTCTCCAGCACACTTCGTGCGCCTTTTCCGGCATCGGTTGCATGCTTTGGCCGAACGCCTGAGGGCGTCTGAGGATGCCTGATGCTCCCGTGGGATGGGTCTAGACACTCGCATCTCGAACAGTTGATCCAGAGTATGTAGTGGCCTAGATGACAGGTCAGGTTTCATCGGACCGATATGCCCACGTCGATGTAGATGGTGGTTGCGACAATCCGAAGCTAAGCCGTGTATCGGGGCTGTTCAATTATCCCCGCAGAGACCCAATCACAAGTCCAGGGGACCCACACCGACACATTTAATACTATTCGATTGGTCAAGCGCCGATATAGGAGATGTGCGACAATTACTCCAATACCAGAGGGCTTCGGATGCACCGTCTCTAGGTAGGTATGACAGACACTCCAGGATACTACCTCGGCAGAATCATCATCGGATTCAACCTCCTCTACGTTCCCTATCCTGTTATTCCTCCGCTATGTACTCCGAACCGCAACTCAGACACCGGTAACACAAGGATTCCCATACCCGATGCCGCCATCGTCGGAATTGAGGACCCGATCCGTTCTTCGCCATTCCATCATCTCCATGCTGTAGCCGACCCGCGTCTGTAGGACAATAGGAATAAGGGGGGCGGGGATGAGGACACCGAGACGGATCCTGTACTGTTCTCAGCTCAATTGGCCAGCTCTAAAATTCTAAATGTTGTTCGGAATAGCCTCGTATAAGTTAAGTTGCTCTTCAAACAACTCCCATTCCTCTCAGAACCACGCCTGTCCCTCACGATGCCAGCAGCTTTCCTCTTTTTCATAGGTAGCCTCCTCTTGGTCGTGCGACTACTGAGATGCTACTTTTGGCTATCGAATATACCCGGGCCGTTCTGGGCCAAGTTCACAGATCTTTGGCGGTTCCGCTCTCAGAACACCAGAGGACACACTGCCAGACTTATCGCACTGCACATGAAATACGGAAAGCTCGTGCGCTTGGGACCCAACCATGTCAGCATCAGCGACCCGGCCGCCATTCCCATCGTTTACAGTACCAACCCGACGTGGAAGAAAGGTCCGTCCTACTATGGGGCTGTTCCCGTCAGCAAGAAGCGGGCGGTGCCCAGTATCATTGCCATGAGCGAGTCACAGCACACGGCGGTCCGCAAATCGGTCGGCCGGGCCTTCACAACAAACTCGCTGCTGGACTACGAGGATTCGATAGAAGCTACCGGCAAGGAGTTGATCGATTCCCTCGCTAAGAACTCGGAGACCGACGTCGGCCAGTGGCTTCAGTTCTTTGCCATGGATATGTTGATTCGCATCGCCTTTACGGACACGTTGGGATTACTGGCCAAGGGTGCCGATATTGACGGGACACTTGCAGCTGTAATGGCGCGATTCGACCATTGGGGCCAATGGGGTGCAATGCCTGATACCGACTTCTTCCTCAACAAGAGCTGGCTCGCAACACGCCTACGAGGAGTTGGTAACAGTCCCCTTGCCCGGGTTTCAATGACCAAGCTGGAAGCGAGGAGGGAGGATGCAAATAAGCAAAAGTATAAAGATCTTTGCTCGAAATTCCTCAAAGGCCAGGCGAAATATCCCGATCTCGTGCGACAGGATGAGCTCCTAGGCATCATCATGTCTACCATTGGTGCCGGTGCTGACACCACGGCCGGTACTCTGACATATACTCTTTACTTCCTCTCAAAGTACCCAGCTACAAGGACGAAGCTTTTGCAAGAGATCGAAGAACACCTTCGTACCGGTAAACTGTCCCACCCGCCGAAATGGACGGAAGTTAGCAATATGCCTTACCTGGATGCGGTGCTGAAGGAGTCGATGCGACTTCTTCCGGTCGCATCCTGGGGCCTTGACCGGGTCGTGCCCCCAGCAGGCGCAATGATTGCGGGCAAGCTTATTCCCGGGGGTACAGTCGTTGGATGTCAGATCGATGCCGTCCACCTGGATGAAGGCGTCTACGGCAAGGATTCAACTTTGTACAGACCGGAGAGATGGCTTGAAGCAACCGAAGACCAGCGCCGGCAAATGGACCGCTCGTTTCTGGCATTCAGTGCGGGCAAGAGGGTGTGCACGGGCGTTCATATTGCGTGGCTGGAGATGAAGAAGACACTTCCATTGTTGTTGATGAATTTTGATGTGAGTATATCTTCACTCTAAAATCATATTGCGGAAGAGGTATCAGATGAACTGATACACCTGACTAGCTGGACCTTGTCGATCCTAACCAGGACCCGAGAGATGGTATCAGAATCAGCGCAGTGAAATATCCACCCTCGATTCTGATGAAGATTACACGGAGAGATCTGGTTCCCTGTTAAGGTATACGTGTCCTATGTAGGGCTGATGGTAAATGAGTCAATTTCACCTGCCTAACAACCGAGATAGTCAAGTGCTAGGTATGTATTCAACAGAGCTTCCGTGAATATCACAGTGGTGTTGGTTGCCATTGAGCAGCTTTTTTCCAGTCGATAGCCCATCTTCCAAATTACACAAATTACTGTCGCCAGCATGAGCTTGAATTTATATTCTCTATGACCTCTTCACTATCTCACGTACACGTATAACTTCCCTCCGCTTAAGCTCTTCCTCTCCTCAAGTATATTATTGTCAATGTATGAGATTTTCATGCTACAAGGTAGCTTCTATCCCCAATAATACAGAGATATGTGCTGGAGATTACTCAACAGCTTCAATGTGCCCTACATTAGTCAGGCTACACCGACCGACGACTTGCCTCCATCTGTAACCTGATCTTTGCCGTCGGGACCCACAACCCTATCTTATCGTAAAAACCCGATCTATGCATTTAATTACCGAGGTCGACCAATCGATTATTCCATACTGCCGTATCGAGAGATGGAAAGCTGCTCCGTGTACACCTAGAAAATTTTGGTTTCCCAATTACGTCCTGTATGACAGTGGTTCCTGTCACTGGCGTGAATATAAGACTCCGGCGGGCGGGCTTCCATGGTGCTGATACTTTTGTCACTAAATCAACCTGAGCCTCACCTTGGTTTGTCTAATCCACGCGGGCGTCTAGTTTTTGGAGTCAATACGGTTATTCAAGCTTGGATGCTTTGAAAAAAAATGTCTTTGCTTAGCAAGAAGGAAGTCCGCTCGGAGAAGGTTCCTCAAAATCAACTCTTTTCCCAGGCCCTTGTGGTTGGTGGCTTGGTGTACGTTTCAGGCAAGACGGGAGTGGACCCGGCTACAGGAAAGTTCGTCGAGGGTACCGTGGAAGACCGTGCAGCAAGTTTTTACACGATCAACTAGCCAAGCTGCTTGCTAACTGATTGTTAGACTCAGATCCTGAAGAACGTCTCAAGCGTGCTAGAGGCCACCGGAAGCCACATTGACAAGGCGGTGATTAAATGAAGGAAATAATTTGACGCTATACGTGCTAACTTGCTATTCTATAGGTGAAGGTGAACATTTTCCTAACCAGTATGAGTGACTGTGATCTCATGAATGAGGCATATGTTAAGTTTTTCAACAAGGACCCCAAGCCTGCAAGTTTTCTAAATCATGAGATGCTTTTAGGCTCTAATTAGATTTAGGTTCGCACATGTGTAGCGGTGAAGGAGTTACCCCGAGAAACAGACGTTGAGATGGAGATCATGGCAATATTGTAAATTCAAAGCCCTAGTTGCCTAGAAAAAAGTTGGAGGTCCGAGGCATTCTTGTCTCAGGAACTAGTAGATGTCTTTGTCTTTTTCTTTCTTTTCAAATCCTTATCCATGTCGCAAGTTGAAAATATGTTGGTGAGTTATGAGTTATTTATTCGGTGAAACGCAGTAGAACACACGCCAGTCTTTTTTTGGCTGGATCTATGAAGATCAAATGCATGGGTTGTTCACGAGCCTTTCCTTGGCCGGGCGAATTTGGTGAGGAGCTGAATTTGGCTGCAGATGAGGCCATCTTTGGTGTCAACTCACATTCTACGTGTAAATTGACAGGAAACTCCTCGCTTCTCTTCTGAGCCTGTTCATTCTAAGGCTAAGTCAAGGTGTCGGGGTCTCTCTACCTGACGAACAGCTCGCGAGAAGATAGGGATAGCGATCCCGATCAGTATCGGAATCCACTATCCTGCGTTCCAAGTTTCTACCCCTCATGGGATTCCCTGGATTCTGCTCGTGTAGCTTTGCTGGTCCTTGGAGAATGGATGAGCAAGTTATGGATGACTCCAGCACTCCATGAAAAATATCATCTCAAAATACTGCGAATTGTACCAACAATAACAAGATGAAAAGCGGAGCGTGCTTTGCTTTCGAGATATTGAAATAAATTGAAATCTAGATGACAGCCCTTTCTGCGTCACACAACCTTTATATCGGTATACGGGGCCGACACCACACAATCTCGGATCTCCACACCAGGCGCCTATACGGAATAGTCAAGTCTAGCCGACCTTCTGTGGAGTGCCTTCCCTAGTCTCTTCTCAAATGTAAGGTTTTGAAGTTTCCCCCGGGGGTATACACTGGATAAGCGGCCAATCTCAATCCTTGACCCCACAAGATGTAAGCTGGGGTAGGTTCATACTGTGATGCTGATTCGATCAATGGCAGTCATGTTTTTAGAGTTCCCTTCGCCAACCTGGAGAGAATTCGAGCTCCACAAGCCTTATAAGAATGAACAAGATGCGCTGACAAAGTTGATATTTCGCGCAGCAATTTTGATCCGTTTGCAACCAGTTGACCTCTCATTCTCTTTTTGTCGAGCAGTTAGGTATGGAGCCTAGCATCGAGCAGTATAGGCGAGACGACAGAACATTCTGGGCTCCGGGAACAGTGGAGTTGAAAGACGGTAAGATGCATACCTCATGTGTCCTACAGTCTTCTACACAGACTCACTATACCAGTTCATCAAGCAGAAGACCAGATAGTTCTCTTCCCAATGCCTACTGTCGATCCAGATGACCCTCTCAACTGGTCTACATCCCGCAAAGCAATCAATTTCACACTTGTCAGCTTCTTCGTTTTATGGACTTTTGTTCAACTCGATATCGCCTTTACCGCATGGGGACCTATGCAGACGGAGCTTAATTTCTCGATTAGCCACCTAAATGGCGGCTCAGCATTAACCTATGGCGGATTAGCCATTGGATGCTTTTTCTTCGTCCCACTTGTGCACAAATATGGACGCCGTCCACTCTATCTATTCAGTATCAGTCTCCAGTTTATCGCCTGCCTCTGGCAGGCTAGGATCCATACCGTCAGTGATTTATTTGGAAGCGGTTTCATCTCAGGCCTAGGAGGCGCTACTAGCGAGGTTATTGTGCAGGTCACTATTGCGGACATGTTTTTTGTGCACCAACACGCCACCATGAATGGGTGGTTTCAAATATTTCAGTGTACAGGTGCATTCCTCGGACCTGTGGCGGCCGGGTATATTGTCGACTCGGAGGGATGGAGATGGATCTGGTGGTGGTGTGCCATCTTTTTCGGGGTGACATTACTCTGTGTTGTCTTCTTATTTGAGGAATCGAAATATGTTCCCGTCCATAACAGCCAAGGCACTACATCATCATCCTGTCCCGAATTGACAGATGCAGCTACCGACACCAAGAATAAAATGCAGGAAGAGAACAAAGGTGACAGCGATACGGCGATAACTCGGGTCACGACTAGTCCCCAATCCGCGAGCAAAACATACTGTCAGAGAATGTCCCTAATCACCAAGACGGATGAGCCTATCTGGCATCACTTCGTCCAGCCAATTGTGGTTCTTTTTTCCTTTCCTGCAGTTACCTATTGTGCTCTCACATACGGCACCACCCTGGCGTGGTTCGCCATCATGACCTCCATCCAGGCAACATATTTACTCGAACCTCCGTACAATTTCAATGCTATCGGCATTGGATTGATGAACATCGCGCCTTTTGCAGGTGCAGTGATCGGCTTCCCCTTCGGCGGCTATCTTAGCGACAAGTCGATCATGTGGCTGGCAAACCGAAATAACGGTATCTATGAACCAGAAATGCGCATATGGCTCGCTCTTCCGCTCGCCATCATCAGTCCAGGTGGAATCTTGATGTTTGGTCTTGGTCTTGCTCATGTATGATTTCCTCTACTACATGTTGACCCATGTTGACCAGCCTATTTAATTATATTGTTAGGGCGCGCCTTGGATCCTCCTTGCGATGGGTTTCAGCTGCTTTGGATTTTCATTCGCCTCAGTCGGCGCTATTTCTCTCTCGTACGCCATGGACTGTTATCAGGATGTATGCGGTCACTTCCATAATATTAAAAGCCCACAATCCACTAATCTATTACGATGTAGATCATTGGTGATGCGCTTGTCGGCGTGGTCTTTACCCGGAATATCTTCTCTCTCATTATTCTTTTCGTCATCACACCGTGGGTCCAAAAGATGGGCATGCAGAACCTCCATATACTTGTTGCAGTTCTCGCATTCGTCATTATGATGTTTCCGATTCCATTGCTTATCTGGGGAAAAAAGGCCAGATTTGCTACTGCTTCTAGGTATAGGAAGATGGCGCAGAATCAGCTAACCCACCGGACTATTTGACCAATTCAGACAAGACGATGATCTCAGATATCGAGGACAACTACCTGCTTTGAATGGGCTCAGCCATATAGGGGGAGAGGAGGGGAATTAGTCAGGGCGGTTAGCTGAGTGTGGTTAAAACAAGGTTGATTTAACAGATTGTGCAAGATAGCTGGTCAACAGATTTTATAGCATGATAAGTTCATCATATAAATCAATCATTTCCATTGACACAGAAGGGCTAAATATGAGGAAGCCTTCAAGACTCTCATTAACTCCAACCTCTTTTCAATGTCTCCAAACTTGAAACATGACTACAGCGAGGTCTTATGCTTAACTCTCATTTATGTAATGCTCGGGTGTGTAGCCATTCGCATGTGGATTACGTTGCACTGCATCCATCTGACTGCGCTCATTTCTCTGTAGTATCGTCCTGCCTATGTCTTCGAGAGCGCCACTATAAAGGGCTAAATCAAGACTTGATCCAATCTAGCTAGGCCACAAACTGTTGATCAAAAACTTGAAGAAAATATAAACAAGACTGTGCAGTGTCCCAAAGAAAGCTCGTGTGTGGGCAAGTGATGAGCCCAGTTTCATCCAAGTAACAATAATAAGAGGGCAAAAGAAAATAAATTTAATTATAGATCCGGGGTGGCGACTGGGCGGTGATTAGAGGCGGTCTTGGCTATGCTGAGATAGTGTATATGTATCTAAACCCAAATCCCAAATCGCCGGTAGTAGGCGCCATTTGCAACCCCATATAAATTGGAAACACATGTTTAATCTAACAATTAGGTTTAAAACGTTAAGTTATTTACAGTAGTACTAGTATACCTCGCGGTAAGGCCTAAGAATAGATCGATATACACTATCTAGAGATATTGGCTATAGAAATCCACTGTGAGCGCAATTATCAAAAATGTCTCGCTCTATTTAGCGGCTGCTTATTAGAAATTGGTTCTGACTCTAGAAAATTCTCTTCCATGTTCCAAACTGTCGTCGGTGGGATATTTCAACACCAACATTCAACAAACGCGAAGGTTATGGTGGGCATCTACAACCGGATGCTACTTGCACCGCCTTCACTCATCATCCCCCAGGAACACCCGAATCGGCATCCAGCCGTCTCCAACAACCTTGGCCCGGGTGGTGATATCGTTCAAGCTTTGGAATTCCTGTTCTGTCAAACCCCAACCATCCAGTTCAAAGTTCGAATCAATTCGACTGAGCGTCACACTTTTGGGGATCGTGCTAGTCCCCCGTTGGAGTCCCCACATCAATCTGTCCTTGTTAGATTGTTATTTCTTTCTTCTTGTATCAAGAATTGACTCACAGAATTTGAGCTGCGGTTTTTCCTTTGTTTTCTGCAAGTTTGAGCACCACCGGATCTTGAATCAAGTCAAGTGAAGAGTTAATGGCGGATGTAGTGTGGCCGCCTAGGCAGGAGTATGCGGTGCAATGTATTCCCTTGGAATTGCAGTATTCAACTAGTTTGTGCCTGCTCAATTTTTGATTAATACTTGTTCTATTCAATAATCGAGGAATTGAACGGCGACTTACGAGGGATTGTGGGGATGAAGCTAAAGCAAGAAAAATGTCAGTAATAGTTGACATTCCTTGGGAAATCACTGTAATACCTCGATCTGGTTGATAGCCGGGACCACTTCACAAGAAGGATGATTGAGGAGTTTCTCCAGGTGAGTGATCTGGAAGTTCGAGACACCAATGTTCTTAACTTTTCTAGTATGCAGTAGCTTCTGCATCTCTTGCCTGTATTTCCATTAGCACGTTGATAGGAAATACTAGCGACTTCACGATTTATTACCAGGTCCTGATAAAATCCCAATCAGCCAGATGCTTAGATCGATCATCTGGATCCGTCGAGCATGGAAAATGAATCAAGAACAGATCAACGTAATCAAGCCCTAGATCATTCAACGACGATTCAAGCCCGTCCCGTACACGGTGATGCCAATGGTTGTCAAGCTTAGTCGTGACCCAGATTTGATCTCGCGGTACTCCCGACGCGTGTATTCCTTCGCCGACTTCTTTCTCGTTGCTATAATTCAGCGCCGTGTCGATGTGACGGTAACCGTGTTGTAGGGCATGCTTCACAGCTTCCCTAGTATCGTTCTCTTTTGACTGCCATGTCCCAAGTCCGATGGCTGGGATAGCATTTCCGTTGTTCAGTGGGAATTTGTGGGTAGTGAAATTAGGGTTTGCCATTGTTAGAAGTGTTTTGGTAGATGAGAGAGTTGTGTTGTTTTGTACCACACGTTAACGAGAAATATATTCACGAAAACCACATGACTGATTAGGGTTTTGTCAAGCCCCTGTCCGGTATTCTCTGTGATCTTTGGTTGGCCGATCTCATTTTCTGATTTTATTGTCAAGCTTATCTGAGCAGCAGGAATTCATACTGCAATTTCCTTCGAAGCTATGCCCTCGGTGGGGAATCCCGGAGTTAGGCTAGGATATGGGGTTGATCGGCCAACTGCGATCGGAGGGGAGAATGCAGATCCCGAGCGATAACACGAGAAAGTGAGGGGGCGCACCAATAGCCTCCGCATAGGGGGTTTAGCAAGGTTGTGTGATGATAAGCGGAAAATATGTAAACGCCGACACTGCAGTTATCAGGATCTTGTGTTCCGCAACTCTCGAGACCCGCAACACCACCCCGTGCAGGAGCGAAACAAGATGGGCTGGTCATGGCCGCAGATCAAGCAGAAGCTTCAATGGTGAGTGTCCGCCCATACAGTTAATGAATGGATCGGTGTCTCTGACCATGTTACGCTACACTTAGCCCAAAGGACGAAAATGCATATTATGAAAACACCACATGGTGCAACCGCGACCTGATTCCAATTCCACCGGACCGACGCACGTATGGAGTTTGGTCTTATTTCGGTAAGAAGACAATACCAGTGGATCGTTCAAGTGACCAAATTAACAGCTTGTCTAGGGTACTGGACTGTCTCCGGGTCTTGTATCTCGGCTTGGTCGACGGGTAGCACGTTGCTGGCCCTTGGGCTAAGCCCGCAGCAGGCCATCGGTGTTGTGGTGAGTGGTTATTGTGCTTCTACCATGGAATAGGCTAATAGAATATTTTCAATTAGATTATTGGCGGTGTACTAGCTGGCCTTCTAGCGGTCGCGTGTGGGTGGATGGGAGAGAACCATCATATAGGATTCACTGTCTCGAGTCGGTTTTCGTGGGGGATGCGAGGGTCCTACTGTAAGTCATCGACAACCGACCACTTTCCCAAATCCAATATTCTATGCTGACGTTCTTCTCAAAACAGTTCCTGTTATCCTACGATGCTTCGTATCTTGTATGTGGTTTGGCATGCAGGCATTTTGGGGTGGTCAAGCAACGAGAGTCATGATCGGTGCTATCATTCCTGGTGGGTGACCCTGAACAAGTCTAAGTGTGTTCTCAGCTAACACCGACAGGATTCGCTCACATGCATAACTACTTTGACCCTGGATCTCATCTGCAGACGAAGGACTTTATCGGTCTAGTGATCTGGATGTGCGCTTTTATACCGGGTCTTCTCATTCGCCCGGAGAAGCTGCAGATACCATTTGTGGTTTGCTTTACCTGTTTCTGTGGAGCATGCTTCGGTATTCTGATTTGGTTCGTGCCTTGCTAATACCCCGTTATCGAATACTAAAGCGGTTGCTAGGGCTGTGTCAAATGCCCACGGCGCAGGCAGCCTGTTCCATGAACCAGCTAAAGCCCCCAATGTTGGCTGGTCCTTTATGTTTGGCATCACCGCTATCCTGGGCTCTTGGGGATCTGGAACCTTGGGTCAATCGGACTGGACTCGTTATGCTAATCGAAGATTTGCCCCTACGCTATCTCAGCTAGTTGCATCTCCCTTGACTATTGCGGCCACAGCAATTATTGGGATTGTTGTCACCAGCGCTTCGCATGATGTGATGGGTGGCGAACTTCAATGGAACCCAATTTATTTGCTCGCAGACATCCAAGACTATTATGGCTCTAGCTCTGGAGTCCGCGCGGGCGTCTTCTTTGCTAGCCTTGGCATGATTTGCTCCCAGTTTGCGGTATGTTAGGTCCCAGAGACGCCAGGTCCTCAATCTGACCAGCAGATTTAGATCTCAGTTGTTCTAAACTCAGTTTCGTGTGGTATGGACATGGCCGGTCTTTGGCCGAGATATATTAATATCAGGCGGGGGGCGTATATCATGTGCTGCATTGGAATTGCAACCCAGTGAGTCTTTTCTTTTTCCAAGCATAACTGAGTATATGCTAATCATCTACAGACCATGGCAGTTAATATCGACCGCAGACAAGTTCCTGTCTGTCTTAAGTGGATTTGGTGTCTTCATGGCACCTGCAACGTGAGTCTATCTTGGCATACCTTCCACACAAAGTCTGATATCAACAAAATAGCGGGATCATGCTTGCCGACTACCATCTCATCCGGCGGTACAAACTTCGGCTTAGTGACTTGTACACAGGCGACAAATCCTCCATCTATTGGTTCCTCAATGGAGTCAACCCACGGGCATTCGTATCATTCTTAGCAGGAATGTGGCCACTTCTTCGTACGTGAAACCACTTTTGGATACCAGGTCTCAGGCTAATCGTTGATATAGCTGGTATGGTCGCAACTGTTGACTCAAATTCCACGAGCCAGTGGGTCGGCTGGGTGCGGCTCTACAATCTCACCTTCCTTGTCGGTCTTGCCATGAGCTTTTCGGTCTTCTGGGCACTAAATAAGATATTCCCTCCTGGTAGTCTGGGCCAAGAGTCTCCGTTTGTTGACGAAGAAGTTCTTTTTTATGGAGGCTCGAAGGCGAGCCCTGAGACATCCTCGCATACTGAGAAACAGGAGACAGTAACTACTGTTGTGTAACGTGGATTAGTACTGAAATTTAAACAGAGCATTTTTATTTCAGTACATTGCTTGACCTCAAAAGATTTTTGCATATCCTTCCGGGGAGCCATGATTTAGTGATTGATGGATTTGACTATACAACATCGTCTAGTGAAAAAGGCTCCTCACAGACATACAATCTCTTATCATTCAGATCATCAGTAAGTCGCATTCATCCGCATCGTAATATAGTCTCGGCTTGTGATAGGTTCATATTTCTTGGGCCGATCCGGCCCAAAGCAACCAGGGATGCAATCAATAACACTTTCTCTGTCCGGACTGATGAAATAGGGTATAGAGTACCTCGGACGAGTCATGCGGCCTTCGGAGCTATCAGAATCCACAAGCGGAGGTGCCCGAACACGGTGCAAAGTAGACTTAAGCTCATCGTTGCTCCAGCGCATCAGAAGGTCTCCAATATTGACGACAGCCGAGCCTGGAATAAAAGGCGCCTGGTTGAATTTGCCTTTCTCGTGGATATCTTCGACCTCCAAACCGCCAACCTCATCCTGGAAGAGGATGGTCATTGTGCCGAAATCAGAGTGTGCGGCAATTCTCTCAGCTTTGCCCAATCTCAAAAGTTCTTCTTCTACCGCAGGATAATGCAGCAATCGGCACTGGTTTGTTTTGTTCTTATGATAGTCGAGAAAGAAGTTCTCCTCAATGCCCATTCCCACGGCAATGAGTTTTAGCATCAATTGCTCAATTCCGTAGCATGTTTCGAAGAACTTCGTGAAGAATGCTCGGAATCCAGGTAACACTTCTTCCGGGACCCAAATATTGGGCATGCGCTTGTCCGTTTCGTTTCCTAGTTCGAATGATTCTTTGACATCGGGAACTTTGCGTTGCTCGGCAATTTCTTTGTTATCAAAAACCATCTGCGAGACTTTCTCTCTGCCGATGCCCGAATATCCACGATGATACCAGCCTTCAGCAGGATGCGGTGCCTTGTCTTTGTCACTTTGGGAAAGTGCAAAGAACCTTTGGCTCTGATTCCGTACACGACGTCAGCTTCGGTGATCATTGCGTGCTTAAACAAGCCAAGCTCATACCCACTGAAAGGCTTCGTCTACCAATTCCTGTGGAACGCCATGATTTTTAATATAGGCAAAGCCTTCATTCTTAAAGGCCAGGTAGACTTTCTTCGCGACTTGCGCAACTTCGTCGGCATTCCCTTTACGCGCTGGCTCCAAGTCGATAATGGGGATGCTCAAGGTATCAATGGTGGGGGCAACCATTTTGGAACAAATGGACATGAGGTGTGTCTGTCGGAGGGGACGATCGGATTGCAAGCGGAGCTTTTATGTCGCAAGTACAGTTGAGCTAACCTAGACGGCGTCGACCTATCTCGTCGAGGCCAGCACAATTCAGACACGGAAGCGTGTCATTGGAGGACGAACGAGGCTATTTCCTCGACCTTCTTAAACAGGATAAGCTTGGTGCCATCGGAGAGTTGCCGACGCCTTTTATCAAATTTGCCTATCGCGATCGGCTAACTTCGTCGGCTGACCGATTCCCCCACATATGATTTTGCCAAGGATACTGTTACCATACAGCATTCTGGCGCTCGCAGAACACATATTTATTCTACTTTGTATTGGTCATACTCGTTCCCTAAATAGCATCGCGAGAGTTGCAAATAGCAATCACGAGGCACTAGACTGAGTCCTTAGCTCCATCCCCGTCCTCATAATCTGCGCAGCCTGCGTAAAGAACGAGTCCATTCGCAAGGCAACAGGACGAAGCAGTCCAAGGGAAGCATCATCGTTAGCCCACTCTCTCAGTCGCTGAAGCGATTCATGAAAACTTTCTAGAAGCCGAAAAGCAGAACGGACTTGTTCCGGACTAGGAGCCAACAAAAAGAGATAAATCAAAAAGTTTCCACATAGTGTAAGCTGAGATCGCGCATCTAGGAATAGTAAGTTTAGTATATGAAGCTGAAAGAGTTGTGAAATACTCACGCCCACCCCAAAAGGCATGAAGACATGGTAGCGTAATTTCATGCATGAAGACTGTGAACTCTCCAAATTGAGTCACAGCTTGGTCGAAGTGGCGGCCAAGAGGAGAGTTTGGATCCGATTTAGCTGCCATTTTGGCAGGGCTCATCAGAGCGCGGAAGAGCAGACCTTGAACGGCGAAGAATGCCAGACATAATGGAGCTGGGATAATTGATTAGACCGTGCCATACTCATATGCACAAACTGTACCTACCATTATTCCGAAAAGCAGGGCCATCTAGACAGTATCCCATCGTCACACAATGAGGTCTCATGCATGAATATGTCTCGAGTTGAGATTTGATTTGGAGCAGCTTGGTTTCTCTATCAAGACGATTCGTAACACCTTTCTCGTAACCAAGATCAGAACTGCTGGTGGTTAGCCATTTAGATGCCTGTTCAAAAGCGATTGGGATACAAGCTCACTGATAAAGATCGATAAGTTCATGCAGAATTTGGCTCAGCTTTACCATCTGGAGAAAGCGAGCACACGTGGATATTTCGACGGTCCTGCTAGACGCATCTACCAAATTATGAAACTGCTCAGGAACATCTTCGTCAAATGCCAAATCCTCCATGTCTAACAATGAAGTGGTGAACGAGTTGGGATAGATATGTGGAGGATTCCCATGGCATACTGAAGACCAGAGGTCAGCCATGTAGGTGGCCCACCACAATTTATTCCTCAATTTAATCTCCCAGGGGGCGATTTGCCATAGTTTCGGATCTTGGTGTAGCCCTATCATCTGAGCACAAGCAACGATGTGGGCAGAAAATACCCATGTGCGTGGTGTTTCTATCGTCGCATTATCAGCTGGTCTCTCGTATAGTAGTAGGAGACACGCCTGTAACTTCCACAAATTAGGTGCATGGAACTCTCTTTGCAACGATGAATGAGCTTCTTCAAAGAGATCGTGCAAATCGAATGGTAGGTTTCTTTGTAGGTCGGGATCATCATGCCAAAACATTGCTCCAAGCCCATACACAGCGCCACGCAGCGATGCCGGGATCCTGAGCTTATCTGTTGCGAATTCCTGCAGAAAACGGAGTTTCGAAATCACACAGTACACAGGATGGACATGTTTAAAGAAGAGCCGTACCAACGCGGATGCATGTGGCGACACCATAGACTCGATTGTTTCAGATGCTCGCGCTTTGGCAACGTTGTCTGAGGGCTGAAACTCATCATGTAGGATATTAAAGTGAATGGGGGGCATATTTTTGACTGGGTCGCCGGGATATACTTGGAACACATCTGCACTGACCCCATCTTGCTCGTTGATAATCACGGATCGAAATGATGCTAGGAGGTCGGTATCTTGCTCGCCAGACAGGCCCATATAATGGGCCGTGCGGTTCTCGTTGTCCTCGAGGGTATGAATTTGGGGGTTTGTCGTAACACTAACACCGGCAGGAGATTGAGTATAGGATGCTGGCTGTATTTCTGGGGGTGGTAAGGCCCCCGCAGTCCCTGGCGAGGCATTGGGAGGTCCCCCGGGAAATATATTAAATGAACCACTTTCACTATTTGATTCTAGTAATGAGTCGTCCTCATCACAGGCTGCTGGCGTGTCGGGCGTCACAGACTGGTCCTCTAAAGGCACTCGAGATAATCGAGATTGCCGCGTCCGCCTATCTTCGGTTGAGGTGCATTGTAAGCCTCTAGTCCGACAGAATCTGCCTTCATCACGGTCAGTTTGATGGACCCCAAATGAGCGTTTTCAACCCACAAGGAGGCTCTGTTTCAATGACACAGGCCGTCTTCCGCCTCCGACATGTATCGCACGGCCGGTTTTTGCGGCTCCTCCACTTGCGAGCCTCGCCGAAGCTCGACTTGATCTTGAAGGAACGCCTCCGCTGGCGATCCATATTCAGGCTATCTGTGGAGTATTTCTACCAACATCGATTAGGAATCCGATCACAATGAGGGGGTGGAGGTGAGGCGTGGTTGAATCTCCATGGACTTCCACTTCAGTTGCCCTGATTTGTTTACACACTCGACCTAGGATTCGGCTTTTTCTTGGTCGTGGACACTGTGGCTAAGCACTAAATTTCACGACCTTGGGTCATCAGTGCTGGCCTTGGATCTTCTCTCGCCTCCCCGGATGTGGCAGCCACTGGTAGCTTTTCTCCTGATAACTCCCAATGGGTCGGTGGCGCCCCGGGTTACTGACACGTGACTTCCAGTTTTGTTAGCGCGTATGTGTGGGTAACTAGTTAACTGGTTATTGAAGGGATCCAAGGCGGGTTCCAGCTCATCGTGTGTCCAGATTTCCATCACGGTCATATGAGGCTTTTCAATTAAGTTACTCCCACTATAAAAGTAGACGTATTATCTAATAATACTTATACTAGGCCAATTAGGAGCTTCACCTCTCTGATTCGTAGGTATACGATTTATAGGTAGAATAAAAATTAAAAAAACATACAACAGTCAGGATTCGCTGGTGGTCACCCACCCAACTACTAACTGACCGGCGTGTGGCTTAAGTACGGCTGAGCGGACGGGAAGCCCTGTTCTCCACACCCTGTGGTCGTATGTACTTGAAAACGAGCAAATTGTTGTTATATAGCCATCAACCAACCAAGAATTTTCCTTGGAGACGCAGACACATACACAAAGCAATTGTCGGTGAGTTGTATTGACTATGATCTCCCCGAAGGGAAATCCTATCTATCTACGGCAGTGGGCGCTGACACCTCAGGCACCCACCCACCTGATCATAAAGATAGGGAAAAACGGCGCTAAGAAGAACCCGAATGAACTTAGTACTAGAGTTGTGCCCTCTACCTCGCAGCCTCCACCCAAACTTGAAGTGTTTTCCATTAAACTTCCGCCAGGCTTTCGCATGCCGAATACGTCTCATCACGGCTGCATCCTCAAACTCGCAGTCTGCACCACAATCGAGTAGAAGGCCAATCACCTCGCCTCTTACTTTATTGCCAGCGGCCACGAACAGCGGGGAGCATTTCTGCATGTCTTCCTGGTTAACACTAGCACCAGCTTCGATGAGCCGCCGCACGAGCTCGGTGCTCACTTTGTCCGATGCGACGGCAAGATGTAATGGGGTTCGGCCCTTGTAGTCGACGGTATCTGATCTAGATCCGTTCTCTAAGAGCAAAGTCGCAATTTTCTCGAGCCTTGACATGATTGCATAGCTGAGCGGAGTATGTCCTCCGAGATTCTTGAGCTCTGTAGAGACGCCCCGCTTTATCTAGCTTCTGACTTGCCAACGTATCAAATCCGAGGCATACGGGCCTGCCTTGTGATAGGCTGCAACGCGAACTATTTCATGCAAGAGATTGTGTCCTACAAAATCAGGGAGATTTGGGTCAGCTCCATGATCGAGAAAAATTTCGACCATCTTCGAGCCTAATAAACAATATCCGTGGTGCATCCCCGAGGTGGCTAATTGAAGTACGGTATGCTTGGAGTTTCCAGAGCGTATCTTCAAATCTGCACCATATTGGAGAAGAATCTTCACCCACTCCAAATATCCTCTTATCGTGGCGAGATGGGGCGCAGTGTAGCCTTTGCACAAAGTGTATTTGGGTTCGCCCCCTCGTCGAGGAGGGCTCGAAGTCAATCTGTGTTTGGCTTGGGTAATCTGTTGATTTCTATCATACGTTCGGCGTGTGCTTTTGCTTTCTTTTTCACAATATATTCAGTAGCACTTTTCCAGGCTTCGGAAACTTCATCATTTGTTGGGGCACTGGATTCGAGTGTGTCAGTCAGAGATTTGGTTTTGTCGATCAAATTCCATAGCTCATAAGAAAAATAATTCTGTATCCGTATCAAAACAGTGTATTTGTCGGTTAACCATGCCCTATACAAACATACCATTTCTGGCCCAGAAGGTATAAAAGGGGAAGGCGTAGGACCTCTCCTAGATTCGGATGAGCTGTTCTTGTGGGAAGGTGGTGGAGGTAGAGGCCTGCCCACAGGATCTTCTGGGTCTAGTGCTGAGCGTGGATCTGGAATGGCATTGATGTCAATGATCCAGGTGGCAAGTAATTGCTTTGAGGCTTTGGGACGCTCTTCTGGTGAAGGCCGTAAAAGTCTTTGAATGAAGGCCCGACCACTAGGGCTGACACCTTTCTCATACAAAGGTTTCTCAGGAAAGGCTGCATCACTTTTAACATAGGCTTGAAGCGACAAAAACGTAGAGAAAGGTGTACGCTTGGTCAAGGCATAGTATAGCAAACACCCAAGCGACCAGATATCAACTGCATTTGTATAGCTTGAACTTTCTGTCGAGTCATCCAGAAGTCCAAAAACTTCCGGTGCCATATATCCCTCCGTTCCAATCCTTGTCCGCAGTTCGGTTTCGTCTTCCTGCGTAAGCTTACTGATTCCAAAATCTGCAAGCTTGATCCAGATCGGGGTCTTCTCCATAACAAGTACGTTCTTATCACTTGTCTTAGTAATGGCCTTTGCTCCATGTCTTGCAGCCAGCCATAGTCAACCACTTTCTGAGATTTTCTGAGATGAGTGTTCGCAATGTGGCAGTACTTTCACTGCTTATAGCAGCGTACGACATTGCTTCCCCTGCAGATATACAATGCGCAAAGTTGTGCAGCCGGCCACAGACCATCTGCAGCCCGCGCGGCTTCTTTTCGACCCTCTCGCTAGCTCTCTTCAGCCTTCAAATTCTCGCAAACGAAGGGCTACGCAACGAGCGGAAGAACGACCATAATGCCTTCTGATCATTACTTCCCGGCGAACCTAGAAGTAATAGAAAGATTTTAGAATGGTACATCTGATTTTACACTTCTTCGTACCACTTTTTTTTTAATTTACTTCTATTGAAACAGTCTGGCTACTGAAGCCTTGCATATTGAGCTTGCGAAGATTGACAGAATAATCTACTGACTTACTACCAAAAGACCACAAATACTATGCCAGTTCAAAATCCTGTGGATGCCCCCGTTCAGCCCCCCATCGCTGCATCCCTTCGGTCAGTGCACGACTAAACCCAGTATGATACCGCAATCCATCCTCCGGCCACGATGGTCGTCCAGCTCTCCATACGCACCAGTTCTCAGCCATAGCGCCTTCAGGCGCGCGCAGGATGCCCATTGCCACATCTACAATCTCCGGTCGCTCATTGCAATGATAAAAAACAGTTGCACCGCATGTGCCGCAGAATACCCGGAGTACATCTTTCGTAGAGCGATAGCCCTTCGCTGACCCGATCATCAAGTCCTTCGGCAGACGTGGTGTAATATGATCAAGTGATACAAACATCCAACTTATGACGTGCGTGCCATTAACTAATCGACAGTCGTCGCAGAGATCCATAGTTGCAAGCCACTTTCTCTTGTCCAAGGGTGAAATCCATCCTTTGCTTGCAGGGCTTGCGATGAACTCCTCGCTGGGTCGGGCGATGTTGAAAGAGACTCCACCACAATGACACTGCGCGAGGAGCTCTTTGCTTTCGGGATCAGGTGGTTGAGAATCGCTGCCAGCTATAGCCTGCGGAGAGAGACCTAGATTTTCGGTCTGTAATTGATGTCCGTCAATGACTGAAAAGACAGCTGCTAGTCCTCTGTCCGGCGCTGATTTCGGAAGCATATGGGCATTGAACTTCCAAATTCCTTCATCATCTCTATTGGCATCGAAGATTGCGGTAGAGACTGTCCATTGGCTACCAACTCCTGCAATCTGGCAACCACAAGTGCCGCAAAAGTAGGTCGTCTCTCTTGACGCTGGGTGTTGATAACTAGCCATTTTGTCGAGACCGGATGGCGCAATAAATTGAGGCTCCACGCCAGATGGTAGTGGAGCGTGAAAGGTGCATGGTGTGCCGTGGGTGTAGCGACAGAGGCTACAGTGGCACAAGTGTACTTTCAAGGGAAGACATTCTATTGGGATGGTGAGAGTAAAACGCACACTATTGCAGTGACACGAAGCTGTCAAAGTCTTGGTCGCAGTCATTTTGGCTTCACAAAATGAAGTTCGTAATGCTGCAGGAGGCGGGGGAGGGGCCTCATTCGCAGTGAAGATGGGTGCACGGGCCAGGATGCAAGGCTCGTATTCAGAGTCATCTGCGGATTAGCTAACTTTAGACAGCCATCATACCGAACGATCAGTGCGTCGGATTGAGTCTTCGGTAGATCGTTTATCTACAGTCGTCAGATGCCGTGCGCTTTAGAAATGCAACGTCGTATGTGATTACATTCTTAAAAAGCGTGATCTACAACTAAGCCAAATAGAGATTAGGGCGTTTCAGGTTAGGATAATTCGTCAGTAGAGGAATCTAATTTCGACTTCAACTGTATCATCTTCATACTCTTCTATCATTTGGGCTACCTGCCATATATCCTTTCAAAATGGCTTCTTGCATCACTGATTCCGCGTGGAAAGTCATTCCCATGTTTCACTCCCGCTCGATTTCCAGCACAATTCACTTCTACACCCAGAAGCTCGGTTTCAAGCTCGCCAGCGTGAAGCCTGAGGGCTGTGAAACCGAGCTGACTTTTTGCTCCATGTTCATTGGCAAAAAAGCAGACGCGAATTTTTACTTCTCCAGCGCAACAGCGGAAGCGTTTAAGCCATCGCAAGCCATGATCGCTCTTGGAACTTCCGAGCTGGACGAGTACTATGAACACGTGAAAGGATTTCCTGAGGTAGAAATCGCGGAGGACATTGAAGATACGCCATGGGGATTCAGGCAGTTTACAATCAAGGATAATGATGGGAATCTGTTGACATTTTTTAAGTTTCTGGAAGGAGGCAACCCGGGGGAAGAGTAAGATTGCAGCCACTCTTACAATCGGATAAGATAATCACCGAAGTTCAAATGTCCCAGAAAATTCTTGGAATGTTATCTGAAAGCTCTCCATTTTCTTAATGGGGAAAGCATTATTCAATTTATTATGGAAGCGCACAAACCGGTTTGTCCGGGCTAGAACCCCGCACTGCCCCGGGCATCGGTAGGATATGGAAGACGTACATGCGGATCCACAACCTTAAGTAACAAAGGATCTATTGGAGATTCGCTCGCAACATCCACGGTTCAAAACTCTCCCCAGACGTCATGTTCGATTTCTAAACAGATGACCAGCTAGATCCCCACAAATATTTAGCCTCCTCCACGCCCCGATCGGCACCCCTATGAGAGCGCAAATCATCTGTATGCTACTTTTATGATGGCGTCCACCAATCAATCCTTCAATGACTCAAATGATGTTCCAGCAATGGGAAATATGTCTCGACCGGAGGGGAGTCAATATTCAAATCACGACAATAAAGAGGAAAATTCTAGGTTGAACGACAAGAGAGAGCTAACGGAAGCTGCGGCATACGATAAACTGGGCTACAGCTTTCCCGTCTGGTACAAATGGATGATTCTCTGCGTGATGTTCTCTATTCAGATATCGATGAACCTGAATGCAAGTCTCTACGCCAACGGGGTTTCGGAAATAGCCAAACAACACAACGTCAGCCAACAAGTCGCAAGAATCCCACAACTGACCTTTCTTTGCGCTTATGCCTTCGGGTGCCTGATTTGGGCGCCATGGAGTGAGGAGCTGGGACGATGGCCAGTGCAGCAACTCAGTCTCTTCCTGGTTAACATATGGCAATTTCCTTGTGCATTTGCTCCCAATTTTGCAACCTATGTTGTGGTTCGCTTGCTTGGCGGATTAAGTACAGCCGGTGGCTCGGTGACACTGGGGGTTATTGCTGATTGTTGGGAGCCTGATGATCAGGAATATGCCGTTGCATTTCTTGTGCTGTCATCTGTGGGCGGCTCCGTCGTCGGTGCAGTCGTTGGGGGCTTTGTGGAAGCGCGTCAGCCGTTAAGGTGGATCTTTTGGGTTCAGCTCATCGCTGGCGGCGCTGTTCAGATCATACACTTTATCTTGGTACCAGAAACGCGAGCTACCATCATACTTGACAGAGAAGCAAAGAAGAGGCGAAAGGCTGGACCTGGGGAAGTCAACATTTGGGGTCCTCATGAACTTCACGGTTACTCACTGTCTGCGAAAGACATCTGGATTGTATGGAAGCGACCGTTCGTGATGCTGTTCACTGAGCCTATCGTGATGTGGCTTTCTCTTATGAGCGGTTTCAGCGACTCCTTGATTTTTACCTTTCTTCAAGGGTTTCAACCGATTTATAAGCAGTATGGTTTTGGGACAATTCAGATCAGCCTCGCCTTTATACCGTGAGTTCTCCTCCCATCTCTTTTGTGATAGCGACGTTATATTTGTTTCTTATTAGTGTGAATGCTGATTTCTCTTCTATAGGCTGCTTGTTGGATATTTTCTCGCTTACCTTTCTTTTCTGCCCTCTATTCATATGTTTAGGCAGAGACGGCGAAAACATGGCTCCGAATCTGTTTCCCCAGAAGCACGGTTGTGGTGGTTACTTTTTGGTAAGTTACACTTTCTAGCCTTTGTAGAGAGGTGCTTTTCTTAGTGTAGAGTTGCTAATCAAGGCGACAGTAATCCCATGTCTACCAATTGGTCTCTTTGGCTTTGCTTGGACAAGTCTTGGTCCATCACATGTTCCCTGGATTGCTCCTATGATTTTTACAGCAGTGATTGGCATTGCAAATGTGAGCTTCCCTTTTTAGAATTTTGAGAATCTTCTGATGTTTTACAGTATTCTATCTACCAATCTTCAATTGACTATACTGTCGCTGCTTATGGAGAGTATGCGGCGTCTGCTACAGCAGGTAACGACTTTACACGAGACTTTCTTGCTGGAATTGCAGCCATGTATTCCACTCCGATGTTCGAGAACATTGGCCATAAGTTCCCATATGAATATGCGTCAACAATCCTTGCTTGCGTCGCAGTACTTGTCACGGCACCGATCTACTTATTCTATCGCAATGGTCCCGCAATTCGTGAACGGTCGCCGTTTGCCAAACAAATGATGGAGGTCACAAGAAAGCGTCGGCTATCTCAAGCCGCTCATGACGAGAAGGCGGGACATCAAAATACCCACCTAGAGGACGTCCGTGCAGACGTCGAATCTGCCCATTGATGAAATGGCAGCAGCGCAATATACTTACTGCCTGCAGTGCTCCAAGGAGGCTAGATAGCGTAATTAGGAGGCTCTACGCGATAGCATGCAATTTTTTCAAATAACTAAACAATTAGCTTGCCTCAACAATATCAAATTCATAATCCCTACGCGACACAAGACTTGCTAATTTCCCTTTTGGAAGCCTACAGCTATTCAGAAAAAACTTCTATTGGTTTCATTTTATCGTGGTCCGGTTATAACTATCTCCAGATCGATTAAGTTACCAGTCTTTTCTTATTGAGTTGCTGGTCCTTGAACTTAACATTCATTCAAAATGAAATAATAAGATGCATTAAGAAGCGAGCCATTCTTTTATCCGTCAATCCCTAGAAATTAGATGGATAATTTGCATTGAATTAGCGGGATACTAGATTTTATCCCTAGAGGCCGAATATTTCCTTCGGTAGCTTGTAATAATGAGTCAAAAATCACATAATGGACCGATCATGACATCATCCTTTCACTAAATGCAGTGAATCCCCAATATAGCTAGTAATATTGATTTGATGGCTGCCATTCTCGTCTTTGGCGCGATGAAATGACGATATACCTTGTGCTTTGTTAGTGAAAGTATTCAATCACACTAACGCAACTGTGCTCAATGGGAAAATTGCAACGCAAGTTCCGGAGCCAAGCGTAAAACGACATATTACTCACAATGCGTGAATGATTCCAGGGATATCACCCAACAGCGTCAGAAAAAAGTTGATGCAGAAATCTGCCCCACATCCTCGCTTCAGTAACACCGCAAGTGGCGGTAGAAATATGGCCAGTATCACAAGGCAGACGTCCCTAGTGAAGGGTGGAAATCATGGTCAGGTATGACTGGGTTACACCATGGAAGTCGATTCACTCACGAAGCTGTAGCGGGCATAGTCGCTTGGCTAGTACTGTTAAAAGTGACCTTTCAATTACAGAATAACCGCAGGGGAATATGGCCTCCTATAATCAAACTCTTGAAATAAAAGACGCGGTCGATTCGCCTTATTGGAGATTACCCGTAGACTTGACAGATCATGACATCAGTAGACCAGCTTGGTAATCCGAAACAGGACGTAGATGGCAACGTAGATAGCTTATACTGTTGATTTTTAATCGCGTCAACGATGCGAATGTCGTGGGTTACGTTTTCCTCGGCCTCATATTCCTTCTTTGGTCGCGCATTCCCGTCCTTGCCTTATCTCGAAAACTACGAAGTACGGCCAGGAATTAGTTAAGTTACAACGCAATAAGCCAAATGCTTCTGCGGCGTACATTTGGCTGTAAAGAGATTCTCCGTTCCAATGACGTATTTGGCAATTGACTTAACTGAAATAAAGTGCTAAGAAATCGAAGGAAATAAGCCATCTAGAAAGAATATGGTTAGCATACATCCAAGCTGTTAAGAGTCGGGGTCTAAATTTTATGCTCACGGATAGGAGATTTACTGTATCGATTAAAAGGAATAGCAATGCATGAGATCTGAAGAAGACAGGCACAATAAATAAGAACAACAAAAATAGAGCAGACACAAAAACATACAACAGTCAGGATTCGCTGGTGGTCACCCACCCAACTACTAACTGACCGGCGTGTGGCTTAAGTACGGCTGAGCGGACGGGAAGCCCTGTTCTCCACACCCTGTGGTCGTATGTGCTTGAAAAGAAGCAAGAAGCAACTATAGCTTGTAAATTAGCGAATGCGATCGGAGAAAGGTGAGTGGGAAATAGATAGAATAATGACCAGGCTTCATAGCTCAGAAGATAGATGGAGGGAAAACCTGATCCTATTTCCAAAAACAAAAATTGTGTACAAACGACAAACACGCTTGCTACCTTATTGTGCGGAAATGTTGAAAGCAATAGCACCGGAATGATGGCGATGTTGTCGAAGATATATCTCTCGTTCACAAGCCGCCAAGGGAACCGATCAGTAATATTACACACGCTGAAAAAGTAAAAGGAAGATTTGAATCGGTTGTGTTGATTTGCAAAATTGTTTTCCTGCTATTTATTGACATTCAAATTGAGCCATCTCTATTTATGATGGAAAATTGATTTTCAACATAATTAATGCATGATAGTTATGTTTTTCGACAAAACTATTGGGATGCACCGATGCAAGGTCGACGGAGAACAAAAATACATTATAGAATTAAGACAGCTGGTACGTAAGTGGATGGCTATCAAAAGAAGAAAATCCAGCAGAGTTTAATGCATAAAATGTTGATGATAATCAGGTGTATCTCGTCAGCGTTTCCAGTACCAAAATGACAGGATTGGAAGCCAAAGATAGAACATCAAAGGCACTGCCAATAGATCATGAGCACTAGAACCTCCTGAAGTCCGTATGTCACTTCGTGGCCCTACTCTATATCGGTCTGCGGCATATTTATCCTGACCATATGTCGCGTTCAATGTGACTGGGGCTGAAATGGTTCCGTCCTCCAGCCGAATCCATGTTTTGACTTCATCTTTCATAGTCGTTTGATCCAGGAAAATTTGGCGCCCACCGCGGGTGACATCGCTGTATCCTCCATATCCAGTATGCCGACCGTAGCACATATTGATTCCATTTCCGGTTAGATTTTGATCGATGATCCGACCGTCCCATTTGAAGCACCTGTTGCAATCTTGTTAGCGAGCGAGTCAACGTCTAATTAATTGGCCCATACCAATCATTTTCGTGGTCATGACCACTGAAAGTGGCCATTAACCCAGGAGTATCAAGAAGAGCGTGCATGAACTGGCGGTCCTGTCCTGTATATGGGGTGTCCATTGATCCTTGAGACGCCACTTCTTCACCATTGATACCCGGAGTTGTGTGAGAATCAAAGCTTCTTTCTTGATACTGAAGCATGGAATGGGCGGGAATGTGGTAGAACGCAAGAGAAGGAATGACTTGTCCATATGCAGCCGTCAAATTGGCCTTTGCTTCTATGAACCATTCAACAACCTTAGCGCAAGATTGGTCAGTCAAGAATCTCTGGACAATTAAATGGGACGAGTCTTACATCTTCATCGATCCAGTCCCCCCTCGCGACCGAGCTACTCTCTGCTGCGCTTTTGGTTGCTTTTGTCGAATAATGCCCACCCCTTGAGTCAAAAAACCACAAGATAAGTGCCGGAGTACTCTCAGAAGCATCGTGTGGATAAACTGGCAAATAGTAATTTGTTATGCCAACCTTGGGTCCGGAAATCATGCTTTGGGTCAGACTATTCGGGTATCGTATCTCCTGTTCATAAATATCCGTCATCGGATCCAAAGAAACCTCACTGTCGTGATTGCCGTATGTCGATGCCCATACTTTTCCCATGCTGACCAAGGGGGCCACAATTTCATGAAGATATTTGCCGGAGTTCGAATCGTCTACGGCTTCCCCGGATATCAGATCCCCGTTGAGAACCACTAGCTGCGCTTCTTCCTCAGAAAGAACGTTGGTCATGACCACGGCCGTCTTGATATCGCGACCAACATCTAATAAATTGCATTTGGTTAGGATACACACGTAATGCTTGTCGTCATGGCGATGATGAGAAATACCTTCGGCGAAGTGCAAATCCTCAAAGACGGATATCTGGAAGGTGCCATTTTCCGTGAACCGTAGTGTCCGACTGTCGAGCTGTGTGTTGCGACCTGCGCTTAGAATAGCCTGCTTTTGACGCACTGTCGACATTTTGGTTCTTAGATCACTCCAAGCAGGAGCGTGGCACGCGCAGGAGAGTGGCACGCGCAGGAGAGAGATGCAAGGCCCTTTATGCTTTTGCCCACATTCTCCATTACGTCATCCATAATATTGCCCCCGCTTCAATCAGCCGGGAAGATAAGCCAGGTGAGATTCGGCGAAACCACGCGATCACCGCACTGACCGTTGGATGGATCAATCATTTTTACTTTATGCCGCCCCGCGCCGGAGTCCTGCGGGGTGGAGGTTATGCATACACTGTAACAATCAATACCTTCTACCCACTTATCTCTATGTTATACAGCATATTGAACGATATGCGGGGCCTGGCGTGTCTGCTAGTGCTGGCTGGTCTTGCATCTGCACAGCAGCAACAGCCACTATCGGCACCCCCCAAACCTAATGTTATCTTCATCTTGACCGATGACCAGGATGCCCATCTCGATTCTTTAGACTACATGCCCTTTGTACAGAAACATCTAATTGACAAAGGAACCCATTATCGCAGCCACTATTGCACAACCAGCGTTTGTTGTCCATCCCGAGTCACCCTCTGGACTGGGAAGTTGGCCCACAACACGAACGTGACCGATGTCAATCCTCCATACGGTGAGCCCTCCTACTCCTTCAATAGATGCGTGCTTGCTAAATATCTGCCAGGAGGCTATCCCAAATTTATCTCACAAGGCTTCAACGAGAACTATCTTCCGGTCTGGCTGCAGGAAGCGCAGTACAACACCTATTACACCGGAAAGTTGTTCAACGTGCATACGGTCGACAACTACAACACGCCATTTGCAGCTGGATTCACAGGATCTGACTTTCTCCTTGATCCGTTCACGTACGACTATCTCAACAGCACCTTTCAACGGGACCGTGAAATACCCCGGAGCTACGAGGGCGAGTACACCACCGATGTCCTAGCACAGAAGGCAAACCGTCTCCTTGACGAGGCTGTTGACGCTCAAAACCCCTTTTTCCTCACTATTGCTCCCATTGCGCCTCATAGCAACGTCTTTATGGACGGAACCGGGCTAGATGACAATCCGGTTTTCAGTTTCAGTGCGCCCATCTCTGCAAAGAGACATGAGCATCTGTTCAAGGACGTGCAAGTTCCCCGTACTCCCTCCTTTAATCCTGAACAGCCATCAGGAGCGAACTGGATCAAGACCTTAAAGCGCCAAAACGAGACGAACGTCGAGTACAACGATCACTTCTATCGCACTCGCCTACGTGCTCTCCAGGCCGTTGATGAGATGATCGACGGCATATTCGCCCGCTTGCAGCTACACAATATTCTTGATAATACATATGTTGTCTACAGCAGCGACAATGGCTACCACATCGGTCAACACAGACTCCAACCGGGCAAGTCATGCGGATACGAGGAGGACATAAACATACCCTTGATTGTTCGCGGCCCCGGTATTGCCGAAAATGCTACCACCGATATTGTGACGACGCATACCGATCTTGCTCCAACCTTCCTTCAGTTGCTAGGCATCCCTCTTCGACCCGATTTCGATGGCGAACCCATCCCTCTGACGCAGGGACAAATTGAAGATGTGCGCGAAGATAGACAAGAGCATGTCACCATTGAGTATTGGGGGTTTGCAGCCGGGGAGGGTATCTATGATTGTATGCTTTCGCCTCTTTTAATTTATATTTATGCTAAAAAAGCGATTTGCGAACAGTCGATTTGTCTGCCTACAACAATACGTACAAAGCTCTCCGAATCAAAGGAGATGGATATAACCTCTACTATTCAGTTTGGTGCAATAATGAGCACGAGCTCTATGATATGACGGTAAGATGATCATCCAATCAGTCGTCGCCGTTTTAACAGCAGACAGACCGACCCTTACCAACTGCACAACCTGCTCTCGACCGAAGACAAAGAACATTTGCCTTCTCATAAGATTCTAGACACCGATCTCGCGAAAGTTGTCCCTAGACTCGACTCGCTGCTCTTTGTCCTCAAGTCATGTAAGGGCCAAGTATGCGTCAAGCCGTGGAAAGCACTGCATTCCCGCGGCGAGGTGATAACGTTGAAAGATGCTTTACATGCGCGGCACGACAACTTCTACGAGGTGGAGCAGACGATAAAAGTTAGATTTGAGGAATGCGCACGCGGGTATCTTCTCGATGCCGAGGGGCCTCAGTTCGATGAAGGGAAAATGGCTCTTCGGGATGGATTGCCGTGGTATGAATGGATTTAATTAGGAGCAGGAACAAAACAGTAAATAGTCTTCCATACGTATCAGATGTTCTGCATATACATTCTGAAATCCAAATTATCATTGGCAAGCCCTTTAAATACTAATGGGCAAACCGGAAATCCAACCGCTTGTTCCCCTCATCGGTCGTTGTCTCCAGATAATGTACCTTTTCCTCCCTGGTCATGGCGTTCCACTTTGCCTCACGCCGGCGATTGCGCATGACGTAGTAGAACTTAGTGAAGAGGTAGATGAAGATGTTGAAAATTAGGAGGGAAAGAAGAACTTTATTTCCGGTTGCATAACGGGGAGAGTCATTTGCTCGGTAGATGTTGCTGGCAATGATGGCGCCGACCTGGTTCACCATGTTGTACATTGGAGCGGAGACGACACGAGAACGAACGACATTAGAGTTTCTCGAAACCCAGCCCACCTGTATTGCTTGAGCTAGACATGCGAGTTAGACTCAATTCCGAACGCGACATGGAGACAGTATACCCGATGGATAACATAGCAGTAGCGAGGTTATTGCCCACGCTTTCCACTTGTTTATGGCAGTCATATTCACGACGTTCATATAAACGAGGAACGGAAAGACCCATATCTGGCCGAACAGTGCGGTCAGGCAAAGCTCGCCAAATACCTCGGAGAAGTAGGTCAAGGACCACATGGTAATCACTATGACATTTAGAGTCAGAATGTGTATCTCAAGGCTAAATTTGGCAGAATTACTGGTTCCCGCGACGTATGGGATGGTTAGCAGATTGGTTTGGATGGTGTTGAAGCCGAGATCAGTCAATGAAAGGGTCAAATACGTTCCTGGTGGGCTGGCCGGGGTTTGAAAGACGAGCGAGAGAAGGAAAAGCGGCCTATTTCCATTCAGTATGCATAGTTATCCAAAGAAACTACTCACCACAGATCGTAGTCTCCGAGACTCTGCCACAGCAGCTTCGGCGTGATGGGTTGTCGATTGTGCATCGTTCCTTTTCCCGGGTCTTCGCGAATGAGACGGTTAACAATGATAATCTCCTCTCTGAACAGGGTCAGCACAAACTGCTACAGCGTCTAATCCAAACTCACCGTTCCGAGAACCACCCATTCTTTCCTCGTAATCTGCCGCAGGTCTGCGTTGGGCCCGGAGGTAAGAGGCCGACAGCCAACAGGCCGACGACAAGGGTGATCAAGCCCTAAACATGGAGGATTAGCCAAATACCATCTTGACCAAAACCAACCTACCTCGATCAAAAACAGCCACCGCCAACCCTCCACTCCGGCTACTCCCTGCATGGATAGCAGACCGACGGCGAGAAATGATGCGATGATCTCGGCCAGACTGATCGCATTGTAGAAGAAGCTCAACCGCAGTGACAGCTCGCTGTGAGTGTAGAAGTAGGACAAGAACAGGACGGTTTCTGGAATGAAGCCACCCTGCAGAATGCCCAGCAGCGCGCGACAAGCGAGGAAGGTCGCTCGGTCCTTGAGCCAGAACTGACAAGCGGACACAACGGACCACAGGAGAAGCTGGATGGGAATCCATCGGTCGGGGCCGAGCCTCTTGCCTATAAGCTGCGAGGGAATCTCGGCCAGCAGGAAGCAGACCTTATTCACGGTATTTCCGAGATTGAAGTCTAGTGGTAATCAGCATCTCTGACCCATACTTTGAGTGAATCTACCTACCGTTAGTATTCATGTTCAAAGACCCCAAGAAATTGTCCGAGTTAGCTTGCGAAATATTGGCGCGGTCAAGCTCGAGCGACATGAACATCACACATGCAAACACCATGATGTACAGGTCCAGTTTGCGCACGACCTTGCTCTCCTCGCCCCATGTCCAACGGGCCTCGGGATCGAAGCGATGGATGTTTTCCCAGTCATTGCGTGGCTGGTATTGCGCTGCAGTGGCTGGGTCATCAAAGACGCTGATCTATGAAGATATTAGATTTTGATTCTAACATTCGGCGTCAATCCTCACTTGCGTCGCAATCGCGTTGGGATCGTGTTTTGGCCCCCACTGCCACCAGAAACGCTTGCGCCGGTCCTCGCTGGCGGGTATCGCTAAGCCATGAATGACACTAAGCGTAGCGAGGTCATCGTGTTTTTCAGTGGCTGTATTCTTATCGTCTGCCTCGACAGTCGAGACGTTAGACTTAGGAGCAGTTAAACGCACACTCATGGCGATATAGTAAACATTAATTTCAGAGATGGGGAGTCGGGACAGTGCTTAGAGCTACTGCACGGCTTTTCAGTGGGGGCAACATGGAGAATCTACCCGAAGCGGGGAAATGAATCCTTTGGATATGGCGTGCGGGCTAAATAATTTCTCTTGTGGAATTATCTTCTTCCCTGCACCTCAAACACCATGGCCGATGAACAGACGCCGTTGCTAGACATTGAGGCGCACGCACCGAGGCCAAAGTCCGTGTCGGCCGTTATCGGAGTGCTTTTGATCGGTAAGAATGCTCGCCTCCAATGCACAAGGAGAATCTCACATTTTCAACAGGAGTTTTCATCGCCAATGCCGAGGGCTCACTAGTACTAGCCACAAACAGCCAGATCGCTTCTGATCTGGGTCGCCTTGAGGATGCTAGTTGGCTGGTGACGAGCTACATCCTAGCCATGACTGCCGCGCAGCCATTGGTAAGATCAGACCTTCCTACGACAGGAATGCAGCTAATACCCATACACAGTACGGAAAGCTAAGTGATATTTTTGGTCGATCCAGTTTATTGATCGTGGGGTATTCCTTTTTTTCGCTGGGATGGTAGGTCTTCCTGTGATATTTATTTACATTTCAAGGGACTGACTAACAGACAGTTTGATCTGGTATGTTCGCCTCAATGCACGCTGCCGCATGTCTAACACAGGACGATAATGAAAGTGGCCTCGCACCATCGCTCCCCGTCGCTATTCTCGGTCGCGCCATTTCGGGTATTGGTGGTGCTGGAATGGGCTCACTAGTCTCAATTTGCATCACCGGTAAGCCCCATGTCCATGTGGTGCGGTCTCTTGAGAGCTAACCCACCAGACCTCGTTCCTAAGCGCGACATTGCCCCCTGGCGAAGCTATGTCAACGTCGTCGCGACTGTCAGCCGCAGCCTGGGCGGTCCTGTCGGAGGATACCTAGCGGACTCGGTCGGTTGGCGATGGACCTTCTTAGGCCAATGTCCTCCAACCCTCTTGGCTATTATCTTGACGGCGCGTCTTGTTCCGAGCGCCTCTACTGACGAAGATGCAGAGTTGACAGGATCATCGACTTCGCTCGCCCGTTTTTCCCGCATCGACTGGGCCGGGTCGCTCTGCATGGTCGTGGCCATCGTTTCGCTGCTGCTGCCACTCGAGATGGCCGGGCCAAGGCTGCCGTGGACCCATCCGTTCATCCTAGGCTGTCTGGTTCTGAGTGCGATGGCTATTTGCCTGTTTGTCGTTGTGGAATTGCGCTGGGCCGCTGAGCCTATCTTTCCGCTGCGTGTGCTGCGCTCGCCCACCGTCGTGCTGGCGTATCTGACCACTTTTTTCAGACATCAGCCCAGCTAGGAGTAAGTATTTGTTCCAGTGTTCCCGAAGAGCGCCACTGACCGTCACAGATGATGTATTCCGTGCCTCTTTTCTTTCAGCTGGTTGATAATGCCTCCGCATCAGTCGCAGGAGCCCATCTGTTTCCTGCCATTGCGGGCGTTGCGGTGGCGGGTCTTATAGGTGGACATGCAATTCGACGGTAAGTCATTGTCTGGTTATAGCTCTCCACCATCTGACAAGCCAGGTTCGGTCGTTACAAATGGCTTCTCGTTGTAGCCACAGTGTTATCTTCCATATGTTATTTGCTTCTAGTCCTCCGCTGGACAGGCCACATCAACCTATGGGAGTCACTGTATATCGTACTAGGGTGGGTTTTTCTGACATTAGAGGCTCGATAAGATACTAAATTTGCTAGTGGTCTCGGTAATGGACTCGTCCAGGCGGCCGGATTTATTGCATTGACATCCTGCATCACCACGGCAGACATGGCTGTCGCCTCATCCGGATACTATCTGAGCTCCAACATCGGTACCGTCTTCGGCATGGCCGCCACAAATGCCATCTTCCAGACCACTCTACGGGAAGATCTGGAGCAGCGACTCGCGGGTTACGAGGCGAGACGAAAGGTATGTCTTATTTGCTCATGACTATTTGAACAGTAACTCATAAAATGCTTCTGCCTAGATAATTGATGCCGTCCTTTCGAATATCGACTACATTCGCCGATTGACGGGGCCGCTGCACGAGATCATCGTAAAAGCGTGTGTGAATGGTCTGGAATACGGACACAGTAGGTCGCTGACCCTGACAGAAACTAATATTTGCAACTAACAAAGTAGTGCTTCAACTTGGCCTCGCTGTGGCAGCGTTCATATGTGTTCTGTTGTTGCCGGAGCAAAAGCTGGAGGATGAAGAAAGCGAAGAAGGCGAAGACTCTTAATTGCTCATTGAAAAACATCTAAAAGTCTCATATGAGATGAAGACAGAATAAATCAGCGGGGGTGGCAATTAGACGGCGAGGTGGTGCATAACTACAGAAATGGAAGGTGGGGAATAGAAATGGGTATCATGCAATAATAAAGTTCTAGAACAAAACTCATCTAGTGTTATTTGCTAAAAGATGAAAAGGAACGAGGCAAGAAGTCGATGTCTAGTAGCACTTGGTGTTGGGAGAAAGTCTCTCCTTTTGGTCTTCTTCCAAAGTGCAATACGAGACACGGCCATAAACAGCCTAGAAGCGAAGATGAACAAAAGCCCTTCGAAATTCTTCAAGAATTCCAAATTTCCACTTGAAGCAGGCCTGCACTGGCTCAGACCCATGAATACGCGTGTCCTGATCTATCAATTTTTGCATGGGGTAAATTTTGCGACGCCAAAATATCAATGATCGCGTAATGAAAAATACAATACTATTTATTCTAGGAAATGAGGGATCAAGGTTCTATACTGATTTAAAGCTAGCGTGAATCATATTGAGATTTAGAAATCAATGCACAACAGTACAGAAGTATATTTTATTTTGAAATATTACTGTAAATGATTGACATAGACAAAAGAAAAAAAAGTTTCGAGCATGCGCGAACATGGTTGTAAAATCAAACCAACAATATTCCAAAACGATTAAAGTTGAATTGCGTTGCCGATGCGGAGTATAGATAAGGGTAATATTAGGGTTGTATCCAAGAGTCGTTCCTTCGTAGAGAGAAAATGTCGAATGCGATGGTATCAAGCGGAGAATCAATGGCCGTGGGATGTTTTGTCGTAAGCTAGCGCAAGCTGAAGTAGTTTGCAGTGGCCTCGTTGCGCATCGCGTTCTTGGCGTATAACTTGTCCTTGTTTGATTGAGAGGAAGTGTGCAAGGAAAACCACTTCTTTTTCAATGAATGGACCTCGTCGCCCTGGAGTGTTGTCGCGGCAGAAACCGTGGAATGTGTGGAGGTCGCGTCGTTATCCAAGGTCTTCTTTGAGGAAGAGCTCCTACGGGAAGAGCTCTTGGATGAGCGAGGCTTCATGATAGTGCTCAACTCAGACTTGTTGACGGATTGTCTGAGGCTGGAGAAGGACATGGCGACGGATGAGACGAAGTCGGAGAAGGTAACCACTTGGGTTCTGTCGATGGGTGGTCTTATGAACAGAGCGTAGGCCATTGGTAGATTTTTCTTGGTGTCCAAGGAAGTGTCTTTGTTTGAGGCTTTGAAAAGTCTTCGTTTTTGTTTGAAGAATGAGGAATGTTGTTCTGTGATGATGGGAAGGGAAGGAATCCTGAGGTCTTATATACCTGATCAGTCCCTCTTTTTTCTAACCCCGTTCATCAACTCCGACAATAACCCAGACCCACTGCTCAGCCATCCATGACTCGAATGGTGGAATCTAGAAGTGACGACAGTGAGAATTGTCATAATGCCTCATCATCGATCGCCGTGGCTGTTCATCTGGGGACCCACTCCGGGTTCGGAGCTCGGTATCGGTGTGACTTCTTGTCCAATCAGGCTCTCTCTTTGCTCAAAGGGCGTGTGGATCCTCGTAAGCAGTCGGGCTAGCCCACTTGGGAGGCCGCCAGGCGGGTTCCCAATCGAGTAGGTCTGGACTGTTCTCAATGGCATATCATCATTATTAGCTACCGGCGGCTAAAAGTTTGTGTGACCCATTGCTGATGTACAACTTGGGTGCCTGGCTGCCTACATTTCAGATAGCTGCCTGGACATCGTACGTGCTGAGTATGTAGAGGGCATTTCGAAGAATTGGACCGCCTCCATCTTAAGATCCGGGTGGTCCCACTTGCCGACTCTAAAAAAAATTTTCGAAGACAGGGAAAAAAGGGTCTTGCTCGGATCAAAATGGAGACGATGTAGTATGTGGCGAGACGTGTTCGCGGCTAATAGCGGGCCTCGATTACTTGACGCGAAACTGTTTATTCTAGAGAATTATAGAATTGAAATGTGGCAGTGGTTTCCAAACAGTGAACCAAATTGATTTCCAAGAATCGGATTATTAATTACGTTGTGGCTTGGGATGACTCAAGGTGTATACGAGGCAGCAAGTAGTGGAAACCTTAGGAACACCATTATTGGGGCCCTGGCAGGCATCAAAGCTCACATCAGTCAAATGTCGTAGGGCATCGGATATAGAAAGGGAGAGGTGGTGATCGGTAATAATAATATTCAGGTTTTCGGAACGCATGTGGCGCGTTGAAAATTGTTGCAAGCTCTCTGTGGAACTCCGAAATCCACTCCGAACCGCGACTTTTTTACTCCGATGCTAGTCCGAAGCAACCATCAGCTACGCATACCACAGTTGAGACAATGAAAAATCTGATTTGTGGTGCCATTTTATTTTTGTAAATAACTCCGAATAGCATTGGGTGTCTACCACGAGTGTATGAATGTGTCCTGTGTAGTTCAATGACGTGTTCAGGCTCCACAGTGAAAAGGGTGCGCGCCCAGTCAGCCATCAGCCGCCATTATTCATGCTTAGGGCATAGAACCACGCCCTACAGCTTTGTCGATTGGAAGTGCCGATTTATACGGCAAGTCTAGGTGTGTACCCTGCGATTGTATCCCTGATCTCTAAGGCTTGAAAGCTACCTCACAGCTGCGTACTGATGGAAGAAGGTCGGTTTGCTTTCGGCCAAATCATTCGGTTAGAGCACTTCTTGCACTTGAAGACAGATCGCATGTATGAACGTATGGACGAGCGGAGGAAGAGCTTATATATAAATAGCTCTCCGGTACCACCTGGGTTTCAAGGGCCAGCGATCAGTCTTGGAAATATACTGAATCGCACCCAAAGTTTACCCGTGAGTCTCTACTGCCTGGAATCCGTAAAAATCACCAACCCAGAGGTACTGCGAAGCACTCCTAACAATATATCAGTCTGCAGAGCACGGCTGAAGCCAGCGAATAATGATAATTTCATTTAAAAAGCCATTCGGTATTAGTATAAGGTAGTTTAAAAATTATCTAGATTTCAATTTGCATTAATGCGATTGTGATGAAATAGAGCAACAAGATGCAGTCTGAATTCGTTCATAACTCAATGCGCTCAAAGGTATATGCTGAAACAAAAAGTCTAGAACTAAATTCAGCAAGGTAACACACTGATTCATTGTTTACGGAGAAATGCAAAATCAGCTTCACCTTTTCACCCTCTTCCCTTAATTCTGGGCCCCACCGCCAAGGTTCTAGCTTGAGAAATGGGTACATTAAATAGGTCCCTCTGCTTCACCTGGTCACGGATTGTGGCATAGAAAGGCGTCGAATTCACCGAAGGCAAAAATATCGAACCACATTCTGCATTCTCCACTACAAAACTGATAACAAAACATATCAATTTCCACTCCTTAATTCCATATGTGCCTACTAGTCTCTTAGCTTATGGAAAACACTGAAAAGGACAAGCTTTCTAGAGCTAATATTGGTACGCACAAATAAAGCCTGTTGTACCCGGCAATATTATGTACATTTATCTTATGTCTTCTTCAACGTCGACGTTCGCAGGTCGAAAATGACCTGCACTTTCTCCTCTAGCCCCCACGACATCCATTCTGCATTTAAGGAAATCTTTGAGAAGTTGGCCTGTGTGCTTGCCAATTTCGCCTTAAAAATGCTTTAATATGTGCAAAGAACTCTTCGATGGATTTTAGATTAGGGGAGTACCAGAGTAAGTAAAACAACTTGACACCTTCCTTGGTCTAACCATGCGATCGAAAGGCCCGACTGATAGTATATATGGATACGAGAACGTGGAATTCATCATATAAGGACTCTGCCATCTAATGTAGGTATAGATCCGGTTTCTTTAGCAAGCCGCATAGCGCGAGCGGGACAGAGTGTAATCACACGAGAACGGCCACTAGGAATTAGAGGCGATCGGACATCGTCAAACATTCGGGTGTTAGCGCGGATGGTTATGATCGAACATTTGCTACAGCCAGCTGCTTCGGCCATCTAAGAAGTAGTCAGCGATATGATGCTGACCATATCGCGGATCATCACAAGCTCGAAGGCTGCAGGTCGGGGCGCCATATTGGTCTTTGCCGCGCTTTCAAACATAGAAGTTGATAAAATGGCCAGTAGCGTAGGACGACGAAATAGGTCTGGGTCGGTTCGGGCTGACAGTCGAACTGACATTCGTTCGAGGTGAAAGGGAACTGAACTCGGCCAATACATTGTTTTCGTGTGGTAGAAGGGGATCCATGAAGAAGTTTGCCGAGGAGACAGACGGAGGACTTGGTTGGAAAGCGGACAATTGACCGAGTGTTACATTCTGACTCACTAGCCATAAGAATGGTGTTGTATTGACAATTACAGTGCCAAAGGGAGCAGGCCGCACTTCTAGCAGTTATGCATTAACTAACCTAACTAAAACAATTTCCGTTTGATTATTCATCAAATCTGTGGGGATTAACGTAACCAAGGAATGCCGAGGCACTTTTGGGGCCGAATTCCCACAGAAAGGGAAGCTCTATAAATGCCAGCCAACAGGGAGAGCCCACCCACCACTTATCCTCCCTTCAAGTTTCATTATTACAATTTTACTTTGAGAGGCTATAGGATGCAGTGAGAAGCAGGCATAACTGCCATGTTACCAACAGAAGTACGGCCCGTGACTGACAACGGAGATCTGGAGAAGATTGTCGACATCGAGGAGAGAGCATACGGAGCGTCCTCACCATTGTTACAACTGATGTTCCCCAAGTCGTCCACTCTATCCCCCGTGACTCTTCGAAGTTCAAAGGTCGCCAGACATAATCACGTCTGGCAGTCGGACTCGACAGTACGGTATATCAAAGCGATTACATACGAAACATCTCTTGATGGTGCGATATCCGAACGCATAATCGGCGCAGCCGTATATCACGTCTATAATTTCTTCCATACAGATTATGACCGAAATCCATGGCCGCGCTGTCCAAATGAAGTTCCCGAAGGCGCACACGAGCCTCTTTGCCTTCATTACTTTCAAACATTGACTAAAGCTCGACTGGACTTCACGAAGGGCGAACCACATGTGTTCCTCGCCAATTTGGTTGTGGAACCAAGTTTCCAAAGACGCGGAATTGGGACAAAGCTTCTTGATTTCATGACATCCGACATCATTGCCAGATCTAGAGATGAAAGTCACGAGCAGCAGCAAGGTGTTATAGCCTGTTGGCTAGATGCCTCCCCTGCCGGGTTAAAAACATATCAACGCCTTGGTTGGAAGGAAGTTGGTGCGAAGTGCTTTGACTTGGAGCCGTGGGGAGGTGGGAAAGGGCAATTGCACAAAAATGTACATATGCTGAAGTGGATATCTATTTCTAGTTCTCGACGGTAGATAGCAAGAATAGCGTCTTGGCAGTGGGGGCTCATATTGAGCCTGTGAATGTATTGTGGTGAAGCTGGTTTTGCACTCCTCGGTATAACAGTGTCCAGCGAATGGACAGTCATGTGGATCATAAAGTTTAGATAATGGCATATATTGGAGTTTCGACAAGATGTGGAGAAATATACATAGTATGATTAGGTTATTCCAGAATTGTGTTGTCTAACTCGAAAATGCACCTGCCATCGCATTTCTCTAATGTGCCGCCGCAGCCATGGCCTTAGCCTTATCGTCGAGGACCTTGGCAATAGCCGGCCGAGCCTTGACACGTTTCAACCAGGCATTGACATGCGGGAAGTCCGTCTCTAGGTTAATCTTATCCGGCCAGAGCGCCGTCACCCCGAACCACGGCACAAAAGCGGCGTCAGCATAGCTGTACTTACCGCCGACCAGGTACTCCTTGTTCTCGAGAAAACCGTTGAGCACGCCCGAAACACGACGGATCTCATTTACATAGCGCTCGACCGCACTTGGCACCTTCTCGGCGTGATAGCGCGTGAACCATACAGCCTGTCCGAAGTACGGTCCCTGGCCGGACATCTGGTAGTACAGCCACTGCTTGGTTTCGTAGTATTCCTTCGAGCCGGCGGCGAAGCTGATGGTGTTTTTCTTGTCATATGTTTCCACGAGGTACTCGATAATGGCGCCTGATTCCCAGATGGAGATGCCCGTGTTGGGATCCTCGATGGCGGGAACGCGGCCATTGGGGTTGATGGACTCGAAGGGTGCTTTTTTCATGTCAGGGAAATCGATGAGCTTGTGCTCATAGGGAATGTTGAGCTCCTCCATGATCATCGCGACCTTCCAGGGATTGGGCCCGGAGGAGTGGCCCCAGAGTGTGATGGGTTCGAGAGACATGGTGAGTGATTGATTGGGAGTAGTGATTGATAGACAGAGAATTGGATACCGAGCCTACAATGACCCTTCGGTCTGCTTAAATATCTGTTTACTTCATAAGTGGGGAATTTCCCGAGGGGGGAATTCGGGTTTTCTCAGTTCGGGCTCCGAGAGCAGCGCTGACAAATGGCGGCGCAGTGGGGAAAGTTTCGATCCGATTCTTATTATTATGATTGGGTTGCAGGAGTGCTTTGACGGCGACGGCAATCCACAAGCTCGTTCTGGAGGACGAAGTGTCGCGGAATCAGGGCGGAATCACCGTTCGTCTGTGGGCGAATTAATCAGCTGTGGGGAACATGTCGATGGATAACTAATTAGTTATCTACTGGAACTTTATTACTTAACTTGACTAATCACTACGAATCAGTGTATTGACCTATTAGTTAGGCAGAAGGGCTTGTTCTTATTATAGACCGAAGCTTCAGACAGATTATGTTCACAATAATAATAGGAATAACAACAACAGTCAAGCTTGTTGCACTCGCCTTTCTCTCCCCAATTCCCTGATTCTTAGGTAGCACTCAGATGATTTCAGGGCTATATAGTGTCTTTTACTTTATTCCAAGTACATACGACCACAGGGTGTGGAGAACAGGGCTTCCCGTCCGCTCAGCCGTACTTAAGCCACACGCCGGTCAGTTAGTAGTTGGGTGGGTGACCACCAGCGAATCCTGACTGTTGTATGTTTTTGCCTCTACTTTATTTTTGTTCTTATTCAGTGTGCCTGTCTGTCTTCTTCAGTGGCATGGAATGCTTTTCCTTTTAACCGATATAGTGATCTCCTACCTGTGATCTTTCTTATAGAATTTGAAAGAGAATGATACCGCCACATCGCCTTTACTTGTGAATTACTACCTCACGGTCTTCAAAATTCCTATCCCTATCAAACAATGGGCGCCTAAGGAAGGGAAATTGTAGTAGAAATATGCAACAGGTATGTCTGTGCTGACGGAGCCTCTAGAGGATGATGAGAGATAATTGAGGCACGTACGGCGCATTTAAGAAGCAATTCCTGATAAACAATACCTAGACAACTTTGTTATGCACATTGGGCCTTCTACTACGTTGGTTATTAGCATCTACTATAACCCTCGAGAGCAAAGGTCGATGAAGTTTGCGCGTCCATGAAAATCATTGCATAGCGGCTTTGAAATTACCCTATTACAAACTAACATGGACTGTCTGTCTATATTAGATATGTTGCAAGTTCATGTCTCTGGGACTATCTTTCATTTGCTAATGTGAGAAGATGTCGACTTAAATAAAACAGAAGATCAACAAATAAACAATAGCGAAACACAGAAAAAAACAGAGGGAATATGCAGTGCACTAGTCACCGAATACCGTTTCTCATCCTCATAACATTGACTACTTCTCAATGATTTCCATATAGGTTCTGACGGGAAGCGACCACAAGTAGGCATGTCCGATGAAGCTAGGGCCGGGCTTTGAATAGAAATTGCACTTTTCGGTGATCTAGAATTGGAGGATGTAGATACCAAGTCGGATGCAGAAGGACCCAAGAATGAATCGGCAGACGTAGGACCCGGGTTAGAAGGAGTACACTGGTTACCATCCTTAAGGCCATTGTCCAGTTCATATTCTAAGCTATCTCCGTTTTGATTGAGGAACTTGACTCAGCTGTATACGTCTACTATAATCCCTACAGCTATTTCGCTGTCTTCTATGCTACAAGGGTCTACGATAAGAATCATTTCGTCTTTGCGACCGCCATCTATGACTTCGCACAATTCTAGGAGTTCATGAATACTATCCTCGAGAATTAAATTTGAGCTCTTACTTACTTGAACAGTCATCTCCGTCGAGTAACCCAAAAGACGCAGAGGTGCAGCCATAATTATCATCAGACCATATCAGGCACTGGCCGTCATGATCTGTGAGTATAAATATCGTCGACGGGTCTCTTCCGGTGTAGCAAATCATCCAAGGGTGCAGTGGCAATAACCTGCGATACCTCTTTTGACTGAAAGATCCCTGATCTGTGTCGGCCCCCACACCCTGCGGACCGTCATGAAGATAAGCCAGTGGCTCTCTCACCCTGCACCCTAGACGAACGGTTCTCATTGAGTGGGAACTCAAATTTGAGGGCCAAAAGGTCCCCTCATATCTAAAACGGATTGCAGTATCTACCTGACACTCCAGATAAAGGTACAGTACGCTTCGAAACCCGTGGTACCACTTACACTCTTCAGTTGTTTCTGGAACCCTAATTCCAAGATTTACTAAGCCCTATCAGTAATAGTTCCGGAATAGCAATATTCCTGGATAGCTATCTATACAGCATCTGACTGGATATATTACATGACTCATGTCTAATAACTGTAACAATTTGTTGCGTCTTTTATTGAACCATAAATTGTAATATACGGAACCCATGGATATCAAGAATGATGCAGTTACGGGACGATCAGCTGATACTATGACGTTATATAAGCAACCGCAATATATAGTCGACATGAGGTCGGTGACAAACTTACCAGAACCTATGAAATTTTATGGGAAGACACTGCTTTCACCGCAACCTCATCGAGCCTTTATATTATTAAACCAAGCATGAATATTAATTCCACCAGGGCTACAGCAAAATTTGTCAATGACAATATCACGGTGTCGGAAGACGCCGATGTGAGGTTGACACTCGACGATGAAAAAAATACGGATGCACCTTTGACTTTACTTTGCCCTGGAGAGACCAAAAGAAATTTCACCGGAAAAATTGCCTGTATTGGACCTTATGAGACCTATTGTACTAGGTCCTGGCAGCTTTCAGAGGATGTGGAATTCGATCCTAATAAGGATGTTACTGTGACGGACCAGGGTGAGCAATCTATACAAAGTGATTGATGAGTAACTACTGACTAGTCAACTAAGCTCTCGAACAAGGAAACAAGGTAGTTTGGTTCGTTTAAGGAACAAAAGCTCGTGATTGTACGTAGGGGATTCTGTTTTCGTGTGTACGCAATCCAGTAAATGAAATGACAGACAGAGATACAGACAGACAGGCTGTTTAAAGCGTTTGTGGAATAAAGTGTTATGAAGACTGCCAAGAAACAAATATAGCGCGGTGTGCAACAAGGTCCAAGAAAGAACCGTTAAAATCAAGTGACTATAGAATGTGAGTCGAGTTATGTGGCGTAGAGGACCCCAAGCCAGCATCAGTGAAGGGCAGATAAGTCTAAGGAGGTGGTAGTTCGGATATGTACTATAGTAGCTAGAGTTCTAATTTCCTTTCGATACTGCTCGTTGGTCTCCTAGTCCCAAAACGACGCCCACGGGGAGTGGGCCTGTAGGCCGAAAATGGTGTTTGCGTCAAAGCATAAATGGCGCGTGATATCAAGGATGAAGACGGCAGGGTCGATGGTCCAGATTCTGGAACTATACTTCGAAGTTTGATGTTCATACGAGGAAAAGGAAAGTTAGGGGAGTGGAGCGTCGTGCCGGAATGCGTCAAGCTTTGAGTGTGCGATGGTGGACATAACCTACCAAGAAGTCCAAGGCTATTCCTGTACGTGCGGCTTTACGTCGAAATGAGAGGATGTATTTATAGTAAGATTTCCCATGGGTGTCCCAAAACTGTAATGTAGCAGTTGCTAGAGCATCATGGCAGCATAAATCATGTCGTCGTTACGCATTATAGGGGACGGCATCAGGTGGCATACATAGCAGATTCCTGACAAAGCCGACGAAACTCAGGATGCTAATAGGACGTTAAGATCCTATTAGCAGTGAACCGCGGGGCTCATAACCTCTTAGAAACGAAATAAGGAATCAAGATGATGCATTCTGGGGTTGCTAGATGGATCCAAAGGAATCTAACTAAAGAGGAGGAAATAAAGCCCGGCAACACAAAGAAACAAAGGAGAGAGACGGAGGACGGAACTTGCCCTCCAAACACCAAACTTTTAAAGACGCGGTTTCATCATAGATGCAAGTATCTTTCCCAGTCCTGTGGAACCCTTCCTCTGGGCCCGGGCACTGGCTGGCTGAGTGGATGATGTGATGGTGACTGCAAGGGCGGGCCCAGAAACGTTTCTTCCGTGCGGTAATCAAAGAACCACTCCTCGCCAGGCTCAAAGCTGCGAATGATAGGATGTCCCGTCGACATAGAATGTGTGGAGGCATGCTGTGATGGAGACGAGTCACAGCAGCCAATGTGTCCACATTTGGCACAACGACGTAGATGAAACCACCATGTATTGGCAGCTTCGCAATCCACGCAACCAGGACCACTCGGTGGGACGTTCAGATCAATTGCTTCAATTTGCGAGGTACCTCGTGTAATAGCACCAGGATCATCGTACATACCCGGGCGATGGGAATGCTGCGGCTGAACCGTAGCGGGGCCACCTTCCATCAGCAGCATTGCTGGATCAGTGGGCAAGATGCGAGGAGCACGAATCATGGCGTACAAATTTACTTGATATGTAGTGAGTCTGTAGTGGATGAGTTGATAGCTGCTCTGCAGTTGACGTGTGACATGTAAACTCACTATTTAATGGATGTATGAGCAGCTGTTCGATATGAGAGTGGGATAATGTTGATATGGATACTGTTGGGGGTTGGATATATGTGCACTATTCATTATATATGATATCATAATGACTAGTAGCAAAGAAGATAATACACGGTGACAGCGACGCAGTAGCGCCACCAACGCTCTAGATTAAGGCTTAAATCCTCTTCGAGGTATTTTTCTTAGATCCAGACATTTTGCCCCCAAGTCGCATGAAACTAAGCAGAAAGTTTTAAGCCGCACACTAGGTGGCAAATGCTGTTAGCCTTTCTCTCAGACCAAATTAGATCTGATTTGACAAAGTCTAAATGTTGTCGAAGAAGTTTAATTCCAATATACCAGTGGCAGCATCCACGAACTCCAGGGAAATTTAATTAATCACCAGCGGTATGACCATTATAACCTTGGATTGCTACCAGCACATATCAGTCGTCTTCAACTCAAAAACCATCAAGGCTGCACTGGGGGCAGCGTGCATGTAGCTGTATATTTATGACATTGCCAGTGGGGCCACTACTGATGATAAAAGGAGACGGAGAAGCACCAATATAACATAATTTGCCCAGGAAGAAGAAAAACTTAGTGATGCTAGGAGCAGTTGATCATCATATTCTCCAGTATAGTATGTAAAGTTGTTACATAGCCTCCACATCAGCAATCATCAAAGCATCATAAGTATCCTAAGAATATTACTACTGTTGATACAGCACTGAGGTATAATATATGGAGTCTGTTGAAAACTCTTGGAGGTTATTTGATAATATTTGAGCTTTTAAATACATATTGAAAGCACGGTTATGCCTGTAATGCAATGCACCAAGCATACGCTCACAAGTTACAGGATCTGGGATCCATCTACAATGCCAGCTAAGGCTGTCTCTGAAACTCAGTATTCATAGTACAAACCCTCCTCATCGGAAATTGCATTTCCATTCTCCAAAAGGTACCGACTGACTTGCAGGCCGCTAACGGACTCAACAAAAAATTCAGCAGGTTAGTCGCCATGGAGAGTGTTGAGAAAAAGCAAGACGTATGATTGACCTGAGGTGTCCTTTCCAATCTTTTCCTTTAATACAGGATTTCAGTGGCCTTACGGAGGCCTAGTCGATCTACGCAAGTCCACTATCGCTCTGCTCTAACACCGATCCTGAGGGGAATTGTTGCGATTTGAGACTTGATCAACTAGGAAGAAGAGCTACATCATTGGCATGAATTCCGATATTGTGTGTTGAAGCATAAGATTGATTAGCTATCAATATGGACTTTTCAGCATTGTATACAAAGCCTCAAGTTACTGTTTTGAAGAATTGGAATGAATAAAGTTTAATTTTCCTCTGATTTACACCAGAACCATCGTAGTCTAGAACAGCAGTCTAGAATGTTCCGTGTGTGGTGACATGGTGACACTGGACTAGCTTAAAAATAATTCGTCCACTAATGCCTCAATTCAGTCGTCGGTTAATAATTACATCATGTTATATTGATTGTCTGGTGAGGATGATGCTTGGGGCTCTCAGTTAGTCAGCCTTATTCCACACCGACAGAAGGTTTTAAAACACCCTCGCAGACTAAACCTGAAGATATGCGGCTCACCAAAAAGAACCTTCCGAGTTTGCATATGAAGCCATGAGCGAACATTTCACTACCTGCGTGCCTAGGCCAGCTGCAAGCACCATAGGTATGGACAATGACATGTTTCCCGAGGAGGTAGTCGACATACTTGATGGCTACGACTACGTCGTAGTCGGTTCAGGCGCCGGCGGCGGACCTTTGGCCGCAAATCTCGCCCGGAAGGGCCATAAAGTTCTCCTGCTCGAAGCGGGGGATGATCAGGGATCCAACATCCACCAGCAGGTTCCAGGCTTTCATTTTCTGTCTACAGAGGACGAAAAGATGCGCTGGGACTATTTCGTTAAGCATTATGCAGACGACACCCTTGCGCAGCAAGACTCGAAAATGACTTGGGAGACAACTGCTGGAAAAATGTATGTCGGATTGAATCCACCAACCGGATCGAAGCCGAAAGGCATCCTCTACCCGCGCGCGGGAACGCTTGGTGGCTGTTCGGCACACAATGCTCTGATCACCATCTATCCGCACGAGAGTGATTGGTCAAATATCGCCAATCTCACTGGCGACACTTCATGGGACCCGAAAAATATGCGCCAGTATTTCAGGCGCCTGGAACACTGCGAGTATCTTCCAAATGGTACCTCTGGTCACGGCTTCACCGGTTGGCTATATACGAATCGCGCTGATCTGGAATTGACACTGCGGGACTCTAAGATCCTTTCTATCATCACTGCTGCTGCTACTGCCATGGGAAATACTATCCTCGGCCTGATCCCTGAGAAAGTTACCCAACTACTAGGACTCCTACAGCGGGATGTGAATTCCAGTGATCCTCATCGGGATGTGACTGAAGGCATCTATCATATACCCCTGGCCATGAGTCAGGCAAAGCGAAGCGGGACTCGGGACTTTATCGTTAATACGGCTAAAAAGTATCCGCTGCATATCAGGACAAGCTGCCTCGCTACACGTGTGCTGTTCGAGGAGAATTCTGTCACCAGGAACACGCCTAAGGCAATTGGTGTCGAGTTCCTTGAAGGCAGTAGTCTGTACAAGGCTGATCCACGGTCAAGTTTATCGGCTGCCGGTACTAAGCACCGCGTCCTCGTCTCTCAAGAGGTCATTCTCGCGGCGGGAGCTTTTAATACACCGCAGCTCCTCAAGCTGAGCGGTATCGGCCCGAAAGACGAGTTAGAGAGGTTTGGGATTCCTGTTGTTAAAGATATGCAGGGCGTTGGCACTAATCTCCAGGACCGCTACGAGGTTCCTGTCGTCAGCAAAGTACAGGATGACTTCCAGGCCATAGCAGAATGCAAGTTCGGGAAGCCTGGGGACCCAGCACTTAAAGAGTGGATGCACCAGTGTGGACCCTATCTATCGAATGGACTCAGTTTTGGCATGACGAAGAAGTCCAGACATGCTGATGGGGACCCTGATCTCTTCATATTCGGTGGCCCTACCCTCTTCGAGGGCTACTATCCTGGGCATTCTGAACGCGCCACCTTCGACAAGAGACATTTCACGTGGGCCGTACTTAAGGCTCACACGCGTAACCGTGAGGGAACTGTCAGGCTCGACTCAGCCGATCCTCGGGATGTGCCTGTTATTAACTTCAATTACTTTGGCACGAGTGCGGCCGCGACAGAGGCATCGGAGCGTGACCTTAACGCCGTTGCCGAAGGCGTCGGCTTCGCGCGCCGCATCATGGACCAGACCTCACTGTTCGATAATGAGCCTTTTGAAGAGCAGTCACCTGGTCATGAAGTCTCTTCTGTAGAGCAGGTGAAGCAGTTTATCAGGAATGAGGCGTGGGGTCATCATGCTTCATGCACCTGCCCTATAGGGCCAGATGGAGACCCAAAAGCCGTTCTGGATTCTCGCTTTCGTGTTCGCGGCGTGAGAAACCTGCGAATAGTTGATGCATCTGTCTTCCCGCGCATTCCTGGCTTCTTCATTGTCCTTCCCATCTTCATGATCAGTGAGAAGGCGACTGATGTTATTCTTGAAGACATTAGCGAGACCCGCCATGTCTGAGTGCCTCAGTGCCAGACATAGGTGACAGCAGTCACTCAGTCTCCTTAAGGACACCCTTTCTCGCTGTTCAGACCATTTATAATGATGAATTTAATATGGAAAAAGCTCTGATTTAACCATAGGTAGATCATTAAAGCAACGCAAACTGTAGTTGACAAAGATGAGATTAAGATGAAGTCGAGAAAAATAATCTAGATGTTACATAATCCGAAGTCATGAATATAGTAAATTCGGAGTTGTAAAGATAATATAAAGAACGATACTGCATTCGATCAACTGTCTTGTACCATCCCTCTCTTTTGTCTAGGGATGGCGACAAAGTTATGCAACGATGTGGTGGAGCATCGCAGAGACTTTCCAGATTAGGATATTCACGAAAGTTCCACGAAATGCGGGCCCAAACCGGTCGACCTATAAATATCCTGCGATAGTTTGCTCAATTGAGCTCGTGTCAATCATCTCTGTGGGACTAAGTTTTAAGAACCCCACACCTTACCCTCTAACCATCCACCAGCATGTCCTTCCTGGGATTAGAAGGATACCATGTCTTCATTACCGGGGCCGCAGGTGGCATAGGATTCGAAGCAACACAAGAGTTTCTTAGTAGGATTCACTGATCAGATAGATATACTTCTGTCTTACACGGTTGGTAGCACACGGCTGCAAGGTGACAGCCCACGACCTCCGACCGATTGCCCCTCCATCGCCAGCGAACCCCAATTTCTTCGCTGTGCAAGGTGACACCTCGTGCGAAACGTCGATCCAGAAATGCATCGCTCAGGCAGTCTCACATTTCGGACCAATCAACATCCTCGTGGCCAATGACGGAATCACCGATGAATCCGCCCGCCGCAACATTTGGGAAATTCCCCTAGACGTGTGGGAAAAGACCTACCGGGTCAACATCCAAGGAACGTACCTCACCATCAAGCATTTTCTCCTCGCAGTCTCTGCGGCACAAACTGCAGCCAATGGAACCGAACTGGAGAACGTGGCCATTGTGGTGACGGGCTCTGAGACTGGTAAGTTCGGCCAGGCTGGACATTCCGAATACGCATCGGGCAAGGCTGGCATTCAGTACGGGCTCGTCCGCAGTGTGAAGAACGAGATTGTCCGACTTAACTGTAAGGCTCGAATCAACGCGGTCGCCCCGGGCTGGATTGGCACGCCGCTGATCGAAGGCCGACTGGATGATCCCACGGAGAGATGGAGAGAGGCCGAGGCAACAGTACCCCTGCGTAAAATCGCAAAACCACGCGATATTGCCCGCGCCATGGCCTTCCTGACAAGCCACCGAGCGGCCGGTCATATTACTGGACAAGTCCTCTCGGTCGATGGCGGCATGGAAGGCCGTATGGTATGGAACGAGGAGGAAGCCAATAACGGTAGCGCTCCGTCCACGATTCAAAATGCTTACCCTTCTCAGTCTGCTGTTTTGGTCAACGAGATCCCCCCAGCGGTTTCTATCGCCCCGAAATGTCGCGTCCAGGTCCTTCTATCCGTTGACTTTGATGCAGTGTCGGGCTTTCTCGGCACTGGAGCATCGCCTAGCAATGGTCTTTCCGACTATAGCAGCGGTTACTTTGCCGCCCAAGTTGGCGTCCCTCGTCTGCTGCGGCTCTTTCAGAAGCATGGCATTGCCTCGTCGGTGACATGGTTCATTCCGGGCCACTCCATGGAGTCGTTCCCTAAGGAGACCAAGCAAATCGTCGACTCAGGTGCCGAGATTGGCTGTCATGGATACGCCCACGAGGGCAGCTCGCAGATGACCGAGGCGCAGGAGCGGGAGGTCATTGAAAAGTGTGTTCTCCTGGCGACAGAGTTGACCGGCCAGAGACCGCGCGGATGGAGGGCACCGCTGTATCAATTGAGGGAACACACCGTTCAAGTTCTCGAGAACTTGGGATTCTTATATGGTATGTGCTGACGCGATTCCATTCAGAAAAGGTACTTCAGGCTAACGAGCGCGAAGATTCTTCTCTCAACCATCACGACTCCAGTGCCTACTTCCTCTGCAAAGCGCCAGCAATCACCCCAATCGACTTCGCGGCCAATGTCTCTGCATCGTCCTGGATGCGTCCCTTGCCAGCTCCGGAGCCGGCAACGTCCAAGACACTCGTCGAGCTTCCGTGTAACTGGTACATGGAAGATATGACGCCTATGCAATTCTTGCCCGCTGCACCAAACTCTCATGGCTTTGTCAGTCCCGCCCAGATCGAGGATAACTGGAAAGCCAGGTTCGAGTTTCTGCACAATGAAGCGATAGAGACCGGCGATGGCTTCTTATTTCCCATCGTCCTCCACCCAGACACTAGTGGCATGGCCCATGTTATTGGTATGATTGATCGGACGATTCAGTGGCTGAAAGCACAGGGTGGCCATGTTGAATTCACGACTTATGGGCAGTGCGCTGAAGAGTGGAAGAGCCGACAGAATGTCTGATGAGATATATCTGGCATGTGACTAGTTGTTCTTTTTCATGTTAGTTATTACCGTGTAGCTTTTTGTCTGTGCTACTCGTCCTGTTCGATTAACAGTCCTATGTGGCGGGCCAAGCTCAATAATCTATCGTTAATTGGTATCAGCCCATCAGCCATATTCTCCGCACCCCACGTATTATTCGCGTGCGATTCACACCTGGAATAGAAGCTCCATTGAGGATCATGATTTCAATTTCAGCGCCCGATTCTCTTCCCCCAACCCTCTAAATAAAAAGAAATCAACTGAGAGAGTTTTGGTCCGATTGTGTGGGCATTGGATTTATTTGGACTGAACATATATATCTGCATCAATTAGCGTAAACATGGGGGCTGAAAGCTGACTTTGATTGAAAAACAATCGCTCAGAAATAGACTATGGAAATCCCATGACACCCTAAAACAATTTCTCGCCCTACAAAGAGTGTCTCAAGCACTTGGTATGGCTGACAAATTACTGAGGACCTGTTGTCGTGGAAAAGCGAGGGAAGCAAGTCATCAAAAATCGAGCCTATGACAGGACCGCTGCCTTGCGGGCGCAGATCATACGGAGTTGTTATCTCCGGATTTGCAAAATGCTTGGCCGGCTTTATCACTTATGCCGAAACAGTCTGGAATAGCACCCCATTGACCGGCAGTATAAACGGATTTGCGCCATGCCTGGCCGGCTTTATCACTTATGCCGAAACAGTCCGGAATAGCACCCTCATTGACTGGCAGAAATATAAATCTGCCCCTGACCATAATCGGCAAAAAGCAGCTGAGATTCTAAAGAAAAATGACGAATAATATCACCAATGTAGCGCTCGCAGGGGTAATGACGTCCGAAGTTATCGTTGTGCTTAGGCTGATCGTTTACTAGGCATCTGGAAATCTAGGTTCTCACACACTTGCGGCGCTTCTCAACCAAAGATTCAAGGTTACTGTGTTGAGTCGTACACCTAGAGAATTCCCGGCTGGTGTTACGGTTAGAGTCGTCGATTTTAACTCAACTGAATCGTTATCGGCAGCCATCGAAGGCCAAGACGCGGTTATTGACAACACTTTCACAAATGATGTTGACACACCGCTGCGTCTAATAGATGCTGCAGTTGCCAGTGGCGTCTATCGCTTGTGGGTTTCTCTGTTTACCCCGGATTCCCAACCTGATTCCTATAAAGGCCCTATAAAGCCTGCTGATGGACTATTCTAAATGTTCTTAGTATTACAAGTGATTACGGCCTCGACCCAGATCTCCCGGGGGTTCATGAAATGCCAGTGTTCGCACGCAAACGTGAGTCTTACCGTGCTGTAAAGGAGAAAGCGGAGAGATCGGGCTTGACCTTCACCCTGATTGCCTGTGGGGCTTTTCTCGACTGGTGTCTTTCAACTGGATTTGCAGGTATTCAACTGAAAACAAAGTCGGCCACTATGTTTGATAGCGGGGAGAATGTGGTTCCGTGGACTACCCTCGAAGATGCCGGAAAGGCGACTGCTGGTGCTCTTCTCCGACCCGAAGAAACTCTCAACAGGCCGGTGTACATTCACAGTGCGTTCTTGTCTCAGGCCCAGCTTTTGCAAATCGCGAGAGATGCTTTAGGCAAAGAGGGTTGGAACATAACATCCCAGGAGATGAAACCTCTGTTGGACCAATCGATGGCAGACCTGCGTGCGGGGAATACCACCCCGATGACTTTTGGCGTGCAAATTCAATATTGTATGGCCAATAAATCACTTGCACACCCTTGGGAACGGGACGATAATGAGCTGGTTGGGGTTGAAGAGAAAACGGCTGAAGAACTACAGGCCTTGTTCCGTCGGCTTGCTACTGTGTGAGATGGAGATAGATCATCTGGATATCATTCCAATTCAAAACTGGACGGGGTGAACTTTTGTACACAGATGAGGGGAAACACGCAACGATATAATCTCAAACAGATGGCAAGGAGACTTTTGGCTTGAAAGAGATGTTTAAATCGAGCATTATACACCAGTGTAACCCTTCCTTTTCAAACAAGACAGTCGCCTAGCCTACACCCGATCTTTAATCGCAATCTCCATATTCTTTGCAATTTGTCTGCCTGCCCAATTCTTTGCTTAAAAGAAAGACTTATTCGTTTTAGCGCCCTCTACATTTACGCATTACCGGAATTAGCAACGATGGGAGAGAAGGCGCTATTCTCTGCATTACCAAAACGTTCTTTCGGTCCAAAGCACAAATGACGACGACAAGGATGCTGGCTGTGGCTTTACGATTAAGATCTTTTGGCTTGAGTGGCTTGAAATTCGCCCGGATGGCAAAATCCTATCAACATTTTTACCTGTCAACATGGTCAAAGTGAGCCGCGGCGGTTCGTCCAAAGGTGGGTCTGAAGGTTCCCTGTAGAAGACTCTGATTTTGACCACTTCAGACCACTCTGGATGACAAATCCCGACTTAACTATTCGACGCTATATCTTGATCCTCTAAACGGATCTCAGTTTACGTCGTGTCCCTACCTTGGGCCTTGAGAGATAGTGTTAGATTTGCTCCAGGCATAGGTAGAAGAGCAAGTGATTGTTATTAAAGCTATGGGAGCCCTGTGGCCTGATAGCAAATTTGAAATATAGTACAAGCAGGAAACTTAGACTATCTTGATGACAGTTTTGCCCAGCGCAGTCCCATCCTCGATCTCCTTCAGGATGTCCTCAATATCTGCCAGTCTCTTTTCAATTAGCTGCGGCTTCACTTGGCCCTTGGCTACAAAAGCAAGGGCCTCGAGTGTGTCCTGCCGATCTCCAGTAGATGTACCCATAACCTTGATGCCTCTACCGACGAAGTCCTCGGGCCCCAAGGGGAGCGGCGTAGACTTTGGGGGCAAGCCGATACAAACGAGGGTACCAGCCCGCCTCAGAAATTTGATGGCATCGGCATAAGCCTGGGCCGACGAGGCGCAGATGAGTGCGCCGTGAGTGCCGCCGCCCGTGGCTTCAATGACATTGGATACGCAATCCTTTGTCTCTAATACGTCAATATAAACCTCCGCACCCAGGCTCAGGCAGAGATCTCTTTTCCTAGCGTCCAGGGCCACGACCTTGAGCCCTTTGGCGCGTGCGTATTGGATAGCCAGATGACCCAAGCCGCCTCCAGCGCCCGAAACAGCAACCCACGAGCCCTTGCGGAGGTTGGCAATCTTCAGTGCTTTGTAGACTGTGACACCGGCGCATAGGATCGGTGCGGCATCAGCGTCGCTCACCCCAGCCGGGAGGCGGACCATATATGAGCTGTCTGCAATAGCGTACTCGGCAAAGGAGCCCTCAATATCCTTGCCCGCTAGTTTGCGACTTGCACACAGGTTCTCATAGCCAGTCGTGCAGACTTCGCACTTGCCGCAGACAATATGCACCCATCGAACTGCCACCGGGTCGCCAATGCTCCATTCCGCGGTGTCTACCTCGGGACCGAGGCTGGCAATTACCCCTGTGCCCTCATGACCCCCTACTGAGACCTTGGGCTGTAGGTATGGTATGGTACCGCGAGCCAGGTGGAGGTCTGTTGCGCAGACCCCTGAGTAGTGTAGTTTGACGAGCACTTGGGTGCCGAGAGGGATTGGAGTTGGACGTTGGCCCACAGAGATGGTCTTTGTGTTCTGGTCTTGGATCGCCGCGAGGGACGCCTCTGGCACCGAGAGAGAGCCCATTGTAGTATTGGCAAGAGACAGATCAACAAATACGGTAACAAGTTGCAGGAGAGAAACACCGATTGGCAGAATTTCCTTCGTCAAATGGAATAATGATATTGTCCTATGAACAATGCCTTCCTAGCTCTCGCTTCTTTATCTTGATCTCTGGCCAAGGTCGGTGAAGGAAACGATAAAAGCGGCGCGTACACCGATCTCCGCATACGCGCCCTCATTGCTTAGGGATTTTTTTTTTGGTCGGAGGCACCGATCCGTCATGCCGGGGTACTACGGTAGCCGATTAGGGATTTACCGCCCTCGAAACTGCCTGCGCCTTTTAATGGAGAAAGTATTTAGTTTATCGTATCTCGTAGTAATCACTCTGGCAGGCTGACGGGGTTTTCCCGTCTGCCCCCGAGGGTCTGGCCCTTGGGACCCTCTTCCCCGCAAGCAATCTGGGGTCTGGTGTTGGCATCGGAGGACTATCCGACATTGAGAATTGGCCGTTTCTGGGAGCAGACATCCGACTGGGGCCGGGGCGAGATGATAGGGTGGATTTGGTCGTCTGCCACGCGCGTTGGACGATCATTGGGGAGAGGTCTATTCGTGTATTAAACTCCCCCATCAGGAAGGCACCGACCGAGGGCTGCAATGGCCTTTTTCCTATAACTGGTCTGGTTTCTTGACACCCGAGGGACTTTGAAGCTGATCCTTGACACCAGCGGGTTCTTGTCCGACAAATCGACAATACAGACATGGGCAAGAAAGAAGAAGTCATACCGCATGAGTCGACCTGTCATTTCTAAACGGTAGACCTCCCAAGTTCCTGTTCAATCTGCCCTGTGAGATGCGGACTGCAGCGTACTGATCTCCTCCTATTCAGATATCAACATGATTGAAGACAAAGAGAAGAACTCGGAGCATGCGGAAGATGTCTCCGCGGTGCCGAATCTCAAGATGCGCGACGGCATCATCCTGATGCCGCAGCCGTCCGATGACCCTAATGACCCACTAAACTGGTCCTTGTTCCGCAAGCGTGCCGCCATGTTCACCATCTCGTACCTGGCCCTCGTTTGCTACGTCGCCGTTACCACCTTAGTTACAGGGACTGTGCCCCTGGCCAAGTCACTACACGTATCCAAGTCAACAGCTGTTTACCTGGGCAACACGCCCGTTGCCCTGTATGGCGTGGCTCCGTGGCTCTGGAGTCCGCTCAGTCATTTTGTAGGGCGTCGATCTGTGCTGCTCATGTGCAATATTATCGCCATGGTTGGGGCTGCTGTCGTTGCGACGTCCAAAACGTACTCGGCTTGTATTGTCGGCCGGGTCATTCTCGGCGCTGGTGGTTCAGCGTTCTGGACACTGGGGCCTGCGAGTATCGGGGATATGGTAAGTTCCTCTCGATCACAGAGTTTTCTGTACCTTAGAGAGCCCTTGAAGAGCTGACGGCCAAATTTCTCAGTTCTTCCGCCATGAGAAAGGGAAGAATATAGGCATATCCACATTGGCTATTGTAGTCTCCCCGTTCCTTGGGACAATGTAAGTGTCGCTCGGCGCAATTTATGCTTCTATGCAGCAGGGAAAGCAATAGCTGACTTGAGTACCCTGACAGTATTGGCGGACCCATCATAGAGAACAACAAGCTAGGCTGGCCGGCGTCACAATGGATACCCCTGATCTTTATGGGAGCAGGCCTCATAATGCAGATATTCTTTCTCCCGGAGACCATCTATATTCGTGAGGCACATCCTAATTCCGCTTCTATAACTGCTCGGGACCCACCATTTGTGCCCAAACCTGGCGAATCAACACTCTGGGCCCGCTACGGCATCCATATCCCCAGGCGCCGGGAGAAGCAGCATAGCTTCCTTTTCATTGCCACGCGTCCCTTTGTGCTCTTCAAGTTCCCAGCGGTATTACTATCGGCGTTCTGGTTCGGTGTTACCTACATGATGCACGTGGGTATCACTGCCGAGATCCCACTCGTATTTGAGGAGCAGTATAACTTCGCTGTGCTCGACGTCGGTCTTACTGGATTCTCTGGCTTAATTGGTGCGCTAATCGGTGAGGCGTATGCTGGTCCCTCACTTGATGTCATTGCGAAGCGTACGATGAAGCATGGTCAGGAATGGCGACCCGAGTACCGCCTCCAAGCCGTCTGGCCAGCACTAGTCGCGGTACCAGCTGGTCTAATCATGTTTGGAACATCGATCCAATTCGGACATGCTTGGATCACGCCTCTGGTCGGCCAAGGTATATATATATTCGGCATAGAAATTGGCACAACGGTGATGTATGAATATAGCCCTATTGACGAATTAGTCATGGCACAAATCCAGCTGACAAGAGGAAACCCCTAGTCAAACGTATATCCTGGAATGCTACCCTCGCCAGGGAGCAGAGGCGAACTTGGTATTCAATCTGATTCGCAACATCTTCTCCTACACGGCTCCGTTTTTTGTGCAGCCGATGACCGCCCGGCTCGGAATTACCTCTCCTTTTGCTCTGTTCGCTGCTTTGACCATCTTCTTCTTCCCATTTACTGTGGGCGTTCTCATGTGGCGAGGCAAACAGATCCGGGATAAGGGCGGTGACCCCGGATGGAGTAGAGATTGAAGGCGAACCTATAGAAGAACATCGTACAGGAAGCCCGTGTCTTCTAAGCGTCTCCGTGTTAAAATAGTTCAGTAATAAACGCACCGAGAGGCTGCTCCAGGGGCGATGTATTGCCTCCTGTCCGATTGTGTATTTAACTGAAGCGGCATATCAGCTGCTCATTTTCTCGAGAAATTTTGCAACAAGATGTGACTGCTCAGGATGCTTTGTATGATATGACCTGGTGTATAGTTTGGACGGATATCAATTCTTCTCTTGTACCGAAATTTGGAGTCATACGACGAAGGTCCTTTATTGGTAGGTTTAGGCCAGAATACTCGTGCGTTTCGAAAATCGACCCTCGCACAAGGGCAAAGCAAATAATAGAAGGTATATTTCACCCCCGGCTTGGCTAAGGTAACTGTCTGACTCGAATCGACCGTAAACGCTCGCGCCGCCAACGCCACCGTTCGGCAGCGGCGCCTCTATGTCCATAGTCGGTCCATTAATACAACAACTGCGCATCCGGATCCTCCTGGACAAGTCCATTTTACGCCAGACATCACGGCAGAAGGCACTGGCATCTAGAGAGAACCGGAATCGGTGGGCTGTGAAGCGGCCTCTTCTTGTTTGTCGAACACGGGTACGAACAACAACGGGGCCAAATGACTCCCTGTAAAAGACCACCATATCGAGTGGAACGCTTTAGAGAACGTGGGAGATAGGGTCACCAGGCATGGTTTGTGTAGAGCCAAATCTCTGATCAGAAGCTTAGCACTGGCGGGGACGATTTCGCCTTTGGTGTGTGCCCCCAGAGCTGCGTTCTCGCGAAATGCTCCGACAATGGAGAGGATGTTGACCTTGACCCATCCCTCCGTAGCCCAAACCTCGGCGGAAAGTAGTTCGAGCACGTCCCTACCGAGTAAGTACTATGCTCAACCAGACATTCTTGCAGAGCCATCATTGCCCCGAATGTCGTGCCAAGAGGAATTCGATATCGCCCCAGTCCACCATGCCAGCCCCATCCAGGGCGAGCAATGAGTCCATCCAACGGCTAGTATCCGGTTCTCCATCAAAAGACGTCAGAAAATTTGGCTGCCAGGAGGCATCTGGGATGCCGAGCCTTGACGCAACCCCGGTACTTTGCCCATGCTGGACGCTGATGGGGTCCTGCTGCGAGGCAGACAGTGAGAAAGTATCAAGCGATGCTCCTGCTCCAGGAGCTGCTGCCAGGCTGCTGGCTTGCCGGCCGTCCATGGCAGAATGAATGGGGTCACTTAAACGAGTCCTCCGAAACCCAGGTGCTACCTGGGCATTCCTTCCTGCTTTAGCCAGACGTCCGTTCGCCGAATGGTTGGAGACAGAAACAGCAGGTTTGGTGTTATCCTGTCTCGATCCATCCTCAAACGTTGCCACGACGCGTGCGAACCTCTTCATCGTGCTGCACTTGTTTACGCGCATGAGCACCTCTCTCGTCTGAGCGATCAGTTGGCGCAGCTCCGTCTGCAGATGCGCCTCGTGCTGGTCGTGGCAGTGGCTCGCAGAGATTGAAATCCGCAGCGATCGCAGGATAAGTACCATGACGCCACAGTAAGCGTAGAAGACGTCCATGGCCGAGATACCATTCACTAGGTCGAAGGAGTTGGCAAGCAAGATGAGGCGGCAGAGCTGCACGGCGTGCGTGACGCAGATGTCCGATAGGCGCTCCCCTACAGGGCCGGAGTTCTGATCAGTGGCGTCCTTGCTCTGGCTAAGAGCGACGTCTTCCTTACTCCACTGCGCGGATGCAACGGATAGCAGCAAAGCAGATCGTGTGACTAGAACGGCAATGTATCTATACTGGAGGTGCAGCACCAGAGCGGTTCTAAGCCGATGTCGACTCTGCCAGCCCATCATTGCTTTGAGCTCTTGTAATGACATCCGTGGCGCCTCCTGGACTCCTTGGCAAAGAATATCTTCGGCCTCGCCAATCAAGGGAATGTTCAACGCGTGGCGTGAAGCCAAGACGTTCCTCCACTGATTCAAAGCCTCAAGGGTCTCCCTCGAAGACTGCTCTTGCCGAGCCAAGACCTCCATACTTCTTTGGTCGTTAGCCACAGGAAGTGTCTTGACCGCAAATGATACCCTCGCCTTAGCAAGAATAATTTGCAGCTCCAGGGAAAGCTTCATAGTCTCGTCATCCTCATCGTAACCGCCGTCCAACACTCCTTCGCAGGGAGGGACTATCTCAACATCCTCGAAGTCGTAGAACCCACTCGGCCTTCCCAGGCTGGACGCAAGGAACTGCTCGAAACTGTAGAGTGTGCAAAAAACACGCTTGCGCACCTCCCTCTCCATGGGCCGAAAATGCAACCCGTTGTCGCTAGCCCGATGCAAGCCGACAGCGAAGGACAAACGCATGGCGGTTCCGACCAGGTTCCAGGCCGCATTGCGTTCGTTGTAGTTGTGGAGGAAAAGGGAGAGAAGAAGAAGGGCTCGGATGTTGGAAAGAGTGCATCTGGAGATTAAATGTGGCAGCAGCTGTCGGGTTAGGCGGACACAATGTTGAGAAAGTGAAGTGAGGTCGAAATTAGGGATGTCCAACGGGCTGGACAAAGAACCAAAGGCAATCATCATGTGCAAACAGCCTAGCCAGCCTGGCTCAGGTACGGTAGACGACGGCGGATGCATACCCGCTCTTGTCTGCTGCTGAGAATACAGCCCTGTAGACATATATGTCTCGTATTCTTCTGCGAAAGTCCCGCGGTGGAATAATGGAAAGTCTGGATGTACGTCTTTGAAATACAGCCGTACCAGCGGGTCGACAATATCTCGAGGCGGAAGCTGTCTTCTGATCTCCTCGATGTCATCAGCGGGGATGCTGGCAAAATCACGGATCAGCGCAGACCCCAGTGAGGCAGGGGAGCGCTCGTCGAGCTGCTGGTCTTCGTTGGTACACGGTTCCGGGAGCTCATTTTGGTTTCCGTCTGCCTCAAGAGCCTGGGCTGCGTCTTCCTCGATGAACGTGGCCGTAAGCCGAGTAGACGCTGGGGACGCAATAAAATGCTCGCTGCGAGAGATAAGAATCAACCTCCGGAGCTGGCCTAGAAATTGCAGGCTTCCAGATGGGCCGATGAAATGCTCACGCCCAGCTGTGTCTCTGATGAGGCCCACAGGTTCGTCTACACGAGGACTGATTTCAGAGCCTTGGTCGGAAGATGTTCTTCTCTCACTATCACCCTGGATATTTGTGGCACCTGCTCTCGGTGACGATGAAGCCGCACAGTCCACTGACCCAATATTACCTTGATCATCGGCTGTAGTAGAGAGATCCTTCAACAACTCCTCCACCCTTGGTGTTTCATCACGAGACAAGACCGGCATGGCATACCCCATGCGTTCTCCCAGCCGGACTAGATCCGGGACAGTGGAAATGGCGTCATTGGGAAATGTACCACGCACAATGGCCTCTAAGCATTTGTATCTAAAGCAAGGGCGTGCAGCTTGTCAACGCAGGCCATCGAGGCAATAGGCAGGGTAGATGCGAGGTAGCTTACCGGTCACTCAAATCATCCACGCTACCGTAGAATCGGGTCTTCCGTGGAAGCGTGTAGGAGCATTCGAGGTTATGGTTCTGGCACATGACACAGCTGTGTCCTGATGGAAGTGGAACACATTTGCAACGCCGCTATTGGTGCCATCGTAGTAGATGCTTGTTGTCAGCCTACATCTTTGAATAAAGTAAGGCAACTACAGGGGCCGAGCCGTCTGTATCACAAGTATAAGACAGCATGAGCAAGCTAACCTTTCGACAGAAGTCGCCTAGTGTATACCTTAGACCCAGGTCACTGATCGCCGTCTTAAAGCAACGCTTACTGCGGACATGCGTAAATTGGACTTACAGCTATATGCGGATCGCTTCCTGGATGCGTCTGGTATCCTTCTGGGCCGGCCTTTCGGCGGTCTTGTCGCTGCTTCCGCCATCGAGTACTTAACCGGGAAAATGGATAGAAGTCTTCCGTCGTTTCGGACATGCGTCCAGTCACAGTAGTCGTATCTACTCCGACTCCTTTTTGCGCTTTTCAGCAGGATTTGTGCATGCAGCCTGTGCGTCCATGCGGAGTCAAAGATGCGTCGGAGCTGCGGACCGTGAGCGCAAAGAAATACTGTAGGGAAATGGGACGGGTGCATGCTTCCGGAATGCCCCACAGGGCTAGTTTTCTCCCCGGACTTCCGGCACGGCGCTAGGGGAGTATGGTCCCCGCGACCAAACTTTCGACACTATGGCAGCACATTGTGTCGTGACTTGCAGTTGAGAGATGTCCAACACAGCAGCCCAGAGACCATGGAGTCTTTACGAGTTTGTTCTACTTCATCTTCACACCTCGGCTTCTCACCTGGACTGAGCACGCGCATTTACGGTCTACCGGCAAGATGATCGAGTCGTTCACCCTTCCCAGCGGGCGAGAGATGGCCTATACCTTGTCACCTAGGGCCTCCTCAGATCGCATCCTCCTCCTTTCTAATTCTCTAGCGGAGGACTTGACTTCCTGGGATCGCGTCGTGCCTGTACTGGAAGACCAAGGCTTCAGGGTCCTTCGCTACGACCAACCGGGCCATGGCCGCTCCAGCGCACCATCTGAATCTGAGCTGTCCTTTATGTCTTTCGAGGTCCTGGCAGACGATGTATATTACCTTTTGAAACACTTGGGAATCAGCAGACTGCATGCTTGGATAGGGGTATCGATGGGAGGGATCAAAGCCGTGTACTTCGTTGCGCGTCATCCGGGCATGGTGAACAAGATCATTGTAGCCGACGCCATCGCCGCTTCACCAACCGTGGCCAGCATCCCGGATAACTTCGCCGCGAGGATAAGCGCCGTCAAGGAAGGGGGATCAATCTCAGAGGACCTTTTCAATACGAGGAAGCGGTGGTTCGGCGAAGAGTGGATGGCGGAGCATCCCGAAGAGACGGCGAGAATGGAAAAGTCTATGGCGACGACTACAATTCAGGGGCTCGAGGCCTGCTGCGCCGCTCTTAGAAGCCCGTCCTTCGATCTCCGGCCGCTGTATCACAAGGTGGGACATGGCTGTGACGAGGCTCTCGTTATTGCCGGGGAGAAGGATGCGGACCTGCCGTCCAAGATGCAGGAGATGCGGAAGGCCATGGAAGAGAGCTTATGGAGCTGTGGGAAGAAGGCATCCGTGAGGATGGAGATTGTAAAGTCTGCCGGGCATGTACCCTACATTGACGGTTTTGAGGACTTCTGTGTGATTATCACCAAGTTCCTTTCTTAGATGAGGTCAGCGATGGCTCTGGCGAAATGGATTCGTAGTTTCTTTGCATCAAAAGCTGCAGGACATCCCCACCATAAGCAAATCACTATTGGCATTTCTAGACTTTATGGCATTCTGATTCCCTACCACTTGCGTTTGTCCAAGTAGTTTGTTCCGTATCAAGTCCTAGCAACACTCTATCAGACGAACTGCAAACCGGAAATAATCGAGTCGTGGCTCCCCTACTTGTTGGAAACTGACTTAGAGCACATCTGAATAGACAGCAGCCGAAGGATAAACCGACGAAGGGTAACGGGTCCGGCGGCACAACTCTCCGTCGGGTGCATTGTTCCGATCATTAATCTCAGCTCTCGAACAGTAGATCCGGCCGTGCGGCAGACTGTATTCAGAGACACCATCAGTATCTTCGCAGGGAAGAAGAAGAGATGGGGTTTTCCATCAGTGAACCTTGCCACCATTCATTTATAAAACCATCATCTTGAGAGAAAACGAATTTGGGTACCCCTTTTATTCGGACGATCTGTGAACTTCACCGAGTTATTCTGGCTGCACAGCATGATGCCTAACATTTCCCGATCGTTGAACGTGCTTGTCGTCGGCGCTGGCCTGGGCGGCCTAGCGACGGGACTGGCCCTGCAGACCGACGGCCACAAGGTCACAATACTTGATGCAGCTCCCGAGTTCGCCGAAGTAAGGGCTCAATACCAACCCCGTTCCACGATTTTGGCTCACATTGGCGACTCCATAGGCTGGAGCGGGTATCAGGATCCCACCTAACTCGAGCCGCCTGCTCATGCGATGGGGAGTTGACCTAGAGAGAATGAAGAAGTCGACTTCGCAGAAATATCACTTCATCCGATGGAAGGATGGCAGTACAATCTTCGATCTGCCTTTCCGCAACATTGTCGAGACACACGGGGCGCCTTACTGGCTTGTTCATCGGGCAGACCTACACACGGCGCTGCTCGATGCCACCCAGAAAGCCGGCGTCAAAGTTTTGACAAAGAAGCGTGTGGTCTCGTACGACTTCGATGTTCCGACTGCGACTACGCAGGATGGGGAAGTCTTCACAGCCGATCTGATCGTGGGTGCGGACGGTATCAAGTCTGTCTGCCGGCCCCTACTTACCGGCCAGCCCGACATCCCGCGAGATACTGGAGACATAGCCTACCGAATCCTCATTCCCAGCGAAAAGTTGCTGGCCGACCCGGAACTGGCCCATCTTATCCTCGACCCTTGCACAACTTCCTGGTGCGGGCCGGACGCACACCTGGTTGGTTACCCCATCCGCAACGGGGAGATGTACAACATCGTCGTGTGTGCCACTTCCTACAACGAAACCACGGACGAGGTCTGGGTCGTCAAAGGCGACAACAGCGATCTGTGCAACCGATTTGCGAGCTGGGAGCCGAAGGTGCGGAAGCTCTGTGCCCTGACGGGTGACTTCATGAAATGGCGACTGTGTGACCTGCCCAATCTAACCCGCTGGACACACCCCTCGGGCAAAGCCGTGTTGCTGGGTGACAGCTGTCACCCCATGCTCCCTTACCTGGCTCAAGGTGCCGCCCAGTCCTTTGAGGACGCGGCCGTTTTGCGCCAGGTCCTCGCGCAGGATGTGGACATGGCCACGGCGCTGCAGCAGTACGAAAAGATCCGCATGCCGCGAGCGGGCCTCGTGCAGGCCAAGACGCGTGAGCACCAGTACATCTTGCATATTGATGACGGGCAGGAACAGCAGATGCGTGACAAGAAGCTGGCTCTCGATACGGAGGAGAACCCAGTCTTCTGGGGCTTTGGAGACCGGAGGAAATGGCTCTTTAGCCACGATGCAGAGGTGATTAGGACAGAAGGAGCGAACTGGAGGGATGGGTCCGTGTTGAATGGTATTCAGACTTAGTCACAGACATGGCATTAACTCGGATTCATATGGTTATTCCTAAGAGCTGATGGAGCCGACGTCAGCTGAATGCTCTGGAGCCCGTATTTTCTTCACCCAAATGTCCTGTACGCTTGGCTCTCGCACCGTCCCTCCGCTCCTGGTCCGGTCTTGGTTGTCTCTTCTCGAAATGCTCTGAAATTTTGACGGAAGAAGTGGTGGAAAAGCGAATGACTCGTTCTGAAGGATTGAATGTTAACTCTCACTCCCACAGTTAAACACACATAGCTCTATTATGTTCGCATCCTTTTTTTTTCATCTCAACTATTGATTTAGCTCAACAGTAAAAATTATTCACCCCCAGAATCTGACTTCACTCGTCAAACATACAATGCCTTACATGCGTAATGTAATCACGAGAATCCCGAAAATTGTCCCCCTGGTGCAGGAGGTCGAGGTTCCATATCAACATCTCCAGACGCGTTTGTTTGGCGTCTAATCTTGTTCGGAGCGCCCTACCCCTAACAAAGAACCAAACGAGGCCTAGTAGCATGTATTGAAAAGCTGGGTTAGCCTACATGGTGACTGCGGCAGCGCAAAAACCGCATCTGAAATTAAAAGGGCTGCAAATGAGATATTCGCATATTGTTCCCCGGTTGCGCATATACAATACGATTACCTAATCCACGCCAGTCCCAATACGGTTAGCGGCTCAACCTCAGCGGCCGCGAGTTTTGCGTGTCGCGACTGACCATCCAACCATCGAGCCCCCGAGCCTCCATCATCCCATTCGCCCCCGTCTTTCATATCGAGCATTCCCATTGCTCGAATTGGTCCCTCCTGATTATCTCTGCCCGTACTGCCAGCTTCACTGGTGATCTGCCCGTGCATTGCACCCCAGGAAAAGACCGGCAAGGAGGTCATCTTCTGTCGTTCGCGACAGCAGGCTTCGACTCGTGATTCATCATGGATGACACTCCTGTCAACCCGCTTGGGGCTTCCGACAATGCTCAGCCCCTGACTGGTGCCGAGGGGGTCGCTGACCTTACGCGCGCCTCCAGCCACGCCTCAGGTAATCGCCTCCCCGGGGAGAGACCAGGGCCGTAATACTAACTCGCGACCTAGAAGCGCAATCTCCAGAGAAGAAGATCGAGCCCTCGACTGAACCGGACAATCCTCTCGACGCCCCGGCATCCCCCAAGCCCCAGAATGGCGATGCTGAAGACGAGGAGATGGGCGGCACGGAGACGGATGCCAAGCGCGATACCGAAGGCCTGGAAGATGCGGCAGGAGAATCGCAGCCACCTGCCGATGCAGACGCGGATGCAGTGGGCGAGGAACAGCCGGTGCAGTCCAAATCCGCGCTGGAAGCCTCCGCCCGGTCTCAGCTAGTCGCGCAAACACACGCCATCATCCTACCTAGCTACTCGACATGGTTCGATATGCACACTGTGCACGCGATTGAGAAGAAGGCCCTCGCTGAGTTTTTCAATGGTCGCAACCGCAGCAAGACCCCTGCCATCTACAAAGACTACCGTGATTTCATGATCAACACTTATCGCCTAAACCCCATCGAGTATCTGACTGTGACCGCGTGTCGTCGTAACCTTGCTGGAGATGTGTGCGCAATCATGCGCGTTCACTCGTTCCTTGAACAGTGGGGTCTAATCAACTACCAGGTAAGTATCCAAGTCTTGGTATTTGCCTTAGACTTTTTTTTAACACCAATCTAGGTCGACCCGCAGACGCGGCCCTCCAACATCGGCCCGCCATTCACTGGTCACTTCCGAGTCATCGCCGACACCCCACGGGGTCTACAGCCGTTCCAGCCCGGACCGAACCACACCGTCACTGCTGGCAAGTCTCTTCCTGCCACCGATCGAGCGGCGTCAGCTACCCCTGCCACGAAGTCCGAGCTCAACCTCGAAGTCCGCCGTAATGTCTATGACGATAAAGGACAGGCGATCACTCCTGGCGACGACAAGGAGAAACAGACTAACGGTGAAGTGAACGGAGCTTCTGCCCAGGACCTTGAGAACGCTGCCCAGGAGCCCAAAAAGAAGTCTCACTGCTTCTCTTGCGGTATCGATTGCACCCGTCTCCGGTTCCATTATGCCAAGTCGGCCCCGGCATCAGGCAATGCCAACCTGCCCGACACAAAATACGATTTGTGCCCTAACTGTTTCCTTCAAGGCAGAATGCCTTCCAGCCACAATGCCTCGGACTTTGTCAAGCTTGAGGACAAATCCCACACCCATGTGCCTGATAAGGACACTCCGTGGTCGGATTCAGAGCTTGTCTTATTGCTGGAGGGTCTGGAGAACTTTGATGACAACTGGGAGCAGATCGCTAGCCATGTCGGCACTCGCACCAGAGAAGAATGCGTGATGAAGTTTTTGCAGTTGGAGATTGAGGACAAATACCTCGAAGACCTTCCTGACATGCGTGCCACGAGTGGACGCGATCCCATCAGCCAGGCCGAGAACCCGGTCTTGTCTGTGGTGGCTTTCCTAGCCCAGATGGCTGAGCCCACCGTGGCCGCTGCCGCTGCCGGACGATCTGTAGAGGAGATCCGCAAAGAGTTGCGGAAGCAACTTGAGAAGGGCCAGGACAAGGGCAAGGAAAGGGAAGGCGAGACGGTCAAGGCCGAGGACTCCATGGATGTGGACGTTGTGCGCGAGGCCGAAACTGCCGACAAGTCGAAACAGTCGCTCAGCACCGTCGCACTTGCCGCTTCTGCCGCGCGTGCTGGCGCGCTCGCCTCACACGAGGAGCGAGAGATGACCCGGCTGGTTTCCGCCGCGGTCAATGTCACCCTGCAGAAGTTCGAGATCAAGCTTCAACAGTTTAACGAGATGGAGGAGATTATCGAGGCTGAGCGCCGGGAACTCGAGCAGGCACGCCAGCAGCTCTTCTTGGACCGGATGACCTTCAAGAAGCGCGTCAAGGAGGCCCAGGATGCTCTGCAAGCCGTTAGCTTGCAGGGTCCCAATGAGAACACCAATGCGCTGCTTGCAAACGCCGCCACCGCAGGCATTGGCAACCACTACAGCTTCCAGCCTGTCGGTAGCGACCCCCGCACTGGCACTGAGCCCCTGAGTGTTGAGGGAGGCGACTTCAAGACGCTGGATCTGTAGTGTCTTGTTTTCTTCTTCCTCTCCTCCATCCACCTATGTACGATATCCCCTGGGTTCCTTTTCAAGTCAGGGAGAAAATGGGAGGGGGGTCATACTCATGGAATGTGCAATTTTTTTCTTTTTACCGACGGTCTGCTTCTTGCCGTGTTATGAATATTCTCCTTTTATCTGCTTTTGGCTTGGAAAAGGCGCTTCTACTTACTATCTGTTGGAGTTTGAGTGAATTCCGACTCCCCTTGTTTCCACTGGGGAATTGACTGTTCTTAAGGGGGCGATGGATATGATATGAAATAAGAGGAGGATGTTGGCTGGTCGAGGTCTTTCTTGAATGTGTTTATTTCTCATTAATACTATTATGTCTTCTGATGGGAATTCTCTCTATCTGTTGCTCAAATCTCTGAGCTAGGGGTATTTCGTATTTCCACAGCCATGGCATGTTCCAGCGATGACCGCCCTGTAGTCGGACTAGTCTCGGACCGTTGCTCGTTCGTCTATGGTCTCTTGCTGGGTCAGTTCCACGTTTCCATTTGTAGAAGCTCTGGCTGAGTCTCAAATGGTGGGCGTTGTGTGTAATCATGCCTGGAGTGGCAGGCTTGCATCGCCTGCAAGGGCTCGTTCATCGTTTTTCTGTCGTTGTAGGCAGTATGCCTGTCCATTGGCGAGAACGACTGTCAAGGCTCTGATGGGAGTTCGGGGTAGTGATCGACTTCACTGGTTTGCATCTCCTGCATCTCCTGAATTTGATCCTCCTTGCTGAAAGTGTGATCTTGATCCTGGAAGTAATGATCTCGCAGTTCATAATCCTGGACTTCATGATCTTCGACATCTTCATATCTCTCGGTATCAACACTCCGAGGAGGTATATGTCGCAAATGCTCACGGGGAGAGTCTGCGGGAGAATCACCAAGACGGCGCCTCTTGCGCCGATTCTCGGCCAGTTCTTCCTCTAGATCTTCCATGCCGTAGCCGTAATCCTCCCACTCGCTGCGGTAAAGGGTGTGGTCGCGCCAGTCGACCAGGTCTTGTTTCGTCTTGCGTTCTCCGTGTGGTTTGCGAACGACTTCTTTATTCTTTTCTAGGTCGTTCTCGTCGTCTTCTTCTTTGATTGGCTCGTCGAGGAAAGATGGTGCCGGCTGCTCGAGCTTGCTCCAGAGCCTTAATTCCCCGCGACGACTCCGTTCTCTGTCTAGCGTGTCTGCGTGTTCGTCTTCAGGGTCCAGGAAAGACAATTCTGATTCAGATAATGGGGAGGAGAGTTCAGAAGAGGCTCGAGATGGTAGTCTCTCGATGTCTTCTTCTTCCTCTGCTGGCTCCTCCGGCTGATCGTCTGGTAAAACCCCTGTTTCAGAAACAAGTTTGAAGTAATCGTCATTGCCAGAGAGGATTTTTTCGATCTCGTCGTAGCTGAACACCCGGGGAACCCAGCCCTTTTGGTTTTTTATGTCGGCCACCTCGAGATGATTCCGGCGTGCAAGCTTGATCCAGAAATCGGATCTATCGCGCTTCATGTTCAATACATCTAGTGCAGTATGCACATCCCGTTTGCGCACGGCGCTCGTTCTCTCTTTCCCGCGCCGCTGTACAGTGCGCAGGCGGGACATGGCGAAAAAAATCGAGGATTGGATCAGGCGACGTGTGATGCTGATCACCAAAGCATAGAAGTTTTGGAGTGCATCCGCGGTCATAGATGGCTCCTCGTCTTCCGACATTGCAATATTCGTCCAGTTGTCTTCTGATCTTGATCCACCAGGATTCATAAAAACACGGCGCGACAGTTGGATCATGATGGGGACGTTGAGCAGACCTGATGCAAGAGAGACACCCTCACGCACCGTATCGGCGTTCTCCCCATCCTTAATCTTCTGTGCGCGTGTCTCTGTTATGACCCAGTTCAGGCCGTGTTCTCGCTTGCGCTCGATCGCCGCCTTGTGCTCCTCATCGGCGACAAGGACCTCCGCATACTGATCCAGTACAGCACCGCATTCCTCGCTGACTTCCTCAGCGGCGGGGATATCCGCCAAGACCACCGGTCGGATATGATTCTTGAACAGGTGCTCGACCTCTAAACTGCGGTGCAAAAGTCGTAGATGATCCATAACCTCGAGTTCGGACTTGGTGCCGATCGCCGCCGCAATCTCCGGGATTCCATTCTTGCCCTGTCGGTCGAGGACATTGAACAGTGCTTCTTTCTCCGAAGGTGTCCACAGCACAGCCCCGTTCTGCGTCACGAGGTGCGGCTCCTCGTTGTCTACATATTGAGTGCCGTTTTCAGTTTCGATGAGGAGCGCCTTATACTCTTCGAGGGCGACAGGGGGAAGCTGTTGAAGCTTCGACCATAGCCATGCAAGCCGTGGGTGTGTGATGTCTGACTCTGGATCGTCGGGGGAGGAGGATATCGTCAGCGCATCGAGCGCGGGCGAAGAGGGCGCTTCGGATGGCTCGTAGAAGTCGGAATCGGGATCGCCGTCGTCGTGGTCCGGCTCGTATTCACTGGTGCTGCTCATGGTCGCGAGGATTGCAGTGGCTCGCGGCACATGGGCAATGTACCGGAGAAGCGACACATCACTGCTTGAGAATAATAATGATGTTGAGTTCAAGAAAAAAGTCTCAACGAGGAGGAACGATGTTGTTATCGATAAGAAAGTGTTTGCTCTGTTTGTTCTGCCCTGGAGCTCTTCGAGCCTTTGATCTTCCTCAATGGCATTCGCATGGAGTTTGTTCGCAGGACTGGGCCCTTTTTCTTCGCGCGGCCCTTAAAGAGGCCACTGCCGCGGTGTCGCTGGCAATATCGCCATCTGCGCCTCAACTCAACTGCGCTCTCCGGCCCACCAGGCATCGTCCTACGCGATTACCAAGAGGAGTCCATTCAGTCGGTGCTGAAATACTTGGGCGAAGGCCATCGACGCCTGGGGATTTCACTAGCAACAGGAGCAGGGAAGACTGTTATTTTCACACAGCTCATCGGCCGAATCCCTCTACGCGATGCGAAAGCGACAAAGACGATGATCATCGTCCACCGACGGGAGCTCGTCGAACAGGCCGCGCGCCACTGCCGCCTCGCATACCCTGACCGCGTCGTGGAAATCGAAATGGGCAATAATGTTGCCACGGGAGGAGGTGATATTATTATTTCGTCCATCCAGACCCTTACGCGGCGGATCGACAAATTTGACCCCAGCGCGTTCAAGCTGGTCCTTGTCGACGAGGCGCATCATATCGTCGCGCCTTCTTACCGCAAGATATTGGACTATTTTGGGCTGAACGAGCCCGCTGCCGACTCGCCCGTGCTGGTTGGGGTTTCGGCGACCTTTTCGCGGTTCGATGGGCTTAAATTGGGTGCTGCTATTGATCATATCGTCTACCACAAGGACTATGTGGACATGATTGAAGACAAGTGGCTGTCAGACGCGATATTCACAACAGTCAAGTCCGGGGCAGACCTGAAACATGTCAAGAAAGATCACTTTGGTGACTTTGCCGTCGGCAGCCTTTCCAACGCGGTAAACACTCCCACGATCAACAACATCACGGTCCGGGCTTGGCTTGCCAATGCCGAAGACCGAAAATCGACCCTGGTCTTTTGTGTTGATGTGACGCATGCGCAGAGGCTTACGGAAACTTTTCGGGAACATGGCGTTGACGCTCGCTATCTCACTGGCACCACACACAAAGATGCCCGCGCAGAGCAGCTGCGGGCTTTCAAAGCGCAGGAATTCCCTGTCTTGTTAAATTGTGCCCTTTTCACCGAGGGCACGGATATTCCCAATATCGACTGTGTCCTCCTGGCGCGACCCACGCGGTCTAGAAACCTGCTGATCCAGATGATCGGGCGAGGCCTGAGATTGTTTCCTGGCAAGAAGAATTGCCACATTATTGACATGGTTGCATCGTTGGAAGCTGGAATTCTGACAGCCCCTACCCTGTTTGGATTGCATCCCGACGAAGTGCTGAAAGAGTCTAGCACAGAAGAACTACGGAAGACCGCCGCCGAGCTCCAAGAGAAGCCGGATGCTGAATCAAACGATACTGCTGAACCAGCGGCCACAGCACTCTCAGAAGAAGACGATACCAAGGTCGTGCACATGACCAGATATGACAGCGTCTTCGACCTTCTGAATGACATCCGCACCGAAAGATACATCCGGATGCTCAGCCCGTACTCCTGGGTCCAAGTCGGCGACCGGAAATACGTGTTGACCGATTCAGCCGGATGGCTAACCATAGAGAAACAAGACGAGCTCTGGGTTGTGCACCATGTCATGAAATTCAAAAATGAGGCAGATGTCCAAGTCTTCACCCGGCCACGAGAGATTGCATCCGGCCCGGACCTGGAAACCGCTGTGCGAGCAGCAGACAGTTTTGCAAAAAGCAAGTTCCAGGAACGCTATATTTCGTTGCGAGAATCCTGGAGGCATGCCTCAGTGACCACTGGGCAGCGCAAATTCCTGAAAAGGCTCGAAGCTCACAACAAACGAATACGCTCTCGGGAACTCACTCGTGGTCAAGCGGCGGATATTATCACGAAGTCGCTTTTCGGTGGGAAAAAGCGATTTGATAAGTTGGAGGTCCAGGGTAGAGCCAACGAGAAGAAGATTGATGATGCGCGCAAGCTGCAGGAAAGGGAAGAGGTTAGGGTTGGGCCGTTGGACCGATGAGTTGGGTAAATGGGGGATAAGCAGTTATCTTCAGCTGTCTTCGGCAACCAAGCGGGTTCCCATATGGATCTGGATCTTTGTGAAACCAGGGATCTAATCAAAAGATTTTCACTTCTCTGGGGAAATATAAATATATATAGAGAACTGACTGTCCCATGCATAGTCTGATCAAGAGACTCCCGTCGACCATAGCGCATCAATTTGACTTCTTCATCATTTTCTCTTCTGATCTGGCTGCCGGTCACAGGATCTACGGCATTTGTGCTTCATATCCTTAAAAGCTAAAGAAGGTTGCTAGAAATAGACTTAGAGGAGGAAGTAGCATTGAAGTGATAAAGGCTCCGTGAACCGCCGTACGAAGGGCTCCTTAAGAGAGCGTACAGAGATACGACAATCCCACGAGTTACAGGTGCAACTACTAAGTAGCGCGCTAGGCTATTCAAACAGAGCCAATTTATGGTAGCTGTTAATAAGGCTAAACTATATTTTTGCTATGCTTATCAACTGTTCGTATGAGCAGTCAGTTTTCTTGGAGAAGCAGATTCTGTGCCCCTTATATATTACATATTGCAGTCAGGAAAGCACTGCAGCTGTCACCACATCCGTGAGACTTTCTTATTGTGAATCCAAGGCCAACCGCACCGCCTGCTTACGACAGAATGGTGGGATCAGCATCAAGGCCAGGCATTCAGCTTACGCGGCCTTCCAAGTTGAGGTTATTGCCATTGAGTAATGCGGGTCTGGGTCTTAGTTGTATTTTCTACAACTGTTGTGTAGTGAGCCCCCGTCCGTGCAATGAGATATGACCAGATGCCGATCTCAAGGCTGTAGTTTCAATTTTCTTGACACTTCGGCATAAGTCGAAGATAAAGCTCATCGCATCGGTTGCTGTTTTGGTCAGATCTGGTGGACCTTTTCGGGAAAATGGTCGATTTAGGGTAGTAGTTCGTCAACATTGAGTTTGCCTTGTATTTCCAGTGTAGAGGACAGGACGCCTAATTACACATGCACGTCGAAGGATAAAAAACCGAAGTTGTGCAGAGCCAGCAAGTCATTATTAGCGATCCTTCCCCAACTAGTTAGAGTTTTTGGCCAACATTAGTCATTTTCGGAGACCCCCTTTTGATCGGGGAAGGCTGCGGGGAGCCGAGGGAACAAAAGAACCCTTGTTCACAGGGAGAATTATTATACATGCTCAAACTTTTTGGCACGGCAGGCCGGATAGCTTGATAATCACACCATCCAGCGAACATACAGCGCGTTAGCAGCTGAGAAGAGGCGGTGGCATTGTTGGAATGTAAACGGCCAGAGGCCGGGATCGGCGTAGATCGACAGAAAGCACTGCAGTAGTTTGCAACTAATGAGTTCTCGAGTTCAGCTGACCCGAAAGTCCGACCTGCGCGCTTTTTCTTGGCTTTCTCTTTGTTTCTTCTCTTCACTTCTCTGTGCAGGCGTGTGCATAGGCTACGAGCGGATCGTTTACATTCCTCACAGATCGGCGCCCTTAAAAGAGCTAGGAGCCGATTCTCGTATTTTCCTCTTGGCAACTCTGTCCCACCTCTCAGAGCGCATTCTGTAGGCAGGTGAAGTCGCTAACCATGGGGGTTTCTGGTGCGTTTCTATCTGACCTTCCACGTTCCCGTTACTTCTACATCACTGCACCCGGTCATCTCTGTGCTATCAGCAATCTCTCTGGATCTGCGATTGACTAAATGTCTCCCCACAGAAGCCAAAGCGGGCGACAATGGAGAGAGCCAGGTCTTCCAGCAGGACCCGGAGCTTCCACAGCTCACTACCACCACCGAGCGCAAGTTGATGGCCAAGATTGACTGGCACATCTTGCCTTGCCTGTGTGTTCTCTATCTACTTGCCTTTTTGGACCGGTGAGAGCGCGAATCAATTCCTTATATTTTGTGCCCTTCAGGCTCTAACTTGGTGTTGTCGCACAGGGTGAATATCAGTAATGCGGCGCTTTTCAACCTCAAAACCGACCTGCATATCGAGACAGGAACGAAGTACAACACGGCCCTCACTATATTTTTTGTGCCATATGTTCTTTTTGAGGTGCCTTCCAATGTTCTGCTCAAGAAGCTGAAGCCTCATGTGTGGTGTATGTTTAGCATTGCCTCAGATTTGGGGGACATCTCACTGACCATCTCTCTACAGTGTCGTTTTGCATGTTCATGTTTGGCCTGGTAATGATCTGCCAAGGACTCGTCTCAAGCTGGGGAGGCCTGATGGCGGCGCGGTTTTTTCTGGGTGTGTTCGAGACGGGCATGTTCCCTGGATGTGAGTATTGTTTTGGACCGTCTCTCAATAGCCCGAAGACTCATTCATGACAGGTTTCTATTTGATGGGAATGTGGTATAAGCGATCCGAGGCCCAGAAGCGCTTCAGTTTCTTTTTCAGCTCTACCACCCTGGCCGGTGCCTTTGGTGGACTCTTGGCTTACGGCTTTGGCCAGATGGGCGGAGATCGAGGATATAGCGGTTGGAGATGGGTGTTCATCATAGAGGGTGTGATCACTTGCGTTGTTTCCTTCGCCTGGTTCTTCCTCCTCCCTGATTTCCCCGAGGATGTCAAATGGATGAACGAAGAAGAGCGGGAATTCATTCGCGCGAAACTGGCCAAGGATGTGGGCAAATCTGCACATCATATCCCAATAGGCTGGCGTGAAGCATTGGCTGTCTTTAAGGACTGTGAGTGGACCACTACGGTATACTCGTCGCGTCATACTAATTGCCCTTATAGACAAGATCTTCGTTGGAGGATTCATGTACTTCGGCCTCATTGTCCCGGCCTATGGATATGCGTATTTTGCGCCTCAAATTATCGAGGGCTATGGATACAGTGGTATGTATAGATTGCTCTTCAACATGATCAGCTGAGCTAACCTCCCTCCCCTCTCTAGCCGTCAAGACCCAGCTTTACTCCATTCCACCCTGGGCGGTGGCATTCGGCTTTTCGCTGATGATCGCGTTTTCCTCTGACCGGCTGAAACACCGCTTTGCATTCACCCTATTCCCAATTGCAGTCGCAATCGTCGGGTTTGCAATGTTGCTGAACATCCATGGGGTTAGTAATACACACGCTGAGTACGCCGCCCTTTTCTTGGTGACGAGCGGCTGCTACAGCGCAATGCCCGTCATTGTGTGCTGGTTCGCCATGAATCTGGGTGGCCACCACCGGCGCAGCGTCGGAACGGCTTGGCAGATTGGATTTGGCAACATCGGGGGTATCATTGCTGCCTACTCCTTTCAGACCCAGGATGCTCCACAATACCGCCCAGGCTTTATTATCTGCATCTCCTTCATCTGTCTTTCTGCTGCATCGTGCGTTGTCTACTTTGCGGCTCTGCGTTTTGAGAACCGAAAGAGGGACAGGGCGGCAGTTGATCCGGCGACTGTGGATGAGGAGGAGGAGGAGTTTTTGGGCGACATGGCGCCCACTTACCGGTACCAGTACTAATTGGACTGTAGATGCCTTGTCAAGAACTTGGCTTACTTCCCATTTTCCCTGGAGTACTTGAAGTTCAAGTAATGATTTATGGACCTTGCGATATGGGGGGGGTGCGGGCCTTATCCCCGAGATGGCAAAGCGCGAATAATGCTTTTTTTCACTATCTAGTGATATGTGATAGGCATTGTGATGTTGTGAATTGTTGGACAAGTACAAATGCATTTTATTTGCTATGGCTCCCTCCCAATAATGAACATCCAGTGTCTCGTAGTGATGGGGGTTTGTTGAACCACGTGATACTAAATTCACGTGATTCATTTCCTCATATGGACTAGCGTCAACCAAGCGAGCCCTCGGCTGAGTAAGCTCCCTGACGCACAAAGCGGCGCCATTTGCCGCTTCTCTTCATCTTTCCTTCAACCATCCTCCTCATCCTCGCAGAAGTGTGTGCAACCCCCTTTCCCCCCCCCGGTCATTCTTATAACAATCCACTAACTTGCATCTATCTAGAACCATCTACGAAGATGAGAGCCAAGTGGAGAAAGAAGCGCGTTCGTCGTCTCAAGCGCAAGCGCAGAAAGATGCGCGCCAGATCGTAAGTCTCTTGTTTTATGTCACTAAACAAAGAAGCACTTGTGCTAATAGCTCTCTCTAGCAAATAAACTACTCGCCCCCTCCATCTCAGCTCCTCCTATCGAGGCTCATGTTTGAATGCTGAACACGACAATTGATGTTCCGATGTTACGACCGTTCGTTCTTCGTGTCACGTCTCTCTTTTCTTGAGTAGCCTGCCCAGATGGTGTTTCTGTTCGTCCAAAGAAGCTGCAGCTCGTCCGATGGGATCCGACCGTTCAAACGTTTCTCCCTATCTTCCCAACTCTCGTGGATTCATTCAACGTCGGTCGTCTGATTGCTGGGCATGGTGTTTATGCACATTGTTTACTCGGAGGGGATCCTGTGTTTAGTGAAGGGTTGGAAGGGTCTGTTTATGGCCTTTATGAGCACGGCAGTGAGGATGCTGGTCAATCTTATGCTCGCATGCTTGGTCCTTTCTGAGGGCCGGTAGAGCCATGGGGAGGTTTTTGAGGGTTTATGAAAAAAATTACTGGAAAGCTCGGCGGTCTTAGGTTTCAGATAGCTATGCTTGTCGGTGAATCGATGACTTCAAGAGTGTTTTTTGACCTGTCTCCTACCTATAGAGCACTCCCTGTTAATTACGTAGTGCATTTGTAGCCCTGGTTGTGCGCTGGGAATTTACCGCCTTCTGGATTGGTAACCGGTATTTTTTTCTGCCGACGCTCAAATTTCTCCAACGGGTGATCCAAGTAGTCTCTCTAACTTAACGGTCGTGGTTTCTCGCCATCATGCCGTCCAATAAGACAGAGAAGAAACGAAAGCGCGACTCCGATCGCCATGAGCGCCCGAGCAAAAAGCCCGCTCGGGATCTACAAGCTCTTCCTCCGCTGGCAGCCAGCGTCGTGGACGACAGCAGCGAATTGGCGCCAGTAATCAGTGAGTTCAGCGCTTTCCTTCAAGAACTTGTTTTGTTAACACTCCATATTAGCATCCACTCCCGGCCTTCAAACCTCAGAGACGCTCCGTTACACCCCGTACAGCAAAACTCGTGACCATGTCTCGAAATCGGCAACACCCGGCCGAAACCCAGGCATCGTGTCCTCTGAATTGCTTTTGCAATCGTCCGATCATGCAAAAATGGACTTTGTCGGTCGTGAGGGCAACGAGGACGCTGCGGACTCGCAGATAAAACACTACATCGCCGTCGTGGATCCAGAGCGCAAGACATGGCAAGTCGTGGAGGCGCGGAGGATGAAAGTGCGAGGCGCAGTTCGGAGCAAGAAGGCGAGCCAAGAGGAGGCAGAGTCAGAGGACGAAGCAATGGTACGGTTTTCTTTGGTTCTGCTAGGAAAAGTTTGTGCTAACATTTATATACAGTTCTCGATGCGCGCGCAGCGCACCGCGTTGACCAACACCTTCGGCACAAAGCAGGCAAAGAAATCCGCCCAGTCGTTTGCAGAGAATGCTCAGCTGTCGAACGCACCAGATGGTGTCGTCTCGCAAGCCGGCGCGGCACTTCTCTCCTCGCTGCCAGCTGATGCGACCACTGGTGCGGTGAAAGCCCATAACCTGCAGGCTGAGGTGCAAGCTGCCAAGCCTCTGCCCACACCAGATCTCTCTGCTGCTCACCCGTCTGATGTCTATCCACTTGAGACACTTGTTCCAAATGGCCACTCTACGCTGCGCCAGCTTACCCAGGTGGAAGAATGGCAGGAGCAGGCTGAGCAGGGTCGCGCTATCAGCACAGTCTCACGATTTGTCTCCAACCGTATCGGTCCAGTTATCCAGTCCGGTAATATCACCCAACTGCAAGTCCTGCGCCTCATCCAGCTCCTGGTTGAATTCGGTCGGTGCCTGAAGAGCGGAGGCCGTGATTCCAAGGGCTCCGCTGCCCCAGGCAGTAAGCGGCTGCCACCTCGCGAGGACCTCCGCCGGATTCTCTCGAGCACTACCGGCGCAGCCAAGGGTGGCAAGCAGTCTACAGACACTGCTCCACATGACCTGCTCCCAGACTCAGTAATCGACGCCGTTCGCCGCCGTTTTGCGCCTACCGGTGGCGTGGTCTCCAAGCACGACCTTACTCTGCTGCACACTACTATTTGTGCTCTCTCACTGCATATCCCTCCACAGCCTGCCAAGGATGGTGGCTCCAGCTCCCTCGGTGGGAATTCTCCCAATGAGCTTGCTACCGATCCCGCTGATCTGCGGGATGACCTGCGCCTCGACTCGAACACTGTCTACCAGTATTTCCGCGAGCTAGGCTGCCGCATTGACCGGCCACGCGAGTCGGAGTTCAGCAAGTGGAATATCAAGGGTGGTAAGGCCGAGGCTCATGCGCGTCGTGTGGCTCGTCTGCGTGTGCCTGTGGAGTTTCCCAAAGTTAGCCGTGGCGGGCGGAAGTAGTTGCACTTTCTTTTTCTGGGCATAAGATGACACAAATTGTTTGAGATTCTGTGGGGCGAATCTACGTTCTCTTTTGTGTCTTTCATCTGGCGTTGTTGGTCTTATCCCTTCTTCTATTGTCTCTGATACTGCCAAATATCTAAAAGAACTTACTATTCATCTTTCCTTCCCTGCTCGGACCCAGTGACCTTATTATACCCTTGATTATTGGTCTCGTTTGATTGGTGGCGTTGAATATGCACTAATTATATCAGCCGCACCGCAACTTTGCAGCAACCTCCCTGAGGGTGTTACGCACACTCATTCTTTTGGCCTACTCGACTACACTTAGACTATCTACATTTCTAGCAAATCTCAAAGTTCATTTTCACGTATTCCAACAAATGCAGAGCAACGAACCCCCCTCCCACGAAGGCAGCAGGAGGCCGAGGCCACGCTCCCACCGATGTCATTCTCGCCATGCAAGACCCATACATGACACAGATAATCGATGGAGTCAAAAACTACGGATTCAGAAAATATCGTATCAGCGCCTCCGTGCAAAGAATCTGGTTCTATCGGACCGCTCCACACTCTAGCATCACGCACATCTGCGAGATCCTCCCAGCCGCAACACGGAACCCTGGAGACGCACTACTGCCAGAGGACGGGCTGGGAAATGTCGAGTTTAATAATCGAGACCCGGAATGGGATGGATACGATTTCGCTTATAAGATCGTTAGTGTTTATGAGCTCTGTGTGCCGGTTTCGTTGCAGGATATGAAGGGGCGGTACGGGTTTAAGGCCGCGCCGAGGGGGCTTGTTTATCTTCCTGAGTCTATCGGGGGGAGCGTCGATTGGAAGATGCAGAAATTGGTAAGAACCCCTATTATAATTTGGGGACTGTGCATATTAATTGAACTTCAACTTACATGGGATGCAAGCAGATACTTGATCGGAGAAGCTAAACAACAAGAGCTCGGTGTCAATATATCTAGAATCAGATCTATATCCATCGCAAAAGCAATGGCGAAGCATTTTCAAATCAATGTCCATGGAGCAAGCGATTATGACAGAGCCGAGCCCTATCTCACTCTTTCTAATTCTACTTCTTTGGCGCGTTGACATTACCAGGGCCATACCAGTCATCAAAACCCTATAATAATTCGGGATCAGCAAGGGAGGGCCATTAATAGATGAAAGAACAGAACTCACCAGGTCATGTCCCCATAGCGGCGTGTTGACTCGCTGCTGTTTACCAGCCGCTGCCATTCCTTCCAAGACGTCCATATCTTCCTTGGACAGGGAGATAACCTTAAGGTTGTCCTCAATTCGGCTAAAAGTCACCGACTTGGGTAGCACAATGCAGCCTCGGTTGACCTGGTAAGAGATCAAGATGGTCGCCGGGGTCACATTGTATTTCTTCGCAATGCCGGCAATCTCGGTGTCGCTCAGCAGTGGTGAGCCTATCAGATTGTCAGATCTATGTTCCTCCAGAGTAGTCTTATGGGCTTAGCGACGTACTTGTTGATCCGAGGGGGCAATACGCTTCCAGGAGAATGTTTCTCTTTTCGCACCACTCCTTCAACGCATGTTGCGGGCAGTACGGGTGCAGTTCAACCTGTGATCCAAAATTAATTACTAACGTACTTGAGCAAAATCGGATCGAAAACCTTACCTGATTCACGACAGGAACGACTTCCCACGTCTTTTCCAGATTCTCCAAGTAGGGGATACTGAAGTTAGACACCCCAATTGACTTGACCTTACCGGATCGGTAAACCTGCTCCATCTGTTTCCAAGTCTCCCGCTGATCCCAAGAAGCATCTACAGAACGAGTGCCGTCAGGGTTGGTAGGGAACAACTGTGAGGTCTCATTGGCAACGAGGCGACTGATATGCGAAACAGATTAGCGAAAAGCTTCGAGGAACAAGGCTATGGACGAAAACGAACACTGGCCAGTGAATTAGGTAGAGGTCCAAATAGTCCGTTTGGAGATCCTTCAAGGTCTGCGCAAGGCCCTCGGCGACATTAGATTGGTGGGTATTCCACCTGCAGACATGAAATTAGTACGCGAGAAGTGCTTCATCACTTTTTTTAACTGACGCACACTTTGCTGGTGATGAAAATCTCCTTTCGCGGAATACCAGACGCTTTAATCGCGTCGCCAACTTCCTTCTCTAATCGAATGGGAACCTTAGCATAGATTAATGCGCATGAGCGGAGGAACAACTCACCATTCTGATAGATCAAGGCACAGTCCAGGTGTCGATATCCGGATTTCAGTGCATGGCAGACAGCGTTGCCGACTTCGCCTGGCTTTGCTTGCCACGTACCTGCAGCCTCTTTAGCAGCTGGTCGAGTCCTATCAAAAGAAGGCCATACGCACCCAGTCCAACGGCGGGAATTGAGGCGCCGGTGTTGAGCTTAAAATGAGACGGAACAGACATTTTTCTAGTTGCAGCACGTAAACCTCTTTGTGTGAATGAAGCAAGCGACATTGAGCTGAAGCTGAAGGAGAGGAGAGGGAGACCCCTCAGATTATCAATTGCGACTACTCAAAATCTCGCAGCAAGTCCGGTGGAGACCCCGATCTCAGTCGCCGATGTCGAGCCAAGAAGCGTACATACAATGAAGTGGAGAGCCGGTGTTTAGTAAGATAGCCGGCAAATCGACCGAGCCTAAGGATATTGCCACTCCGCGAACAGTGTGGAGAAATCTGGTGGAGACTCCGAGCGTATGATGAATGTCTCCTTGGAGCCTGCCATTAGGATCATCTAATACATAAACCAACTCTAGGGTTCAAATATTTTATTTGGTGCGCAGTTGCATTTATTTGATTCAACTTGACAGACTTTCGTCTATCATTAGTTTGTTTCTTTGGATAGGTTCATCAGAACATGGCGGAATTGGAGAGAGATGCCCCATGACATAGACTCCAATCTTTCGCTAAATGTGGACAAAAGCTTTGCCTCAGACAAATCCGCCAAATTCCCAAGTCCCTGAAAAGAAGCCTGGCCTCCATGCTGGATCCACTCGTGAACATCGTCGAAGTCAGACCCTACAACGGTTGATGGCAGATGTCAGGTGCTATGTCCATGGAGAGTTATACTGCAGACGCAAGACTTACATGTCACGACCGTTCGCTTCGGACCAGAAGACGAGATGTTTAGTCCACTGCCAAATTTGATAATCGCCCATAACGCGAGCGCGGCGTAGAACGTCCATATAGCCTCACATGGATTTCTAGAGAATTGGTAAGTATTTGAATTGCACTAGCCTTGTTTTTTTGGAATCAAAAACTTACTCAAATGTGAACCGGATTAGAAGTGCATTTAATTGCCCAGCGTGAACAAGAATAGACCTTGCACCGACCACATCATCAGAGATTCTTGAGCAAAGCCACGCACGCGCATGGAGCTGACTCTCCTCGGTCCCGGACTTTCCTGCGGCGATCTTTACTTTATCCAAAAACCCAGACCAAGTAAATTGCAGGTGCCCTAGATGAGACAGGGCCGAAACACTGACAAGAAGGGCGGTGGGTGTGTAGGACAGGAAATGAAAACACACTGACAGCTGATCAAGTATTTCCTGCGGATTGCTGTGAAAGGTCAACAACACGGTGTTCTTGAGGATCTGCAGGGATGAAAGAAGTCTTGGCTTACTGTTTCAAGTTTGTAGAAAATTGTAGTCGGTAGAACGAGCCGTTTTCTGGGGACCGAGCTGGACAGATTGGGTCCAGGGCAGAGGCATCAGAGCAAAACCTAAGATCGATAATCAGCAGCGAGCACGGAATTAATCAAGCTTAGCCCACCTGTAGAGAGTATGTGCAATGATAGAAAGCCCAAATGGGTTCAATGGCTGTGGCAGCTTGCCAACGGACAGCAGGCGCTCAAGCACATGGCGGAAGTTCAGGGCGTCACTGTGGGACTGGGCAAAATCGTGATGCCCACGGGGAGGGCGAGATTCCCACATCTCCTCATCGCAGGGCAATGACATGTCAATATCGCCAATTGAGAAATGTGGCGAAATATTCAACAACGCGTATATTTGCATGTCATAGAGCTGAAATGGGCAGACTTTAGTAAATGGTTTCTGTTAGCGGCTTCATGCACATACATAAATACCCCATCCCAATCGACAGCGTTCTTCATCCTTTGCATATGCTCGCTCCACCTCTTCAGGTGATGTCGAGGCTGGGTGCCGTTCGAGCTCTTTGACAAATGAAAAACCAGGACGAAGAAGGTGCATCCGCCTGGCGGCCGTCACCAATCCACCACGACTAATCTCGGAGTGTTGATAGAGCATCCGAGAGCCACAGAAAAGCCCAAAGACGGATTGAAGCAGCCAGGCCTGGACGATCGATGTATCAAACATGGCACGCCGGTCACTTTCCCTGAGGTAGGCAATTGCTCTCCTGCATAACTCATTGAGAGCCACAGCGACTCCAGTCAGACCGTTTTTAGAGTACGTTGCTCCGATGGCTGCCATTGACAGTAATAAAACCGGACTGGCTTCGGTTGATTGGAAAGTTGAGCGGCGAACGATAGGCAGCGTTTCGTGGAAATGTCGAAAGTAGAGGTTGATGCAGATAGACAACGTGCGAGCCGATGGAAAAGCTGCCACGTCGACTGGTGACCAATGAGGTTGGTGGGCCGTATTTATGAGCGACAGAATTGCTTCCCGTGTGGAATTATCCATATGGTCAAGGTATGCTGCATGCAAGCTCGGCTGCGGAATCGAGGAGACATTGAGTGGGGGTATATTAAGTCTGCCGTCGTCTCTGCTCGGTCTGTAGACATGTGGCTGGATTTTGATACATGAGCACGGTGATTTCATCCACAAATACAGATAGATGTCTTACCCAGGGGCTATCGGCTGGCTGTGCATCCCGTATCAACTGCATTGTCGCCGCATCCTGCACTGTTTGCGCCTCTGGATGCGCAGTTAAGTGGGTCGCAGTCGCGAAATGAGGCCAACATGCCGGAGGAGTGTCAGGAGAAGCCCCGTTAAGGTTTCTCATTAGATCAATATCCTCATCACCGAGGTTCCATCCCAGATAACTTTCAAAAGGCTCAGTCGAGAGATCATAAAGTGGACCAAATGAGAATTGTTCAAAGTCATCTATCACTCGGTGAGTGTGGAGAAAGTCGACGGCGGCAGAAGAACATACCGGAATGTTGTGATGGAGCATTTTCAGCAAGGTCATCCCCCAAGGCCGAGTAGGCTGGTAACAATGAGGATTGGGAAATATTGATATTTGCACCTGAAGTCTGCCTGTCACGGAGCAACGGACTACCTTCAGGATTCCCTGAAGCCGTGGGCAAGCTTGAGCCAGTGCCCGTTGCGGTAGATGACACTAGCATGCTACTAAATTGTGTTCGAGGGGTGGATGGCATGCCATCTCTTGTTCGATAAGAACACGATCGACCAGAGTGTAGACATCTTCGACAAGGTGTACCCGGCTGTCCGTCACAACGAAGTTTGGAACTGACACATGGAACGCTAATAAATGGTGAGATAAATGATGAGTAGGCAATATATAGACAGTTAACTCTTACCATGACACTTTACGGGGTTTCTTGATCGAGCCAGAAGCCTCTCCATGGAGAGCAGCATGCCTTGTCATCACATCTCTGACATTCACAATCCGTCAGGTCAGTCAGCGCCGGAAAGGAGGGTATCTCATACCGTCGACCAAAGCGCTTTTGGCAAAATGGACATTCATATCGAGCATCGCCGGTATCTAGTTTCTCAGGATATTAGCATTGGGGAAATGAATTTTAGCTCGGCTGATGCTCACGACTTCTCTCATGGCGCTGAAGATGCTCTGACTTTCCGAAGGATCGCCGGCAATCAGACCAACTGCAAGTAAAAGCACGCTTCATAATTTCAATACTCTGAGCTTGTCTCGCCGCCTTTGTGATGACGGTTGAAGTTACTGCCCAGGAGGTTGAGTTGCGGAGTCTCCACATTCATCCGGCAAAATTCCGCGAATTGGGACTCAGCGGAACAATTGACCTCTTTAAAAATTACCAAGCATGAGTTGCTAACTAGGAGAATAGGTGACACAAGGTCGTTCGAATACACTGAATTTGCTACCACATCTTCAATTGCTACTTTAGAAAACATAGACGAAGAAGACCTGTCCAAACTAGTTATTTGTTCTCTCTGCAAGAGCCACTAGTTAACTATTCCACCGTTTCCGAAGAACTAGAGCTTCCCTGGTTGGTGGGTTGCGTGTTCACCCCCATTCTCCCATCTTTAGTGTTCTCATAAGGATATTTCTTCGTCAGGATCATGAGAAGTAGTGCCGTGACGATGCAGAGAAACATAAGAATAGTGGAGACCGCAAACCCGGGCGCGTATTCCGGCGCCGAGCTTGCAGGCCAGATGTATGCTCCGTATACTGATGATAGATTGGCGAAGGCACTTGCAAAAATGTCAGTATCGTACTGAAACAATGAAGGTGGTTGTGGCGGGACGTACTTCACAAAACCAATAGCTACTGCCCGCTTCTCGGCTGGTCGGTAGATCGTGTTGGATAGGTAGCTGAGTGTCAACGGGCTGCAGCACCAAATACCAGCAGCGCCTGGAAAATATTAGTTAATTGTCATAAAATATCCTTGCCACAAGGAAACAAACCAAATGCTAGGAATGTGTAGCGAGCCTTGGCATTATCAACCGTAGCCACGATGATCAGGGAGACTGTGGACATGCCGGCCATGGCCATGATGTGCTTTGGTCGTTCATTGAAGTAATCCGAGGAGAAGCCACAAATGAGGACGATCACCAAGGCAACCATATCTAACGTAGTAAGTCAGAGGATAATCCAAGCCAGAACGTCCCAGTAGCTTAGTTCTTACAGATCGGAATGGTCATCTGCAGTATCGGATATCATCGCATCAGCATAGATCAAAAAGCAGGATTCCAAAAGCACGTACATATTGCACATTTTGGCCAGTATAATTCAAAGCGGCCATCAAGGTCGGCACAAAGTACGTGATGGTACCAGCACATGTGCAAAACGTTTGCGCCCAGAAGAACAGCCAGGTTCTCCAATCGCGCAGCGCCGACGTAAAGCTCTTCCAGTGAGAGATATCTCCAGCACGGCTCGAGTTGTCATCCTGTTCTAGACGTCGAACGGCATATTCTCGCTCTTCTGGCGAGAGCCACTTGGTCGTAGCAGGGAAGTCGGGTAGCACGAATCTCCAGTCAGGGTCAGCACGAAGTTTGTGAGAGAGAGTTTGGCCACTTACATGGCAATAATGGCGCATCCAATTGTAATTACACCCTCAACTGATGTGATCTGTGTTAGCACCATGAAATGACTAGTTAGGAATGTAGCGGCAAATCATACTGAGAAACAACCATTTCCAGGCGGGATACGGTGCACGATTTTGCATCTTCTCCAAGATCAAGCCCGCTAGAAAAGAAAACATATTAGCCAGCATTATTAACCAGTCTCTTAAACGTGTACTTACCAATAAGGCCACCAACGGCACCCGACACGAGCGACGCACAATAGAAGATAGAAAATCTCCTAGCCAACTCGGCTTTCTTGTACCAGTTGCTCATGAACAGCAGAACGCCGGGCTAGTAATAACCGGTCAGTGCTACCACTTTTTTTTCATGTGTGCGTCTTGATAACGCACAAAATATCCAGCTTCAATCAACCCCAGCGCGAACCGAAGACCGATAAGACCGCGCTTTGAATTAACGCCCACATAGCCGATTCTATAACATGTCAGCAGGTATTCGAGATCGCTTATCTAGGAAAACGGACACCATGCAACCCCAAACAATCTAAATCCCCCAGGTATTGTTAGCGCAGAGACTCGAGGCACCATAAGGAAGCGAACGAACCATAAGGGCGGGGAGATAGAGGCTCGGGCGAGTTCTGCTGAGAATCATGTTGCTCGGCACCTCAAGTAGGAGGTATCCGATGAAGAAGATCGAGACGGCTAAAGAGTAATCGGACGAGGTGAGGCCCAGATCTGCGGCCATGCCGGCTTCTTTGGCGTTGCCGATACTGTTTTTGATCCCATGAGTCAATCTTGTTCGCATCGTCCCCCGAATGCAAGAACTGCTTACTTGTTTCGGTCCAGGTCTTTGTTCATGATTCCTTGTCAATTGACTTCCCGAATGTCAGGACCCGACGAATAACTCACAATTTAGAATGTACTAGCAGTGAATAATTATCAGCCATGTCACCAAGGTGAGCGAACAAAGCAACCACAGGCAAAGAAACTAACCATGATGAACAGCGGTGGAATCAGCCGAACGTCCACTTTCCACAATATCCTAAAGAACAGCTCATTAGCTGCGTTCCATTTGTTTGGATAATTCCATCCATAGCAAGGAGTCGGTCAGCACCGCACCTTCTCTCCAACTCCTTGTTCTCCACAAAAGGAGTCGCATAGTACGACCCGGCCTCTTCGAGGTGCATCGATGTGTCTTTGTCCATGGTCATTCAAGAGACGGAATAGTCTGCGTAAGTACGTTGGGTCCCCCGGACCATTGTCAGTGTGGGGGTGAATATATAACTGAGCTGGATTTTTGGCTTTCACTGCGGAGGTGGAGAGTCCGAGTGGAGAGTCCGATGGTGTGGGGGATGGGAGGCGAAACTAAGCATCCCTCGGTAACTGGATGGCGAAGAAGCTTTTGGGAAAACCTAAACTTGGGACTACTGGGATCTCTCTCGCGCATGGCACTTGGTTCTTGGATAAAAACTTGAAGGCCTAGGCAGTATGATACTTTGTCTCGAGCCTACGTGAGCCTACATCCCAATAACAGGGTCTACGTTTGGAGAAAGAAGAAGTCCAGAGAACCAATATCATCCGTTCACAAGTCAGTCCGACAGTCCGCCAAAATCCCACAGAGACCACCTAGAGTAGCGTAGAGTAAGAACATCTGACAGCACATCCAACTCGCCCCAAGACAAGCAAGAAAGGCCACAGATCAAACACAATCAACAGCACACACACATACACGGTGAATACATTTCCAAGCTGAGGGTGACTAAAACCAGCCAGCCCTGGCCATAAACAAAAATTGTGGGATAGGGACATGAAATGTCAAGACAAGAGACATGAGATGGGATGAGATGAGACGAAATGAATCATTTCATACATATAAGGTCCGGAAAATCATTTGCATTTGCATTCGCATTGCAAGAAAGAGGCGGGTGCATATGACCAAAAGCCATGTCCGCGCCATGAGTTGTTAATAATATATTTGAAAAGATTGGACAGACGGCGAGATACAACAAGCCCAGAGGTGGGGGAAGTAAAAACCTCCCAGTCAGCCGAAGACAAGACGTCTATGCGGCTACTCCGACAGCAGGAGTAGAAGCAATGGCCGGGCTGGCACTAGCTCCGAGAGGAGTGCCAGACTTCAGCTTCGGAGCGAGCTGGGCCATCTCGACGCTGAACTCGCGCGCAACGGCTGCCTCGAGAGGTTCGTTCGGCTCCAGACCAAGCTGTTCATCCTCCCACATGGGCCGATTGGCATCCTCGGCGCCCTCGACGCCGACGCCAACGAATCCGCCCAGCTCCTCCCAGTCGCTGGCGCGCTTGATGCCAAGATCGTTCCAGACGGCTTGCACGGCCTGGACCAGGTGGTCACGTAGCGGCTTGACGTGGCCGGGGGTCGGGGTAATGCGTAGGCGCTCCTCACCTCGAGGAACCGTCGGGTAATTGATCGCCTGCACGTAGATGCCATGCTCATCCAGCAGTTTGTCCGAGGCGCGCTTGGCCAGCTCGGCATCGCCCACCAGCAGCGGGACGATGTGCGACGGATTAGGAATAACTGGAATATCCAGATCTTTCAGAGCCGTCTTGACTGCACGCGTGTGCAGCTGCTGCAGAACCCGATCGCGCGGGTGGGCCGCCTGATATTGAATCGCCGTGTCGGCGCCAGCCATGGTGGCAGGCGGCAGCGAAGTCGTGAAAATAAATCCTGGTGCCAGCGATCGGATGGTGTCCACCATGGCAGCGGAGCCGGCAATATACCCGCCGACACAGCCGTAGGCTTTGCCCAATGTGCCAGTGATGATATCAATACGATCCTGAACCGTGCCCTTGGTGCTCTGCGGCGCGGCAGAGTCCTGCGAAGCATAGACGTCATAATCAAGATGCTCGGCTACTCCGGCCCCGTGCGGACCGTACATGCCAACCGCGTGCACTTCATCCAAGAAGGTAATGGCACCATACTTGTCGGCGAGATCGCAGATCTTCTCAATGGGTGCAATAGATCCGCACATGCTGTACACAGACTCAAAGGCAATAATCTTAGGCTGGTTCGACGGCAGAGAAGCCAGCTTAGCCTCCAGGTCTTCCATGTCGTTATGTTTGAAGACCATCTTTTTGGCGCCGGAGTGACGAATGCCCTGGATCATCGAGGCGTGATTCAGACTATCCGATAAGATCACACAGTCGGGCATCTTGCTGCCCAGTGTAGCCAGTGTGGCATCGTTAGCCACGAAGCACGAGCTAAACACCAGCGCAGCCTCCTTTCCATGTAGTTTCGCCAGAGTATCCTCCAGCGCCACAGCATGCTTGTTATGGCCAGAGATGTTGCGCGTGCCACCAGCGCCGGCTCCGTAGGTGTCAAGCGTCTGGTGCATCGACTTCAACACCTCCGGATTGCGGCCCATGCCGAGATAATCATTCGAGCACCAGACCGTCACGCGCTCCTCGGCGGAGGCTGTGTGGGCCCGAGGAAATTCCTTGGCGAGACGGTTGATGTTGTTGAAGTAGCGGTAGGACTTGTCCTTGTGCTTCTTCTCCAATTCACCGTTGTAGAATGCATTGTAATCGAAGCGAGGATTGATCGGCGCACGAGGAGCTGGACCGCGGACCGCGGCTCCGGTGGCAGCGGGAGTCGGGCGGATCGTGTTGGCCGGGTTAGGATGAACTAGAGATTGGTTAGAGTGATTGCAAGCACCCAGATCAGGGAATTATCTACCTCGCTCGTTCTTCTCGTAGGTTCCAGGAGCCAGGCTGGCCGGGTGACCACCAGTCGTGTGCAGCGCCCTCTTCCCAGCGGGACAGAAAGGCTTGATGCCACCGACTCCGGCCGCGTACGAGGTGAAGCGCTTGGTGCCACCCATGCGGGAACTCTGCACGGCGAGCGCCTTGCTCATCACCGGGCAGCGGCGAGCCAGGACCTGGAGGTTGGACATAGTCCCACCACCGGGACTGGTGTTCGGGCGAGTGGCCGTGGCGAGAGTGCGGAGCGCGGTGGGCGAAGTCCGCTTCAGGAAGGGGCACATCGCACGAGACTGCTGAAGAAGCGACTCCATGACTGGAGTGGAATTGAAGTGAGGACTGCGAAACAACAACGATAATAATGGAGGGAAAGAAGATAAACCAGATCGAGACTGAAATTGGGGGGGAAATCGGAAGGGTGCTGACTCAGAGAGTTCGGGCTGACATTTCCTCGCTTGTGATTGGTGAACGGGTCCGCTGTGCCGACGAAGTGCTGACTAGGCAGCGGGGAGATGCTTAGGTGATATGGCCGGGTCTAGAGGTATAGAGGATTTCGCTCATGTAGGATATTCTAGGAGCAAGTGGGAGAGGTAGAATGATAACAAAGCATGTCTATGACAGTCTGGCCGGCCAGGAGGAGCATATTCTCCCCCTAACGAACAACAGGCAGCTAGCCTACGCCCACAACGGGCCCATCACGTCCCGGACCGTGGTGATCTTCTTCCCAGGCCTCTTCGGCGTCGGTAGTGTATCGAGAGTATCGGAATCATGCCGCTCGCTCGCAGCCCATGTGATCGCGCTGACGCTTCCCGGAATGGGAGATACCAGCACCCGCGACAAGTCAGTGCCCTATCACATCTTGCTGGCCAAAGACATAAACACTCTGCTGGCCTACCTATACCCAACAGATGCATTTGACACCCTGTATCTGTCGGGCGGGTCTTACGGAACGGTGCCAGCACAGATGCTGTACGGAGCGCCATATGAGCTGTTTCCAGCGGGCCGCAAAGTGGCAGGTTGTCTCTTGCTTTCTGGCTTCTCGCCTCTAAAATACCATCAGGACTACGCGAGATCACTGAGTTGGCAGAACTGGTTCTCCTTCGGCCCACCTACGCAGCTGATCCCATTCCATGGCATACAGTAGCTCTTTAGGGGAATCGTGGGTTCAAAGATGAACACTGTTGACGGGGCGAAAGAGTTCCTGCAACAACAAGTTTTCCGCAAAATAAATGACGAGGAAAAGTCGAAGTTTCATCAATGGCTTGAAATACACGGGCTGAGCGAGGATGCCTTTGTCGAACAAATGGCCAGTGACACTATTCGGTGTAACCAAAATTGGGATGGGTTCATGGAAGTATCAGATGTCATCCATTCAGACTGGGGGTTTGAGCCCAAGGAGCTGGATGATGAGCATGCATCGAAACCTATGCTTGTGGTCGGGTCAAGCAGCGATCAGATAGGTGGGAGTGCTAACGATTGGATGGTGGATAACTATAGGTCTGCTAAGTTGAGATTGTTGCCGGGGGGTCATATCTCGTCACTCTACTATGTGGATGAGCTATGGAAAGAGATGATTGACAGTGAGTACACGAGAATAAGACTTTCTCAATTGAAACTAACTTCCAAGTAGTGACCCTGTAGCACCAGAGCAGATCTATATCTACATGTAAGTCCTTAGGTATATCTCGAAGTCAAAGAATCACGGCGGAGACCAAATCACAAACACGGCCGGTGACACAGATCCATAGCAGGAGTACAATATTAATGCAGGTACATCTCAACGAAGTCCCTTATTCCATTGTCCAGTAAAAGCCCGATTTTATTGTGCCTTGCCCAGAAGCAGCAAGGATGGAAGAACAACAATAAGAAACAAAAACTCCCCAAGACCGCCACCGGATAACACAACGACCAGAAAGTGGTTTCAAATCTATCGCCGAACACACATCTTTTTCTTGGGCGCATGCACATCGCATCAACCCCCTCAATCATCAACCCGATGAACCGAAACCATGCCCCTTTCATATGAATCTTCTTGGCAATCAAATAATCAAGACTGTATGGTAATACACAGCAGTACAGATGTTCTGCCTGTGAGAAAAAAGAGAAAGAGAATAGAAACAAAGGACAAGTAATATAGAAAGGTGCCAGGCGCAAATAAAAAAAAAAAACAAAACGCCGCCATCCATCTGCAAAGTAATCGAAATACGAAAAGGGTTCATTCGACTCAACCGAGTCCGCCATCGCCGTCGATGAGGCGTAGACGTTCGTTCATCGTCTTGGCACGCTTGGATGTCCCCTTCCCCTTGCCGGGGCCACGGCCACGCTTCCCGCCAGGAACGGACGACGGGGTGTCGATGCCATCGGCTGCAGACAGGGGAGTGGCGGCTCCCGACGGTTTCGCGCTTTGATCGTCAAAGTTGCCCTCACCTGTAGAAGCAAGTCAATCAGTATTTGACACACTCCCAAAAAGATCCATATGCAAGCTTACCTTCGTGATACATGTCGTCCAGCGTAAGGTCCCGCTTCCGTTTCTGGGCGGCCTTCTTTCCACCCTTAGCTCCAGCAATCTCGCCCCGTTCGAGCGCCTCCTTCTCCTTCTGCTCGAGGAGCTCGGCCTCGTCATCATCCGCGAGCCACATGGCAATATCCTTAGTGCGGTTCTCGCGATTCCGGGTGTTAAAGTCAACACCACCGGCGGCACCACCACTAATGACAACGCGTTGTACCTCTTCCTTCTGCAGAGCACGTTTGCGAATCCGCTCTTCGATGGTACCTCGAGTGATGAGACGGTATACCGTAACCTGCCGGGTCTGACCGAGACGGTGAGCACGGTCCATGGCCTGGGAGTCGATTGTCGGGTTCCAGTCGGAGTCGTAGAAGATGACCGTGTCGGCCGCAGTCAAATTGATACCAAGACCACCGGCACGCGTGGACAATAAGAACACAAAGATTTCTGGTTGTGACTGGAAGTCCGCCACGGTGTCGCGACGGTCCTCCAGCTTCGTGCTGCCGTCGAGGCGGCAATACTTGTAGTTCCGATAGGTTAGGTACTCTTCCATCAAATCGATCATGCGTGTCATCTGGAAGTAGAGTAGGACACGATGCCCGCCAGCCTTGAGCTCTCGCAGCAGTTCGTCCAATTTGGCCAGTTTGCCCGAGTCTGTCACAAATCGTCGCATGGAAGGTACTTCGATATGTGTGTAACGTGCCTTCAACGAGAGTGGCGGAGGAAGCATGGGTGGCAGCGAGTAGGGCACGGGATCGAGCTTGTTGGCGAGAATCAACTCTTCGGCTTGTCTACCAGGACTGCCAAAGAGCGCTTCCTGAATAGGTGCGTTGAAGAGGGTGTTGGCAGTTTCCCGCAGTGAATCTTGATTCCTGCAGGAGATGGTGATCGGGGGGGCCGAGGCGGCTGGAGAAGCACATGGTTCGAGCAAGTGAAGGCCTTGTCGTTCAAAAGACGATTGCGACACAGTCATCAGGTCCCGCATTCGGCCCTCTCTGGCAAGTTCTTGAACGGCCTGGCGATCGTTCCGATCGACGATGTTCAGCATCGAGTGAGGTGCGACAGTCTTTTCATCGCTTTCATAGACCGCATTCAGGCGCGAAAGGCGGTTGGGAAGGCCACGCCGGCGGGTCGCACGCTCAAAGACGCCCAGGCGGGCCATCTCGCTGGCTTCCCCGGCGGAGGTGTCAACGAACCGCAGGAACGAAAACGCACCATTATTCCGAGCACTTTGTTGGATGTTCTCCGGCGTCCAGATGTTCATCAAGTGAGAAAGGTATTTGCCCCGGAAACCAGCGGAGGCGTTGTCCGGGCCAGGAACATCTAGGCGCCCATCGGAGCTGCATAAAAGTCGTGGCAGATCGTACTCAATGAGACTTCTGGTTGAGTAACGTACATCAACAAAGTAGCCTTCACGGAGGAACGAGGCGGTTTCCGCAAAGTAACCGACTGAGTAGGGGGACTTGGTCTCCGCACGTTCGAACAGATCGGGATGGTTGCAAACCTTGCGGAATTGCATGACCAGGTTCATCAACGTCGTGCTGTCGGTATCGTCCCCGACGGCTGCCTTCTCGATGAGGTCGATGATGCTGACGCGGTTCCGCAAGTTCGCGTAAAGAGCACGTTGGCGGTAAGTCAGATCGCAGAAAACATCCTTCTCCACCTTGTCACCGAGTTCTTGCTGAACGTGTTTCTTGACACGACGCAGCATAAAGGGCTTCAGAATCATATGAAGACGGCGCAATTGATCTTCATTGAGCTTGGTGTTACTCTGAGCGTGGGACTCAATATCCTTGGAAAACCATTCACTGAACTCGTCGTGGGAATCAAACAGGGTCGGCATGATAAAATGCAGCAACGCCCATAGTTCCTGCATGTTGTTTTGGATGGGTGTACCGGTCAACAGAAGACGGTTACGGCAATGGAACTGCAACAGATTCTTCCACCGAGAACTCTGAGAAGACTTGATAGCCTGGGCCTCATCGAGAATCATGTACTGCCATTTGACCTTCTGGAAGTACTGCGCGTCGAGAACGACAAGTTGATAAGAGGTGACCAGGACGTGGAATTCGGACTCGCGGTTATAGGTGATGTGCTTGCGATCCCAGAACTTGCGAAGAATCTTGCGATCCTTGGCATTGCCCCAATACGGCAAGACTTTGATGTTCGGAACGAACCTGGTGATTTCTTGTTGCCAGTTATGCAGAGTGGAAGCGGGTGCAATGACCAAGAACGGACCCCAGATGTTGTGAAACTCGGCCAGATAGGCCATGACGGAGATAGACTGGATGGTCTTACCTAGACCCATCTCATCTGCCAGGATACCGTTGATGCCTTGCTCGTACAAGTTGACAAGCCAGTTGAGACCCTTCAGCTGGTATTCCTTTAACTTCGCGTTCAGCATGCTGGGCTGTGAGATCTCGATGTCACCCAGACTGGTTGGGTTCTGGAAGTTCATCTCCCCATCATCGAAAGCAGCCATTTGATCCTTGCCTTGGTCCTGGTTGAAAGCACGAGCACGGTCCTGTGCTTGCTGCACAGCGTTCTGTGCGTTGGCCATAGCCGCCTGCTGCAAGACCGAGTCATCTTCGGCATCAAAGTCCAAGTCTTCAAAGTTGGTGACCTTGGCATTGGGATTTGCCACACTATCGGGAAGATCGATCTGGTGTGCGTGCGGCTTGCCCGGTTGGACCGTCTCGTTGGTGCCGGCGGTGGCTGCGTCTCCAGACATTTCTGCCTCGGCAGTCTTGACCTTTCGACCAATAAAGTGAGAGTACAGCTCAGTCTGGGAGATGAGGAAGTTGAGCTTGCGTTTCTGTCGGTTTGCTTCACGCTCTGCCTCGGCTTTCTTGGCCGACTCCAGTTCTTGCTTCTCTGCCAAGCGGCGCAGGTCACGCTCCTCACGTTCGTTACGCTTCCAGAAAGACATCATCTCACGCATGGTCCGCTTAGCACGAGCCTGAGTGTCCTTGGTGCTCTTGTTGGTGCGCTCCTGCCACTTCCGGGACTGCTTGCTGGCCAGCTGAGCCGTCTTGCGTAAATTCTCTTGACGAGTCGTATGAGATATAGTCTTGATGCGATACACCTTGGGGATGTCCTTGCGGGCAATATCGCGCCAGATTTGCTCGTATACCTGATTGTAGCTCTTGCTGTCATACTCCAGCGGCGACATTGGCCTGTCAAGCCTCCCGCGGCCTCTTCGTGATTCTTGCGGTTCCTCGTCGTAGTAGTAGTAATCATCGTCCATGCCCCACCAGGCAGCCTCTGCAGCGTCCTTCTCCGCTTGCTTCTGCTCCTTGGACTTCTTCGGGCGCGTGACGGGACCCGCGCGTCCGCCGGTCTTGCGGCGCGATGGAGAGCGACCACCAATCTGGAATTGGGTAGTCATGCCGCCCTCAAGATTCGGAGCCAATGGCGTGACTTCCCCAAGCTCATCCTGGGCATTGCCTCCCTCCAGAGCACGTTTGGTTGACCGGATCTTCTTCTGGGCACGTTCGGCTTCACGTAAGTACTTGGCCTTCTCCGTGGAGTCTTGGGCCTTGTTTGCCTTGCGTTCGGCCTCCAATTTCTTCTGCATCTCCACACGCACCGTGTTCTCCCGACGACGCTTTCGTTGCATGTCCTTCTTCCGCTCCTTCTCGTCCTGAATCTCCTTCTGCTGCACCTCGGCCATGACGGACGATTCATTGAGGCTACGGAAACGTTCTGATCCCAAGATTGCCTGTCTCTCAAAGGATCGACCCAGCTCAATCAGGAAATTGTTGCGGCGACGCTGGTGATTAGTTAGTAACCGTTCATTCGAGAGGGGGGGGGGGGAAATAAATGACAAACCTTGCGGCGAATGTGCTCCGCACGGTTGCTATCCAGGGTCCGTTTTTGGCCCTTTTCCTGGTAACGTTCACGCTCCGCGTCAAATCCAGCGCCTTCCACGTCACTTTTATCGGCATGATCAATCTCATGCATAGCCCGGTTAACCTGCTCCAAATCCACACCCGGCGGGAAGGGCTTTCGCTGGGGCAGGCTGTTGGATGGGGCATCTCCCCGAATAGGGTCGCGTCCCGCAAAGCCGTTGGGGGCCAACGGCGTTTCCATGCGACGATCCAAATCATGAGGTTGACGATAATCCAACTTGGGGAATATAGCTCCACGAGCGTCGTGGTGCTGCGGATGGTGATCGTAGGCTGAAGCTGAATGCGGCGCAGGCGCGGCGGAAGGAGCCGAAGGGGGAGAGGGCTTTTTCGAGGACTGTTCATCCGTCGGTCCAGAAAGGATGCTGGCGAAGGACATCGGGTCGGCGGCGCGCGCTGGCTTCTAAACGAGGAGGGAAATTGTTAGAAGGGGATTTTTTTGCAGTTGAATTTGTCACACGTACTGTCTTTTGCGGAGATGAGGGTGGTGGCTCCCGCACCATAGAGGATGCATATCCGGTACCATTGCCTCTCATGCGATATGGCGATTCCGATTCCCGCGTGGGGGACTGCGAGTGTGCATCCAAGCGATTCGGCGGATGGCCATGAGGCGTAGGAGGACCGTAAGGTGATGCTCCGTTGCCAGGAAGCACGGACCCCGAAAAGGGCCTCGGAAGCGGCAGCTGAGGCGTGCCGCTGGTCGAATGGCTCTGGTATTGGGATGAAGAGGGCTCCGGATGGGCAGGATGAGGCGGCGCACTTCCATTCAAGGGCGTAGGCAGCGAACCGGGCATCGGCGGAGACGCGTGCGAAAAGCGAGGGCTCCGCGCGATGGACGAGGGTCCGTAACCAGGAGGCGTCTGGGGCGGGTGCTGCGGATATTGTTGTTGCTGCTGCTGCTGCGACGGCGGCTGTTGCTGCTCATTGTTCGGATAGTACGGGTTGTTCTTGCCTGGCGAGCTGTATGCCGGGAAGCGCTGCTGTTGGCTCGGCGACGACTGAGGGTTGTATGGCGGAGCACCCGTCATGGTGACTGCGTCTCCGAAGCCGGACGTGCGCAGCGGAGACAAGTCACTCGTGGCGGGGGATGGGAGAGGAGGTAATCAAACACCGTGGGTGGCACCCATGGACTGGTGTCAAGGGGGGCGAGCGAAGATCTAGCGTGGACGCGACGTCAGTGGGATAGGTTTGCAAGGATGAGAGAATGGAGGTGGGCGTGGAGGAAGATAGGAGAAGAAGGAAGAAGGAGCAGACGGGATAAAAATACCGGATGGAGGGATGGGTTCGTTTGGTGGTGGGAAGTTGCAGGAGAGCAGCGCGGCGTGGAAGAGAATGCGCGGCTGTCGACGATCGAGCGAGCGACGGAGGGAGGGAGGAGGGTGCCGGGGATGACGGTATTAGGGGGATGGTCAGGGACCTCGATGGTGGATGATGAAAAGATGCGAGGATGAAGAAAGGAATGAGTGGCCGGGGACGAGGGAAGGGCCGGTGGGAAGGAAAGGGGAGTTTTTGGGTCGAGGCGTTTTGCGTTCGTCGAACGTGTCTGAGCTGAGAGTGTATGGGAGAGCACCCACCCGTTCACGCTGACCAGAACAGGTGTATGCGCGATGGAGGATTCTGGGATGGACTTTTTATTCTAGCTGCTTCTAATTCCTCTGTTTATGGGCAATGGCAAATTTCTTGGATTATTGGCTCACTCTGGAAAAATGCATACAAACACCTCCAGCGAGGTGCGCCCAATCGAGCAATGGGGGCATTCCGGCATATTTAGACACTGTTTATTTTTATTTTTTTCATGTTTCAATATTATTTTCTGGGCCAAAAATACCATCTATCATGGTTGATTTTTGTCGATTTTCTGCGCAGCGCAGGACGAGGCCGATCCCGATTCCCTTGGCTTTGATCTGTCTCACCCGGTGATAGATCACCCGGAAGAAAATCCCAGCACCCATCATAGGCACAAAATAGCTACAACTGGCCGCCCTAGGATTTCAGTCAGCTGCGCGGCTCCGATTCCCAATCATCTGCTACTGTTTGAATTCCTATTTATCTTCGGCCGGCCACATCCGTAACTAGCACGAACTATGTACTCAACCATTCGTCGGATGGGTATGATCCCTAAATCCCATCGGTTGCACTTCTCACACCCTGGTTTTTTATTGTCAAGATAATTTCCCATCAACTACCACCTCAACCTCAAAGTTCTACTTTTAGGAGATAATGAGGTAGCCAGTGGCTGGATTTATTGATTCATTTCCTATTACTGCAAATCCGAGCTTGAATGACCGTCGATGATGGCGTTTTTTTATTTGACTGTCAGGCTGAGCCACACTACTTTTATTCCAGAGTTTCCGACAACCAGAAAAATGTCCTATATATCCCAAGGAATTTAGAATGAATGCAGTATCCTTCATTGTACATAGACATCTAGATGGAACCCTAAGCGCTGTCAGCCATAGTGAAGTCAATTACGTCATCTTCTACACCGAGACGGAAACCCTGACGTCCTTCTGTATCTCGGCTCTTTTTCTTATCCTTTCCTTTCATGGGAATATAGCAGCTATTTTTATGAATTGCTGGGGTTTTTTCCTCGTGTCCATGAGAACTGTTGTTTGGCCCATATCAGAGTATTAGTATATATAGTATAGCGGCACTTCGGTGTGGGAGGCAGCTGTGCAGCAGAGGTGTAGAAGGCTCCTGCAAACGGAGCAGGAAGAAAAATCCAACTTGACCATGGATCGGACACGGTGTGATCAGGCCAGGTCATACAATCATCTATTGCTACACAAAGTTGTTGATACGCCTCCGTCTTCCACGCTTTACTTCTTCTCTCTCCATACTCTTCTTGCCACCACTGTCTCCCATCCTTTTCTCCTCACCCACATTCCAAAAATCCAAAATGTCTCCCACTATCCCGGACAAGCAATGGGCGCAAGTGGTCGAAAAGAAAGGCGGTCCACCGGTGTACAAGCAGATCCCGGTGCCCAAGCCCGGACCCGATGAGGTCCTCGTGAAGATCAAGTACAGTGGCGTGTGCCACACGGACCTGCACGCCATGGATGGCGACTGGCCGCTGCCGTTGAAGATGCCGCTAGTGGGCGGCCACGAAGGCGCCGGCGTGGTGGTCGCCAAGGGCTCGCTGGCCAAGGGCATTGAGGTCGGCGACCACGCCGGCATCAAGTGGCTGAATGGCTCGTGTCTGTCGTGTGAGTTTTGCAAGACAGCTGACGAGCCTCTTTGCGCCGAGGCTCTGTTGTCGGGCTACACCGTCGACGGCACCTTCCAGCAGTATGCTATTGGTAAGGCTGCGCATGTGTCCAAGCTGCCCAAGGAGGTGCCTCTAGATGCGATTGCACCGATTCTCTGCGCTGGTATTACCGTCTACAAGGGTCTCAAGGAGTCTGGTGCTCGCCCCGGCCAGACGGTCGCGATCGTTGGTGCTGGTGGCGGACTCGGATCTCTGGCGCAGCAGTATGCGAAGGCGATGGGTCTGCGCGTTGTTGGCATCGATGGTGGAGATGAGAAGCGTGCCATGTGCGAGAAGCTGGGCTCGGAGGTATCCATCTTGCTTACTATATATAATCTTCTTCGATTATTGCTAACTTGTCTCAGGCCTTCGTCGACTTCACTAAATCGAAGGACATCGTCGCAGACGTCAAGGCCGCTACCCCCGGAGGTCTAGGCGCTCACGCTGTGCTCCTGCTCGCCGTCACGGAGAAGCCTTTCCAGCAGGCATGTGAATATGTTCGTTCGCGCGGTACCATCGTCGCCATCGGGCTGCCGGCCCATGCATTCGTCAAGGCTCCCGTCTTTGAAACCGTGGTTAGGATGATCAATATCAAGGGCAGCTATGTTGGCAACCGACAGGATGGAGTCGAGGCCGTTGATTTCTTTGCACGCGGCCTGATCCATGCGCCGTTCAAAGTTGTGCCACTAAAGGACCTGCCTGAGGTCTTTGAATTGATGCGTATGTATTAGCTTGCACTTCAGAAATTACTGGTAAGCTGACACAGATGTTCCACAGAGCAAGGCAAGATCGCCGGCCGCTATGTTCTTGAGATACCCGAGTAAGATGGTCGCGGTATCATCGAGGAACGGCACGGGGTAATGGATATCGGATTGTTAATGGACATACAATACTTGCAGACAAAGGCAGTTAATAGAATGTGGGCTTACTCGGCTGAACCTGAACCTGAGATCTATATCTCAGGTAACCTAGACAGTACCTACTAGTCCACATATTTATATCGGTTGACAGAGCTATCTGAAGCTTGCATTATCCAACAGAATAGTCGTTTCCATTACCATCACGATCATGATTGGGATATCAATCTCATTCAAGCACAATGATACAACCACCGCCCGTCGGGCAGCCCTGCACTAATTATAACATTTGCAGAAACTAATCAGCAGCAAAACATTCGAAAAATGAACTTTGAGATCGGCCACTGTGGAGCCGCTGTTCCCGCTTTGTGGCTGAGTGGAGCTATTGGATACGGAGAAGTAGGAGTCCATTCGGATTCCGTTAACCGGAGAGGGAGGTCAGAATTCAGTTGACTAGGATGCATACTGACAGTTGCTGCCGACACTGCAAAGACTAGCTCGCGTCTGCTGTGAAAATTTGCAGCGTTGAAATATGTATCTATGACGCTGTCTATTACGCTGATTGTGGTGTCCCGAGTTCGACGGAGAGTACCATAGGGGGGAACCGGAATGAGTTGATGGCTTTTGAAAATCACATCCTTCTCAGCATCACCGAAGACAGTGGATGGAAAGATTTTCCAACTGTTGCCAAGCGTGCATTCGAGTCATGAGAATGTTCTTTTTGCCCTAAACAAGCTGAGCCTCTACGTGGTGATAAGATCGGCATCGGAGAATGGTGGGGCATTTGTCAATGAGTTGACATATTGATATCTTTACTCTGTTCCTTGGCCTAACTAGTATACTGCTACAGTAGTAAGTAGTGCCCAGTCAACGTGGCGAACCAGGCCCGTCAAAATGGTTCGAATCAACCAATCAAAAACAAAAACTTAGTCATCTCTTTAAAAGAGGCTGAAGCGACAACACCCCAGGTGACGCTACCCCTGCTGTATAGAAGCCCGTGCTGGCCGCCATCGGAGATCACTTAGCTAATTTATTCACATAACTTCCAGAAACTGTTCTAGCTCGAGGGTCTCCGCAGGGATCCGGACCCCGTTGTGGTGGATGTTGAGGTTAGGGCAGGGTGGCGCTAATCCGAAAGCGGTTATTGTCTGGAGAACCGGGATTTTGTGGATTCGATGCCGAGGGTCAGGGTATTGTCGTGATGGACTAGCGATGGGCACGCAGAGATTTTCATTCTCTTTTCTGCTTCATTTTCTTATTTATTTATAATCCATCTCTGTATCTCTGTTGCATTGAAGTGGCGAATGGTTTGCAAAGGCAGATATATATATCTGTGAGATTTTTTCAACATCGACGGAAACGTGGAGTCATTCTCGATACCCTCGCCAGAGCATCAGAGATCAGATTCGGGTAGCACCTCTCTTGCAACAATCAATTTGAATGCCTGATGGTATTCTCTCGGGGCGATGTAAGCGGCCGCGATGATCCGGCAACAGGTATAGCACGCCACTCGCTTCGAACAGAATATCGTGGTTAACCACCTTCTTCCAGAACATGACCATGAGCCTGCCTCCGACATAACCGTCGTGTCTTGGGACGGACCTCGCGACCCGGGCAATCCATACAACTGGTCGCACTCCCGGAAATGGACAGTCACAATCCTGGCAGTCTGGCTCACTTTCATCACAATGATTGATGGCACCATCATCACTGTCGCACACGACGCCATTAACACCGAGTTCAACGTCTCCGATGCCAACTTCCCCAATTCCTACTGGACAGTCACCAGCTGGGCCATGGGCGGCGGATGCTTCTCGCTGCTTGTGTTGCCACTGATGGAGGATTTTGGCATGCGCAAAGTATTTCTACTGACTTATGGCGTTTTCCTCTGCTTCGTGATCCCGCAAGCCGTGGCGCAGAACTTTGCCACTTTGGTTGTGACGCGCTTTTTCGCTGGCGGCTGCGTCGCCATCCTGGCGAATACCTCTGCCACGGTCATTGGGAATGTATGGGACAGCGAGAAGTCACGCAATGTCCCCATCAGTTTGTATATTGTCTTCTATCTGGCTGGCAGCAGTATCGGACCAGTTGTCGGGGCGTCCATCTTCCAGTTTCTCTCGTGGAGATGGATCGGCTATATCCAGCTAATCTGGTACGGCGCTTTCTTCCCGATCTATTTCTTCCTTTTCAAAGAATGCCGCGGCATCGCTATTCTGGGGGAGCGCGCGAAAGCTTTACGGCGGGAGGGAAAGAATACTTATACCCAGCACGAGATTGATAGCCAAGGCAAGTCGATTATGCGGATCGTAGGCCGCAGCGCAGCACGGCCACTCTTTCTGTTCTGCACCGAGTCTGTGGTCTTTGTGTCTACGTTATGGTCCGCTTTCACCGTGGGCACGCTCTATCTGTTCACACAGTCCGTGGAGCAAGTGTTTTCGGGGTTGTATGGCTGGACCGCCGTGCAGGCGGGATACGTCCAATCGGCCATCGTGATCGGGGAATGTATAGGATGGGCAGGGACCTTATTTTCAGGCCGGTTGTATTTCAACTCTGCTTCCCGCAATACCGAAGTCCCCGGCACTCCTATACCAGAGGCAAGGCTATACCTTGCGATTGTGGGGGGTATGGTTGGGATCTCCGGAGGCATGTTCACCTACGCCTGGACATCCTACCCCCATCTCCCCTGGATCGCACCAGCCATCGGTCTTGCAATGGTGGGAGCCGGCAGCGTGATTGTTGTGACGGGCATCTCGGACTATTTGGTTGATGCCTATGCCAAGTACGCCGCCAGCGTGATTGGAATCGTCGCAACCGGTGAGAACACCTTCTCCGCTTTCCTGCCGCTCGCCGCAGCGAGCATGTACTCGCATCTTGGGTTCCAGTGGGCTAGCACTGTGCTGGCATTCATCTCGCTGGCCTTGTCCTTTGCGCCGATTCTGGTGCTCATCTGGGGAAGACAGATCCGAGCGAGAAGTCCATTTATGAAGGAGGCTATGGTGGAGAAGAGGCGGAAGAGCGTCGACTCTGTTTGATAATTAGCTGTGTACATACAACTAGTACATCTATTTGCATATAAATCCGAATCTACAGGGTTACTTCAAAATGGTTTACCTTCTCTTCTGCTGCTTGCTATAGCAAGTACAAACCAGTGTAGAAGTTGCCCGACAGGCATCTTGTCAAAAGAGGCCGCATTATTGCCGAACAATGTACCGTTTTCCAGAGTGCGAACGGCAGCTAGGGCCAAATTGGATACTAGAGCCGAGCCTAAACCCCTCACAACGGGGATAGACACTTAGTTCAGGGTTTCGAAAGGTGGTGAGAATGGATCAACCGAACCGTTTCGAGTCATGCTAGTGTTCCATCTCGGCTGCGATCACCAAAGCTCGACTAGGCGGAGAATTACGCAGGAACCCTGCGGCACATGGAATAATGCAGAGCAACACAAGATCAATCGGAGGTTTTCCAGATTGGGGCTAAGAATGTCTCTCGCGGCCGGTAGTTTGACCCTGCCACCCCCTGACCATGTTTTCCCGTTTTCTCTGCAAAGCCGAATCTGCTTGGGTCTCTGTGCCCCCTCCCGGGAACTTTATGTATTTCACAGTGCAAGAGAAGATCTGGCCCCCATTATTGACCTTCAATGGGACATCAGCGGCCGGACTCCGTTCGGGACGATCAATCCTTTCCCATTGGGGTCTGTTGCAGAAGAGGAGGAACATTATCCCAGCCCGCCGCAGACGGTTGAAGTCCCCGCGCGACCTAGACTAGAAACTGGAGCTTCTAGATCGTTTCAGGGCGGCCGATCAAACGAACCCCGACCTTCTGGTGGTCTGCACAGCTGAGATTTCCAGGGGGCGCCGACGTTCTCCCGCAGCATTGAAACCTCCATCAAGAGTCTATCATTCTGCAGGGTGAATTGACCTGGATCATGGTGAGGTGAAACCTGTTCTTGAATGGAACAGTAACTAGCCCCTAGTTCAGTCGAGCGTTCTTACACCCCATGAGACACACACTCTCCCGAGATCCTGGCAGAGACAAGCCCTCCCCCCTCTCGTTTCGCGATCATCATTGGTTCTTGCTGAGGAGGTCGTCATACTAACCCAGTCCCGATGTTCGTCGTGCCAAGCTTTTCAATTTTCGTTCTGTGTCCGTTTCTCTACCATGGGATCGTAGCTGTCGGTACGGTCGGTCCTGGTCTGGACGCCGCTGATCTCTATATATGACATATTGCCTGGTGGGCCGTTGAATCGGCCGCTCGTGGGTGCCAACTTTGTTCGATCGACGAAAATGTCAAATAATAATAAATCGACTGGTCACAGGCAGGCAAGGCTGGGGAGACGAGTCCTATCTGATAGGTCCAGCAGGATGATCCCTCGGGGAAGCAAAGCCCCAGCCGGAAGAATAGTGTAGATAAATCGAGGCCGAGTGGGACACCAGCAGGACTCGGTTTCAGTGGCTGCAAGTAAGCGCCCACTGAACCTGTGAAACACATCCAGCGGGTGCTTCAGGTTGCCAGCGCCAGTTTTACTTGGCGGGTCCTTTTGGCCCCACCACGGATTATTCACTGTCGAGTAGGACTTGTCCATCGCACAGACCCTCTGCAGTCCGGTCACCAGTGCTGAGAGGGGAGAGGGAGTGTGATGTGCGAGTGGCGATCCTGGACGGAGGACTGCAAGGAAGGGGGTGTTGAAAGAGAAGAGAGGCAAGCCAGTCAGTCGATAGCGAGTCCCAGTCGCCCCCAAACCCGCCGGCTCAACAGGCACACCCGCTGCGGGTCGGGATGACAGTACTATAATACTGTCACAAACACCACCATACGTGTATATTACCACTTTCGTGATGGTGTAATCCTGTCCACACCGTCACCACACCACTCCAGCGTTTCGCTCTCTGTTCCTCCGTCAGGCCAGCCCTTTTTCTCCTTCTCTTCTCTCTCCCTATCGCCTGTTCTTCACCCATCTTCACCTTCGTTTCTTGCTTCCGCTGTGCGCGAACCATCCCCTTCCTTCAGAGACTTGCAACTTGGCTGGTCCTGTTCCATTCTCTGATCTTCTTTCTTTTTCTTTGTGTTCTTTTCTCCCATCGACGCTTGTTACCCACCCGAGGCTGGCCCTCTGACGTTTCGCGTCTCCATCCATCCCATCCTTCCAAAAATACCTTGACGATCCTCTCTCGCATATTCGTCGCGGCCCTTCGCGCACCGCTGATCCGAACACCGCGAGTCGAATCATTCTGAAGGTGAGTCGGAAACTGAGTCGGTGATGCATGTCTCACAACAAAGGAGTCAACAAAGACCGAAGGGACCAACCACTCTTTTGTCTGGGCTGGTCCCATCTGGAACACCGCCCTTTGTTTGCGCCTGCGTTATCAAACTGTCTCCTCCCGGTCGGACGCTGATGGTTTTCATAGTGCGCGTGGTGTAGCCATGTATTCCCAACCGGGCGCCCCTATGGCGCCTCCCCAGAAACCGGAGACGTTCATGCTATCAACCGAGGCGCAGCAGAGTCTACCACAGGACGCGCAAGTTGCGCTGCAGCAAGTCGATAATTGTAAGTCGATCACGAGCTGGATCCAGCATTCGAGGGTTATGTTTGTTGACATACACCCGACGCAGTGAAATATTTTCTTTTGTCCGCTCCTGTCGACTGGCAACCCGATCAGCTCATTCGACGATTCCTCCTCCCCACGGGCGACTACGTGTCCTGTGTCCTCTGGAATAACCTCTTTCACATGTCCGGCACCGACATCGTCCGATGTCTCGCCTTTCGATTCCAGGCTTTTGGCCGCCCCGTGAAGAACTCCAAGAAGTTTGAGGAAGGCATTTTCTCGGATCTGCGAAATCTCAAGGCCGGCACCGATGCGACCCTGGAAGAGCCCAAGAGCGCGTTTCTGGATTTCATGTACAAAAACAACTGCATCCGGACCCAGAAGAAGCAAAAGGTGTTTTACTGGTATAGCGTGCCTCACGACCGACTATTTCTTGATGCGCTCGAACGCGATCTGAAGCGCGAGAAGATGAACCAGGAGGCGACCACCGTTGCCGTTAGCGAACCGGCTTTATCCTTCGAATTCGACTCGTCCCAGTCCTTGTACGAGCAATTGACCAAGGCACAACAGGCCAATTCGTCCTCGTTTGCTGCCCACGCAAGTACGACATATGGCCAGCCCACCTCCCCCGTTCGGACCGTTGACGCAATGCCCCCTCCCCAGATGGCTCCGCCGACGATGCCTCTCCTGCAGGACGATTCTGGCAGCCAGGCCATGTACAACAACACGCCGATGCCCCTTTCGAACAATCTGGTCCAGGGAATTATTAAGCGCGAACAGGAATATGGCACCACCATTCAGTACGACCGCAATGGCATGCCCATTGCCCGCATTCACCAGCGTCATTCTTCCATGCCGACTTTCTACGAGTACTCCCCGGCCCCGTCCTTTGTTTCATCCCAGTATGAGGATTACAGCAACCGCGGATTGTCCTTTGAACCCGTTACTCCTCCGCAGCACTCTGTCGGACTGGGATCTGAGCCAGCATACATTGCCAACGAAGATACGGGTCTTTACACGGCAGTCCCTGACATGTCACATGGATCTGGATATCACGGAATGATGCAGCTTCCGCCGTCTAATCTGTCCGGTGGCCAATATTCTGCGCCTCGATCCTTCTCGTCTAATGTATATTCTGCCGTTGAGGGATCCCCGACCTACAAGCAGCGAAGACGACGATCATCTATCCCTACCTCTGTGGCTCATGCTGCTGCAGTGTCCCAGGCTCCGTCCGCAACGCCGCCTTCACAGCCGATTACCTATGCTGCGCACAAGCCCAGTGATCTCCGCCGATCTGTCTCAAACTCGGTGGGTCCTTCTGGCGAAGACGAGGCCAACCAAGATCTTGCGCGCACGTATCCGAGCGCCATGCTTCCGCAAAAGGACTTGCTCCAGGAAATGTCGCGTCATGGAACCCCATTGCAAAATCTCGAGGACAACAGCGCCGAGCAGTCCGGCGTGCCCCTGTCGAACCCGCCCGATGACTTGACCGCACTTCCAACGAACGCAGCCTTACAGAACATTGTCCAAAATAGCACGACCAGCCGCACGGATCGCTCGGGCCCCGGACCAACTCGTCGCGCAAGGAGTGCTACCATGACGGAGTTGGGGCCGTATCCGCAGAAATCGCACTCGTGCCCCATTCCGTCATGTGGGCGTCTCTTCAAGCGGTTAGAACATCTCAAAAGGTAAGCTCTCTCTGCTCTATTTTTGAATTGTGTTCCCGTCCTGGTGGGGCGGATCTGCGTTGCCTACCCGTGTGATGAAATCTTTCGATAGCCGCCGACTAACCCGGGCGCCTAGGCATGTGCGAACTCACACCCAAGAACGACCGTACCCTTGCCCTTACTGCAGCAAGGCCTTCTCACGCTCTGATAATCTTGCACAGTAAGCATTACCTTCGGACATCCTTATCCCTTCTTTTACTAACCAGTCCTCTCAGACATCGACGCATCCACGAGGCTCAACATGATGGCCAGCCGCCGTTTACCCACGAGGACGATCTGGAGAACGACGCTCATGACTTCGGCTCCCCAGAAGACGATATGTCGCCGCCGGCGCATGCGCAGGATATGATCCATGTGCCACATATGGCACCAATCCCCGGGTCTATGAGCATGCCATCGGCCATGCAGACCGTCGTTGCCCCGCACATGATAGCGCCTCAACTGCTCCAGCAGCAGCTGTGAGCTTGATTCGTGTACTCCATTGGTGTACTTCGTCACTTTCGTCAGCGAAAGCTTCCCCGCTTTTCGCTTTTGATGCCCTCTGGAACCCCTCTTTGGCGCTTATGGTGCGGTGTTATAATGTATGCTTCATGTTACTTCTCATCTGACCACCCTCGACCATCCTGGTCGGCGTTTCCTTTGATGATTCTCCTGCAGCCCTTTTTGCAGCCGCTCTCGCATTTTTTCCTTGTTAATTTTTTTTGGTTCTCGAACATCTTGTCTGATCTGCGGTGGTCAGAATACGGCAGGTACTGGTTCTGGGTGTAGGAACGCTTCTGGTGGATCATCCGGTATTGTCCATTGGAGCGGGGAAGGCCGGCCGTGCGACTCGCACTATATTATAGACAGATCTATGTAACGAACTGAATTGGACAAAACTTCAAGTTGCATATCTTCAAGTGTATAGTAAACTACACAACCAAGTGAATAACCTAAAATGTTGGGGCCGATCACGTGATATACTAGCTGACGTCGTTTCTTTAGTTGCATGTCACCTCATCAGCCTCTCTTACCATCTGCCAATATCTATATCTCTCTCTCTTTTTAATTTAAATTTATATGAGCCTATCAGGAGGTCATCTTCCTGGCGAGAGAACCCCTCTCATGGCTGCCGATTACGTCGCGGACGACGCCGACATGGAGCCTGCGGGGCGCGGCGTGGGCCATGTTGACGAGTCGTCCAAGAGCTGGTGGTATCTATTTATACTCACTCTATCTATTGGAGGGTAATTTTACTTCCTTTTATACTTATCTAGATAGGTAGCATATACGTTATTTTGAAAGCTAACCTGAGGACAGTCTCCAAATGGTCTGGTCTGTGGAACTATCTCACGGCTCGGTAAGTCACTGAGGATTCCAGTCATTGCCTCCCCATACTAACCAAAACCAACCAGCCCTACCTTCTCTCCCTGGGAATGAGCAAGTCACTCCTCGCATTTGTATGGATCGCCGGCCCTTTAACGGGCACCTTGGTCCAGCCATATATCGGCATCCGCAGCGACAACTGCCGCATCTCATGGGGTAAGAGGAAGCCGTTTATGCTTGTGGGCAGTGTGGCCACTGTGATTTCTTTATTGGCTCTGGCTTGGGTCCAGGGGCTGGTCGGCGGATTTTTGTCTATTTTTGGTGTTGACCCGGCGTCTGAGGGGTCGAAAGTGGTTGTTATTGTTGCCGCGACGGTTCTTATGTATTGTCTTGATTTTTCTGTTAATACGGGTAAGTCATTTTGTTCTACGTTTAATGGTACGGGGTTGCTAATGACCTCATCCAGTGCAAGCCGGCATCCGCGCATTCATCGTCGACAACTGTCCTGCTCACCAGCAGGAATTGGCTAATGCGTGGGCTAGTCGACTCACGGGCGTTGGTAACATCTTGGGCTTTATTTTTGGGTACATCGATCTGCCCAGATTCGTCCCTTTTCTCGGCAATACCCAGTTCCAGGTTCTCTGTTCGATTGCGTCGTTCTCTCTCCTGATTACCTTGGCGGTCAGTTGCCTCTATATCCAAGAGCGCGACCCTCGCCTCGAAGGCCCACCTTCTTCAGATGGGCTCGGTATTGTTTCTTTCTTTCGACAGACCTTTAAATCGACCAAGAATCTTCCGCCGCAGATCGCCCGCGTCTGCGAGGTCCAGGTGGCAGCCTGGGTAGGCTGGTTTCCGTTTTTGTTCTACTCGACTACCTACATTGGCCAGCTATATGTCAATCCGATCTTCGAGGACAATCCGAATTTCTCCAAGGATCAGATTGACCGTGCATGGGAGGAAGCTACGCGGATTGGGACATTTGCGCTTCTTGTTGAAGCGATTATATCCTTCGCGGCTAACATGCTTCTTCCGCTATTTGTCGTTCCAACTTATGACGGCCAAGCAGAGCCAATAACATCACAAAGACCAGATAGTTGGGGCGGCGACTTGGGAGAAGAAGAACCAGAGATTCCTCGCCGGTTATCATTTTCCGCCATGCCGACAGGCACAGCATCCGAGCCACTCCTCAACGAACCAGGAGACAAGTACCCGCTCGCGGACAAGAAACCAATCTGGCTCTCGCGGCTACAGATCCCGGGCTTGACCCTCCGCCGAACATGGCTCCTCTCCCACGTCCTTTTCGCAGTCTGCACATTCAGCACGCTGTTCATCCACTCCTTCCATGCCGGAACGGTTGTCGTCAGCATCATTGGGATCAGCTGGGCCGTCGCCCTGTGGGCGCCTTTTGCGTTGATTTCCGCCGAGGTCTCTCGCATTGATGTTGATCGGCGGTCACGCCTTCGCCAGACAGCGTTGTCCGAAAGTGTCGGAGAAGTGCGCCATCCTCCCCCTTCTTCGTCTGCGGCTGCTGCCACTACTACTGGATATGCACCAGCAAACACCGAAGATGATGCTGATGAAGATGGGAGCGAAATCCGCCCAAGCGAGGACGTCGAGAACGGCCGACCACCGCCGGCCGAGGAGAATCTCGCCCAGGCAGGGATTATCCTCGGACTGCACAATGTGGCTATTTCATTCCCCCAGATTCTATCGAGTCTGGTCTGTAGCGCTGTTTTCAAAGCAGCGCAGAAACCGCGCGGCGAGCCGTGGGATGATAGCGTGGGATGGGTGCTCCGGTTTGGAGGCTGTGCTGCCCTGGTGGCGGCGTGGTTGACGACGCGGGTCGCTGAAGGGCCGGCCCGGTGATATTCCAAGTTAAAACAGTCGAGCGATATACTTGTTAGTTAACTAGACACTGTGACTGACTTCCCAATCTGTAAAAGCCGTATAACCTGCCGCGTCCTGCCGTTTCTTGGCACTGTTGGTGGACCACGTGTCACGGATACGGTATTACTAGTACCCGTACCTCGTATAACCCTGATATCACGCGACAGCCTTGTAATTATTCACGTACTGTATCCCCCGAACCATACTCACTCCCTCACAGGCCAACTGTCCCTCCCGCATTTCAACCCCCAAGGCACAACGTAACGCGCAACAGCGACCTTCTTGACATTCCCACCTGTGTGCTCTTGACGCAATCCCAGTGTATCCGCCTACTGCACGTGCTTGCGGATTATGCGCGTCTGGTCCTGGCCGCTTCCGACTTGCTGTGCGAGCTAACTGTCAGGATATCATCCGCGCTGCTCGGGTCCCCAAGGGTTGTTGGCTCAACATGGCCACCCAACTGATGGGCGATGCCGTCCACTTCCTGCTTCGTGCGTCTTCTCCCTGGAGGGGTGTGTTCGAAGGGCTTTGCGCTAACCTTTCTCCGAATTCACAGGGCGAGCACAGGACTCCGACTCCGACCCTGATGGTACGCATGCAACCACATCCACTTTCTCGAGATGTCGTATAATCTGACCCGTGTTGGTACATTGCAGATACTCCCGAGGCGGGCGCAAAGGAGATGACCAGCTCCTGGGCGCTGTTTATCATGATCATGCTATTGATCTTCGCCCTGTTCACGAGCTACATCCTGCAGCAGAAGAAGATCCAGGCGGTGCACGAGACGGTCCTATCGATTTTTGCGGGTATGGCCACAATTCCAAAAAGAAAATTGAGAAATGTGCTAACGATATGAAGGGATGTTCGTCGGGCTGATTATCCGGTTAACCCCCAAATCAAACCTCCAAGACAGTGTCGCTTTCGACTACCAATTCTTCTTTAACCTCCTCCTCCCCCCAATCATTCTCGCCTCAGGCTACGAGTTACACCAAGCCAACTTCTTCCGCCATATCGGCACAATCCTCACCTTCGCGTTCGCGGGCACCTTCATTTCGGCCATCGTGCTCGGCCTGGTTCTGTACCTGTGGACGCGAATCCCGCTGGACGGGCTCAACATCTCTTTCGTGGAGGCTATCTCCGTGGGCGCCACGCTCTCCGCCACAGATCCGGTCACCATCCTGGCCATCTTCAACCTGTACAAAGTCGAGCCAAAGCTATACACGATCATCTTTGGCGAGTCGATCTTGAACGATGCCGTTGCTATCGTGTTGTTCGAGACCGCGCAGAAATATGCAGATAGCGAGGCTGGCTCGCTGACCATCCTCAACTTGTTTGAGGCCATCGGGCTCTTCTTGCTCGTTTTCTTTGGTAGCATGGTCATCGGTATCATTACGGGAATCGTAACCGCGCTGGGACTCAAGTATACGTTGGTGCGTCGGATGCCGAAGATCGAGAGCTGTCTCGTGGTTCTCGTTGCATATGCCAGCTACTTCTTCTCCAATGGCGTATATCTCTCTGGTGGGTGCCAACGTCCTTTTTTTTTTCCATGTGGGAGGAGACTGACCCATTGACCTAGGCATTGTCTCGCTCCTTTTCTGCGGAATTACTCTCAAGCATTATGCTTACTACAACATGTCGCGCCGCACACAATTGTCCACTAAATATCTGTTCCAAGTGATGGCGCAGTTGTCCGAGAATTTTATCTTTATTTATCTCGGCCTGGATTTGTTCGTCGAGCCCAACCTTCAGTTCAACCCGCTGTTTATCCTTGTGGCGGTCTTCGGCATCTGTCTCGCACGTTACCTCGCCGTTTTCCCGCTCTCAAAGGCGATTAATTGGTTCATCCGGTACCGTGCGCGGCGCCGGGGAGTGGAAGTTGCAGACGAGCTGCCCTTCGCCTACCAGGCAATGCTTTTCTGGGCTGGGCTGCGCGGTGCTGTCGGCGTCGCGCTTGCCGCGGGTCTCTCCGGTGTCAACGCGGCGTCACTACGGGCCACCGTTCTCGTTGTGGTGGTGCTCACTGTCATTGTGTTTGGAGGCACCACGGCTCGCATGCTGGAGATCATGGGTATTCGAACTGGTGTTGTCGAGGAGCTTGATTCAGACGATGAATTCGATATTGAAGTCACCAACGGCGGTACCTACTATAAGCGGTCTGACACCGGTATCGGCTATACACCGCGGTATGGAGAGGCAAGCATTCCTCTCGACGGCGTCGGTGGTGCACCACGCAACACCCTGGGCGATCGAGCACACAGCTACTCGAGCGGGAACAATCGCCGTCCGAGTCCGCCTCACACCCACACACGCATGTACTCGACAGCCTACAGTCCCAAGGACGCACAGGCACGGCGCGATCATTCCTCCACCGCAACCCTGCTCAATAACGGGCATGTCGGACCCAGCTCCGGCAGCGGCAGTGACGACGAATTCGGCCTGCCACCAACCGGCAAGAAGAATAGTCAGCCCACCCATCCAGATGAGTTCGACCTCGACCTCGAGGGCATCTCCGACGACGACCTCCCGCCTGCTGCCCACGCGGCGCCCACTTCATCTCGCATGCGCCGTTCAGCCTCGCAGGCTAGCCAGCCCTCACACCTTGCCTCCCCCCACAACGCCGCCACCCCAGCCAGCGTCTCACCCTCGCGTCAGCCAGCCCTGAGCGCCCGAGAAGCTCTTCGGGATTTGTTCTCCGGCGGCGCAAGCGGCGACCACGCCGCATGGTTCCGCCAAATCGACGAGGACTATATCAAGCCCACGCTCTTACTCGACCAATCGAATCACAAGGGCCCGGGCCCGGGAGCTGTTTGATGGCATTTCCGTTTCTTTTCTATGCATGTATACTTAGCTTTGTGTGTTTCTTGGGAGCTGCATTATTTCCGTAAACGTTCTCTTTTCGCCTGTCTTTTTTCAGTTTGCACCATCTGCTTCGTGTTCAGTGAGCCCTGGCCGCTGGTCTGTTCTCTTTGTAGCATCACCACCTCGGGGCGCCAAGGAAGGGACTCTGTGAATAGGCCCCAAATGCCTAGTGGAGACGTTAAGAAGCATGGAAGAGGAAGAAACTCCTCAGTATGGGCAGTTTCGATATCTAAGAAGCCGACAACGGAGTAGCAAATGAATGGATTCCCAGCTTCGGAAAGGCGCATAACCTATAGCACTTGTACACTAGATCAGTGCCTTTTGTTCTCACCGAGGCGTGGAAATTCGGCAAATGACTGTTGCTCTAGCCAGTGAGAATTCAGTACTTATGTACCAGTTCAAATATGGACACTACCAGCGGGCGGGGTAGATACTAAGCCCCATGACAAAGGCCTAGAGAAGTTCCATAAGCACATATTCGCTTATGGTCTTATCATCGTCTTTGTCCTTTCCAAGTGTGAGAGCAGATTAGTAGAACGCTGCCAAAATAGAGTTTTACTACGATGGACCCGATTTCGGTTACTGGTGTCCTCGCAGTCATTGTTCAGGTCATTGAGACGACAGCGACGGCGATCAGATTCTTGAACGACTTAAAACATGCCTCAAAAGAACAGGCTCTTCTCTCATACGAGACTGCCAGTCTCCTGCTGCTTATGACAAATCTGCGAAGTAGACTCGAAGAAGCAGATCGACCAGAGTGGAAGACATGGTCTGAAGGCATCTTAGTGCTCGGCGCGAAGAACGGGGCCTTGGACCAGGTTCACACAGCCATGGAAGAGTTGCTGACGAAGCTGGACAAGATGTCAAACAGATCAAAGGTGGCGAATACCCTGGCCTGGAAATTGGAGAAAGATGAATGCACAGCGATTTTGGAGCGGATAGAGCGATCTAAGACAACGATTAGCCTTGCTCTTCAGGGAGATCAGCTGTAGGTACTTCCAATCTACAATATACAACCGGACTAAGGACTGATGGTGGCCTAGGGCGCTTCTGAGAACTATAAAAACTGACACCATCACCATGACTGAGCAAGCCCAAGCAATGAATACCAGTATGCAAATATTTCAAGAAAGTCGCGAAGGTAGAGTTGAGAAGGGCCGACCTATTGCTGTGACTGCTGACTTCTTGGTTTCCCAGGCGAAAGGGCTCAGGCTATGCAAGAGTGGATGTCTCCACTAGAATTCAAATTAAAGCAGCAAACTCTTCTTTCGAAGCGACAGCTAGGTTCCGGGAAGTGGTTCCTGGAGTCTCCTGAGTATTTGAACTGGTTCGATAACTCCGGGAGCAATGTGCTGTGGTGTTCAGGTATTCCGGGCTCCGGGAAGACTATATTGTCGTCAATCATCGTCGAGGATCTCCAAAAAAGGCTAAAGAGGCATAGTTTAAGTGCCGTTGGATACGCTTACTGCGACTACAACGACCGCGAGGTGCAGAGTATCGAGAATATTATTGGCTCATTGTGGAGACAAATCGTCCATTTGGATCAACACGGCGTCTCGAATCTACAGGACCTCTACAACCGCTGCATGATCGAGGATCGTGGAGCCCGACCGACACTTCGGGAGTTGTCTGGCGCACTTCGTGATGAAGTTAACAGACATGTTAGTGTGTTCCTCGTGATAGATGCACTTGATGAATGCTCGGAAGGAGTGAGGGCCGGCCTACTTCACGAATTCAGTCAATTGCCAGAGACGGCACACATCCTGATAACTTCAAGATCCAAACATGTTCCCCCAGAGCTTCGGAACGCTACGTCACTAGACATAAAAGCCCACGAGGATGATATCACAAATTACGTCGTTGATAGGGTGCAGACGGCAAAACGACTGTCGGCTTGGGTTAAGGGCAAAGTCTCGTTGGTCAAACAAATTGTCACCAGCGTCTTGAAACATGCGAAAGATATGTGAGTCCACCAAAATTGCTGCGCACTTCAATCTGCTAATATCTCAGGTTTCTTCTTGCCAAACTCTTTATGGACTCCCTATGCAGCAAATTAACACTGAAAGGCGTCTTAAAGGCGCTGAAATCAATACCGAATGACTTGAATGCGACGTACGATGAAGCAATGGCGCGAATAGCACGACAGAACGAAGAGGAAAGGGATCTAGCCTACCGAATACTCTACTGGGTGACCCTGGCTTACCGCCCTATCACTGTCCAAGAGCTGTGTCATGCGCTTGCCTGCGAGCCGGACGAAGACGAATTTGATCATACCAATTTGATCAGCGAGGAGGATATCATCAGCGTCTGTACTGGGCTTGTGACAATCGAGCCACACACAAATATCGTCAGGATGGTTCATTATAGCTGTCAGGAGTATATGGACAAGATTCTCAATGATCGATTCCCCGAATCGTACCAAGACTTGGCGAGGACCTGCCTGACATATCTTACCTATCAATCTACAAATGCTCGCTACAAGGGCCACCGCTTCTCAATATCGACCAGGGGAACTGTCCAGATCGAGAAGGTGGACATAGCGTGTGAGGATGCCTTACCTGAGATGGGAACATACGAAGCGGCTTTTCACTGGAGCGTCCCACGATACAACGGCGAGGGCGAGCTTTTACCGTTCTACCAGTATGCCATCCAATACTGGGCGTGGCATCTGCGCGAATGCACTGAGCAGGATGATCTGATCCAAGATGTGTTGAAATTCTTTTCTGAATGGAAACATTGGTATCCCATCTTGAGCACCGTTCGAGCCAAGTGGGTAACTTATATCAGATCCGCCATAGACGTGATCGCGGCGTATCAGCTGGAGCAGGTATGCACCGAGGTAGTCAGTCGTCCTCTGGCATATGCCAATATGTCCAAACCGTTGCAATTGCGCACAGTACCAAATCCGGAGCCATCAGAGCCATATCCAGAGGCTGGATTGTTGGTAGCATCCATGCTCGGACGAGCCACCATTTTAAAAATTCTTATCGAGAAGTCAAGGTCAAAAAAAGCCGTCGGGAGAAAGATCGATAGCGAGCTTTTCGGGCGTCTTCTGCAAGCAGCTGCTTGGTCAGGCAACCCGGCAGCTGTCGAGAAGCTTCTTGAATACAGCCCCCTGACAGATGAGAACTCCTCGTCGGGGGTTCCGGTGCAAACGCCATTCGCACAGGACGCGGTCATTGCGGCGCTGTCTCGGCACGGCTTACAGCCCACAATCCCATTAATCTGTTCAGTCGGCTCTCCGGCTTCTATTCCTCTCGCGCTAGCAGCTGGCCTGCCCATAGACGCTGTCGACCCTCAGTTTGGGCGCACCGGTCTCATGTTTGCCGCCGAGCGAGGCCGGGAGCCGTTTGCGCAGGCCCTGCTCGCACCACCGGTTCCCGCGGACGTCAATCGAAAGAGCTTTCCTGGTTTCACACCTCTGCATTATGCTGTTCTCAGCGGGCAGTTTGACGTTGCGAAGCTGCTAGTAGATGCCGGCGCAGATTGGAATGCGAAGGATAATCTCGACAGGACGCCACTGATGTACGCGGGGAATTATGGTCGTAGATGGCCGGGCAAGATGCCCGGTGATTTTCCTGACATCACACCAGTCCAGAAGCGATGGGAAGAGGTGGTGGAGCTTCTGGGCGCCAAATGGGGCCGTGTTGTCCAGTTCAAGGGGGAGACAGAAAAGCCGGCGAGTGGCCCTGTCTTCTAAGAAATTTATGAAGTGATGGTTAATGAATAACGAGTCATTCTTTCCGACCAAGCGCTTGAGGGTTCAACCATATCCAGCCATCAGGACATTATTGACGTGATTGGCACAGCCATACTACCACATTTGTCTAATGTACGGGGTGTGCAATCATCCAAACCCTATATAATGATGTGATTTCTAGTCTAAACTGTGTCAGGCAATACTTGCGTCGTGTCAAACTCTCCTGCAGAAATAGGCCCCACCCGATAGATAATGGTTGACTCTCGTACTCAGTAAGTCAGTCCGGGGTAGCTCCATCGCCCCCTATCTGCCATATCTATACGATATCAGGATTGTTATCACTACCAACACCGTCCACTCAGAAGAACGCATCTCTTATCTACCTCTACAAATGCTCACGTGCTACCATTGCTAGCAACCAATTCAGCCATGATTGACTCTGCTAGACTCGCGCCTTCAGCCACCTACCTCGGGTTCAACCCCGCTCGGGAATTATTATCGTCCCAGTTACGAATATGACTGGCAGTCGCTCGGCCGTGCCGACAGTGAGGAGAAGATGACGATTGGGCGTGCGAGCGTAGATTTGATGGGCTTTAGGTTTATTGCTATTTTATCAGAGGCTTATTTCCCGAGTCAATAATGATTGTCTGACCGAAGTTCCCATGTTCTTTTCTTGTCTGTACAACCCCTTCGACGACTCTTGCTTACAGCCCTTGTGTCTTACGTATTAATACGAAAGACCTCCCTTCACTTCATTCCTGTGCACCCTTCTTGAACACCGACAAAGATACTAGCTGTGCAGAGAAGACACCACGCAGCCGAAATGCTCGAAGAGATAAAGAAATCTGTTTCCGCGAGCGGCGCAAGACCGCTCGCTGCGGGTGATGATGCTCCCGTCGCCGAAACTGGGGATATGGAGTTGCTGGGTGAGTTTTATCTTATCTGCGCTTGACATTATGCTCTGCAGATGTGCAATTGAAACTACGCTCCTGTTGTCTCTTTGTTCGCTCAATTAACGCGCTGCGTTAGCAACCCTGGGATACAAGCAGGAGCTGCGCCGCCACTACTCAACACTGCAGATCTTTGCCGTCGCGTTCAGTATCATGGGTCTGTTGCCCTCTATTGCGTCGACCTTGTCGTTTTCCATGCCTGCGGGTCCGGTGGGAATGGTTTGGGTAAATATTGCGCCCAAATCCAAATACGACGCATGGATGTTGGGCTTTTGGCTGACTGGTGCAATAGGGTATGCTATGCAATATACTAGATCCGAGTTTCGGGACGGCTTATTGATCTTGTCTTTTTACTAGGCTGGCTGTGTGCTAGTTGCTTTATCTTTATTGTCAGCCTGGCAATGGTATGCTTTTGGGGAGATCTGTATGCCGCATTGAGCTAACATATGTCTCTTTTATAGGCTGACCTGGCATCGGCAATGCCCACGGCCGGTGGTCTTTATTTCTGGACTCACTACTACAGTGCTGAGAAATGGAAAAATCCGCTGAGCTTTGTGGTAGGATATAGCAATACCATTGGTTTGATTGGCGGTCTCTGCTCTATAGACTGTGAGTTTTCTCAAATATGAACATCGTAGTCCTTACTAACAAGTATATCTATTTCTCAGATGGTTTCGCCAACATGCTCCTCTCCATGGTCTCCATTTCCCGCGACGGCAACTGGACAGCTTCAAGGCCCATCATATACGGCACCTACGCAGCCACGGTATTCTCTCACGGCCTCCTCGCCACCTTTTTCGGAAGAATCATGCCAAAGATCCAGTCGGCTTGCATTTTTCTGAACGTCGGGCTCGTAGTTGCGTCAGCCGTTGCTCTCCCCATCGGCAAAGCGAAGAACCACCCGCCTGTCAACTCGGGCGCGTATGTATTTGGCCAAGTCGAAAACCTCACCACCTGGCCAACGGGTTGGGCGTTTATCATGGCGTGGCTCTCGCCCATTTGGACCATTGGTGCATTTGACTCGTGTGTCCATATGAGTGAGGAGGCTACCCATGCTTCGCGCGCTGTTCCGTTGGGTATCGTCTGGTCTACTGGCCTGTGTGGAATTCTAGGGTTTTTATCTGTGGCTACGATTGCGACGTCCATGAGTCAGAATATCGAGGGCATTTTGAATTCGAAGTTTGGGCAGCCTATGGCTCAGGTAAATTTATCTTCTTCTTTACAAATCAGATCTCTGTACTGATTGGCTACCTATGCATAGGTCTACTTTGATGCACTGGGCAAGAATGGCGCCCTCGGCTTCATGGCTGTGGTAATGGTCGTGCAATACTTCATGGGACTTAGCATCGTACGTTTCGCACTCCCATCTCCGTCATTACCTTACCTTTAATAATACTAACGAAAAGACCACCAGGTCCTCGCTGCCTCTCGCCAAAGCTGGGCCTTCTCCCGCGACGGCGCGCTACCATTCTCGTCCTTCTTCCGCAAAGTCAGCCAGTCCCCATTGATGCAGTATCAGCCCGTCCGGATGGTCTGCGGCGTTTGTGGAATGGCAATAATCATCGGCCTCCTCGCGCTCATTGACAACGCTGCCTCTAACGCCCTGTTCTCGCTCGCTGTCGCAGGCAACGACCTCGCTTGGCTAGTGCCCATTTTGGCGCGTCTACTGTGGGGCCAGGACAAGTTCGTCCCTGGCGAGTTCTACACGGGCAAGTATCTTAGCAAGCCGATTGCAGTTGTGGCGATCGTGTATATGGCTTTTGTGATTGTACTCAGTATGATTCCTACCGAGGGACCAAACCCGTCACGTAAGTCTCTTTGTGGTATTGTGTTCTGTTCTGTTGCTGACTTGTAGAACTTAGCGCAAAATATGAACTACACTGTTGTCATCAATGGAGCGCTTTGGCTCGGTGCTATCCTTTACTATGCTCTTCATGCCAGGAAGACGTTTAAGGGACCGCAGACAACCCTTGGGCCGGAGGATGTAGGTAAAACAGAGGCCGAGGTTTCTGAACAAAAGATATAGAACGATTCAAGGTATCCAGGTTATCTGATAGCATCCTTGTCTGTATTTATCTTACCCAAATGACAATGACGTCCACGGTTTATGTTTGCCACATCCTGAGATACCGTGGAACGACCATGCTCCCCGCATGACTTGACCATCGGCCCAGAATACTTAGGCTCTCTTCTCACATTCCTTCTTAATTACCCTTCAATAAGTAACAGCCAACAGCCCAAGCTTTTGGTAACTCCTGTCTAGTCCAACGTACAACAATTCCGCACAACATGGCCGGAACTACCATCCACGGTGCTTCTCTAAGTACTACATCTTCAGATCGCCGCCACTCCTTTGACCAACAGCCTCTGATCCCACCGGTGGCGCAGAATTTCAACAACCAAGATGTCTTTCAAGACAGAAAGGTAGCACCGTATGTGACACTAGAGACTATCCGTCTGGGAAGATGAAACTTACATTTCCGGATGCCAACAGGTCGCCACGAGCCGTATGTGCCGAACTCGCGCATCAGCATGCCTTTGAGGATCTAGAGAAAAGCTTGCAACACTTGCCGGGAAAGAAGGATCTAGCAGGAAGTGCGTGACTATATTTGGCTTTCTTGTGATTTCCTATGGGACGAGTTGTGCTCATAATTTTGTCGCAGGCCATGACCTCCCGGCTACAAACGCTGATCTTGCTCCGCAATCTAACCCGGAGGAGTAGAGAGACCTATGTGATGACAGTATTAGCCGGGTGATCCGGCTTCATTGAAAGGTACTGGGGATATCCATGAAGCTATGATGCAAGAATATGAATTTGAATCAGATAGTACATATTTCGCTTTGGGAGGGAAATGTGGTGATGTCACGGTGATGCTCCACCATATTTTAACCAATGTGGGGGCGTATCAAAATGGACTCTATTTTTAGGAAAATCATTAACAGTGCATAACCAACGCATTTCTTTTTATTTTATACAGCTACAAGGACATTCAACATGGGCGTCCCTAGTTTGATTCCGCTTCCAAATCAAATACCTTTCTTCCCTGGTACCAGGTTTGGCATACCTTCCCCTGCAGCAGCTTTTCCGGGGTCCACTGCATGTCCACAACCAAGAAGTCCGCGCTTAACCCTTGTTTCAAGCTTCCAGTCCATGACTCTGCAAACCGCGCATAGGCTGCACCAGTCGTGGCGGCTGTAGCTGCCTCAGCGAGTGTCAGTCCGAAATGCGGGTTGACAGTGTTGGTTGATTCTGGCTCGAGAGCAGATCGCCTAGTAGTAGCATTATAAAGATTCGGAAGCGGGAAGTGCGGCGCTGTTGGTGCATCCGTTCCGATTGCAAGAGGCGCCCCTCCATCTAAGAACTCCTTGTATGCGAATGCACGCTTACAGCGCTCAGGGCCAACAAGACTTGGCCAAGCCTTGAACAAAGCTGGATCAGAGTGGACGGGTTGAACAGATGCCGTGATGCCTAGCTGACCAAGTCGTTTGGCATCTTCCGAAGAGGTCAATTCCAAATGTTCGATCCTATGTCTCCGACCCGGCGTGCCAACGTTCGAGAGAACGTTGATTGCCTGATGAATAGCTTGATCGCCGATAGCGTGAATGGCACATTGGAGGCCGGCTGTATCTGCACGCTGAACAACTTCCTGCAACATGTTTTCAGGCCAAATGGGCTCGACGGGATCGGATTTACCGCTGTATGGCTGGCGTAGAGCCGCAGTGCAACCGTCCACAACACCATCGCAGATCAGTTTGATTCCTGCGATGCAGAAATCCTGCTGGGTAAACTCCTTGCGAAGCTCAATAGCCCGGTCAACATACTTGAAGTTGGCCTGTTGATCGGCGGTGAATGGAACAAGCCAGTGGACAGCGATGTGGAATGGGATATCTTTGTCTCGGCGATAGAGGTTCAAAATCTCCCATGTACCCTCGTCCATGGCCATGTCTACCAGACCCGTATAGCCGGCAGCGGTGTACGCTTTCACTGCCGTGTCCAGGGCGCTTAACTTGTCTTCGGTTGACGTAACACTCTCCAGATAAGGCCAGGCGAGGTTCATCAGTGCAGACTCGTCCATTAGACCAGAAGCCCTTCCAGTCTCATCTCGATGAATAGTGCCACCGGGAAGGTCAGGTGCAGTATGGGCCCCCATCTCTTCCAGTGCAGCAGAATTACACCACATTGAATGAAGATCAAAGGAATCAACATAGATAGGGCGTGGGTCGATGCCGTCTAGCATACTGGCCAGGGCAATTCCGTTGGTGGATGACTGAATCCATCCGCGACACAGAATTCGCGGCAGTGTCGGGTGAGATTTAGCATAGGACTTGATAGTCTGCTGGATTTGCTCGAGGGAAGTGCATTTTATAAGATCTGCTTTGCACAAGGACTGGCCGTATTGCAGAATATGCACATGGCTATCGATAAATCCAGGAATGACAATCTTGTTCTGCAAGTCGATGACCTCTGCATCCTGAGGAATTTGAGACTCATCAAGGGATCCGACATGGGTGATGCGGTCTTTTTCGATGATCATTCCCCCGGAAAAATCATTGTCGACGTTGGCCGATGGATGTGAAGGCGCAAAAATGCGACCATTCTTGAAGACGAAAGTCATGATGATTACTGGAAAAGGTCTCAGGCCTGTGTTGAAATAGAATGAAAGATCCCATACGAGCCTATTTATTTGGTGCTGCGCGATTCCAAAATTGTGCACGTCGTTAAAACAATGGCGATCGGGAGGACCTTCCTGTTAGGGAAATAACACGGTTGCCGAGCCCGTCTAGAAGTCAGTAATGTAAAACACCGCTATGACCTGGTAATCTAGATTCGTATCTGAAAGAAGAGAGAACTTAGTGTTGCCGAGGAGTTGTTATCTGAAAGTTGAGCCAAGGCTCGTGATGGAATTGTTATCGTTTTCATTGGATAGAATAACACGCATCTGACGTTGCAACTAGCCGACCGCGCAAATTGTCACCATTGGTCCATTTCGTTGGCGATCCGGGGCAGTGGAGACAACTGATATATCGACCTCGGGGGAGAGATAGACCTTCGAGGAGCTATGAACTGAGTCATACTGAGATGTGATAGCCTGTTATATTTTTGTGCACGATAAAAAGAAAAAACGAAGAAGATGAATCGAATGCCTTGTATCAGGAGTTGCTGAATGTATTGAGCCCCTGTAATAACCGGAGCATGAAATGATGCCGATTGGCTTAGCACATGCCTCCTCGGTAAACCAACAAATCTAAGAGCAAGTGGAGTTGCGGATCCAAACATTTGGAGACTTGACTGCAAATGTCATAAAGGTAAATCAATGGGCCCGGCACTCACTGGAAGTGTATCGGAAGTCTAGGGATCCAATTTACCCCAAATTTTGGTTATCACCAAGGCTATTATTTCCCCGCATTGCGATCACTCGAGTGATGATAAGCTTAGCCAATATTCATCGCTTATTGGCTATTGCTTCAAACTTCCCTTTTGAGACAAGCCGTATCCCATTTTCCGCCCCTATTTTGGGCTGTGAATGGCTGCCAGCTATACGGCTGTATATCCGATGACGATAAGAGACATATTGAACTGCGCAGAATGAATCTCGCTACACGGATACAGAAGAGTATTAAGATAGCCTCCAAGCCAACTTGAGAAGCGAGTTCAGTTTTGTGACTAGTCTTTCAAACTCTTAGTTATCGAATCCGATGCCAATTTATTGAAGCCCCTACACTTATGACAGGCAACACTATGCCCTCCAACTATCCACCAGTGGACCCAGATTGGCCGCCTGGAACTGTGCAACTTGAAGGTAACTCGTGATAGGATCTCTTTTAGAGAACTGGTTTGAATATTGCTTTCGGCTGACGGTATATTGTGACAGATCTTTCCCGGCCGGGTGAAGCATCGGAAGTCATTCTAGAGCCGAAGCCCTCTAGAGATCCAAATGATCCCTTGGTGGGTACTAACACTTCATATTGTTCAAGAATATCGCACTGAGAGACTCTCACCTTCCAGAACTGGCCAACGTGGCGGAAACATCTGAATTTTGCATTTGTTTCTTACTATGTCGTAATGGTTCTTGCTTTGTAAGTACTCAAGCAAGAGACTATTACAGAGTAGCTAATTTATCCAGAATTGATATTGCTACTGTGACCTGGGGCCCCGTGAATGCGGAACTGGGCTTCAGCTTTGCACTGTTGAACGACAGTTACGCTGCGGGCTGCGGAGCTCTTTGCATTGGTGGCCTCATTTTAGTGCCTTTTGCACTAAAGTTTGGTCGCCGCCCGATTTACGTGTTCAGTACCATTGTCCAATGTGGTATAAGCGTTTGGACAGCCAAAATGCAAACCGTTGCCGATCTTATGCTGGTCAACGTATTGAGCTGTATTGTTGGAGCATTGGCAGAAGTGTTGGTGCAGATGACTGTGGCAGATGTCTACTTTGTTCATCAACGCGGATTCATGAATACCATCTACTATTGGTTCATGACTATTGGAACTACACTGGCCCCCTTGGCGGGTGGCTATATCACACTTTCCCAAGGCTGGCGCTGGGTTTGGTGGTGGATGGCCATTCTCTTTGGGGCCGGACTCGTTGCATTTGTGTTATTTTATGAAGAGACAATGTTTTGCCCGTCGACTATTGACGGGGTCCCAGTTGAGGACAAGACCGCTCCCAACATCTCTACCAGCAAACACGACCCCGAGATATCTGCAGCAAAGCAGCTCGTTATGGCCCAAGCAGAGCAGCAACACTCGACTGCGGTCGATATTGATTATTCAATTCCAGAAAAAAGCTACTGGCAGAAGTTAGCACTTTGGTCTTCTGCCCCAATCTCATTTGCCGAACTTACAAGGCATAGCTATGAGCCATTTGTGATTTTGTTCGGAATTCCGGCTGTCTTCTTTATGGCTCTGGAATATGGGATCATGACGGCCTGCACTACGGTCCCTGTGACGACTTTATCATCAGTCATGACACTACCACCGTACAATTTTGGGGCAGCACAGATTGGATTAATGGGAATCCCGCCCTTCATTGGTGTCAGTCTGGCCACTATTGCTTGTGGCCCTATGAGCGACTCGATTGTTCTTTTCCTCGCAAAGAGGAATCGAGGTGTCTTTGAGCCCGAGATGCGACTTTGGTTGAGTGTGGCATTCATCCCCTTTGTGCCCGCAGGCCTTTTCATGTTTGGGATTGGGTTGAATAATGGGTCTCATTGGCTTCTTCCCGCCTTTGGCTTGGGGATCAGTTCCTTTGGGGTTGTTCCAGCTAGCAGTGCTGCATTGACGTACCTGACTGATGCATATACAGATGTAAGCCTCTTCTGATTTGGGTTGTGACTGAAAACTGACATTGAATAAGATTATTGCCGACTCACTCGTCGGCGTTACCTTTGTTCGCAATCTAATCTCGACTGTGTTTGTTTTTGCTTTGCAGCCCTGGTGTGACCGTGTTGGTCTGAGCTGGTTTTACGTAACATTCGGCCTCATTGTCACTGCTATAATGATGGGCAACTTGATATTTATCTATTTTGGGAAAAGGTTTCGCGTCAAGGTTGCAGCGAAATATCTTCGCTACAGTGCAAAGAAACACCAGGGGTCTATGACAGTCTAACATCGAAGGAGCTTTTTTTGAAAGTTATATGAGCACTAGCGATAGGTTTTCGGCTCATTCTGACCAAGTTTAATAAGAACAATATGGTATAAATATTGCGCGCACCTCCATCAACGTAACAAAATAACTGCTTGAGAGAATATTTTTCGGCCAGCGTAGTCGAAGTTCAATCGTGTGAGAGAGAAGACATCAAGTCCAACTCAGCTATCAAAAATTTTGGCCACTAGATCCAATGGTTTTCAGGGGTTGCAAAGATTCACTACCGAGCAGGCTACAGCAAATCAGATTAGCCTTACCCCAATTCGGAAGTTCGATGGAGTGCGGGGAATTGGGGAATTCCGTATTCTGTAGTACGTAATTTGTTCAGCCTATCTGCATTATAAAAAGGGAGTCGAGCCTCCCATGTTTTCACTTGAATAGATATCTCTCATCCAATCATCTGACTTTCCTCCACAAGGTTATATCCTTTTCCATGGCCAACCATAAAATTGCTATTATACAGTTCTATCCTAGGGTGGGTAACACTTGTTGCTCTATACCGATTAGAACAAGCTACTAATATGTACGATATAGCCAAATGAAATAGAGTCGAACCATGTTAAAGCCGTGACTTTCATTCGTGAAGCTGCCGCCTCTGGAGCACAGCTCGCGGTTCTTCCTGAATATCATCTCGCCGACTTCGTCCCTAGTCACGATCCAGCTATCCTGCAGCAGTGTGCAAACTGGAAGAAATATCTCAACGCCTATTGCGCATTAGCCAAAGAGTGCAACATCTGCGTGGTACCTGGCTCCTTCGCTGAACTACACGATGACGGTACGATTGTGAACGCCACTTATTTCATTGATAATAATGGAGTTATCTGCGGCAAATACGAGAAGAAGAATCTCTGGCATCCCGAAAGGCCTTATGTCAAGGGCTCAAAGAATGATACACGGCATATTGCATTTGATACGCCCTTGGGAAAGGTCGGGATGGTCATCTGCTGGGATCTGGCATTCCCAGAGGCTTTCCGAGAGCTTATTATACAGGGCGCCAAGATGGTCATTGTGCCTGCGTACTGGAAGTATAACGATGCTTCCGAAATAGGTATGAAGAGAAATCCTAAGTCTGAAGGTGTCTTCCTAGATGCTGCGGTTGTTAGTCGAGCTTTTGAGAACACTTGTGCTGTGGTGTTCTGTAACGTTGCTGGGCCTGAAAACGAGGGATTTGCTGGGCTTTCTCAGGTGGCCTTGCCATTTGTGGGCTGCATTGAGAGATTTGGGAACAGTGACGAGGGCATGAAAGTTGTGGATGTTGATATGAGCATTTTAGAAGAGGCAGAGGGGGTGTACAAGATTCGGGAGGACATTGCTACCTCGGATTGGCATTATGGTTATAGTCGTTGACATTGAGTTATCGAGCACTGAGTGAAAGTCAGCGGCTAGAGGTTTTATCCAAGTATTCCATTTCCCTCAAGCGCAAGATATATCTTCGTGAAATGACACGAGCATAGTTAGCGGACCATATCAAGTAATAATGTAGAAAAGGGAAGAAATCTCATCATGACTATTAGCTCTAAAGGATGTTCTTCAATGTTACCATCGTTACGGTGTTCAAAGTCCCTCCCGATTACAGGGCGAAAATCAGTGTGGCGTTGAAGACATCTTTGCTGAAGATCGGACCAATGCTTTAAAGCACAAGAGTGCCTATAAAGGGTACTGATAAGCATGCGGCCTTACTGTGTGTAGCATGTGGGGTTGTGGAATGAAACGGATGGCAGACCAAACAGTTTGTCGTGACGATACTTTGGAACGTGGCCCCGCCGATCTGGGGGATTGCTTAGGGGCGAGTTTTTCAGAAACCATAGATCTCCAATCAACAGCCTCATGCGTGATGTCACGGCCAAGACTTTGGGGCCGCACAGTGTAGGAAATCGAATTGTGTTTGGGGTGATTTTCCTCTCTTTACCTATTGAATGAGTTCTCTATATCTGAATTCGCATATCAGAGGCACCTTTTTCTCTGAAGCTACCCGTACGGTCGCCAAAGGAAAGACGCTTAGGGCTGTGTTTTGACCATGTCTTATCATAGCGTTAGATGTGGCGGAGCACATTCTTGAAACAACAACTGGGGCCAAACGAAACTTCCATTTCGGGCCGAAAGCGTGCGATTGGCCATAGGTGGGTGTTAGAGGCGTTGTTCACGTTATTGAACGATCACATCCTCTTATACAATTAAGCCTCGTACGTGTTCAAGGATATTTTTGAGGAGGCAAAAAAACTTACATTTAGCTGACGGGCTGCTGTTGGACATATTTAAGCCCTCCGGGATCCCTCCACCCTGGATGGAACCTATTCTGACTCGGCCCACTCTATAACTATAATATATCAATACCTGTCTCTTAAAGAAGGCGCTTTACCAGTGACATGATGCATTACAATACTTTGATTGGTTTCCTCCTCGCCGCCCCAGCCCTGGCATCTCCGAGTTATGAGTACGAAGAACCTTCCGTGCCATCGTCGGCTTCTGACTCCATGCCACCTCCATATTATGATATTCCCGTATCCGCCATTCCAGTGATCGCAAGTGCTATTCCGAGTATGTGGATTGAAGAAATGATGGACGACCCTGCTGCACGGCAGTCCATGATCGATGCCATAGAGTCGGGCACGTACCCGCCTTGGTATTATGATTTGCCCGCCACCATCAGACCTTACGCTTCCAAAGTCGCCGTTGAGGAAATGTATTACTTCAATCAGGCACCACCAACAGTTGTTCCATCTATCAGCACTCCTATCATTACGCCAACGGGCTGGTGGACCGTCAGACCCAGCCCGGTCATCTACAGCACCAGGCCTCCAAGTCCCAGCTCGACTCCTCTCCAGACGAGCTCAAGAACCAGCTCTAGTACTCCTTCAGGTTCTGGCACTGCATCTTCCACCTTTGGCGGTGCACCCGCTGCAACGGCCGGCGCCGCGACCCTCGCTGGCGCCGGTGCCGCCGCTCTGCTTGGTATTGCACTGGCACTGTAGTGCCGCTATGGCATTTTAATGATTTAAGCATTCCATCAATGCTTGTCTTATTTTAAGGCGTTCTTTTAACAGAAATTTATTGAAGAAGTGGACCATCAGTCATGTATGCATTTATAAAGTTTTTGAAGTCATCAAATAGACTAGTAACTATTTGTTTGATCGACCTAATTTCCAGGCTACTACAGAATTCAAAAATTTCAATCAAGCACACTGGCTTTAGCTTCCTAAATAGAAAGCCACTACCTAACCAGAGGTACATGGGTATGCTGCAGATCTTCAATTCATATATAGACGTGTGACGACTGCAGGTCAGGCCCATTTTAACAGCTTACACTACAGAGTCTTATCTAATGCAAAAAAGAATTAGGTAGAACTAGTGCAGTAAAGAGAGACTGTACAACTCTGGACTTTTCCGTACATGTGCTCGAAATCTCCAGCCTTGCCTTTGTGAACCGACTCTTCGCAGCGCAGCAGGCTGCACTCTTGTCTATTCCTTTCGCTTCTTTCGATTTCTTTAATTTTAACACCTAAAATAGTGTAAGCCACAAGCGTAGAAAAAAAGGGTCTCCCTTCTTTCCTGAATAGAAAGCTGGAGGGGATGAAGCGAAGGGCCTTTCCAAGTGTGGACATATCAAGAGTACTGGTAAAAGAGTATGTAGGTCTAGCACTGGAAGCCATTTATCTATAATCAGGAGTCTATTTAGCTATCAGTATATTGGTTGAATCACCCAACATACCTGGAGGTCGAGCGTTGCTGTTATATCTCATACTTGTTTCCCTTGATTCTGCTCCTCATTGATTCCAATCGATGATAACCTGCGTGTCTACATTAACCACTATTTATGCATTGCATTACCCTTGGGGACACGCATGGCTGAAGACGTCTTCGAGGGACACTTGAATATGGGCAGTGGTCTTTCTAATAGTGCACCGGTACAAAGCCCTTCATTTCCCGAGTTAGAGGAGACAACATAACTATCAAGTCACCCGGAACAAATTTCTCCGAATGTCGAGTGGACAGCCGCATAGAAACCGAACAATCGCCGCAGTAACCCCGTGGCTCTCCGTTACAGTAGTAGTGCAGCATAGGTTACTAGATCGACACTTTGGGCAGTTGTGTGGTAGATCTAACTTTTAATTTCTCCGAGGAAACCCAGAGTGGTGGATACGACTACTTCCGTGCATATGTGTACAAGTTAGTCTCTGTAGGGCGCGGGGAAATGACGAGGACAATCTCATAGCTATAAGCACATATAAAGATCGTCCTGTAAGCCCAAAGTCGCCTGAATCACACTGCTTCGACCATCCTTCCACAATGGGTTTACTCCAAAGCCTCCTTGGTTTGGGCCTCTTCTTCGGATCGATATCTGCCCAGAACTATGATGAGCTCTACCGTCCTCAGTTTCACTTTTCTCCCGCACAGAACTGGATGAATGATCCTTGTGGATTACTGTACCACAATGGGACATATCATTTGTTCTTTCAGTACAATCCGGGAGGAATTCAATGGGGAAACATGTCATGGGGTCATGCAACCAGCACCGATTTAACACATTGGGAACAACAACCGATCGCTTTTCTCGCCAGAGGATTTCCTTCTAATGTCACGGAGATGTACTTCACTGGAAGTGCTGTTGTGGATGTGAATAACACCAGCGGGTTTGGCACGGATGGCACGACTCCTTTAGTGGCCATGTATACTTCCTATGTAAGTCTGTCAAATGAGGCAAATTTTACTCTTATTCACAAAGCGACTGATATTATATTCAGTACCCCCAAGCCCAGACTCTGCCAAGTGGAAAGCGTATTCAGGCATTGCAGCAATCACAGTCCATTGCCTACAGCTTGGATCAGGGAATGACTTGGACTACATATGACGCTGAGAATCCTGTCATTCAGAACCCGCCAGCTCCATATCAGAGTCAATACCAGAACTTTCGAGACCCACACGTTTTCTGGCATGAGCAGACTCGGAAATGGGTTGCTGTCACAACATTGGCGGAACTACATAAGCTTCTTATATGGACGTCTCATGATTTGAAAGAATGGACTCTTGCTACTGAGTTTGGGCCGTACAATGGCGTCGGTGGGGTATGGGAATGCCCTGGTCTGTTTCCTCTCCCGCTTGATGGAGACGAATCGAACATGAAATGGGTCATGGTGGTCGGAATTAATCCAGGAGGACCGCCAGACATTTTGGGCTCCGGGACACAATTCTTTATCGGAACGTTCAACGGGACGACATTCACACCTGATGCAAATACTGTGTACCCCGGAAATCAAACGTCGAATTGGATGGATTGGGGACCGGACTTTTATGCTGCCGCCGGATACAATGGACTGCCTGATAGGGACCATGTTCAAATCGGATGGATGAACAACTGGCAGTACGGAGAGAATATTCCTACGTACCCTTGGCGAAGTGCTATGGCAATTCCTCGCCAGCTCTCTCTGAAAACCATCGGCCAGAAAGCGACCATTGTACAACAACCAAGGGAGAATTGGCGGGCTATCATGGGTCAAGATACTCGACTGCACTCGTGGAAGTCGATTGCCGAAGGCAGAACACCACTCGGCTCTGTTGGAAAAGCTATGGAAATCAACTTGAGTTTCTCTAGCTCCGAATCAACGGCCTCTGAGTTTGGAATCATCGTTCGCGCAACTTCCAACCTGTCACAGCTCACGCGAATTGGCTATAATTTTTCAAGCAGCCAACTAATCGTTGACCGGAGACAGTCCGGAAATGTCTCTTTTGATAAGACATTTGCCAGCCAATACCACGCACCCCTTACCTCGAACTCGGATGGTCAAGTCAGCCTGCGCATCTTCGTGGACTGGTCCAGCGTGGAAGTGTTTGGGGGTGAAGGAGAAACCACTGTAACTGCCCAGATATTTCCAAGTGGCAATGCCACATATGCTCAGCTTTTCTCCTCGGGGGGATCAACAACAGATGTCAACCTGAGCATTCGAGAGTTGTCTTCAGTTTGGACGTAGCAGATAGATCTTGAGATTAATGAGAGATTTTCCGGCGCAAAAAAGTTGTTCCTGAAGATGAAACATCTAATTACTTGAATTCTCTTTTGAGCACAAACAAACGTCATCAGCTCCATAGCTGCCCTGACTGGTAGCTGTATATCTGGGTTTGTTTCACGTAAAGAGGCACAACCTGAGGCACGTTCTGCCCTAGGCACCAAACCCCTTTTACGCTCGAGGGAAACGCCAAGCAACCGGGCATCTCCAAGACCACCACACTCCCGGGCGCAGTGGAGCAGCAATGCCCCGAAATTCCCAATTTCGCTCGGGCAGAGACCCTCTTGGCGACCACCCACACCTAACGCTGAAGAAGGGCCATGTTACTGGCCCGTTCTCGTTTCTCAATCCCACCTCCGCGCGATATGAGCACGACCAGCTAGATGCCAAAGACGTGGAGGAAACACCTCCAGCGAAAATACCCAGCGCCAGTGCCACCAAACCAGCGCACGTTGAGCGTCTCTGGCGATCTCGCGATAATAGGAAAGGTCGCCATGCGCTCCGGGTCGATTATCGCGTGTCCCCCGACGAAACGGGGTACACGGCCCCGATGCCAACGGCGAGCTTCAAAGCCGTTGCACGAGGCATTCTTCGAATGGTGACGTACTTCCCTTACTGGGATGTGTCGTGGCTGGTTGCTTGGTCGTTCACGCTTGGCTCGGTGATCTGGATCATCAATGCTTTCTTCTCCTGGTTGCCACTCGTCGACCCGCAGACCGAGTTTTCGAACGAGTCATTGCTAGGCGGCGGGATCACCGCGTTCATCGGAGCCACGGTGTTCGAGATAGGCAGTGTGCTACTCCTCCTGGAAGCCATCAATGCAAATCAGACCAGCTGCTTCGGCTGGGCATTCGAAACGGTCCTGCAGCAGGTCGAGGGCGACGCGCACAAACATAGGACAGAGATGAAGCCGAGCATCGACGCGTGTCAGCATCACCATGCAAACCGGAAATCTTTCCTCAGCGCTGATCACCAAAAGCGGAGCCAAGCTGGGTACGTCACGACGTCGCCCGATGGCAGATCATTCCGATGGATGCCTTCCATGTCAGAGCTGCGCACGCATTACCTCCACGAGCTGGGATTCTTGGCATCTTTGGTCCAATTCTTTGCCGCAACGATCTTCTGGATTGCGGGTTTCACCAGTCTGCCGGGAATCATCAACCATATGAGCCAAGGCCTTACCGATGGAGTATACTGGGTCCCCCAAATTGTCGGTGGCCTGGGCTTTGTTGTGAGCGGGTTACTCTTCACCCTTGAGACCCAAACCAAATGGTGGAAACCCGCTCCACATGTCCTGGGGTGGCACATTGGTGTCTGGAATTTCATCGGGGGCGTTGGCTTTACTCTCTGCGGTGCGCTCGGACCGGCCAGCAATAGCTCGTCTGGTGTGCTGTACCAGACTTGTCTCGCTACCTTTTGGGGATCATGGGCCTTCATGATCGGATCTACCCTTCAGCTGTACGAGAGTCTAGAGAAGCATCCTGTTGAGAAGCAGTAAAGGGTGGCTCAACCTTGGACATGACCATTGAGATATATATGGAGCAGATGTTACATACTATTATGCGTCACGAATAAATGCATTATCAAGTTGGTAGAAAGAGCCAGTATATACAATCTACACAACTTCTGAATACCGAATTTCTCGAGTTGCCAGATTTAGAGGCTTCCAAAAACGAGTCGTCACTACGAAGAATTACTGTAGAGATCAGTAAGGACTAGGGTTTACTCTCCTAGCGTAAGACGGGCTGGTGCTGGTTGGGTGGGGAAAGGCTGAAAAATCAGTGCGAGATAGACTATGACTCGATTTGACCTCGAGTGATCGACTGTACTGTGTATCAGAAACCGTTTGGTTCAGCTGCGACCGTGAATTACAGCGGGTGGTTCCGTCCAAAAAGGAAATAAGTCATCAACAACTACAATCAACAGCTATAATGGCACCGCCGCTCGACCTCGGTCTCCCGACGGCCCTCATCCTCATTGACAACCAGTCGGGGTTCTGCCACCCATCAACAGTTTCGCACTGGGGGAGCAGCCGGTCGAACCCTCTCTACGAAGTGAACATCCAGTCGCTTCTATCGGCTGCCCGCAGCCATGCGTCGTCGGCAGCGTCCACTCCAGTGGAAGTGATTCACGTCTTCCACTCATCGACCACGCAAGGATCTCCTCTCCACCCAAACCATCCGGCGCAGGGGATTCGCCCGTTGGAGTTTGCGACGCCCGCCGCGGACGGCTCGGAGCCCGTGTTCTGGAAGAGTGTTAATTCGTCCTTCATCGGCACCGATCTGGCCGCCCACTTGCAGGACAAGGGGATCCGACAGCTTCTGATCGCGGGGTTGACGACGGATCACTGTGTCTCGACGACGGTTCGCATGGCTGCCAATCTCGGGGTCGTGGATCGGTCGGTCGGCAATGATGTCGACAAATTGGGGCCAAAAGCTGCAGATCGGGGCCGAATGGAAAGGGGGCGGATTGTTCTTGTGGCTGACGCCACAGCGACATTCGCCAAAGGGGGGCTTCGACGCTGAGACTGTTCACCACGTCTCTGTGGCTAGCTTGGAGGGCGAATTCGCCGATATCCTCGGCACGGAGGAGGTGGTGCAGGCCTTTTGCGGAGGGTCCAGGGGTCACTGAGACATCGGACACCGGTTACGTCAGTATGGGGTTATGAAAGTGTGTCCAGTCATTATTATTATGATTATTGTTATTCTTATTATTCTGCGACTTCCTGCAGTGTTAGATTCAAGCGCCACTCCAATGTCATTGCTACGTTCAGGGTCTGAAGGCGACGCGTTTACCCCTGGCCACCGCCGACCAATCCTCGCCACGCGTTGGCCCCCAACTGCTGTTGCCTGGGCCCACATGCTTGACATCCTTGCTGGTCCCTCCCATCCCGACGGAGGATGAGGGACGGGCACACTTTCGATAGTAGCGACACCATGTACAGATTGACATCCTCCTGCATCTCCATACCCCGTTGGTCCGGATTGAGGCCTCCTAGGATGACAGGTAAGACCATCGCGGACGCCCACCACTCCTATTGGCCTTAACCAGGCGCTGGGTCCGGTGTTTAACTTTGGGCCTGAAGCTTGTCCAACAATCAGAACGCGCAGGGTCCACATCCTCGAAACCCTTGGTCGCGCAATTTATGGGGCGGGCCCACACGCTGTGCCTTCCCTGGCATAGGCCAAGGAAAAATCCCTAGTTGGATCCAGGCACCGTGTTACAAGTAGGGATGAGCCCCGAGGGGCCCGCAACGGGCTGTTTCCTTCACATTCCCTACAGACGTCCATATTATTATACCCTCGTTGATGGCACCGCTGCGCTTGAGCAGTACCGTCGTTCCTTGTTAACCCTCACCATGCATCTCCATGGCCTGTCTTTTCTTTTGTTTTTCCATAGCGTGGTTGCAGAGTCCATTCAAAATGATTTAATGTCCTTCAAAACCGTACGTGAGTCCCTAACACCAACGAGGTTCCGATCCTGATGCGAGCAGTTGCCCGACGTCTGGGCGTTGAAATACAATGTGCACATTCACGACCGTGCCCGAATCACCCCGGGTTACTGGTTCGTCGCGCCATACCTGCAAATCGATCCCGAAACTCCGACCAACCTGTTCGATCCCTATCAGGTCGGGCCCTACATTTACGATGGCGACGGGGTAGGTTTAAGGTCCCCTCCGGTATCAGCAACGACCAACTGACCCGGAATAGATGCTGATTTGGGCGGGGTCGCGCATGTTCGAGAACAGAAACGTTTTCGATTTCAAGGTGGTCAACAGTCTAGGCGAGACGCCCTTCCTCTCGTTGGTCAGCCAGCATAGCTTCGATGCGCGTGTGGATGATGATAACGGTCACGGAGTCATTCTGAACAACGAGTACGACATTCACGCCTCGATCCCCATGCGCCACGACCTAGGCGCCTTCGACATCCACGAGTTCAACATCCTCGATGATGGCAAAACGGCCTTGGCGACCTTTTATAAGCAGCACGATATCGATCTGGCGGAGTTCAACCGCCCGGAAGAGATTGCCTCCATCCTATCCGGAGGATACGCCCAGATCAACCTGGCCAGCCAAGAGGTGGAATACTCATGGGACTGCTGGCCGCAGATCCCGCTGATTGAATCGACCCATATTAATCCCATGACCGCTCCCGAACGAAAACCAGGCTGGGATTACGTGCACATCAACTCGGTCGACAAGAACGATGCCGGCGACTACATCATCTCCCTGCGGTTCACCAACTCCATCTACTTGATTTCCGGACAGGACGGGAGCATCATGTGGCGCATGGGTGGGGCAGGCCATGCGACAGATTTCGAGCAGGACTTCACCTTCTCCAAACAGCACGATATCAAGTTCCTCGAGTCGAACGGGACCCGCCATGTCGTTTCGTTCCTGAACAACGGCTCCGACGAAGAGAGCAACGACGAGGACGTCTCGTGCGCCTTCATCATCGAGATCGAAACCGGCACGGAGCCCATGACCGCCCGCGTCCTGCGCCGATACAACCGACCCGACAACGATTTGACCCGCCTGCGCGGCAACGCCCAGGTCCTGCCCAATAACCACATGTTCGTCGGCTGGAGCCAAAAGGGCTACATCTCCGAACACTCGGTCGAAGGTGACGTCCTGATGACCGCCGAGTTCGAATCCGACCGCTTCTCAACCTACCGCGCCTACAAGTTCCCCTTCGTCGGGCGGCCAAGCGCCCCGCCAGACCTAGTCGCCAATGTCTGGGGCACCGATGAGTCCCACATGCTAACGACCGTGTACGTCAGCTGGAACGGTGCAACGGACGTCGCGAGCTGGAACTTCTACGCCCGAGCCCAGGAAAGCGGCACGCCCGTCTTCGTCGGAAGCACGAACAAGACCGACTTCGAGAGCATGCACATCCTCTCGGGCTACCTGGATTTCATTACCGCCGACGCGCTCGACGCCCAGGGCAACGTGCTGCGCACATCCGAGATCCAGCGCACTGCAACCCCGAACTGGGACCCTGCCTGGTACAGGGGCGAGACAGATCCCCATCCAGACGATCCCTCGATCACCTACGCCGACGGCGAACCGCAGACGCCCTCCCTGCGCGGCTATGACGAGGCGTCATTTGAGGACGCACAGGCGTCGGCCTCGAAGGCGCTGGAGATCGCGACAGAGACGTACAACGTCGTTGCAACAATCGGCAGCCTGGTCGCTTTCATTGTCGTTGCGTGCGTGTTGTGCGCTGTCGTCGTAGGGTATGGAATACTGCGCGACCGGCGGAGAAACAAGACATATACAGAGGTTCCATCGGACGAGCAGGCGTCGTTCATGAAATAAGACTGGCTTGTTCTTGACTCCATTCTCGGGTTGGTCTTGAGCATTTACATTGCGTGCGGGATTTTTTGTTGTCCATGGCGTTTTGCATTGGAACCTGCGGGTTGTCTGTTTGTATACTACTTTGGCGTCCATTCGTTGAGCTCTTATCTGTAAATACAGTCATTCATGCTGGTATATATATATGAGGTTTATGTGTTTGCATTTGATGGACTATGGTCTCGGCAGGATGCTATTATGCTTCAGTGCCCCGGCCCGGATGATATAGATCTTGATCGTAGTGAAGTGGTTCCTGCCCTATTTGGGGACATCAATGTTATGTTGACCACTTAGCCGTAAATATCAGAACTGTTGGCAGGTCAATCATGCGTGGATTTAAAGATGCAATTAAAGATCGGGTATAGTGTCTACAAGCAGTCAAGATAGAAAAAAGTAAAAGTTACATGAAACTAATTACTTTCAAGGGTCTCTAACACAAAGGAGAAAAAGAATACAGGAGTTCGGGCCCAAAGACCAAGATGGGAAGGGACGATCCAACAAGATCACCACCACCCCTATAAGGTGTAACCTCAGATTCGTCCTTCAAACAACAAGTAGAGGAATTATTTAGACGAGATCACGCTTGACAAACTCAGCAAGCAGGGTCTTGCCAAGCGAGGCAGGGCTGCGCTCAACAATGACACCGGCATCCTGGAGAGCCGAGATCTTCGAGTCGGCGCCGCCCTTGCCGCCGCTGACGATGGCACCGGCGTGGCCCATACGGCGGCCGGGGGGAGCGCTGATACCGGCGATGAAGGAAACAGCGGGCTTGTTGTGCTTGTTGTTGGCCTTGAAGAACTCGGCGGCCTCCTCCTCGGCGGAACCGCCAATCTCGCCGATCATGATAATGCCGTCGGTCTCCTTGTCCTCGAGGAAAATCTTCAGGCAGTCGATGAAGTTAGTGCCGGAGAAGGGATCACCGCCAATGCCGACGACAAGCGACTGGCCCAGACCGGCCTGCGTGGTCTGGTTCACAGCCTCGTAGGTCAGGGTACCGGAGCGGGAGACGATGCCGACACGGCCGCGCTTGTGGATGAAGCCGGGCATGATACCGATCTTGCATTGACCCTAAATATCCGCCAAAATATTAGAATTGGGCGTGGTGTTGGTGGGTTTAGACAGCTCGACTTACGGGAGCGATGATGCCGGGGCAGTTCGGGCCGACCAGACGGGTCTTGTTCTGGGTCTTGAGGATGTCGGTGATGCGGACCATGTCTGTGAGGAATCGGTCAGCTCGGGCTCTTAGTATCTTGGGAAATGGCGATTCGTACCGTGCTGGGGAATACCCTCGGTGATACTGTCGCGGCGAAAAGGGTCAGTAAAGGACATTTTCACTTTTTTTTGCGTTTCGCTCAACAGCAGGAGACCAACCAGACAACCAGGGGCATCTCAGCAGCAATAGCCTCCTCGATACCGGCAGCAGCCAGCGGCGGTCTATCAGACGTTAGCTTTCCCCGAATTCAGTATATGTGTGGCCATCGCAGAATCATACGGGACGAAAATCGCAGATGCCGTCGCGCCGGTTTCCTTCACGGCATCGGCCACATTGGCGAACACGGGACGGTCAAGGTGGGTGGAGCCAGCCTTCTTGGGGTTTGTGCCACCGATGACATTTGTGCCTGCGCTGTGTCAGTTTTGGTCTCGAGCGATCGCGGCGAACCGGGGGGATAGCTACCGTAGGCAATGGCCTGCTCGGCGTGGAACCTGGGCCGCCAAAACAAGTCAGCACATGAGGGCGATATCACTGGCAGAGTCCAAACTTACGTTCCCTGCTTGCCGGTGAAGCCCTGGAAGAGAACCCGGGTGTCCTTGTTGATCTTCAGGTTGTTCACGGTATCGGCATAGGCAGAGGTGGCCTTTAGGTATGACCGACGCTGCCCGGCGGCGACATTGTGAAGGGCCGAGAAAGTATTGCGGCGGAAGGCCTGCATGATGGCAGCAATTGAGGAAGAGTGGAGGGTAGAGGGGAGAGGTGGTGGGAGGTGAAAGGAAAGGTGAAGAAGAGCAACTCGGGGATGGAAAGTCAGTCGGGATGCGCGCCCGGGACTTTTTCGGGAACGAACAAAACTTTGTCATCTTGCCCGACTCTTCACCTCACCCCACTGCTTGACTCTCTAATATCTTCCCTTGTCATTATCTTGCCACGCACTCTCTGGTCTCACTCAGACTCTCATCATGGCCACCATGACCATGGCCATGCCCGCGGCCACCAAGGCCAAGGGTCCAAAGCAGCTGCCCGAGAACGAGCGCTTCATGCGAGCCTGCTCCGATATTGCCAATGCACTCATCCAGGAATACGAGTCGCAGAAGGACTCTTCCAAGCCCAAGAAGGACATCAACCTCAACAAGCTGCGAGGCACCATGTCCAAGAAGCACCGCTTGAACACCACCCCACCACTCACTGCCATCATCGCCGCCGTGCCCGAACACTACAAGAAGTACATCCTGCCGAAGCTGATCGCGAAGCCGATTCGTAGGTCCTCCAATTTTTCTTTTTAGAATCATAAACTGACCATCCCAGGAACATCCTCTGGTATCGCCGTCGTCGCCGTCATGTGCAAGCCTCACCGATGCCCACACATTGCCTACACCGGCAATATCTGCGTCTACTGCCCCGGCGGTCCTGATTCCGATTTCGAGTACTCGACGCAGTCATACACCGGCTACGAGCCAACATCAATGCGAGCGATCCGCGCTCGCTATGATCCGTTCGAACAGGCAAGAGGGCGGGTGGACCAGATCAAGGCGCTCGGCCACAGCGTGGACAAAGTGGAGTATATCATCATGGGAGGCACGTTCATGTCACTACCGGAAGACTATCGCGACACCTTCATCTCTCAGCTTCACAACGCTTTGAGCGGATACCAAACGGACAACGTCGATGAAGCCGTGCAGGCAGGAGAAATGAGCAATGTCAAGTGCGTGGGCATCACGATTGAGACACGGCCGGATTACTGTCTAGATACACACCTCAGCAGCATGCTGCGCTACGGGTGCACACGACTGGAAATCGGAGTGCAGAGTCTGTATGAGGACGTGGCACGGGATACCAACCGCGGCCACACCGTGGCGGCCGTGGCAGAGACGTTCAAGCTGTCCAAGGATGCCGGATTCAAGGTTGTCAGCCACATGATGCCCGACCTACCAAATGTGGGAATGGAGCGCGATCTATTCCAATTCCAGGAGTACTTTGAGAACCCTGACTTCCGCACCGACGGTCTGAAGATCTACCCGACGCTCGTGATTCGGGGTACCGGTCTTTATGAATTGTGGCGGACGGGCCGCTACAAGAACTACACCCCCAACGCACTGATCGATATTGTGGCTCGTATTCTCGCTCTGGTGCCGCCATGGACCCGCATCTACCGCGTCCAGCGCGATATCCCCATGCCGCTGGTAACCTCGGGGGTAGAGAACGGCAACCTGCGCGAGCTGGCCCTCGCCCGGATGAAAGACTTTGGTACCACCTGCCGTGACGTTCGCACCCGCGAGGTGGGCATCAACGAAGTCAAAAACAAGATCCGCCCTTCGCAAGTCGAGCTCATCCGCCGCGACTACGCCGCCAACGGCGGCTGGGAGACATTCCTGGCCTACGAAGACCCCAAGCAGGATATTCTGATCGGCTTGCTCCGTCTGCGCAAGTGCAGCTCCACCCACACCTTCCGTCCCGAATTCACCGGCCAGCAGACCAGCATCGTCCGCGAGCTGCACGTCTACGGATCTGCGGTCCCGCTGCATGGCCGTGACGCGCGCAAGTTCCAGCATCGCGGCTTTGGCACGCTGCTGATGGAGGAGGCGGAGCGGATCGCGCGTGAGGAGCATGGAAGTCGCAAGATTAGTGTTATCTCGGGCGTTGGCGTGCGCAGCTACTATGCCCGGCTGGGATATACTCTGGACGGGCCGTATATGTCCAAGATGCTGGATCCGTGGGAGGACGAGGAGTGAGCCGACACAGAGAGATGAACGTGGCATTACATGGGCAGGGCGTTTCTTGCATATACACGGCGTCGGAGGGTTTCAAAATATTGCTTTGCTTTTCATGACGAGAATGATGTCTATATTTATGAATTGTTCTGGCCTTATACATATACCGCTACAGTTGAATCAAAGGCTCCGACACGATTGTCAGATGGGTATCAAACTCCCGATTTCTTATTTAGAACCAAGTACGGTGACACGCGACTTGTATCAACCAAATCACTGGAATCAATTCCGACGGTCTATGTACATGCGGCACGTCGCTGGGTGCGCTCTTCACCAGAGCAAGAGAATTCCAGCCCCAGGATAGCTAGCCATAAGCAACGCACAGCGATCGGTTGACAGTCTCATTTCACAAGACTGTCCGTCCCGGATAAATCACTTCCAACACTCCCCAGGTATCTCGATGAAAGTGATCGAGACCAAGCTATAAAAAAAGGACCCTCCACCAAGGATGCTGATAAAAAATGACGGGAAAAAAAGAGCTCATAACAGACAGACACCGGATAACGAATGAAGAAAAGAACTTGGCGCGCGGTTCTAATGGAGCGATATGGCGCCTCCCCTGCTCTCTCGCACGTGAAGGTAAGCTTGGAAAGCGCAGAAGACGAAGAAGCCCTGTAATAATCCCAATAACCTCACAATTAGCGACACAAGGATTCTTTCACTTTATTATTTGCTGCAGTAGGTGTGGGCGTGGCAAGACGAAAACGTACACAGTATACAAAGACAGCGGTATAGATAGATGCCGCAACGGCGGTACCGTCTTCGGGCTCGCCTTCTGCGCCGGTGTAGGCGTGGTTATTGCTCTGTTCACACAGGATGGACCTTGGGTTAGCCAACTGGCTAGAGATGTTCGGGGGTGGGATTGCAAGGCGCTGCGTAAGAGCGGGTGCAAATGGGGGCCGGGCGGGCAGACGTACGTTGTATAGTGAGCCGAGGACGGAGAGGATGACAATGGCGAAGAGAGAGATGACAACACTGTTTCTGCGTTAGGGACGTCTGTCCGATAGATAGCACTTGGGTGGATAGGGTTGGAATGGAATGTGTGCGGTAGAGGACGATGATGGGGAGGAGATGGCGCACCAGGACCAGGCGTTCAACGCCGACACGATCGGCTTCATCTTTGTGGGGGCGGATTGGAGCGAGGGTGGATGAGGAGAGAGGGAGGGAGCGATATAAGAGATCGAATGTGGATTAGGGATTAATGAGGGATGGAGCGAGGGAGAGATGAGGTGCAGCGTTGAAGATGAGACAGAAGACGACGGAGGCGGGCGGAGACGCTAGTCTAAATTCGGTCGGACGGCCAAGGCGGACTGGAGGCTGCATGTTTCAGCACTACAGAAGTCATCGTATATGTAAATCGGTTCTATTCATGGATTTCTTTATCTAATGTTCTCTATTCCATTCAATGCATTCGTCAAAGGTCACCCCGGATCCCCCGAAGATATCCAGTGCGCTGCCAATCGTCAAGTCCACCTTGCCCTGGCTGCTTCTGTGCACTTTCTCTAGATCCTCGAGACTGCGTGCGCCGCCAGCATATGTGACGGGAATTGTGCACCATTCCGCTAATTTCGAGACCAATTCACCGTCAATGCCCTGCTGCAGACCCTCCACGTCGGCAGCATGTATCAAGAACTCGGAACAGTAGGGTTCCAAGAGTGAAATAGATTCTAGACCGAGTCAGTCAGTCAGTCAGTCAAGAAAATCATGGAAACTCTGAAACGGATATACCTTGGCTGATTTCCATATCGGTAATGGTTTGCCAGCGGTCCATGGCCACAAACCAGGTATTGTCCTTTCGGCGACAGCTTAGGTCCAAGACCAGCTTGGATGTGTCGCCGCCCAGAGCAGCGACGACGGACTCGAGACGCTCGAGGGAGAATTTGCCTGCAGGGAACAGGAAAGAAGTGATGATGATCTAGATCCAATGCGATTGGAATGAGGAATTGAATCAATGCAGAAGAAATAGAGTACGCACCTTCTCGGCACCCTGATCAATCCAATACTGCGCATTCTTGTCCGTAATTCCACCAGCCACCTGCAATCCACCGGGCCATGTCTTCACGGCCTCCAATGCAGCCTCCTCATTGCCCCCACCCAGCTTGACGACATGCCCGCCGCGCAGATCATGCTTCTGATACAGTTCCGCATAGTGACTGGCGGGGAGGGTCGACACGTAGTTTGTTTTCAGGTCTTCGGGGACATGGCTGAGCGTGCCGCCAACAATCTGCTTAACCTGTCCCGAGTGCAGGTCAATACATGGCCGGAATTTGGTCATGGTTGCTTGATTGTGAAGACAAGATCAACCTGTGCGGGCGATGGATGGACCGGGATATGCTTATCTTCCTTATCGCACGTGATGGCGTGAGCTTTAGGAAAAAACTTGGGCGATGTTATCGGGCGATCTTCAACAACACTACAACACAATGATTGGCAAACGGAAAAGAGACACCGCCGTCAAATCGAAGGCTCCAGAAGAGTCCAGTCCTCCGCCAGTGGACAATGCGCAGGACGTGTTCCGCAAATATTTCGAAGCGCAGTTCAAGCCGCTGGATTTACCCAGCGTTGAGACCGCCGACGATGAAGATTCCGAGGATCTGAGCGAAGAGGACGAACTGGTCTCAGAATCCGAATGGAGTGGCCTTGAAGATGGAGGCGACAATGAGCCCAAAGTGCAAGTGGTGGAACACAAGAACGTCCGCCTAGACCCGGACGACATCATGGATAAGAAAGCGCGCAAAGCGTTCATGGTATGCACTAATTTTCTGTATGATCTGTCTTCTTTCTCCCCGCTAATCCATGCCTTATCGCAGAATGCCAAACCTCCATCTTCAGCTTCGTCCACCTCCAAACCAGCTACAATAACCAAAGATGCCTCCGACTCAGACGACGACAAGGCCGGAGACGCCGAGAACCTCAAACACGACCTTGCACTCCAGCGGCTCCTCCGCGAATCCCACCTCCTCGAATCCGCATCCGATCTCGCTCCGACAGGGAAAAACCGACTCAAAGCGCTGGACCTGCGCATGCAAGCTATCGGCGCCAAGACATCGCTTTATAAACAGGAGAGAATGCCTTCATCACATCGGCGAGGCATTAAAGCCAAGGCAGCAACCAAGGAAGAAAAGCGAAGGCGTGAGGCAAAGGAGAATGGTATTATTCTAGAGAAACCAGCGCCTAAAGCGTCAAAAAGCTCTTCGGGACGGAGGGAGCGTGGTGTTGGTGGCCCGACTATTGGGAAATTCGCGCATGGAGCACTGAACCTTGGAAAACGAGATTTAGAGGCTATGCAAGGCCCGAAAAGACGGCCTGGGAAAGGGGGGAGAGGGGGCAGAGGAGGGAGAGGAGGTAAAAGTCGTCGGGGTGGTTCCAGGACTGCCTAGGTATATATCTAACACGAGTGACGAACCTGAATTACTTAAATCAATCCATGCAACCCCACGGTTTCCTCATATACCAGGTATAAATCATGAAGAGTAGCTTCAGTCTTCGTAGGTGGAATATCTGTTCGCAGAAAATTGTAGAGTAAAATGTTGTATAAAACAGACTACCTTTCAATCATCTATCAGAAATCACTTTGGGGATTGTAACGTATTCTCTCTGAGATATCCTGCGTAAAATCTGCTGATTTCACCTGTTTCCTCTGATGCCTTTGACTAGGATTGAATATATCATGCTACTCACCTCGATTCGGTGCCCTCATTGGGATGCATACAATTCCCGGCAGTGATGTCAGTTCTTAATCTTCATGATCGTGGCCGATCATGAAGACCGAATTCCACTGACACCATCGACCTTCAAAATTGCTAATCGAACTGATTTGGATCAGCCCTGCACTGCCTGTAAGTGATGAGCTAAAGCATTCCGACCTAATCGTTACTGTAAGTGGCCAATCGAATTCCATGCATACAGATTGAGCAAGCTGTTGAGGTTCATGCTTAGTCCTTGACGGCTGTGCTATTACTCTGGCCAGTTTAGCACCTTGATCTGCTCTTGTCTAGTGGAGATAATAATAGGTTTGTGGCCGTATGACTCGGACGGCGATAAGAATCCAAAAGACATACTTTCAGACGGGAGAACCTTGTCAAAGGGGGGTTTCCTGAGTGGGTCGGATCGGCAATGATTAGCATCCTTTTCCACTATCAAGTGTTGGGGTCGTCTCAGCTGTCGATCATGCCTAACGCCAAACATTGTCCCAAGCAGGTCTGGCACGCATTCTTACCCCTTTTCGCGCCTCCGATGATGTCTCAGCTGAAAATGCATCACCGACAGATTCGGCAGATACGAGCCTCGCGCGCTTATCTTGCCATTAGTGTGCTGTCATTGGGCTTGTTGCAGCCCTTGCACGTATCCGCCCCCTTCGTCATGGCCTGGATTGGGTGGCGGCTTTATCTCAACAACAAGGGCAGCGGTCCATTTAACTTGTAGTTAATCTAGAAACGTTTCCTAAGGGGGATAGCGTACACGTAATAGCTGCCGCATATGTAAACGATTTTGATTCCCTTGAGAGAATATTGCTTTCGCTTGGCATTTCTGAATGCAGCCATTATAGTTGAGGATATGATGACGTACAGCCTTGATAAGTGCGCTACGGTCTTTAGATTAGTTCCACGTACAGGGGATATACTTCGCAGAATCTTAGGTCTCCAGCCTTATTAGTTTGATTGGCGTCCTGGCCTTGTATGCCGTTATCATGGCGTCGAAGCTGCAACGACGGGAAGATCTAGGATACTTATCCACCCCATTTACTATTAATAATAACTTATAATGGTACTTTAGTTCGGCCATCGCGATGCAGTCCGAGGGTGAGACCTGATTGCGTGACATTTCTGCTATGTAGATCGGTCGTAGATGATGCGTACAGCATGCGTGTGCTGGCCTTCGGAAGAATTTCAAGTGGGTAATGGCATTTATACCATGAAATTTATTGTTCAGAGAACATTGAGAGCCTAACAACTAGATTTAATACTGTTGATACATCCTGGAGCTAGAGTACGTTTTACCGTAGTGGTTGAGGATAGCCAACCGGAAAATCTGCAAGCAGTACTGTGGTCCATGAAACAACGCGCATCCCAAACACGACACTACAAATTTGCTGATTTTATCTTTTCGTTGTCACCATTTGCCAAGGAGACAAGGTGCGGGTGATCCCCCTGATCGAAGCCACAGTGGAGCATATTGACTTGACATTCAACGCGTGGCCCATTTCAATATTTGCGGGCCAGTGCTATAAGGGGGGTTCTGGGTGACGTCGAGATACAAAAAGGGCCATACCATTCCAACTTTTCACCCACCCAACAAGATTGGAGTAGCAGGTGTTCTAATCCTACTTCTTGTGGATAAAGTTTGTCTTTCTTTATATAGCCGAGTTTCGGCTTGCATCTCTGAAACGACTCAATATGTCCGCATTTACATCAACAGAAACGCTCGAAAAGGATCAAACTTCAGAGAGCTCCGTCACTTCAACGCCCATCTCCTCACCTCTCAGTGAAAAGAAACTTACAATACCCTCACCATCCTCCGACACAATCGATATTGAAAGCCAAACTGAGCAATTACCTCCATACCATGTTTTCACTCGAGTCCGCAAGTTGCAGATAGTCTGCATCGTCTCCATGGCCGCCATTTTCTCCCCTCTGTCCTCCAATATTTACTTCCCAGCGCTGAGCGCCGTGTCAAAAGTTAGTGGAAAGCAACTCAACTGGAGTTGTCAGTCTGACTTATCATTGCATAGGACTTGAGCATTTCCATGTCACTGGCAACTTTGACCGTCACTGTATATATGATTGTGCAAGGATTGGCTCCGAGCTTCTGGGGTTCCTTCTCTGATGTGATTGGGCGCCGTGTTATTTTTATCGGGACATTTGTTGTCTATATTATTGCCAACATTGGTCTGGGTCTCTCAACAAACTATGGAGAGCTTATGGCTTTCCGTGCATTGCAAGCTGCTGGCAGCTCAGCGACGATATCCATTGGTATGGTTACTCATATATTCTCCTGAGTTATTTACTAATTTGCTCAGGGGCTGGAGTGATCGGTGACATTACCACCTCTGCGGAGAGAGGCAGTTTGGTTGGGATATTCGGTGGTGGTAAGTTGACCTTACTTTTCTCCGTATTCAAAACTCACGCATCCAAGTTCGCATGTTAGGACAGGGCATTGGTCCGGTCATTGGTGGCATCTTGTCCGAGTACCTCGGTTTCAGATCCATATTCTGGGCTTTGGTTATTCTGTCCGGAATAAGTCTTTCGTCAATTATTTTCTTCCTTCCAGAAACACTTCGCACCGTGGCCGGCAATGGAAGTGTCCGTCTCCATGGTCACAGCAAACCGTTCATCTACTATGTCATAGGACAGAAAGACACACGGGAAGATGCAGTCCCGGAGAAAAGGAAATCGAAAGTCAGCTTTCGGACAATCCTGGCTCCTCTCGCTTTCCTTACTGAGAAGGATGTCTTCATTACATTATTCTTTGGCAGCATTGTGTATACCGTGTGGTCCATGGTCACCTCCTCGACATCAGCCCTCTTCCAGTCAAGATATGGTCTCAGCACCTTGAAGATTGGTCTAACATTCCTGGGAAACGGTAAGAGCACTTGTCCCAATGTGAGGTATTCAACTAATCCTTACCAGGGTTTGGATGCATGTCTGGGTCATACACAATTGGCTATCTGATGGATTATAACCACAGAAGAACAGAACGTGAATACTGTCAGCAACATAGCCTTCCTCTCGACTCACGCATCACTACCAAGACTCATCCAGACTTTCCAATCGAACACGCTCGCATGCGCAACACATGGTGGATCACTGCCCTGTTTATCGTCTGCACAGCTGTATATGGGCTGTCACTTAGGATGCCTCTTGCTTTTCCGATCATCCTTCAATCCCTCATTGCTTACTGCGCCACGGCCATTTTCACCATAAATAGCGCTTTGGTTATTGATCTGTACCCAGGAGCTAGCGCGAGCGCAACGGCCGTCAACAATCTGATGCGCTGCCTGGTCGGTGCCGCGGGTGTGGCAGTTATTCAACCTATTATAGATGCTCTCTCTGCTACCTGGACATTCCTGCTGCTTGCTGGAATTACATTCCACATGGTTCCTCTGCTGATGATTGAGATGCGATGGGGAGCTGGCTGGCGACTTAAAAGGATGGAGCGATTGAAGAGGAAAGAAGAGTCTTGCTGACCTGATACATCCTCGACAATTTTTTTCTCTCGGGGAACTAGGACAAACGTTTTGTTAATAAGTTGGATTGTCATTCAAGGGAAATTATGACGGGAAAAGCCCTGAAAACTGGCACATATAAACACTCACATATAAATAGCGATGACCATACAAGCGAGTAGTAATTGAGTATACACAACGCTAACAGTTATAACGATCACTACTCATTTCCAAGGTTTAACAAGATAACGATTCAAATAGTTAGTATGGAATCGTATACATAGCGACCTTAGCTATGAGAATCTGAAAGATCACATGACCACCTTAGTATGTTGGTGAGTGTGTGTCCAATTGGAAGGGGCCCCGGGGGAGCCCAACTATCTAGACTATGAGCTGACTAAGTGAGGTCGAACCCGAGATCACGTGACCTCTGTACGGGCAGTGCTCCAACACCTCCCCTCGAGCGAGCGCGTCAGCTAGCTAAAAGAACAGCATAAAATACATGAAAAGAGTGACATGTAGATGGAGAATAGAATAGAGCATTAAGCGGGAAAATCAGAATAGCTTTGAAGCTGATTTGCTGATGTAATTAGAAGAAATAGTTTGTCAAATGGCTTGGAAACCAATTTGTTGGAGAAATCGACAATGATTCTCGCGATTCAGGGGCTTGGTCAGGCCGTCTGCTGCCATATCCTGTGTGGGAATTTGGCGTATGGTAATGATGCTCTGCTGGATCATATCGCGGGTGTAATGGAAGCGGATGTCAATGTGCTTCGATCGCTTCGTACCCATGGTGGCTGTGGTGAGATCGATCGCACCCTTATTATCCATGTTCATGGGGATAGGGGCGTTGGGGATTAACTTCATATCACTCATGATTTTGCTAATCCACCAAGCTTCGCGGGAAGCCTCTGATGCTGCGATGTATTCGGCTTCATTAGAGCTTGTGGCAGTGCAGGTTTGCACCTTAGAGCTCCATGAAATTGGTGATCCGGATAGCATGAAAATGAATCCACTGACAGATCGTCGACTATCAGTATGTGGTCCACCCCAATCAGAATCGCTGAATGCTATAGGGGTGCCAAGCGGTGTATCGCCCATAGAGCGATGGTAGTTTAGACCTAGTTCTCTTGTGCCTTTCAGGTATCGCATCGCATGCATCAATGCATTCCATGCCTTCCTTGTAGGTCCAGAATTGTATCTTGCGAGTAGACAGGCCGTACGACAGATATCCGGTCTGGTTCTGGTAGCCAGATACTGTAGACTTCCCGTTCCGCGCTGGAATTCCCTAGTAGGGATCGTTGGATCTGGTTCGTCATCAATTAAGATGCCAGGATCCAAAGGTGATTTGGTGGCATGCGCGTCGGCGATGCCGAATGATTCGACTAGTTCATCGATATATGTGGACTGCGAGATCTTGATCCCCTTGTCGCTCACATCGATGGCTGTGCCGAGGTAATGCTTGATTGGACCTAGATCTTTGATTTCGAACTTAGTCTTCAAGGCATCGATTACTTCGCGAGCATCATCTTCACGTTGGGAGACGATCTTGAAATCATCCACGTGCGCTGTCAAATATAGATGAGGTCGTGTAGTAGAGATGAATAGTCCCGCGTCGTACGGAGACACGCGGAAGCCGATCTCAATGAGATAGCTTGTCAATGTATCGTACCAAATTCTGGCTGATGGTGTGAGTCCATAGAGCGATTGATTAAGCTTACAGACTAGATCATCGCCCTGTTCGAAGCCAAGAGGTTGCCTCATATAGATGGTATCGCGAAGCGTCCCGTTCAAAAAGGCGAGTACGGCATCAGCTTGAAGAATTGACCAATTGTAGTGCGCGGCAACTGCGAATAGAATCCGTGAAGTTGTAGGTGAAACTACTGGAGCATATGAATCACGATCGAATTCAAAGTGCGCATTTGATAGGAGATTCCCTCTAACCACCCATCGTGCTTTGAACTTGGTTGATCCGTCATCATTCTTTTTCTTTTTGTAGACCCACTGTCCGGGAATTGCTCTAGATGCCGATGGTATATCAGAGCGTCGGACGAGATCCCAACAATTCTTCTGGTTTAGAAGGTCGATTTCTGTTTGCATTGCAGCACGCCATTGGGCTGATTCGGCGCTTTGGGTAGCTGCTTTGAATGATTTTGGAGTTGAATGATCGACTATATCGTTGGTTGGGTGATTGATCTGGACTACCGCGAATGCTTTAGCTGGTCGTACTATAAGCTCGCCGTCTGTAAGGGGTTGGTCGTCCGATTCGACGGTAGGCGGAGTAGTCGGAGAATCCTCTTGATTGATAGACGTTGGAGGTTCGAAATGTTCGTCGATGACAGCATCGTTGACTGTCTTCACAGTATTCTTTTCTGGGTCCCAAACCCGGACGATGGTAGGCGAGGTATGGCCCACTAGACGCGTTTTCTTTGCTCGCGCATCGACCTTGCCTTTTGGCTTGTCCGGACCATGTAGATGGATCCACGCGATTGACCCAAATTTCCGTATGTAGGAGATATCTGAAGGTGAATTTGTCCACGCTGTGTACGGCGTGGTATAGACCGATTGCTGGATAGCATGGTTCGCGGTTGTCCCACCTGGTGTAGGGTCATTGTACAAAGGGATTCGTGTAGGGAGTCGATTCATCATGTAGATAGCTGAGTCGAGGGCTTCCTTCCAAAGAAATTTAGGAAGTCCTGAATCGAAGAGCATTGTTCTGGCTTTCTCATAGATAGTTCGGTTGCTCCGTTCGCTTACACCATCTTCCCATGGTGACTCTGCTGGTGTAGGTTCCCAATTGATGCCATATTTGAGGCATAATTGTCGGACATTTTCTGTGACAAACTCGCGATCTGATCGTACGAAGGCAGGTGCACCGAAACCTTGATTTTTCATGTGCTCGAGCCATTGTGCGAATGCCGCGACTGCTTCTGATCGATTACGAAGGAAATAGATCCATCGATATCTAGTGGCATCGTCCGTGATGAGCGCGAAATACCGAATTCCCTTCGTGCCCGGAGGGACCTGATCATCGTCGCATGCAAGCGTCCGCCCTCCCCCTGCGATATCAATGTGTACACGGGAGAGAGGCTTCGTTGCCCTATATGCGGTAGTTTTGTTGATCCGTCTAGTCTGCTTGGCTTGTCTACAGACGTCGCAGAACGGTAGGGTCTTTCGTCCTTTGATCTTGATGATTGAAGCTTTCGCGAGCTTCAAGATATCGCGTGGGTTCAGATGTGATAGGCGTTGATGCCATTCTGTCATCGTGAGAGCCTTGGGATCAGGCTCTTGTGGGCTGGTGGTGATCGTCAGATTTGACCGTGTACGAGCCTCCCCTCGAGTCGTAACCTTAGCTATAAGCTGGTGGGTTTGTGGCTTCGCAAGGTAATAGGTCTGATTGTCAATGTGCGGAAGCGCATCGAATCTTGTACCGTCCGGCGATTGGAAGCGGAAATGCTTTGGCGAGTCATTAGATAATGAAATTTGGAATCCCTGCTGATCTAATTGGCGAAATGACAAAAGATCCGAAGCAATTGTAGGGATGTAGCGAACGTCTGGCACGGTGAGCTTGATGTCATCGATATTGATCTGTATAGTGCCGTATCCTGCCACGGTATGTACTCGGCCGCCCGCATCGTCAAATTGGTCAGACGGTGAAGGCTTAGGATCATCTAATTGAATAAATAGATCCTTTCTGGAAGTCATGTGTTTTGAAGCGGCTGTATCTAGAATCCATTGTGGAGTCACTGGGAGCGCGCGAACTGCATTCGCCTGCGGATTCCGTACGATAAGCTCTGTGCTATGATTTTGATTCAATTTTGAATCTGAATTTGAATTTGTGTTTGTATTTGGACGCTTCTCTGGATGGAGCGACCAACAATCATCAACCTTATGGTATCCTCTACCGCAGTGCTCGCAGAGCTTCTTCTGTTTCTTTGGCTCTGAGTGCTGCTGTGGTTGTGATCCAGATTTCGGCTTCTGATCTGACCTTGTGGTTTTTGGGGGACTCGTCCGATATTTATCCTCAAGCTTGAATTCTTGTGGATTTTGCGGTAGGTATTGCCCTTTGGTGCTCTGTTGAGCTCTCGCGACCAATTGATTGATAAAGGTCTTGATATCGAGATTCTGGATCGGTCCACGACCGCAAGCATACAATTCGTCTAGCTTCGTTCGTACGAAATGCTGCTGCCATTGGCCAAGTAGACAGATCAGGTAATCATGGCAAAAGTCATCGAAGGACATATCCATTTTCCCTAGTCGTGAGATAATTCGTTGGTAGTCGAATATCATGCTCACATAGTCGCCTTGCGGATTTAAATCCAATAGCGCTTTGACCGTCATTAGGCGCTCCTCTGCGAGAGAGATGCCATAGACTATATTGATTTGGGACCATAGTGCAGCTGCACTAGTAGTGTCTCCCCAATTGATGTTTGCTTTGATGTGTGGGCTCATGGATTGTAGAAGTCTTGTATAAAGAACTTCGTTTTGCTTATCCCATCGGGTTGTATCGATGGCATCCACAAAGGGTGAAGATTCTTGATTCTCTTCAAGAATATACGTGGCATCAATCATGTACGCATCAGAAAGTATTGATTCTCTCCATTTGATGTAGTCGTCGCGACCATGAAGTTGGATTGGCTTTGTTGCAAGCCTTTCCTTCGCCAGTTTTCGAATCCGCTCCCGTTCCTCATTGAGATCACTATTTCGCGGGGTATTGGGCTTATCCCCTAATAGCTGAGCGCGTAGTTCACTCGTGATCTGCTCACGAAGCTGCTGCAATAGTTCGGTAGAGATTTGGGGCTTCGATTGATGTAAATTGTCATCGACAGAATCATCGGATAAAGGTGTCATTACCGATGCATCGGTTGGTCGTCCGCTACGGCGTGGAGCCATGATGGTGAAGGACTATTTGCCTAGTAGGCGCTTTGTAGTGATTTGACGAGTGCTTTGATTAGCTTCGTCTGTCTACCATCCCTTGATTGGGTCTAGGTAGGCGAATTCGAGCTATACTAGCCCGAAACTTTGATCTGTGGATCTGAGAGAAAGCTCTTGATGATCCGCTGTCGTATATTCAGGCTCAACGACAGACAGACCAAGGGAAAGAGGACAACACGGGTCTCATAACCTGTTGGTGAGTGTGTGTCCAATTGGAAGGGGCCCCGGGGGAGCCCAACTATCTAGACTATGAGCTGACTAAGTGAGGTCGAACCCGAGATCACGTGACCTCTGTACGGGCAGTGCTCCAACATAGTAAGGCTACTAACTACGACATCAACATCTATTTCACCTGCTTCAGCCAACAGCCTGGATTCATCTACTCTCTGAAGACCGATATTGGGTGGTCTAAGAAACATGCAGTCTGCGCGCAACCTTTACAAGAACGACGTTGATTTCGCAGCACTGGCTTTGCAGTCCCCCGACTTTGCCAAGCAGTATGTGAACATTCGATGCGCCGCGGAGATGCCATTACTGAAAGTAAAACAGTGTGAAAGACGGCAAAGTGGACTTCAATGATCCACAAGCTGTACGGTAAGACGGAAACTCAATCCCCCCCAGCACTCGGGATAAGCATCTAATTCCCACGACAGCCAGTTGACCACCAGCCTGCTTCAGCAAGATTTCAAACTCAAGGTCGAGGCCCCAGATGATAGATTGTGTCCACCGGTAAGAAATACAATATTTTAATCAAACGAAACGTTCTACTAACCGCCATGCAGGTTCCCAACAGGTGCGTTGAGATTTGCAACAAAACATCCTGAAACAGCATCTCTGATGATATAGACTCAATTATATTCTGTGGTTGCAAGATCTGCTCGACTCTACCGACGGAACGCTGCGAGATGAATATGACTGTGAACGCGAGGTGATTGGCTTAGATATGTACGCCAACCCACTGAGAGATATCCACTCCATTCTCTGACTTGTTCTAGTGGAACTGGCTGTTGTAGTATCTACCCACTGCTGGGCTGCACACTTCGACCACGGTGGCGATTTATTGCAACTGGTAAAATCTCTGGCAACAAGCTACTTTAGCTATATACTGATCAGCCTTTGCAGATATCGATGCGAACAATGTACGCACCGCAAAACACAACGTGACTCTGAACAATCTTGAATCTCGTATTCGCGTCATTGAATCCCGTATTGAAGATCCCCTTATTCCCGTCAAGGAGCTTAGTGATGAAACGTACGTGAAACCTGAATCTTTCTCCATTCTCCTATTAACCACCAACCAGCTTCGACTTCACCATGTGCAACCCCCCATTCTACTCGTCCCGGGACGAGCTTATTCACTCTGCCGAACTCAAAGCCCGTCCTCCATTCTCGGTATCTCACTTTAATCATATCTAAATACATGCATCTCATATACTGAACATTTTACAGGCATGCACCGGCGCCGAGATAGAAATGGTCACTCATGGAGGTGAGGTAGCCTTCGTCACACGCATGCTTGAAGAAAGTTTACGATTACGTGACCGTGTGCGGTGGTACACGTCAATGTTGGGCAAACTGAGCAGTGTTTCTGTCATTGTCGAGAAATTGATGAAGCATGAAAATCACAACTACGCCGTCACCGAGTTCGTGCAGGGAAGCAAGACGAAGCGCTGGGCTGTGGCGTGGTCTTGGGGTGACCGTCGGCCGTCTATGGTGAGAACTAGCTCTATCAACAAGTGGATTGTGCCTGCTAACATTTTTCTAGGCTGTGGCACGCGGTATACCGGGATTCCCAAAACACCTCCTCCCCTTTCCTGCAGAGTACACTTTTACAATAAACCCCGAAGCATCAATTGATGACACTGGCACCGCTATAGATGCGGAGATGGGCTCACTTCCCTGGTTCTGGACCTGGGATCGTTCATTGTGTGCCGGAGCTGGATTCGCGACTGAGAATGTCTGGTCTCGACAGGCTCGTCGGAAGATGAAGCTTGCTGGCCAAGATGGAGCTGCAGTCAAGCCTACCAGTATTCCAGACGAAGTGGCACTTGGTGTTCGTGTGCAGGCAAGACTTGTTATTGGGCAGAACCCGGCAAGTAAAGAGGTGCAGGTGCTGATATGCTGGATCCAGGGGACGGATAGTGTGCTTTTTGAGAGCTTTTGTGGGATGCTTAAGCGGAAGTTGAATGCGAGTTGATTCATGACTGCATGCAGATAGTAATTGAGCTCTGTGAGCCAAAAATACTCTCTGCTATCAAATAGAATCTGATAATTTACAAAAGCCCATTGCGAGCTTTAAATCGCCAATTGTTCTTTAGTCTATCACTGCAAAGATTATATTCACACATGCCCATCCACCATCTCACGCGCTAATTCCCAGTCACCTCCGCCTGCAACTCCTTCAACCGATTCCACCCATCCGAGTCCTCCCAAAAGTCCTTCCCTTTACCCAAAATACTTCGAACAGCACTCCTCGCCTTGAACCGCCAGTCCTTAGCGACCATCTCCGCCTCCGCATCACCCTCAACCTTCTGGTCCTCGCGATCCATCGGACCGTATCGGGCATATCCATCACGAACAAGCTTCTCCGTCGCACGAACAACATCAAGCCAGGGCTTCTCGTCGCCCATTTGGAACGCGCCCTGGACAGACGCGGCGACTGTTGCGCGCCATGCTTTCTCGTGGGCCTCGAGGGCGCGGAAGGGGCGGTTGCGCCAGAATTCAACGCGGGAGACGAGGAGCCACAGGACTGATGAGTGGGTGATCAATGGAACGATTTTATCGTCGATCAGGGACAGGATCTGGCCTGCGATTGTGCCGGTGCGGACCATAGGCGCGGAGTTGAGATCTTCTGATGGGATGAGGAGAGAGTCGTAGTCGAAGGTGGTGACCATGAAGTCGATGAGCATGCCCAGGATGGGTAGATCAATGCACTTTTCGCCCTTCTTGGATCCAAGAAGCTCAACTATACGCTTCTGAGCGGCGATCACTTCGCGGAATGGGGTGACTGGCGGCGGGATTGCTGCGGCGACTGTTAGGACATTATCCCAGACCCGGGCATCGTTGTTTTTGAGTTGTGCTGCACGTTGCAGGGCTGCCAGAGCCTCGCGTTGGCGCTTGTACGGGTCTGTCTCGGCGGGGGATTCGGATTCGCCATCATCGGTTTCGCTGATCACAGTGTCAGGCGTGACTTCGGGAGCAGGGATACGAAGCATGGCTACAGCAAGATTGCTCCATGCCTCGCCATCAGTATCGTCAAGTTGGACAGTGAAGGTAAAGGAGTCAACCGCAGCGTCCCATCGCTGGAGCTCGAGCTGGACACATCCAAGGGCGAACCAGGCCCCATGGTTCAGCCGGTTGATATGCAGACTCTTCCGATAGGCAGCCTCGGCCTTCTCTAGCTCTGGCGGTGTAAGGGTCAAATAGTGGCGCGCCAGAGACCGTTGAGCGCGAGCGTATCGCTGTCCTGAAACCTCCCAGGCACGCTCATACATCTTCTCATCCTTATCGATATCTCCAAGAATGCAAAACAAGCGTGGTGCCTCTGCGGGTAGGGGTGACCGCTCCGGCCCATCGAACGGTTCACTGTCGTCGTCCTCGTCGGGGCCGGACGCGTGGTAAAGTTGGCGGCGCACGATGCTCTTGGCTTTGCCTTCTCGCTCGGTTGCAGCGTAGCACAAAGCAACCTCTGCCCACATCTGGAGCCGCTCATAGATCTCAAGAGCAGTACGCAGACCCCCCAGATCAACCCAACGCTTGGCTAGCTCGGCCTCGAGGTCCCATCGTGTTGAGAAGTTGAGAAGCCAAATATACTCCAATCTGTCAGCAGCAGGGGCCGACTCCGACTGTTCAGGTCGGGGCAGGAATGTAGAAGGTTCAGCGGATGGTTGTTGTGCCGCCGAATCGTTCGTCGCAGTATCTGCAAGGACCTGGTCTACAAGAGCTTGCATCTGCAGCACGGATCTCTCCACCGTCCGGGAGCGGAATCCCTCAACACGGCTGCGAACAAGCAGAGCCTGTGTGTAGATCTGCCAGTTGGAGCTGCCGCCTTCAAGCACCCGGGTAGCGTAGGGGGCTGTTTCTTCACGGGTCAGGCCGTTCTCGGGAGAAGTGTTGGTAATAGCAGAGACCAGAGCCAACAATAGAGCCGAGTCCACCGGGTTGAGAATTGGCTGGTTATTGGCATCCACAGACGCCAGAGTCGGCGAGAGCTCCTCCTGGACCGAGACTGTTGTTTGGGTGCTATTTTCCGAGAAGGAGATAGCTTCAAGAAGGGTATCGTCGTTCAAATCCAATTTCTCCGGACCCGATGACTTTGCAGTATCGGATGCCTCGTCCGCACTCTTAGCCAGAACCACCAGCTGGCTGGTATCACGTTCCTGGAACTTTGTCCGCTTGCCCATCTTGCCCGTCAAAGCGAACTCAAACTGCCGTACCTTGGCAGACTGCTCAATATCACTGCGGGCTTTGGCATCAAAGCCGTGATGCGTGTGCACCAACGATCGCTCCAGCAGGAACCGACCCTGTTCGTCCGCACTCAACTCAGCCTTCGCCAGTTCGTCTAGATCCTTGTATATCAATTCCTGCAGTGTGCCTGTGACTTCGGAAAGCATTTTCTGGTGGAGGAAGTTGACGCGCATGCGTGCTGTCTTTGACACAATCGGGCCTTCGAGGCTTGCGTCTACCAATATCGCTTTGGCAATAGAGAACAGCTCCGCGTTCGGGGTGAGTATGTAGGCCGCTTCACCGTCGATTGAAAGGTCTCGAAGAATCTTCTCTCGGACAGTCCGCAAGGTAGCTTTATCGGATCGCAGCGCAGCTGGCAAAGCCACCTCCGCCGGGTTAAAGTCGAGAGGTGGACCGGTGACATTAGACTGTAAGAAGGCGAACAGAGCAGCCAGACCAAGATGGAGAATCTGCGATTGTGTTTGTTCAACGGTCAACCCATCGTTGGCAGTTTGCTGAAGCGACCGAGCCTTCCCTGCCACAAATTGGGTGTAGGAGATATCGGCGCTCGCGAGCTTTGTGACGGCCTCGTTGTCAGACGCATCGTGACCCAGAACCTTCTTGGCGAGTGGGAGTTCGAATATCGGGACGAGGTTTTCGGAGGTCAATCGAATGGGATCGTACCGATCTTTGAGGGGAGAAGCCGCGTCAAAGACGCTGTTCAGCGAGGCAGGAGAGTCGGCCATCGCGTCGACCGTGAAAGTGTTGTGGGCGTTCGTTAGGTTCCAGGCTGAATAGACAGGGAGATAGATCAGGCGAGATTATTGCGGTCAGCACCCGACCGAGCCTCTATTAGACAAGCCTGGTCGTCCAGAGAATGTGGTGGAATTTCACCCCGCGATCTTTTTCTGCATTTTTTTATCGATAACGTGGTGTTAAGCAAAGTGGGTGGCAATACATAACCATGACCATTATCGCCAGATGTTTCGCTCTATCTCCACGCACTATACTGATGAACTTCTACTGCCTCACCCTCGCATGCTCCTTCAGGATCTGATTCAATCCCTCACGCTGCACACACTGATCAAAATGGAAACTGCGCGCCAGTTCTTCCAGGTCCTCTTTCTCCATCCCCTGAAACAAAGCCGCAAACTCATCCACAAACGTACCCGCCAAGAAGCAGTTGAACACATTCCGCATAACATGCATTTCCGTGTTCCAGGAGGTCGGATAAGTAGTTTTCGCAGTTGGACTAACCTTATCAATCCAGTTAATAAGAGGCTGGAATGCAGCCTCCGGCTCAGCAGCAGGACGGCGGCCCCATTTGTCCAGCCAGAAATCCTTCTTCTTCTCCAGGAAGGGCTTGATAGTTTGGTTCCATTTGCTTTGCGGGTTGGTATAAATCATGCCTTGCAGACCAATATCCTTATACAGCCAGATAGACCAGTGGATCTGGTGCTTGTCATAGATGTGCAGCTGGTCGCCGAGCAAGTTGTAGCGCTCTTGATTGATTGTCTCGGCGTCGGTATCGAGAGCTGGGTCGGCATATACAGGACCAAACTCGCCGTTCCAGACTGGTGTAGCATGTTCGCTCATGAACTGCGCTTTGCGGGAGTACTGGCTCTCGAGATTCTGTTTTTGGTCTGGCGTGCCCTTGTATCGGTCCCCAGTGGGGAATCCCATGGACTGGATAAATCAGAACCCCAAAACCCTCGGATATATGGTACAGTAGATATCTCACTCACCGAATAATCATGCATGGCATAAACACAGTTCGGGAGCACGGTGTCGAAACCTCTCCACTCCATCGCGAACGTATTCCCATCCAGCCAGAGAATATGGTCCGGATCGACCTTGCGAATCGCCTTCTCGATCCGCGCATAGAACGCCGGCAGCCGCACATGCTCCGGATCACAGGGCTCATTAAGCGGGTTGTATCCGGCAACCCAGTGGTTCCCTTTATACCGCGCAGCGATCTGCTCCCACAGCCACACCGTGCGGTCCTGGTGATCCTTGTAGTCCCAGAAAGCGGCATAGCTAGTCGGGTTGTCAGAATGCCAGTCTGGGTTCTGGCCGCCAGGCACGGCATGCATATCCAGAATGGTGTAGATACCGTGCTTGGCGCACTATACATTTAAACTCGAGGGTCAGTCCATGTTCGTTCAACTTGTAAGTGTCACAGCACACGATGTACTAACCAGGTCAACCACCCGATCCAGATGCTTAAACCCAGACTCTTTCAGCACACGTGGGTTCATGTCATCTTCAAAATGGCGGTAGTTGAAGGGTAGTCGGAGGCAATTCAGACCCAGCTCCGCGAAGAATTTGGCGTCGGCATCGGTGAAGAAGTATTCTAGCCATTTGTCGAAAAAGAATTCGTATTTCTCCGAGCCAAGCACTTTGCGCATTGCAGCGCGGTGCTGTGATTCGTGTCCCGCGAACCCGGTGATGAAATTCTCCATACTTGTATTGATCGTCAGAAGAGTGGGGAGCGGGGGTTATTCAAGATGTACTAGAAGACTCACTTCATCCACCCACCGATGGCAGCTCCTCGCAGGACAACGGCGTTTCCGTTCTGGTCGACGACATTGTCGCCCTTTACGCGCAGGTAACCAGTGGCCATTTTGTATAGTGCTGTTTCAGGAAAAGGCTGGCAGCGACTCTAATCAATTATTCCCTCTCGTTCACCGAATGAAAAAGAACCCCGCTACTCGTAGCTGGCACCACAGGTTTAAATAGTAGGTTCACTCGGCAGACATTTTAACCGCAGCCGCGGGGATGATGTTGTCTGTGTACCACAGGTCGGCAATGGGGTAAATGGGCACCGGGGAAGCTTGGTCGCTCTAAGTATAGACCCTAATCCAATTGCATGTCGACCCGGGTAATCTCCTCGCCCATTTAGCCAGATATCGCAGTCCAAGCCTCCCAGGCCCATTAACTATTGGAGCAAGATTTACAGAGAGCTGCACAGTGCAAATCTAATCTGAATCTTGTATTTTGATTTGAATAAAATGAAATATGCAGGAACATGATTGCCAGCTGACTCCAACCCAACTCCAAATGCTAATGCTAATGCAAAGAAAGAACCGCCACACTCCCACCCATAACTTGAAAATCTAGCCTGAACCTTCAATAACAACCCCACAATTCCCATTCGACACTTGTATTGGACCACCGCTCTCGCCCTGCACCACAAGCGCGTTCGCATAGTTCGACCCAGAGCACTTCCTCGAGTTAACCAAGTAGCAGTACCCGACCCCAAATGTGCTGAATGCGCAACTATCATCCTGTATACAGCTCACGCAGCAGTCATACGCCGAGCTCGCATCGCCTGTTAGCAATGTACTGCCCGGGATCTGCGCAGGTGTCCATAAAACTTGGGTGATATATTCACCGGCTGCGGAGCCGAAGTCCGATGATAGTGGTGAGCCAGCGATGTTGGGAGTTGCGCAGGCAGCGTAGAAAGATGCTGTACTTGATGCTGTTACTGTGTTTGTTGGTGTGAGTGTTATTGTTGATGGTTGGAGGGTTGTTGTCGGGGATAGGGTTGATGTGGTTGTGTAGATGAAAGTTGATGAGATTGCTGAGGGGATTATGGTGGATGTAGCTGTGATGACGCTGGTTGTTCTGGTGGTGATTCTTGATGCAGGTACTGTTTTGGTGATTGGTTTGCCGACAACGATCTCGATGATGGTGGTTTCGATGACTGTTTCTTCTATACACTTCACAGCCTGCGGATGCCGCAGGTCTTTCAAGCCAATAGATCTTGACCGGTGGCGGTCGAGCTCTCGTTTGATGAGCTCTTGTTTGATTGACGCCACTGCCGTGTCCGTTGGAAGAGTAGATGCAATCGGCAAGAAGCCGCCTGAAGCTTCGATGGTCGATGTCGACGTGACGGTTGTCGTAACGTCTGTTGAGACGGTGCTCGAGATAGCGGACGGAGTCAGAGACACAGCGTCCGTCTCAAACTCGGTCGAAGTGACGGAGATGACATCGGTATTCGCGGCGGCAGTGACATAGAGCGTAGACGATACGAAATCCGTCTCAGTCACAGTTACGGGCTTGAGCTTCCTAGTGGTTGTGAAATGTATGGTTGACAACAAGGTAATCGGATGCGGGATCGTCCTCGTCTTCTCGACCGTCAAAGTAGGAACATGGCCATGGGGCTCAAACTGGCCCAACTCCGTGTGCCGAGCGCGCACCGTCGAAGTGTGAGTCTGAGTCCTCCGCTCATACGGATCATGGAGCCTTGGCGCGCCCTCTACGCTCGCACAGAGCCCGGCGAGCAGAGAGAGAAAGCCAGCGACACGCATGGCCGTCCGTACGGAAATGATGATTGCCCAAACGCACCGTCAGATTATGCAGAGCTATTGACCTATTTATTATTCTTACTTATGTGTATCTCATCTCATCGCTTTAGATTGCCATCTTAATTTTGTGTCTCGGTCTGACCGTCTCCAACACGAACTAGGGTCCTCTTGGCAATGGTCAGCTTAACCCGAACTTCGAGTGGTGGCGCTGGGCTCCGCATTGGCGTTCAATAGTCGGGTTGTATTGGGGGGTACCACCTAACGCTCCTCTGGATTATTCTCCGAATTCAGGGTAACATGATCGCGACATGAAAGGTAATCATGAGACATTGTATTTTGTGGTCTAGATCACGTTTACTACACCGGGAGTTATCCGGTAATGAGGGGAACCCGGAAAAGACACTGCTGACAATGTACACACAAACGTTCATTCACAAGCGTAAGCACAAGACGCGCCAAGTGAACCATTGGCGAGGTCTCTCAGGGTATTCATATCACACACATAGGTCGAATGCATCAACGCCGCCCAGCCAGACCACCACTCGGACGCCCGGAGAAAAAAAAAGTAGGAAAAAAAGGTACAGTTAAGTTAACAGATGACACCTTCACCAGTCCTGTCCACGATCTCGCATGAGGATCTCAATCGCCTCGTCCTCCGGGACTGGATTATCGTTCAGCTCCTTGACACATTGGGTCAGACCCTCTGCTGCCTCGTCTACCTGCTCCGCTGTCCACCCCGTGCATGCCATGACCATGCGGCGGTAGTTTTGGCCGAGCACGGCGTTCTTAGCTTTCAGACCGTCAACCTCTGCCAAAACCTCAGCATTGAATTCTTTGTAGCACTTGTCGCGATGCGTAAGCACAGCCTCGGCTGGCAAGGAGGTTAGGAATGCAGTCTGCTCTGTGGAAAACCCAGAGGCCGGGTCAAATGTGTCGGAGAATAAGGTCTCGAAAACGGTAATGTCAATCCCAGAGTCTTGGTCGGCATCACCCACAACAGCATTCCTAGACGGATCACACCCATCAATATTTTTGATGGTGGTGAACAAGACCTCTGAAGACCGCTCCAGGTTCTTGATACGCCGGTCACACTCCACTCGATCTGAGGACTTGCGTTTAAGCTCATCCAACTGCTTCTGCTCGATCTGTCGGGCCTTGGCCGCTTCGCGGATCTTTGCATGCCAGTGATCGAATTTCTCTTGTTTCTGGGAGACGCTCGAGGCAAGCTTTCGGTCTATACCACCAAGGGCCTCTTCGACCATCGCGCTGATCTGGGACATCGTCGCTGGACAAGTTATTAGAAAGTGGCATGGGTTTGTCAGAGAGGAAAGCTTACCATCGAGAATCTCTTTCTTGGATTTTGCCAGCTGATCAATGAACGTGTCGCTCCGACCTGACGCTTGCTGGGACTGCGAGGCGCCATCAACCATATCGACACCAACCCCATAATCCGCCGGGCGAAGGCCAGTATGATTGGGGATATGAGGGTCTGCGCCTACTTCCAGAAGCTGCGGGACAAGTACTGAGCGAGCTCGTCCCGCCAAATTGAGGGCAGTGTCACCTTGGTCATCACGTAGATTGACGATCTCCGAGATGAAGCGCCCCAAGGAGATCACATCGGGGTTGTGGGATCCGTTCGTCGCGGAGTCCCCGTTTGTGGTTGACACGATGCCACCATGGCGCACAATGAATTCCAGTAGTGACTCGAGGTAATGTTTTGCAGATACATGGCCACCACCGCCCGTAGCCGCCATCATGGCGATATGATGCAGAATGGTTCGTCCGCTGTAGTCGACCATGTCGATCGTCGGCGCGAGCACCTGCAGCAAACGAGGGAAACTGCGGTAATCAAGATTGTTCCTTGTCCCCACGGACTTTTGCAGGGCCGTCTCACCGGCACCATTAGTCCGCGAAATATTGACCCCTTTGGCGACAAGTGCATTGACCAGTGGCATCCGCGCAAGCATCGCAGCCCAATGCAGGGCGTTGTTTCGATACTCATCCAGAGGAATCTCGAGGTCATATCCAGTCAGCTGCACCAGAGCTGGGTGGTTCGAGAAATCCTTCGCTCGCTTGTCAAGGAATAAGGTCATGATCAACTTCATCTTCTGGAATCTTTCTGGGGTCGACGCTGGGGCCAGTGTCTCGAGACCGCGTTTTTGGCCATTGTCTGGTGGGGGTGGCGGAAGATCGATGTCTTGGTAGAAGGAGTCGTTGGGCTCTGTCGGCGTAGGCTCGTGCATGGAGAGGTTCGATGGCTCCCGGTGCAAACCAACCGGTAGTCCATGTTGTGATGCAGAACGCATGCGTTTGCGCGGCGGCTCTATCTGTTCATCGTGATCATCGGGACCCTGGTAGCGATTTTGTAGGCTCCCAAATCCACTGTCGGAAACACTGTACATGCTCTGCTGGCTGCTGAATGGCATAGACTCTTGGCTGTTCATCTGCTGCGAAGGCTTCCGAACCATACTAGGCCGACGACTGTTTGCATTGGGTGAATCAAATCGAGCCTTGCTGAGGGCATTGACAGCGGTTGCCGCGGTGCGCGAGATATTTTGGAAGAATGTGCCCTGCTGCGGCTGAGACATACTCCGGTTATCAACTCCACTGTACATCCTCTTCCGTTGAGCAGCCATCGCCTGTTCCTTTGTAGGCGTGTCCAGAGTCCCCTGTGAAGGGCCGCCGGTGCCATCGGGGCTCTGATCGTACTCCAGAAGTGGTCGCAGCATTTCTTCGACGTGGTACTCTCGGCACAATTCCACGCCTCGCTGGTAGTTGACCCATGTGCCTTGGTATTTCCCATAGCCTCCCTGTACCTTCTCGTGTTCACCGGCAGCGATCTCTTTCTCCAGGGTCTTGGTTCGTCTCGCTTTCACAACGCCCGCAACTTTCAGGATCTGGGTTGCGTTCAACCAGGAGTCGGACCGCCGCTTCATCACCGCGACGTTGTTAACTTCCATTTCGTAAACGGACACATTGGAATAGACAGCCTTGAAAGGAGGGTGATGGTCAGTAGAAGCGCATGCATTACTGGTTGGAGAAAACAAACCCGGTAGATCTGCGGCTTGTCGTAGTCATTTGAGCCATCGTATCCGCCGAAGCTACCCCGGGGCAGGCCGTTTGGAATGCCGAAGGAGGAGGTCTGCGATCCTCCTTTCGCGGGTGGCGGCGTGGCACGAGGAGTGGAGGAGAGGGATTGCGAGGCATTCAGCAGGTTATATGCCATGCCGTTCGACCCCGTACTGCTTTGTGAGTAGGACATTTGGGGTGAGGGCCGTCGGCATCGACTCGCTCGCTGGGTTGTGCGTGGCTGTGCGAGATGACGCGAGGAAAGGGATGGGCGCGTGTGGCTACCGCCCTAGACGTGGACCATTCACGGGAAAGAGCGAGCGTAGGGATAGACAGTGGTGTAAGACGTGACACCGTCAATAAGTGGTGCTACTGTAGTAAAATCTGTAGTAATACGGTTCTGTCGTAGTAGCCGTAAATGGGATTGGAGCGGGGGGGGGGAAGAGAGAAGGCGCGTCTCCCGTGACACGCAAAAGGGATTTTCGCGTTCTGCCGTTTTGGGCCGGACCTGGACTGACTTCGTTCTACCACAGATAATGCTCGGACGCGAACACCCCGAATACTGGCGAATCGTCCTCCGCACCCTACTGCGCGATGCATCCTACCTACCAGACCCCGTGGCCCGGCGCTACATGCACGACTGGATCGTACAGCGATTCCGCGCCGTCAGCCATCGCAAGCAGACCAAGGATACGCTCAAAGCCCTAGACAAAACCGCCCACGCCACAACACAATTGTTACGCAAAGCCCAAGTCGGCCGCTTGCGCTCGCTAACTAAAGTGCTATTCATGTCATACGGCCGTACGGGCAGACGACGGCATGAACTGCTAGCTGAAATGCTAGCGGAGCCCGTCCCCGCCGACACGGAGGCCGTGCGGGATGTGGTGATGAACAAGAAGACCGACTTCGGGGATGACTGGCGCCCGCCGGCTATTGTTATGGCGCTGCTCAAGTCCCAGATAAACAATCCAGAGATCCAGCAGCGCCGACCAAGACCGCAGGTCAAGACGCTTGCGCCTTCGATTCCCTCGCAGAATAGCTGGGCGCAGCCCGTGCCGCATGTTCGCAAGGTGAACCTTCGCCAAAAATGGTACCAGGATGTCCTCAATAGTCTTCTCCCTCCACTACCAGACGAAGTCCTGCGCACACTGGACGGCCTGGTGGACGGGACAATCCGATGGACCCGAGTGAAGCGGCGGACGCCAGCGAAACGGACCTTGCGGGAAGACACGGCCGACGAAAGTCTTTTCAAAGACCTAACACTCGGCCTGGCGAAGGAAGGCACCTTCGACCACGAAGGCGGACGCGCACACGATATCAATTACCGATTCATGCGACATAACTGGCGACGGGTGTCGGCTCTCGTGCCGCGGATAAGCCGTGACGAGACGTGGAATAAGTGGGATATCTGGTGGGATCGACCCAAGCCCGCGGCGCAGTACGCGTTCACGCCCAAGGATTCTGCGAAGGATATACTCAGCAGGAAATATTCGGACGCGGAGCCGAAGGGTCACGCATATTTGCCAAGGCATGGAGTGGATGCTCCGGAGAAGAAGGGTGGCTGTAGAACTGCGAGTAAATGAGCTGGGTTCTACGGAGATGTTATTATATTAGTTTATTGTACATTAGAATTAATTATCCCAGGCAGTGCTGGACATAGGGGATATCTGCATAGCGAGAAAGGGTGATTGAAATCTATCAGAATTAACTCCGAGATCTATCTTCGTCTTCTTCTTCCCCGGCAATTTGCTTACGACAAGTGTCTTCAATCTACAATACTTGACGGAAGAAGATAAAGAATAGGAAAATTAAGTAGTAGGATACACCTCTATCTATCAACCACAACTAACTAACACGGAGAACAAAACAATCTTCTTCTCCGCCAACTCGCCATGCGCGCGCAGCTCGCATCGCAGTTAAAAAAACCGCTCTATGTTCAGGGGGTAAGAGAAACAGAAAACAGAAGCGAGAAGAAAATAAAAGAACAGAAGACAAAATTGGTATATACACCAGACCGTTTGGTGGGAAGATAGCAGCATCCCGGTGTCGAGTCGAAGGAATAGTAGCACCAGACGTCCCATGATGGAGTTAGACGGACAGACCAGCATGAGGGAACGGGACGAAAGATTGAGGGGTCGGGATGCAGGAGGAAAGGGACTGAAAGAGAAAAGAGGAAAGCTAGGAGATTGCTGGTGGGTAGAGAGGAGCGAGCCAGAGAGATAACTGGCCCTTTTCCGTCCCCCCTCCGTCCATCTGCCTTGTGTCTCATCTCAAAAGAGAGGAAGAACTCAATCATCCCGCCATCTGTACAAACAAGAAATGAAAAGGAACCATTATAACTCCATTCCCAGATGCGCAACACAACTCCATAGACGCAAAACAACGAAGGTAATGTAAGCAAAAAGGAGACTCGGAAAAGAAGAAAGAGGCAGAGAAAAATTAACATAGAAATAAAAAAAAATCATGGCTTCTTCTTGACGTGGCTACTCCCCGGTTCTGAAGGAGCGTATTCCTCGCCGTCGATAATGCGCCACAAGCGGCGCGGGGAAAGCTTGTTTCCGAATAAATAGAGACCCACGAACCAAGCAGCGAGCAGGTTGGCGAGGTGGTGGAGGAGGTAGGCGTAGGAGACTCCGTAGATCGCCGAGTAAATGGCGATAGCGAAGAAGATCATCGAAGTGACGTGCTTGAAGCGGGTGGTTATGCGAGGGATCATAGCTCCACTGGTCATGGTTTCTACCAAGATGAGGAAGGGCATTATGGAGAGGACATTATGGTGCGAGGAGAAGGGCATGAACCAGTGAACCACGAGATTGTGGGCCCAGACCAGGAGTACCAGGACGTTAATTGGTAAGACCCACAGCATCAGGATCAAGATCGAGTGCGCATAGTTGCCGAAATTGAGGTGGGATGCGGACTTGGTTTCTTTAGCGTGCCACTGTGCCCGGACGCATGTGGCTAGCTGCACGATACAGGCCACCATATAGGCGAATTGGTAGGGGATGATGGTTGAGACGAGAAGCAGGAGGACCGCCGTGTGGATGATACGCCGTCGGGGAGTGGGCGGGCTGAAAATCGGCAGGTTCCTAGTGATGCAATTAGCAAAAGTCCATCCAAAGGAATAGTACTCGGCATACGCTCGTTCCTCACGGCGGATATAGCCCGATTTGCTGTGTAGGACCCCATAGGCCAGAGAAAAGATGTTGACAATGGCCAGAGCCAAGTAATTAACAACGACGCAGGCGCCAACGCTGATGAGACCGAAGATCGGAACCAGAAACCAGAAGAACGTATCTTGAGATCCCAGCAACAGGTCATTTTTCGTAAAGTCGATGGGAGTCTCGGTGGAGTTCGTCCGCCAATGGAATGGGTCGTCCGTTGGAGGGAGAGTCTGATGACTAGCCAGTGAGGAAGCAAGCAGTGACATGGCGACCAGCAAAAGTGGAAGCGAGGACCGGATGGAACGGTCCAGGGCGTCGGTGAAGGGAACGAAATATCCCGACTCATCGTAAATTTGGAACTGCTTGCGAAGCACAAGCGCCACAACCAGAAGCGGGAATGCAGCGAAGATAGTGCGGTACCGCATGACCAGCTCACCAAGACTGCTGGTGATGTCCACCTGTAGCGAGATGTCGACCGTCGAACCGGTGCTCGGGTCAGTCCAGAGCTGGAACGAGACACCATTCGAGGCAGCCTGGTCGCGGAGCGGCGGTGGCATGAATGGCGCCATGCCGTGGAGGTTGACATTGACATCATCGACGTTGACAAAGAACTTGGACTCGTGCGGGTCGCTAATGGATTGCCGCAAAAGCGGAGCGAACAACTCCTGGCTCTGGGGGTGTCGCGTGATCTTGAGCCGATAGTCAAGGAGACTGGAATGCAATGCCGGAATTCTCACTTCGGTGAGCATGGGCCGGTTTGCAGGAAGACGCATCTTCAGGCCGGCACTCAGCAGACCACCCAAGCCCACTTTGGCACGAATCATCGCATCCGAGCTGTCTGAAAACTCAGCCACCACAAATCCTTGAGTAGGGGCATTGGCTTTATCCACAACGGCGACAAACTGATGCTCGGCTAGGTCCTCGAGATCGTACTGAAGATACGAGAATGGCGGGTTGCGGTCGAATGGATGCTGCGATTGCCGCGTGGAAGCAGGCAGATGAATAGCATCGTCGGCGGCGCTCTTGCAAGCGAGGCGGGTCGAGCCCACAGTACCTCCCGAAAAATCCAAGTTCAGAGCGAAGACGGTTGACCGGCCATTGCTCAGTGGGAAGACGCTGCAAAAGAGCACTTCGAGGTTGCTATTCTTATCGAGTGGCTGATCCGTGAGCAACGTAAATTTCTTGCCCGATACGCCCTGAGGTGGGATGGGCAACATGCGCACATCTGGCCCATGCTGCTGGCCCAACTCGCGTAGGATCAGACGTTGGCCCTGGGCAAGTATCGTGTTTGCATTGTCCTCCAGAGTCAAGAGGGTGTTCGGTTCTTTCTGCGAGAGCGTCCTCTCCGCCACAGACTCAAGTCCAGTGAGATACCACTTCTTCAGCACCCGCATGCGTTCCGCTCGGGGCTTTGTCTGGCTCGGGCGCCGAGCATCAACAATATCAAACAGTGACTTGGTGATGGCCTTGCGGAACTGGTCACACCAAGTGATCGACAGGTGGTCCATGCCGATCCACACGTCTGGAATGGTGGAGGTGAACACGGTAAAGCCGTGCGTTTCGGGAACGAGAGAGGAAATGCTCGCGTAGTCCGAGGGCACCACGGTGTCACGCGAGCCACCCGCAATGGAAATCAGAGTAACGTGCCACAGGGGATTGTTGTTCGCCCAGGTCTGTGAGTAGGCCTCGCGCCAGTAGTCGTTGATCTGTTTGTACGTGTGGACGATGTCCGAGTCAAAGGACACCGGGGGTTTCGAGTGCGGCGCCGACATGGTGATGATGGTATTGACTGAATTGGCTTGGTAATTGGCCATGGTCAGGGATGTTCGTGCCACAATGCCGCCCATGGAATGCCCGATGAGAACGACCGCGCTGGGGTCGGGTAGCCCGGGATCGCGCCGCGACCGCCGGGGGTCATGATAAAGTGACAGAATGTACGCGATGGCTTCGTTCACGTACTCGGCCTGGTCCAGCAATGTCTGCCCGTGAAACGCCGCCATGTCTTCGTTGAAATCCACCATGAAAAAATCCAAGCTGCGCGCGCCCGCCCCAATCCGGTCCTCGTCGTGCCGCACCACATCATAGAAGTATCGGGAGGCCTCGGCGGCCAGTGACCGGACCTGTCGATAGCTGCCGGCGTTGCCGGGAAGAAACAAGACCGGCACGCCGTTCAATCCGATGTTATCCTGGGTGTAAGGGTCCACGCCCTCCTCACGGTACAAGTAGAGGTTGTATTTGCTGGCGAACCGCGTGTGCTCCGTGTCAAAATCCAACATCTTGATAAACGTCGGGCTCATCATAGGCACGCCGCAGCCATTGCTTCCGACCTGGCGACCGGCGAACGACCGAACAATCGAGATGAGAAACGCGATCGCGACGCAGGTAGTGAAGGCCGTGAGGATGGAGCTGGACCAGGGACTACGCAGGCGAGACTGTCTCCAGCGGCGGCCATCGGGGGAAGGGGCCTCCATTGGAAGCCGGGGCGAGGCCAATGGCATGGTTTTAGTATCGTTGGACGGATGGGAGGACGGCGTGCGCCACATGCTTGAATTCCGGGAGCGCGGCGTCGAGCTGCCGTCGCGGCGAGTGTCGAAGGAGGTGCCTCGGGGGGCTATCTGCGACCGCGATTTCTCGTTGGCGGAGTCGTTGGAGTTGGAGCCATGGTCGTCCGAGGAGGGAGGTGTGGTGGTGCGAGAGGCTGAATCCTCGTCGTCCGCGACAGGGGAGCCAGACGAGCGTCTGTGCATTTGAGGGAGGCGGAGCCGGGACTCATCCAGCGCCCACGGACTCTCTCTTGGCAAGGGGGAGCGATCGCACAGGGAGGAGGAAAGGGTGGAGGCGGGAGGAAGGGAGGAATGTGGGAGTGGAATGGGTGAGTTGAGTGAAGATGAAGTCTCGGGGGAGAGAGAAACTTGGCACTGGACGGCGGGTCGGGAGACTAGTACTACGCTACCGGCTGCGTTTGTTAACCAGACGAGAGGCTTCCTTGTTAAACACTCAACTCTTTTTTAGTTCGGCTTCGGCTTTTCTACTATTCACTAGTCCTAAAATAATAATTTGCCTCCACCAATTCAGCGTGGCAGGTGAGACTACTTGAGGCGGCGCAAGACTGAGACACCGGCGAGATCGACGGATTAGTAACGGCCGGTCAAACACTGGACGCGTGTTGTGCAGGCTGGTATCTGCTGAGCAACCCACTTCGGGGAGGTACCTGCAGTTGCCGCCGTTCAACATACTGTTACGATGTATCTTATGGTAGGAAGAAAATGGCCTGAGTGGATATCCCCGTCCCCAAGTCGCACCCCCTACCTGCTGGGCAGTCATGGATACTGTAGGCTTTCGAAATGAGAGCACATAATATCGCGAGATGAGTGCATTTAGCCAGCAGATGGCGTGCTAGAGAACACGGCACGACGTAAGTGAACGCAAATAGACCAGGGTGTCTGCGGGGTGGCTGATCTCCCCGCAGCCTGGGGAATTATAAAAGGACGAGGAAGACCCTAGAAACGGGCGGTAAAGGTAGGTTGGTGCTGATTTCTTATTTGATTTCGAATTGTATTAGATGAAGATACTTCAACCCAATGACTGGCGCACGCTAGAGTGAACATATAATTAAGCAGACACGGATCCACCATATTTCTTTTTTCGAGCATAGTTATTGACGGTCAGGATCTGCAAACGCATAGCTAACCATAATCATCTTATTAGGATTGATAGTACGACAATATTCCAATTCGGCGAGATAGCAAGTCATATCCATAAGCGTCGATCGGGTATATAAGTTAGTTCATCAGAAAATCAACGAAGCGAAGCAAACTACTCCTGCTGCTTAGCAAGCCCCTTCTCGGGGTCACTAGCATCGTCGACAGGGTGCTCCAAGCCACGATGGGCCGCAACCTCCGCCAAATCCGAATCATGCTCAGCGTCAAACTCCCGGCCGAGACGCTCGGGACCGGCCAAGGTAATAAGAATCGTGTACGCAAAGACACAGCCCATGAAAATACAAATGACCTTGCCGTAATCGTAGCGATGGGCCTCGTCCTTGGTCGGAGGCAGCGGGAAACGCTCGCCAATCGTCGATTCGATCGTCGAACTCGCCGACGACACTAAATTACCCATCTGGTACGCGGTTCCGACGACAAAGGTGCGGATGGGACCCGGGGACAGCTCCATCAAGTGGATGGGGATCACACCCCAGGCACCCTGCACCATGAACTGCTCGAAGAAGGCGGCAGCCATCACCGAGTGGTTCTCCACAAACGTGTATGGGTACAACAGCGCGCCGCCGACGATGGAGATCACGATGATCGAAAAGCGCCGGCCGAAGATCTGACTAGCCCAGCCACAGAGCGTGCCGCCGGTCAGCGCGCCGAGGTTGGCGACCACTTGAGTGACGGTGACGGCATTGGAGGAGAAACTGAACTGGGCTTCCAGCATGGTCGGGTAGAGATCTTGCGACCCGTGCGACTAGGATGAGTTAGCAATTACCCACAAACGCTCTAGGAGTGCTGTTACGTACCATAAAGTTAAAGCCCGCCATCAGCAGCACCATGTAGACCAACAGCAGCCAGTGACGCTTGAACGCGACCTTGCCTTCCTCCACGAAAGACTTGGCCACACCACCGCTTACTCGCTCCCGCATCGCCTGTCGCTTAATAAATGTATTGGTCTCCGGCAGACACAGACGGAAAGCAATAATCAGAACGGGTGGGGCCGCCGAGAACCAGTACAGAGGGCGCCAGCCATGCGAGGTGGTATTGACCAGCCCACGCGCAAAGGCCGTAGCAAGCAAGTAGCCAAACGCGTAGCCCTGCTGCAGCAGACCGGAGACAATGCCACGGGCCTCGGGAGGACAGTCCTCGAGCGCAGTGGCGGCGGCGTTCCCGTAGAGACCGCCCATAGCAATCCCGAACAGGGCACGGCAGGCCAGGAACTGGCGATAGGTCTGGCAGAAGCCGGCACCCAGTTCGAGGACGATGAACAGGACCAGGTTGACGACAAACGGCCATCTGCGACCCCAGCGATCGGCCGCGATACCGAAGGTGATGGCGCCTACGGACCGCAGCATGAGCACCAGGGTGATGCCCCAGGTGATTTGGGTGACCGATGTGTCGAAGGTTTTTGCCAGATCTGTCGTAGTCAATGACACGCAAAAGAAGTCGAAGGCATCCCAAGACCACGCGATGAAGGCTACCGAGAAGAAAAGCCACTGTTGTCTGTTCAGCAGAGCGAGTGCCTTGATGGGGTTCGGGGCTGGATTCATGGGCGGCACCAGAGTCGGAATTCGAGTCATCACGTATTGCATAACGCTCATGTGCTCCTCGATCTCCGGCGAGGAAGTAGCTTCCTCGTTGGTCGGCTGGGGCTTTTCCTGGATGTCCGCCATGGCTGGTGGTGCGGAGAGGGTTACAAGGGGAACCCAGGAAAGCCGGAGCCACGCGACTTAAGTAACAGACCGATGTACTTACGTCCGTCAAGCTCTCCAAGCCTAACCCCGCTTATCCGAACGCCCCCCAGCACGGGTTCGCTTCCTGGTCTCTCGGGGGGTGCCGATCTTCAACCTTCTGGGGAATAGGTGCCCCAGCTAGGGGATCCAGCACGAATCAGGGGTTGTCAGTGCGGTCCACAGAAAATGTTCCGAGCCAGCTAGATGACCGGTAATTAGTCTCGGAGGATACGGGCTGCCTGTTCTTTGTTGACCAAGTCTGTTGTTCCGGACACTCTCGTGACTGCTCCCCCTGTTGACTCCTTACTTCGGAACATGTTCCTCCTCGGATGAGACTTACTCCGATGTTGATCCGGTGTGTGTGTGTGCCGTGTGGAGAGATGGAGATGGAGAAAAGACTCGGTCCCCGCAAGCCACCCCGAATACGCCCACCGGGTCACCGGTAAAAAACAGTGGAAAGATGCCGTGTGGAAAGTCTCTTCCGGTAATTCTCGGTAGTGAACGGCTGTCTCCCACTCTGGGTTTGATTTCTTAGAGACTCGGCTGTCCGAGGAGAAGCTTGGCTGCTTGGCTTTCGGAAGTTGACCGATAACCGACTCTGTACTCCCAGGCGCACACAAGAATTCTGTGTATAGAATTGCCGGAGACAGAGTTTAGCCCCAGACTCGGTATTTAGCCTTGCCAGTGGAGTTGAGATTGTACAGATCCTATCTCCAACTGCCCGTCTCGGATTCTCTAAACCTACGACACGCCCCGAAATCGCAGGCTTGACTTCCTTGGCTTCTATTTATTCCAGGTTACAATCACAACATGATTTGGTATCAGAGCTGCTCTCGACTGCGCTCAGACCATGCGGCAATGCTTGCCAAGCTGAATCCTCGGCCTGCGTTCATTTTGCGACTGGAGGAATCGCCGAAATAAAATGCATCTATGCATCCTGATAGCCTCATATTGAGTTTATAGGGTCTAGATCATTAGATGATTGAATGTATTGGAGGTTTGAACCATTAAATACAAATAATAATAATGCGCCCTAACAGATACTTCATGATAGCTACTGGCTGTACCTACCAAAAGGTTACATCAGATAAAAGAAAGACTGAGCGACCAGAAATCCATTGTCAGGCCTCCCTCAACTATTAACCACACCTGAGTCTGTCCTCCATTCTAGCACAAATCAAGCCATCGTCTTCTTCTTCTTATTCTTCTCCTCCACAAGTGCCGCCTTCCCGCTCCGCAGCCACTCGGCCAGATCCATCCGCCGTCGACGGGGCTTGATAGCCCTACAGACGTCCTTCTTGGCCGCGGGCACAACAGATTTGGGCGATGAGGTGCCCATAGTAGAACTACCCCGAGACGGAGGGGTCGTGACCCGTCTGGCAATGGCCTTGAAGATCCTCTTCTTGTGAGCCTGAGCCGAAAGAGTCTTTTTCTCTTGCTGGCCGAGAAATGTGTCGTAGCCTTTGTGGAAGGGTGTCATGTCTGTCGGCTTGACAAAGCCGGATTTGATGGTGGTAGTGATCGTAGTGGCGTGGCCATCCTGGAAGATGGCCAACTTGGTGTAGATTCCCCTCGCTTCGTCGAAGATTACGACCTCGGGGCCGAAGGGCATACTAAAGAATTTCTCCTTTGGCTTGGTGGCTGTGCGAGAGTGGAAGTGGATGAGTGCTTTGTTGGCCATATTCAGATGATGTGAATGGTGTGAATGATCGAGGTTGATGTTGATAGATATGAAGATGTGAGGGACTCGAGGATAGCCAAAGTGCTAAAGGGAGACCTTTAATGTCGACTGACGTCGTATTCACTGTGAAGCAATTATAGGGATAGAGAAATAGAGGGAAGACACAATAGAAGTGAATGACAAGGTAAACAGGGCAGTGGTAACGGTGGGTGTGAATCAAAATGTGAAGAAGGTAGGGAATAGAGAACAGGACGAGATACTGCTGATTCACAGAATGGTATTGAGGAAAGCACAGTTCTATAAGTAGAAGAACAAATCTGTACGATTATATAGCTTCATTGAATATGGCAAATGTCCAAAGAGAAAAAGGTGCATCCCAATCAGACAAGTACGTCGCACTTTGGGTTAGGCACCTAGGGCTCTACCCACGGATTCTGCTGCAACATTTCCACGCTGAGTATGGCCCGAGCTGCATCTGTATCTAGAAATAGGTTAGATGACCGAACTTTATTTCCAACTAAGTCATGATTGTACCATACTTCTTCTCTCCCTAATATTTTCCGTAGAGGCCAAAAGATCGGGTTTCTTGGTAGTATACATCGACGTTTACATCGATGTACCTCTTGTAGATGCCTGTGCACACTGTTCCTATTCTGCGGCACAACATATACCTCCTATACCCGTTACTCTACACAGATCATAACAATCATAATCGTTCGTGGTATGAGTATGAATAGTGGCTGTGGAGTCAGATGGTGGCTGTGCAGTTCGAAACCCCTCGGTGCCCCGCTGTCACTTATAAGCAAACCTCTTCCCCTGACACCATCATCGTCTCTGCCTGTTCTTGTTATTTTCAACTCATTTCATACACTCTCACATCCATCATGTCCCAGTACGGCGGTCCTCCTCAGCAAGGCTATGGAGGTGAATACTACGGCCAGCCGCCTCAGCAGGGTGGTCAGGGCTACCCACCCCAGGGAAATTACGGCGCTCCGCCTCAGCAAGGCTACTACCCCCCTGAAGTGAGTCGCAGACAGACCGCGCGCGAGACGAGACCATCTCACGGAGAAAAGAAAAGAAACTAACCCTCCTCAACAGCAACAGCAACAATACGGCCAACCACCCTACGGCCAACACGGCAGCCCGCCTCCCTACAACGAGAAAGGCTACCCCGGCGGGCCGGGGGATACGGAGGACAGCCACCACAGCAGGGCTATCCTCCTCAGCAGGGCTACCCTCAACAGCAGGGCTACCCCCCGCAGCAGGGGTACCCGCCCCAACACGGCGGCGAGAGCGCTTCGTACTACGGCAACGCACCGCCCCCCGGCGCGCAGCAGGCATACCCGCCTGGCGCGGTAGGGCCTGAGGGTGAGCGCGGGCTAGGATCGACTCTGCTCGGCGGTGCGGCGGGCGGGTTTATGGGCCATAAGATGGGTGGCGGGATGATGGGCACTGCGGGCGGTGCGGTGTTGGGTGCTGTGGGTGCAAATGTTGTGCATCATGAATAGTAAGTTTGGTCGGGGTCTGTGTGAGACGAGTTCAAAGTGATGCATGTGGCTAACGTATCTGGTTCATGAACAGTGAGAAGTACGAAAAGAAAGACAAGAAGCATAAGAAGGAGAAGAAGCACAAGAAGCACAAGCGTCACAGCTCCAGCTCCAGCTCGTCGAGCTCGTCGTCTAGCGATTAAGGCGTGGCGGTGGCGCTGTCGGAGGATAGCTGGGTTGCCGTGGGAGATACGGGAGATGTTTAACCCTTGTTGATGCCGACATGCGATGTGTCGATATCCCAAATTCTCTCTGTACAGGTTTTATTGCTTGAGCTCTTTGTCGAGATCGAACATGTTTCTGTGCTTACCATGCGTTATACCTACCCATCTATCTATACTGCCGCACAATATAGTTACATGACTACTCCCACTGTGTACAGACAGTAAGCTAACCCTGCTTGGATCATGCCCGTGTTCCCCTGATTATCTTAACGCCCAATCCCTGCAGCGGCTGCGGTGCCATGTTCCACCCGGTAATCGAGCCAATAGTTCAAAATAGTCCGTCCGAAGGCCGTGTACTCGGTACCTGCGTCTGTGAAAAAAATTTCTTTTGGATTTGTCTTGATGGTGATAGGCCGGCTGCCATCCAGGGTGGCTGTTGTTCCTGGGGGGCTATGTATCAGGCATAGGCCTGAGCGCGGCGTCCAATAAACAAACACGGAGAGAGAAAGGGGCTGCTCCCGAATATTCCCTGTGCATAATCCCTGTGAAAAAAAATAATCTAAGATGTCGAGTCGAGTACTGTAGAACACCCTCGATCCTGCAGTACAACCTCAACTACTATCGTCCTTATCCTTATCACTGCGTGGAGACTACCCCAGATTACTTTTATCTCTCCGGCTGGCGATAACTGCCTGCAGGAATAATAGGGGCGCCTTACGAGTGGATCCTGCCCTTCGGCCAAGGAAGGCGAGGGAAGGGATTCGTTCTAGGGGCGGGCGAGATACAAACTAGCCTCGGGGAGGGCCCTATTATTTCCCCCAATCCCCATAGAATAGACAACTGGGGCGAACGGCCATGCGGGTCCGCTAAGATAATAGCGACGATGTAGGGAAATGACCTCGCCGCAACGTAGCCATCGCCAGACAGCACAAAAGTGGCAATGGAGAGTAAAAAGCGAGCCAGGAGTAATGGAAAACTTTGCTAGCTTCCGTTTGCTTCCAGAAGCCAGGCGTGATTCGTCGCGCGGGAGTCGCGGAAGCATCAGGAATGCCGGATCGATCGCCTGAAGCGGAACGAAACAATCTTTTTGTCGAAGCAAGGGTTTTTTTTTTCTTTTTTTTTTTTTTCTGCCAGTGGTCCAGACCCACATCGCTGCCTGCCCGACCCGAATCGGTTTTCGCCACCTGGTTGCTTCTCTGGGGGATAAGGGTTGCTTGGGGGATCGGAGGTTGCAGGGTTGCAGCTTGAACTAAAAAAAAAAAAAAATCTTATCGGCTACGACGGTGCACCACGATAGCCGATAAGATGCGGTGAGAACAAGAAAAAAAAGCGGCGCCGGCTCCGAAGTACATCGAAGATAATACATGCCTCGTTTCAGCACCCCTAGATGCCTCCAGCAGTCAATTACAGTGTAACAAAGGCAGATTACCCCTGACTACGAACGACAAAACAGGGTTGTTTCTCTCGGGGATAGCCATGCCGATCGAAACCTGCAGATCCCGGTCTCTCTTTTTTTTTTTTTAATTTGCTTTCATGCTGACGGCCTTGCCTAGTCCAGCCAGCCGAGGCAGGTAGGTTTGTATAACACGGTCTGGTTCGCGGACACAAACGGAACATGGGCCCAGGAAATTCTCGTAACTCTAAAAATATTGGGCAGGACGTGGAAAAAAGAACTGCGCCACCCGATCATAAGTGGCGACAGGAATAGCACCAGGCCCCCGGGGCTAGCCTGACAGTCTCTATCCCCCGGATTCACGATAGCCCTCGCAGGTGATCGAGATATCCACCACCCAGCGTAGTCCGTCGGCCATCCTCACCGTCGCAGAGTCCACCATAACGATCACCATAAGAATCAAATCGTCCGTCCTCTTCGTATACTGGATTCGCCTCACCCGTACCCGGGCATACTCAGGTAACTTCATCGTTGAGAGGCGGTGTCCCAACCATCCAATCACGCCGAAGGGATTCGGGCGAGTGCTTATCCTAATCAGTAGCCCGCTAAACCACATCCGGTCAAGCGCGGGACAAAGGACTGAAAAAAAAAAAATTTCGGTCGGGAGGCAAGCCGCACGATAAATATCTCGCCCCCCTTCTTCCCTCCCTCTCTCTCTCTCCCTCTTCCCATCTCACCTTTACTCTCTCCCCCAAACCCCATACAGAGGTCTGGTCCTCTCTTTTTTACTTGTTTTTCCTTGTTCTATCTGCATAGACAGAATAGATCCCTGCCCATCGCTCATAGAGAGCGTTCGCTGCGTTCTTGTCAGCCAACGCAGTTTTTTTTCGCGGGTCACCACCAACCCAACAAGAACATACACACCACACCACACCGAGCGATACCCCTCATAGAAGAGAAGACAAAAGTTGCATCTTTCTTTCTTTACAGTTAATACACCTCACACCGCCAAAATTTCTTCCAACATGCCCGCCGTCGACGTTTCATCTGTCCCTGCCGTCTCCGGCAAGGAGACCGCTCAGTCGGTCGCTGTCCTCGAGGACCTCATCAAGAACCTCAACGTCTCGACCAGCCCCGATGAGGTCAACGCCGCTGCCGGCAACCTTGCCTCTCTTTTCGGCGGTCCCATCCCCGAGCAGACCCTGCCCCTGAAGGCCGTTGAGACCTTCAAGAAGCAACTTGCCAACAAGAAGGATGCTCTGGCCCGCGAGCGTGCCCTCGAGGGCATCCGCGCCATTGCGTCGCACACCACCATCGCTCCCGGTGTGGAACCTCACCTCGCCACACTCATTGGCCCCGTTCTCGCCGCCGTCGGCGACAAGATGACCCCCGTCCGGGAGGCCGCCCAGAGCGCCGCTGCCGCCCTCGTTCAGGCCATCAACGGCAACGCCGTCAAGGCGATCGTTCCTCCCATTCTCGAGTCTCTCGCCAACGCCCAGAAGTGGCAGGAGAAGATGGCCGCTCTGGCTTGCATTGACACCCTCGTCGAGTCTGCCCCCGCTCAGCTCTCCTACCAGGTCCCCAACCTGATCCCCGTCGTCTCCGGCGCCATGTGGGACACCAAGTCTGAGATCAAGAAGACCGCCTACGCCACCATGGAGAAGGTCTGCGGCCTGATCGTCAACAAGGATATTGAGCGCTTCATTCCCGAGCTCATCAAGTGTGTTGCCAAGCCCGAGAACGTTGCCGAGACTGTTCACTTGCTCGGTGCTACCACTTTCGTGTCCGATGTCACCGGCCCCACCCTCGCTATCATGGTTCCCCTGCTGGACCGTGGTCTCGTGGAGCGTGAGACCGCCATCAAGCGTAAGGCCGCTGTCATCGTCGACAATATGTGCAAGCTTGTCGAGGACCCCCAGATTGTTGCTCCTTTCCTGCCCCAGTTGATGCCCCGTCTGGAGAAGAACCACGACACCCTGGCCGACCCCGAGGCCCGTGAGAAGACCCGCCAGGCCCTCGACACCCTCACCCGTGTGGGTAATGTCAAGGATGGCAAGATCCCCGAGATCTCCACCGCTGGTGACATCTCCACCGTCTCTGCCATCCTCAAGGAGATCCTGGAACCCAAGTACAAGAGCCAGATTCCTCAGTGCGAGGCCGTCATCACCTACGTCGCTGCCATCGCTGGTCAGCTCGTCGACGAGAAGGACAGCGAGGTCGTCACCTGGACCCAGAACGCCCTTCCCTACATCACCGCCATGGTCGGTGAGGCCGATGCCAAGTCCATCGCCGAGTCTCTGCGCAAGCAAGCCTCCCCCGAGGCCGCTGCCGCTGACGAGGTCCCCTCCGACGAGGAGGAGGGTGAGGATCTGTGCAACTGCACCTTCTCTCTGGCCTATGGTGCCAAGATCCTGCTCAACCAGACTCACCTGCGCCTGAAGCGTGGCCAGCGCTACGGTCTCCTGGGCCCCAACGGTTCCGGCAAGACCACCCTCATGCGCGCCATCAACAACGAGCAGCTCGAGGGTTTCCCCAAGAAGGACGAGGTCAAGACCGTCTACGTCGAGCACGACCTGGATGCTGCCGATACTGAGCTGACTGTCATTGGCTGGACCTTCAAGAAGCTGAAGGAGGTCGGCCTGGAGCTCTCGCAGGAGGAAGTTGAGGGCAAGCTCGGGGGTGAGTTCGGTTTCTCCCAAGCCCAGATCGAGGGCCCCATCACCGCCCTGTCTGGTGGTTGGAAGATGAAGCTGGCTCTGTGCCGTGCCGTCTTCGAGAGCCCCGATATTCTTCTGCTTGACGAGCCCACCAACCACTTGGACGTCAAGAACGTTGCTTGGCTCGAGGACTACCTTAAGAGCTCTCCTTGCACTTCCATCATGGTCTCCCACGACAGCAAGTTCCTGGACCATGTCATCCAGCACGTCATTCACTACGAGCGCTTCAAGCTTAAGCGTTACCGTGGCACCCTGAGCGAGTTCGTCAAGCGCGTTCCCTCCGCCCGGTCCTACTACGAGCTGAGCGCCTCCGACATGGAGTTCAAGTTCCCCGAGCCCGGTTTCCTTGAGGGTGTCAAGACCAAGTCCAAGGCCATCGCCCGTGTCAACAACATGTCCTTCCAGTACCCCGGTACTCCCAAGCCCCAGATCAGCGACATCTCCTTCCAGGTGTCCCTGGGCTCCCGTATTGCCGTTATCGGTCCCAACGGTGCCGGCAAGTCGACTCTCGTTAACGTCCTGACTGGTGAGCTCATCCCCACTTCGGGTGATGTCTACCAGCACGAGAACATCCGTATCGCCTACATCAAGCAGCACGCTTTCGCTCACATCGATAACCACCTCGACTCCACTCCCTCCGAGTACATCCAGTGGCGCTTCCAGACCGGTGAGGACCGTGAGACCATGGACCGTGCCAACAAGATCGTCACCGATGATGACGAGAAGGCCATGGAGAAGATCTACAAGGTCGAAGGCTCCCTCCGTCGCGTCATTGGCATCCACTCCCGCCGCAAGTTCAAGAACACCTACGAGTACGAGATCTCGTGGTCGCTGGGTGACAACGTCGGCATGAAGGGCGAGAAGTGGACCCCGCTGATGAGCAACGACAACACCTGGCTGCCTCGCTCAGAGATCATCGTGTCTCACCCCAAGCAGGTCGCTGAGGTTGACCAGAAGGAGGCTCTCGCCTCCGGTCAGTTCCGTCCCCTGGTCCGCAAGGAGATCGAGCAGCACTGCGCCAACTTCGGCCTCGACGCCGAGCTGGTCTCTCACTCCCGCATGCGCGGTCTGTCCGGTGGCCAGCGTGTCAAGGTCGTCCTGGCTGCCTGCTCTTGGCAACGCCCCCACGTCATCGTCTTGGACGAGCCCACCAACTACCTCGACCGTGACTCCCTCGGCGCCCTCTCCAAGGCCCTCAAGTCCTTCGAGGGTGGTGTTGTTATCATCACTCACTCGCGTGAGTTCACTGAGAACCTCACTGAGGAAGTGTGGTCCGTCATGGATGGCAAGATGACTCCCTCCGGCCACAACTGGGTCCAGGGCCAGGGCTCCGGTCCCCGTCTTGACCAGAAGGGCGATGATGATGAGGACAAGTTCGATGCCATGGGCAACAAGATCACTGTCGAGAAGAAGAAGAAGCTCACTGGTGAGTTCCTAGCCCTATATACGTCCCCTCTTATGGTTCCAACAGTCACTAATATTTTTTGATTAGGTTCTGAGCTGCGCAAGAAGAAGAAGGAGCGTGCTGCCCGCCGCAAGCGCGGTGAGGAGGTCTTCTCCGATGAGGACGATTTTTAAATGGGATCCTTTTTGTTGTGATGCATTTTTTATGATTGGTTGATGAATTTCATTTGCTGCTGAGAGAAATTACATGTCATTAGTGAGATCAATACAGTCATTCTCTGTTCAATTTTTCAATGTAGAAACTAGAGATGTTAGTCCTATTCCTGGGTTGACTGTAAACGGTGCGGAGGTCATCTTGGGATGGATCATTCCTCGGTATGGTCCATCGAGGATGTCTACTCCTTGGCCTAGCGTTTCACTGGAGTCTTGTGTAATGCTTCTTTCTAATCTAGTCCGAGTTCAATTGAATTGATCAGGTAACTAACCTAACAACAGATCGACTTTGACGCTACCACCTTCAAGAGAAGCACATTATCTGCAAAACTCTTGCTCGCCTTTTGCGATAATAAGTCGAATCTCATTGGACAACCAAATGCGTCTCCACGGACCTCCGTCAGGACTATCAATTGACTTCGTCGAATACGAGGTTCCCCTGCCCCCCGCTCTCTGACTTCACCCGATATATATGTATCCTGTGCAACCGAAACATTAACCAACCACCATGACCTGCACTCGATGCATTAAAACAACATGACTCCCCAACAACCTTCCCAAAAAACCCTAGAAGCCCACTGCCGGTGCACTGCTGTGCATTTCACCATCACCATCCCAGCAGACCACCCTCTAAAGATCAAGTTGTGTCACTGCACGATCTGCCGGTACACACACGGTACGCCCTGCAGTTTCACTGCCGCGCTTCCACTCAGCGTTGAGCCACAGTTCGTCACACCCTCGCGCATCAACAGCCTCACAGCCTATACGTATCCCGGGGCGCGATATACCCGTTTCTTCTGCAGTACCTGCGGTTGCCAGATTGGGAGGCAGAGCGCTACAGATGGGAGATGGTTTATCTCCAGCGCGATATTTAAGGACAGTGACAGCCAGGATGAGGGTGTTTGGGTGTATGACGAGCATGTCTTTACTGGGTCCGCGGCTGATGGTGGGATTTCAGGGCTTGTGGCCTCTGTTGGTGGGAGGGAATTGGGGGTCGAAAATCCAGCTCCAGCTTCTGCTCCAGCCAGGTCTCCGCCAAATACACCTACAAGACCACACAATCGAGACAGTCTTCAAGCCCAATGCCACTGCGCCGGCGTCTCCTTCACCGTCAGCCGCCCACGACCAGACTTCCTCACAACCCCTATGAGCAATGGGTTGACACATCCATCCGACAGAACCAAATGGCTCGCATCCCTCGACCTCTGCACAGACTGCCGCCTAGTCAACGGGACGAACGTGATCGGATGGATGTTTGTTCCGCTTGATCACATCTCGCCTTCTCCCGCCGGCCCGGATCTGCTCCATGGATCATCGAAAACCTACCACTCCAGCGAGGGTATAACGCGGAGCTTTTGTGGGACCTGCGGTGCCACGGTTTTCTTTGCTTGGGATGGACGGCCTGGCGAGGTTAATGTTGCCACGGGCCTTTTGCGTGCAACGGAAGGTGTTATGGCCGAGGCGTGGATCCTGTGGATGGCTGGGAGGATTTCGTGGTTTGAAGATGGGGTGGTGTTTCATGAACAATTTGCGAGGAGTTTGAGGGATGGGTTGAGGGATTGGGGGAGGAAACGCGGGCAGGGGGAGGGTTGGATAGCGCCTTAGGTTGTTCTGGGATACATGGTTGGCTATTTGACCATGTCCACGCAGAACCCGACTCACTCACCTAAAATAGGTTGGGTTCTCGGGCATCAAATTGATGTTAACAAGTCGCACTAAGGACGAGCGGAATACTAGATGAATGTTCTCGACAGAGCCTAGAGCGTCGGGCAGTGGGCAGTATAGGTTCACTTCGAAGACGATACCGGAATTGGTCGTTACGCTCGCTCTTTTGCTTTCGGGGCTGCTATTATAAAACAAAGATGGTAATGACAACAATAACAAAATAAAAAATCTTGCTGTTGCTTGGGACACGATGGAAGAGGCACGAGGCTTCGCACAAGCTCTGATCTTTTACCCACACTACATTGCTTGACGGTATCGAGGATCGGAAGGTAAACTACGTAGTCGGCTGAGTACCCTTGTCTTATGGACTCGCAATTCAAGTATTCTGGGCGCGAGAACCACGAATTCAGGTTGGGAGGCCTCCTTGAAAAGGCTGTATCGACGACGTTCCGCAGAACTAGATTCACTCACCCAATTGCTCGAGACCTTTTGTTTCCATATCTCCCACAAACGCTTTCCCATAAACTTCCAATACCGTTTCCAAACCCACGCTCTCGGCTCCAGCGATATCAGCCCATCTCATGCGCTGAGCTCATTCAACAAGACTGAGCCATGGATCCAGCCGGTGTAAGTCATGAACCTCGTCCGTTTGTTAACATGTCGTTTGGCGAATATGCTACGAACGAAGGGCTAACCTGCCCGGACTCACAGTCTGACAAGGTACCGCCTCCTTCAACGGAGTTGCCATGCCACCCAACAGAATCAGAATAGTCGGTCACTAACATCCACAAATAGGGCGAGAAGATGCCCTCCAGGAACACTCTCGACAAACCGCACGTTTCAGCCAGTCAGGCGGTAAGAGATAGATTCTTCGCCTTCACATATCCTAAATCTAACACGGGCTCAAAACACCCAGACGAAGTACAGGCTGATCGCTCCGAGACCCAGCACAGAGACCACCACCACCCTATCTCCCGAAGAGCTCCACAAGCAGCACCTCGTAGCAACCCGAACCGAGATCACCGCGAAACTCATCGCAAAGTATGACTACTGCGTCGAGTTTGGGCGCCGAGTCACGGAACTGCGGCGACTGCTCGATGCCCTTTGCGAGACTCTCAGCACCTCCGCACAGACTACCTATCGCCGCGAGTGGACCTATGACCTGCAGGAGCAGCTGGACAGGATGAAGCGATATGTTGCGCAAGATCATGCTGAACTGAATGCACTCCGGGCGAGATATCGTGCGGTTACGCAGGAGTTGGAAGGATTACCCTGATTCTTGCGGTCAGCACTGACAACAACGTCTTCGGCAGGGAGTAAATGAGGGTGTGAATAATGGATTGAGATTTGTACCAAAGTGACCTGGAATCATCGGGTTTATCTACGCAATCTACCCAGATCTTGAATGTACCTCCCTTCCCTATGAATGGGTGATGAATAGCAACGAGAGTTACAGATATAGAAAATTCTCTGGCGAATTCGATAGTACATAGTCAACATATCTTCCACGGTTGATATAGTACGTACCTATTATGTGGGATTTACTTATCACGATGACTGAATATACCAGTTAGGCCTAGTGGAGAGATCGACCAGTCTCGTGCTTAGTGCGGGAAGACCCATGGTTCGACAAGATCAGCCCGACCTATATCCAACAAACCAACGGTCGATGCTTGGCTCCTATTTTATTTCTCTTTTTCTTCTTTTTTATCTTCATCACCTCCAGCTGTCATGATTGAAGATCAACCAGCCTTACCCACCTAACTCGTTCAGGGATGGCGACCGCACTTAGTTCTCGACCAGCGCTAATTGCGGCTGAGCTCAATCCCAGAAAAATTGCCCACTCCCCCTTTACCTCTTACTGCATTCCTCGGTCACGCCCTACGGGCTCCTATCCCAAGCGTGACTACTGATAGCGCGCCATGTTGATCCTCCTCGTCCTCAGCTTAGCCACCCAGGCGCTGGCCCAGAGAAACTCGACGGATTTGGTGGGGTGGCAGCTTGATGGCGACGATCGCTCATCATGGGATATTCTATGGACGTGTCTCTCCACCATTTTGGCGTGCACGTGGACTGCGATGCATCTCCAGTACCAGAGAAATGATAACTCCCACATCGGGATGGGCCGTATAGGGAAAACTTTTGCATGGATTACCGCCATGCTGGCACCGGAGCTGATGGCTATTATGGCAGTGCAAGAATATTGGGAAGTGAAACTGGTGCTTGCGCGCTGCAATGCTGCCCAGTCGGCATATTTCCGGGGGCAGAAAGCTTTCTCATTAGAGCCAATCGCAGAGAATACCACTCGCAAAGACGAGGAGGAACCGGGGCCGACACAGGCACCCGCAGAGGCTACTAAAGACAGTGACAAAGACGTTTCAGAGCAGGCCGTGCCAGATGCAACAGAGCCATCGGCACAGGGTTTTCGACGTTGGAAAATGGCCCAAGGGTTCTATATTCTAATGGGTGGATTTGTTCTACAAACCAAAGACTACTGGGTCTACACCGTGCGGTCCGAAAATGTCGTCAACCTCATCCAAGCAGGAGTCATCAAGCCATCCGACTTGAAGAAAAGCGATATCAAAGATCGAGACAAGTCCGACCCGATTTCAAAAGCCTTCAGCCTCCTCCAAAGTACATGGGTGGCAATTAACGTCATTGCCAGACGGGTATATGACTTACCCATCTCGCTTCTAGAGCTCTCAACCGCGGCCTATGTGGCCTGCGCCTTGGTCACTTACTTGGCTTGGTGGAATAAGCCCAAGGATGTGGACACCTTCATCACACTCCACCTGCCCTATGAGTATGACAGTAACGAGATGCCATCTCAATTGCGCAATACTGAAAAGAGAGATTGGCTGCATATGCCGCCGCTACTCAAGGACGACGCCGAGTCCGAGGATGACAGTGAACCTTGGAAACGGGCAGCCTTTATTGCGCTGTGCAAGGACCCAATTGGGTTCTGGAAAGCATTCAAAAAGGAATACAAGGAGATCCGTGCCCGAGGAGCAAACAACCAGACGGAGTTAGATCCCGCGGCGGAGAATTCGGACCCTTCAGCCGAGAACACGGAGACATATGAGAATGACGAATATCGTTTTAAAGAGCAAATCACAGTCAAGGAACAATTCACACTTGATATGCTCGCATTCATGGCCGCACTGATGTTCTGCGGTATTCATATCGCGGCGTGAGTATTTACGTATTCTTGTTCTCCCCGGCCAAGAACTGACATTTGCAGGTGGAATTTCATTTTCCCAACACGAGCCGAGCAAATCTTCTGGCGGGTCTTTGCTCTCATTTCATTCTCAGTTGCCTGGCCCGTCGCGTTCATAACCGATCTATCCTTATTTAGATTGTGGTATAAACAGGGGAGTAAGGCACTTCGCCCAAAAGATTACATTGAGCCCAAAAAACTTGAGATGAGGCTTATTCTCATCTTTTGGCTGATATATTCGATCGCACGTCTAGGCAACATCGTGCTAATGTTTATATCGCTGCGAGCCCTCCCCCCAGATCATATCTTTCGGTCAGTTGGCTAGCAACTATACCCCATATATAGACAGTATACATAGTTTATAATCTAATTAAATTTAATCCGAGCTCATTGCAGCAGGGATAGCTTTGAAGATTTAACAGACAATGAACTCTTATGGTACATTCTTTTGAACCCTTGCAAGGAGAAGATCTGCTACTGCCTTCATTCCGTCGAGATTCGGGTGAAGGATGGGTCCGCGTCGAATAATTGATGAAAGATCAAACCCTCCAACCCAGGGTTCTTTGCTACCAAGTGCGTGTCCCAGGCTTAGTTCGTGGACTGGTACTCTCTCACACCAGTCGCCTCTACTTTCCGCTGCAACGAAGTAGGCATTTTGTAGTACAGATGCGACTCCACGATAATATTCTAGTCTCTCTTGATTGAAGGCAATGTCCTGACTAGGCCGTGTGTCAGGTCCTAGGACAGCGAGATATTCGACAAGAAAAATGCGAGCTTTGGGGGCTCGTTTATGTACTTCGTCGAGGACTTCGCCTAGTCTTTCAGCCAATTCACTTGGAGACAACGGATCCGACGTTTGTACCAGTGACTGAGAGAAAACAGCTGATCTCAACGTCCTTAAACCTCCGATGAGGGTATTGGTGATTGCTCCCGGTAAAGTTGCAGCCCAGGCGTCAGAAAGCATGCCACCGATGTAATTGATGTCGTTGCCACCGGCAGTAATGGTTATGATATCCGCATCTTCGGGCAGATTGGAGAGTTGGGTCGGGAAGGTTTCCCTGGAGAACGGGGCAGTTTGTTGATCGACTGTCAGATTGAGGAGGGTTGCGCCAGAAACAGTAAGGTCAGTGAGCTCGGCGTTCAGCTGTTGCGCTAAGAGATGGGCGTAATTCTGCCCTGATCGCATGGCAGCGCGTGGTTCGATTTGTGGAGGAATGCCGGGGCCAGCGGCAAACGAGCTTCCCATGCTAGCAATTTGGAGCCTCTTATTTCCAGACATCATGATATTATCAGAAAACCTAGTTAGAGTGAGGGTTTCATAGGACTCTTGTTGTGGATTCCGCGTTATGATTCTCGACAAATATCGCGGCTTGTCGTCGGTATCCAACACGCCCGGTGAAATACAGTGAATTGTGGCAGCGTGCCGACAGCGGCACTGGAGATGTAGCCCACCACGGCTTGGGTATTCGCCCCCTCTTCGTGATGTCACATGCCACCCTCTCCACACCCTCGAGAGTCTAAAGCGCTCTACCACAAAAGTATTTCTAAATATTGCTGAAATTGCTCAACCGTTGGCAGACATATCTCACACCCTTAATGGGGTTGCATGTTGCATTAAAGACCAACCACGCCTTTTCCTACAGTGTCTTTTTAGTCTCGAAGATACACTGCCTGCTTCCGGCCATTTGCCCATCTTGAGCCAGCTCATCTCAGGCAACCCGCACATGAGGTTGTGACGAAGCCGCTTGCCTAAAATGGTATATAGACGGAAAAGATCTACAGCTCGAGCTGTAACTCCCAGCTTACCTCCACGTCCTTCCCTAGGACTGGGACCCACTTATCTAGAGAAGACAGATTAGAGGGTTCAGAGCGACGGAGTGCCGTGGCCAGGCCTCCCCGATAAAATCCTCACTTCAGTTATAGAACTGAAGGGCCGTGAGATCTTGATACTCATAGCGTTCCCATGTTGTGCGGAGGCACTACGTGTACGAAAGTTTTCGCTCGTCGCACTGTTTGAGCAAGCGGCTTAATCCACGCCGGGCTTGGCGTACTTTGATATGCCAAGCCCAACACAAGGCTAGGTTTCTCTTTGTAGGCCTTGGCGACTAGTCGTAGAATGAGTTGCCAGAAAGGACTAGTCGTAGGATGAGTTGCCAGAAAGGACCAGTCGTAGGATGAGTTGCCCGAAAGGGACCACTTACTACAAGACTGAACAAGCAGTCCACCAATGGCAGACCCTGCTCCTTGCCAGCTGAGATGTAGAATATAGTAATCAGCCCAGTTGAGAAAGGATTAATAAGTGCCAAGCCACCAAGTAGCGGGAACCGGCTGCAGTTGATCCCACATAAGGCACACGTATTCGAAATGATTACCTCATTGGGTTAAACGAAACCTCCAATCTGATTGGGCTTCCGGATGCCATAGACATCTAGCGTCGTAGTTTATAGGCATCTTGAACCTCCTCGCCTATAATATCAGCGGATGATATACTTACATCAAGCGTTGGAGGCCTAACTATGGATCAAATAGCTCATACCTAGAGTCAACTATTAGGTAACTAGACTATGAAGACGACTTGGCACTTGTTTTGAAGAAGTATAAAAACTTCAAAATATCTCCTCTAGAGATCCGTACTCTTAGGCACCACGATTTTCTAAACAATCAACAACTTCAATCAAAACACTTCGTTTAAATATACCACACCTCTTTCACAATGAAGGTTACAGCTCTCCTCTACACTCTTATGGCTGCCGCTGCCGTCAGTGCTTCAGCAGTCTATGAACGAAATGTTCTGGACACCTGCGGCGCCGGCTACGGTAGTGACCAGCGACGTACGAATAGTCCTTGTGAACCTTCGAACGGAGATAGGCATTTCTGCGGTTGCGATAGGACAGATGTGGTATGTGAACATATCCAGGTTGAAATATCAAAATTATCATTGCTAATGTGTATTTCTGTGAAAAAGGTCCAGTGCATAAGTGGTTTTTGGCAAGAGGTTCAAGACTGTGGCAGTGGCACATGCCACGGAGGCAGCCAAGGTGGAGCCGTGTGCTAGAATGAGAAGATCGAGTGTACTGACACTCAGACTGGAGTGGAATTTTGACCAATCTCCCGTCAGAACTATTTGGGCAACTTGGAATGATTCAACATCAACCAATTTGCTAGCTTTTTTGGAATTCAGTTCAATACGAAGTTCGAACCATCGTGTTACTAGTCGCTCATTAATCGTTATATAGTTTACAAATTGCAACAGCACTGTTAGCTAGCTACTTGATCATGGTGTCGAAAGGTATCTCGTAAATCTAATGGTGACGTAGAAGGATGAGAACCGAGGTAGTGCTAGTACGGGGTCAGCCTTGACTCCCCGGCGTCACCTCTGTATTCATCATCAACTTCTGACTAATGTACGACAAAGGTTCCCTCCCTCTTTTGGCGGTTCGTCTGGTTGGATCAAGATAGTACCTATACTAGTCTAGGGATGACCAATAGAATGGATGAAGATGAAAGTCATCAATTTTTGCTGTCCCACGGGGGTGGATGAGATGGGGGTTTGCCCAGTAGGGTGCTAGGCTCAGAGTAGCGTGTTTAAAGTGTTGTATTAGCCTTGTTGCTGCGATTATTCTGATATGTCTAAGTATTTGTGGGTTGAAGTCCACATATACTGTTGAGAGATAAAAATCATAGCGCGGTTGGCAATACGGTCCATAACAAAGCTTCCCTAAGTTAAGCAGTGAAATTGGTTTCGAACTCTCTATAGCATGTCTGCGCTACGCCACCACATCTCCTCTATAATCAGACCTACATGCGGGAAGTGACCCTCTACGTTTCCCCCTCTTCGGCAAACGGCGTCAATGCACAATTCGAGAAAAGTATAGAATCCTTCACTCGAGAGCAAATAATGTCATCTTGGGCATATGTAAGTAACATCTGATATCCATAGTCACAATAGAACTTAGACACATGTCCTAGCACTGCACCTAGCAGGAACTAACCCATTCGCTTAAAGCCTATCCTTATATCACATAGGCAAGGTGATATGAATGGAATTCTAAGATAAAGTAGAAATATTCATTAAGCAGGTCGAGATTATGTTCTCTAGCCTTGACCCGTGCTGCCTTTTTAACTAGCCTTCACATGCAAGAGCACGATTAATGTTAGACTTTCTTGCTTGGTTGTCAAACTCATCACAAAGAAAAGTCGCCACATTATAAAGGTATAGGGTAAGCTTTCGAGCAGGTGATCATAAAGGGATTCTAGCATAACTAGACTGATGCTTCGTGGCCTACCACCTTTATTAAGAGGTGCTTTGACGCTACCGAACTTTCGTATATTACAAGAGATTCTTAAGATAACACGCTTACTGCAGCTAGCAGCCTGTACCATCTACGATACAGATAGTTCCCAACTGCGGATCATGTCGTGGATTAGCTCACACTTTGAAGAGGCTAATTGGTCGCAATACAGTACTTCCGGAAATCGGTGTCACCACCTACACTGTTGGATTGTTTATCGAACCCTAGTGCCAAGATCTACTATATTTAGAATAGCTCCGGAATAGCAATATTCTTGTATCGTTGTGGATACAATATTGTACTCTAACTATTTCATGACTCTGGGCTCATAACTGTATGGGCAATATTTAATAAGCCCCGCATTAGCCTCACATTCGCCATAGCCTTCCCCGCTCTCGCCGAAATAGCAGAACTGGTCTTATTCCGTTCGCAATCAGCTGATCTCTCAAGGCAGGGTATTCTCTCCTAATTGAATTTGTCTTTTGATAGGACAGCTCGATACTAGAAAGTACCGTTTCGTCAACAAGACAAACACCACTATGGACGTTGTAGCTTCTGCTCAAGCTGCCGCAGCGCTAGCTGGCATGTTTCTCGAAATTGTGCAGGTTACGAAACATGCTATCGAAACGATGAAAGGAGCACGAACCGCTCTAGTGGAAATGTTCACTCGCGCAGAACGCATCCGTCTAAACCTGGAGCTCTTCCGCGCGCTCACTAACCGACTTTCTGACCCTACGGAGAAAAATACTGCCCTTTCATTTAATGAGAGTGCATATAGGCAGACTGCCAGCGAGGTGCTCGAGCTGGTGCGCAAGGTTGCTGATTCGGCCAAACATCACGACTTCGTTATGAAAGTCAACTGGTTGTTCTACAGATCAGATGTGGCCGCGCTTGTGAAGAAATTAGAGGAGAGAGAGAGGGATCTGGGACTCGTATTAACTTTCATTGCTGCGTACGTATTGGTTGCCCTTTTGATTTTGATAATTCGTTATGAGATTATGAGACGAGTATAACCCTGGATGGCTTTTCCGGCTATGAACACTACTGAATGAAACTATCTTTCTAGGCAATCGAGTGTCGTTACTGAGAGCGAAGTACTCGCTCTGAGAACCAGAGTCGAGGAGCGCACGAAGGTCAGCGATACCTTTAGTAATGTTCTTCAGGGGGAAGGCACCCAGATTGCATTAGATAGTAGAAATAGCGACGACGAACAAGTGTTATCTGAAGAGCTGAGGCCAATGGCTGGGTGGACCAACATCGTCACAGCCCCTCCTCAAACGCCGCCTACTCTGTGGCCTGGAGTTCTGATCAGGGAGTCCTTTACTCCAGCCTATCTCGAAAAACGAGATAAACTAGCTGAAGCATCATACTTGGGCGACTGGGCGACTGTGTTGAAAACCGTCGATGAAGGGAAGAAGATCTTCAATGAGTCATGGCCCAATACCGTTCGGCTTCGTATGTACCGCGAGCTATCGAAGTCTATACGAAATAAACTCACTAATTCACAGAACCAACCAAGAATTATCTTGGACTGTCTCTCTGGACCCCGCTCCATCAAGCTGCCTATATGCGAGCTCCTGTTGGCGTTATCTCACAGCTGGTTGGACATGGAGCCTTTCGTACGAATATTCCGTCTATTTTTTCGAGACCAATGAGTTGGCATGCTGAGATCATTCTACTAATATGATACCTTATCGACTAGGAACCCTTCCGACTAGTCAGACAAAAGGTGAATTTCAATTCCCAGATCTCACCGCCGTTGAAATTGCCCGCGAGCTTGGATACGACGATATATATAGCATCTTGGCCCCCGTAGTCAGACATGCTTTGCCTGCCGTAACCATGACTTTCCTCCAAGCAAAATTCCATGAACTCCTCCAGGCGGAGCTACAGGAATGCGGACCCTTGTCCCATAAGGGTATACGTCTGCCGCCGTTGGCTGCATTGACAGAGCTAGAACGCCCGGAGATGTGGTTTCCTCTTGCGTTGTTTCGGAAGGTAAGTGTTGTTTTCGGGGTGAGGCTTATTGATAGGGATGAGAGCCTAATTGTTTCTGGTAGGCATTTCTGTTTCGTCTAGATGGAAGAGAGTTGGTGGTGCTTAGTCTTGGACGTAGACAGTCGCCGTCAAGGCAGGTCTTTCGTATCACGACTGAGGGATGGACTGCAATTCATGACGCCATCATTATAGGCTAATAAAGAGATGATAGTTGACAAGTCATTCTTTCGAATAAAGAGTCTAGAAGTCTCTTAGCTCAACGAGTCAGGGCCGCTCTACCACCACGCGAGCCCGGATAAGCAGGCTGAGTGTGCAATAGCCAGGAGTAGGCAGTGGGTTGAGAATCACGGCTGCGTCGTGCGATCGCTGTATATACCACTTTCAGATGTGCTACTGCATAGAGGTATTGGGTCGCCCTGATCCGCCTGTAAGTTTCTGTATTTTCGTTGGACTTGATTCCAGCCCTGGTTACAGATGTCCAAATCACATTGTTATTGTTCCGGTTGACGGTGCCGACAATCTACGATAAAGGTATAAATCCGGCTTCTCAAGCGATTATCGCACAAGGCTTCCAACATGGTCGGTGCGAAGCTTCGTGGCTGTCTAGCTTTGATGGACGGAGCTTTGATGGTACCGAATAGCCGTAGATAGAACGGATCCTGATGATTGCGCGCTTGCTGTAGCCAGCAGCTTTAGCCATCTGGGAGATAGTCCGTTCGCCACTGATTATTATATCATGGATAAGCTCAAGCGTAGATTTAGCTTGTTTCGATGGCATAGTTCATTGCGCTACTTGTGCGGTCAGCCGTCAATGAAAGAGAGGGAGTTGGGAATATTGGACGTGGTGCATCGCCGAGGTAGCGCTATGACACGTGATAAAAACAGTCACAGTTTAAAACAATAAACCGGTAATGTACGGTACCACGACGAAAATCGGGCGTGTTCTGATACTATGCTAATAATAGACTAGTGTTCCTTTGTACTAGGTTTGAGAAACAATGAAAGAGTGTAGGTGGTGACCCCGATTTCCGGAAGTTCTGTATCTAGTGTTAACACTGGTGGTTAATGAAAGATCTGCGCGTACTAAGGGAATATGGTTTTCGAAATAGGATTACGAAGTGCAACTGTACACTGTGTGTAAGAAAAAATAGTGACGGCGCTATTCCCGAGAGGGGTTCAGCGCCCGAGAGGGGTTCAGCGCCCGAGAACGCTACACTACTGGGAGAGGGAAAGGGGTATGGCACACCAGTCTGGCGGTGGTGGGCGGCAGGACGGCAGTGCAATGGGAGCAAAAATTGGCGCCCGCCGGTAGAATTCGAAATAGAATACAACATGAAATGTTGTACTTCCACCGATCTCATCCTCAGCGTTCGATATCCTTTATTTATGTGCATCTTGGGGGTCTTATCTATCCTTCGGTGTTCATGCTGCTGACACAGATAGCGATATTCAAAAACTAGGCTAGAAGTAGAGTGCCAAGTTCGTATTCGTAGCCGGCTCCAGGCACCCCACCCCCAATAAATCGCCTGAAAAATCCACCATTCACAACGCAGAGACTAGCCTCCCTCGTACATTCGGTGCAGGGTAGCCCCTCTATTTAAGGAGGTAGAAGTGCGCAATGGTAATTCTTCAGATCATGGCGCGACGGGCCAAAATGCGGTCTTGCCTCAATATCCAGCGGCCTAGTCTCATGTCGCGTGAGTCTGTAGAACCGAATGAAACATTATTATTGCTACCGAGGATCCGAAGGCAGCCAGACCTGCTTATTTTAATTTCCATTTTCGTTGTCAAATGACCTAAAGACTGGCCGCTTTCCCCGATAGGCTGGCTCCCCACCCTACATGGCGCACTAGAAGCATCCACTCAGAGGCTATAACAACCGCCACATCGTGCGCATTGCTTAACAAGCCGAGACAACCCACCAAGACTTTTTTGCCGAGAAAAAAATAATTTCCCAGTTTATTGACCCTCGTCGATTTGATCTTGTCACAAAACATGTGTACATTTGCCTGATAATAGAAAAATGCATCTTCTCTGCCATCTGCACAATCTCCAACGATCCAAGGGGCAGGGCAGACCCTGCGCCTAATAATGCACCGTCTTCACCACGGTGTAGATATGACCAACGGAAGCACTGCGCCAAGACCCGTTTAAACGAGTGGCAGAAAGACGCCAACAAGTTCATGGCAGTGTCAGCCACGACTAAAATAGTGCTTTGGTACGCCAAGAGCTGATTGCTAGTTCGTGGGGGACTCGTAATCCTGATAGGGGTGCTTGCTTTTGCCTCTCAAAGTTAAATAATTTGGGCCTAAGCCCACAAATTTTGTTGTTCGAGATAGATATCTCTCAGAGACTCTAAGTCATGCTGTGAAGGCGTTACTTCGTGCTTTGCGACAGATATCTTGAATCCCCAGTTGATACCGATTTCAGACTGCCTAAGGCTTCTCACAAAGATACTGACAATTGTGTGAACTCCGGGGTGAGCCTTGTCTCAGCCTCCTTGGCATTTCCCCCTTTAAAGGTCTGGTTTGCCTCTGTTTACTGTTTCGTGTCATTCGTTTCTTCTCTTTTATTGCATCTCAATAAGCTTTTATCCCTCCTCTATGAAATGAAGGCGTCTGTCTGTCTTTGAATATGATAGACTGGGCATACTGCTTTGTTTTCATCTGCGGCGTTACAGCATTTTCGGCATTCGAAGATGCCGACTTGGTCTCATATGTGACTGTGAGTATGTTGACAAGGCGCACAAAGTATGAAAATAACATCTTCGCCAGCAACCCCAACTCCGAGCCCTCAAATGGAACATTTCATACTATGACCGCCCTGCTGTCGATCCAGGATATTGGTTTGTTGCGCCTTACTTTACCAATGGAGGTGAACCTAAAAGCAATCGCTGGCAACCCTGCCAAATTGGACCGTATATCTTTGATCAAGATGGAGTACGTATCTTCGTTTACACAACGTACTAGTATTTATCTAGGCATGATACTAATACCGTTGAAGGAACTAGTCTGGGCAGGTTGTGACTTCGATAACAACAATGTGTGGGACTTTCGTGTGGTAGATACCATGGGAAATACTCCACATCTGAGTCTGATTCTACAACAAGAATATGGCGTCGATGATGCCAAAAGCTCCGCTGTTATCTACGATAATTCCTATATGATCACAAACGAGATCCCTGGCCCTCTCGATGACCTGGACACACACGAACTCTATGTGCAGACCCCCCGAAAAGCCCTTGCGTTGGTGCACAAACGTGAGCAGAGAAGCCTGCGCGACTTGGGAGATGCAAATGGGACAGTGGAGGTTCAAACAGGTGGATTCATGGAATTCAATATTGAAACAGGCGACATATTGTATTCTTGGTATGGAACTGAGGAAGTGACTCTGGACGAGTCCTATCTCATGGGGCCTGACGTGGAACATCCGGACACCGACTACATGCATCTCAATTCCATCGACAAGAATGGCGATGACTATTTAATATCGGCCCGACATACCAACACCGTTTATTTAATTTCCGGTAAGACCGGGCGCATAATTTGGCGCCTAGGTGGGAAGAAGAATGATTTTGAGATGGACTTTAAATTCTCGCGGCAGCATCATGCCAAGTTCATCTCTTCAAACAATACCCACACCGTGATATCCCTACTTGACAATGGAGCCGACCTTGTCACGGATGATGAGAAGACTTCATCTGCCGTGTATATCGAGCTGGATCTCGTTGGCATGAAAGCGAAATTGTTGAATCGCTACGTGCGCCCCGATGGAGGTCTAAGTCGGCGCCGAGGAAACATGCAAACTCTTCCGAACAACAATGTTCTAGTCTGCTGGAGTGCTGGAGGCTACATGAGCGAATTTTCACATGATGGAAAGCTCCTCATGGATGCTAAATTTGCATCTGACAGATTTTCTACATACCGAGCGTATAAATTTGACTGGTGGAGCCAACCTGCAAAACCACCAACGCTCACTGCGGCTTGGTATGGCGTCAAGGGATCTGAGTACTCAACCGTGTTCCATGTCAGCTGGAATGGAGCTACGGACGTCAAATACTGGCGTTTCTTCGCACAGGCAGGCAACACCACGCGAAAACAAGAAATTCAGACTGTCCCTAAAACTCGCTTTGAGACAACATTTATCTCGCGAGGTTATCTGGACTGGGTCTCGGTGGAGGCGCTGGACTCAAAAAAGCGTGTTCTCGATTCGTCTCCTGTTGTCCGAAGCTCGCCTCCAGAATATTGGCAGGGAGATGAGTTTCCAGCTCCAGATGATCCTAAAGGAGGTGGGTTGGGAAATTTAACAGTGGCCGGTGTTTCTGTCGCATTTTTCATGGCTGGAATTTTGACCAGCGGAGGCTGCTGCGCCCTGTTCCTACTCTTTCCAGTCATTCGACAATATTATCGACAACGATATTCGAAAGTGCGACAAGACAGCTCCTCGGATTTTTCGGACCCGGAAGACGAAGAGCTGTTAAAGCCTGGGGAAGCTTAGCGATCTCGTGAACTGTTTGTTTCATGTCACTACACGATTGAAGCGTGACTCCTTTTTATACCCATGTTTTTAGTTCAACCACATAATTGTAAATATAATATGTTCTCAATAACCTTTCACACCAGACCTTCGTTTTATGCGTGGGTTGAACCTTTAGGCTTCCTCCACTCAGAAGAATTAAGGCAGCTTGCCTCGATTGGAGTACTGCACAGAAGATTTCCAGACACCTCTGACACCTTTTACAATTGCATGTCTTCCATCGTAGAGCGGGAAGACCACAACGGCTCCAAATGCCCCAAATTGCCAAATGATGGCCACCGTTGTCCAGCCGGAGAAAAATGACTTCGTAAATATGTAGTCGCGGTATAGTGGAAGGGGCCAGGCGACAAATGTGATGAGAACAACAATGGCAAAGATTATTATGGCAATCTTTAGCCATCGATACAGCTCCTTCAAAGTTTCTTGGTCAAATGGATGCTGAATATCGTCGAGGCTAGTTAGAATTGTTAATGGAGCCGGCACAGGAGTTTTCTCGCCGAGTGCACCAGTATTTTCAAGGTCAATGGCTTTTGTAGGTTCTGACTGCTTGCTATCAGGCAATGGCTTGATAGAGCCAGCCTCTGACGAAGATTGCTCTTCCTGCTCTTGCTCCTTAGGATCATTGAGAGTGCTCGTGTCTGACCCTGCATGAAGTTGAGCTTCATCCGCCAGTTCAATGCGCAAAAACTCGCGCCAATCAAATCTATAAGGTTTATAAAGCGACAGTACGACGGAGTATAGGCCGGGCGCGAAAAAAGATGCGATGGCTGCATAGAGAGCTGGATACTCGTTTGAGGTGGTATCGATATTGATGGCACCATACATGGACTTCGCAGTTGCAAGCCAGACGGCCAGGCCTGTGAAGAACCCGAGGACAGGGGCAACAATTGCAGCCAAGCGAGTTTGGCGTGACCAAAACAAGGTGAGCACTAGGGGTATGATACCAGGGCACGAGATAACAGGCCGCAAGTAGTTGATCCAAGTCATGTTGGCGCCTCCGTAATTCATAGCAATTGAAATGCCACTGATAAACACACCATGAATGACGACTGTCAAGTGACTCACTCGGACGAGCCTTTTGTCGGTCACCTGTGGATTGAGGTATGTTTTGTAGACATCGTAGGAGAGAATGCTGCTCACGGCAATCAAAGACGAGGAAACCGTGCTGGTAAGAGCCATGAAAAGGAGGAAAAAGAAGCCAATGATTCCTCCATCTCCGATGAGAGCCTTCAGAGTATAGGGCATGACCATGCCCATATTGACCTCGGTGACACTAAGCGTACCAGGATAGGTTGGAAATATTGGCGTATTGTGGATCGCTCGAGTTGCCAACCCAATGACGGTGCCTAGTCCCCATGGTATCCCAAACACCGCTATCGCAGCAATAATGTAGCCGGGGACTGTGGCCCGAACTTCTGTTGCAAATGACTTCTGCCAGAACGCGGTGTCCTATTCGTGATGCGTCAGCTATGGCCCTGAGGACATTTGGATTCAAGAACCTCACCATAACAACGAGGGCCAGGTTCCCGAATTTCAGGATCAGCCCCCAAATGATGGCACCCTTTGACTTGAAAGTGAGAAGTGATCCCTCGTAGTTCCCGGCAACATAATTATCGCTTGCTGTAGCAACAATCTTGTCGTAAAGGCCACCAAGTCCCCCAACTTTCGAGTTGGTTAAGACGGCAAGAGTGAAATAGATAATGAGAATTAAAGCAATCGCGGTGTGTAAGAAATCAGTCAGGAATGTGGCTTTGAGACCACCCACTGCGGTATAGAGTACAACTATAAAGTCTCAGGCCATGGCCTTGGTAAAATGTGAATTGTACAAGCTTACCTCCAAGTGGAATGAGAATAGTTGCCGCGACAAAGTTCATCCCGGAAACTCCATAGATAAGCTGTGAGCCTGTCATGATCATTGAGGCGCATCCAAAAACGTTGTTCACCAGATTGAGTCCGATAAACGTTAGATGGGCAATCCGACCATATCGCATTCGCACGATTTCAAGTGATGTATGCGCGTATGGAACTCGAATTTTCGCCATGACACCCAGAGCGGCCATTAATACAATTTGGAAGCAGAGACCAGATCCCCACCACTTTGTTTTTGTGTTAGCCGGTCCGAGGACATAAATCACAACGTTTTGCATACCAGAGGAAGCGCCAACCCATAACGATAGGTCATCGCGGCCGCCAACACCGTTTCATTGATCCACATCCATGATGAGAAAACGGCAGAAGCTGTCAAGCCCGTACCGACAGATCGGTTTGCAACCATAAACATCTCGCTTTTCCCGGAATCTTCTGACAGATAGGCCTTCTGTACTCGAATTGCGACGAGAATTACACCGCAGAAAAGAACTCCAAGTCCAATGAGGAGGCCATAGGCTGCTCCCTGTGGAATAAGGGCCAATCTGGCCGTATCTATTGTGTTGGACATTGTCTGTGCGGCCAAGAGAGCTCACTATCCCGAGCTGGTGGGTAAAATATTTATTGACTCCAAAAGTCCATTGCATTTTAGTTATTTAACCTTGCAGCTGCGTCAGACCAATGCATAGTTGAGTCTACTCGGTAGTTGCGTGCAACAATCAGACTGCCATGTGGTCGGTGCTTCTTACGTCGACTGTAGCCCCAATTGCGTTATGCGAATACAAAAGCGAACCAACAGGTCTAGGCACAGCGTTTTTGAAAAGCCAAAAAGGTGATAATAACATGCAAACGGGTTGCAAACAGAAATCCCCACGAATAATAGGTGGACATGAGGGGGATTGTGTCAGTATTGCGTGTAATCATAAAGCGATGGCGAACAACCGACTCCCTATCACGAACCAACAAAAGGACATAGCGCTGCTCCACAACGGCATCAAACGAGGTTATGGCATCATGTATCGGCCGATAGAAATATTTGACATCCTTCAGGACAATGACGGGATGAGGCTGATGATAAACGGAGGAGTTGTCCATACAGGTTGGCATGACCTTGAATTCCGACTCAGTGACATGAAGACTCTTAGCATAACCATTTCAAACTGACAATCGTTATCCAGCTCGATTTTTCTTAGCTTCAGTTTGATCTGGTTATAAGGTAAGTCGTCTGGGGTGCACCTCTCCTCTACTTCAAACCAACTTGGCCATCAATCCCTATGCAGTGGAATCAATTTGCATTTATTCTTCCATGGGGACAATGTGTGATAGTAGGTACTACAAATCATTAAAAACGTCGAAGAGATTTCCTGGTCGATAATATAGCATTCCACAAAAGGAAGGATATACACCAGAATATGCCCCAAACCCACACTTATAAATGCTGATCCAAGACCCAGTTTGAGCGCTAATGCCGTGGTGAATAAGAGCAAGTTGTTGGAATGGAAGCATTGTCTCTGGATTATAGTCCTCTTTGCCATGGTAGCTTGCTTCATATAATGCCTACCTGTGGCTATAAAGGGCATTTGCAATGGTTTTCTCGTCGCATTCACGCAGATTGAAATCATGCCGACGACATCATAACGTAGCCAACCCCGTCAATCTTGTCGATATTACAGAGGTGAGGTCATGGTGCTCATCACTTCTTCTGTCAAGATCCAATATTCTATATGCTTTCCCCCGAACGTCATAGTATGCGGCCCAATAATACCGCTAGCGCTGCTATTAACCAGTCGAGACCAACAATGGCAAGACTGCTCAGAATACTGACACAATTCCCGACAACCTATAACCTTAATCGACCTACAAAGTCCACGAAAGCCGATGCAAATGGAATCGCATAGACGCTCCTTTTCATTCTCCTTTCCATTTTACTGGAATACGAGCACCTCCACGTTTCGTGGAATATCAAAACCAGGCGGAAGACTCTCGACCAGATGATGCTCATTCGGTGGTTGACGCAATGTTTCTTATATTGCATCGTCGGACGCGCAAGTTGAAACTGAATCCGGCAGGCATCGCATTGTTATTGACTAGTGAGACAATCTCCTGTATTGTGCACCGCGGTAATGCAGCAAGATACGCAGCAGTAACGACTACAGGAAAATCGCCAACATTTGGGATAGCCAGAAGTAAAACTCGTTCATTGTAGGTTTTTTTTTATGACGCGTCTTCCATCTCGGGCTTCTTGATCCTTTTTGCTCTGCTCACGCTCTAATCGCCACACCCCTTGAGGATTCTCGCGGGCGATGTCGAAGGCCGTCCTCCCGTTCATGTCCTTCGCCATCGCATCCAGCCTCTTGTCCTGAAGCACTTTGAACCATGAATAGGCACGATAAGAGTCGAGCCTCGCGACTTGATGTACCAGGGTCTGCCCCGAGGTATCTGTATCCGTAAGGTTGTAGCCATTCCCTTCGAATATTTCAAGAGCTTCCTTACAAATTGCATACTTTTCAGGACCAGCACTACGGTTACCAGATCCCTTACACGTTCTTAAGAAAATGTCAAAGTCTGCTCGTTCGAATTCGAATTCCTCAACGCTGGGCTCTTCTGAAAAAAAAACCCCCGTCCTTGGAAGATATGGATAGTCTGACAAAATAATGCATACGGGTTTGCACCGCGTTGAAACAAAGCAGTCTCCATACGTTTTAGCGTTTGCCTTTACTTAACTCCAGCACCACAAGTATAGACATCCGCAGCGATACAGAGAAGTGGAGGTGCTTGGTTGAGATCCAAGTGAAATATTGAGGGACTTGCGTTCTTTTCCGGACTGCACCAGTCCTCTGCTATGCCGGAGAAAATGGATGATAGTCGACTCCGGCGGCCAGAAGTGATTCTACCCGGGCTATAGACCCCATGAAAGCCGCATACCAAAGGTCCAGAGCGACGAAGTTCCGCACTTTGGGTGGCGGCATGCTGATCGTTGCCCATGCACTGAGATCGGTTTTGTCGGTTTCGCTGCCAAGATTGACTCTGTACTGGCTCTCTCCGCCCTTGCTTAGCGTGGGCGATGGGCTTGACGAAAGCCAGTAGTGAGTCAGGCTACAGTACTTCCGGAAATCGGTGTCCTCCCTATTCCCAGAGCCAAGAAACACGACTATTTTGGTAATAATCCAATAGTATCACATAAAATACCGAGTTGTTGTATAATACTGGCCTATATTTGTCACAGTCAGAGCTGACCATCAGCATTCCCAATACTCCCAGGGCATGATGTAATACCAGATGGTCAAGATGCCATTTTCGGGGCTTTTCAGCTAACCTAATTGCTGCATGACCCCTCATGGCGCTACATGTACTACCAAAATGAAAGAAAATTGTCCCATACTTGGCCATATGGTGAAAGCTGCCACCTTGCATATTCTTTTAAAGTTCCATCTATGGCAACATGTACATAGCAGGAGTGGTAGCACTTAATGGATATATAAAGGCACGCCAAAGTCGCCACCTTTGGCATACGCCCCATAATCTTGTATATATTTGAATAAGTTAGCTCTAACGACATTTTATCATGACAGTCACCTTATTTTCCGATTCAGACCATAAGGGTGGCATTCACGAATCGGTATCCACCGTCCGAGATGTCACAAAGTCATCATTCTCCTCTGAGGGAGAGATCGCACCTCTGGGAGAAGTTGAACAAGAACGCCGGTTTTGGTTCCAGCGGAGAAAACACTTTAACCCCGACGCAATAGCAACCCAGCCCTCGGTCTACGATGATCCAAACGTGGCAAAGGCATATCAGCCTAGAGCAGACTGGGAAAACCTCCATCGATTCGATCCGTCCGCCCGATGGACATGGAGTGAGGAGTATCGGTTGGTTCAAAAGATTGATGTTCGGATTATGGTCTTTGCATGCATCATGTTCATGGCTTTGGAGCTGGATCGGTCCAATCTTCAACAGGCACTGACCGACAACTTTCTCGAGGATTTGCACATGACAACCGACGGTATTGTGAAAACCTTATCATTTGCCCAAAGTAGCACGATTACTGAATCATCTCGCTTTCAGATTACAATCTTGGAATGACGGTGTTTCGACTCTCGTTCCTTTGTGCCGAACTGCCCTCTCAACTTGTCAGTAAATGGGTAGGCCCAGACAGGTGGATCCCTACGCAAATGGTGATCTGGTCGGCGGTCGCCATGGCGCAGTACGGACTGAGTGGACGAACGGCTTTCCTTGTGTGTAGAGCACTGCTTGGGATCCTACAAGGAGGGTTTATTCCTGACGTAAGTTGCAGCAATGCGATGACGAAACGGAGTAACTGTCGCTCACAAAGGTTTTAGGTAATTTTATACCTTTCGTACTTCTACAAGCATTTTGAACTGTCTTTGCGACTTGGGTTCTTCTGGACAGCCATGAATTTTGCGGATATCCTTGCTAGCTTCTTAGCATTTGGTATATTGCATCTTCGTGGCGTCCAAGGCCAAGCTGGATGGCGTTGGCTTTTCTTGCTGGAGGTAGGCGAGCAAGATTTCCACTAGGACCAAAACATGAATCTCACTTCAGGGCTAGGGAATTATCACGTTGCTTGTCGGACTGTCGGCATATGTTCTAATGCCCCCAGGGCCGTGTCAAACGGCCAACTGGTCACGGGGCAAGTCGGGCTGGTTTACCCCACGGTGAGTCATTTTTTACTTCTATTTTCCCAATACTGAGGAGACTGATTCTCTGTAGGGAAGAAACCATTATCGTGAACCGGGTGATCCGTGATGATCCCAGCAAAGGCAGCATGCATAACCGAGAACCCATCACCCCGAAGCTGCTTTGGAAGAGCCTGCTTGACTATGATCTATGGCCGCTGTATATCATTGGGCTCACATTTGAAACTCCAATGACAACTCCGAAGCAGTATCTCACGCTAATACTGAAGGGCCTAGGATTTGGGACTTTTGCTACCAACCTCTTGACCATCCCTAGTCAAGTACTTTCCATGATAACGATGCTCACCATAACCTACATATCCGAGGTTACCGGACAACTAACCCTGGTGTCCGTGATGGGTCAAATCTGGGCACTACCATTTGTGGTATATTTGTATGTGGTCGACATTAACACTGCGAACAAATGGTCTGCGTGGGCGGTGATGACTCTTCTCTTGGGATACCCAAATTGTGAGGCCAGTCCATAAAAAGATCTGGAATCAACAGTATCTGACAAGATATACAGCACATGCAATCCAGGTCGGATGGAACTCTCGGAATTCTAACACCGTTCGGTCTCGTACAGTCTCGGCTGCAATGTATAATATGTGCGTCCAGGCCTCGTCAATTATCGCCGCAAATATCTATCAGGCCGGTAAGTGCTTCGTTCTAAGGTCCTTCTGTTTTTTCCTAATCCGACTTAGATGATGCTCCTCGCTATCGAAGAGGCAACCGGGTTTTGGTGGCACTCGTGGTAACAAACATTTTTATTTACATTTTTACTAAGATCTACTATGTCTTCCGCAATGCGAAACGGAAGCAGAAGTGGGGTTCCATGTCTGAGGAAGAGAAGGCGCATTACGTGGAAACCACCAAGGATGAGGGAAACAAACGGCTAGACTTTCGGTTGGCAAATTGAGGAGTATTACCAAGTTGGTCAGGAATCCTGGACATCAACTCTTCCCGTTTCCGCGTGTGCCGTGATCCGTTTCAGACTTCTACCATTTGCTATGCATTCTGCATGTCGTGCTTAGAGCGTTGGTACACATGCAATATGCCCCGCTTCCGTTTATGGATGTCATCAGCAAGGGAGTCAAATTGTTTAATGCAGATAATTTCAATGGTCACATTTTATACAGTTACCCGCCTCGTAATAGCGCAGCATCGCGCAACTTCTAGTCTGTATCGTGCCATCATCCCCGTTCCACTGAATGTAAGTTGATTACATCCAGGCCTTTCATGAGCGAATATTTCACTTTTTTTTGTGATTGATTGCGAATAAAAGCCACTTCTCACAAAGCACCCAGAACTTTTGTTGTCCAACCACAGCAACAGACATCAGAAGGTGTGCTTTGACGAAGAATGTGCGACATCTGTATACATTCATCTAAAGCGGGGTTGCGACCAAATGTGGCCAGGACACTGTGGTCGAGGACGGATATCGGCATCAAATCTCAGGTAAGTCTTGACGGAGTAAGAGTATAAAATGAACACCCTTCCTCCAGCTTTCCTAAACATTCCTTAGTTTCAAGATCTATATCCTCTGAATAGTTAGTACATACCTCTTCATAATTATGGCTCCCTCTGTCACTGAGGCCACGGTGCCTGCAGTCCATACTGCAGAAGGCAAGCTCCCTTTGAAAGGCGCTGAGCGAGTGCCTTTAAAACTGAATGGTGCTCTGGATGCCTTTGAGTCATTCGATGTCACTCCAATTATTGGACGCGAGTTTCCCAACGCTAGCCTGAAGGACTTCCTGCGTGCTCCGAACTCCGATGAACTGCTTCGAGATCTTGCAATTACTGGTCAGTGCTAATGTCTCATAATGATTCTAGGCTAATAATATTCCAGTGTCCCAGCGAGGGGTGGTCTTCTTTCGAAAGCAGGATGGCTTGGACGACGATTTGCAGAAAGAACTGGCTCAGCGACTTGGAGAGCTGTCGGGTAAACCGCGAACTTCCGGGCTACATATTCATCCAGTTGCAAATTCAGGCCGGGAACACAGTGTCAAGGATGATGAAATCAGCGTGATCAGCTCCCAGCTGCGGCAGAAGCTGTACTCATACCGTAATACTCGCAAACAGACTGCTAGAAAGGAGTGGCATAGCGATATCACTTTTGAGCCCATTCCGAGCGACTACACAATCTTGCGTTTGACAGAGCTCCCTAAGACTGGTGGTGGTAAGCATGAGACATCTCTCATATGATTTGCAAAACTCACGCATTATTCCAGATACTTTGTGGGCTTCTGGCTACGAGGTATATGACCGCCTCTCGCCGCCGTATCAGAAATTTCTAGAAGGGTTGACTGCAACGTATGCGCAGCCTCGTTTCAACCAGGTGGCCAAAGAGAGCGGCTTCGAGATTTATAGCGGCCCTCGTGGTGCCCCGGAGAATGCCGGGGAAGAGCTGCGCGCGGAACACCCAGTGATCCGCACCAACCCTGTTACAGGATGGAAAAGTGTCTTCGCCGTGGGCAGCCATGTTGAGAAAGTCAATGAAGTGACTGAGGAAGAGAGCAGACATCTCCTCGATTGGTTTGTAAACTTGATCGTTGAGAATCATGATCTGCAAGTGCGCTATCGTTGGCAAAATCCCAATGATCTCGGTATGTTTATCTTAGACTTAAGTTTGCAGACTGCTTATATCTGACATATTTGATAGCGATCTGGGATAATAGGTCGGTATATCACGCAGCGACCTGGGACTATGAAGAGATTGGTCCGCGAACTGGCCACCGCGCTGTCGGTCTTGGAGAAAGGCCATATTTGGACCCAAAGAGCACTGGAAGACGAGAAGCACTGGAGAAAGGTGAATGAAGCCTTATCCTCACCATTCACGCCATTTCCGAAGTATGGCTTGCTGTTTCGGTGAATGGAAAGAGTGCACGCCAGCGATTATTTTGCTTGATATCTCATTGCATTTTAGAACAGTTTTCACTCATTCAGTTACAATACAACCGTTCTTGGCCTCCATAATTCAGAGTAGTGTATACAGAATCAAGCCGCTGGTCAGCTCCGAGTGCGACACCCACTCAAATATATAATTTATCCCTGTAAAACCCTCCTTTCACCTTGAGATCTAATGCCCCAAAGCAGAAACTGGGTGGGCGCATAGTTAATCAAACATTCAAGAGTAGAAAGCGTACATCAACGCCAAGATATCCCGATCGACAGAGCTAGATACGGAGCTGTCGGAAGCTAAGATGTAGATCGGGCCACGAGGCCCAAACTGTGGACCGTAGCACCGCTTACCCGAGCCATATTACGATTGCCTCGTAGGTTGGCGTGTCGGCTGCTTCGTGTGACGAGACAGCTTGCAAAGATGAACGTTAGCGATGCAACAAAAACTGAAACGGCATCCCAAATTAAACTGGCGATTCCACGCGTGAAACCGGGCCTGATCCAGAGTCACTTTGTTTTTACCAAGGGGGAATGCAGATTCCATGGGGGGATCCACGAATAGTGGCCAAGCATTGGTTACCGTAAACATTTGCTTACTGTCCAAGGCCATATGATCCAATGACTCGTCCACCATAACTTTCTCACTGACCGTCACGTTTCTTTTATCACGTACTGCGTCGTTCGGATGACACTGGAGGAAGTCGTTCGCACTCAATTCTGCCCACCATGCAGTTCTATCCCAAGGCGCGCCAGCCCCGGCCCAGCATTCATCATCCCTCGGTTCAGCCGCGTCGAATGTCTGTTCTGAAAGCGACCACCTTCAACCTTCTCCTGCTGCAATTTCTTTTCCTTGGGCTTTTTTGCTATCTGTTCGGATCTCTCTTTCAGCAGACTACACATGTTGCGAACATCAATTTTCTCTTTGTGGACTACGATGGCGGCGCGATCGGCAGTGCGGTTCGAGCTGCGAACCAGCAGCTCAAAAGCCCGGATTTCCCGTCATTGGTTGAGCGATCCGCGCAAGATTATCCGCAGACCACCAAGATCGATCGCGCAGTCTGTGATATCAAATACTGGGCAGCATTATACGTTGTGCCCAATGCCTCAGATCGGCTAACAGCCGCACTTGGGGGTGGCTCAGCTGCTTCTGCGTACAATCAAAGCGACGTTCTCACCATGGTCTGGAACCAGGCGCGTTATCCGACCGTGGCTGACTCCGCTGTTTACGGGAGTCTAGAATCTCTCGCCCAAGCCGCGCGAGTTGCTTACACTCAGGCCGGTGGTAAACGGATCATTCAAGCCCTGAATAGTTCCGATCCTGCTGCCATTAATGTCTTTTCTAATCCCTGGATCTTGTCTTCAATAAATATACAACCGACCACACAAGGATCACGACTTATCTACAACACATTGGTGATCATATTGATACTCATCCAAGAATTCTTTTTCTTGGGTTCCATCAACGGTCTCTACCAGCAGTTTCGACTCTATACGGTTGTGACACCTCATCGAATTGTGATCGCTCGCCTAATCCTTTCGGGTGTCTACACATTTTTGGGTTCCCTGTGTACTACAGGCGCAATCTGGGCTTTCAGACATGGATGGCACGTAAACGGCAGCCAGTTCGTGCTCAACTGGATAACATTGTGGCTCTTCGCACATTTGAACTTTCTGGTTCTCGATGTTTTCAGTATCTGGGTCTCCCCTCCGTTTGTGCCAATGGCACTGATAACCTGGGTTGTACTCAATGTGACCTCGATTCTTCTTCCATTTGAATTATCACCTGGCTTTTATAGATGGGGCTATGCCTTACCTGCGCATAGCGTCTTCCAGGTTCTAATTGACATCTGGTCCAGGGGCTGCAACCCGCAGCTCAACTACGCACTCCCCGTTATGTTTGCCTATGAGGTTGTCGGACTTGTTCTTAGCTCTATCGGCGTGTATCGGCGTGCCCATTACGCTTCAGTTAAGCAGGAAGCGGACGAGAAACAATTTCAAGAGCGGGTCGAGGCAGCAATCGCGGAGCAAGAGGAACTTCGGGTGGCGAGAGAGATAACTAGACAAGGGACTCAGGGAAGTGAGACTGAACAGGAAGAAATGACTGATAGGCAACGACGCGGAACTGTTACGACACTTGAAGACCAAGAGGAGCTGGCGAGCAGAATCCGACGCGATATGTCCCGCCCTGAGGTTGACAGGGCAGTCACAAGGCGCGAAAGCGTCGGTCCCTGTTTTAATATGGCCTTTACAAAATGATCAAGACATCACTATCGTCTACATGTACTATTAGTTCGGTCAAAATAAGCGTTCTGTTTTCTCATTCTCTTCCTCGAGCTCTTGGGTTCTCTTCAGTAAGCCAAGCGAAATCGACGAGCCTTTTGTGCTCAGGTTCTTCTCTATTCCAAATTAATAGGTTGTCTTCGTTAAGATTTTTCTCAGAATGACCTAGTAGAACTTCTTTTTCGAAGAATAAATCGTCGTGGATGCAACGTTGTGATCGCTCGGGTTAATAGAGTCCGGCGTCGCGCGTGTCAATAAACCTTGTTCGTGACATATAATGGTAGCTGGAAGCGCGACCGATAGCAATCCATTTTTCTCCTTTCATCACCAAAGAGATACACATTTGGATGCATTGGATGCCAAAATCTGAATAAGCGCCATGTTGTTGCTAACGACATTTGTCTTGTCATTGTTGTCGACGGCGAGGACCGTCCAATCCTTTTCGCCAAAATCTTTCCATCTTGGCTCTACAACCGCAATTGATGGGTTTGAAGCTTACACTGAAAGCCTTATCACATTGGATGAAAGCAATCCTGTGCTTACCCTCGACTACGGCTCCGAAGTTGGTGGCTTCCCTTTTGTGGAAGTTCAAACCCCTAGCTCAGCCGTCCAAGTTCAGTTAAAATATAGTGAACCGTACGATGGTCTTGAATTGCCCCAAGGTGACGGTCCTTGGTATTACATCCCCCTATTCGTCAATAATTTCCGATGGAGACTGATTATTGTTACAGGCTGTATGTCAATGGACTGATGAATTCTTTTCGCATCGAAACTTTCAATATCACCGAGTCCGGAAAAGTCCAGTCATTCTTTATCCAAGGTGGCTTTCGATGGCAATCTATCATGCTTCTAGGGAACGCGTCTCTCACAATCAGCAAAATTGGAGTTCAACCTTCAGTAGACATCAAAGATCCCGAATCTCTGCCGGGAAGCTTCTCCACTTCTGAGGATATGTACCAAGATGTATGGAACTTGGGCGCACGTGCTGTACAGGCAGCATGCGTGGATGCTGGTTCACAGCCCTCCACCTGGGAAGTGTTTGACCAAGGCACCCTCATCAGAGGACAGTATCCGGCTGTTTCCGCACTGGGTGATGGTTTTGGGAACTACACACTGGATTTCTCCACCAAGATATCTACTGGAGGTACAGGGTGGCGAGTCGCTGGCGGCGCAAACGGTGGCTACGGTCCTTACTTTGTGTTAACCTCCAATCGGCCGGGATTGATCAGTTCCAACGTTACTTCGATCCCACAAAACAGCTTAATTGCAGGATATGGGTTCAGTCTCATAAACCAAGCCATTTTGCCTTCAGCGCCCCCACAGACCTATTCAATCTCGAACATGACGATTGAGGAGGGCACCTGGTACTCCATTAGTACTGTCATCAATTCCACGGGATACACGATCTCTGTGGACGGCCAACAGATCGCCTTTATTGAAAATGGACCTTTTATCAGTTATGTCAGCGGAGCCTGGGGGTCAGGAAGCCTGACTGATGGTACATTTGGCTTTGGGCCTTACCTGAACCAAGAGGCACTTTTCAAGGATGTCAAGGTGACTGCACAAAATGGAAGCGTGATCTACACAAACTCTTTGACGTCAAACGACACACTGGAGGAGTTCGCAATCGCAAGCAACAAATATTCTGTCTGCCTTGATGGTGCCAAGCGAGATCGAGAAATTTGGATCGGCGACTTCGCTCATACTTCGCGTATAATTGCAAGCAGTAGCGGCCGCTTTGACTACATTCAGAGCATGATCGACTTTGAATTCGACTGGCAATATCCACCAGGGCCTGCACATGGTCTTGTACCCATCCAGGCTTACATGGGAGCTGGAAAACAGTATCGTGAGGTTTATTATCCATCAGAGTTCGGAGAAACAGATTACCAATTCTTTTTTCTCCTGGTACTCACGGACTACTTTGCATTGTCTGGCGACAAGGCACTCCTGAGCAAAAATTGGGATGGAATAAAATTGTTAGTTCAGACTCTGGTCGATCGCTACTTCGACCCAGCCTCTGGGCTTATGGCCAGCCCTGATGCCTCCTGGTTTACGGCACAGGGCACCCAAAATGCGACAGCACCAACCGCCCTATTTCTCGTTACCCTCAACCAATTGGTTCATGTTGCCACTGCTTTGAGCGAGTCACAAACTGCAATGTCCTGGACCAAGATGGCGACCCGACTAGGCAATGCCATCAATAATCTCCTGTGGAATGACAACCTAGGCGCCTACAGCTTGTCACTCACTCAGCCCAATGATAGTGCTATACTCGCAACCGCGTTCACGATTCGGGCTGGTATCGCATCTCCTGCACGCGTTGCTAGCAGTATCGCTCGCCTCTCTGACGTCTTTCTGAAAATCGGTTACAAGGACAACTCGGCAGCGAGCGATGCTTCCAGTACGCAATTATCGCCAAACACCCAAGGCTTTTTATTCGAGTCACTTTTCATCGCTCATCTACAATACAATGTGTCCGCGGAGGCAGTTCTACCAGCGATTCGAAACTTGTCTGAAGTCTTTTGGCCCAAGATGGTTACTCAAAATGAGTACTTTACTGGCGCGAGTTGGGAGTACCTATATCAGGATGGTAGTCCAGGGATTGGTATTTTCACAAGTCTAGGTCACCCTTGGGGAGGAGCGCCGACATATATATTCAGTAATTACATTTTGGGCATTCGACCAGAATGGAACAATGCCATGGGAGAATACGAGTGGGTTTTTGATCCTGCATGGGACATTGCCGAGGGGCTTGGTCTTGAGTGGGCAAAGGGTAAGATGCCACTATCCTCGGGAGGGTATATCGAGGCCGAGTGGAAGATATCAGGGGAGGGAGAAAAGACCATGAAGCCATCAATGGCCGCCACAGTTGTTGGAAACAAGAACGTGAAGGTCAACATTAAGAAAAGATCTTGAGTGAAGGAATTGGATATCGAGTCTCTCATAGTGAATTGTCGCTTAGGCTACCGTATCCTCAACAAATGTCGAAAGACGTTTAGTAGCGTTTTTCCTTTTGCATTTTCGCACTTGTTGCATTTGTCCCATCTATTGTCGGGAAGTTCCGAAACATCCCCCGCTTAACTACCACTAAGGTCTCCGAGTCCCCTTTTTCCCGCGCATGGATCACCTTTTTGCGGGGAAAGCCTGCACCTCGGGTTGTTGATCACCGAGCGCATGGGGAAAAAATCAAGCTGTTAATATGTTTCTTAAAGTTTGAAAACAAGTATAAATACATTCCAATATCCGTGAGAGTCTGGTAAACCATAACGCGACTCCAATTCTGTGAGAAGCAGCCATGCATATCAAAAATTCGTTCAAAGACCTTCTAATACCTGCATTTCTGTTGTTCTCTAATTTGAGTGAAGCATGTTGGGGCAATACCACTTGCAATGGGCCACTCGAGGCGTCTTTTCCTGGTCCCTGGGAGAAGAATATGTACTCTCCCGCGACTCGCATGGTTTCCCCCAAAAGGATTCTCAGTGCAAATAACGATTTCTTGAGAGAGTACTCTGGTGCTAGTCATCTTGTGGGCAATGGTTCTCTGCTTATCTTTGACTTCGATCAAGAAGTTGGGGGTTTAGTGACCATCAACTTCAAGACAGTGGGACAAGGTGCCATTGGGCTTGCTTTCACGGAAGCTAAGAACTTCACTGGGTTCATCTCGGATGAAAGTAACGGTGGCTCCGGCCCTGATGGCGCGCTTCTTATCGATGTTTCGTCCGACGAATCGAAAGAAGGAAGTTATACTACACCCCTGAGTAAGCTTCGTGGAGGCTTTCGATATCTCAGCGTGTTTACACTCACAAATAACACCGCTTTCAAAGTTACCCTGGACACTATCAAGGTTGAGCTTGACTTTCAGCCATCTTGGCCGAACTTGAGAGCCTATGGGGGTTACTTTCATTCCAGTGACACCTTGCTCAACCGGATCTGGTACGCGTGTGCGTATACAGTGCAGGCAAACAGCATTCCACCCGTTACTGGTCGAGTTTGGCCCGCGCCATCTGAAGGGTGGCTCAATGACGCCAATCTGGGTCCTGGAGATAGCGTCCTAGTGGACGGAGCAAAACGAGACCGAGCTGTTTGGGCCGGGGATTTAGGGATCTCTATCCCCAGTGCTCTTGTTGGGCTTGGCGACCTCCAAGCCAGCAAAAATGCTCTCAATATACTTTACCTCAATCAGGTAAGTCCTGTTTCTAGTCTCGAAATTTGCTTCAAGTTGAAATACAAGGCTAAGTCACCAATCCTGACAGGCGTCAGATACAGGAGAGTTGCCAGAAGTCGGTCCCCCAATTAATTTCTTTGGGTCTGATACCTACCACATGGCAGCAATGATAGCAACGCACGATTATGTTTTGTACAGCAACGACCTTGCTTATCTTGAATCCATTTGGTCGAACTATACGCAGGCAATGGCTTTCATAACTGCCAAAATTGATGATACTGGACTACTCAATGTTACCGGAGCATCCGGCTGGGGGCGATCCGCCACTGCAGCAGGGTATAGCACTATTGGGAACATGCTTTTGTATGGAACGCTCAAGTCTGGCTCCCGCCTTGCAATCTGGCTCAAACAGCCACAATTGTCAGCCAAATGGGAGCAGATAGCTTTGAAGCTAAAGGCCGCCGTTAATTCTGCAGACTACAATTGGGACCCTGCAGTTGGGTAAGCATAACTTTCACTTTGCTTTTGTGTTTTGATCTTTTGCCTCGGATGCTAATGCCAGCATGCTAAAAGGGCATTCAAAAACAATCCGATGGATAGCAGTATTTTTCCCGAGGATGGAAATAGTATGGCTCTGTTTTTCGACGGTGCCAATTCATCCCACTTCACCAAAATCAGCGACTATCTCACCACGAACTGGGGACCCATTGGCGCAAAGGTCCCTGAGTGTCCTGGGAGTATATCTCCATATGTTGAAAGCTACGAAATCAAGGGTCACCTAAAAGCCGGCAAGGCACAACGTGCTCTGGATCTAATGCGTCTCAGCTGGGGATGGTATCTCAATAACCCAATGGGCACTGGGAGTTCCATTATCGAGGGTTATAACGAAGATGGATCATTTCTCTATACTGCGAATGAAGGTTATGACCAAGTCGGCTCTTATCCATCTCATGCGCACGGGTGGAGTACTGGCCCAGTTGATGCCCTGGTTTCATATGTTGTCGGCCTTCAACCAACTGCTCCGGGGGGAGCAGATTGGACCCTATCCCCACAGACTGGAGACCTGGCTTTTGCCGAAGGTGGATTCACAACACCGCTAGGCAAGTTTTCTGCCAGCTGGCAAACTGGACCTGCCGGGCTTAGTATACAATACGAGGTTCCCAAGGGGACTGCTGGGAAGCTGCAAGTGCAGTTGACGACATCAAAAGAAAGGGTCTTTGTGGACGGGCATGAGTGTGTGATGAAACTATCCGATCATAGCCGGACCTTGTTCGAGACTAATGTGGAGGGTGGAAAACATACAATCCATGTTGAGAAGTAAGGACAGATCGTTCACTGCCCTCCAGCTACGCGAACAATACATTTGGAATAGCTTGGAAAAAGTGAAATGTAATTGAATTCTATTTAAACACAAACGATTCGTTCTAAATTTCGCCCGAAGATAATCACCGGCCCTACGTAAGGGTGAGCTCATCGCCAATGTTTCCGCCGGCCCTCCTCCCCTCCTCCCCCAACTTCTCCGCGCTAGAGTGGGCATCAAAACCACAGCACACTAACAAAAATGAGTAAATCCCTAACATCATGCAAAATTTCCATCAGTTCCTCACTATCACACCGTATCAGCAGCATCCTGGTTATCCTCGGCGAAGTGGGTGAGTTTGATATATGTCTCTGCCTTACTATAACTTTCCCGGATAAGCTCCACTTAATGGGAACATGAAAGATGAACACAATATGCGTATAATGACCGAGGGAATGCCAAAATAATATTCTATATCATCAGACATTTCATAAATCACGGGGTTATCTCTGGCACGAATGCACATTCGCCGATCATCCTTCACAAAGGTTCAAGTCGAAACTTCGTTCTGTATTGAAAAGGAAACTGCGAGCTTGCACGTACAAAACACGTATAAGTTTGAAATATTACCATAAAGCGTTCGCTGAAATGCCGTCGAGTATAAAGACTGTTTCAATGTGCCCACACAAGATCAGCGGAAACTGGCCTTGAAGATTCTTTGATGAAGCTAGCTCGGACTTCCTAGGCTGAGATAGAGATAATCTTTTATCTAACTTATCCTGTGACCACATTGACTGGGGAAGCTCAAGAGCTAGTGAAGGGTGGCACTCTTTGTGAGAGGTCTGCGTTGTTGGAAGATCAGATTCTAATTTTCAATTTATAACGTTCAAAATCTTTTCCACTTTCTTCAAACGTGACGAAGTGACCACGATTTTCATTCCTAAAATAATATAGCTCAGAATACATAATCTAGTAGAAATACATGTGCAGTATCGTCTATAGGGCTGATTCGAATCACGCTGTGACTTGAGCCCTTTAAGTGAGTGCAAGAACACGATGTATATATATTTTGCAATGACGAAATGAAACCGCCCGCCTCCACACAGCTGGACCGATATCAAGTTATTGTGAATCGTACCAAGCGCACATAGAGAAGGGACGCGTAAAGCATGTGGCTTAAGTGCGGTTGAGCAAAAGGGAGTCTTCTTCTCCACGCTCTGGCCGTCGTATATACTGGGGCCTGCAGAATATACACATTCCAGGCACTTTTTTGTATGCCAAAGTTCCCTACACCACTTCCAATATTCTACGTCACAATATAACCATCAAGAGTCACGGCCGTGCTCGATGGATATATTTCCGGGAGTCCTACTGTTTCCTCTCGGATGCATACCGACTTCAAATGTTGGTATCACCGTGGTAGCCAGCCTGAGGGCTGATGAATACGATGTCGCCTTTCGGTCGCGCGACCTTGAAGGGTGAGATGCAGGGTGATAATGATTCTAGAGTTGTATGATCGCCGTGCCGAGTACATACGAAGGAATCTCATGCTCCGGTCCATCCTCCAGAATACGTCGCCCGCCGTTGCACCTGAAGTGCATTGCCAGCTGATAAATGGTGAATGACTTGCAGATTCCGCGGAGTATATACTACATCGGAGAGATGACGGAGTGGCTTAGCATATGGCTGGTCCAGGGACAAACCATTGAGCTTGGTATACTGTTCCGGCCCCGTGGACTGGCTGTCCCCCGGTGACCAGTCAGAAACGTGGAAATTAAGGATCGGCTGTATCTCAAACGCCGCGTGAATCAGCCATGTAGCATCTGACCCAAAGTAGAATCGCTCGTGCGGGGCTCCACCCATGGGGCCCACCAGTGCCGATAATGCAGATGGACGTCAAACCCCTGTGCTAGAATCTTCGAGGAAATTAGTGGTTAGTACCAATTTGACCGGTTACCACTGTGGTCTTCACCGTCTTCTTTCTTAGGTTAAAACTGGGGAAGAGATGTTCATTGTTCCTCGTGACATCCCCATGCCCAAGAATGCTATCTCGAATAGAAAGTATTTCTGGCATGTCCAATCTCGTCAGCTGGCTTGAAACCATCAAGTACCCAAATGTTTGAACAGTGTGACCTGGAATCTATTGAAGGGGGGCCGGGAAGGGCCGTCCAGGGATCTCGAAACTGTTGGTTGAATTTACACTGTAACCTGTCTAAAAATGGGTGCACTTTCCAAATGGGTGCACCGGGTAGATCAGTTCTTTGCCGTGGTAAGACTTTGATCCTTTCGTGAGGTTTTCGTGTTACATTTCCCTCTTTCGAAAGCTTTTAGACATCTATAGAGATGTGACGGTGGCGGTGACCGAGTCAGGCAAGTACAGTCATCTCCGTAGCTGCGCTATACTGTGCCGCGTGCCCTTAGCGCTAGTCATCGAAATGTCACGTCTGCCAGGGAATCTATCGAGGGCCGTCGTGCCTCACGCGGCGAACTGCAACCCTCCTGTGATAGATCTCGACCCTTTGAATGTGACCGTGCGTCTTTAGCACATCCTACCTCTAGTGGATACTTCGGAATGTACTGGCTAAATCCCTGGACTCCATTCACGGGTCCTCTGCACTCAAGAGAACATAAATACAGCTCGATTTCTCGCGGTTCCATCCTTTCTTTTCATCAGCGGACTTCCTCCAACACCGGCTACTCGACTATCTTCACTAGGTTCTTGACGAACCTATCAATTTTTCATTCCTTTGAATACAGAGTTGATCTCTGCCTACTTCTCACTCCTTTTTCAAACCCACTCAATCTTCAACCAAAATGAAGTATTCCGCTATCCTCGCTGGTCTGGGTCTTCTGGCCACCTGTGCGTCGGCTGTGCCCCATAGGATCAGGCACTATCCCCGTGCTGATTCTGGCGCCCAGAATGTTGTCTACTGGGGACAGAATGGTGGCGGCGTTGAGGAAAACAACGACCTGGCCTCGTACTGCAACGGGACTTCGGGCATCGACATCCTTGTCCTGGCCTTCCTGTATCAATACGGCAATGGCAACGACATCGCGTCCGGTATCATTGGACAGTCGTGCTCCATTTCCGGAGGCACTGGCGAGCCCTCGCAATGCGATGAGTTGGCCTCAGCTATCCAGACATGCCAGTCGGCCGGCATCAAGATTATTCTCTCCCTCGGTGGAGCTGTTGGCGCGTACTCGCTGGAGTCCCAGGAAGAGGCCGAAACTATTGGCCAGAACCTTTGGGATGCATACGGCAACTCGGGCAATGGCTCTGTGCCCCGTCCCTTCGGTGATGTCTTCGTGAACGGTTGGGATTTCGATATTGAGGCCTCAAGCGGCAACCAGTACTATCAGTATATGATCAGTACGCTGCGCTCCAACTTTGCTTCCGACCCCGCCAATACCTACTACATCACTGGCGCGCCGCAGTGCCCGATTCCCGAGCCCAACATGCAGGTTATTATCACCAACTCCCAGTTCGACTACCTCTGGGTCCAGTTCTACAACAACCCCGGCTGCTCTGTGAATGGTGCCATCAACTACGACGACTGGGTCGCTAATGTTGCCAACACCCCCTCCGCCAATGCCAAAATCTTTATCGGTGTGCCTGCTGCTCCAGATGGCGCCACCGGCTCGTCCAGCGGTGCTCAATACTACCTCGAGCCAAGCGCCCTGGCAACTTTGGTCGGCAACTACAGCAGCAACCCTGCCTTCGGCGGAATTATGATGTGGGCCGCCGCCTTCTCCGACTCTAATATCAACAATGGTTGCACCTACGCCCAGGAGGCGCACAGCATCCTCACCACTGGTTCTCCCTGCTAGGCTAGCTCCTAGCCCTTCCACAGTCAAGTTGACGCCACATTCGTTTCTGCCGACCCCTGGATTTGGGTCTTGGCTTATTCTAGTGATTTCGGGCTGTCTCCCAGCCAGTTCCCTCGCTGAATCTTGTGATAAATCTTTTCGACCTAAATCCGCGGCTTCCCAATGGAGGAAGCCTGAGTCTGCCCTTTGCATTAAAGGGCTACTCAACTCATTCGTGTATATATTTACGATCTCCATACTTCTTTCGTGAAACATTTTCTTGCATATTTCCATTTAAAGTTGACAACTTGCATTTGAATGTTCTTTCTGAGTAAAGCTTCCAACACCCATTAGCTATTACCTGTAAATGATAGTAAGTAGCCATCTTGCAGACAGCACGTGGGAGATACGGTAACACACATCTTCGTCAGAACGCATGATGCTAATATTTGTGCAACGTCAAAAGTCACTTGGGATCATATCTCTATCCTGACGTGAATGCAACAGCAATCCAAGGAAACACTCTATCGTTCTAGAACTGACCTTTTTTTTCGTGGGGCCAGAAGTCACAATGCAGTGGTAGTATGAGGCAGCACTTCCGCTGGACAAATTCCCAGAATTTCAAAAGATCGACAGTACAACATAAAGGCTGAAGCTAAATCTTCAAAGCCGAACCACATGCGGAGGCAGAAGCAAGCCTATCACAAATGTTGCGGTTCCTGGTGTTGCATTTACTCCAAAACTGCGGGGCTAGTTGATCCTGCAGGTACCAGAGGGGCTTAGTGGATGTCCGTGCTTCAGCATTTGGCTTATAGAGGCGTACCACCCCCTCGGGCCATATTCCCATTTGGTTTCGTTTCACCATCACCCTTAGCCTAATCAACCCGGTCAGTACGAAGATGGATGCAACACTGACAGTAATAATAATAATTGGGCTGTTATATACACCGACTCCAATCAACTAGTTTCTTCACATAGCCGGCGGTGTGCAGCCCACCGCGTGGCTTCGACTCCGGCGGTGTGCAGCCCTCCGCGTGGCTTCGGCTCCGGCGGTACCACAATCCTGACTAGGAAATGTGGCTTCAGATATTACCATAATTATTAACTAATCTATATAAAACGTCATGCGAACATGTTTGGTTCGTCTAGTGGAGACTTTATTGGTTCCTGTCGGAAGTATATTGCTAGATCGCCGGTCGCGATATGAAAATTAAGGATCAATGCTGGGTGCAAATCACGGAAGATTTCCGGGCCATTATGGAGATCATCTGAAACGTTAAATGTGGTCAATTCTCCGGCATACTGTATCCTCCATTTTCCGGGGGGTTAGACGCTCTTGCTACCGTAGTATTTACCCCGTGGCCTGTTATGGCCGGGGCATACCAACTTGGCTGGGATAGTTAAAAGTACAGTCTAGCCAGTAATAGCTAAGCGGCTAAGTTGGATTTCCCCATATCCGCCTTTCTGGATGAGCACATGTGGTGGAACATTAGAAACTCAACCACGCCTGACCGTAGACATTTGAACATGGTAACCCGACTCTGAACAGAGGGGCAGATGTACCGTAAAAGACGTATTTCAATAACTCTCGTAGGCATATGGCGATCTTTTTAAAGACTTCATACTTTATATTAACTTAAATGACAACTGTGGAAATGTTACCGAAGACTGATCAATCAAAATTGCAGACACCCTTGTCATGTTTTTAGGATAATGGTACATTGACTTACGCGTGGGCAAAATAACAAGAAATCCGGATTGGGTAATTGCGGGACGGTGTCTTCTCAGAAGCGACACTCCGCGGAAGTGAAGCCATTGAACATATTGAATCTTATTTTTCAAATCTCACAGAAAGTCAGGCCGAATGGTCTCATCGATGAAATAGACTTCCATCACAAGTTCAATGGCGGAAGCCGATGAATATTCATTTTCCTTCCCAATGGGAGTCATTATATCGTGCGAACATTTAACGAACTGGCTGGCAAATATCGATACTCATTTCTTTGATCTTGCTATTTATTCTGATAGAAATCAGGATAGGGCATATCAATCAGACTTGATGTGACATTCTATCAGTGATACTATTAGGTTACATATCAACAACCCAGAGGATGACTACGCAACTTGATAACGAACATCTAGCCTCGAGCCAGCCAAAGCAGCGGGCTTCAGTCGTCCACCTGTCACAACGTCTCTATTCAATCTCCCAGGTGGATCACAGATAACATCCGCCACGCTATAGCGTGGACGTGACACCTCACATCCAGTCTCGTCTCGATCGTAAAACAATATCAGGTCAGGTACGTCGCCTGGTCTCACGGTCAAGCCTAAAGCAGACGGCAAGCCAATTGCCTTTCGAGCACGAGTTGAGACACATTCGTATAAAAGCTCCGCGTCAGCTTGTGTACCAGATTGATAAATTCCAACACCCAAGCAGGCTAAGAAGAGCGGGTCGGGTGATGCCCAGGGCGTGAATGCGTTGCCAACATTGTTCACCCCGAGCACTGCGTCGAGACCATATCTCCGGATCATTTCTGGAACTTGTAGAGTACCTCTAGGCCTGTGGTGGGAGCATTGATCACTGAATGCGCTAGGAGAGGATGCCATGTAGAGGTCACTGGTTGGCAAGCCCACGAAGCTCACGGGTAGTTCATAGTCACGAATCTCGCGTGCAAGTTTATCCCATTCTTCATCCTTGAACAGCGTCAGGCGCGTACAATGTCCCAGCATGACACGCTTCTGTGTGGAGTTTGTCGTCCAGCCAGTTTCACGGAGGACCTTCACGACATGCCAAGCCAAGGCTTCCCTCTCGGGATCAAGGTTATAATCCAGATGGAAATCAACATGTTTCCCGAGTTGGAGAGCGCGCCCAATCGCCCATTCGATATTTCTCTTCGCAGCCCCGACGCTCGACTCAACATAAGGCGTCGTTCCGATCACATCGATACCGGGGTACTTGCAGAGTGCTTCCTCTACGAGACTCCTATTCTGCTCTCCAACTTCTCCAGAGAAAATCGGGTCTTGTGCAAAACAAGCAATCTGGATCTCACACGAATCCTTCCACCGCTCCTTGAGAGCAAGGCCTGCTTCCAGACAAGTAAACTTCACCGCAGAATCTACCTCAACAAAGGCCCGCATCGCAGTAACGCCGGCGGAAACGGACTCAGCCAGTAGCCATTCCCCTCTACGAAGAAGATCTTCACGTGTGAATAGCTGTTTAGCTTTCGTGGTAAAGGACAACGCCTCCTGGAAAGAGCCAGTTGAGGGCAGCAGATGCGCATACTCGGCTGCACTATGGACAAATGCTTTGTCGAGATGAATGTGTGGGTGTGTTAAGCTGGGAAGGGCCAGAGGAGGATTTGAGATGTCCTCGGACGAGGGCGGGGTGATGGATGTGATGCAGCCATTTTTGGACGAGTCAGGGTATCCGATCTGGATGTCCCATGCGGAAGAGCTTCGGGCTAGTCGGACGTTCTGGATAGACTTGATGCGGTCTGTAAGATTGGGTGGCATCGCGATGATGTGTGTAGCTTTTACTCTGTGCCGTCGGAGATGTAAAACCGCGGAACTCGCCGGAGTGGATCGCTATCTTAATTATTCCCCAACCCCGGAATGCATCCTTATCAGTTAAACGAAAATGAGAGTTTTAAAGGTAGAAGCATGCCCGAGATAATACGCAAAAAACTCTGAAAATGTACTACTAATCGCTACTGGCTCTGAGCAGTACACGTTGGAATCAATGTCGTATCACCCGAGGATATAGGAACACTACTCATTCAGGTAAGACAAACACTTAATCATAATCTAAATTATGTACTGTTAGAACGTTCCAAGCAGAGTATCAAGTCGCGAAGACCCAAAAGGAGAAGAAAAGGTATCAATCATATCATCAAGTCTAGTATATAATCGAAATAGGAGGATGACAGAGCACAAGAATGCGTAGAGGAGCAGTAACAACTTCCAAAGAAGCCAGTCTATTACTCCGTCGAGGTAGCCTTACCCCAGGCCTGCTCGAAAGAAGAGTCAACTTCTTCTTGTTGTGCCTGAGACCCAACCTCATCCTTCTGGTCATTATCAACCAGGACCGGAACGCTGCTGCTAGCGGTCTCCGCGGTCTCGACCATCACAGGGGCATATGATGAGGAAGAGGAATCATGATCATTCAAGATACTGGATGTAGTCGTCTCCTTGGCACCCAGCGACTCCAGGTCGAAATTCGAGCTGTACACCACAGCCGAGAATGCCTCGAGCTCGCGCACGTTCTGGTCCAGCGCATTCAGATACTCGTTTGGCGGGTGGGTGCCATTACCAATCACATGGGCCTGGCGCGCTAGCACGGCGAGGAGGTTGGCGAGCTTCGTCTTGCGCTCTCCTGTGGCCAGGGGGACAACAGTAGCGACCGACTCGAACGATTGCGGTGCAGTCTCTGGAGCAGAGGTTGACGGCCTGAAGGCATCAGTGGCGCATTTTTGGTCGACTAACAGTGAGAACCCTTCGTTGTTGAGAAGAGTCAACACGTACGAGAAGGTTGGGGACTCGATGAGGTCGGCGGTTTCATCCAAGAGATGACGCAGGGTCGAGGTTGTATGCAACGAAGATGGGTCCGTCACTCCCTCCACCCCGGACTCCCGCAAAACGAACTCCTCTTCTTCCCTCGGGGGTAGCAGGCAAGATAGCCAGTTCTGGGACCTACAAATAGTGTCAGTTAGCGAGAATGGCACGATAAGAAAAGCACATACCGGCGCTCCTCTTCCGTGCTACCCTCCACCTTCTTCCGAATCTGTAATGTCAACTCCGACAGCTTGGCCAAGGTTATATCCTCCCGTGGATTCAAAGGACCAAAGGCCTCTGTCACGGCCATTTGGACACGCTCCATCAGTTCCTTCCATCCCCGGTGAAGCAGCCACCAGCTGAACGCAAGGTATCGCCGATTGGTCTCGAAGTCGTCACCGAGAGTCTGGGTCAATTCATCATGATCTTCCAAGCTAATGGTCGAGTCGGTCTGGGGCGTAGCCATGGAGATGACGCTGGAAAGGTAGTTTCGACGGCCGAGGAGGTTGAGTTGGATGCGAGTGAAGATGGTGAGCAGGGAGAGCGTGTAGATCAAAGTGAAGGATCGCGTGATAGCTGCGAGAGTCAGTATCATCGTCCCATGCACTCTGCAAAGAAAACATACAGGTGATTTTCACCTCATTCCAAAGCTGGGTTTTGTTCCGTTTGACCTTGGGTTGTCCATCATCCACAGACTCGGCCATCTGACTTGTGTGAACATATCCCTCACTCTGGAAGCTCGAGCGATCATCCTCCGGCAAGCTGGGTGACACCGAGCTCATATCCGAGCCAGGAGGCTCCCCGGCGCTGAGGCGAGCCAGCCTCTCAGCGCGCTTCTTCTGCAGCTCCTTCGTAAGCTCCTCGACGGGAAGAGCCTCGACGATGTTTTCCGTGGCGGTGGGCAGCAGTGCCAGAACGGTGTAGGTGCAATCGGTCTGATTCTGTTCGAATCGGCGACGCAGGCTATTGCGGCCGCGTGGCCGGTCAGCATCCCATCCCGCTTGAAGTTGCACAGGATCAGGCATGATGGGACTCACTTTTCGCGGGCGATGCGGTCGCTGCTCATGCGCTCACGCGCCTCGGAGATCTTGGACAGCACATACTGGCCAGCTAAGTAGCCAGCTCCCAGGACTCCAGCCCCGATCGCAAGGCCTCTGCGATTGCGCTGGAACCAGCGCCTGGTGGCGCCTATCATGGTGGGTTGGTTGTGGTGGATGGTGGTGGTGAAATGGCGAAGTTGAAGTGGCTGGAGAAGGGAGAACAAGACCTCGGTCGCGGACCTATTGGCCTGGGACGATCATCGGCCTCGGTTAGTTAACTAGGCCAACGTGAGCTGCCACAGCGGTTAAGCATAAACTAGGAACACAGGTTTTGTATTCTTTATTATCATCATAACTAAATACTTCAATTCGGTAACCAAGTATTTATTCAGGAACAGTTCTACGAAGTACCTGTGATTTGATCCCATTCCGGCGTGAACGTCCGGATTAGGGTACTATTGGTGCTGCTACAACCACGAGTCAATCTCTGTCGCGACGGACTGAAAGCTGTCTTCGTTCTTAGTATGAAAATCATCCAAGAGACACTTGAGAGAGTTTAGTTATTCCATCCCTCTCTCTCTGTGCTGAACGCTCTCCGACCTCGCCCCAGATAAGCGATAACCACCGGCCCAGCCCGATGGATGGCCGATACTGGCCGCTCTCATTCATCCCACATCGTCATCACCTCCCCTCGACTCCCTCCTTGGCCACCGAAGATTATTCTCTCCCATGACCCCGTTCAGAGCAGTCTGCCAGCCCTCCGCTGCACTCTAGTAGCTCCTCCTTGTCTTCTGGACTCAAATACCCGCGCAGTTCGGTGCCACACGCCCGTTGACGACCGGGGATGGAGCCCCGCCGAACCCCTCCGGAGTACTTCCTGGAGATCTTCGCTGACACCACCACGGTGCGCGATGTATTAAAGGGTGAGTTTGTAACACACGCAAACACATCCCTGATTGACACTCACTAACCACCGGAGCGATCCAAACCAGGCGTCCTCAACCTCATCTTCTTCCACCGCTACTTTCCCTCCATTCGTCCCATCACCTTCGATGTCCTCGACTTCACCCTCCCCGCCATCAACGACGCCGACCTCGAGACCTTGATCGATTCGCGAGTCGCCGCACTAGTCCGTCAGCACCTATCCTCCGCTGCTGGCGCTGCGGATGGGAGCCCTGCGGGTGGTGCTGGCGGGGGAGGGGGAGTCCGGGGTCGGATCGCAGTGGAATTCTACGAGAAGAAGCGGCGTCGTTCGGGTCTTTGGTTTGGTGGACTGTCTGGGAAGGGGCAGGAGGAGGTGTGTTGGGAGATTTGGACGCTGGATGTGACCATTGCGACGCCGCGGACTGAATCTGGTATGTTTTCCTGAACGAACAGGTGGCGCGCCCCCTGAGCTCACTCATGCTAATTTATTTCTGTCGGACAGAACGAGCGAAAGTCCGCAAGGCTATGGGGAATATGCTGCAGAAAGCGGCGCTGAAGATATTGGCCGTTGTTAACAAGGATAAAGACCATATTCCACCAATTACCACCAGCGATTCGAACCCCTTCCCGTACCGGATCGTGGTCAATCCGAGGACGGATGGCTGGGGCAATCGGATGGGGCTTTATTGAGTCTACCCAGTCATGAGTGTGTTTGGGCATTCACATTATTCGTCGCCGCGACTGGTGGGCGGCGTTGAGACTGGCCATCCTGGTTCAGTATAGATGGCAACATTCGCGATGCCACAGTTGATGACTGCTCCCGGTATCTGCAGGCCATTCCGGGGAGCAATTGATGATGGTTATGGAGTTTGATGTTAGTTACCATTCCGGCGTTTTGTGCTTATTTATCCGGAGGCGTCTATTCGTTTGTATTTTATTCCCTCGAGAAAATCCCGCAGAGGAGCTCCGGTCGGAGGAACACTGTCCTCTTGTTATCAGCCTATACGAAATGAATCCCAATACAGACAGCTTAACTCTTCCACTATCATTGAAGTAAACATGAAAATAAAAGATTACATCATATCAAGCAAGCAGCTATCCACCTCGATCTCTCTACTCCCTCAGGTCCACTCTATAACACGGTCAACCCCGTCTCTGCGCCTGCTGCACATCCCACAAACATGATCCCCTTCTCACACGGTTCACGGAGAATCGATGGGACCCGCAATCCACTGTCACGCTAGGTGCGCAGATGTACGAGTATTGTCTATTGCGATTCTCGGGTGGAAAACTCATATTCCGTTCAGGTGGAGTGCGGCTTGCTCGCAGCGTCAGCCGCAGCGCGGAGGTTCGCGGAGGTGCCGGTGCTGGAGAAGAAGCGGCCAAGCACGGGCTGGAGGAAGGAGTGGAAGATAACTTGGGCGCCGCTGGATTGTGAGATGGTTAGTAAATTGCGGCTTTCTGGGGGTTTCGTCGGGAATAGGCTTACTTGGTCTGGGGGAGGGCCATCCAGAGGATCAGGACGAACTTGAAGATGTAGTAGAAGGCTATATGTCTCATGTTAGCAATTGTTTTTGAGGGATATTATCGGCAACGTACGGAACCAGTAGGCAGCGTTGATGGCACTCTCAACTACGGTCAGGGAGGCGTAGACAACCCAGTACTATTGAACCAGATCAGTATAAAGCCATGCGGTGCCCTAGATCATCCGAAACATACCGTCAGCCACTACAAGAGTCGTCAGTCAGCATCCAAGTCATAAACACAAGCCATCAGGTCTGAATCTTACCTGAGTGTCATCCGCCGTGCCCGAGGTGAACAGGGCCTGAAGCGAGTAGTAGCCGGGGATCAAGAAACCGGCAAAGTTGACGAGGAATTCGCCAGCGATGTTGAAGAAGACCAGGAAGAAGTAGACTCCAACCAGACCCAGGATGGCATACACCTTGGGGACGGAGGTCTGTCTCTCCAGGTTGTTGAGGACAGGGTACTTGGAGAGCTACCACAACGTATAATGTCAGTCCAACACAGTTCCAAAAATGAGATCGAGGTCCGGTCCCCCGGAAAATGTCGAATCGGGCACGGCTCGAGCTGGTGAGGCACCAGCGAAACAGCGCACAAAAGGGCACATACCTCCTTATCGAGCTGGGCGATGGAATGCTGGGCACGGTCTTGGAAAGAGGACATGGTGCAGGTGTTGCGGGTTGTATGTACGGAAGGGTTTGGGGGTTGCAGTAATGAAGTATTAGGGAGTGAGAGCGAGGGATGAGAAAATGCAAGCGGTCGAGCTGGCCGTATCTCTGCGCCCGTGCGGGTCACGTGGTCGTCAATGACGTACTCTTTTCGGCTGTGATCAGATGCATTGGGCATGTGAGGATTTACTCTGTACGGGAACTATTGTTCCCATGCTCTTATGGAGTGGAAAGAAGCAGCAGGACTAGTCAACAGATTCACTGGGTGCTCAGCCGACAAGACTAGCCGTTCTTTCATCCCATCTATACTCCTGACAAGATCCGTCACACAAACCGTTCTTTCCGAACGGGTATCCTGCCTGGCAGCCTCCGCATGACGTATAGGGCTTCCATAGATCACTATGACCCAATAATAGTTCATGCTTAATTTATATCAGACTTTCATGTTAATACATATTGCAGCAGAGGAAATGCCGCCCTACTATCTATGGGATGGTCCGCTGCTCATGGATTGTTTAGCCAAGGGTCCATGAGCAGCAGCTCTCGGGCTGTCTGACTCTCGTCTGGGTCTCACTACAGCATTTTGCATGAACCACATGAACAACGCGTTGTTGTATCCTTCCAGGTATTCCCTGGATCCTCCAGAGACAAGCCGGGGATTGTCGTGTTCTCCTTCTAATGACCGAGTCTTATCCATTGGGGTTATAAAATCCAGTAGCAATCATCAAGCGAGGGGGATTAACCTAATTCATTCCAGTATAGGAGTTGCTGCATTCGACCTTTAACAATCCTCCGTCAAGCTCCGGGGGTCAAAGGTTACTTGAAAATGCAAAAAGGTTGTCAAGAGCGGTTTGAAGACGACGCATTGGTAACTACCTTTGGGCCTATTTATTTCAATTGCATCTCACATGGTTCGGATGAATTCACTGTCCGGATTCCTTGTCTTGTTGATGGTTGCAAGATGCTTCAGAACCCCGATTTCCGGTTCGCCTTCAAACTGTGTATGTATACCTTCGGCGCGATATAGCAATGCTTTCTGTTTGAAAATTAGCGGTTGATTACTATGTATCAAAATAGCTATTATCATAGTGGGCATCGCGACAGGACTAGACTGTCGAGGTTGCTCCAAAGCCCACCTTGCTAATCACTTGATATCTGGAGTAGAAAATATCACCAAGTTGGACGCGACAATAGAGCCCTTGGTTATAAGGGGAAAGTCGATCTTCTTCGATCCTTTTATTGGTGTCGAGAGCCAGAAATTGAATTGCTCTTTTCCTTCCGCTTAACCACAACCCATTTCAACACCTCAGTGATTACCTTGGTCAATATTTCCCACGTCGAGTAGACCAGCCCTTCCATATTCGTTATAAGCAAGGCAAGATGGCCGAGTTGGTCCAAGGCGTCAGGTTAAGGTCCTGATCTCCGCAAGGGGGCGTGGGTTCGAATCCCACTCTTGTCACGATTCTTTTTTTTCTCTTTTCTGTTGGCCTGCCCCACCAACTATCACCGATCGCAAATCGCCCTTGCTTGCTTTTTTATAGGTAGCCAACGGACTAGACCGATCTGTACCAGCGATCTATCTACCTCCTGTATTCACTGGGAATGCAGCAACAATAATATTCCACGATCGGGAAATTCGTGATTGTGCCGCAATCAAGAACAGGCAATGATGTGATTTCCCCCCTGTCCCTAGGGGTCTTTTCTGGTGTTTTCCTCCACACAAACATGCAGACGCGGCTAGTCAGTCTGGCCCGTCTGGCCCACTTACTTCCATCCCGCACACAATTCTGAGTGATTCCCACCGCCTCATTCGCACTCAAACACCCCCTCCCCAATTCCCTCCAGTCAGCACCGTCTTGCATTATTGCAGCCAGAACCCGGCTACGGTCCTGCCTACTCACCGATGTAATCGATTCGCCCTCCTTGCATTCTCCGCCTCTCTCTATCTCTCGCTCCCTTGTCCCCATCGGCCCCCAAGATCCGTTTCCTGCTAGACGATCGTGCCACGCCATTATTGAGGGGAACCGTGCATCATCGTTCACTACTGAATGGGAGGACTCTCGCACACGACAAGACAACCACCATAACCACGCTCATTAATCAACAACGCTACACGGGACGATCCGGTCGTAGCTCTCGTCGGGATCAACAAACACGCTTGCAATTGACCTCGGTTCTTTCCATCTCACCACACACCCCACCACTACCACCACTCTATATAAAATAATCAGGATATCTGAGAGCTCAATGCGGCCTCAGTAAGTATTTCAATTGTCTGGGGTTCCTCAATGGCTGTGTCTGACCCCAGTCTGTAGACGGGAGTACCACATTGTTGTGCTGGGCGCTGGTAAGCTTTGCTCTGCTCTGACGAATGACCATTGTGTCTCGCGAGAAACAGCCCACTGACGATAGGTATCTCGCGAACAGGAGGTGTTGGCAAGAGTTGTTTAACTGGTGTGTATTTACCGCCGTGTCGCGTTCCTCGGTCCCGAGCTTATTATTGGATCGACAGCTCAATTTGTCCAAAATGTCTGGATCGAAAGCTATGATCCTACCATCGAGGATTCATACCGGAAACAGATCGAGGTGGATGTAAGTTGCGTCTCTATACCTGGGTGCAAGCAGACATTAATACCGTTTCACTAGGGCCGACAATGCATCTTAGAAATGTAGGTGGTATAGCTTGCTCCCTGGAGTCGAGTCTTGCTGACTTTAGGAATCAACAGTCTGGATACTGCCGGAACGGAACAGTTCAGTAAGTCCTTCAATCACATTCCACGAGATCTATCAATCACCATGCTAACCGTATCCCAGCGGCCATGAGGTAATAAACCCCACCGAACAACCTCCCAGCTCCTCAATCAACCCAACTAACCCTCACCTAGAGAAATCTACATGAAGCAGGGCCAAGGCTTCCTCCTCGTGTTCTCAATAACAAGCAACTCCTCACTGAACGAACTCTCCGAACTGCGCGAACAAATCATCCGAATCAAAGACGACGAGAACGTCCCGCTCGTGATAGTCGGCAACAAATCCGACCTGGAAGACGACCGCGCCGTGCCCCGCGCACGCGCCTTCGGCCTCTCCCAAAGCTGGGGCAACGCGCCCTACTACGAGACCTCTGCGCGGCGCCGCGCAAATGTCAACGAGGTCTTCATTGACTTGTGTCGTCAGATTATTCGCAAGGATCTAGGCGAGCCGACTGAGTTTCGGAAGACGCGCGAGGGGCCGGTTCTTCGTCAGGATAAGGCAAAGAGGCAGAGTCGTCGTGCTGGTGGGAGGTGTGTTATTCTCTGATGGAAGGCCTTCTTTGCAGCCATGAATAATTCTGCGTCTTTTCTTTACGACATGACGACGAGCTTCTTCGTCGTCGGTTTTTACGTCCGCCTCTGTGTTTATGCTCCTGAAGATAGAATCAATGCCTCGCTGGCATACTACTCACCACCTCGCCACACCATACAATATCATCATCGTCACCATCATCTTTGTCCCCTTCTGGAAACTTCATTGTTTGCTGGTTGGGTGCCACCTACTTGTCATGAATTGGAAACCATGTCTGTCTATTTGCTGCGCTGTTGGAAGAATTGGGCAAAAAAAAGTTTTATGCTTCTTTTTCTATTGTGAATATTTTACTTGGTTGGATAAATGGATACACATATATTTCATTCCACGTGTCTGGTATTCTCTTCTAGTCTGTTTATATTTTCGTTCCCTCTATTCTCACATGCGGAATACACCGAACCGGGTCTGCACGTCCGGCTCGGCCTTTCCGCCCAGAGCAGCTGCCAGTCCCAATCCGAGCATATTCCTCGTTTGGGCCGGTGGAATGACACCGTCATCCCATAGGCGGGCAGAGGAGAATATCGCCTCGGACTCATGGTCGATGCGGGCTTTGAGAGCTGGGTCGGCGGAGCGGCCGACAGCTTCCATGACGGCCGAGAGCTGCTCGGAGCCCATCACGCCGATTTTGGCGTTGGGCCACATGAAGAGGAGGCGGGGAGAGTAGGCACGGCCACTACCGATGTTAGGTCTGAACTTCGTAGATCGAGGGGGGAAAACTTACCACATCCCGTAATTGCCAGCACCAGCACTCGATCCAAACACGACAGTGAACTTGGGCACATCCGCACAGGCAACAGCCGTAACCAGCTTAGCTCCGTTCTTTGCGATCCCGCCCTTCTCTGCATCGGCACCGACCATGAAACCCGAGATGTTCTGCAGGAACACGAGAGGGATGCGGCGTTGGGCACACAGCTCGATGAAGTGGGCGCCCTTGAGCGAGGACTCAGAGAACAAGATCCCATTGTTGGCGACGATGCCGACACGGTGACCCTGAATGCGCGCAAAGCCCGTCACCAGGGTTGTGCCGTAATCGCGCTTGAACTCGGCGAACTCGCTGCCGTCCACAATGCGCGCGATCACCTCGTGCGCGGGGATCTGGCGGCGCAGGTTCGTGCCGACGATGCCGTTTAGCTCGGCTGGGTCGTAGAGGGGCTCTTTGATGACGAGGTTGTCGGTGTTGGCACTCTCTAACTGCAGGGGTCCTCGCGTGGCAGGATAGTTGAGGTTGGCGACGGAGCGTCTGGCGAGCACTATGGCGTGGGCATCGTCCACGGCGAGGTAGTCGGTCACGCCGGAGATGGTCGAATGCAGCTGACCGCCGCCCAGGTCCTCGGCCGAAACCACTTCTCCCGTGGCGGCCTTGACGAGCGGTGGGCCGGCGAGGAAGATAGTGCCCTGGTTCTCGACAATAATGGTTTCATCGCTCATAGCGGGCACATAGGCGCCACCGGCGGTGCAGGGACCCATAACAACAGACAGCTGAGGAATCCCGAGGGAACTCATGCGGGCCTGGTTGTAGAAGATACGCCCGAAATGGTCCCGATCTGGGAAGACATCTGCCTGGTGAGGCAGGTTGGCACCGCCTGAATCGACGAGGTAGATGCAGGGCAAGCGATTCTCCTGGGCCACTGCCTGGGCGCGCAGGTGTTTCTTGACGGTAATCGGGTAATACGTGCCCCCCTTGACGGTGCTATCGTTGGCCACGATCATGCAGTTGACGCCTTCGACTGTGCCGATACCCGTGATAATGCCACCAGCGGGCACATCCTCGCCTTCGTAGACTTCGTGGCCGGCGAGCGGGGACAATTCTAGGAAGGACGTGCCGGGATCGATCAGGGAAGATATGCGGTCCCGTGGCAGCATCTTGCCGCGTGCGATGTGCTTTTCACGCGCCTTTTCAGACCCTCCCTGTGCGATTTTCGTGTGCAGGCTGCTCATCCGATCCAGGAGCTCCTGCATCTGCTGGCTGTTTTCACGGTACTCGGACGACGAGGTGTCCACGGCAGTGGGGAGGACAGATAGTGCGGATGCATGGTGAGGATGTGTGTAGCTGGCAATCGTTCGAGCCGAGAAGCTGAGAAGAGGAGCAGGTTGGCTGCGGCGCACAGCTCGGGTTGAGCCCAGGCTCCGAAGGACAAGCGGGGACGGGACGCGCATTGCGGGGAGAACGTGTGGAGAAGCTGTTGAGAGGAAGATGACAAGGAGGACTCTGCTAAAGAGAGTAAGACAGGGTCTTATGTCGGTAGCATAGCATTGGGCTATGGTAGTGTCGTGAGTGTGGTCGAAGGACAAAGGGAAGAAGAGGAAGAAGAGAGAGAGAGAGAGAAGCACGAGATGCCCAGTGCGGAGTGACGATTGCCGCGGATAACCGAGCCAACAACAACAACATCAGCAAGGCAGGGAGAGGCAATGGTGGCCAGGATAATTCAGAGGAAAGAGGAAAGAGAAAGAAGATGGAATGAATACGGTCGTGGGAATAATAGGAGACATGTCAATCAATTGAATCCAAAAATCCATCACCATACAAGAACACCCGGAGCGGTCCTTGTCTGTCTTGTCCCGACGGCTGCCGCGCTGTTCTGCAACAACAACCCTTAAGAGTTCCACCACTCCTCCGTGTCTCTCCCTTCAGTCTTTCTCTCTCTAACCCTCCCACCATGGCCTCCCTCTCCCCTCTGACCTCCATCTTCCGCTCCTCCGCCACCCGTTCATTCTCACGGGTGCGCAAGCCCATCCCCACACTGGCCGCCTCCCCGCGTTTATTGCGGACGGTGTCGACCAAACACCCAGCAGGCTTTGAGCCACCCACCGAGGAGGATTTGCTGGAATTGCGCGATCGAGTGCAGGAATTTACTCGTGAGTCTACTGCGTCCCTGGTGGATGCTGTAGGTGCAATCACTCACAAGTGTCTTGATTCAGGCCGCGAAATCCCAGCCGAGGTTGCCGCACGGACAGACGAACAGAATGAGTTTCCTGCAGACATGTGGAAGAAGCTGGGTGATGCTGGGTATGAACTCCGATGGAACTCCCGCATTCTGATCATACGACCAAACAGTATTAACCATTCAAATCAAATCCAGGTTCCTCGGCGTGACGGCTAATGAAGAATACGGCGGTCTGGGAATGGGCTACCAGGCCCATTGCGTGGTGATGGAAGAGCTCAGCCGAGCCTCTGGCAGTATCGGACTGTCGTACGCTGCGCATTCACAACTCTGCGTGAATCAGATCTCACTCAATGGGTCAGCCGCGCAGAAAGAGCGATTCCTGCCTGGCCTCCTGTCTGGTGAGAAGGTCGGCGCGCTGGCTATGTCCGAGCACTCGGCGGGCTCGGATGTCGTGAGCATGAAGACTACGGCGAAGGAGGTGGATGGTGGGTGGGTGTTGAACGGGACGAAGATGTGGATTACCAATGTGAGTGTGGTGTTTTATCAGAAAGTGTCATCACTAATACGGTGTGTGGTAGGGTCCTGATGCGGACTTTATTGTTGTATATGCCAAGACTGAGCCCGAGAAGGGCTCGAAGGGAATCACGGCCTTTGTCGTGGAGAAGTCGTTCAAGGGCTTCTCATGTGCGCGCAAGCTCGACAAGCTGGGCATGCGCGGCTCGAACACGGGTGAGCTGATCTTCGAGGATGTGTTTGTTCCTCGGGAGAACCTCTTGGGCGAGGTGAACCGTGGCGTTCGCGTGTTGATGGAGGGTTTGGATCTGGAGAGACTTGTGCTGAGCGCTGGGCCTCTGGGGTATATGCCGCTCCCCCTCAGTTCATTTTTGTCTATGGTAACTAACATCCTCACAGAATCATGCAAGCAGCCCTTGACCTGGTCCTCCCCTACACTCACGTGCGAAAGCAGTTTGGATCCCCCATCGCACACAACCAGCTCATCCAGGGCAAGTTGGCGGACATGTACACCAAGCTAGCCGCCTCGCGGGCCTACACCTATACCACGGCGCGACAGGTTGACCAAGCCGCCGTGGCACCGGGCGAGATGGTGGTCCGGACGCAGGATTGCGCCGGAGCAATCCTCTATGCCGCTGAGCGGGCGACAGAGTGTGCTCTGGACGCGATTCAGCTGATGGGTGGCAGCGGCTATATTAATGAGATCCCTGCCGGCCGATTGCTGAGGGATGCGAAGCTGTATGAGATTGGAGCTGGCACGAGCGAGATTCGACGGATGGTTATCGGTCGTGCTTTTAACAAGGAGTATGCGTAGTGTGGTCCAACTTGTTCTACAAATTCAATAAATAGATCATCTTTGTCAATGTAAATCATGAGATGCATTTCCATGGAGATGTATTTTGTTCATGCCAGTCATGCTAAGCGCCGACTGTCCAAAACATGTGTCAACGGCCAGGTTGGTTACTTCTTCTGCCTCGTCGACCGGCGCACCGAACCCGCCGCCTGCGACGCACCATCCTGCCCAGAGCCACTAAGCTTCCTCGACGCAACTCGTTTTCCCCGCGGCTTCACCGAGTCCCCAGCAGGCCCATCCTTACTCGCATCCTCCGGCACCGAGGTCTCCGCTTTACGCTTCCGACCCCTCTTGGCAGGAGCCAAGGCAGCAGGCTCGGGTGCGTCATCGGGGGACAGCACCTGCTCCGGCGTGGTATTGGACGCGTCGCCTGCGTCCCCGTCCCTCGAGCGTAGGTTTTCCAATGACGGCACATCCGACATCTGGTCTGAGCTGTCTAGCTGATGCGGCGCCTCGCTGCCTGCTGCTGGGGCCGTAGTATCCACCGCGTCCGTATCCATGGGCTCAACAGCAGCAACAGCAGGGGCGAGACTAGGCCGACGCGACTCCTCCCTCGTCCGCTTCTTGCGCAGGCGCGATTTATCCAGACCCGGCTGCGCGGACTTGAACACCTCGCGCCAGTTCTCCAGCAGGGCAACCTTGTCCCCGTAGCCCGGCTCGTAGATCTGCACGGTGACATCCCGGTCCCTTTCCAAGCTGGGCGTCTTCCAAACCACGCCTTGGAACGAAGTGAGGTCTGGTTTTGTGATGGACTGGACCGGTGGTGGGCCGCGGTGCACGGAAGGGGAGGAGGTCTTGCGCTTGCGTTTCGTGGTGGGTTTCTGCTCTGTTTTCGTCGCTGCCGAGGTATCCTCGTCGTAGTAGTCGTCTGAGTAGTATTCCCAATCGCTGAAAAATTCTTGCACGTCCTGCGCGGGATCGTCGTAGTACGAGGCGTCGTAGTATGAGCTTGCGGCGAGTTCGTCCTGCGTGAAAGGAGAGTGGGTTAGCGTCGGAGGTCATGAAGTGATAGACTTGGATCTTCTTCGTGAACTGTTATGAAGGGATGGACTCACAACTAGGTCCGGGACCACGTCATCCCAGAGATAGTCATCTTCGAACTCGTAATATTCCTCGTCGTCCGACATGCCGATGTGAGATGAAAAAGCGAGTAAGTAAGCGAGCGTCGTCGAAGGGAAGAAAAAAACGATGCAGCAGTAACGAGGGAGATGGGTCCAGTATATTTACATATACACTATGCAAGAGTCATGGACAGCGAGGGAACGAGTGAGTCGGGGAGAAGAAGGCGAGGAAGAAAGAAAACTAGGCGGATCTCGAATACTCGTCACGGCCGATCCTTCCAAATCCTGCTCAGGTAAGCCTTGGCATTCAGTCATTCCAACTATACAATGTACGCAACAATAATAATCTATTCTCCGATCTATTTTTGACCCCGACTACGGCTGAAAAATCTCAGCCCCTTGTTAGGACTGGTCATCCTTTGCACCCAGAGTTGATATTGACTACACTGATTTTGTCGACGTTGAAAGCGACTAAACTGATCTGGACCATGCTACCTCTGGAAAGCTATATGAAGCCCCTTCTCCCCCATCTGGTTTCTTTCTTCTTCATCGCCCCCGATGCGCCCTTACGGTAACCAGATCGACAGCGCCACTAGGCAATCCCTGGTGGCCGAACGGATGTTGGCTTTTATTCCTTACATGATTCGATTTTACTACTGGTAGGTGGTGGATATCGTTATTTTTGCTTGGCTTTAATCTTCACATCGTTCTAATCAACTTTTCTCATCTTTGTCTTCATATCTATCTCCACATCTGTTTGTCATGTAGTCGGCAAACGCAGTATACTAATCCTCGGATCCAGGTACGCCACTGCAAATATTCATCACCAACATCCTCCACGACCTAATATCAACCAAAATTAGGTACGAAAACGGAAGATGGGAATGGCAACACAGCTGCGCAAACGAAAATCGCATGTACTACCGAACAAGCATGCCAAATTTCTACCCTCATCTCAACACCACGGACGGGACCCTGAGCTGGGCAGTGGGATGACAGAACCACGGGTGTTACCACTACCATCCGTATCACCACCACGACTACGACCAACGTGGCAACCCCCCTCAACCTTCCTCCGGGGCCCCGCCTTCGACGTTACTACCGCATCGACTGCACTGGTATCAAGAACCAGTCATATCGCGGGCAGAAGCAGCAGAAGAAAAAGGAAAAGGAAAAGAAGAAACATGACCGGTGTCAATATGAGGATCGGCCGCATTGGACTCGGCTTCCGCGTCCGCCGCGGACAGAGCAGACACGCAGACAGGATCGGAATAGGAGGTGCAAGAAAAAGAGGGAGTCGAAGCGGAATCGGTGACAGGATTGTGGCTTTTTGGTATTCAAGAAAGAACTTTGGTGAAGACTTTGGCGACGACTTAGTGACGAATACTGGTGACGAAATCCTAGAGATCTGGATCACATAGCTGATTCAGTATCTTGACCACCTTCCTGCTAGGGCTCGGGCCCAGGTCCTAGCGGGAGATCATTTGCGAGAGACTTTTCTCGGGGAAATGTGCCTGTGTTCGGAAGGGAGACAGATTGGACTATCATTGCAGGATGACCAGGCCATCGTTCATGTAATGGGGTACTCTTTCCAGCTGGGGAGTTTTCTCTGCAGAGTGTTTCTCCCGCGTCTGGTTTTAACGAGGCCCCGGGGTTTTGTACTTGTTGATTGGGGGGGTATATGTATACCTTCAAATGTTGGTATATGTATGTCCATGACACCTCTTTCAATTCGAATTCGAAACAGGAAATGAATATTATATTTAATTATTGTCTGTCTCTCGTGTAGACAGTAGTATAGTAACTGATTATCATAGATTTGTAGGTGGTAACTAATTGTAGATCCTCTTGGCAGTGGCGATGTCAACCCCCAAGGCCATCTGTCCGGTTTCACCCAACATGCACCAACTGAACACTCGCAACATGGCATCCCAACCACTTCCCCCCGACGGGGTTCTCGGAGCCAACTACAACGAGGGATTGAAACTGGTCGACGGCGACCATGGCGAGCTCCGCGCCGTCGGCGCCAAGTGGATCCGCGGCTTCCTGGACATGCATCTGATGGACGTCCCGCACCCAGAGCAAAGACCAAATATCAATGCGGTATTCCGAGCTGTCGACGCTGGATTCAAAACGATTATCAGCCTCAAGTGGAACTATCAAGAGCGTGATTTCCCCGTTCTTGGCAGTGCCGAGCACGTTGCCGAGCTGCAGCTCCTAGAGCGCATACTCGCGCTGGTCATGCCCCGAGTCGACGTGATGGTGATCGGGAACGAGCCCTGGATAGAGGCAAAGCCCGACCAGCAGAACCAACGACTCAATGTTTTCTACGAGAGCATGGCCGACGCGGTGATCGACTTCCGTGAGAGAAACCACCTCCCCACACGCTTGTACATGGGCGCCTTGAACAGGCTCGACCTGCCCGCCAAGCGCACACCCGCCATCGAGCGCTTCCTGGGCTACATTGCCTCCAAGCCGCAGCTCGACGGCGTCGATGTGCACCTGCACATCCCCAATCTGCCCGCCCACCGCACAATGCTGGACTACGTGCTTCCTCGCCTCCGGGCCGACCAGACGTTCATCGCGACCGAGTTCTCGCTAATCTGGCACTGGAAAGCGCATCTGGGCGACGCGGCCTCGAACTACTTTTGTTCTAAGTATGGCTTCCCGGCGGGTATCAAGGTGCACGAGGTCATCAACGCCGCTTTCCAGAATCCGTTCCCTTATAAGCAGTGGGAGGATTTTCTTGCCAATGAACCCTGGTATATCCAGCGCAGACACTTCATCACCAATGCTATGAAGATGTATCGCGAGACGGGCCGGATGGCTATTGCGACTTATTGCTGGAGTCCCGCCCGACATAGGACCAAGCCCTTGCTAGTCACGGATAACCCCTGGTTCATGAGTGCTGTGTACTGCACATCACCTGTACAGTTGAAACCGGATGGGACGAGACATGAGAATTTCCCGTGGTGGGAGGAATTCCGGCGGGCTGCGAATTACCTCTAGTCATGCGTAAATTCTATCTGTAAATACCTTGAATATCCCTACGGTTCCATCGTTGCATCGATATAGTTGTATTGCACGTGACAGGTTCCCCCCGCATAGTCTCGCTTTGCGTCGGCAATGACAACAATCAGTCTCCCAAGGTTGCTTTCTTTCTTCCTCTTCTCTCACCTTATACCATCTACACCTATAATGCCTCTCTGCTAAGCCTTCTTGAACATCATCTCTCTCAGCCCTTAATTCAAATTCCGGCTGTCCTTAGCCATGCCCCTCTCATCCCTTCTCCGCATTGCTCCCCGCGTCACCCCGACCGCGGCCCGCAGAACAACACGAGCGGCCTCGTCGGTGTCAAGCACGCCCGGCGCCCATACCCCGCTGGACTCGATTCTCATTGCGAACCGTGGTGAAATTGCCCTGTAGGTGAGCCCTTATTGCTGCTGTGCTGCCCAATACCTCTAGACATAGCCGATTGACCGATTGCAGCCGAGTTGGCCGGACAGCGGCGGAGCGTGGAATCCGCGTGACCACCCTCTACACAGACCCAGACAGCAAAGCGCAGCATGCGTTGAGCTCACCATATGCGTTCAATTTGGGCTCTGTGTCGGCGTATCTGGATGGCGATCGGATTATTGAGATTGCGCGCAAGGAAGGGTGTCGAGGGATACATCCCGGTTATGGATTTGTGAGTTTTGTCTCACTTGGCAAGAAATATTGCCAGGTACTGACGGAACTACTTAGTTGAGTGAGAACTCTGCGTTTGCGCGCAAATGTACCGAAGCGGGATTGGTCTTCATTGGGCCTCCGTGGAAGGCGATTGAGGATATGGGTGATAAAAGGTATGCATTACGTTTACTCAATTGTTGAAACATTGACATAACCCAAATGTACCTAGTCGCTCGAAAGAGATCATGACCGCGGCAGGCGTGCCCTGCGTTCCCGGATACCACGGGCAGAACCAAGACCCGCAACTCCTCGAAGCCGAAGCCGACAAGATCACATACCCCGTGCTCATCAAGGCCATCAAGGGTGGCGGCGGAAAGGGCATGCGCATTGCGAACTCCAAAGCCGAGTTCCAGGCGCAGCTCGAGTCGGCCAAGTCAGAAGCGATGAATTCATTCGGCGACGATCATGTGCTAGTGGAGAAGTACATCACCACACCTCGGCATATCGAGGTCCAGGTCTTTGCGGACAAACACGGCAACAGCGTCGCCTTGGGGGAGCGAGATTGCAGTATTCAGCGACGACACCAGAAGATCCTTGAGGAATCGCCCGCACCACATCTCCCAGATGCCACTCGGAAGGATATCTGGGCCAAAGCCCGAGCGGCCGCGTTGGCGGTGGGCTACGAAGGGGCCGGCACGGTCGAATTCATCTTCGACAACGACACGGGTGAGTTCTATTTTATGGAAATGAACACGCGGCTACAGGTCGAGCATCCCGTGACGGAGATGGTGACGGGCCAGGATCTGGTCCACTGGCAGATCCTAGTGGCCGAGGGGGCCAAGCTGCCTCTGACGCAAGAGGAAGTGGAGGCGCGCATGGCCCAGATGGGACATGCCATCGAGGCCCGGATCTACGCCGAGAACCCGGACCTGGGGTTCATTCCCGATTCGGGCCGTCTCATCCATGTGCACACACCCGAAACTACGGCCGACATCCGGATCGACGCTGGGTTTGTGGAGGGCGATGACGTCTCGGCACACTACGACCCCATGATCGCCAAATTGATCGTCCGGGGAGCCACCCGCCAGGAAGCCCTGCGCAAGTTGGCCACTGCCCTCGAGCAGTACGAGATTGCGGGCCCCGTGACCAACATCGAGTTCCTCAAGACCGTGTGCGAGAGCCCGGATTTTATTGCCGGCGAGGTCGAGACGGGGTACATTGAGAAGCACCGCGAGGAGCTCTTCGCCAAGAAGACCATTGAAGAAGAAGTGCTGGCCCAGGTCGCCTTGGCATGCTTACAGCGCGACTCTACATCGGAGTCTGGCCCGTCCGTCGGCTTCACCCCGAGCTATCAACAGCGTCAGCTGAGCTTCACCGAATCCGCCGGGCCGGGGGCTCCAGCAGGAACTCCCTTCACCGTGCAGGTGCAACAGACTGCCGACAACACCTTCAACGTGCAAGTTGGCGACCGGGTCTTTGAGCAAGTAGTCAGCCACCTCGACCTGGGGTCACGGGTCGTCACCTCCTTTTTCCCTCACACACGGCTGGACACGACCGTCGTGCGGGACGAGGACACGATCATCGCATTCCAGCGCGGCTCGCAGTACCGATTGACCGTCCCGCGGGCCGGCTGGATGGAGAAAGCGCTCGGGATGAAGGACGTGACGAACAGCGTGCTGGCGCCAATGCCATGCAAGGTATTGCGGGTGGAAGTACAGGCCGGCGACGAGGTTGAGAAGGACCAGCCGCTGGTGGTGATTGAGAGCATGAAGATGGAGACGGTGATCCGGAGCCCGCAACGGGGCACGATCCTCAGGGTTGTGCATCAGAAAGGAGTAAGTCCAGTCACGCGCCCACCTCCTGATTTGTTCTGGAACGATCGGATGGCGGTCCCATGATGCGCCCCGTGACCGGTACTGACATGTTCCTGCAGGACCAATGCAAAAGCGGCACTCCCCTCGTCGAATTCGCCGATTAGTGACCTGACAGCCCGTCTGGGCAAGTCGAGTCCTGGGCGTGGCCCGGTCGGGGGCCACTTGCTTAGGGATTCGTGTGGGGTACTTGAGGGCTGTCCCACTGCACAACAAGCACAATCGGATCAGCCCCGGGGAGTGGATCTAGAACTGGTTAACGGGCAACCGGCGGGAATCCCGCCCCAGTCAAAGGGCGGTAACGAATGTGAGCAGCTGCAACCGCGTCATGTTGTGGGAGAGAATTGCCACTGGCTCGGCGGGGGAATAGTGGCGAAAGTGTATGTGCAGCGGCCGGCCTGCATGATGATGGTCCCGAGAAAGTCAATGAATAGCCCTGATCCATACATCTACGTCCACCTGGAAGGACCTCCTCTTGTAGCCTGAAAGTACCCGGCTGGTACACGGACCCACTGACATCAGACTCGCCTCGAGCTTTCCCCAATTCACCGCAACATTCCCAGCTGACCCAGAGCTCGAGAGCTATTATTGTTTTTCCTTTCTTTTTCTTTTTTTTTCATTCCTCCCCTTCCTCTGTCTTCCTCCTCGTCTCCCTTCTCTCCCTGGACCGACGCATCCATCCCCTTGCTGCACATACTTCCCTTCCTAGGCCACTCTCCACTCCCCTCTCTCCTCTCCGGCTTCAACCTCCCCATTGAAGCTCCCATTAGCCCTCTAAAATGTTCCAACCCACGGTCGCACGCTCCATCCGAGCTCTGCGCACCCGCCCGGCAGCTCTATTCGCCGTCCCACGGCCCGTCTCAAGCTCCTCCCTGCGCCCGCTGTCATACACAGCTATCCGCGCCAACAACAAGAAAGATGACTCCAAGAAAGACCCCCTGGTAGCGGCGACCACCAAAGCGCCCGAGGGTGCCTCCGGCGAGCATGAAGGCCGCTTCGCCCGGACGGACGAGAGCGTCCAGATCCCCTACCCGCCTGACAGCGAGATGCCCGCACAGCCGATTGTCCAGGGTCGTGGTGGGATGCATTTCAAGCGTACTCTTGCTCAGTTCTCTCTTGAGAATACGGTTAGTATGGTTACTGGGGGTGCGCGCGGTTTGGGGCTTGTTATGGCGCAGGGTCTTGTTGCTTCGGGGTCGGATTTGGCGATTGTTGATTTGAATAGTATGTTGCTTCCATGAACAACAAGAACCGGAGAGCCACGCGCTAATTATTACCCAGAGGAGGAAGCCGAGGAACAGGCTCACAAGCTGACCGAGCAGTTCCGCAAGGAGAACCCCGGTCTGGAGGAGTGAGCTATGCCCCTCCCCTGCTCACGCTCGCCACCACCGTGGCTCGTGGCTAACTCATCCGCCATCACCAGAATGCCCAACGTCACCGCACACTACGCCGACGTGGCCGACCCCGAATCCGTGAAACAAGCTCTAGATGAATGCCTAACCAAGCACGGCCGCATCGACAACCTCGTCACATCAGCGGGATTCACCGAGAACTTTGACGCAATCCATTACCCATTCGACCGCATGCAGAAGCTCTGGGGCGTCAACGTCGACGGCACGTACCTCTTCGCCACGGGCGTCGCAAAGCATCTCATGGAGCGCAATGCTCCCGGCAGCATCGTCATGATCGGATCCATGTCTGGCTCGATCGTTAACGTGCCTCAGCCCCAGGCACCGTATAATGCTGCCAAGGCTGCTGTGCGGCACCTGGCTGCGTCGCTCGCGGTTGAGTGGGCCGGACACAATATTCGAGTTAATTGTATTAGCCCGGGATATATGCTGACTGCCCTGTAAGACTGACCCGGAGCCAATGTTGAGGTTTGGTGTCCAATCAAATCGACTAATAACTTCTTTGTATAGTACCCGCAAAATTCTCGATGAAAACCCCCAGCTGCGCGACAAGTGGACATCCCTCATCCCCGTCGGTAAGATGGGTACCCCCGAAGACCTCATGGGCGCCGTCACCTTCCTGCTCAGCGACGCGTCTAAGTACATTACCGGCGCGGACCTCCGTGTCGACGGCGGCTACACCCTGACCTAAATATCTGCTGCTGTGTTGTTTAGCATGATATTGATGTATGGGGGTTAGCCTTTTTTTTCACGGATGCGATATAGACCGGCTGTATTTTTCATATTTTCATATCTTTTATTTTCATCATTCAAATCAACAGGTCAAAACAACTTGTTTATTTAATGCTTCATCTCAATCGAGCCTTTGGATTTTATTTCAACTATGCTCAGGGGAAGAAACAGGAAAAGGCTTGCGATGGCTTGGAGTATAGCGAATGTGATAGGACGGACCGTTTTGCTGGGCTGGTATACCAACCAACCAACCAACCACTTCAGCTGTTTTTCTTATAGAGCGGAGCCTTGCGTGTTTCATCGCTGTAAGAGACTTATTGGAGTGCAGGCTTCCTGCAATACCTGGTTGATTCTCAACTGCCCGTGCCCTACCCTCACCCTTCACCGCCCTTCCCCTCTCTCAGCCGCACATCGCATCGCGCGCTTGGGTAAGATTTGTTTCGTAGCAACTTGAAGGACGCTGAGCATATTATATCGGGATAATGGAGGCCGTCGGGGCTGCTTCTGCCATTCTCTCAATTGCAACAGTCGGTGTGCAATGCTCCATAAAGCTGATGACCTTCGCAGGTCAGATGAAGACGGCTCCGGAACAGATTACCAAAATCGCAGAAGATGTGTCGTTGAATGCCAGTATTCTGCAGCAATTGGGTGAATTGGCTAAGGAGAACGTCGGAAATGAACCCCCTGTATCGGATGAGAACGAGAGCAGTACCGACGATATCAAGTCAATCCGTGATGCGGACACCGCAGCATCCAAGCAGAGTATCTTCAATGTCAAGGGACTGGGAACTGTCATGAGCCTGGCGAAAAACTGCGAAGAGATCTTTAACTCATTGGATCAATCCTTAAGCAAGGCAAGCAAACAGCTGCGTGCAAAATCCGGAAATTCTGGCAAGATCAAACTTAGTCATGCAGAGAAGTTCAAATGGCCGTTCCTACTACCTGGAATGGAGACGATGCGGAATGAGCTCAGAAATGTCAAAGGCACTTTGATGTTGATGCTTCAAGTCGCCATGCTGGCGTATTCGAGGAAGCTGATGAACCAGTAAGTCACTTCTATCCTCTTTTGTACGACCGCCACGGGCCATCGCTAATTTCGAAGATACGGGGAGCATAACAAACGCGGTGTGCAAGTTATTGCCTATACCAGAGAGGATCAGGACATGTTGGTTCGGTCTATTGTTGCAGCGAAGAAAGCACAGCCAGGTAGCACGGAAAAGGAGACTTCTGGAGCTTCCAATATCCAATCAGATAAGGAAATACCCTTAGAAGGAGAGCAGACACAGTTCTCCCAATTTTCGGATCCAGGACCGAATAGCGCAGCGGGAAGTACCCCATAGTATGTGCATCTTGTCGGTCGACCGTGCATATGCCCGGACAAAATTAACGCTAGCGGAGCAGTGAGCCAGATCCCGACATGGTGGATAATAATACCCAAGGTGATGAAACATTCAGGTATGCGCTCCTAGCAGCATGTTAATCCAGGGGATTGATTTCGTTCGATGCGCGACAGTGGAATAAACTCCAGTCAAAGGGGCGATCCCGGCAACCAGTAAGATCATGATGGGATCACCTAATATCGATTAGATCCCAGAGGTACTAAGCACACTAAGCTCTGTTTTTACAGGATACCACGTTCTAACCAATCATCACCGTGTGCGTCACACGTCTCCATTCCGTCGCCCTCGCCCAACTTGAGGGTCCATATCATCTCCCCTAGAGCGTCCGTAACGGAGCACCAACTCCATATCAGCTACGAGGACTGCTGGATCATACTTCCGAATTCGACGGTCGAATCTCAGCTCCAAGAATGGAAAACGTCATCCAAAGCCACTCTGCTGGATCAGTTATCCGCCCTGAATGCCAGAGAATATGAAGCGGTAATGGCTACGAGGAACCGTATTGACTCGAGCACATTCACGGGGTATGAAGAAGAAACCCTAGAGTGGGTCCAGTTCGGCGAATACCGTACTCTCATTGAAGGCATTGAGCAGGTTAAGGCCAGGAACATAACTATGATCCTGAGTGGGGTGTATGGGCCGACTTCCCGGTTCGAAAAGAAAAAGGAGGCGGATATTCGGCGACCAACATGGATGAGGGTACGGCGCAATGAGCTCGAACTAAGTTCAATCATGGCTGAGACGGTTGAACAGGTCCATCGCAAGCATCTTAATCCTGAAACCTTGCTAACATATGGACTGCCGTGGGATTGGGATGAGGTAATATTTAAGTCCTGCGTGCACGCATCCTGGAATTCTATCATATTGCCGTAACGCTGACCGGTTTTAATAAAAAAGGGAGATAGAGACTACCTTCACATCAAAAGATGGATCACCGAAGATCTTCTGGAAGAACTATTCGCACATACCAGACGTTTACGCGAGAAGGATGTTTTGGTACAGGCTTCAAGCTCCTTGACTGAGTGGAGAGTGAACGACAGGAGCAAAGATAAGATGTATCTCGTCCGTAATAAGAAGGCGGATGGGGAGAGGAGAGCACAGGCAGTTCTTGAAGGAGTTGAAGAAGAGATAGAGGAAGAGAGAGGACCGGAAGCAGATGTGGGTGAGCATGATGACACCACGTCAGAGGAGAGCGAAGACGATACAGAAGGCATTGTCGACGCTCTTTTGGCTGAGTACACTCGTGGATAAATCCAGCAGCAGATCTTCAATCGCTCAAGCAGCAGACTCCTCATACTGTTACCCTACCTTACAGAGATTGGTGGAGTCTGGCACACTCTAGTAGACCGCAACTGATCCATAATGCCATAAAGAAGACGGTGGTCGTCTTGATTTTCTATCGCTCTTATTGACCCGGACTCCCTCCAGACCGTACAGGAGTAATGCGGAAGCTAATTTTATGTAGTTATTTCCAATCGTACTCGAATACTGTCTGATGTCTTTCTGTCTATAACCTCTTGGTGATCGTCTCGGGCTCAACTATCTTCCACTAAGCAGGGAGCTAGTATCAATTCCCGCTCTATGGTGAAGGTATTTAACACTCAGTTTACTTTAAGATGCAGACGACGTTTCCACTTCCTCCCACTTTTCTTCATCGCCCGCTGAGTTCGCTCAAGCGGGTAGTTGATCGGGGACTCGCCACCGGTGAAGATGAAGAAGTCATACAGGAATGCACCCATAAAGGCACCGCTCAGGGACCCGACCCACGGTCCATAAAACCAGTAGGAATTGGTAAACAGGTCGCTGGGAAAGCCGACAGCTAGAAGAGCAAGACGGGGCCCAAAGTCACGGCTAGGGTTGAATGCAGCACCGGTCTGGTAGGAGAAAGTCATACTGAGGCAGGTGATGACCAGACCGACGATCAGCGAGTTCATACCGGCGCCGGGAGGAGCGTTTTGGTCGTCACCAAGGGCCAAAATAGTGACGACTAGGCAGACCGTACCGACGAACTCGTTGAAGAAAGCCGTCCCAGGACCGATCCATGCTTCACGCTGGCTGGTCACAAAGCTAGTGATTATACCAGTCTCCGAGTTGAGGAGGAGGTAGTTCTGAATAGAATGATAGTAGACACCGTAAGCAGCAAGCCCAGCGCAGAAAGCGGCGAGGAACTGAGCTGCGAAGTATTCGGGCATCTTGCGCTTCGGGAAGCCACGGAAGAACCAGAGCATCATGGTGATGGTTGGATTGAGGTGAGCACCAGAAACACCACCAGAAATGTGGATAGCCATCATGGTAGCCAGGCCCCAAGCCCAGGCGGTCGTGTTAGGGTTACCCTGGTTGGCGACGGTAACGGACAAATCGGCACAGAAACCGATAGTGAGCTGTACAAAGACAGCCAGTGCTTCAGCCAGAGCCTCGCGATGATGCGTACGGATGACGGACCAGGTTGTGTGGTTGTTGTGTACTTCATCCTCGACAAGATCTTGGACCAGCGGATGCAGATCTTCGGGTAAAGCTCCCTTCTCCAGCTCGGCGGAATTCAAGATGTTGTCTAGTCTTTCACTGTCGGGTTCGTGCTCGTGCTCTTCTGGCTCCTGTTGCAGCGGTTCATCACTGCGATTTACCTGTTGCCGATGCTCATCATCCTCCTGGGAGCCTCCTTCATCTACTGCCGACAGGGGCGCTTGGGGCATATCCCAGGCCGAAGGGCGCCTGCCATAAACTGACGAAGTACGCGACATGCGTGAAGCCTGTCTCGTAGAGGTCGCATCTCCGCTAAGGATTTTGTTCATGAAGTTTTGCTCGCGCTGCAACCTAGCATCCTCAACCTGCGCCGCCATTTTCCGCGGGTCGGCTGTCTTGTCAATTCGGCCGCGCTCCAGATCATTGGGATCGACCTCGAGACCAACCTTCTGCGAGTTTTCAGTCGGCTGCTGGGCATTCGCCCGGCTTTGTAGCAGCTCTTCCTTGGTCGGCACCATGCCTGGTCGCACTACACGGGGCAGCGGTTTGGCTAAAGACCACACTGGCCTCACGTTGGAAGGTTGCTCATAGGAAGGATTGAGGTCGGCGTAGCCTGGTTGAACAAATGGCTCCTGGGCCAGCCGGAGCTGGGGAGTTTCATCTGGCCCAGCGAGTGTGAATTTTCCCTGGGTTCTCTGAGCGAGAGTGGTACGGGGAGCAAGGCTAGGGATTCCGCTGGCACCGCTTCGCCTCGAGGTCGCCGAGCTACGGCGCCGAAAGTCAGTGCCACTCGCGGCTTCATCAGCTCCCGATCTTCTGGTGGGTGAGATATAATCTGCTTCGCTGGCAGCCCGATTCCGGCTAGGTGATTGTGGTTCCGCGGCCGGTCCATCTGGCTACACAATTGATTGAGCTATTAGATGACATTCCCCCGTTTGGTCGTCTGCATTGCGTCGACTCACTCTCTCCCGCGATCGTCCGGTATCCCCTTCCTCCATGATTATTACTGGTTAGGGTGATGCTGTATTCCTTGGATAGCCTCTACCACCAGTCGATTGACAAAAATATAAGAAGGCTAAGGGATCTTCGAGCCAAGAAAGACGAGCAGATGGTGAGCACACGGGAGAAAGAACAAAGAAAAAAAATTGAATCAACAAAGGTGGGGAAATGGGAGAACTGGTCCAAATAATATCGGAAAAGAGCCTGAGGAACCCACCCTAGTACGACGAGTATAGGTGGAAGACAGAAGAATGAAAGCAGGAAAATGAATGAGCAATACCGTTCCCCCCACTTCTCCCACCGCCCGCTGGGCCTCGGAAAATGATATTGGCAAGTTACGTAGTGACGACAGGATCTTCACTGATCTCCTCATGTGGCGTCGCGAGCGATAAGGGCGAGTGGAGCTCAGTTGGGCGTATCGGCACTGGCGGATGGATGAGTTGGTTGTCGCAGCGCTTTGACAATACGCGGCAGTACCTGTCCTGACCCACTCTGGCAAAAGCTTACCTGCTCATTGAGCCATTGAGGCCCACAGTCTCGGTCCATGCCCTGCTAACCGCCTCGTTGTGGGTTCCAGTGGGTCTCCGTGCATCCGTCCCATGTCATCATACTGCAATGGTCTCTTTCCCTTTTCCTGGTAGATATGCATGTCAAATCCCACCGGCCAATTGTGGAGTGCGCCCGATCCGATGCAGCCGCGTTATCTCCCAGGCCGTCAAATTTGCTCGGGACTTCTTCTGTCCGTGGCACTGTACAGGTCTTTGTGAGCGTGCAGTGGCCCTGGCGATTCCTTCCGGCTTGTTCGGTTCTCGACTCTCTCTGCTACTCGCTGCCTCACTCAGAGATCGTCATCGATGTCCTCTAAGTTGGTGAACGAGTAGACCTCGCAAAGAGTGAAAGAGCGACTGACCAGTAGACTGGAGCTTTTTCACTCTGAAATCGGCACGGGTGGGTGAGGATATCCGCATTACTGTGGACTGGTGCAGTTATGAAAAAATAAAAGGGTAAGATTATATTGTCAATGCTCTATATCTATCACGTTTTGCCATCTCACATGATAACTTTGATGGGTTGCCGCCGTTCCTCATCACGGAAGCCATCCGTCGTACAGGCGTTCACAAGCAGACATTTCGCCTCGGTGGCAGGGCGGAAGAGTGCTCTTATCAACTCAAGGAATGTCTCATAAAGATTGCACAGTCCACCACCAGCAACAACTGTGCGCTCGTACGCATCCTGTAGGGCGTCGAATTGCAGCCACTCCGTTCCTGCGCCTTCATGAACATGCCCGAACACATGTAATCGTGGCCGAACAGACCAGAGTTTCCGTCGGAGATGGACGCAGCCGAGACTGAGTCTGTCGAGGTGTGCACGGGGCGGCCCGTGTGTGATGAGCACGTCAATACCATCCGGGACAGTGTCAGCCCAGATATCCGTCTCGCGAGGATACTGGAATGCCGGTGTGCCATATCGGGCTGATTGGGGACTGCCATATATTCGCAGACGGCGGCCATTGGCACAGACGATAGTAGTCTCTGCGTTCTCTAAGTAGATGATGTCTCCCCAGTCAAGCATCTTCCGCTCGGCGGCTCCTTGTGGGTTGGTTCGAGCGTCGCATTCCGGATCTAGAAGTAGATCATGGTTGCCTGCCACAACGATCTTGGTCGGATGTGGTTGCGCTCGCAACCAATTTATTGCAGTTTGCAGCTCCTTGAATGACCCCGACTCCGTCAGGTCGCCTGCATGGATGAGAATGTCGCCACGTGGGAGCTCGGGCTGGGAATTGTGCGTGTCGGAGATGCAGACTATGGACACCGGATCCGCTAGCGGCTGTGCTGGGATCGTCTGCTGCCAAGTGTAGAGCTTACGAGCTAGGAACAAACATGGGTGGTCCTGAAATTGTTGCCAGACCCCTCGGCGAGGGCGGCTGAAGAGCGCATCCAGGCTGCGATAAGAGAAGAGTGACATAGCTCAGAAAAGGACCAAGGACATCGCCCTCCTGTGCATTGATTGCGCCCGCCCTCTCCGGGTAATTTTTGATGCTCGGAGTTTGGTGACTGATGGGTGGTCAAGAACGTTTTTCCGCTCGCGTTGATTGCCTAATGTGGTCCACATTCGAGATTGTGCTTCATGATGACGTTGGTTCAACGAAAGAAAATTCCAATCAATCTAACTTTTTGCCTACAGCAACATGCTAATCAATACATTCTAATTTGCCAACACGAGAAGGCCATCAAGCAGAGCACTGTTTTCCAGCCAGCTCTACCTCAGTACAAAGTCCATCTGGTGATCCGAGCCAGTTGTCGCAAAGGTCGTTGCAAGAAGTGTTCTCCGATACGAAGACAAGGTATCCATACTTTCCTACCTCGATGCGATACTCTTCATTCCGATTAATTTGTAGCCGGGAAGACAGTGGCAATAAAGTTTGCGAGTGGACAGATGTTTCAGGTGCAGAACCGCCTGCATTTGAATCATCTGAATCTGTAATTTCGCCCGAAGTTGTACTCCAAGCAGACCCATGGACTATAGTATTTGTCGGAGGCAACTCTAGTCTTGGCGGGGATGGCGCAGGAGAGTGATGGGCTCATCCGAACTATCAATCTGTCTTGCGCCACAATATGCAAGAATACAAACATCGCAAATCGATCTCAGTCATCCTTGAAGTCTTGTGAAACTACATACTATACCACTCCCCAGCTTCTCCGCATCTCTCTGCATTCCAGACGGTGGGTCGATCTCCCAGCGCGAATTTGCTTCACATTACGGGGTTATCAAGGGCGGGATAAGGAGTCCGGCCTTCGTGAATGCAGCACACTGCCAATTCAACCGAGTTTTATTCTCCAAGAATCCGACATTCCGCCGATGTCCTACCCCTTGTCGAGCCAAGCTTGCTGGAGCTGTCCTGCCGACGGGAACTTGTCTGCATCATGGAAACATTGGACTTTGGCCAGTTAGCCTGAACTGCAAGCCAGTCCATGTGGTAGATGACATACACTAGTCTGTCTCCGCTGAGAGCTTTTCTAGCAACGCAATGACTTTTTCTTTGCGGGCTTGATGTCTGGAAGGCATCATCTGGGCTAGGCCATGTCACGCCATCCCTGCTTCTTACAAGGGGCAAGCAAAAGGGAATGTGACGAGTGAACCTCTCATATTATTAAATAGATGGACGAACTCTCTTGAATGCGATGGTTATTGTTCCTTCCAATTAAAAGTTCACCGCAATGCCGGCCCGTCCCGAAGTCCCGACAACAAGCTTAGAATGACGGGAGCCTGACGCCTCTTTTTGTTCATACAGACCACCCAGGCTAGAGGTCAAGTCAAGAGTTTAGTCTTGTTAAATGTCGCCAGTCTTGTTTTGTAGCGACGGGGACCTTGCATCAGAGTGTTTTGTTTACCCATGATCTAATGCAGGCTGCCTTTAGTTGCTGGCGGAGGTATCAAGCGTGGCCTAGAACGTGTACTTGCCATGGTTAACGACAATACTGCCTTTTGCCTCTTTGTTTTCTTTTCCTTCTACTTCGCGTCTTTCAGATACCACACGCGCCTCCCTTGCCCTTCTGTCTTCACGAACTTACATCGACCTATCTCCGTCTTTAGCGCTCATCAGACAATATTAAGGTCAGATATTCGGCCTTCCTTGCTGGACCGTCGTTGTTCTGACTGCATCCTAGATTCTCACTCCTTGGCGACAGATTGTTTCTTCCACACTGATATCTGGAACTCGATCTGATCACGGTCCTGTAACTGACATCTTCTTCTTAATGTCATTCCTTGCACCTTTATCCTCATTTCTTTCATCTACTTGTTGAGGATCGATCGGGCCATCTGCTCAACGAACCGAGACCTGATCTGTCTTATAATTTAAATGCAAGATGGAGCATAGGCTCTCACATAGCCTGGTCACCATGTCCATGGTTCCGTGTGAGGTTCCGAACGGAGAAATAGCAGACCCCTTGGTGATCAAGAACTTCTGGAAAGGTATGCATGTTCGTTCTCACCAAAAAGAGTCGGTTGATGCTGACCCCTTTTTGCAAAGCCTATAACGTCTCGCGCCAGACGAGCAACAATGAACGAGAGCTCCGGCTGGAATGTCTCTTCTGGAGAATATGGGGCAGCCATAGTCTCTCCAGCACAATCACTACCCAGACATTGGATAGACTGGTCCTGCGAATCATGACACCCTCTTCTTCGCGTAAACTAGCCGCAACACGTCATGAAAGCCAGGTATATAATCTACACCGCTGTCGGTGTTTAGTCTATCTCTTCTGATTCTTTGATATAGGCTGTGCATGTTGATAATGATCCGCCGATCACTACTCTCCCACATCCCCAGCACACCAGTGCGCACACTCAATCACCGCCGGCCACCGGCACAAACAAGGCTGAGCTCCATTCAATCCTGAAGAAACCGCGCACTGTACAGAGTGAGCACCAGAAGTCTGCGCGTCTCCTCCTTGAGCAGCCCGATGGAAACAGCATCACCTGTAACCCGTCTAACCCTCCCACCCCCAACATATCTGAGCTGAATACCCAAGAGAACCGGCCGGCTCAAACGGGCCAAAAGAAGAAATCCTTCGCCGCTGGTCGATCGAAGCGAGGCCCACGGCGGCGACCAGCTTTCAACCGCCGGTCATCCTCACAGTCATCCATCTCCAAGGTTTCCTCTCCAACCGAATCACGCTCCAACTCTTACGAGGTATTTGGCTCTTTCGAACCGCTGTACGATTACGATGACTCCGTGGTGTCCTCTCGTGTCACTACAGGCTCAGATAGGGCCACTGCAACAAGCTGGATCGATCTCAAGTCCGTTGAAGCATCACTGCCGCTGCCGCACTCTGGCACTGGCACCACCGGCACCATGACACCCCCTAGCACTGACCTGGCGATCTCAGACAAAGCTCACCCAGCCAGGCGGCCAGAAATCACCCCGGCCGTACTCGCCATATCAGACAAACAGGATCTCATCCTGCCGCAGGGAATAGAGACGGTTAGTGAAGACCCCAAGCGAGCGCCCACCCAGGCCACAAAGAAGAAATCTGAACCCGAAGTCCCCAGTTCCTTTGAAGAGTTATTTTCTTTCCCAGAGATTCCAGATTGTCGAGATACCGTATTGCCCCCGGGCATTACCGACCAACAACCTGCCACAGGCACCACCTCCTCGTCGCCCAGCCTTACCCAACTCGAACTCGCAGAAGCAGATCACTCCACCGAGATGCTCATCGAGCTCCTCAAAATAATCAACGATCCCGACCCTCTCCCAGCAGGGGAGGAGGCACCCCCCGTCCCAATTCGGCCATGGTTCACGGCCCAGCGGCAGTGGCTCCCTGCGCCGCGAGAGCAGAAATTCTTTGAGTGGATGGTGCAGGACCATACCTCTCTTATTCACCCACAGCCTAAGACGGATCGGCTCTTGCCAAGGGACTACCGGACTCAGTGGGTGGCTGCTTTGAGTTCGTGGAAATACCATCTGGCAAGGTCCAGGAAGCCTGGTTTGTACAGTCACACGAAAGGGCTTGCTATCCTGGGGACCATCTATGAGGAAGATGAGGAGGATGAGGAGCGGTATGTGAAGGATTTCTGTACGCCTAAGAAGGAAGGGGGGTGGTGTGATTTTGGGTCGGCGGATGACACTCTTGTTTCTGAAGAGGCATAATGTCGATGATGGATGACAGATGGGGGATGACGGCAGTCAAGCCAATGCATATCTGCACAATCACCCTTCGGGGTAATCAATATGGACTCGATCGATCATGTACAGAATCTAGACTTGAATAAAGGCCAATGTGAAATGGAACTAACTCCTTGTATATTGTGCAAGAATAGGTATGAAACAAAGCACAGAAGAGGTCAGACAGTCAAAAGAGCCAAAAAAGCTCCGTTAAAAGACACCACCGCAGCGCCATGAGCTGAAGCAATGCCAAATATTCAAAAGATCAAGCAAAACTGTAAACAATCGAATCAAACTCATATTCACACCACAACCACACGTATATATTGAAGACCACATCTTTTGAGAAGAAAAGAAAGAGAGACGAAAGAGAGGACCACTCAGCCAGAAGCCGCATCGCCCTTCTCAGCCTGACCAGACTCATTCCAAGCGGTCTTCGCCGCCCGTCGAGCCTTCAGATACCGTAGCAGAATCCACGAGGCAGTGAGGCACCAAAAGACCAGATTTAGCAGATCCACCCAGACAGCATGGCGCATGCGATCAATCTTAGCAGCATCACCCAGTCCCGAAGCAGTATCTCTCTTGATAACAATACTCGAGAGAGTATTATTTGAATTCGAATTCGAACCCGACACCGAAGAAGTCGAGTTGGAGTTGGAAGTAGAAGACGAAGTCGAGTTCGAACCCGATCCCGAACCTGTATCCTCTCCAGCAGGATAAACACCAATATACATCTTCCCAAAGAGCCCAAAAAGGACCAACCACAGGATACAAAGCAGAAGCTCCCACGAGAATTGGGGCAGCAGCAACCCCGGCTTCGTATTGCTCTTGATACGGCGCAGGCAGCACGGTAGCACGAAGTGCGCGAGTGTCGTCATCGTCGCTAGGAAGGCTGTCACGACGGCAAACACCCAATTCGCGTTCCAGGTGTGAAGGGTTTGATGGTCATAGGACACGTCTTGGCCGTAAAGTCCGATGACGGTCAGTCCGAAGACGAACTGCAGGAAGCGCGTTGCGGACATGAACATTGAGACTAGCTTGGAGCCTTTGCCTGCTGGTGGTGGTGCTGCCGCCGCCGCTGGCGCTGGTGCCGGTGCCATTGGTGGCTGTGCCATGGGGTACTGGTATGTTCCGCCGGGGGCGACGCCTGGTGGGTAGCCGCCGGGGTAGTAGTCTGGCATTGCGTACTGGTAGTTCGGGTAAGGAGCAGGCGGTTGCTGGTCCTGAGACTGGGATTGTTGGTTCTTGGAGTTGTGTTTCTTGGCTTGCGAGTAGCCCAGGCGGAGGAGTTTGAGGGCAACAAATGCCATGGACTTGATGTGATGATTTTTGGTTCGAGTGAGGAATTAAAGCCGTGGAGAATCAAGAAGCACTGATGGAGCCGCTGATGTAGTTCTCGAGTATAATATGCAAAGGAAAATGTTGCGCGCAGCGCAAGGGCGTCCGTGGTGAGTCAAGCTATATGTTTCTTAAGAACATATAGCGGAAAGAGAGCGGTAATAAGATGGAATTCAGTATGGCAGACCTGGTGCCAAACAAAGCGGTTGGAGAAAAGAGAATGCCCCAAGTATAGAGGGAGCAGGAGCAGGAAAGGGAGGATGAACCGGGAGACCAGCCTGGCAGGTAATAAAAGAACAAGGAAATAGATTCGGAGATCGAGTGAGAGCCTTTCAACAACAAAAGGGAAAGAAGAAGAAAAAGAAGAATGATAACAACTAACAAGCGTGCGAAGAAAAGGAAAGGCGATTGGTTTGTGGATGAACTGCTGTCCCAGGCGTGCTGGCTAGGGAACGTTTTATATCCATCCCGCCGAAACGATTACACAGAACGGAAGAGACAAAGGCATGTCTTGTTATTTTGGGATACGCCCATTTGCGCACAATGAAACCCATCGGCGCTGGCCTTTCTTTCAGTGAGTCTCCACTGTGTCGGCATGGCGTCGGAGCCTGTGAGCCATCAGAATCTGATGGGGAGGAGGACAATGAAACACTCTTTTTTGGGAAAGAGTAAATTTAGAACAGAATATCAACGGGGGGTTGAGATGAAACGATTATGATTGCAATGATGACACGCCTATTTTCATTATTGTGAGGGTAAGTGAGGGCGTGACGCGAAAGATAGTAGTACAGACAATCTGTAGTGGTTTCGGAGTGCTTCAGTTGGCGCGCGCCAAATGGTGCGGATCCGGGACGTTTCAGCGCGGCGGTTGAGTTCGTGCACCAGGTCCAATCACTCAGATAGCCTAATAATAGCATGATTTTAGTATGACTATTGAGAAGTCCGTTTGATCAATCAGCGCTCAGTTGATAGGTCGGTGAGAACTGTGTAGCCCAAAGCCTTAACAAAGCCCTACAACTACAACACTGAGGAGATCAAAACAATCAAATTCAACATATGCACATCGCTCAGAACGGTGTTCCATGATTACAAGTACACAACAGAGAAGCTACGCATAGCTATCTCTGGGGTCATTTCCATCATTGCCAAAAGAGCACACCTAACATGGGGGTTGTTCCAACGCCATCAGGACCCGTGCGAGGCCAACCAACCCGATGACTGTGCTCGAGTCCGATATGCCTGAGAGGGGAGTTCCTGGATGCATGCAATAATAACGAAAAAAAAAATACTGAACAACGAGACCGGGTACGCCAAGAAAGCCGAAACGAAGCAACAGTGGGTAGGACCAATGATGGGAAGGGTTTGCGGGAAGAAACCGATAAGTAGTTCCAAGGCCGAGCCAAACCCAGCCCAGCAATCCTACCCACGTCTATTGTCAGGCAGGTCTGCTAGCTGCGGCATCTGCAATTCCCTGGGGATCCGTGGCAGTCGTTGCTGGGTGGTTTCCAGTGGGAAGAGGCGGCTTCAGATCCGATGGGGGAGGAGGCATGGACCCCGGGGCGGGGATCAAATCGGCTTCATCTTCATAATCCTCTTCCTCATCGGACGGATGCCCAGGGGGCTCACCAGCCAACCCAGCCCGGTACCCCTCACGGTAGGCCTCTTCTTCAACTTGCTGGACAGCGGCCTGCTTTGACGCGTTCTTAGTGGCCTTCTTGGTCTTACGGCCCTTCATCTTCGCTTTTTCCAAGAGTCTCTTCTTCTCAGCCAGGCGCTTCCGCTCCTTACGGTCTTTGATCTCGTATTGCCGAATGAGTGCCTCGGGCCGGCGGCCAAAAATGCTCTCATACTCGCAGAACTCGCAAATCCAAATATCTTCCATGGCTGGCGGATGATGGAGATTCGTGTACTGCTGCTGGATCTTGCGTTGCCGTGCGGCCAAGCTGTAAATGGCACCCGGTGGCCGTTTCTTTTTGCGGCCCACCGGAGCTTGTTCTCCGCCTTGGCCAGGCGGGATCTGCGTACCGGGCGAACCATGCTGGTTCATCTGTGCAGCCATACTCGGACTGGTTTGCGTGCCTTGGGTGGAGAATCCTCTCGCATGGCTCGCTGCGGCAAGAGGGGAGGTAGGCGAGCGGTGCGGACCAGAGTACGAGTTCCGCTGCATCGCCATGCCTTTGGAAGAGTCCGACTCGCAGGTGAAGGTAAATTGTGTTTTGGTGGGGGTGGTGTTCTCTTGGTCCAGCAAACTGACGTTGCTGGGGCCTCGAGGGGGGATGAAAGCGTTGCGGCATTTGCAATTGCGGTAGAGATGATACCCTGATCAGTCGGAGAATCATCTAATAACAAAAAAGGTCAGCTTGTTGGGAATTCACAACGTCATCAAAGCATACCGGCTGGCCCAGGCGAGGACATGAGCCCATCCCGCCGGCTCGGAACTCGAGTATTCATCCACGCGTTCTGCGCGTTAGCTGATAATGGGCCCCTGCCACTGCCAGTGCGAACAGTGGCCCGCCCCAGGCGGCCTCTTCCAGACCCGGAGATTCCACTACCCAAGGGGCTCGCAGGGTTACCGCTGCCATAGTACGTCCCGGTGGTCACAGCATCATTCACAGCCGCGGCTGAGCTTGAATTCGGAGTTGCCAAGCCCATGCTGGCAAACTCCGGAGACAAGGCGGAGTGATGACCTCCCGAGTTCCCTGGTGTTGGAATCTTTCTCTTCTTTTTGTTATTGGTATTTTCAAAAGCGTCATAACCATCGGGGCCCGCCGGCGACTTCACCTGGGGACCATCGCCATTGGTGTTCGGGTGGGTGCTGGAAGGGGACGGTGAAGACCCTCGAAACCCAGCACTCCGGCGAACAACTACTGGCCCATCGTCATCTCCGCTGTCCAACTCTGCCGCTGCCTCGCAATCATGGTGCGGGTGGCTTTCTGCACAGCCGTCGACGCTCTGGGTCTGCCGCAGCCGCGCATAGGCTTTGGAGTTGTTCACCACTTCTTCGGTGTCCGGGGAAACACCATAAAAGATCTGCGATGCGGGGAGAGAGGGAGGGTACAGGATCGTGTCGGCGGCGTCCGTGGACAGGCGAGAACGCAAGGTTCGTTTGGGGAGCGGACGAATCAGACGATCGGGGTAGAGGGGAGAGGGTGTGTCAGGGGCCGAGTTGAGCGTCCCGTCTACACGAGTGCACACGAAGTCAGTAACCGAGTCACCAGCAAACACCATTGACATGTTCCAGGTCCGGGCCCGGAAGGCCATCTGGCGGACCCGAGACGGAAGACCTACTCAACATAGCCGTCATCATGCAGGTTCTCAACTCTCGCCCTCAACCACAGCCGACGGTGTGTTTCGATGCCTCTTGCCTTGTTTCCCCCTCCGCCGGTTTTTACTGTGAGCGGGCCAGTCGTTCGGGGGAATGTGTGGTGTCGGGGAGAGACGGCTGATCGGGAGACTGATATCCACTGTGAGCAGTCTGCGGTGACACTCCGCGCGACAACTGGGGAGCAAGCACGGTGTGTGTTTCTTCTGCACCGTGTCATTCACCGGGTCGGCATGCCCCCCGAATGGGTCGCGGGATTTGAGGAAGAATATGGGTCTACCCACAACGAGCGAGTGTTATTAATCAGCACTCTCCAACCGCAGGAGAAAAAGGTGTGGGAAATCGGTAGTGTCAGTGATGGGCGAACAAGAACACGAACAGCCCCAGCTAAGGCGAGCTGGAGCAGCAAATAGAGGAAACAAGTAATGGTGGGGAGCCGAGGAAGACACGACGAGGGGTTGAACAGCGGAAGTGAAAGAGAAAGCGAGAGTCACGGGGGTGCCGGAACGCTAGCCTGTTTGGGAGAGGGCAGCGCATGAGAACTATACCGTCGTCGACTGCGACTTCTACATTTCGATCACGGGTACGATGGTTTGGACGAGATACCGATAGGTCCTATAGAGATCCCTACTGTGGACCGTAGTCTCCATGAATTATGATTTCTCGCATCCAATGCCTCCCGGCAATCGCCATCGAGCAATCTCTGACCCCGGTGCACACCAATCATCAACTCGTCCATCCTAGGTAGGCTCTGCTGACCGCCACGAGCGGAAAGCCGGCAGGGATTGAACCCGCTAGACAAAAAGTGTAGAGACGGTCTTCCGAGAGACAACGCAGGACGCACGCCATTTGCCAATCCCTTCTGGGCTAACGAACGACTCGGTCTCGCTCCGGGATCACGCTAACTGGGGTCGGGGGTCGAATTTCGAGGTAAGAGGGAAAGGAAGTGGAAAGGTGAGAATCACAGGGGGAAACAACGCAAGAAGAAAGAATAATCGTAGCGAGAGAGACGCAGCGAGAAAGAGAGAGGAATGATGATGTTGGATGAGTAAAGCGCGTCGAGAGCGGGGAAGCAGGGGCCGTCCAATTGTTCCCGTTCCGGCGCTTTTCTCTCTCTTTCCTCTTCCTCTTTCCTCCTCTAGTATCCCCCTCACCATACTCACTCTCTCCCCCGAAAGACTATGTAGTCATCGGGCTCTACTGCGAGCCTGGTGACGCTTTGCTTCTACTTCATTCAATTGTCTGACTCCTCCTTCCCTCGACCCCGGCGCAGAGCTCGCAGAAAACGCGCGAGAGCTCCCTCGCCCTCTCGCACCCACCATTCAGCCTTGACCCCCATCCAGCCCTTGGCCCTATAGCCTCCTCGATCTCCTACGGGCTACGAGGTCTCCCTCTCGAGTGTCACCGGCTTTCACCGCCATGACCCCTCGTCGCTCCTCCCGAGCTCGCCTTACCCAGCCTTCTCCTACCCTCCTCCAACAGGTCAACTCCTCCAGCTCCTCCCAATCCATGGCAAGAGAACGAAGTACCCGGTCGAACCATAAAGGCCCTTCTCCGCAGGAATCGTCTGGTCAGCGGTCTCAGTCTATCGACGATGGTGAAAACGGCTCGAAAAATGGCCTCCCACACACGCGGCAACGCCAACGCGCCCGCGACGACGAAGACCCCGATCCACCCCGCGACCAAGACGAAGATGACCCTGAAGAGGATGAGGAGGAAGAGATCACCCGATGTCTCTGCGGCTCGCAGGACTATCCGGGTTTGCCTCCCTCTCGTCGTGAGGCCGTCGGTCGCGGCGGCAAAAAACCCGAGCCGGGACTCCCGCCCACCAACTCATCGGACAGCCTGTCGGACGATATTGGCAGCATGTTCATTCAATGTGACTCGTGTAAAGTGTGGCAGCACGGTGGCTGCGTGGGTATTATGGACGAAGAAACGAGTCCCGACGAATATTTCTGTGAAGAGTGTCGCAAGGACTTGCATAAGATCCAAGGCGAATCGAACGGGTAAGTGATGATCAATTGCCCTTGGGATTTCTTTCTGTTTGAGTCTTTGGGCATCGACGACTGCATTTTGACTGCGCCCGACTGTGCGTTCTTGTGGTGGCCACCAGCCGAGCGGACTGAGACAGCCCAAGCTAGCTTGGGCACAACCACCAGTCGTCATATGCATCTCGCCAGGTGCCTTGAGCTTTTTATGCAGCAAAGTTTTCCCCTCTCCAGAGCAGCCATGCTGATGACCTCCAGACAACGCTCTTCAACCTACCTCCCCGTCGCACCGACCGCCCTCTCCCCGGCCCCATCCTCTCCAGCCTCCTCCCGAGATACGTCGCGGCGCTCCAAAGACCCGAAATTGCGGCTTAGTGAGGGCGCTATGTCAAGTACGAAGCGGCGCTCCACTATGAACAGCCGCGACGCCGCGTACGATGAAGAGGAACTCATCCGACGGGCGATTGAGGAGAGCAAGGAAGACAATAAAAGCTCCGAAGATGAAACCACGATTCGGCGGGGGAAACGCAGCCGAAGTGATAGCGAAGCGTATGTGCCTCGCATTTATGGCCATGTGAAAACGGCAGCTGACATGCCTCGTGATTTAGAAACAGAGAAGGGACCAAGCGCCAGCGGACAGCTTCACCATCCCCCGATCCCACCTCGAAACAGAGTAAGGCTACCTCTCAGCCTCCTTCGGACGACGAGTCCAAAGCCAAATCCACAGCGAATGGTACCCGAAGACAAAGAGCTGCGTCTCGAGGCCAGAAGGAAATGGCGAAGGAGCTGGAGGAAGTAGAGACAGAAGCTCAACGTCGCAAGGAAAGATCAAGTCGACGGAGAGGCGAAGGTAAGGGACTAATACCACGTACTCTTAAGCGACTCGAAACTGACTTGTGAACTCACAGAATCCGAAAATGGAAGCGTATCCCCTGTCAAGGCCGCTCCAATCGAGCCTGAACCATCCCAAGCGAGTCCCATTACCCCCACACCTCAAGAGCCAGCCCCAGCTCGCCAATCCACGCGCAAGTCAGGCCGTCCTGGTGCGCGTCGTGGCGGCCGCGTCGGCCGCAACCAATACACCAAGGACCGGGATGTCAACGGCACTGGCACGGAGTCAGCCAACTCACCGCGCCGTGGCCAGTCGCACGATGTGGGAGGAGACTCGCCTCGGGTGGGAACCGCCGGTCCCAACGGCACACACATGAACGGCGGGGAATCAGGGCGGCCAAGCAAGCCGCGGCACATGCATCCACAGCGGACAACGATGAACGAGATGAAGCGACGCGTCGCAGCCATCCTAGAGTTCATCTCGCGCATGCAGGTCGAGATGGCCGTCGCCAGCGAGAACTCCTCCACACCTACTGGCAACGGAGACCAGGCGAATGGCTTGCTGCTGAAGAGCATGGTTGACCAGATCGAGAGCGCCATGCCGTTAGCAATCAACGAGGGCGGCGAGTCTGGGCCTGCGACGACAAATGGCGACGGCGACACCCTGGCTCGCGAGAAAGATTTCAAAGAGCTAAGCAGCGTGGAGATGATGGACGTGCTGACCCGCCATCTGCTCAAGTGGCAGCAAGAATACGGCAAGTTTGGCGAGCGGTAGTCCCAAACAACCAAGTCTGTGTGACTTGAACTTGACTTTGGGCAGAGTCTAGCAGCCTTACCTTGATACCTTTGCTTGCTCCTCGACCACTATGATCAAAACCGATATGGTCAATAATGAATAATATCTCTCTTCCTCTCGACTCATGCCTATTCATCCCACGCTACACTTTTTATGAATTCTCACCTCATCTCACTTCTTCCTCTCAACCTTCTTTTTCTTCTCCTGCATCCGCCGCTGTACATTAGGTCATCCGCTCTGGTCGGAGTTCTGAGTCCTTTGTGGGTTTTTTTGCTTTCTGTCGATCCGGCGTCGTGATTCATCCATCGATTCGACTGCAGAGAACCCGGCTCTTGTTCTTGTTGATTTTCATGTCATGTTCATGTTCCTTTTGGTTGTTGTTACTCTATGATTGGATTTGTTGGTTCCTTTCTCTTGTCTTCTGCGCCTACTCCTGCTCCTACTCTTGAGCTTTTCTGTCCTCTCCTGTCAATGACCAAGGTCTGAGTATCTATCCATCTGGCTTGTGCGTTGAAATTCGTGAACGGTTACACTTCCTCAGCGCGGTATGGTATATATAGGGTTCCTCTGCTTCTTCGCGGCCATCACTATTGATTGCTGAGTATTGGTGTTGATTATCCATTCCCTCTATGGCTGGCTGGCTTCTGGGACTTTTTTTTGTTGGTGCTTGTGGTCGGAGCTTGGGGATAATCTGCTTGTTGATTGTATTGGTGTTGTGGGTCTGGTTTTGGTTTGGTTTATATATGGCCTTCTTTTCTTTCCTACGTTTTGTTTCTTTCTAGTGTAGTACGGTAAATGACATATACTCTTGTCCATGACCATCGATAAAGTGGTTTGAATGATTACTGATTGTTGGGTTTTGTTGCTATTACAATGATATGTGAAGTGACGAGGATGGAAATATATATCAGTCGCTTCACTCTCACATCGAGATCACGCAAAGTCTTAAGCACATTGATTTGAGATATAATATAGAAAGATACCTGACTTGATCAATTGAGATATTTCAACAGTGTGGAGAGGGTTGCCAGCTAGATCGAATACTTCAAGCTGGGCCCCAGAGGAAACAAGGCCTTACCTCATCCAGTCAGCCACAACACGCACCTACATCAAACTAGGCGTTAATAAACAATCTCTACAGAAAATACATGCTCATGAAAAATATCTCTCAAGCTACACGATCACGAATAGAAGCAGAATTTATAGTAAAAAAACCCTAATTTGCATTATGGTCACTTAGATACAGGGTTGAGTTCATGCAGTCAGTACACACACAGGAAATCCATATATTTTCCCCCTTTAATTTAAGTAAAAAGATCCATCCATCCATCATCCAGGGAAAATCGTAACAGATACGTACAAAAGAAAGAAGAAGAAAAAGAAAAATACACAAGCTCCAAAGCCAAAGCAATCAAGTCATGTCATGTCCAGCCATGCAAACACAGCCCCTAAAAAAGACAATTTACAGGCGGGAACCGTGAATAACCTTGAAGTCGACGACGAGCTCGCGGCCACCGTCATTGATGACAAGGGCACGGACAGAGCCACGGCCATCAGCGAAGGCATCGCGGATGCGCTTGAAGAGCGAGCCTTGCGTGATGACGGGCAGACCCTGCTTGACATCACCGGTCTCAGTCATAGCGACGAGACGGCCATCCTCACGGAGGTCCAGGATGCGGTAGGTCTTGTAGACGGGTCCGAGCATGGTCTGGACAACTACCGAGGGAGAGGGGTTGGAGACGAAGCTAGACTCCTCCTGCAGCTGGCGGGTGAAGAGGTCAACGCCCAGGTAGCGGTGCTGGCCCGTCTGGGGGAGACGGAGATGCGAATGACCTGGCAGGGACGGCCCTGGAGGATGAGGATGTCGCCAATGCGAATGAAGTGGCAGGGGATAGGGACGGTCTCGCCGACGGAACCGCGGTTGCGCGGCTCGACGATGCGGACGTCTTCCCGGATAGTCTCGCTGAAGCGCGCTGGGCCGGCCTGCTCGTTTACCACAACCTCCTCACGATCATGGTGGTGGAACGGGTGCATGATCCGGTCGGCGGCGCGCTCAACGCCGCGGCGGAAGGAGTGGTAGTGGCCCTCGTCGTCGTAGTAGCCCATTTTGTTGGATGCTGGGGCGGCGGTGTCACGGATGGTTTCGGAGACGCGGATGTCCGTTGAGATGGGCTGCTGCTGGGCGTAGGTCCGGTCGTACGAGACGTCAACGGACTGTTGCTGCTGCTGGTTGCCGTAGGACTCTACGGGCTGGTAGCGACGGTCGTAGGAGCCGTCGAGGTCGTAGGTGGGAGAGGTCCGGCGGCGGTAGTCTCTCTCTGTGATGTCGAGTTGGGTCTCGACGGTCTGATCGTAGACGGGGGAGCGGTCCTCGTAGCGGGTGGTGGACTGCTGGTAGTTGTTGGGGTAGCTGGAAGAAATGATTAGTTTTTTGTTTGGAGTCTTCCCAAGGTGGATATATAAACAAAAACACCCGTCACCGCTGATTGGGGCCAAAGTGGAGCCTGTCTGACACGTAATTCGGCCTAGGACTAAATCCGCAACGACTCTAGACCCAGATGGGCCGAGCAAGACCAAATAGCGCCAACTTGCGAGACTCCACTGCGCCCAGTGGGGACGGACGGGAAACAAAACAAGAATAAACAAAAACAAAAGAACTTACCGCTCACGGGTGAGTTCAACCTCTGCGGAGTAGTTTCGGGGCGAACGGCGGTCCTCTTGTTGCACACGCAGATCAATCTCTTCTTTTCCGTAGAAACGAGGATTGGGGAGCTGAGCCGAAGAGCCTCGAGTATCTTCCCGTTCGACGCGCGAAGTGGCTTCGAGATTGACTTCTCCCTCTACTCTCGTCTGAGTAGTTTCAGAGACAGCGTCACTCCGGTACGACGACGGGAAGACACTGAAGGGAATGGGGACACGGGCGTCAAAGTCCAGATTGACTGACTTGACGACGCTTTTCTCGAAAGCCTTTCGAACTGTTAAATAACAACTCGAAAGACTAGACAAGAAAAGACTTGTTTTCTGGAGGAAGAAGAAAGTCTTTCTCGAAAGAGATAACGTGGGATGGAAGAGAGTAGGTGTAAGCTTGGGGAAGAATAAAGAAGGAGGAGGAAGAAGGAGTGGAAGAGGGCCAGGAGCAACGGGCGTGTATTTATGGCTGGTTGTTTGTTTACTGCCCTAAGCCTGATCGGGGCGACCAGCAGTACCTCGGCCAGCACTGTCACCAGCACTCTCTACCTTGGCCAACTGTCTTTTCCTGGCTTTATTTCACCGCCAATGATCTCCAGAATGGGGTGTCCAGATCGATCATGCCTCGCTACATTCCTCCCATCTACATCTCTTACCCGCCCCCGGAGTGGTTGGGGAATGCTCCCTCCCAACACGCTTCACATGGTTGACAGGGGAGGCTGGCCAGGCGTGGGAAACCCACCCGTCACCATGGCAACCATCGGCCCCGGGTTGAATCGGATCTGGTTGGTGTGGCCCACATACATGTGTTTGTTCGATGGATTATTTATTTGGGGCAGAGCACATCATGATTGACACTCCAGAATTGCCCCTGACTAGAATAGACAAAGAATCGGAGCAATTGAGAAAGTAATAGTTAACTAACACCTGAGACACAGCCTGCAAGTCGAGCTGCCAACCACGCAGTCCGGCCTTTCCATTCCAGCTCACCCTGCAGCGAGCGGGCTTGGGCCAGATCCTCCAGCCTTTCTCTCTCCGCTAGTTCCACCCACTCGGCCACCGTGTTCGCTGGGCGTGTGGCTGGTTGCCAGGGCACTCACAACTCGACTCCACTTCTAGCGCCATGATCGCCGCCCTCGAGAGGGGGAGCTTGACTCGACTTGTGATCCTAGCATAGCATGGGGCTGGCTGGCTACCTAAGCCATGCCATGATCTCCATGCCGAGTTTTTACTTTATCTCATCATTGTAGGAGCAGGGGGGGATTCGCAGAGCAATTGGCGGATGCTGGAATTATTATTACCATATCTATGATACAAGACACAATACTCTAAAAGGCGAAACAATCGGGTATGTCTGAACGAGGGACAGATAGTACAAGAGACGGTGTGTGAGTGAACCGGAAACCGAAACCAAATAAAAGAAAGAGGGTATCAAGGGAAGTATAACAACTCCAAGAAATATCCACACACCACCATGTCTCAACGAGTGACCGAATTTCACAACGAAAGCACGAGGAAGAATGGCTGCCAAGTCCAAAAAAACACAAAGACAAGAAAGAAAAAGGTGAAGAGGCGTGTACATTGGTCATTAGGATTAGTTAGATCCGGAAGGATATCAAAGTAGGTAGGTGGTAGTTTTGAGACGACCTCATCGGTCAGTCACTGGTCTCGTTTGTTAACCCAAAAGAAAAACAAAACATCAACAGAGAAAGGAAGTCGGACAAATTAAAGCACGTGTATGTGGTGGAGCCAATATTTGTGCAAGTGAAGAAATAGCGTAGTAAGAAAAGGGCTCGACGCTGCAAGCGCCCAACATGAATTAAGCCTTGAGGCGGAGTGCCTTCCGAAGTAGCGGGAAGCGTTTCTTTCGTCCAGAGCCGGAGATCACCACGTCTCGCGCAGAGGGTCCATGATCTTCTTCCGTGGCAGCGATGGAACTGCCGTCGTTCGTATCTGCGCCGGGGCTGGACATCCGCGGCAATGCGGGCTCTTTGGTTGAGCTATCGGGTGCGTCATTGACCATCGCAGTTCCGTTATGCCCGCCATTTTGTGTGGACGGCGCAGGCTGAGAGGGCTGTTGAGGGGATGAAGGAGTGCTGTTGCTCGGCTGCTCGTCGGCATTAGAATGCAGTGGCCAAGGTATACCAGCTCGCTTCGACCCTCTCTTCAGCAGCTTAGGCGAAGAGGCCGGTTGGTCATGATTGGAGCTGACCGTGGTTATCGTATGTCCACGAGATCCATTCACAACGGAATCATTGCGCAACTGCTCGCGTTCCAGACGCGACCGCTCCAGCGGCGTATCTCGACGAGAGGGGCTCTCGACGTCTGCTTTGCGGATTCGATGATCTGGATTCTTAGACTTCTTAAAACCAAGCCGTTTCAAGAGACCCGGCTTGCGCCCGCCGGGCGGCTGCATAAGGAACTCCTCCAGTTCTCTCTGCGTCATACCCCGCTGGCGAGCCACGGCTGCCAGTCCAGACATACTTCCGGGTGCGTTCTGACCGCGAGACCCTGGCGGAGTGGGCCCTGATGGCGGTGCAGCCATGGTTAGTCGTCGGGCTTGGCGACGATCTTCTTCCGAGCTGTCCTCCAGCTCGGTTGAATCTCCATCACGTTCATCCTTCCGGCGCGGAATACCACGAACAGGCCGCAGAGTATTATTGGGCTCGTCTTCATCGCTTGAATTCGCAAAGCGACTGCGGAAAAACTGGGGGCGAGCGTCGCTGTCCTCATCATCCGACTCGACGAATCGCGATGCCTTCGATTTGGGAGACTTCTTGGTGACCGTCGCTCTTGGGCTCTTATTATTGGTCGAGAAGAACGAGAATCGTTGCTCGCCTCCAGAACTCGGATTCCGCAGCGTCTTCCGCATGGTGGCTGTTGCCGAGCCAGAGGAGGTTGGTCGATATTCCCGGGGCGAGTCCGGCTGTTCGGATGGTGACCGTCGCTGAGCACGTCCCCCGCCAGATCTCAACGTTGTTTGTATGGCATGCGAGCCGTCTCGCCGGGAAGGAGGGCTGGCGCGAACAAAGCTGCTAGAAGAATCGCTGCCATTCGACATGGTTCTGCCCAAAGAAGGAGGAAAACCGGGTTGAAAAGCTGGGCCAAGAGAGATTGGCCGCGATTTGCTTTTAGCAGACCCTGGAGAACTGGCATTGCTTGACCATCGAGGGTTTTGAACACCTGTGTCCACAGACATTGGTCTCTTCTGTTTTTTCGACTCCGATTGAACGGTACCATTCTGCACGGTCGGGGCTCGAGCTTGCGACTCGGATGGAAGGGGCGGAGATTCAGACTGGGATGGCATTACCCAGATTTGTCTGCTGACCGAGTCTTGGGTAGGCGTCGCGGCGCGAGCGTCTTCAGCTGCCTCATCCGGAATGTCATCAGATCCGGAATCCACAGGCGTTGTTCGGTTGATAGGCTTCGGAGTCGTATCGCGACTATCCAACGGTACTGAAGACCTGGGGATCGGCCGGCTATCAACAATAGCATTAATAGACCCAAATCCATCTCCATCAAAGTCCTCGGCTGCATCGCTGTAGACGCTATCTCCAGACTCTCCCTCAGTGTCCTCCACATCATCCAGCTTCGGAACAGCGCTCGCCACTGCAGGGGTCGTCGAGGCTGCTGCGCTTTTCAGGCTATTGTCTGAACTCGAGGGCGGGAATCCGCCCGGAATCCTGTATCCTTCCATACTCGAGCGGTCCATGCTGGGTCTCGGTTCCTCCACCTCCACCTGGGGTGTGGCAGGCTGGACAGCGATAGATGGTACTGGCGTTTCCGATTCTAAACCGGCATAGGGCTGTTGCTCAGCTATTCCCGCGATGGCTACTCCAGCCGGTTTCACGTCTGGGCTGATTGTTGCTTGAGAGGCAGTAGAAGCTTCACCGACGGACATTTGCTCAAGGATGTTCGTCCCATGTAGTTGGTGAGCTGCTTGATGTTGATGATTGTGAAGTACACCCCCAAGAACGTGATCGTTCGAGAAAGAGACGCCCGGTCCTTCCACGCCCTCCGACGAGTCACTTGATTCATTGTCACTGAATTCCGGAATTGACGATGCCTGAAGCCCGGCCTCCCGCTTGCCTCGTACGCTGCCGAATGAGGGCAATGCTGGCCGGGGTTTCATCACCTGATCGAAGTCATTTCTAGAACCATATTCCAACGGCGACGAAGGCTTCTTTTTGCCAATTCCAAACCAACTCATGCGAGACTTGGATTTACCCGTAGGCGAGTCAGGAGTAAGCTCCTCTGGAGAGGTAGGAGGGCTGGCTGCGACGCCGACGATCTCCGCCTCGTCATCAAAGCTTACTTTGACGGACCGCTTCTTCGCACCAATGCGAGGCCCTTCGTCAGAAGCCACCGAGGTGCCATCTGATATTTCATTGGCAAGTATCCCAGTCTTCCGATCTGGGGACAAAGAGTTGCCCCGAGGATGTTTCATGGCCGACTTGCCAGGCGAAATAGATCTCGGCGGCGGCTCGTGGACCTGTTCCCCAGCTGCAGAAACCGAAAGCCACTTGGCAAAGCGGGTTGATCGGCCTGGGCTGCTCGACTCGCGCAAATGCTGGTGCTGCCTAGCTCCCTGTTCAGACGAGGGAGAAGCTTGATTCGGGGTAACTGCCTCAACGTGATCAATGGTCGGAGAGGCACTCGTCAACCGACTGCCACGCCCCTGGGTATTATGAACATCAGTATCAGCAATCTCGGCTGGCCCGTTCTCTTCAGGAACCGTAGTCGGCCATTGAGCATGGGCGGCTCGTGAGGAAGGATGGCTAGTTTCCGGGCTGCTGATACTGGCCGGTAGCTCATCTTCACCATAGTCCCCCGTCAAACCGGGGACCACTGAATCATCTTCCACCCGCCCCTGGCGCCTGTCTCCCGTGTCCGCGTGTGAACTGCCTTTTGGCGCAATGACTGCCTGAGCCGCGGCAACCGCAGTGCCAACTGGAGGACCGCCTGCGGATCTGTGTGCCAAATGGCTCCCCTCCGGTGCGTGCGTTCTCGGCTTCGTCTTGACAGGCTTTTCGGACGCCCGAGTGACCGACTGCTGGATACTCGAGACCTCTGTCGACGGCAGCTCATGAACCGCCTCTTTCAAAGTCATAGACCGGTTCTGTGGCGGGCCAGTCGGGGAGTTTGGACGCGCACCCATCGGATAGGAAAAATTCACCGAATTGCGACTCGCAGAACGCTCCAGCTCCGGCACCGAACCCAAACTACTAAATCGTTTGTGGTTGTATGAGTGAGCTGCAGCCGCAGCCGCCCGCATATCCCGATCTCCATCCGCGCTCACCCCTCGCGTCTTCTTCGTGCGGGGGGACCCCGGAGATCCCGGGGTCGATCGTGTCGCCGGCTCCATGCTCGCGCAACGACGATTGGCGGGCTGTCGCGAAGAATACTGTTGTGGTAGGGACGGTAATGGAGGCACGTCAAGGGGCTCGGGATGATTCGCAGACCTGGAGCTGATCACCGGACCATGGGGTGAGGGCTCGCGAAAACTTCGTGTGCTCATGGAGCTCTGGCTGCTCGATCGGCGCAGAGGTCCACTCACGCTGGCTGAACGACGTGCAGTGGCCTGACTGGTTTGCGGCGGCGACTGCGTCGAGGACCGCCGCTGCACCATTCGCTTTGTCTGGACATTTTCGACGGGTGTCGGGGTCGGCGTGAGACTACGTAGAGCGGTCGCGGCAGCCGCGGAGGACAGGCTGCCAGACGACGGTTGGGACCTTAAAAACGCTTGGCTGGCGGCGCTCTGCGCTGATTGCGACGCGGACGTGGAGAGAGGCTAGATCAGGGGAGGAGAGGTTAATTTCATGCATCGTCATCGTCATCGTCATTGATCGGGGGCCGGACTCAAGTGGAAAGGGGGCAGGAAAAATGAGCCGGAGGCGGTTCAAAGAATGCGACATACCTGGTGGTGATGAGAGGAGCTTCTTTTTCGGCGTCCGAACATGATTGCTGCTGGCAGGCAATGAGCGAGGGTGGAGGGCCAGCCGGACACTGCAGGGTGCAGTGCCGGGGTCGAAGCGGGTCGGTCGGGATAGAATTGCTGGTCACGATTGTCCCGCGGATATGTGGAAGCAGAGGAAGAGGGAGGGAGAGAGAAAGAAGGCTCTCGAGAATAATGCGACTCGAGCCCGATGGGAAAAAAACGAGAGAATATGTGGCGGGACGGGAGGGACGAAAAGAGGAATGGGAGGACGCAGAGAGAAAAAGGTGAAGTTGGTCGTGAACTTAGAGTGAAGGGGTTTGCGTCATGACTTAACTACCAACCTGATCTAGGTACCCAACTTGCTGACTCTCAGGCCAGGAACTAACTACAACGGGCCCACGGTTTTATACAACTAGTCTAACACTATAATACACTCCCTCACTTACAGTGGTATTCTAACAGTCTGAAACCCGTTACCCGCTTAAGCGGTAGGTAGAGGTTTTCAGACCTATGGAACACGACTGCACTACTATGGACTCCCCTCCCCACCCGAGATCACCAGTCGCTCCATCCCAACCACAGCCCTGAACTTCCACATCCTAGAAACAGCCCCTCAAAAACCTGCGACCGAACGCCAATCGTATGGAGTCGTGCATCAGAACACGTAGCTAAACACGCAGTTCAAGAATCACTTGATAGATATAACTATGGCTTATTATAGAGCAGATATGATATCAATGCATAAAGGACCATAAAGCCCTCGAGTGTATTTGTCCAGATATGGCACCAGAGAAGTGAAAACCCCAACACCCACAAACGCCAGGATCTCAAAACATGTTTCATGCCGGGTCAGGAAGGTAGTGCATTTTGAGAGGAGAAACGCAGCGCATATTAAAGAAAAAGGGTATGAGGCAAGGAAACCAAAAAGCAGAGCGCACACAAATGCAACAATGACACACAACAACAAACAATGACTATCTACGTCAACGCGCCGAAGCCGATAGCCAGCAGCAACGGCAGTAGCGCCATGGTCGAGCGCGTCGGGAGTTGCAGCATGTTAGCCCCAGACCCGATCCCGCTTGTCGTGTACATGTACTGGAAGGAAATGTCGGATGAGTTGAAGCAGTTTTGACGGGTCACTTCTTGGATTTCGGGATCGTCGACTGCTGCGAATTCGATGTCGACGCACTAGAATCATCGATTAGCAAATTTTTTCTTGCACAAAACAGGACAAAACAACAAAGACCTACGTTATACAGAGCAGCGCCATGCTTCGCCGTCTCGATGACTTGGATTGTCGCAAGATCGCCCGGGACCACAGTGATGTTGGCAGGCAGGGGAACCTGCGGCAGACAGAAGGTGCCCGGAAACGGGTTATTCGAGGGGCCGGTGATCTGGAAGGGCGGGACGACCGGGTGGCTCATGTTATACGGGATGGCACCGAGGCCCAGATTCACGTAGATGAGCGCGGTCTGATGACCCGGGAACCAGCCCGGCTGGACCGCGATGGCGCCGCCCTTAACGGGCCATTTGGTGCGATTTGTCGACGTCGGCATGCCGCCGCCTTTTTTCGGGAGTTGTTAGTTGATCATGGATGGTTTTCTCTCAAATTCAAGCAACGAAAGAAAGGAGATCCCCTTACAAGGATAGATCCATTCCATGCCGTAGGGATACATGTATGTGCCATTCTTGGGGTCGTAGGCTACGCCCAGTCCGTTGGCTGCTTGAATAGTGCCGTTCGAATGGAGGTTATTCCCTCTGTACCCCGGGTAGGTGATGATGGTGTGGGCATCCGCCAGACCGAGACACAGTAGCAGCAGTACGAGGGACCACTGCGCTATCGAGTGTTGCAAGCCCATGGCGAGAGAGAGAGTGTGTGTGTGTGTGCGTGTGTGGATGTATACAAAAAGAAGGAACACAAGAAGCTTGGAAAACCCAGCACGCCCGGATCATCGGGGGAGCGGCTTTTTTTGAGGGGCACCGCTTCTCCATATCTTCTTGCTTGTGCTGGTGTGACCGACTGTGCAGCTGGACGAGTGGTCGATCACGGCCGGCTGCAAGTGCCATCACTCATCGCACTTGACTGAGCGTGCTGATTTGCGGACGCCCAAGCGCCCAGTCTAGCGCTAGGCCGGGTCTTGCCTGGTGCCGGTGGGGAGTGTTCTGCATCGGGCGCTTAGCTGTGACGGGATCGCAGTAGTCGAAGCCGTTACTGTAGGTGACAGTCAGGTACTCGCAGTTAGTGAGTGTATATGGATACACTATTCAGGCAGCCATTGCGAAGAAATAGCAGAAGTAACAGGTACTTAGCAGTTCTGATGAGGAATTAGGGCTCGGAACAGGAATAGTACGAGAGTGATGTAAGCATGCCAAGAACCTCGAATTAATCCCCGCAAAAAAAAACCTCCATTATCATTCATCCCATCGCCTAGATCGTCTTCTACACCTTGACTATATCAATACTCGCTCATAATGTCGATATACCGCACCATATAATACTCCCTACACCATGCCCCACACTTCGCGCACCCGGCGCACGACTCCCCAGAAACGGATCCAAGTGACCGACGACGACGGCTGGACCCATGTCACCAGCAGCAGCAACGTGCGGCGCGTAATGCGCACAGCTACACACCGCACTAATACATCTTTGGACAACAATGACAAGGAGGAGATGAAGGAGGAGGAGCCCGTACTGGCACCCGCCGAAGCACCCAGCCGGCTAACCCTCGCGCAGCTGCAGACGCAGCTCCGGGGCCACGGCGAGAAGTGGGCGGACTCGCGCTCGGGGGCGTGGGTGCGGGAGGTGCTGCTCCAAAGCTTAGCATTGCCAGAGTCTGCCAGCAGTCCGGCTGCTACTTCTCCCGTCGAGGCAATCGTGTGCATCGGGCTCGGCAGCCCGAGCGGCTTCCTGCGCGGCGGCTGGGTTGATCGCCGCACGGTGTGTCTTTACCAGCTCGCTGCGCTTGTAGCGATCAAGGACTTAGTGAGGCGACAGCAGGATCGTCCGGTCCCCGTATATGCACAAGATCCCGTGTTCAACACGCTTGACCGCGAGCTTCTCGAGTCCCTCGATATCACAGTCGTCGAGCACCCGGCCGCATTCGATCTCGTTACCCAACGCTCGATGGTATTCTGTCCCGGAGCAGAATCCAAGCATCTCCTGCAGATCTTCTCGTCTCGGCCGCGGATCCTTTTCTGTAATCAGATCGATACAATCGACCCCCAGTTCAGGTCTTTCTTGGAACACACACGGCCCCGGTTAATGCCGGATTTCCCGCCGTGTGAGGAAGCATTCTGGCGGCTGGCTTTATATGCGATGCATGGTGATTCATCCGATTGAGCATTTCTCGGCTGAACCACCGTTGATTTTGGATTGATATATTCATATGGCGGTGTTATGGTGCATTGCTTTGGAGCTTCTTTGAAATAGATGGATAGATGTTGGCTTACAATTTGATTTACAGCATTTGCATATAATGAATATAAACCCATGAGATTCAAAGCACCCATTTCTGTAGAACATATTCACATTAAACATGACCCAACGCGAAAGGAAGAAAGGGAAAAAAAACTCCCGTCCATTTCGCACGTATAGAAAGAACCCCAAATATCGATAACAATACCACTGACCCGTGCGAGATAAAAACACCATCCCGAGAAATAAACCGACCAGAAAGACAAGACATAAAGTGCGCTGATGAAGAACAAAGATGCTGACTGATAGTGTAAACGCCGGTGGAAGGTAGGTAGAAGCGGACCCGGAGGACACGGGTCATGACGAGTAGTAGGTGGCGAAGGAATGTAGAAAGGTAGGTATAAGGTGTTGAAGGAGAAAGAGGTCGGGCGGAGAGGAAGATTGTGATGAGAAGGCGAGGTGAGGCGAGGCGAGTGAGACAATGCCCATATGCATAGATGTTTTTTCATGATCGTTATCCCATTAAGATAGCCAGACGGCCAGTAATCATGACGAGACAGTCTTGCCGTTGCAATCTGGAATCTTGAGGCCCGGTTTGACTTTGCGCCCGGCGTCCATCAGGCCCCATTTATCTTCCCAGTCTTTGCCGGGGGTGTTGTAGATGACTTTCCAGGGCTCGTCGAAGGCCTCGAACCTGTAACAGACAGTTAAATAAAATTCACAAAGAGCCCAACAAAACGAAGACATACCAGAAATACTCGGTGTCGTTCTCCAGAGCCTGGCAGACCCAGTCTGACATGTAAGTGTTCATGTTATCAATGCTGGCAACCGACCCTGGCGTTGAAGGATCACACTCAGGACTCTGGCCGCAGTCCTTACCACCGGCGCTGGGCCAACCGGTCTCGGAAATGATCTGCTTCTTGCTAGTTTCGCCTTTGGTCAGGACCACGTCGTTCCATTGCCAGAAGTCCCATGTCCAGGAGGCGGCGACCTCAGCGCTGACACCGGCGAAGAAAGGGTGGATGTTAGACATGACCATGTCACAGGCAGCCACCAACTCGGCATTCCAGTTATCGCCCAAGTCGGAGGTGCCAATGAGCATGTCGATGTTGTGTTTGGCGGCCCAGCTGCGAACCTGCTTGATGTAGCCGATCAGGTTGGTCTCGGCAGTTTGGATATCGGGTCCTGCGCGGTACAGAGCCTCGTTTCCGACAATGATCCCTCTGAAAATCGAGGTGTCCTTGGTTTCGCTTAAGATTTTGTACAGCTGGTCCAGCTGGCGATTGATAGTCGTATGATTAGAGTCGATCCACACGCCCAACCAGACCTTCATGTCGGTCAACTCGAGCCGGTCGATAGCATGCAGCACCATCTCCGTCTGGTTACAGTCCGTGCCGTACAACCGGACGTTGTTTGTCAGCTGCGTTAGCACCGCCATGTCGCGAGTGACGTTGTTCTGCGAGGGCGGGTACTTGAGGCACAGCGGATATTGCACTCCCCACGGGGTGTAATCGATGCCGGGAAACACCTTGTGCAGCTCTGGGTTGTTCATCAACGCCTTAATCTCCGCGGAGTCCTTGCCGAGATCTCCATTATCCGCTTCGTCCTCCGCCGCGGTCTGGTCGTTCGATGATCCACTCCCAGATTTATCCTGGCTGCCCAGCGTGCCTCCCACGGCACCACCGATGATCGCGCCGAGAATAATGACACTGAGCAAGATGCCGACAAGCCATCCTCGCTTTTTCCGACCTTCCATGTGCTTCTTGCGTGCCGCTTTTTCTCCTTCTCCCGATTCTAAGCCGCCACCACCGGGGACTGGTCCATATTCCGTGCCTCTGTCGGCGGCACCCTTGCCCTTCCCAAAGAAGCCACCCAACATTGCCCCACCGGCCACTCCGCCTGCTGCAGCGGCCGCTCCATGTGATCCACGATTGCGTGCCGGAGTTAGGAATCCATCGTCGTCGCCGTCGTCGGCAATCTCTTCCGGGTTGATGTCGAGCGGTATGTCCGCGCCACTGTAGCCGCTGTAGTGGGATTGGCGCTGGTAGGGCCCATCGCTAATGATGCCGCCACCACCACTGTTGTAGCGTGAATGGTTAATGAAACTACTGCGCTGGGATGGGCCCGCATCGCTGAGGTGTGTCGAGGACTGGCCAGGTGTCTGCATGCCTGGGGGAGGCATCGCTGCACCCAGAGCCATATTGGAGCCATATGAGCGTTCGTGTCGTAATGACTCGGCGCTACTATATGCCGCTGGAGGAACGTAGGGGTTGTCGGAGGGGGTTGAGTGGTAGCCTCGTTCGGCGGGCCCGGTGAAGCCATCGTTCCGCATGCCGCGCACGGCATCGACGCCGCTCAGCCGATCATGGGAATTGGCGACGCCCAGCGCAATCCCACTGATGCCACCACCCACCGAGGCTGGGCCGAGATTGTCCACGCCCGGCGTCACGGTCGAGTTGTCTCGTATCGACTGCGAGTAGCGATGGGATGGCGGCGGGGGCACGTCCAGGCCATCGTAGTTGGAGTTATCGTACCGCCGGTTTGGACCGGACATGGTTGCGTTGCGAGCAATTCAGACGAAGGAGTTGTTTGTCGGAAACAAAAATGGAGGAGGGAGGTGCTGGTGGTGGGATTAATTAGTCGAGGGAGGAGGCGCAGGCGGACGGAGTTGTTAGGCTCGCATAGCACGGTAGGACTGGAATCCAGGGTTAGGATCCACAGGTTCCAACGATAGACGATGGGGTGGATAGTGTAGACCCGGGAATAAAATAGAAAAAAAAAATAAGGGAAAAGAAGAAAAAGTCAGCAGGACGAGGCTGTGTTTGAGGGTGGTGTCAGGTTGAAAGGGACGAGATCAAGGGGGTTTAGCTTGCAAACGGTCAACAAATGGTGGCCGGGACAACGGGTCAATGCTAAAGACTAAGTCTCAGAGTAGTTACCACACCAACCAGACTAATCGGCAAGAATAGTCCATGTGGTACCTATTCCATATATTTGTACAGCTTCTATCATATCCAAATGTACGCCTCTTCTTTGCGATCTGTCTGATCACATCTACATATCCAGGGCAGCCCTTGTGGACAGGACCCTGGGGTGGACCCTGGTGGACCCTGGTCCTGGATGGCCTGGTGGGTTGCTATTTTTGGGCACCGCAGAACTTCCTTGCAGCAGAGACATCCGAGAACTTTCGAACGTTAGGAAAATTCATTCATTCGTGGTATCGCGTACTATAGCCCTAAACACACAAGAAGACTAAGAAATTCCATCCTCCATCCGGTAGAATCCTAACCCTAATCCTGAGCAGCGCCAAATCCTGTCCTTTCCAACCCTGCCCCAACCCTATCCTCGCCATCTCTGTTATTTGGACCTCAAATCATTTATAGAAAACCAAAAAGCCCCAACGCCATAAACCCACCATCTGACTACTAGCCCTCAACCTCCTCCGCACTTCGCTGCGCTGCCGACCCGTGGGTCTCACCAGACTCAGTCGCCAGATTTCGGCCCGCGCGCTCGAGAAACCGGCGCTTGCCACGTCGCGTATCAAAGTGGTCGGGGATGGTAGCCGGGTCCTGCCCAGCGGCCAACATGCTACTTCGCATTTTGTTGCGGTAAGCGTCCACTGTAACCCGGAGCCAGTTAGCCATGTTCTCTGGTGAGACAATGTTTCAGCCGCGCTCGGGATCTCCGCCCCACGTGCCGCAACGGCCGGGGACGGAATTTAGTACGGGCTATTTATGAAGAAAAAGCGAAACAGACAAACATACACGATCGCTGCAAAAATAGCATGCGCCCCGCAAACACTCGGCTCTGGCTCCAGCTCATGCGGTAGCCAAGGTCATTGAGGAGAACTTCCTTGCGGTGCTTGCGCCGCGAGAGCTGTGGCACCGCGACCTCGCGCTCGCCGCCGTCTAGCGACGGCGCAGGTACGAGCGTCCGGCTGATCGTCGTTGCCTCGGTGTCGTTGGCCTGCTCGGCGTCATCGCGGAAGAAGCGGTTCCCCGGAACGACCTGGCCCGGCGCGTCTTTCATCTGCACGGGGAAGTAGGTGCGCGGGTAGACGGCATTTGAGCGGCGGTACGAGTCCGGAATCTCGTGCATCTTGACATCGTCTAGCAGGATCTTGACTCGCACTCGCGCCCCGCGCTGCGGGTCGTCTACCTGCAGGAACTTGCGGCGCTTGCCGCCGGGCAGCGAGCCGAAGAGCTCAACGTGCGTGGGATTCTGCTCGTCCGTGTCGGTGTCGGCGCCGCGACTGGGAGTCGCGATGGGGTTGTGTCGGCCCAGAGGGTTGACGTTGCTGTTTCCCCGGTGGAGCGGCGGCATCGATGGCCCAACACTGGAGCTGGGTGCTGTTGGAGGATTAGGAGATCCGTGGAAAACCTGCGCGGGGCGGAGATCGGTTGCAGACGACAGACGACCTGTGTCAATAGATGAACGTGGTGCACCAGTAGGATATTCTGCGGTGCCTATAGCAGGATCGCAAGCAGGACAGGGAGAAATTAGCCTACGCTGTACTTCATGCCGGGTGACAGGTTTCGGTTCCAAGAGGGAAACCGCAAAAAAGGGGGAAAAAGGACAAGAAGCGCGGCGGTATCAAATGGTAAGACGATAGACAGAGCGCACAGGGTATGGGAATAACACACAGACAAAATAAAGCCAACACAAGAGTAAAAGAAGCATGTCCAGTCCAGATAAGGAATACACGAATGGACTGTCGACCATCTTATACAGCCACCGAGACACATGCACACTGCAGTAACATCCCACATATACACATACAGCACATACAAGGTACAAACGCCGGTCCCAGAGAATCCACCCTTTAGGGTAGAGGATACATGGTCATAGGGCATATCCCGCCGCGCACGGTGCAAAAGAGACATCGAACGACAACGGAACAGAACACGTCATATATGGTGAAACATACCGCTGACTTCCTCATGGTTTGGGTTTCCGTCTGCTTGAGCATGAGCATGATGGTGATGCATATGTTGATGGGCCATGGACATAGACCCAAGACTCGGACGAGGCGCCGGCGGCGCCATATGACCACCACCAACACCGATTCCAGGAGCAACCGGACTGGCAGCAGCCATGTGTGGAGGAGCAGGGGGTGGAGCTGATGCCCGTCGGTTTATCTTGGCCTGTCTGCGAACCCGCCGGCTGCGCAGTCGAGGGTCCTGGTTGCTGTTTCTCCAACTATCCACGGCTCGCTGGATGAGTCCGCGCTTTCCTTGCAAGGCCGGGTTCAATTCAGCCAGCGCCCACCCGACTGCGTTACACTCGGTCTCATAGACCAACCGGTTACCTCGGTATTGGTCCTTGCTGCAGCACGCCCGAGGATATACGCAGTTCTCTGTCTTGAACTCCTGGCTGAGGTTATCCACGTTCACTGACTCGACGTCACAGCGAATGGTGTATTCCATCTTGATTCTGTCGCGCGAGTATTCAAAGGCAATCCACTGCACGCCATTGCTGTCCTGCCGCACGACCAGCGGTGTTGTGGCGGGGATGGGTCCAGGCGCTGCGCTGGAGCTGGTTCCTAGTGGCGGGCTTTGATGGGCGTTGTTGGTCTGCATTCCTGGGTTGCCTGGCCCAGGGAGCGGCGGGTTCAGCATCGCTCGTTGCGGTGGAGTGGGTTGCTGTGACGAGTCCATCTTGAGGATGGGACTTGTCGACAAAGCGGAGGAGTGTGGCGGCATCTGCGCCGAGGTTGTTTGAGGAGGCATCATCATTGATTGCGTTGTGAGTGGGTTTTGCTGAGGAGACGGGTGCGCGGCGTAGGGTGAGGACTGGACGGGGTTCATAGGTGAGTACGGCGGATATCCGTACATTTGCGGCGCCATCTGGGGCGACTGTGTATAGATGTGGCGGCCATGCTGGTCGTGCGGTGGTTGCGATGCCACCGATGCCGGTGAGCTGGACTGAGGAGTATGATAGATGGGGGGGTATGGTCTCTGCATTTGAGCGGTGGATGCCATGAGGTCGGGTGGTCCTACAACCTGGATGTCAGTGATACTGTCGCCGAGTGGAGAGTAACTGAACTAAACTTACCGCTAGATGGATACTGCCTCGGGGCAGACGAGGTGGTGTATGGAGTCGGGTGGGTAGTGTAGTATGATGGTTCTTGCGACGGTGGTCCGTACGGGCTCTGGGGCTGTAGGACAGCGTTTCCTAGACGGTGGGAATATGTGCCCGAGGGGATCGAGGTCGCGGGTTGAATAGGCGACGCAGGGCCGGGCTTTTGTGGTTGTACAAGTCCGGCTGATCGAGGTTGTTGTAAGGAGTGGTGAGACTGCTGTGAGCCCGGATGCGCCGAACTGCTGTGACGAAGCTGTGGCAGAAGCGCATTATCAGTATCGAAGGAGGAATTGGACAGCCAGCGCATAACTGTTCGCGCCCGACTGTATGGTGATACAACAACCTTCCAAGGTGGCTGTGGGAGAGCAAAAGGAGAAAGGGAAAAAACAAAGAGTCTATGGACACAACAGATGAGGAACAGACGGAGTGACGCCATGAATCAAGACATGTGGGAACCGTAAGCAGGGCATCCATTCATGGAGGGGTTGGATTGGGCCACGGAGCAGCACTGCCTTGCAGCAGGGGTGAGAGTATTAAGTGCGTAACCCAGAGCCAGGTTGTTGCCAGGATTGCCGGTCCAGGGTCAAAGAAATGCGGCGGATCTGTGTAGCTATTGGTGTCTCGAGACTGCGAACCCGGGAGAATCAAGCACGCGAGGCTGAACGCCGGAGCCGCTGGAAGTTGGTACAGCTGGGGTAGCCTCGGAAGCATTGTGCTGATTGATGCATTGCACCGCTGATAGCTGAGGGGAAATGGACCCTTCGCCGCAGCATTCTGACGAGACTTCCACGGGATTCAGAGGCAAAAGAAGATGTATAGCGACTTGCCATCAACAAATCATTGAACAGGCAAATCCTTTGTTTCCTCAGAGAGGGCAAACACTCTTTTGTCCCCGAGTCCCAGGCCATTGAACGAATTGACCGGAGGAGGACCAGCAAAGCTTCGGGCAAATAAGACTCGCGATGCAGTGACCAGAATCGCAGCGACATACACTTCAATAGCCCGCGACCAACATGAAAAAGACACAACAAAAGGCAAAGAAAAGGGAAAGAAAAGAAAGCCTAACAATGGCCTGAATGATATTGAAGTAGGAAAAAGACTCTCACAACGCAAGATCTAAATTGCAGTCGGGCAGAAGAGATAAGACATATAACTTACCGGATCTTCCAAAGGATCTTCCTTGTAGTTGGTAGACACGGGCGAAGGACCAAGGTCAGCTTGTACCATGCCGGTCAAGAAAGGACCCTCTTCGCGGACAATACTTGAATCTGATGAGGTTCTCGCTTTCTGGGCGGGATCCGATCACGATCTGGCGGCAGTGGGAAAGCAATGACCAGGGGAGGAAGAAGCGCGCGTGGAGCGACTGTCAGAATGGAGCCGGGCACGAGGGCGATCCCGGAGGCTGCGTGACGGCTAGTCACTGACTACTGACTGGGGTTCAGGACTCGACGTGGGCAACGGTTGCGATGCGAGTTACAGGCCGGGTGGAGGGTCCAGGGTCGTTATTTAGCTGCACCGGGGAGCCCCATCCATGTCTTGCCTGTTGTCGATGAGAGATAAAAGAGGCGGGACAAATAATAAAAGAAAAGAAAAACCAAAAAAAAAAAGAGAATAAAAGCCCAATGGGGAATGGTGGCAGACACGAAAAAGAATCGTGGAGAGTGACAGAGAGAGAGAGAAAGTGCGCAAAAAGATTACAGGACAGCGGGAATAATAATATGGACCGGAATGGGTGCAGCAGAGCAGATTACCGCCGGGTCAATATCCGATATCCTGGGAGAGGAATAGTTAAGGGGCGACGAAGTGCAGCGTGCAGAACGGTGCGTGGTAGGAACAAAGAGGCAACAGACCTCGGAGTAGTGGAGGGACGCTGATACGCTCGAGGACGAAAGACAAAGAGGTGGACCCGTGACGTTATCTAGGCGCTTTACATCCATCTGTGTCAGGGCTTGAAGGCTCCTTACTATTTGCCCTTTATGACGATCCAGCAGCATCAAACGCTGGACCCACCAGAAGCGATTGCGGAGTCGAATGATGGGCTTGCGGACTGTATGTAACTAAAGGTCGGTTTCAGGTACCCTTCGTGAAATTTCACATCTCGGAGTTATATCGAACGGAGGATCGGCGGGGGTTTCTTTGTTGCTACTGCTGAACTCCACTTGAAGTGATCGGACTCAGCCTTGTTTCTTTTACACCACTCTCTCCAGATAAACTCGAAACAGGCTAACGGCCGCCCACCGTGACCCGAGTGCGTTCGTGAGTGGCAGAAAGCCGCTGTGCAACCCGGTCGAAAATGGCGCAGCGGCTGATCCTCATCCCCTCCCCCCCCGGTCCGCCACTGGGTGAACTAGTCTCACGGTCGTACGATGATTGATGCTGCTGCTTCCCGCTGACGACGAAGCTACGGCAGGGTCGAGTCCTGGCCTGCCTGCCACTAACTAACTAACTAAAAGCCTAGAAGAGGGGATGAGGGTCGACCATGGGCGGCCTTGACTCGTCGACAACACGGGCGGGCCAATGACGGGCAGATCGCTCCATCCTCCGATGCGGGCCTCCACCCGGGTTCGCCCCTAGCCTGGAATGGCGTTAGGCTAGTCTGGACTTGGCACTTCTGGACAAAAGCTGTTGGTTCGAGAAGCAACTCTGACGTCGACTAGCACCCGAAGTTCTTTGTACTCTGTACGCACCTTCCAATGAGGGCCAGTACTCTGGGTAACTCGTCTGGAATCGGCACCTCGGTGCCCGATTCCTTCCCCTTCGCTAGATCCTCGTGTGCATGTCTCTCGCCCATGCCCATGGGAAAGATCGGTGGCTCCGGAGGGGGGGGCGGGGACTTCCGCGGAGGTCTGTAACTTGGGCTTCTCATGATTATGATTGGAGAGGGGCGGGCTTCACCCCGATGATTCTCCATCTGTGGTCTCGTTATTGGGCCTACGCTCCAGCAGCCCAAGGGGCCATCCACTCAGAGAGCATTCAGGAACGGGTAATCGGCTCCGGAGGCTCAGCAATGGCCGTAAGGGGCAGGCAGTGCGCGTGCCGATTCGCGACGGCCAGACGGTCGCTGAAAATAATACGGCGTTGCATTGATTTATTCACGTCGAAGATTGTGGATGCCGCTTCTTTCTCGAAGCAGGCTAGTCCCCCGACCGCGGCCATTCAGGAAAGACCGTCACTGTTGTTGGCTGCACGGGCGGAGTCTCGGGAGGCACTGGGGAGCCTATCTCAGGAACTCAGACCAAGGTTGGGGCTAATCCAGTCAATCGCGGTGCACGACCCTCTTTTCCACTCTGGGGCCGAGCGAAACGGTGGCCTGTGGACGGGCCATGATTGGCATCGCTCCGTGATCGATGCAGGGTGCCATGTCCTTTGACCCACCTCCTTTTTCTTTTTCTTTTTTTTTCCAGCTGAGACTTCCATAGCAGGTGTAATTTCATTTCGCTGAAATGAATCTCGGGTGGAAAGAGACTGGACCCGCTGGTCAGTGCGGTGCTACCAAATCTGGTCTGTGGTCTGGTCGCTCCCAAAGCTAGCCCTGTACGTAGCTCCGAACAATTCTCTGGTCTCTACGAACTTCGCTCCTCGGTGAGCACATGCCAGCCAGCGGGTCAATGTCGCACAGTCCCAGGAAGGTTACACCGTCGGTATTGGGATTAGAGTAATCGGAGAACGAGACAAAACCACCCCTGGGCGGATCAACCGCTGGCACGATTAACTAAGAAGTGCCACTGCCGCCCCGGATCGACTGGGGGCGTGGCAAAGAGCCAGACGCTGGACAAGGCCTGGCCAGGGTTCGCTCCGCTAATTAATTACCACACAACATCCAGGACAAAGAAGAATCACTGCGCCGCCGTCGATCGAGGATGGTCGATACGTCATGCTCAGGCCGCAAAGAAAAACCGAAAAACAGCGACAGGCCTGAGCGTCTGTTACTGAACTCGTCCGCAGCTCTGGCTAACTCTGACATGAGGCCGTCTGCACGTTGGGACGCAACTTTCCTGGTCCTCTCTCCCTCCCTTGCGGCGCGCATATTGATCCGACTAACTATAACCTCAAGGAGAAAAGCTCCGTGGAGAAACGGCAAATAGACATTCGCTTAGCTGCTAGCAAGCAATGGAAGAACGCCTTGGCGTATGCCCATCTCCGAATTGATTAAAGTTGTCACACCCCGGCTGACTCTATTGATTCAAGAGCCATTGGCAACAATCCATGGACACCCCCCATCTCCGCATATCGCCCAATCTATGGTCTCGACACGAGTTAGGGCCTAGTTCACCCACTTATCAGAATCAGGATCACTACTACATACTGAACTTCACGTATGGCGGCTCTCGCCGATCCCCCCCCTCCTCTTTGTGCTCTGCATGCCAAACTAACTCGTGCTGGTCGATGGCCTTGCCCCCGCATCGAGCCAACAAAATAGCGACTGCTAACTATTTCCGGCCCCACCATCCGGAGTAGCGCAATGGCAGCAGACAACCACCTCCGACCAAACTACTGAGACACTTACATACACTCTAAATTGGACGTTTTTGTTTTCTCATAGAGCTCGCCTCGTAATAATGGACCACCCTATCAATTATGCGGTCAAGGATTGTCACCGATTTTTCTTCCGGTGTGCACCTGCAGCTGCGCCGATGGCGTGTCGCGTGGCGGACATGCTGTTTCAGGATGTTTCTCTAGACCGCAGCTGCAGATGGATTTTCGCCCACAATAATCCAAGAGAATCGCACTACCTAAGTGAAGAGGAGGGAGGAGGGTGTAAGTCCCTATACTTAGGATCTGGCCACCAGTGACTAGCTCCCAGCTACCCTGTAAACAGTCCGTCCGTCAGCACCTCAGGTCTCCACAGGAGCAATCCTTACCCGTAGTCTTCTTCCTCATCTTCTTTTGCTTTCTATCGAGGAATTTGACTGCGATGCACACAATACGAAAAGATCTACCTTTTTTTTTGGATCAGCCCCTTGCCTGCGTCGCTGAACCCTAATAGATTGATCCAAAAATGTTAAAAAGGAATTTTATATATATATTAAAATTCCGCGACTGGTCCAATTCTTCAATGACACCATGCCCACAAGCAACGTAGGGTTCGGGTTCGCCCCCATCGCCAGCGCGTCGATCCCCGACGGGAGGTGGAAGACATGATGGGGCCGTTATCGCCACGAGCAGCTCTTCCAGTCACCCCAAGGTACAGGTAATATACCTATACTACATACTACGGTACATCAGCAGTTTCAAAAAAACCCAGCACAGGATTCGATTCGGGGATTAAACCGGGCGCAGACGAACCCAACGCCATGTTCCCTCGCACATCCCTCAAATCAGAGCACAGCACAGCACAGCAAGTAGTAACAAAAAGGCAGGTGGTTGTTGGGTCTTGTTGTGTGGCTTGGATTATTCCACCACCCCAGACGGCGGATCGACGTTACGGAAGATTTGGCCGCGAATCGAGGCCCTCGCTGGGGCCGGACGATGACTCCGGATGGGGACGCGTTGGCATCATTTTAGGGGATATGCGACACAGTCAGATCGAGGGCGGCAGATATGCATATGTCATCGTAACAGGGAATATATGCCAAATGAAATGATCACCGCTCAATATTACTGCTATGATTCATTCTTCCCACCCACTTATTACATCTAGTGAGTAGTGGCCGACTATTGATTCGTTTCTCTGGCTCGTTTATTCGGTCTCCGAGCTTTGCCTCCGCCTGGTACCCTAACCTAACTAAGTAAATTAAGTACATTCAGGCTGAAAATGGGGACATGGTCCGCGCGATGGCCAATCATAGCCGCTGCAAGATACGCGATGTGCAGAGCAGAAAATGCCGCACCTTCCTACTGTATACAACCCAAGTCGACTGGGTATGGATAAGTATAATACAGCCTGAAAACAATTTAATTGGAATAAAAAGTAGAAAAAAAGAAACCCCAGTAAGCGAATGAAGATCAGGCAAAAAACAATCTTTCGGACTTTTTCCCATTGTTGCTCGCGTGCCTAGAATTCGTACAGGAACAGAACTTATCCACTACAGTAGTGCTAGCTGTCCCATGGCAGTATTAGTGGTAGTAGCAACTCCCGTCCTACTGTAGCAGGTACATACAGATGCAGTGGTATCGGCATCCTTATCCCGGCTGTTAAATGAGACCGGTGTAGGTAGCTCATGCCCTGCGCAATGACGACACAAGACCTCGAGATCCGGATAATACACACAAATCATGATGCGCGGCGCCTATTACAGGGCACCGGTGTGCGAGAATATTTGCTTCGAACGTGTTGTGGCGCAATGCCTAGAACAAGGGATGTGCGGTGATTTGACTGCGCCGTGTTTATCATTTCCGAATCATCCAAGGAAGAAAAGGAGGTTGCGATTGCTGCATTGTACATCACTTGCTAGGGGTCGGCTATCATCCTACACTAATGGACCATGTCCGTTCGAGGTGCATAAGCGCCGGGCGGGTGGAGATTTTGTGCTACGCTGTCTCTGGTCTTACGTGTTGGTTAACAAGCCAGGAGATGGGAGGCGCAAGCCAAGTAGGTGTGCGGCGCAGGGGATGTGTGTTTGGTCTCTGAGGACAACAAGGTCTATTTTTCTCAGTAGTGCTAAGGGAATGCGCTGAATATGAGAGAGAGAGGGAGTCCATATAAACGATTCAAACAGAATGCTTTGCTACTTGCTATGCATATAGTGACGAGGAAGCTCATCAGAGAGAGAATTAACGATGGATAGACCAATAATGGTACGTTAGAAATGGACATCACGTAAAACAAGCCCCTTTCAATGTCTGGGCTGCGTCTCGACTAGAAAGATGGGTGTCTAGTGAGATCCTCCGTCGGCGGGCACAGTAGAAGAGCTCATCCGAGGCCGCTCAGATTCAGTCGCCGTGTGACTCGATGCGCGCGGCCGCAAGGGCAAAGAAAGCTTGTCTTGCTCTGAGGTCGGCTGCGGCGGAGCTTCAATCGCCTTCGGAGCCTCCTCTTCTTCATCCTCGTCGTCACTATCACTCGACGACTCGTCAGGGCGTTGGCCACGACGACGAGACTCGTCCCTGTGACGACGCCTGTCTCGAACGGACTCTTGGTGCCGAGTGTCTGAACAAAGACTGGTTAGTGACCTTCTTCCTACGCTAGAAAGATAATCTTCAAAACAAAGCTCACCTCGAATCTCCTTCGTCTTGATAGCATACGCTTGAATCTCCTCCTTGCTCAACACTCGCAGGACAATAACATAGTCCGACCGCTCCTCGAACCGCTCATTACCTATTTCCAGGGCAGCGGGATTGACGAGCCTCCGATCAATCTTCGTCCATCGCGCACCCGGCGGAATCCCCTGGTCATGGGCATCTTTGAGCGGCGCGACACCTTCGCGCACAGGGTTGCGTTCCTCGGGGAAGCTGGGCCGAGGGGCTTTCAGGATACCTTTCCGGGCAGCCTCGGGTTCTTTGAAACTGGGTGGCTCAACTGCGATGGGTCTTCTCGGCTTGTCATCAACGGACGGCGAGTGTCGAGCGTCGTGAGAGTGTCCATCATCCGACGGTCTTTCAGGCCCAGAGGGCCGGCGCCGGTGCGACGAGCGGTCCCGGGTACGTCTGCTTGATCGATCAGCTTCACTGGAACTGTCTGTGCTGCTGTGTCTGCGACGCTCTGATGCAGATGGTTCGCGCCGGTAGTTGCGAAGATCCTCGTCGGAGGTGTATGTCTCCGATTCACTCTCGGCGGTCTTTCGAGAGCGTCTGCTTGGTCGACTGCGGTCATGGCTGGAGCCGGGCTCTAGGTATAACTGCTTGTTGTGTTCGGGGCTGTCTGGCTCCCGGGATGGGGGTTTGACCCGACCGTAGTCGCGGTCATAGCCGCGAGAGTTTCGACGGCTGCGTCTGGAGGAATGGTGGTCGTAGTCCTCCATATCTGAATAGGCACCACCAGCCAGGGCCACTGTGCCTAGTCCTGGGGCCAACCGGTCCAGATCTGTATGCCTCCTAGAAGGTCTATCATCCGCATATCGGTCATGATCCCCCTTGTGATGGGACCTGGGAGGATCGCGCCGGGAATGGTGACGGCTGTATCTTTCTGGATGTGAAGAGTAGCCCTCATCGGAGTCATGGTGAACCGGAACGAGAGCATGGTCGTACGGCCCTCGTTTCGATCTGGACGCAGCATGACCATCGTCCGCGCCATAGGCCGAGTTTCTTGGGCGTCCTTCGTGTTCAGGGTCGAGCTTGTCAAAACCACGATAGCTTGGCGGCGGCCCGTGAGACCGGGGCTCCTTGCTACGCACCAGCCACGGTGGGGGATCGTCCATCTCCGTCATGCTGAGCGGTCGTTCCTTGCGCCGAGGCGCTCGCTGGCTCGTCCGGACCGGATAGTCCACATCAAACTGCTCTCTGGGGGTGGTATAGGAGTATGCATCGTAGTCATCAAGATCCTCACCCTTTCTCATACCTTCATATGCTGGATGGGGGCGGTGGTTCCGTTGATGAACGCGGTAGCCACGGTGACCTGTTCGTTGATCCGCATCATAGGGATGTGGCCGGCCCGTATCACTCGCATAGTCGGTGCTATAAACTCGGCGATGACGCCCTCCATCTCGAGTGGAGGCAGGGACCAGGTATTGACCAGAGTCCCGGGGCGATGGACTGGGCGAATGATGAAGACCAGAAGTGGCCACTGGCGACGGCCGGCGATGGGACGAAGAAGAAGGCACCGCAAGTCTCACAGGCGTGTCATACTGGTCTGGTGTTTCCAGAGTATTGCTCCTGGGCCTCGGTCGAACGTTGTACTCGGTCCGCCTTTTGGTCGACTGGCCCGGATCTCGGTAGGTTTGCGAGGACACGGGCTGGGCTTCGAGTCGGCGGCTGGGGAGACGGGTGGATGAGTTCCGGTGCGGCACATCCGATGGGTAACCGTCATAACCATCGCGGCTCCTCGGGATCTCGTACGGGTCGTAGGACGAGCCCAGGTGCATCATGCCCGTGGAAGCCCGCATCGGGTCGTCCAAGTACTGGTGCCTCCCGGGGGACAGACTCCGGTAGTAGCCCGAGCCCATGGTTGTCTCTGGTGGTGGTAGGTAGGGGATTCGAGGAATCGATGTCGGCACTGCTGGGAGGGCGGGAAAAGGAGGGCCAGGAGAAGCGGGTTGTCGGGAGATCCTGGTTTGAAGAACACTCCGAAGGGGAAGAGCAAAGAGGGGCAACCGTCAAGGTTGGCGCTTTCGCCTGTCCTTGTAGTCGCAGGCGATGGCGTCGATACCCAATCTCCGGGAAGTAGATGGCTCGATGGATGGTGAAGTGCCGGACAGAGTGCCAGCGAGGGAAAGCGGTTCTTAATAATAAAGCGCGATCGAGCGGGTTATTGGCATGACGCACAGTGGGTGGATGACATCGGTCCACTTGATAACCGCCGAGTCCATAGATAGACTGGAAGGGCAAAGAGTAAACAAAGACGACCATGGAACCGCCATCGAGCACACCCAGAGATCGTCACCGACTCCATGTCTCCCAATTGCCTGCGTCTGCCATACAATGCCGGCGGCTCGTGGCGGTCAGCGCCACTCATTCAGTCTTATTACCTTGGCTCCGCTCCACTTGGTTCCTTTAGTTAATCGCGCCCGGCACCCGGGCAAAGTCAAGTGAGGCGAGCCAAGTGGGAACATAATTAATTAGTGGGCGATGATCTCATCCTCCCGCGGGAGAGAGAAAGCTGGCTTTGGGGGTCACATCGCGATAGGATGGGACTAGCTCACGAACGATTATTCTTGCCGGCGAAGGCAACCGATATATAGTCCTTTTTTCTGCTGGTCGGCGAACTAGCTCACGCAACGTGGACGTATCCACTACTTGACTAAATATGTGTGATTGGCGGGCTGGAGCATCGCCTCCAGTGTGTTCTGATGAGTGCAGTAGTTGGCAGTAGCTGCAACGCTAACTTGGTGATGTGGGAGATCCATTGTCCAGACGCCCTGAGTGGCCTGAGTGGCCCTTTGTGTCTTCCCAGAGGAGGCTACTACTGAAAAATCTTATGTGGGTTCCATTTCCGCCAGCAGGACCAGAAGTATGATACGGGAGGATATGGTCACTTCTATCAACTCCTTAGCCAGAAACAACAACACTCACCTTGGTATGATTGTCTGCCGGATACACCGAACGATACACGCTGGGCTGCCATATCCTTCTCCATCTTCCTCGACTGCGCCATCACGCACTAGAGGCAGGGCGAGTCCCGGCAGCCTCCGTACCATCGTGAGGCGTTGTCTACACTCGAACCCCAAATTGCAACCTTGGAGGTTTATGCCTCCCTCTCCATACCTCAACGAGTGGTTCGGACATTCCTCGACCATGCGCCTCCCCACATAACCTCCACATGCCGCTTTCCTTTGCCCCTGGCGGGTGTATGCATGGGACGGCAAGGGATCGCGGGAAGCTTCAGCCCTGCGTGCCGCTTTCTAGAAAATCCCCGACATTCAACACTATCCGTTCTGGTTTGATTGGCGGCTAAGTAATGGTTGGCCCTTAGGGGCATTGTTGTAGTTAGCTGTTTCAATGCGGCACAGCACATTTTCCGCCCAGGTTTTCCTTCTGCTCCCTTCCCTTCCCTTCCCTCTCCCTACCAGGGTGCGGCCTGTGGGCACTACAGATGCATATACAGGGCCGGCATTGCTTCACTGATGCGTCTCCCTGGGGTGTCTTGCTTTACCCAGTGGTGGTTTCGTTGGGTCTTGTTGGGGGAACATGCAGGGTGTGGATGATGTGAAATGGGTATAAAAGAAGGTATACAACCCTTTGTGTGATACTTCTATATTTCATACTTGAGCTCTTTTGATTGAATTGGATTCAACTGTTGTTCAATATAACGTTCGAGTCTGTTAAAATACACTTCTTTCAACCCCGAATATATATTCCTCACACAATCGATACATATAACACCAAATCTCTACAGCATGTCTTATAACAATCTCGCTATTGGTGTTGAACCAAACATAAAACAATACAATAACCTCTCAATCTCATACAACCACACCCGATCATCCTCTCGCTCTCTCGCTCCACATACTCATAGTCATTCCCGATTCCCCTTACCAACCTATCCCAATACTACTACGACGCCAATCCACCAAAGAGCGGATTGGTGGAAATGCTGCGGCTGTAGCCAACTGGTTAATCCGGCTCTCGCACCAGACCGGTGTCCCATCTGCTCGCATTATAAATGCGCGCAGTGCTCGGCGGAGAATGTTGGGTGAAATGAATTCTGAGAGGGAGGGTGTTATGTGACGGTACTTGAAATCCTAACATCTCTGTTCTCATATATTTTGGTTATTCTGTTTTCTTTTTCTTCGGTTTGGAATGTACGTGTCTGATCTCGGGCTTTATCGTGCGTTTTTGCAGTTCATCAATAGGGGAACTCTTGCGTGGTAGATCGCAGTGCACACTTTGTGACTGCTATATGCAAAGATCTCGACGTGGAACTATTGGCCAAATCGAGTCGCCCTAATGAAACTCCTAGATCCAATCAAACAATTAACGCAAGATAATTTACCCTGGTATGGAACCTTGGTGGAGTAATTCAGCCCTATGCATGATCCACAGGATCAGGTGAGGCTGCTGCTATGTCCACAGGGCCGGTGGCGCACCGCACGCACCGCACCGCCAGGAATGTCAAAACAGGAGAGACAGGTTGAACAAGAATCAATAGTTAATGCATGGAATTAGTATTATATATGACGCTAGTTAATAATAATGCTTTCTGTACCCATCCAACACTAAAACCAAACCAACTCAAACCAGAATGCAACCAGGGATATCGTCACGTCATGCATCATCGTCTATGAGATCTCGCCTCGCGCTCTCTGTGGCTATGGCTATGCTTCGACTAGGAAGTCGAAGACCGCAGAGCCAGAGCCCCGTCTTCAACGGGCGGTGGCGGAGCCGCTGCTAGCCCGGCCTCCTGCTTCAGGCGCGTCACCACAGGCCCCATGGCAAAGGCGCTTTCCAAGCTGGAGTGGTCGGCGCAGGGGCTGTGTTTCAGTGGGAGCAGCCAGTCTGCCGCGCTGTTGCCCATGACTTGGCGCAGGTTCTTCCACGCGCTGCCCAGATCGAAGGGGTTTTCGCCGGGCAGGGTTTGGAGGATGGCGAAGACGTGGCGGTCTGGGGTTGGCACTTCTAGGGGCTGGGCGCGGGTTTGCGTTTGGGATGATGGGGGTGAAGATGAAGATGAAGGGGGCTGTGGGGGGAAGGAGACCATGCGGAATGGAGGTGCCCAGGGGGACTCGGAGACCCATAGTCGTTCGAGGAGATGTTCTGGGACGCGGACGGCGAGCGTCCAAATGACAGATCCGCGGTTGATGTTCTCAATCGTGGTGAGATTCAAAGATGCAAGTTGTAGAGAACTGAGCGTCATGCCGCAGGTGAACAGTCCAAAGAATCCACTCCTAGATAGAGATGAGATACAGGGCCGGTAAGTGTAGACGACACAGTACTTACAGTCCAATGCAGACGCACCAATGTGGATTGACGCTTCCGGTCTGTGAGGAATGGCGTCAGCACGAGATCTGGACCAGGAACCGGTCTGCACTTACATTGCGTCGCAGCTCGGCTGTGAAGTAGACAGACACGACAAAAGTAAGAATGCAGAAGAATGAGGTATACACGACAAACTGGATGAAGAATTTCAGCGATGTCTCCGACACCACGCCACCCACCCTAGAGAACGGTTAACCAGTGTCGCATGCAATACGATACAAAGCATACCAAGGACAAAAATGATCCATCTTGCGTACGCAGCGATCAACTTCCCGACAGTGGTGCGCACGATCTGTCTTGAATTGGCAGCACGAGGAGCAATACGGTGGTCGACCGTCTTCCTGACAGACGAAGACATCTTTGGTATAAAAGCTTTCCAGCCCGTCCGGGTCCAATCGAAAAGCCTTCCCTCCAGCATTCTGATCTAATCCCTGCTCCGGGTCTGATTGCCGTCTCGCCTCCTTCTCTGCATCATCGGCTTTCTTCACACTGCGCTTTCTCCGATGTCGTTTGGATGATGGCTTGGAGGCCTCCTCCTGCACGCGTTCCGCGCCGAGCGGGAGATACCCCGGTTTCCAGACCACATGATACAGAAGCCGTGTATAGGTAAGGAGCATGGGGATTAAGAGGAGATAGTAGAGCACGAGGATCGCGGCACCGGCGCCGACTCGGGGGGTTCGGTTATAGGAGGGTTTGGGATGGATCAGGTAGTCGACTGGAGCAGGGTGTTAGTGGTGCGATACGCATTGACGTTGGAGGGTAGGTGCGCAACTCACTGCAAAGGGGCTTTGTAATTGCATAGCTCGCGTACACGACCGCGCCCAGCAGCACCGGTGGAATGACTCGCGAAACGGCGAGGTTGACGCGCTTCTGCGCGGCTGTCGCCATCGGTAGAGGGGAGGAGGAGACTCACCCGACCTGCGCTGTTCACTGCATCAATGAGGGGAATAGCGGATACGGTCGAGGAAGAATAAAAGGGACTCCAACAGAAGATTAGCGATGTCCGTCAATCCTCCAGGTGAGCCGCCCGAGGTAACGATGTTGCCTGCGCAAACAGGGCAAACACCTGACGTAATCCTCCAGGCCCGATTCCAAGGAACCGAGAGCAGGAACCGAGAACAGGAACCATCTCCAGCGTGTCTCGCGGGGGGATTGGGATTGTTGATTTATCGACTTCGAACTCTCGGGACATGTAATGGGTGGTGAGTGGTCGTAGGTGATCTCCGACCATCAGAACCCTATCGATGGATCTGCCCAGGGAGACGATCCACCTGATCGCCTCGAATATTCTTTATTTCTGCGCGAGAGACGTTCGATGCTCGAGTTCCATCGCGGATGACACTGTGGGACATGGGGGTTGTGGGGTGCGATAGGCCGTATCGGACCGAATATGAAGCATCCAGAATGTCCGACGTAGGCAGCAGAATGTAGGATGACTCGTCGATGACTCTTAATGGAGTCCATCAAGGCTGACGCCAGGCTCCAACGGCGCCAAAGAGACTCCGTGACCGTCACTTGATGCGCCGACACCCGCCCTCCCCTAGAATCCAAGGCCCCGACAGACGGTGAACGTGATTTTGCCCTGGCGCCGTTAGTTCCTAGTTCGCTCCACCCGGGATTACTGCGCCGACTGCCTGAGTCAACGTCGACATCATCGACAATGATCCACCCGTTCCGCAGGGTGCGGCCCGCTAGGCCAATCTCAGGCTCGTGATAGGAATAATGTATGGTCCGGAGCCCTCCCCGGCCAGGTCGCCCAGGCTCCCAAGTCGCGCTGCTGGTTCGGCTGCTGCCCCAGAATGATGTGCAATTAGAGCCTGCCCCATTCCGAGACTGTGAGAGACCCGGGTGACAGTCCAGCCCATTCCCGATGGGGGTGCGCAGAACAGCCCCGGGCTGCTACCTATTTCCCTAGCCACGCTCGCCTGCCTTGCCCTCGCTTTGCTGCCAATGAATCCATTCCGTGAAAGTTATATAACTCTGTTCTTTCGTCCGGTCCTCGATTCTTATTTTTTTTTTAAACATCATCATCACTTCTTCTTGTTCTTCCTCCGACTGGATTGTCGCCCGGACGTTCGTCTCCTCTCCCATACTGTCCGTTCAGTCTGAATCTCGCTGCCCTATCGACCCCGTTATCACCATGTCGTCAGTGTGGTACTGCTGTGAATGCAGCTTCGGTCCTCACAATGGCGACCTCTACGACTCCTGCATCTCGTGCGGCAGAACACGCTGCTCACTCTGTGACGAAGAGAAAATCTCTCGACGCATGTTGGCCGCCTCTCATAGTCTCCCTCATCTTCCCTCTCCGTACGCCGTCGCTGCCGCCTCCCTCGACGGATCCCAGACTTTCTGCTACAAGTCAAAAGCGACGCCCTCGTACACAGAGCTATTAGAGGATGAGCCCCGGTTACGGCCACTAGAACGGGATTCTCTCATCACTCATCCCGCCTCTTCCACTGCTATCCCCGTTCATGGCATGCAGTCCTGCTCCGACACGTATATGTACATCTGCTGCCAATGTGACGACGGGCCCAAAGTCTACAACCACCAGCCCCAGTGTGTGGTCTGCGACCATGATGCGTGCAGCCTGTGCTACTATGTCAAGTGAGGCGCTCTACAGGGCCTCTCTGCAAGTTTCTTCCGCAATGGTGAGAGAAACCAACTCCCAGATCTGCATCTAACAGTCCAACTTACTATGGCGCAGCGATTCCGAGACCTCGGATTATGTTACAACGATTGTTTTTGTTTTGAGTTTACGCGCCATTTGTGACCAGCGGGTATTGGGATTGGATAATGCAGCATCTCGGGCGTCCTGTGATTGATTTTGCGTGATTTTGTGCTCGAGTTGGTAGACCGGGATTACTAGAGTGATGTTCGTTCGTTCTATACTTCGGCTTCTCGATTGGGTTTAGCATCGGTGAGGTAAGCAGGCAGGGCAGGGCTGGATCCCGGTCTGCCTTGGCTTAGGTCGATGACTCTTTTTTGCAACGAAGATAATAATCGTGTGACTCTTTCTCTCATGAACAATGGAATTCTCCCTACATCATAGGTCCAGCCCACAATGCCGTAGTTAGTCGGGAAAAAAAAAGCGCCATTTCGGACTGACCAGGCACGAGGTCACTGGCACCCACCGCACCCACCAAACACCCTGGTAAAACCTGAGGCTGCGACCTCCTCCCCCAGTCCAATGATCGGTGCACAATGCATCTCATCGGTGGGTTCTCGCGCGGGCGTTTGGCACTATCGCTTGCGCCCCGGTGGAGACACCAAGTCTGTTGCTCCCTCCACCGACCGCCCTTTGGCGCTCCCTGCACACCATCCAGCCCTACCGCCCGCCTAAATGTAGCGGTCTTGTCTATTGACCCGAGCCCCCGCCACATCCACTCTGCCCTCTTCTCTCCGCCCCTTGACCTTCCTTCCCTTTTAACACTTGACACTAACGGAGTCTAAGGTGTGTGGCTGTGTGTGGGCGTCTGTTGGTTCTTGATTCTCCATCGGACCGTGTTCCCCGTATACTAGAGAACGGCAGACTACGTCACACAGCGTGCCGCTATATCCTTGTGCCGTGCCATTTCTAGTCCGCGGAGAAACAACGGTTACGGTTGCCTTTCCACCCGCGCCGCGTCGCGCCGTTGACATGAGCATCCTCTACTCTTGTGGCGCAACCCCTGGTAGTAAGGATAGGTGTCGGGCGCAGGCACGCGACTGACTGTCCCTGCGCCGCATGCAACGCTGGGATGGACACGAGCTGCTCCCGACCAACAGACGAAGTGAGGCTGGCGAATATCCGCGCCACAAATCAATGAGCCCCTTTTATGCTCCGGTGCAATAGAGGGCGAAAGTTGCAATTCGGTGGTGCGCTTGTGTCAGAGCGTCTCTGCGCCACCTGTCTAGACTTGCGCACAGGGTAGTTCGAGCAGTTCGTGAATGTTCGAGTAAATCATAGTATGCACTACACGAACGAACTAACGACGAACCTGGATCCGACTTGGAATTGTGACTAATAACGGCAATCCAACACTCCAGTAACGATGAGATCCTCCAAATCACCAACAGCCAAAATAGTTAGTAGAACTAATATTCGGCCCAGACCATGAAAACGCAACGATCTCCGTTGAACAACCCCAGTTCTTCGCCCCCAACCGACCGAAGGAACGCTCCTTCTATACTTAGAAATTTCTCCATATCTTTATTTGTGGCTTCGACCTCTCTCTCTCTTTTTCATGATGCTCATTTTCTATTCTTGTCTCTTTGTCGTGCCATTAAAATAGAACAACAAAAGAGGATCCGGCCCCTTCTTCTCGGGGGACGGCGGTGGGGATGTTCGATCGGTTTGTTGGATGATTGCAGATCCCGAGGGGTCTATTGGCCATGTTCCTACATTGTCGAGTCAGGATTGAGATCATTGCCCTCAATTGAGATACACCGAAGATATTCTTATCATCCAAGACTGAATACAATCCTGTCCGAAACGGTGTGGACCGATATATAAATATCCAGCATCCGGCTGTCGGGTAGACTTTCCTGTTCATCACAAGGACCGAAAACAAGGAAAAGCACAAAGGGACGGTAGTACGTAGTGCCGATGGATAAGAAAAGGAATTGTGGTAAAAATAAACATGATATTCACACTATGGAAACGTGTTGCGTTGCCGACCAACGGAACATAATCATACAATATCCCCCCCCCCACGTAAAGTGCAGATTAGCAGGCTGGAATAATGAGTCCGAGTTGAACCCTTCTTCTTTCGAGCCAAATTCTGTTACGATCGACGACTAGAAAGGGTGCAGCTGCGCCAACGCCAATTCTCCATGATAGAAAAAGTGACACACACCTCCCTTAAGGCAGATTGCTTGCTCGACGAAACCTTGTCGAGAATAGAACTGTCTGAGTTTTGTGGCGGAAGAAAAAAGAAAACGCCATGCAAGCTAATGACGCTGGGAAGACAATGGGAAAAGCGTGTATTCACGAACATTCAGCCAAGATGAATGTCGTGGGAGGAAATGGCAAAAAGATCACGAGGGACGAGGAGGCGGAGGTATAATTGAAACCAAAACAGAAATGGTCTTGATCCCGCTTGATCATTCGGCGCCAGGATTGTCATTGTGAGGAATCCCCGCATAACACAATTCCAAAGGCGACTTGGAGTGGCAGCTCACCTGGATGACTTGCAGCAAGTTGAAAGGTTGGGCGGCCGGGGAATGTTACATGGGCAAGACGCGCGACGGGTCTTGAAGAAAGCGTCTACGGTATGCGGCTATTTCAGCGGCCACAGTGGTGAAGTCTTTCACCTTGTCACGTCGCATCTCGTTGATGATCTCCTTCAGACCGGCGAGGTAGGTCTCTTTTTCTTCCTCGGTGTTGCCCTCCCGAGCGGCTCCCATTTGGATAAGGATCTTGTCATCTATTGGGGTTAATGGCACTGTGGTCAGCATGCAAACGATGAAGGTTGGCCAAAAGTGCAAGGGAAGAGAGAAACGCTCAAAAGGGGCATCGAGACAATAGTCCGTAGAGAAAGGGAGGTAAAATAGTAAGAGATGTGGCACGGCTTTTCAACTTGTCGACGCACCGCTGAGAGTCATATCCCGGAAATGCTGGAATTCACAGGACCGGTCATTGCAGACACCACCGGAAGCTTCGTATGGGCAGAGGTACTTCATAGGATCAATGTCATGGCTGTAAGTTAGCGAACGGTAGCCGTTCGAAACATCCTCTGCATAATTGGGGTGATAGCGATATGCCTTGAAATTTCGCAGCGGGCTGACGTAGGGAGAAAACCTCTGCTTCGAGTCGGCAGCAGAGGCTTGGTTCTGCAGGATGGCTGTTAGTGTATCCTCGCTGGACTCATGATATTTTCATACTTCCAAAGTGCCAACGTGTGAGCCCTTCGCTTGATTCGAATTCGACACCGGAGGGGCATCCGTCACTGCTTCATCAGCTGGGGACATGTCAATCGAAGACGTTGACTCTGCCGTGCTTTTGACAGACTCGGGAGGGGCGGGGCTGAAAGGAGGACTGTATGTTTGGTCTGCAGCTTCCTCGACATCGGGTTCTGGTGGCTCATAGCCCTCTGAAGCCTCTGATGATTCAAGAGAATCGCATGGCACACTCTCGTGGGTGTCGGATGCCGCAGGAGGTTCTGTGGCAAGGTCGACAGCCGGGGCGGGCGGCTGCTCAGGGAGAGGATGGTGCAGAGTATCCGCGTCCACGATCTCCACATCTTCTGGAGTTCCACCTTCAACATTGATCGGCGCATCAGCATCAGAGGAAGACTCTTCGTCGGCAGACTCGTCCATAGAAGACCCAGTAGAGTCGGTCCCGGAAGAAGACGATTCTGCGATGGAATCCATAGCATCGCCTGCTGCAGGCCGGTCGACAGAGACATCTTCTGGAGAACGTGGAGCGTTGGCAGTGTCCTCTTGTTCAAAGGAATGGGCATCCGGAATAATGGTATCTTGCATGTGCGAGGAGGATTGGATTGCTGAAGAGGCCAGCAAATCGTCAGTAACGGGGAAGGCCCCATTTAATGGGACCGCCGACTGACCTTCCTTGGCCACAATTTCTTGTTCCTTGACTTCCGCTTGTCGGCGAAGCTGATCCAGATCCACTAATGACAAGCCATTGATCTCATCACCTAGCTGTTTCAATTCTTCAATCAATAGAAATCGCCCTTCTTTTCCCTTGGTGATTTCAGAGAGGACTCGATCGGCCTCCTGCCTACAACTAGACAGATGTGATTCGGATGACAATATCTCAGCATCCAAATCAGGGAGACCAGACTCGATTGCTTTCATTCGCATAATTTTGGATCGCAAGCTGTCCAGCTGTTCGGTTTTCATGGACGCTAGAACCCTCACGGACGAATCACTGAAAGAATCGATTAGGTTCTGACGACCCGTACTTGTGGTGGCGACATCTGCAGCCGGTGTTGTTTTAGGGAGGGGAGCAGTGGAGGTATCAGTGGCTTCGGCTTCGGCGCCGCTCGATTGTCCAGCTGATGATGATGCACCCGAGTCAAAATACAGAGGCGAGTGAGCTAGGCCAGGAACCAGTCTTGCCTTTTTCCGTTGCTCAAGCTCAGCTATCCGCTTGTGCATAGCTTGAATCTCCAGATCCTTCTTCCGAATGCTCTCCTGGTCAGAGGGTCGAGAAGAAGCTTGCGGGGTTGACGTAGAGGTTCTCGTGGGCAAAGAGGCGATGTTCTGTAATGAGAATAGCAGAGCCTCTGCAGTCGGCACGGGTTCCGAATCTTGCTCTTGGCTCGAGTCCACATCCATGACCCCACCCTCATCATCACCATAGAGAGATTCATCGTCACTGATGTCGATAACCAGCCTCTCTGCGGCACCAGGATGCCCCTTGCTATGGCTCAGATGTTTCTTCGGAGCGGTGACAGGCTCATCAAAATCGGACGCCCGAGGCCGTTTCCGCTGCGTTGCTCGGGCGAGGGGTGTTGGATCAACGGCAACAGTTTGGCCCTGAGCTTCGCGATCTGTATCTTGCGTTGGCTCGGCCATGGATAAACCGGGGATGCCAGCAGGGTTGGCTTTTGTCGGCAGTGGAGGTCGAACAGGAAGCGGGTGTTGAATGGTGGACGGAGAAGAACCAGAGGGCACGGAGACTTGACTAGTCTCGGTACCTTTCCCAATATTGGTGATTTCTGTCCCGCCAGTTTGCTGCACCTTTTGTTGACTCTTGAGCAACATCTGTCGTTTCAGCTCCTCTATTCGCTGTCGTGCCAGTTCCGTCTGAGCTTTGTTCTTCACCCTTAAGGGCTCCACTTTATTTTTGGGACGAGTGTCGCTGGAAGACTCAGTTGCTTCCTTCGGCACATCTGTCTTTGAAACACTCGAGCTGGCAGCTTTGGCGGCCTTTTCTGCAAGCATTCGGGCGATGACATATTTTCTCTCCATGGACGTGCTCCCGTCCGGTTCAGCCGCGGAAGAGCCGGAAGGAGTTGGCACCGCAGAGATGGTCTTGTGTGCAGGGTCATTCTCCTTTTCCATTCCTGGTCTGGTTGGCAGGGTGCCGGGCTGTGGGCCCAGCTGCGTGGTCTTAAGTTTGGTTTGGTCAGACTTGGGTGGCACAACTTTGATTCCGACTTCTTCATATAGTTGCCGGAGGATCTTGGGATTGATGCCTTCAGCAACCAACTCATTGTAGCGAATGTTGTGAGGTGCCAAGCTCAGCAATGCGCCCTGCGCCTGCACCCGAAGCTGTGCCACAGACTTGGTGAGTGAAGCGGCCGAATCTGGTATCGTATTCTGGGGGTCCAGGTTTGGCGTTTCTATTGCATGAACTAGATTTGGATCTGCGGAAACGGACAAGGGTGGGTTGTATGCTGCCTGATGTTAGCATAAGAACACACACAAAGATATTCTGGTGGAAAGTACGTGATCCGCTGCTTCTGCTAGAGTCAGATGAGGATGCCTCCCCTTCCTCGCGGTCTGAAGCACGACGCCCAGATGAGAGCTGTCCGCATCTGGTTTGTTTCCCCGAGGCCACGAACCTGGATGGTCTGTCGTGTTCTCTCTCACTGACCTCACCTTCCTCACGGTTCGGGTCAAAATGAGTTGATGTCGCTCTCGGGCCACCAGATAATCCTTTTGATTTGGAGGGAGCATTCTCTGTTGATTGAGTTGGAAGCGCGTATTGAAGAACTGAGGACCCTGTTGGCATGGGGAACGGAGAGGAACCGGGCGGTGGTAGCGGCAGAGGTGGGAACGGAGGGAATTGAGACGCGTCGAAGGGAGGCATGGACGGGAACGGCGGGATGAATTGCCCCGAAGCTCCAGGAGTGGCCATCTGCGCGTTCGCGTTCACAGAGTGGAGATTGTAGTCGAATGGGTACCCATGATGGGGAACAGGTGGCTGAGATGATGGAGTATATTCGGAGTTGAGGGTGAAGTCTGGTGGGATCATGGCAGGGTATGAAGAAGCCCACTCCGGCGCATAGTTGGCAGTGCCATTATACGAAGGGGGTGGTTGGTTGGACATGATGGTTGTGCTGGGTTAGAGGAGAGAGAGAGGAAGATCTCATGCATATAGATCGCAGCACATAGGAAACGAGAGGAAGGCGTAGTCATCTCAAGCGTCCCGCATCATGAGGGCCGCGCGTAGAATAATGACTCGAGAGCCGGTAGGGATTGAGTTTGTTATCGCTCCCTACGGTCTCACTTCATGCTTGATGAGGCTATCTCTCCGGAAGACCGTGGAAGACAGCAGAGAGAGGAAACAAAGGGAAGCGGTGGGGAGAGAGTGCGATGTGAGCGGGTGATTGGTGAGTGACCAGAAAGAATCTCAGCGGGTAAAAAAGAGACAAGCGCCGAGTGCACGTGACATGACGAGAGGTGCACGGGCCACCAGAGATCGGCGGGAGCCCGAGGAACGCAGAGTAAACAAACACGCACTCACCCTCACCACTGCAACACTGGACTGATTATTACTCTTGGTCTGGGATACTACTTGGGAGTCTTGATTCACTCCCATTTTAACCCTGTTGGAAGTCACTCTCGACTTCTTTCTCCCCCCCTTCCTTCTCTCTCCTCTCCATCTGGATCTCGGAACAATCTGGGCGATGCGACCGACTGGCATGGCCTAAGGATGTCCAATTGACCTGTTCTCGCCATGCTCCCCTCTCAACTTAATGGCAGCCCCAAGCGTGCCAACCCCTTTGCTCGGTCTTCTCCCTCGCCGGCGACTCAGCCAAAACCCACGCGACCCCAGTCTGCCATCATCACGCCGTCGGGCGGACTCGAATCGGCAAAAGGACATTTGCGCAATGCATCGGTCTCACATACATCTCCGACGCGATCGCCAGGTCTAGGAAGCCGAGAACGGTCCAATTCAGCAAAGCTCAATGCCGCGTCGGGCACTTTCGCCCCAACTTTTATCAAATCCGAAGAGCTACGTCGAGGAGCCGACCAAATTCGAGGACTCGAGGGCGACAATGACTTTTCCGGCAGCAAATACGTATGGCTTCGGGACCCCGAAAAGGCGTTCGTGCGGGGGTTGGTACTAGAAGAACTGGAAGACGGGCGACTGTTGGTGCAGAGCGATGACGGCCAGGTATGTGACCGAGCTGTCCCCCAGCGTGTTTCTCCACCTCGTGGCTGACACCCCTAGCAGCAACGAGAAGTCGATGCGGACCAAGTCGACAAGGTCAACCCCGCCAAATTCGACAAGGCAGACGATATGGCCGAACTCACCCATCTGAACGAGGCCTCCGTAGTCCATAACCTGCATACCAGATACCAGTCGGATTTGATCTACGTGCGTGCATTCTCCATATCAATACGGCTATTGGACTAATGGACTGACTTTGTTGGCCGACAGACGTATTCGGGGCTTTTCTTGGTGACGATAAATCCATACTGTCCCCTGCCGATCTACACCAATGAGTACGTGAAGATGTACAAAGGCCGTGGCAGAGAGGAGACCAGACCACACATTTTTGCCATGGCAGATGAAGCGTTTCGAAATTTGGTCGAAGAAGGCGAGAACCAAAGCATTCTCGTGACGTGAGTGCTGCCACCCGCCAACAGATGGTCCATTAGAACTGATCTCATCTGGGGATGTAGTGGTGAATCCGGAGCAGGTAAAACCGAGAACACGAAGAAGGTCATTCAATATCTGGCAGCGGTCGCGACTTCAGATACCCCATATGGCCGTTCAGGGACGAAGCAGTTCTCTTCCCTCTCACAGCAGATCCTGCGCGCCAACCCCATCCTCGAGGCCTTCGGAAACGCTCAGACCGTCAGGAACCACAACTCGTCTCGCTTCGGTAAATTTATTCGAATTGAGTTCTCCCGATCAGGTCAGATTTCTGGTGCATGGATTGATTGGTATCTCCTCGAGAAATCGCGCGTGGTGAAGCCGAACCAGAACGAGAGAAACTACCATATTTTCTATCAGCTTCTGCAAGGTGCAGACCGCAAAACGCGCGAAGGCCTTCTCCTATCGGATCTTCAAATCGAGGACTTTGCCTACACGAGAGAAGGCAACGACTCGATTGTTGGCGTTTCTGACCGGGATGAATGGAACTCATTGATCGAGGCCTTCCATGTCATGAATTTTTCTGACAATGACCAGCTATGCATTCTCCGCACAATCGCTGCCGTTCTCCATCTGGGGAATGTGTCTATTGTGAAAGAGAGCGTACGCGCAGACCAAGCTGCACTTGGACCTGATGGGTACTCCAGCATGGAAAAGGCCTGCCAGCTGTTGGGCATATCTTCCGAAGATTTTGTGAAAGGCTTACTTCACCCCAGAGTCAAGGCGGGCCGTGAATGGGTCGAGAAGGTTCAAACACCTGAGCAATGCCGCCTGGCTCTTGATGCATTATCCAAAGGAATCTATGAGCGTGGCTTCGGGAACCTGGTCTCTCGAATTAACAATCAGCTTGGCCGTGCCATGGCAGCCGACGAGAATTATTTCATTGGTGTTCTGGATATTGCCGGTTTTGAGATATTCGACAACAATAGTTTTGAACAGCTGTGCATCAACTACACGAACGAGAAGCTGCAGCAATTCTTCAACCACCACATGTTTGTTTTGGAGCAAGAAGAATATGCTCGGGAGCAAATTGAGTGGCAGTTCATCGACTTTGGAAAAGACCTCCAACCCACGATCGACTTGATCGAACTGACAAATCCGATTGGTATATTTTCCTGCCTCGACGAGGACAGCGTGATGCCCAAGGCCACAGACAAATCATTCACCGAAAAGCTTCACTCTCTGTGGGACCGCAAGTCTCGCAAATATCGCGCCTCTCGTCTCAACCAAGGATTCGTCTTGACTCATTACGCCGCAGAAGTGGAATACAACACACAGGATTGGCTGGAAAAGAACAAAGATCCCTTGAACGACAACATCACCCGTCTTCTGGCAGCTTCGAAAGAACGACATGTCGCCAATCTCTTCTCTGATTGTGCAGAGCCCGATGAAGACGGCGGCGACTACCCCCGTAATCGGGTCAAGAAGGGGCTTTTCCGCACAGTGGCTCAAAGACACAAGGAGCAACTGTCAAGTCTCATGTCACAGCTGCATTCAACACATCCTCATTTTGTGCGTTGTATACTGCCAAACCACAAGAAGCGCCCAAAAATGCTACATGCCCCGTTGGTGCTAGATCAACTCCGGTGCAATGGTGTCCTCGAGGGGATTCGCATTGCTCGCACAGGTTTCCCCAACCGTCTTCCGTTCACCGAATTCCGACAACGGTACGAAGTTCTTTGTCAAAACATGCCAAAGGGCTATTTGGAGGGTCAGAGCGCAGCTAAGATTATGCTTGAAAAGCTTGGAATGGACCGAGCCTGGTACCGGGTTGGTCGAACTAAGGTTTTCTTCAGGGCCGGAGTTCTGGCGGATCTGGAGGAGAAACGCGATCAGCTCATTCGGAGTATCATGACCCGGTTCCAGTGCCACGCCAGAGGCTTCGTGCAGCGCCGGATTTCGAACAAGCGGCTGTATCGTGCCGAGGCAACGAGGATTATCCAGCAAAATTTCCATGCCTACCTTGCCCTCAAGGGAAGCCCTTGGTGGCAGCTCTTCTCCCGCATGAAGCCACTCTTGGGCGATACGCGGACAGCAAAGGAAGTCAAGAGACGGGACGACAAAATTCAAGAGCTGGAGGTGAAGATGAAACAAGATCTCGCTGATCGCCAGAAGCTTGATGAGGAGCGACGCCGGACCGAAATGGAAATCCACAAGATCCAGAAAACCCTAGAAAGCGAGCGGGCTCTCGCCTTGGACAAGGAAGAAATATTCAAGCGTTTGCAGGTTCGGGAAGGCGAACTCACAGAGAAGCTGGCAGGTGCCATCGCAGACCAGGAAAATCTAGAAGAGCAACTGGACGAACTGGTTGAGGCGAAGAAGAAAACCGAAGAACAACTTCAGCTCCGGATTACACAGCTTGAGCAAGCCGGGCAGATCATTCAGCAATTGGAGTCTGGCAAAAACGATTTGCAATCTCAACTGGACGAGCTCAATCAAAAGCTTACCGATACCGAAGGCCAATTCACTGGCAAGAATGGTCAGATCCAGGAACTTGACCGGGAAATGAAAATGCTTCAGAGTCATTTGAATTTGAAGGATCGCAAACTTCAGGACTTGGAGGCCAGACTACTCAAAACGGATCAAGATCTCGATGTCAAACTTGCCAATACAACTAAGGATCTCGATAAGTCCAAGAAACAGATCAAAGAGCTTCTGGATGACAACCGCTCTGTCCGTCAACAACTTTCCGAACTCTCTTCCACTTCCACCGGCTATGAGGATCTTCTGCGGCGCAAAGAAAGTGAATTGGCAGTTCTTCGTAACGATGTGAAAAAACATGAGGATGAGCGCAAGAGCCTCCACTCTGAAAAGACATCACTCTTGACACGTCATGACAATATGCAGAAACGCCTCCGCGAAGTACAAGCTGAGTCTGATGCCATGCGATCGGAAAAGGCACAGCTTCAGCGTGAGGCTGCCGATGTCAAACGACTATTGGAAGAGAAGCGCACCGAAGATGCCGAGGCCGGCGAGAGCAGAAAGCTGCTGGAACAGCAAGTGAAAGATCTCAAGGACCAGCTCTTCAAAGCACAAGCAGACCTCAGCCGTGAACGCCAGTCGAGGGATGATGTACAGATGCTAGCCGAGCATAATCTGGCTCAACTGACTGACAAGTACAACGATCTTAACGATTCCAAGATTGAGATTGAGAAGGAGATGTACATCCAACAAGATTCCCTCCGTCGCGCGACAGAGGCTCGCGTTCATGCTGAGCAGGCCCGCAAAGACTTGCAAGGAGAGTTGATCAAACTCCGCGACCGATTCACTGATGTAGAGAGCTCCCGGTTGAATGCAGCGGCCGAGATCGAACGCAAGACCATGAAGCAGGCTGACGAGCGCATTGCTAGCCTGCGTCGAGACCTTGAGAGCAAGTCAGGCCAACTTGACGAGATTGAAACGGAACGGTCCCAGTTGTCTGTCCAAGTCCAGGAATTGACGCAGCTCATTTCGGAATCAGACAACTTCCGCCTCCGCAATGATCAACACAAGGAGCGTCTTGAAAGAGAGCTTGTGACTCTGAAGGGCAGACTGACAGCGTCCGAAAATGATAATCGAGCTCTCCTTACCAAGATTCAGCAAAAGAATCTCGATCTTGCTCGGTCCAACTCCAAGGCAAGCGACAACAACAAAATGCGACTGACAAACCTTCAAAAAGAGAAGGCCAAGCTGGATGAAGAAAACAAAAAGCTCCGCCAGCAGCTCGGGGACTCACAGCTCTCTATTACGTCTCTTGAGAAGCAAAAGGAGAAGCTGTCATTGACCTTGGAAGATCTCAACCACGAGGTCAATCGCGAGCACAAGACGAGTCGCAACGCCGAAAAGGCCGCTTCCACTGCCAACATTCAGCTCGCAGAGGCAAACCGCAACCTTGAGAATGAACGGCAGCTGCGGGGCCAGGCTCAAGCCAACACGCGACAACTTCAGGGCACCCTCGACAGGGCAAACAAGGAGATCGAGGACCTGCACCGCCAGCTCATCCTCCTGCATAAGGTTTTCGAACCTGAAGCCACTGATGAATCCACAAAGTCATGGGAAGCCGTTAAGCCGCATCTTTCCAAGCAAGTCGACATGGCACAGGTTCTCGAAACCGTGCAAAACAAACTTCAAGTGGCGGAAGAGAAGTACTCGAGGGCCGAGAGCCAGCTGTCAGAAATGCGCCGGCGTCACTCCGACGAAATGAAGGAGCTCGATGCACGCTATTCCTCGTCGAAGCGTGCTCTCCTTGAAGAGATTGACCAGAACGAAGTGGCCAACAATCGCACCCCAAGCCACTTCCGCAAGAATTCTGAAAATGCCCAGAAGAAATTCTCCAACCCCAGCACGCCCAACCGACGGTACAATGTCTACGAAGGAGTTAATGACTCTGGCCGGTCAGACCGAACGGTTGATACCGTGGGATATCAGAAGCGGATGGATACGGCGGCCGAAATCGAAGAGCTCCAAAATAAACTACAGATGACCGAGATGCAGAACAGGCACCTCCAAAGCCAGCTGGAAAGCTCGACACCGATGCGGGATATCTGGCAGGATGAAAGCCCCTCCATTCGCCGTGTGCAGCTACTGGAGAGAGAAAATGGCCGTCTCCATGACCAGCTTGATGACTCTGCCAAGAAGGTGTCGGCCCTGGAGCGCAGCATTCGGTCCGGAGAACTCTCACTCCGTGATGTTCAGGCCAAGTCCCACGAGGAACTGTACGACTTAATCAACTCTCAGGAGCACTCCCGGCGGTCTCTACTCAAGGTCCACAACGATACCATGTCCGAGTTTGGCGAGGCGAAAACACACTACGAGAAGCTCAAGCGCGCCAAGGCGATTCTGGAAGTTGAACTGCGTGACGCCCGGTCCGAAGCCCAAGAACTTCAGTCGGCGAGAGAACAAGACTCCATCAGCCGCAATCAGCTCCTTCAGGAATTCTCGGATCTGCAGATTCGTCTGGACGCCGAAACATCCAGGTCGGCCGATCTGGAGTCCAGCATGACCTTGTACAAGAGTCGTGCCGACCAGTATTTCAGCAAACTAGAGCAGGCCGAAGTCGCAGTGCTTAAGGCCTCTCGTGCCGAGCAATTCGCCAAGTCACAAAGCAAAGAGGCCGAGGAGACTTACGCACAGGTCATGGCAGAGCGCAAGGACATGGATGCTCAGATCGAGTACTTACAACAACAAACGCAGTCTCTGGAGGCCCGGATGGAAGACCAAGCTGCTGAGCTTCAGGGTGCCCTGCAGGCCAAGCAACGCCTCCAGAATGAGCTGGAAGATTACCGGAACCAGCGAGCCATTGATATCGAGGATAAGGAGACATCGATGGAACAGACCAGAAAGAAATACCAGCGAGAGTTCTCGACCATCAACCACGAACTTGAAGTGGAGCGCGAGCGCCTGCTTAACGTCCGCGGTGAAAATAGTCGTCTGCGCGAGGAGCTCGAGGACCTTCGAAGCAAGTGGGATAACGAAGTGCTCAACAGCTCGACCTGGGCCAAGGAGAAGTCCCGTATGGACATTGCCTTGCAGGACGTCACCACTTCCCACGAGGAGGCTGTCAAGGCCCACAGCGAGGCCCAGAGCAAGGTTGTGTCATTGCTGTCACAAGTTCGAACACTTCGCACCTCCGTTGATGATATTACCGCGGAACGCGATTTGCTTCTCAAAGACAAGAAGATGCTGGAGGGCCGACTGGCTGAGGCTGGGGAACGTCTACAGGATCTCGCCAAGGGTGAAAGCCCGTCCATGCGCAATGCTGCCAGCATGGACCGTGAGTTGCTTGAGCTCAAGTCTCGCCTCGCTCAGCAGGAGGATGTCTCTGCTGCCGCTGTTGGCAAAATGCGTCGTGCCGATGCTCTCGTGACCGAGATGCAGAAAGAAGTCACTGCCGAACGAGAGACCAACGCCCAGCTCTTCAAGGAGAAGGCCGCTCTGGAGAAGAATCTGAAGGAGGCGCAGCTCCGTTGCGTTGACCTCGAGACCAAGAGCTACTCATCCGGTAGCCAGGATGTTCGCTTCCTACACAAACGGATCAAGGAGGTAAGATTCCATCCATTTCTACATTGAGTGACGAATGCTAACACGACTTCTGCTGCAGTTGGAGACCCACCTCGAGGAGCAGGAGAACAAGCACAGCTCAGAGCAGCGCTCTCTGCGCAACGTCGATCGCACAGTCAAGGACCTACAGTCGCAGATTGACAGACGCGAGAAGATCAACGCCCAGCTGAACGATGATATCAACAAGGCTCGAGACAAGATTGAACGGCTCCTTGGAAACATCGAAGAGCTGCAGCACAGCGATTCAGAGACGCAATTGCAGGCCCGCCGCGCCGAACGAGAGCTGCGCGAAGAGCGTGAAAAGGCACTCCGTTTGGAACGTGAACTGGAGGGATGGAAATCACTGCGTGTTGAGAGGGGCAGCACCATTAGCCGAGCGCCTCTGGCTGCTCTCAGTGATGTGGGCAGTCGTCGTGGAAGCGGCGCCTACAATGAGCTGCCCCAACGGAAACCGAGTAATACCAAGGGGTTCCTTTAAATTTTGGAGGATAGATGATGGTTGGACATGAATGGTAGTCATGGATTCGTTGATGGCAAGGCGTATATGTTGCACTGGATGGTTATCTTTGTCTGGTGGCCGCTGTTCATAGGTGCTTGATTGGCCAAATGTTGTATTGCTACTTTTTCTTTTTGGCGAAGTGATTTTATGTCTCAATGGGAATTTGTTTGATATTGGTTGTTCATTCTTGACCTGATCTATAGCCGTTTGTAGTCAGCAGTCCACGTGACCCTTTTGCGGGTACGACCAGTTCCAAGCCGAGTTCTCGTCCTTCACTGCTCACTCCCTCAACCTCACTCAGGCGCCGACACGGCCATTTCCTCACAATGGTAAGCTTCGCCGATTTTAGTCGGGTGTTATCCAGTCCCCCGAGCTCCCTTGGCTAATGAAAACCCCAACCCGGGTCAAAAATAGGCTCGCAACAGTGAAAAGGCGCAGTCCATGCTGTTCCGCTTCCGGGCGCAACAAGCAGCGGACATGGGCATCATCGACATCAGTCGCACCCGGCGCCCGAAGGCCATCCAGACGGTTGACAACGTCGCCATGTGCGAGCGGTGGCGCGGGCAGGTCCTCCGTGAAGTGTCCCGCAAGGTATCGCGCATCCAAGAGCAGAGCCTGAGCGACTACCAGATCCGCGACCTCAACGATGAGATCAACAAGCTCATGCGCGAGAAATGGGCGTGGGAGATGCAGATCCGGAACCTGGGGGGGCCGAACTACATGCGCGGAACGGGTCGGGTGTACGATGACGAAGGGCGTGAGATTCCCGGCGGCGGCAAGGGTTATCGATACTTTGGTCGGGCGAGGGAGTTGCCTGGTGTTAAGGAAATGTTTGAGGCTGCTGTTCGAGGCAAACGGCCGCCGGAAGAAGAGGATGCGGCGCCTGGAAGGGGGGAGATATTGCGACTAAGAAGGTCGATGCGAATTACTTTGGATATGGACTGGATGAGGAGGATGGGACTCTGTTGCTGTACGAGAGGCAGAAGGAGAAGGAGGCTGTGGAGCACCTGCGTGTTCAGGGTGACGATGATGTCGAGGATGGATGGGAGTCGTTACCGGGTGACGCTGGCGATGGGGTAGAATGGCGACTTCCCACGCTTGAGGAAGTGCAAGAAGAGCTTGTGGACCGGAGGCGACGACGACTGCTGGACAAGATCACTTGAAACTGGCGTGCAAGTTCTGTTCTGGCGTTCCGGTGTTTGTTCAAAATAATTCCATCTACCGCATTGTCATGGCTGATTTCTTGGTGGTTTACAAGTTCTCGCAAAATATCATTTCCATATGTATACAATATCAAGGGGTATCATTTGAATCCGTATTGGAGGAATTCTTGCGGGATCCTCGTCCAGCCTTGAGTGCCTGGGTCATGCTGAGACGAACTGGCTGTGAGGGGTCCTCCAGGCGCCGTTTCTCTGCCTCAAGATCATCTAAGATAAATCGGCCCAGCTCGCCCGCGCGCCACTTCTGAATAAAATGCATGGCCGCCGAATCCAGGATGGGAACGCCGCCTTTCCCCAGAAGTCCCGTCTGGCGCGCGAACGTGTCAAGCAATGGTACCACCTCGTTCGTCGGTTCAGACCACCTTTTGTACGCCTGCACATCATGCAGGTTGATTTGATATAACAAGTAATCCACAAGTGTGATTGGCGATATCACGGAATCCTTGACACAGTTACAGAGCGCGAGTTTGAGCATGTTCTCCGCGTCCGGCACATAAGGCATGAATACACCTGGCGTGTCCACGACATAAACATGCGACCCATGCTCTCGCTCGATGATTTTAACCGGAGTAGCTATTTTGCGAGTGATACCCGGTTGCCCGCCAGTTCTCACGGCCTTGGCCTTGCCAACACCTTGGTTGCGCAGGTTGTTGATGAGCGTCGACTTGCCGACATTTGGCATTCCAACCACCAGGACACGACACCCAACGAGTTTATCGGGGCCTTCAGCATCGTCCCGGAGATGTTTGAGGATGTTGCTGACGTCCGGACGGGAAGACGAACTGACAAAGAAGGTGGCGGACTTCGTATCAAACCTCTGGAGTTTTTTCTCAATCTAGAAACGGGCATAATAAGTCTCACAAGGCTATGTCTAGCATTGAGTGGCTGTCACCCACCTGATTCCGCGCAGACGACTTGGGCATGCTGCCGAGATCTCGTTTGGTATAGACAACCAAGCGTCGCTTGTTGCCTAAGGCTTCTTCAAACATGGGATTGATTGAAGTGATGGGCGCACGGTAATCGCGGCATTCGATAACATAATCGATCGACGAGAGCATGCTTTTCATTTTGGTCAAGCCCGCGCGATGGTGCCCCAGAAAGTAGGATCTGGGGATCGATCCATAATGAGGGAAGACCTGGCGCGGAATGAACTTGGCCGCCATGGCCGGCTATGCAGTAGTTAAAAGGGTATCCAGCCAGAGAGCAGACAGGTCATTGCTGATTATGTATTGGACAGCCGTCTGCCTCAGTCGGCTGCAACTCGACGCGCGAAGTGAAGACGACGAAAAAGAGCTGGAAATTGCCGTTGAGAATCAGGCGGAATCCAGGGCGGTGAGAGTATGTAACGTTGGGACTTATCATGACAAACAACAGGAACTGGCACATGTGCTCTTCAAGATACAGGGTATTGGTTGGAAATGGTCATTTTATGTTTCTGAGTATCCTGATGCTTGGGGTTATCTCGCAGTCGAAATAAGAAAGGGCCAGCCAATAGCCTTTGGATACAACTTGATTCTTGCAAGAAGCTAGAGATAGATAACTAGAGTATTAAAAGGGAAGGAAGAGACATGACGAATTTCGATTCAAACTCTCTTCGACAACTCAATATCAGCGGGAGTTATTCAGGCGAACGGGTATCACAAGTCGCTTCGTTGGGGATGAAATCTTCTTCAAAATTGGACATCAGGAATTGTTCCGGCATGCCACATGTCCACCAGATTGGTGGTTGTTTGGATCCTGCCGTCTTGATTTGGTCCGGCTCAATAGTGAGTCCGGCTCAACAATGAGATCTTTAAGTGTGCATGTTCTTAATAGCATTTAGATTACCAAGAAAAGCTCTCGGCATGTAGATAAACCCCTTGAGCACCAGTTCCCTTGTCAGAGCCGCGTTGTTCGCTAACAGTAGCGACCGTATTTCTGACACTGCTCACTAACGACAAAGGACCACAGACTGCAACACCGGTTTCTCCCTGGGCATGATCCAATATATCCCAGAGAAGGGGTTTAAGCTGGGGCCGACCTGATTTGAAGGTAGAAGAAGGGGAAGACAATGACCTGCCCACTGTCGGTTTTTCCTCTGAGGTAATTGCATCCGAAGTATCCTGGATCCTAGTGCAGCAACACGGTCCGTCAGAAACGCTGCACTTGCACCCTGCCTTTTTCTCGAAAGCTTCTGAAGGTTCGATATCGCAAGTAACGAATAATTGAACTTCGATTTCAATTCCGGCGCTGCTCAGATTTTTCGTTGCTCGTTGTAACTCGTCTGCAATCCATGCTGTGCAGGACGTTTTCTTGATGACCCAGACGAATACCACTCTTCGGACTGGAAGAGCCTGATTTTGTGATCTCTGAGCAATATCGAGGAGTATTGGTAATGTAAATGTAACACCGGTTGATCCCGCAATGAGAAGAACCGTGTCGAACGCCGCGAAATCGGAATGTGAGCCACCATACGGGCCGCCGATCAAAGAACACAGCCGACCTTCTGTTTGTACAGTCTCTTCCTCCTCTACAGTTTTTTGGGACAGGTCTGTAGAGGATGCTTTAGCTGAGTGTAGTAACCGTCGAGTAAAGCCTCGGCAGGCCCCCAAGATAAAGACGAGATCATTATCATGAGATGAGGGAATCGATAGAATGGTGGCCGGATGTGATTGACCGAGTCCCAATTCAGGAATCGATAAGAATACATGTTGTCCTGGAGTCCAATTTTTGATTCGGGGCGATGTGACCCGGATTTTTGTGACGTCGCCAGGCAGCTCGTGGATGACTGCTTTTGCGGGCTTCATGTTGTTAAGTGCAAAGAGAAGACCCCGCAGTAGGCGGTCGAAAATAAAAACGCCGATTCCAATCCAGGCGTAGATCCTGGAGGATAGGGCGGTAGAGGGTAAGTGGTAGAATATGGCCACTACAAGGCCGACGAAAGTGATGATATGTTGAATCACGAAAAACTCATACCGCCAGTTTCGGATAGGAGCCGTTGCACTGAACACCAACCAGAGGAGGAGAATCCAGGTGGCGAATCCTTGATGATTGTTAGTCTGCAAGCATTGGGTTTTTTCGTCATCACATATTACCTGTCGGGATACAGCTATCTGTATCAATCTCAAGCTTCAAAACTTTATTCTTCTTCCAGCCGTAGGCTTGAACACCGCCGTGTATAGTAGCGGTCAATAGCATAATTCGCGCTACCCATCGGTGCAATATCTGCAGTCGCTCATAGGATACACCGACGGCGTATCCAATTAGATTCCGCTTCCCAGCAAGGAGAAGTAGGAGAGGAAATTGAGCGATCGTGAGCCATCCTGCGCGGAGGCCCTGCGCTTGCCAGTGTTGAGCACCAGGGTAGTCAACGTTGAAGAATTGCAGTCCCATGACGTATCCAAAATACACCAGGATGAGCAGGATTGATCCGAATGTCGGGACCCGCAACCAAGAGTTTGCTGGGGTGAGTTGATGGTAGACGACCTCTCGAATAACCGCAGTACAGCCAGCCAGCAGCGATGTAACTGAGTTAGAAGAGGTAGCAGGTCGTGGATGTTTTGCTGCAGCGGCACGTAATCTAGATTTAGGTTAGTAGTCAATCTCTGATCCCACGTAGAAGACACTGACCTCAACTTCAGCAATCCCCATCGGCTCCAGTTGGCAACTCCCGCCAACACGATCACGACGACAATCCCGTACCAAAAGGCTCGAGCAATCGCATAATCGGACTGTTGCAAAACCGAATCATCTAGAAGTGCAGCCAGGAAATCCGAGGCCACTGTATAATTCGACATATTCAGGCCCGCATTCGTGAGGTCCGGGCCTCCAGACATGCCTGTATCCATGTCCATCTTGTCGGATATGTACAATCCAAGATTAGAATATGGCAACGACAGAAGAGAACAAGGACGAGTGTAGGCTTACATATTAATTTATTGGAGGTAGCTAGACTCCCCACCATACATGTCTCCACCGGGTCGGCGGCATCTGTCGAATCACCGGAACGGGCTAATGCCAAGCTTCTCTTTTTTGCCTGTTTGCGGTTTAGCGTTGAGCACATTTGCGAGAGTTTTCTTTGCGTCTATATACTATTATGGGGTCGCAATAACTAATAGCTCCATGATGTCCCAATTCTTGCTTTCTTTTCCCGATTTCATTTCAGTAGTTTTTTCGCGTGCATCGGGCACATGATTACCTGAGCGACTCCTGTAACAAGGGATGATTACTCTCGATCCTATCGCTCCCTGAACATCCCTTTCTCGATTTTGCCCGTCATGGATATGGCTACCGCGACCGCGACCGTCTCAAGCACGATGATGCCGTCATCTGACACCTCAAACATGGTTTTCAATACGAACAATCTCTCCGCCATGCTGTACTCCAGTTCGTGGATGCCAACCAGCATCGCCGGCTACGTGGGCACCTGGTTCTTTCTTTTCTTCCTCGCTATTATTTGGCGAGCCATTGTCGCAACACTGTTCAAGTTGGACGCGTTTTGGGCCGCGCAAAATTCTCAATACCTGATTCTTATCAACGGGGGCCAAGAAAAACCAAAGCAAGAAAGTGTCGTTCAAGCATGGCGAGTTTCTGTGAATTTGCCTCGAGCAGCATTGCGCACGATCAGCCAAGGAATTGCATACCTATTGTAAGTTGTTTCTAGTCACCTAAGTGGATGCCCAATGAGCTTTGCTGACCTATCTTGAAGGATGATTGCGGTAATGACTATGAATGTTGGGTTCTTTTTCGCCGTACTCGTTGGATATTTCATGGGAGAGCTTATCTTTTCCCGTCTCTCACGATCAGATTCGTAGCTATTGTTGGGGACCTCTTTATATATAAACAATTCTTATAAAATTCGCTCCATTATCTCATTAAGAGGAAAGTCTCCTCGGGCCTAACATCCGGGGCATGCTTGGATCACTGGCCGACCGGCTGACAGACGTTGGGACCTGTGACCCTATATGATGTATTCGGAGTAGAACTTTTAATCACTGACGCACCCTATCTAAGCTTGATTGAATGCATATGTTTTGACCGACCTACTTATTTCTGGAAGCATCCTTGTAACCCAGGAGATAGATTTGCATTCAACCGACCGACTTCAGAATCCCATTCCAAAGCAATCTGTTTATTCTTAGGTAGATAACCCTGAAACCAGCTTTCAATTTAAATCTGCTGACTCTGGTAATAACAGTGGACAGGAGATTCCTCTCTTTGCATACATCAATGCCGGAAATCGGAAGCAATAGCCGCAGTGGCGATGCTACGCGTTTGATAATTCACTTCGAGGATTTGAAACGGCAGGATGTCAGTGTGGTTGGCGGCAAAAATGCCTCCATTGGTGAGATGATTGGTACTCTAGCGGGGGAAGGAATCGCCGTACCCACGGGGTTTGCGACGACTTCACATGCATATTGGCAATACGTGAAGAAAAATGGAATACAAGAGAGGATGGCGTCGTTGATCGCAGACTGGCAATCGGGAAAAGCCTCCCTGGCTGGCACCGGTCATGACGTGCGCGGTCTGTTTCTCCGAGGCACCTGGCCCAACAATATTGCGAATGAAATCACGAACTTCTATCGCGAGATGGAGACTAAAACGGGGATCAAGAACTTGAGCGTCGCCGTTCGGTCAAGCGCGACAGCAGAGGACTTGCCGGAGGCGAGTTTCGCTGGCCAACAAGAGTCTTATCTGAATATATCAGGGGTGGCTGCACTGCTAGACGCTTGTAAGCGGTGCTATTCCTCGCTTTTTACAGATCGTGCCATGGGCTATCGTCAGGGTAAAGGGTTCGATCACCTGCGTATCGCGCTCTCAATTGGGATCCAGCGTATGGTTCGCTCTGATCTTAGTGGGTCTGGCATCATGTTCTCCATCGATACAGAGAGTGGATTCGACAAGACTGTTCTCATCAACGCAGCCTGGGGATTGGGGGAGAATATAGTACAAGGCGCTGTCAACCCTGACGAGTACCGAGTTTTCAAACCGCTATTGAATGAGACAAATCTCGTTCCCATCATAGAAAAGAAGCGTGGCGACAAGTCAATGAAGATGATTTACGACAATGAAGGAGATGAGCCAACGCGCAATGTACCAACCTCGAGAGCTGAACAAACTGCGTTTACACTCGAAGATCAGGAAATCCTCCAGTTGGGTAGATGGGGTTGTGTAATTGAGAAGCACTATGGAACTCCAATGGACATAGAGTGGGCTAAAGATGGCCTCACAAATGAAATGTTCATCGTTCAGGCTCGGGCAGAAACAGTTCAATCGCGCCGTGATACTGGGCTGTTCAAGACATACGAGGTCAGCAAAAAGGGTCTGCTTCTGACAACCGGTTTGTCTATTGGAGACGCGGCAGTCTCTGGCCGACTTTGCTTGATTGAAAACAAACAGAACCTTGACAATTTTGTTCCTGGTTCGATTTTAGTAGCGAAGGCAACAGACCCAGATTGGGGTCCCCTCATGAAGCAGGCAGCGGCAATCATCACGGACCAAGGGGGACGGACTTCACATGCTGCCATTGTCAGTCGTGAACTTGGTCTTCCGGCTGTCGTGGGAACAGAAAACGCAACCTATCTTCTACATTCTGGCCAAGACGTGACAGTCTCTTGTGCTGAAGGTGACCGTGGTTTCGTCTATGAGGGAACCTCCAGCATCACTTCTCGGACGCTGGATATGGACAGTCTACCCCCAGTAGACACAGACATCATGATCAACCTCGCGAACCCCCAAGCAGCGTATCGTTGGTGGCGACTACCAGTTGACGGAATTGGTCTAGTCCGCATGGAATTCGTTGTTAGCAACGATATTCGGATCCATCCTATGGCACTCGTCCATTTCGATCGACTCAAGGACAGCAAAGCCAAAGAAGAAATTTTGGAACTTACGGCGGGATACAACCACAAGCCCGACTACTTCACTGAAAAACTATCGCGTGGTTTTGCGGCCCTCTGTGCAACCGTCTTTCCTAAGCCAGCGGTCATCCGATTCAGTGATTTCAAAACCAACGAGTACTCTGACCTCATTGGGGGCTCTGAATTTGAGCCGGACGAGGAGAACCCAATGCTCGGCTTCCGTGGCGCCTCACGTTACTATTCACCACGGTATAAAGAAGGTTTCGCTCTAGAGTGCCGCGCGATCAAACGGTTGCGCGAAGAAATGGGATTTCATAACGCTATTGTGATGGTCCCTTTCTGCCGCACAGTCACTGAAGCAGAAGAAGTCCTTAAAGTCATGGCTAAGAACGGGCTCCAGCGGGGCGAGAATGGCCTCCAGGTCTATGTCATGTGTGAAATACCATCCAACGTGATCTTAGCTGCTGAATTTGCTCAGCACTTCGATGGCTTCTCGATCGGTTCCAATGACTTGACCCAGTTGATCCTCGGGGTGGACCGTGACTCAACCGATCTGGCCGACCTCTTCAATGAGCAAGATGAGGCTGTTAAACGCATGATTGCGCAGGTCATCCATGTGGCTTGTGAAAAAGGTTGCAAGATCGGCATCTGCGGGCAGGCGCCCAGCGATCATCCTGAATTTGCTGCTTTCTTGGTCAATTCCGGCATTGATTCTATCTCTGTCAGCCCTGATAGCTTTGTCGCGGTGAGGAATGTCATCGCATCGGGGAAGAGTCAAAAATAGACATACGCGAGTATACAGAATTCTGATCGAAGTCAATTTACGAAGACTTTGATTAAATGCAACACACATTTTCCGATATTTTTTACATGATTGATAGTCCAAACGCTGCCCCATTCTGAACTCTTACTTTTGCTCATAGATAGTTGCAAGTCGGTCTTTCAAATCCCTTGCCGACACTTCTAGGAACCTCAATTCTGAGGAGTTTAATGGCATCTCAAAGGTCTTGACGATACCTGCTTTACCCAGGACCGCGGGTAAGCTGAAGCAGCAACCCCAGTTGGGCTGGAAATGGCTGATGTTACAAACGCTGCCATTGTCTGATATGATAGCCTGGCAAATACGGGCGACCAGAGATCCAATTCCAAGAGACATTTTCCCTTTCCCGCGGATCATTTTCTGCTTTCTGCTCTCGCACTCATTAAGAACTTCGTCGCGATTAAGAGCAGCCGATGACAGTGCTTCATCAAGAGAGGTATCATCCACTATTGCAGCAGACCACGCCACAACTTGGGAATTTCCGTGGATACCCAGGATGGGAAGGTTTATCGAGCTAGCCGCCATCTATCAGAGTGAGCTATGTCGCATTCATAGACTCAATACTTTGACCTCACCTTTGCTTTTTCCGCCAATATGCTCGATACGCGGATAGCATCGAGCCAGGTTCCTGAACCTATCACTCGGGTTTCGGGTAAACCAGCAATATCATGAATGAATGATGTGAAGAGATCGACAGGGTTTGCTACGACGAGAAGAATTGTGTTTGTCCCAAATGGTTTCATCGAGCTGATAACACTCCGGATGATCGAGAGTTTTTGGTAGGTGTGCTGAACGCTCGTTTCACCTAAAATGACCATGAGACCTTGGTCCAAACAGAATTTCCAGCCAGCACTCTTACTTACCAGCGTAATATTTTGATCCAATAGTGATAAGCACAATATCGCTTTGTGCTGCCTCCTGGTGGGTGGCAGCTCGTACGCGTGTCTTGCTACCACAGACGTAGCTGACATCGGAAAGATCGCTAACCTGGGCATTTTTCAGGGCTGCGTTTATATCAACTATGAGTAGTTCACTGGTGGCGGACTGAAGGATGAGCATATTGGCGGCTGCAGCGCCTACATCACCAGCGCCAATAATTGCGACTTTATTATTCAATTTTGCCTTGCAACTCGACATTCTGTGAGGTTTGAAATTCTAGTGTTTGGGGCCCATTGAATCTGGTTTAAACACAACGTACATTACGATGGCAAGACGCAACTCGTACGTTATTTCTGTGAATGCGGAATCCAGATTTAAATTTTTCTGCTATGCAAATTGTTCGGTGTGAAATTTACGTCAATTGGGCTTAATAGTGACATAGTTTCGAGGCCCGACTGTCGCTTACGTAGGTTATGTATATGCATACATAGCTTGTCCACCTTTCCAATGAAGCATCTGAATCTTCTAAATGTAATGACTGTCTGAGTACCACCAACCAGGTTTAGGGTTAGTACATGTGATCTCTCCGATTTCTCAAGCGCTAAGCGTGTGATTTAGACAGTTCTCGGTAGAAGCTGCAACCCATGCATCAATCTCGGCTCTATTTCTTCGTCATTTGAATTACTTCGCGCTTTTGACTCTCAAAGTTTGTTCTCTTGTCTATAAACCCAGATGCTACTGAATTGAATTTGATACCTGGTTTACGCTCATTCAGTCATGTGATAGCTACTAACTAGTACCTACTAGGTAAGGTGTGTAGATAGGCACAGTGGATGCGAGCCTAGCACGAACGTCTTATCCCCACTCATCCACATCTCATCCACGTCAAGCCCACCTTCAGACTGCCGTTCCAGCTTGGCATCTACTGAGCCACGCCTTAGTAACAGCACCCCATAAGACCATCATAAAGGACGCATATTGGGAACATCCGGCGCGGATGTCCGGCTATGGCACGGCAGACAAGGCAAAAAAAGACCAATATCACCCGGAGCAGAACGGGATGCCATACCTGTCGGCGGCGGCGTGTCAAGGTAGTCCAGACTAGTCGTTTACTTCATTGGTTCCTTGGAAGCTAATATTCGAGTCATCACACAGTGCGATGAAGGCAAGCCGTCCTGCAAAGCGTGTCTCCGGTTAGGCCTGGGCTGCGATGGCTACGGCCACGTGGTGAGATATCGATTCGCCGAGCCTGCCGTCCTGGAGCAAGGAGCGACACACTCGTTTGATACGATTGAGTGGGCGCCTGTTGCTCTCCCGTTGATCGACGCAGATACATCCGATAGCGCGTCTATACCGGGAGAGGAGAGCACTTCGGATCCTCAGTCTCCAGAGTCATCGAGGAAAGAAACAATTTTCAGTCAGATGGGACCATCTAGTCAAGGGTCATCACCGAATACTTTGATCAGTAATAATATAGAAAACGGCCCTGAAGACCTCGATCCCGATCCCGCCGATCGAGCCCTGCTTAAGTATGGGACACAGCCTGATACACTGGAGGAATTTTACTTTACCCAGTGGACGACTTCTGTCACTCCAATTCTACCCCCGGTATTTGCCGACTTAACTGTGAGCATGCCCGACTTTTTGCCTTTTAGATATGCGGTCCTTGCAGTGTCCGCGTCGCACATGGCCCATGTTGAGTCTTCGATACTTTCCGGAGAGAGCTCAACCTACATTCCCGAGCGGACCCATCGATACCGAAGCCTACAGTATTACGGAAGAGGAATCCGCGAGCTCGCAAAATACGTCGATGGTTTCCCGACGGACACACTTTGTTATCTAGTTGCTACCTCGCTTCTTTTCCATTATATCGAGATGGATTCAGGCTCAATCGCCGGCTCTGTCGAACACATCGAGTCGATAAACAGGCTTCACTGCTCTGCCCGGTCGCAAATAGAGCTTGGAACAACCGAGCTTGACAAGAAACTGCTTTGCACATGGCAAAGCTTGCGGTCCCTGTCAATCAACAAGCAGCTCACCGTTGGGTCCGGTCGCATTCGGCCTTTGGTAGGGATCCAGCTTCAAGACCTGGCCTCTCCTGTAGGGGATGGCGCGACATCGTACGATTTTATTGCGCAGTTGCTATGTGAGACCTTTTCCACCAGCCGAACCATCATCCTGGACTGGTGTGTATGTCGTGGTACCAGCCTAGCCACGGCAGACGAGAAGCAAGCAGCCTTTGGGGCCTTGATAGAGCATATTGCTCTTCCTGGCGAGCGAAATCGCACGCCGCTTCAATTAGCCAACATCGACGAGTCGTATTGCAGGACAATTGAGCAACAGCGTGCACGTCTGGACGATTGGCACTCGCAACTTAACATATCAGATCTCCCCATTGAGTCCTTCACCTCCACCTCCATGGAGCCGATTCGAGACACAGAGGGGGAGTTGCACGTTGAACCGCTACGGTTCCACACATACGAAGCAGCGATGAACTATGCATACTATGCCGCAGCGCAGCTCTCCAGCTCTCGCGAGACCTTTGACCGAATAACTCAACTCGAGGGATTCGAGCTCTGTCCTACTTTTACACGCGATAGTTTCCCGTGGGAAAGCCTGATTCTCCGGATTACCCGCGGACTCGATCTGAACGACTGTCTGTACAAACATACCTTCAAAATCGGAATCCTGTCTCTGTTGATGTTGTGTGCATCTTTGTGTCCGCATATTGCAGTGGCGAATTGGGCCAACGCCTGGATCGAAAAGCTGGAAGATCACGGCATGGCGGTCGAGGATGGGATGCCCCTGGCCTTGATCAAGCGAATCATGCGCCTAATCACGATGATGAAGCAACAAGGTCATGATATGTACAGGATATCCATCGTGGATAGCGACATCAAGGAGAAATGGGAGTTTTATCGGAGCGATAGCACTTTCCAAGTGGCCATCTGTGCCAGGGATCGATCGAAGAGGGAGCTGTATAACAATGTGGTTAGCTTACCTATTTAGCAAACACATTAAACGATGAGAGCCATGGTATAGCGTTCTCCATTGACATTCCAATCCTCGTATTTTGGTGTCATGGGATGGATGAACTCGATCGGTAGATGACGAGAATGACCAATAATAAATCGGCCAACTATTCTTTGGACCAAAGGCTAGATTCTAGTTCCATGGCCATTCCAGGGCTCTGATAGACCTTTTTTAGGGTGTTGGCTTTCCCCTGGATGGGAATGACATGCTATTCCTGCGCTAGACTAGAGATCAGAGCTTTGCAGGCCGAGGGAAAGACATCTCAGAGGTTTGGTAGTCGTGAACTCCAAAATTAACTATTCTTTAAAGTTGAGAATCCTCTCAATTAGACGTAGTAGATCCCCAGGCAGGTCGCATAGATTTTCCCCCTTTCATGTTTAGCCAGATCTCTTGGCAAATCTGCGGGGTAGACTAGCCATCCAGCGCAACAAGGAGCGGCCGAAACAGGCAATGCGAGAACGAGGGTCCGTGCAGCTATTATTTTCATTCCGATTTGGTTGGTGATTTTTATAATTGAAGAAACGGCGCGGATCATTCTTATCAATGGCCTGGATGCGCGACTAGTTGCTATTGTCAATAGCATAATAAAGGCTCCGAAAGGTAAGTAAGCTGCGTGATTTTCATGCAGCTAAGCTGCATCGATGCAACCGCGTCCTCCGCTAGTGCATCCCTTCCCAAACACGCGCCCTCGAAATTTCTGTTCTGTCACCCCTTAGTCAAATGACTGCCTCCGACAACCCAACAGATCCGAAGGATCAGAAGTCATTCGAGATGGGCGTGCTCGCCACCGACGACGCGGGCACGGTGCAAAGCGTTGGGCCGACAGAGGCCAAGAACCCCCCCTGAGGCGCCAGAAGACACTGGCCTGGCGGACTTGGACGGCATCAAACGCAACTGGACTCTTCGAGGTTTAATCATTATCTGGATCTCTGCTGGGCTAATGAGCTTTGTCACCAATTTGAACAATACATCTTCGTCCACCTTTGCGCCGTATGCGACCAGCAGCTTCAGCTCGGCTCCGCTGGTGGGAACGATTGCTGTGGTGCAGGCGGTGATCGCATCAGGTTCGTCATTTGCCTCACTGATAATTACTGCCCTGACCAAGAGAACAGTCTCTCTGCAGCCACTCGCAAGGTTTGCGGACGTCTATGGGTATGGACATATCTTTTGATCGCCTACAAGAAAACAAGCCTCCTCTAACCCTAAGGCAACAGACGGCTGGAGATGTTTTCTTTTTGCATATTGATGGCAACGCTCGGAGTGATCATGCTATCATCCTCGGCGACGATTGGTGTCTACGCTGGTGCCCAGGTGTTTTGGGTTATCGGTCTCCAGGGTGGGCTTATATCCATCCCACAGAGAAAAGATTTCAAGCTGATTGTGTTAGGAATCTCATTGATGCTTCAAATCCTTGCAGGCGGTATGAGAAGAATTATTATTGGGCATCGTTTTCCTACTAAGATATGATAGACTCGAGCGATCTTTATAACCGTGCTCTGATGAATGCAATCCCATATGCTCCATCAATCATTACCACATGGGTAAGTCAGAACAGATTCTTTACCACATATGTACAAACTAAGTATTGTAGATTACAGGACCATTTGCATCCTCGGTTCTGAAAGTCTCATGGCGGTGGGGATTTGGAATTTTTGCGATTCTGGTCAGTGCTCCAGATATGCATTATCTTGTTTATACCACCTAACTTATATAGATTCCCATAATTGGGTCTCCACTGTTGGCATCTCTTTACTACAACAAACGAAAGGCGACTAAGCAAAGAAAGGCTGAAGGGACTTATAACCGTCGGAATCACCTTAAAAACATCGCACGACTGGACCTAGTGGGCCTGATTCTGTTTGCCGCCGGGCTCTCCCTGATACTCGTGCCTATTACGCTAGCGGAGTCTTCATCGAATACCTGGAAAGCCACCCATATCATTGTTATGCTAGTGATTGGCGTCGTTAGTCTCGTTGCCTTTGTCGTGTGGGAGATTAAGTGGGCTCCCTGGCCTATCCTATCCATGAGATTGTTCAAAAGCCGGACGGTCATATTTGGCCTAGCAGGTAAGCTCACAATTATAGAAAACAGAGCTTATGCTAAGCCGAACAGCGTCATTGATCGACTATACCGCCCTCTATCTTCTCCAAGACTACCTCACAACATATGAACTAGTTGCTGCCGGATTATCTGTTAAGGCGGCTACAAACATTGCCGTCCTCGTTCCCTTTGCCGGAGTGCCGGGTCAGTTCGCAGCGGCTTTCCTGGTTAAGTATACGAAGCGATATAAATGGATTACGGTTTCTGGCTACGTACTCAACTTGCTCGGACTCGGATTGGCCTATAAGTACATCAACGGACACTATCATCTGGGTGCGCTGGTTGTCGCTCAATTGATCCTGGGATTCGGCGAAGGGGTAATCAACACTATGCAGTTTGGAATGCAGGCTTCAGTGAGCCAGGCTGGTAAGATCCCTGCTCCCAGCATCGAATTCACTGGCTAAGTGCTTATTCTTGCAGACATGGCGGCGGTCACTGCTTTGTACACTGCGGCGCTCGGAGTGGGCAGTGCCATTGGCGGGGCAGTCTCCGGTGGAGTGTGGACTGGTACGTGATATGCCAAATGACCTTTGTCTCAGGCTAACACTGGCTTCTCTGCAGCTGTACTTCCTCGAAGGCTTAGCGAATATCTTCCTAAAGAGGCTATAAGCAAACTCGCTGGGATTGAAGGATCTATTTCGGTTGATATGGAATATCCGTGGGGCTCCCCCATCCGTGATGCTATCGGAAAGTCATACACGAGCACCTTCCGCCTCATGTTGCTGATCGCACTCATCCTCGAGGCCTTCGCAATTGCGTCTGCTCTCGTAATTGAAGATCTCAATGTCAAGGAGGTCGACGATGCCAGAGAGTACAAGGGAATTGTAATCGGAAAGACCGGTGCGGTGGATGCCTTGAAGGGAAAAGTTCACGCTGGAGAGGATGGAGATCCTCGTGCCTCAGTGGCACCTATGGAAGAAACCACCGAGGTTTGACTGTGGCAGGATGTATGATGGTATTATTTTAAGCAGCAGACCTCGGGCCCGGTAACAATAATGGATTACTCTACATTCACTCAGTAAACCAATAAGCGACAAAAGCGGGCGTCGATCTTTCCTAATTCTTGCAATGCCGATTTGACGCGGCCTGGTCCAAGTGCTACAATGATCGCCGATGTACACATCTGAGAATGTTATCGCATATACACCTAGAATTGTGAGGATTAGAACGTTAAGAATCGACTACGATAGGTTCTGACTAACTATTTTGAAGTAAAGCCAACCAGCGAGTTGATTCGATATCGCTTGCGAGCCTTCAATGCGGTGGATCATGTTGATGAGATCCGTGTAAGAAAAGCCAAACCCCAATGTATGATTCGATGTCGCTTGCAAATTCCCTAATCTGGATCCCACTATGAGTGAGTAGATTCGCTAAATGACAAAGAGAAGGCAGAAGAACCACGCGATAAAACTAAAGGAGGAATATTTCAGGATTGACTGCTCTAATGTGCTGAGCCGACCGAGTGCAACGTAGTTCTATATCAGGTAGGGTAGAGCGAGACTGGGGCAGGACGATTGCTTGCACCGGCGGTAACCGATTAACTAAGCTATATCGCACATTACTAATGCAATAAGAACAGCCGGTCCTGACTGACCTCCAGGCATCTGTCTAGGTGTCCAAGCCAACATTGAAAAAACTTATCTAATGAACCAGCAACATCATGTCTCCGCAAGTAGCACCTTATGGGAGATGGGCCAGCCCTATCATGGCTGAACACCTGTCTGGAGGCAGTATCAGTCTCGAAGGAGTCCAGGCTAATGTAGGTTCCAATTCACATTAAACTTGCGATTCAGCTAACAAGAAAGCCATCCACTGGACAAATTTGGGCGCTTGAATCTCGTCCCATGGAAGGGGGAAGATCTGTTATTGTTGAGATACTCGCTTCGGCAACCAGGGATGTCCTGCCTGCGGGGTACAGCGCAAAGAGCACGATTCATGAGTATGGCGGTGGCTCTTTTGCGATACACCCGAACGGCAGTTTGATCTTTACCAATCATCCAACAAATGGTGTATTCTTGCTTGATCCGCGGTCTGGGAGAATCCAGACGATTGTAACTCCTGATGAGTCTGAACGTTTCGCCAATTTCCACATCTATCCTCCCACGCAAGAATGGATCCTTGCTGTCCAGGAGACGCATAGAAAGGATTCGCTGTCAATCCCGGTGGTTACGAATAGCATTGTGGCTATTCATACAGCCACCGGCGAAGTATACTCTGTTGTCCAGGGTGCGGATTTCTACCAACACCCACAATTCAGTCCGGACGGAAAGCAAGTCTGCTGGATTCAGTGGGATCACCCTGATATGCCATGGACAGGCTCAGTTCTTCATGTAGCCACATGGGAAGCAGGAAAGTTAGTGAATGACACTGTCATATCAGGCCAAGCAGGCGTCGAGAGTATCTGCCAGCCTCGATGGGGTCCAGACGGTACTCTGTTCTTTGTCAGCGACAAGACGGGTTACTGGCAGCTATACCGGTTCAACGGCCGTGAAGCACAATTAATTGACCTGAAAGGGCTCGAGTCAGCTGAATTTGGGAGCAGAGAACCGTGTCTGGGCAAGTATGTTCGATTCTAACCGGAGAACGCTAAATAAATAAATGCTTAACTGACATGTGGTCTTAGCTGCACATATGTTCTGTTGGATAAGAGCACTATCGTTGCATCCACCACCCAGAAAGCGACCTCCAATCTTGTCATGATTGATCTGGATACCAATTCGTGGAAGGATCTATCTCTAGGCCTCGTCGATATCCAGAGGAATGCTTTGGCCCATGTCTCATCTACAGCTTTTGCTGTCATTGGAAGCACTCGGACAGCTCCTCAAGCCCTCTATCGCGTCGATATCGGTGACAGTATCTCTATCAATCTAATTCGAGCCACTGTCGAGCAACCTATATCGAGTACTCTGATCTCTGAGACACGCCATATCACCTTCCCCCGAATATACAGCGAAGGTTCCGGCAACGCGCACGCCATGTTCACTGCACCCAAAAATCCAGCCTACGAAGCGCCCGCAGGGACACTGCCTCCTTTACTGGTCTGGATGCATGGTGGTCCAACCAGCCACGTCACTCCTGCACTCGCTCTTAATACCCAGTATTGGACGTCTCGAGGGTATGCGTATGTGTTGGTCAACCACGTCGGTTCCACGGGCTACGGACGAGCTTACCGCGAGCTTCTCGACGGCGGATGGGGTGAGGCTGATATTGCCGATGCCGCCAGCTGCGTTGCGTATCTCGCCTCGGAGAAGCTTATCGATGTAAACAAAGTTGGTATCGTAGGCGAGAGTGCCGGCGGCTACGCCGTCCTGCAGGCACTCTATACGCATCCCGATGTTTGGACTGCTGGTATCAGTCTCTACGGCATCAGCGATCTGCAGGGGTTTGCAGAAATCACGCACAAATTCGAAAGCCATTACATTCTCGGGCTCGTACTAGGCAAAGGCGAGTGGACTAAGGAAGCACGGGAAGCTCTCTATAGAAGACGGAGTGCCGTTTATCATGCGGAGAAGATTAAGGCTCCTTTGTTGCTTCTGCAAGGAGATGTCGACACGATTGTGCCGATGTCCCAAGCAACACAAATGGAGGAGGCAATGGAGAAAGTTGGAAAGACGGCTGAAGTGGTGATCTTTGAAGGGGAGGGGCATGGCTGGCATAAAGAAGAGACGATCCGGGCTTCAATGGAGTTGCAGACTGAGTTTTGGATCAAAACTCTACTTTAATCACTCAGATATAGAACTATCTTTTACAGCGAGGCTTGATGATTAGTTTCTTGAAAGGACTTTACATGTCTTCTGAATCAATTGCCCATGACATACAGGAATTCCTGATCTATAGATATATTTCTTCAACTTTGCTAAACACAATCCTATTCTCACCAAGCTTCTCAGGCTGGACAAGAAAGCAAACACGAAATAAACATTAAAAGAGAACAACAGCAAGAAATAGAGAAGGGAAAAAAAAGTATACATGCAACAGCCAGGATTCGCTGGTGGTCACCCACCCAACTACTAACTGGCCGGCGTGTGGCTTAAGTACGGCTGAGCGGACGGGAAGCCCTGTTCTCCACACCCTGTGGTCGCATGTGCTGGGAAAGTAATGAAAGGTAGTGATATCTGCCAAAAGAGTCGTACTTTTAAAATTGACCAGTCCTACATAGTGGCCTAGCGTTGCATTGACCAATAATGTTGCACCATCGCTCTTTCTCACCCAAAGCGTCTAGCGCTCAGTCTCCCCCTCGGTCTCGGTATCTCCTCCCCTTTAAGAACATTATCATTGTGATTTAATTATGGCTGGTCGTGGGCTGGATTTGCGCTAGAATAGCGGGCCTGAAGGATAAAACCCATGGATTGCATCCAAATAAAGCTTCCACAAATTTCTTCTGAACCATTGTAAACGCCATGGCAGCAATCACTGGCAAGTCCGCACAGCTCATGACAGAACCAGATGCGCTCAACATGTCTGAGATGCAGACAGACGACCACAAGACTCCCCAAAACAACAAGGTGTCTCCACTCACCGAGGATTTTGCGGCGTTGGTGCAAAGTACACTGGACAAGTGGCATATCCAAGGCGTCGCCATTGCCGTCGTTGATGGTGATGAAACATGGTCTGACGTACGTCGTCAACACTCTTCTTCCAGATGCTGTCGATACTGACCAGTAAGGGATACGGGATTGCTGCTTTGCCGGATATTCCTGTCCGACCTTCGACGCTGTTTTACACGGGTAGCACAACTAAATCATTCACTGCTTCCGCGGCCTCGTTACTAGTCGACGATGACGAGAAGTATCCTCACATTAAATGGACGACGCCGCTCAGCGAACTCATCCGTGACGACTTTGTCCTCCAAGATGCGTATGCGACATCGCATGTTACATTGGAAGACGCGCTTTCCAATCGAACCGGCTTGCCCGGACATATGCTGACATTGGGCCGCGAGGGGACGGTGCGCGACGTTGTCCGAAGTCTGCGCCATTTACCGATGGACAAGGAGATTCGAACAAAGTGGCAATACTCCAACGCCATGTTTATAACTGTCGCGCATATGATCGAGGTGGTTACTGGGGAATGGCTGGGCGACTTTCTTCGCCAACACGTCTGGGAGCCCTTGGAGATGAATTCGACCTTCTTCTCGCTCGAAGATGCACGGCAGTACGTTGCCTTGAATGATGAGGCTACGCTGGCCAAAGCCTATGATTGGGATGAGGCTTCCTCTGAACCCAGGGAGGTTCCGTATTGCGAAGGGACCCTGAGCGGTGCCGGGGCGACTATCTCGACCGTCCTTGACTACGCCAAGTATATCCGTTCAATGATCCGGCAATCTGGCCCGCTATCGAAAGCAGGCTATGCGGCATTGCTCGAACCCCGTTCTTTTATGCCCAAGATGCTTCCGCAGCTCACGAGGCAGATGGTATATACCTTTGGGTTGATGTCGACGACTTATCGTGGCGAATCCGTCATCCTGCACCCCGGAGGCCTTGATGGCATGACGAGTACGATGATCTACTTTCCCGAGCGAGACTGGGGCATCGCCGTGTTCTGCAATGCTGCTGGTCCAGGACGGGAAGTGCTAGCATGGCATCTGATAGATGAGCTACTCAACGTCCCAAAAGAAGAGCGCGTTGATCTCTTTGATCTGTAAGCTCTTTTCCCTTCTTAACTTTGCCACTCCTTCATCGTCAATATTGATTCGCTTTTCAGATCTCAAAAAAAGCTTGCCAAAGTCAAAGAGATGCGATCGACAGCTCGGGAACGCCTGTACCCCTCTGCCCCTTTGCCTGGTCGCCCGCACTCATTGTCTTTGTTAGACTACGTGGGCACATATACGCACCCTGCCTACCCAGACTTGGTCATCAGTCTAACACCGGACGACCAGACAAGCCTCCACATAACCATGGCGGGAAGCTTGAATTCTCGACTGAACTTGAAGCACGTGTCCGGAGATTTCTTCCTAGCGGAGGTGTTCGAGTGCTTGTGGAGTGTAGATCCGTCGGCCGTAATCAAGGCCGAATTCCGTATCAATCCCGAAGGCAAGGCGGCCAGATTTGGAGCTACTCTTGATTACGCCGATATGCCCGACACCTTGATTTGGTTTGATCGTTCTGTCTAAGGATAGCATCTTCTGTGTATTCTGTGGCAATCTGTACCTATTAGGCCCATACCGGGGTTGAATAGATCCATTCTATTGCCTTATCCCAGATCGTCTCTAAGTATCCCTGTATCTCATTGGTAATTAACGCCGGAACACCATGTAAGTCTCGTTTTGTACATACTATAATCTTATGCTTTCTAACAAGCATAAAGCTTGGGATAGATAGAGAATTAATCAACCGACAGGTACTAACTATAGAAAATATTCCTTGCAGATAGAGTACGAAGAATGCGCAGACATGTCCAGAATATCAATAAATCTCAACGGTCACGTCAATCTAACTGAGCCAGATTTGCTTGCAGGCTGAGAATTGGAGTGGTCTGACGGGAACTTGGATAGCCAATAAATAGGTTGGTGAGCTCAGCAAGCGTTTGATCGTGTATGCATCCTTTTCTATCCATTTAGTAGGATAATACGTTGCATGATTTTCAGTCGGGCAATAAATAAGACTGGTAGGCAACGAGTAGACGCGAGTGTCCTCGGGGTTGCCGGTGTTTTAAAACGCCGAAGATCCGATTACGGCCGTAGTCCGATCGTGGCTTGTAGTATTGTGTGGTTTGCACCCAATCATCTAACTAGACTTCAAGCCTTTGGATTTGGCCAGGAGTTTCTCATTAATAATGTGCTTCCTCCTAACCACCACATAAGTGACAGCAAGAACCAACGGACGAAGTCTCTATCTCTCTCTAACGTATCAATCTTTTCGCATGAATTCCTTCGCAACTGAAATTAATTTATGGATGAACCCCCTCTCTCTTAATTTATTCATTTGTTCGTTCATCCTTTTTTCTCTAGGGGCTTTCTAGCTTTGAACCGTTATGATGGTCTCGACAAAGAACATCGTGATTTTGGGAGGCTCCTACGGCGGTGTTTCTTCCGCTCACTACATCTTGAAACATGTGTTGCCTGCTCTTCCTACTACAACTCCATTCCGGGTCATTCTCATCAGCACCTCTTCAGAGGTTCTTTGTCGCCCGGCCTGTCCTCGTGCCATGATATCAGACGAGCTGCTTCCTCAAACAAAGCTGTTTGTGTCTATTCCTGATGCTTTTGCACAGTATCCGGCAGAATATTTTTCCTTTGAGCACGGAACAGCAGTCAGGCTAGATCATACCGACCGGACCATTTCCGTAAAGTCTTCTGATGGCCGCACAGAGAAAAGGATAGATTTTTTTGCGCTCGTGATTGCCACTGGTGCATCAACGCCGTCACCTCTTTTTGGTCTCAGCCATGACTCAGAATTCCTCCGAAAAAAATGGGCTGCGTTTCGTGAAGGATTAGTGACAGCTAAGAGTATTGTCATTGCGGGTGGAGGTCCCGCCGGAGTCGAGACTGCCGGCGAACTAGGTGAGTACTTGAACGGTCAGGCAGGCTGGTTCAGCTACAAAATGGAGAATCCCAGAGTACACATCACTCTTGTCACCTCGAGTTCGCAGATTCTCCCTATACTCCGGCCTAGCATCGCTCAGAAGGCAGAAAGCTACCTTGCTTGCATTGGTGTGACTGTCATCAAAAACACCAAGGTCACTGATGTGACTCCAGGGAACGCTGGGACGGCAAATGCTCTGACGACAAACACAATGGTGATCCTTGCGGATGGGAAATCCATTCAGGCTGATGTTTACATTCCTACGACGGGAACAACGCCAAACACAACATTTATCGATGAGTCGCTGCTAGATCCGGAAGGTCGCGTGCATACCAACGCCTCAACTTTGCGAGTCGAGAAAGCTGGCCCACGCGTCTACGCAATTGGCGATGCATCCTCGTATGCACGACCCGCTATACATAATATCATGAGCGCTATACCAGTACTCTGTGCAAACATCAAGCGGGATATACTGCTTGATGTCAAAGTGGCGGAAACTTCCGTGGCAGTGGATCGAATTTTCCAGGAAGACATGCGAGAGACGCAGTTGGTGCCAATTGGCACGAGCAAAGGTGTGGGAGCGGCTATGGGTTATCAACTACCTAGCTTCCTAGTGTGGCTGATCAAAGGTCGGGATTATTGGTTGTGGACGACAGGAAAGTTATGGAATGGAGACCAGTGGGCAAAAGAGGCTTGAACCAACACCGGACAGACGCTGACGACGAGTGAAATTTGCACTTGAGAGCAGGAGTCATAGCAAAATCTAAGCAAAACCCAGGCTCCGTAAGAGAATATAGAATCAAACCTCATGTCTAGAATCATGTATTCTGACTTTGTTCAACATTCGCAGAACAATATGTGATGACCTGGTTAGGGTTATTGCTCTTACTTGTTCCTCGGAGAGCCCAGTGGCACAAAAGCTTGCTAAACTGCCTGGAGTTGAAGTGATGGAGCAGAACTGGTTTGAAATCAATTCCGACCGCTCCGTGAGCATCAAGTAACTAGAGTGTTCATCGCATCACACAACGAACCGAATCAATTCGCTGAAGAGTCTACATTCCACGTTGCCGCGCTGAATGCCGGTGTCAAATATGTTATGCGAACCTCGACAACTGCTGCGAATGTCCGTCCGAACCGTAACGCTTACTATCCACGTCAACATTGAGCGATCGTGGCTCTCCTGAGCTCGCTTGAATTCGCTAACTTGCAGTAGACTTCACTTCAGCCAAATTTCTTTTTGCCTCTCTACCTTTCAACCGCCGCGGAGCTTATAAAACAGTACCGTAAAACTAGAAAGCAGGGAACACTTCAAATGATAGCGTCGAAGGATGCACCTGTCGGCATTATCGACCCTGATGACGTTGGACTCTTTGCCGCTCATCTTTTGTCTCAAGAAGACCCCACTATGCACAACACGGCCAGATATGTTCTGAATAGGCCAGAGGACATTACTGGGAAGCAGATTGTCGACATGGTCGAGCAGCACATTGGTACGCAGGTTGAGGAAGTCAGCTATAAAGACATGTCATTCATCAACTTGCTTTATGAGCACATTCAGGCACCAAATCATCAGTCAAAGAACATTGTCTTGTCGATCAAGCACACCGCAGAGATGGCATGGGAAGGAGAATGCTTAACTTCTACAACGAGCCGGAATGTACTAGAGCTCGCCCCGCCCAAGGGCACACCTGCTGAGGTGCTGGCGGCCCTTTTGAAGGAGTAAGGGACCAAGTGAATGGTACATGTGTGGTTTAAATGTATCAAATCAACTGCTTTTCCATTTACCCTAGAGCGTCGACCAGGGCGGCATAGCAAACACAAGTAATCAATGAAACAGGGAATATCCCGCAATTAGATGATTAGAGTATGGAAAAATTAAAATTAAGCGCATGGGGACTGCGTATCCCATTCTGTAGCAGCAGAGTTGAACCTTCTACCGTTACCACCCCCGCTTCCAGTGGGCGAGTGGCATTGACGGCAGGCATCTTGCGAGCCACTACCGAGCCAGTTTTGAGAGTTGCAGCAGATGATACCAGTACCAGTCACTGTGGCGGTGATAGTGTCTGTAACAGTAGCAGTGTCAGTATCAGTGATTGTCTTTGTTTTGGTGATAGTATCCGTAACAGTGAAGCTATCAGTATCAGTGATTGTCTTTGTTTTGGTGATAGTATCGGTAGCAGTGATGCTGTCAGTAGAGGTGATTGTCTTTGTTTTGGTGATAGTATCGGTAGCAGTGATGCGGTCAGTAGAGGTGATCGTTTTCGTAGCAGTTATGGTTGCAGTTGCTGTACACCATGAGTTCTTTGTCGGAACGCAAACGCAGGAGCTGCCACTTTTATATTAGCCATTCTCTGTGCCTGATACGTTGAGCTATTAGAGACTTACCCGATGTTGTGGTTAAGATCGCCTTTGTTTGACCAACTACCCGTGCCGCCATTTTTAACACACTACCAAAGGTGGATTAGTTCATATGTCAAAGTAGTCGCCTCATGAGGTGTGTTCTCACGTAGCGCTCGCAAGCTGCTTCATCAGAATCGCGGTCGAATAAACCGGTTGTTCCAGGAAGCGCAGCGACATAGGCGCAGATAGTCAAGAGAGTAAAAAGACGGAAATTCATCTTGAGAGAGATCTTGTGAACGGATATGATTGTGAAAACGATTGCGGTGTAGAAAGTATACAAGAGTGTTTGGCACGAAGAAGATCCTCTTGTTGTAGGTCGTGATCCGGACTTATATAGGTATTTCTAGCAGATATTTTAGTAACCAAGTATTCCTTAAAGCTGTGCTGCTAGTCGGATAAAATAACCCTACTCGAATGACAAGACCCTGCGTTCTTGTTCTATCAGCCGTTATTATGGTAAAGTATATTGTGTCAGATTGCTATTGGCTGGAATTATTGCTAGCAATTAGAAGCTACCCTTATAACCCCTTACCTCAATTGACATGAATTCTTTGCTAATATACTCAGTCATTCAGTATCCATGAGCGACGTTGGAATGCAGAACATTCATACATTTGCTGAATGCCAAGCAAGTGGCTTTGTATCTGTGACCTGATACGGTGGTACTCGAAATTTTTGGGCTTGGAAAAGCTATTCGTGGCGGATAACGGTGGAAATTGAGAATGGCATAAGTTTTACTAGGTATAATTACTTAATACCGTAAAGATTATCTGTTGAATTTATTGCCAAATATGCTAGTAATATCTTATGGCTTACCCAAGTCCGCATGCTACATGAAAGAGATTCCTAGGATAGGTATCGGGAACCCGCGGATATCAACAGTTGGATATTTTTCGAGAGGCCTCTGAAATGTCAAAAAGACAAGCTTCGGGACGATAAGTATCTTTCTCCCCTCGCATAAATTCCCTTTCTTAATTCTCACCTCAGTCGAGCATTTTACAGCCTATAGTGAATCTCCCAGAAAGAAGCAATCGTAATTATGAACATATTTTATAATACTAGGATTTCGAGATCGACAAAAATATTTGGTGTTGATTCATTAGGAAATAAAAGGACAGTTTGGCGCTCATCCGGCCTCGCTGGCGCAATGGTAGCGCGTTTGACTTCTAGACCCTAGGTAACTATCAAAAGGTTCGGGGTTCGAGCCCCCGGCGAGGTGCTTTTCTTTTTTCCCAAATTATTGATCACGTGACTCACGTCCAAAAACGCACTGGCTGGGTCGAGAACGTGAAGAAACCTATCCCCATTTATGGAATAATATAGCGACAGCCTGCTTTACCAGTAGAACATCTACACGTTTAGAATTTTCCTAAGATATGATGGTGATACCAGATAATATATTTGATGTGGCCGCGATTCGATTTTACTGTAGGAAGACTTGTTAAGAAAACGGGCAGTGGCGCAGAGTCTGCAGCTCGAGTCTTTCTAGGGCAATTTCCGGAGAGCAAAGCCTAGGCAAACCCGGTGCTTCTTTTATGGACTGGTCACCGAAGCAACGACATGGGATTATTACGTTTTTTTCAACTTGGGACTGCTATCTCAAGAAGTGAATGAGAAGGAGAAGGAAGAGCGGCATCAAAATGGCTGAAACTTCTAAATTTGATTGCTTTCTTCGTATGCCTCGTTCAAAACTGTTAATTCCAATTCTTTACGTATAATTTGATCAACCAATATGAGTTAGACTGTCCGGTCAAGTCGTAGAAAATGCCCCGGGAGGCACGAATGCCAAAGAACGCAAGGCCCCAACAATGGCAAACAACCTCGCAGCCACGAAAACCAAGAAAACCAAGCACCCGACGCTGTTAACTATACGAGTTCTCCATCTATGTAGTAATTCAAAACCACGAGCAAGGCACTTGATCACATACCGAGAGATAAAACTCGTTGTCAATGCAAACAGAGATATGGCTGGGACGGTGGCGGCCGTTATGATTGAGGTGGCGGTCGCCAAATCTGGTTCAACGAACTATCGATAAACAGCACATTCTGTAGATTACAAAAGCGAGTGCAGGATCAGCCGGGAAAATGGGCATTATCCACACTACCGTGTCGTATATCGGTGTCCAGAGTTGTGTGACGAGTATACTTGAAAAATATATGTTATCTAACAACCCTTGTTGGATATACTCGTGGCCTGGACAGGTTTTCAGCAACCCAAAAGAAAGGTGCTTGGAAGCAAAACAGTTGATAGTCATGTCAGATGGATATTATTCACAACGCTAAATAATGGTAAATCAGACGCCCAAAATTTCCAACACTCCCCAGGGCAGGCGATCAGGCGTGGCATAAGGCCTGTGTTAGGTTTCTGGAAGCTCTGAAGGAAGAGCTTTGGACTCTGGAAGTTCTGAAGGAGAAGACTCTGTGATTGGCACCTCATATATCGCCTTCGGTGCCTCCAGTTCTGACACTCGTAACCCTAAAGCATGACGTGACTCAGAATCCGGGAGCTCTGCGCGGCGACCTTTACGCCGCGGGTGTCGTCGCCTCCACAGGAACCACAGCATGCCCAGTACTAGCGCAGTCCCTACAACACCTCCGACAACGCCTCCTGCAATGGCACCGACATGTTTATTATCATTACTCGACGGTGCTGTCTTCGCTGTTGTTGTCGCAGACGTGCCTAAAATTGCAGTCGCAGATGTGTTTAGGCTTGCAGTTTCTACCCCTTTTGTTGATGAAGACGCTGTTGAGGATGGTGGGTGGCCGTGGCAATTGTCAATGCTGAAATAAATCCAAGACGAATTGAAACAGGCCTGCAATGGAGCGGGTTCCCGACCGACCAGTGGGCATGTCTCTGCGCCTTCCTGATAAATTGTCACTAGATTAGGCACTTATTGTGAGCTTTTCGCCAACACACCGAAGCATTCAAGGATTGACAATTTAAATACCTGCACAACCTGCATCCTCCTCGATGACCTTGAAGCTTCCATAGTCACCAGCCTCTCCTAATTCTGTACAGTTACCACTTGGGTAGCCATTTTGTCCCTTCAACTGCTTGAGTGGATGCTGACACTTGTGATCCGTAAAGGTCGCGATCGTTGTCGCCTCTGCGATGTGAGTCGTGCAGCTCGCAAAGAGGACAAAGAGATGCCAGGGTGAGGATTTCATTGCATAATAAGGAGACTCTGTGTGTGTTGCAGATGTGAGACAAAAGACCAAAGCAAAGTGGGGGCGCTGTCGTCAGGAAGGAAAGCCGTCGTCTCTTATATATCACTAGCTTGTCTATCAATTACCCTGAAGGATTGAAATGCAGCAGCAGGGGCAGTAGGGTAACCATGATTGGTCTACCCCCGCTCAGTGAACCTGGTCGCAACTTAGGGGGCTAAACGTCACCGATCTTACATAATCTGACACTAGCCCTCTACGCGATCTTCTACGCTAATGGTGTATATAGAATCAAGCGATCAATTAATACTGAGCAGGTATGAACTTCGTCAGATGTATTGCACCCCACCATTCAGGTGAATGTGGGACTATCGGTTCAAGAACCTATGCGCAAGATGACAGAATCTCCATCAACTGAAGTTCCTTATGAATAACAAGACCTTCACACAGGGCATTAATACATCAAGGACGGCAGATTTTAATGCTATGTTAGTCCTCTGTGAAGCTACTTTACGTTCTAGCAAGCTAGGACGTTGTACTATCCTCGAAAAGCAATCTGCAGGCTTATACTCGAGTGGGACTCCTCACAAAGGTTAAAAGTAGAAGAGCTAGCCGGATATGGCTTAGCTTCCGGGTCATGTCACTTATAAGAGCTGAATACTATGGTCGGAGGTTAATTCTACAACTAAGGAACCATGAGTCGGTCACATCGATTGAATGTGTAGGTACAACGGAAGTCGTGCTCCCCTTAACGATCATGTATAAATCGTCATTATACCAACAATATGCCCAGTACGATAACTCTCAGAGACTAACCTTCATGAGGTTATTCAGGAGCAAAGATGGGCTGAAGCACGTGGTAACACGTGATCTATTTACTCTTATCTAACTATCCTATCATCTTGATTCATAAATCGAATAGAATTACAGTCACATCCTGATTCTAGTAAGGATCAGTGAGTCTTTGCCTTATACTGAGTCGCTCTATTATCGCTGTACTATCTATATCATTTCAGCAGCGTTCAAGAAGCGTTCTTCACCTGATCGACAAGTTTCTACCCTAACAAGTAGTTGTTCTGTTCTTACTTCCTCTTCTTCCTTTTCTCTTTCTCTAGCTTTGTTATCTTTAGTCTAATTCCATTCCTCGGTCTAGGTCATTACAAGATGACCAGTTCGAAAGTTCCTAGGTAAATTTGGTTTCGTAAGATCTCAAGATATTTACATTCAAAATGAGTTCTCTCCTAAGGATACCAAAGAGCAAGATAGTTGACAACCCACTCCCTGTCTCGATTCACTGATCGTCAAATGAATTTTCTCTCTCGTCTAATCAAGTAAGAACTAACTGATTAGTTATTCAATTAGTTAATTATAATTCTACAAGAAATCTCTTTCATGTAGCCATGCTTCCACGTCCTTCATGTCTCTCTCCAGCCATCTTCCCTTTGCCCGAATCGCATCAAAACTTTGCCGTAAAGTGCGATCAAAACCTTCTGTGTCTTTCTCTTCAAAAAAAAGCTTCGACTTCATTGAGCTGTTCTTCGGAAGTAAAACTGTCCGTGCAAAGCCCAACGACTCTGCTTAACATGCTGAGGCCAGGTGACAGCTTCTCCTGAACCGTGTCCCAATTCTGCTTAAGCCAACCCCATAGCGCCACGATGCCGTCCCTGTGCACGCGTAGCCCTTTCATCACAAGGTGAATATCCTGCTGCTTAATCTCTTTGCTGAGCATCAATTTGAGCGTGCGCTGAATGAGCTCGGGTTTATGTGCTTGGCCGATAGCGCCCAAAGCGGCGTCGCGCCCATCGCTGGTGCTGACCGTGCGAAACTCGTCTAGAACGGCATTGTACTCATCCTCACTATCGTTTGACAGGACCACAGCAAATACGGCGGCGCGCAGGTTCGGGTTAATAGAGGACCGATCGCCTTCCTTGAACTTAGCGAACATATCAAAGGCAGCATTTTTAGATTCCTGGTCGCCAGCTAAAGCTGCGCTCTCGAAGAGGAGTGACTTAAATTGCTGTTCAATGTGTGTGTCACTCTTTTTAAAAGCCCAACCCAGCTGCTGCGCTTTGGCGCTGACGAGATGGCGTTGAAAGGACTCCAATGCATTCTTGGTTTTTTCGTTGCAGAAGACCCAGGCTGCTCGGATAGAAGTGATACAGGCAATCATCTGGCTCCATACGACAAACTCGGACTCGGTCTGGAGCGCTTGAAGTAATGACAATACACTAGAGGTTTTCTGATAGCCAGCGGCTGCGAGAGCACCAGCATCCGCAACCATACCGGCGCGATCTTCGATTGTTAAGTGACCCTTGCTTGCAGACTCTCCGAGCTTTCGCAGTCGTTCAGATGAGTATGATGTGCGATAGATACCTGAATGTTCAGCATTGAGTTTGAAGAAATCGAGATTCTTGATTTCGAAGCTTTGCTCGCGAAGACTGAGCGCAAGATCCTCGTGCACGCCATCTTGGGTGCGAAGATTCAGGAAAACGGGGTATATGGTATGGTCTTCTCCAGACTTGAGGTCTCCTGTTATCAAAAACCGAGTCTGCTTTATGTGAAGTGAGTTGTTCTGCGCATCTTCCATAACAGTAAGCACAGGGTATCCAATGTTTTTTGTCCAGGTGCGCATTAGCTTGCCAACATCCTTGCCGCTTTTCTCTGATAAGGCCGCCCACAGATCGCCCGTTGTGGCGCTGCCATACGCATGTTTCTTAAGATAAACACGAATGCCATCTAAGAAGACCTCCTCGCCGAGGAATTTAGAGATCATACGAAGAACGCAGGAGCCTTTCGAATATGTGATCGCATCGAAAATTTGGCTGATTTCGTGTGCCCGTTCAACCGGAACTTCTATTGGATGAGAGCTTCGTAGGGAGTCGAGAGCCAGAGCACGCTGAAGTTCGTTGGTCACATATGTCTGCCATACCCTCCACTCCGGGTAGAATGCATCACAGGAATACCATGTCATCCAGGTGGCAAAGCTCTCGTTGAGCCACAGTCCTGCAGTACCATTAGAATCTAACACGGAGAAAGATAGAATGCTTCATTCTGATGTACCATCCCAGAAATCCATGGTTACAAGGTTACCAAACCACTGATGAGCCAACTCGTGCTGCACAACTTCAGCAACTCTTTGGCTCGTAGAAGCACTGCTCGATTCTGGATCCAGCAGGAGATCTCCTTCGCGATAAATGGTCAGACCCCAGTTCTCCATCGCACCAATAAAATTAGGGACGGCAATCATGTCCATTTTTGGCAAAGGGTAAGATATTTCAAACTTCCTTTCATAAAAATCAAGCGTCCGTGCAGCAAGTTCAAGAGAGAAATGTCCATGCGTAATGTCTTTGCCAGGAGTAACGAAACATCTGATTGGCACACGAAATTTGTGCGTCACGATACTGTTCAACTCGCCCACGACGAACGCCACAAGGTACGTTGACATCAATGGAGACTTGTTGAATTTCACTGCTTTCCTGTGCGTTCCAACTTCGTTCACAGACTCTTCGTCCATGTTGCTGAGACAAGTCATTTTCTTGTCAGCAACGAGGGTGATGGTGAAGGTAGCTTTGAGGGCTGGTTCATCGAAACAGGGAAAGGCTCGTCTTGCGTCCGTGGGTTCCATTTGCGAAACTGCCATGTACTGTTCGCTTCCGTCTTCTCCCTTGAAGCTTGACCTATAGAAGCCAGCTATGTTCTCACTGAGAGTTCCGATAAAGATGTGAGTTAGAGTTGCCATGCCTCCAGCGTGGATGGTATCTTGCAGGTGTATGGTCACGGTCTGTCTGTCCTTATTATACGACAGCTCAGATGCAGAAGGGACGGGTCTCGAGTTGTAATGGACTTGCGTGCTACATATCTTGAGGTCGATGATATTGAGGGTTATGGAGTTTGTGTCCTCCAGTATCTCAAGACTTTCGTTGCGTCAGCAATGTTTTTGAAATGAGCCCAATCCACGAAAAGGTGTTAAGGAGACCAAGCTATACTCGCTTGCCCATTCAGAGAAGAGACGTATACGTACTCAATCGAGACTGTGCCGTTATATGTGAAAGCCTCAAAATTGGGTTCCAATTTCAGATCATAATGAACAGGTTTAACGTTTTTAGGGAGAACCTCTCGTCGATTCGTGGAATCTGTACTAAGCGAGGACATATCTGTATTTGGTGTCGATTCCACCTACTTTGGACGTAATGCACCGGTTCTAGGTGACAACTGCGAGGATGACAATAACAGAGGAAACGTACTAGAATGGCTTTGATAAGATGTTATTGTCTGCTGCGAGGAAATATGTGGCTGTGAGAGAATCCAAACACAGAAATGAGTAACAGGAATGGAAATTAATTCTCAGGATTAGTTCAGGACTAAATATACGGCGGCAGCAGCCCAAAGAGCAGAGAGATAGTTTTTGAGGGAAAGACGATAGCGGAAATCGTTGGCAAGAAAAGAGATCATCTCGGTGTTTTCCCTTTTTCCTCTTACAGGGATGAGTCATTACCCCGCCCACGATCTAAATTGATGATATGTAGTGAAAAGGGATAATTTATCACATTTATGATTTCCAACGGTATTTCCGAGTATCCAGCTCGCTCTCTGTACGTGAATTATTAAGGTGGGGGAGTGGGAACTAGAAGTAAATCATCCTTAAAAACACATATATTTCTGCTCTAACGACTAATGATGAAGGAATCAGTAGATATCATGGAGTTTTTGTTGGTCCGGGATACAGCTGTCCTCTCGAAGGTAGGTTATGGAAACAAAAGTACGTATATTTTGATACTGACGCAAGATGATCAGAGCTCGATGTCGACCTTACTTTCAGCCAGCCAGTTGCTTTTGCAATCTTGAGTGGCAACGTTGTCTTGCATCATCTCACGGCATGGTACAGATTTTCGAATAGAAAGCACCGGTTTGTGGATTACGAAAATGGAAAAGCTGCTTGATACTGCGCTCTTAAGGTTCCAATATGGTACCTCGACCTCATATCGCCCAGGTGCACGGCTCGACACTCGATGCATTCGGTCTGGTTCAGCATGCGAGAAAAAGGTCGCAGTTATAACACAGTTTGGGGGTAGACCCATATGATTAGGGCTTGCAATATAACTAATTGAATACTGGGAAAGCTTACACGGAAAACTCGGAGCAACATCATCCTAACAGTAATAGATACAGCAAATTGATAGAATACGATCCTCACCACGAGCTTTCACTCCATATTTAAAATTTCACTCTAGAGTCGGTTTGTTCAGCTAAATTTGTGAAACTCGGGCGTTCCCAGTTGCTTCCTCCACTTCTCGCCCCAGATCATCAGTCCCAAAATGGGGAGCCACAGCGCCAGTAAGACCAGTGCCAACGAGGACCAAGTCCAGGCATATCCAATCTTCTTTACCATCTCATCCCAAAAGAATCCGACGACGAAGGATAAACCGCGGCTCAGGTTCATCAGCAAAGCTGATTCGGGGGTCTGTGGGCGGTAGCAGTCGGAGACATAGGCGTATAGGCAGGTCGAGGTAACTTGCAAACCGAAGGCGCCTATAACCAAGGGTAAATATCAGATCACTTCAATGCTCTTTATCTTCAATATTCGGTATCTCATATCCTTACTTACCAATACCGAGCCCAACCAATGGAGGAATAAAGCCGGTGTGCTTCTGCACACAAACTCCAAAAATCATCATGCCAACGGGTCCGCAAACGCCCGAAAGGCACGTAAGATACAATCTCTGCTCCGGCCTCCACACACCGCCGTTGTGCTTGGCTTTCTGGTACAAGATGTAGTCACTGACTTTTCCGGCCGACAGCTCACCGATCACACATCCAATGATCAGTGGGATCCCCGTGCACAGGCCGATGGCGCCGCTCTTAAAGCCGTACACCTCCGAGTATATTTTAGCCATGGAGATAGCCGGCAGGATGTTGATGAAAGTCCAGCTCCAGGTGTAGTACCAGAATGGAAGTGAAACAGATGGGTACTTGAGCATGTATAAGGAGGTTAGGAAGTCCTGAGCGTGCAGATGATGCTGCGGAATCGAATTTCCCTTGATATCAGTCAAGAGCTGCCAGTAGCTCCGCTCATGAGTCCGTATATTGAGGAAGAGAGGATCTCGGGAGAACAGGGTCTCGGGAAGAAAAAATAAAGCTACAAGAAATGATACACTGGTCACAATTGCGGGCATGAAGAAGTCCCATTCCCAGCCGGCGGCTTCTCCTAAAAATCCACCAGCTATGGGAGATAGAATAGATCAGTGGAGGACACCGTCAGAGCAGACGAGGACCTACTCAAAATTGCGACGTGAGCACCGTTCGTAACGAAAATTGTATAAAGCCCTGTCTTCTCTCCGCGCTCATGCATGAAAAACATGTCATTGAGCATCGGGGTTCCCATGGCCATCATACCTCCAAAGCCGATACCATTAAGTGCGCGGCAGCCCAGAAGCGCGGAAATCGTAGTTGTGTAAGCAGTGCCGATATGGGAAACGATGGTGATAATCTGTGTGAGTAGACAGATTGGCCGCCGGCCATAGACATTGGCCAATGGCACGAAGAGGAAAGGCTTTCAATCTCGGTGAGCACTTGCGCCATCCACGTTGTAACTGCCTCTCGCTGGAAGAGGATATCGGCGTGGAATGAACTCACTGAGACACCCCCAGTGATAATGGACGTGGTTGTGCTGTATGTTACTATCTTGACTGGTTTGTTGAAGGCTTCGCTGAGAAGGTTCAAGCTGGGATTGGGAACCGCTGCATTAAAAGGCCCGAGGAAGGCCATGAAACTGACTTGCAGCAGCACCACCCATTTGAGCCAGCTAGACCAATTCTAATCATCATCAGCATGGCTTCGTGGAAAAGTCGAACACCTCACAAATCCTTACTATTCGTGCTATGTGTTCTTCAAATATTAAGGACAGTTACGAAAGCACTTACCAGGGGATCATCCTTGAATTTGCTAGGCTGGGGCAAAAGAGGCAAGCCATGGGGATCGAGCTTGACAGTCTGCTGTGCCCGCTTCTCCATGTCAACGACTTCAGCCTCCTCCAAATTCGGAGAACCAGCTAGTATGCTTTTATCCACTATTTGAATAGGGTTGAACAGCATGAGCTCCCGAAAAAGGACCTTCTGTGTAGATGGGTGGAGGGAAGAGGATGTTCTGGGCAATATTGATTTTGCTCCTAGGGACGGCTGAAGGATGGTACCGGCATGACTGTAGAGCCCACATCGTGCGCAATCTGGCACTGGGTTTATTTATCTAAAACAATGATAGGAGAGACCTTGAGCAGATTGGCCAAAACTCGGTAGGGATAGATCATTCTGGCTTCTTCACCGCAACTTCTCCAATACGTTCTTTATAGCCTCTTAAACTCGTGGAGAAGTGTGGAGACTGCAGCAAGTCACCGAACTCCTGCAGGATGTGTTCGTCTACCGAAGGATCCATAACGTTTCTCCAAATAATCACCTCTGCCAGCGCTAATTTTCTATTTCCGGGGTCATCCTTCCACGCACCTATTGTTCCACTGCTGACCTAGACTGTATCTATGTCACAGCACGACAGCCGAAGAAAACGAGTTCCAGATGCGGTTCGACAGTGCGTGGGCGTCAGCTGCTGCAAAAGGCGGTGGGCGAAATGCATTCAATGCATTCGCACAGCACCAGAAGATCCCTGCACCAACTGTGCAGAATCAAGTTAGGTGCGAGCTCGTCTGTTTGGGAGCATGGCCATGTCGGACATTATGGATGATGTGACCAGGAAGTTGCTACTGCATTCAGACTCGTCAATTTTTATTTGGGAAGGAGTATAAGGATATTATAACTAACGGGTTGCTAATGCTCTTACGAGTGCGCAAAAAAAGAGGGGCAAAATCTGCTCATTAACCACCGTCCTCTGAAACTCGGATACGGGTTTGGGCTAGCCTGTTGATTCATGTCCGATTTCCAGCAACCACAGGAAGGACAAGACAAGAATCATGTTTTCCACCAGTATGAATTTGATGATGACCCAAGTTCTGGTTATCAAGTTTTTCCGGCTGTATCATTGGCGTGGCAGGGGCGCTTAGAAAATGCCCAGCAACACGGAGCATGAGCCCTTCGTTGGGTGCAAAAACCATACCCATTGGCCAAAGTGTGATATCCAGGGGAGTAACTCTCCCCTTTGGAATCTTTTCCTCCCGATCATGTTTATAGAAGACCTCTTGCTCATCAGCACTAGACCGCGACGCATCACGAGATATAGCGGAAGAGGCTCGCAGAAACCCCTGAGGTCCATAGAGCTTCGCTGTTTCGCACTCTGGCACCTCGCTTTCCGGTAGTGGACATGGGAAATGAATTCCCTTTAGAGGGTTTCCAGACCTGTCGATCTTTCTTAGTTGAACGACGACATCCATATCATCTCTTTCCTCACACGACATCCACAATCGCACTTTGGCGTAGCCAGCAATCTCGGTGTATTCGTTGAAATGGATGATGAAGTCCTGTTAATTATTTTATTAGTGGGAATCTAAAATCATCGACGTATTTGGGCATGGGCACACCGAAGAAGCATTCAGATCTTGACTATCATGAGAGACAGAAGCCTCGTTGTCTGAAAGAAGCGAATGGAGACTCCCCTTGCTAGCATCCAGATAATATGTTTTCAATTGTTGCCGTTGCAATGGAAATTCAGTCTCCGCTCTTTCAACAACATTTGGCACTGTTCCAAATCCATGAAGAGATAGGCGCAATGGGGGTGTATCCTGCTCCCAGCCATTCATAATCCCCTTGGAATAACGATCGTAAAACCGTTGCAAATCGTCGATGGACTTAGGCTCGTACATTTCATACCACTCAAACCGAGGGTGGACTCGCATCCACTTGCAGGTAGATCTCGCCCGCCGAAATGTGTCGAATGATCCGTAGACGTGGAACGGATTGCCGAATGAGCCTAGCACGTAGAGTGGAACATCAATGTTCGAGACTTCGTCGTATTTCTGGGCCCAATAGTCATCGAACAAGGGATGAGTCTTCACCATTTGTGCTACATCCTCGACGCCCTCTCCACCAGCTACCCCCCATTGATACTGCTTGGCAAAGGTGTTGTTCATAGCGAGTCCACCACGGAGATAAAGTTGTCGATATATATCTGTAAATCCCTCCCAAGGAGCCAGTGCCTTCAATGCAGGATGAGACTGTCTGGAGGCAAAGCTCACTTGGGCTTTTGCCAAGTACGAATTTCCGCCCATGCATACTGAGCCATTGCACCATGGTTGTTTGGACAAGTAGTCGATCGTGTCATATATATCCTCGGCTTCCTGATCTCCCCAAAAGAAAAATGTGCCTTCAGAGAACTGTGCCCCGCGAGCATCAACATTCACGATTGCGTACCCACGGCGGCACCATTCTGCGGGATCGAGACCCTCAAAGGTCTCATAACCGGATGTCCAGTCCTTGGGGACTCCTGATCGATGCCAAATCATGTCCAGACTGATACTGGTCTTTCCGTAGGGGCTCCAGCAAATGATAGCAGGCACAGTATCATGATCAGAGGAGGCCGGTCGGTAAATATCAGCGTACACAAGGATTCCATCTCGAAGTCTGACTGGAGTATCACTATTCACAATTGTGTCGACGAGTATGTTCTTGCGACCCGCCTCCTTCACATGTCCTTTGCGCAGGATTGTATTTTTGTTGGGATTGAAGGTGATTCCGAACTTTTCGTATCTTGGGTGTTTTTCCACGGGCAGTGGCTTTACGAAGTTGAGATCTGGGAAACGAGACTTGAGTTTTTCCGTGGTGGACATTGCAGTTTTGTTGTTTGGTATCACTTCTCGATGATAAACTATGCTTTCTTGATTCCCTGAAAAAAATTCAGGTTGGTTCTGACGGCTTTATTTATATCAAATTGAAATATTTGGGATTACCTGCTTTGTTTCTTGCGTTCCAACTCGGCGGAACTTCGGCTTAAAAAGGTACCGAAATTGAGTGAACTTGTGGCCGATATATCGTTGGAACATGCACTAATGCCGCGATGAATGTGGAGAAGTTGACTTTCAATAACACATAGATCTACAAGCGATGTAACAGCGAGGTCCGAGAGACTTGGCTGAGAAGTGTTATAGGCCCCGCAAAGCGGACGACGGAGGCGAAGACTCGCAATTTCACCGATTGCTCGGTCATTCGCGCTCCATCTGTTTCCGCATCGGAGGACGGCGACGAGGGCCCCGCGATTTGACTGATCGGTCGGTCTTTCGCGCTTCATCTATTCCGAGCTTGTTCTAACACTACAGACCGATATGCGTACATGAGGAATATATAGCGTCCTATGTCCGCTATCCAAGTTTCATCAACAACGTCTGCGCATTGAAGTCGGTCCTAGTGACAATATTCCTGGCACCAATCCATTTTACCATTCTATACCATTTACAATCCTCTTTTCGCTCCAAAACTCTTAGAATCGTGTCAGCCGCCGACATCTACTCCACATCACTACATCGTCCAACATGGACAAAATAATAGTGGAGCGCGATGTCCCAATATTAATGGACGATGGCCTCATTCTCAAAGCAGATGTCTTCCGTCCAAAGGATGAGACTCCGAGCCCAGTAATTATGACTCTCGGGGTTTATGGAAAGGGGGTACCCTACCGTGACGCATTCGCACCCCAGTGGGATGTCTTGATGGCAACAAAGCCCGAGGTTCTCCAAGGATCCACGAAGGAATTTATGGTCTGGGAACTAGTTGATCCCGAAATCTGGGTACCGTGGGGCTACTCGTGTGTTCGCGTTGATTCCCGTGGCTCCGGTCGTTCCCCCGGAATGCTGGATATCTTTTCAAAGAGAGAAGCCAAGGATTACTACAACGCGATTGAATGGGCCGCAGCTCAGCCATGGAGTACAGGAAATGTGGGATTGAATGGAATTTCTTACTATGCTATTACGCAATGGCTTGTTGCATCTCTTCAACCACCTCACTTGACTGCGATGATTCCTTGGGAGGGTGCGAGTGATGCCTATCGTGATATGATGCGCCATGGAGGTATCCAAAACAACGGATTTTTTGAATGGTGGTATCCCAAGCAAGTCATTTCAGTTCAACATGGCAATCCTCGAGGCTGGCAAGATCCTTGGCTTGGTGAGAGAAGCAGTGGGCTAGCATCCCTCACGGAGGCCGAGCTTAAGCGCAACCGCACGGATCCAGTGTCAGACATTTTAACAAGGCCTCTTGACGACGAATGGTATCGCTCGCGCTCGGCCGACTGGAGTAAAGTAACGGTGCCGTTTCTCAGCGCGGCGAACTGGGGAGGATTCGGAATTCATCCTCGAGGCAACTTTGAAGCATTTACCCAAGCTGCATCGAAGCAAAAATGGCTAGATTGTCATCCGGGTCGTCACGAAGAATGGTTCTATCTCGATCATGGGATGGCTTTGCAAAAACGCTTCCTGGATCATTTCTTAAAAGGAATCGACAATGGATGGGACAAGGAGCCGCCGGTTATGCTTCATCTGCGGAGGCCATTCAGTCACAAATTCGAGGAACGAAAAGAAACAGCATGGCCATTACCAAATACAAAATGGACCAAGCTGTATCTTGACTGTGTTGATGCAATTGCTGTTCCTGGAATGTCTTGGGAAATCCCCTCCAAGTGGTCCAAGATGAGCTTCGCCGCTCAAGGGCATCCATTGACATTTCTGTCACCACCACTAGAGAAGGATATCGAGATTACTGGGCCAGTTGCAGCCAAATTGTTTGGGTCCTCAACGACGACTGATATGGATCTCTTCCTCACACTCCAAGCTTTTCTCAATGAGCGTGAGATTGTCTTCCAGGGTGCGGCAGATGCAAATACGCCTCTCTCTCAAGGATGGCTTAGAGCATCCCACCGAAAACTTGACCCTTCGAAGACCTTGCCATATCGCCCCTACCATAGCCACGACGAAATCCAGCCACTCGTACCCGGCAAAGTGTATGACCTAGACGTTGAAATCTGGCCTACCAATATTTTGCTTCCGAAAGGATCACAGATAGCGCTTCAGGTTAGCGGGAAAGATTTCGAAAGGATGCTGCCTCCGAAGGAAGCTGGAAATCCATGGGAAATGCGGAATCCTACGATTTGCACCCACAACCACCCTGGTGATAGACCAACCGATATGTTTGGGGGCGAATCAACTATTTTTACGGGAGGAGAAACGCCGTCTTACATCTTGCTTCCCTTTATTGAGAGGTGAAGGTTTGGTTTACCAAAACCTAAATTCACAAGAATTGTCAAGAAAAATGTTACCATACAGTGATCTAGCCCCCCACAATCCACATGACGGAACTTGACTTGTTGTCCGGCGAGAGTATAACTCTACACGGCGCCTGGATGCCTCCGAAAAATGGAAGTCCCTGATGTGTAAGAAGACATACAACATTTCTATCATGTACTTTCGGCCCTCGGAGGAGACAGCATGACAAATCTTGCCACGTCCCAGCAAAACATAAGCATGCATGCTCTCCTTTCAAGCGCCGGGTCTTCAACACACTTCGTCAAATATATCATTCTTCTGTTTGTGATACATTACTGGATAGTACGCGGAAATTCCGACAGATGTAACTGCATTGCACCCCTTTACGAGCGCCTCAGAACGAAATGAACATTATTCAAAGAAGCGAGGCGTTCAAAACCGTCGAGGGCATATTCAGTTTTTCTCATGTCTCGTACTTCATTCAACAATATGGAAATCTATATTTTGGGAAATCAAAAGATCGATATGGCATCCCGGACTCCCTAGAGCAGCTTGAACACGTTCAGCAGGTTCAAACCGAAGACCGGGGACCCCTAGTAAGGGCCACTTGGTCAACGGTTTACGAGTTCTTATTTTTAACAATGAGATCATTCCGCAGAGTCATTTGCTTTGTGCCATATGCTCGCTCGCGTCGACCTACGCCTGTCTACAAGATAAAGCCTGAACAGTATATAAATTCGGTTCTCTCTACAAAATACGCTAGGAGATCGTCTATTTCCGTAACTAAGGTTGAGGACAGTACCATGCACCGTCCCCTCACAGGACAATATCGTTGCCTAAAACTAAGACCGCAGACGGAACTAGTGAAGGATTCTATTTATGTACAAGCGAAGAAGGTCGGAGTAGAATATTAGGCAAAGTATGTGAAGACTTACTCCTCTAAACCGAGTATGAAACACTGCATTTTATTAGAGGCTGTTTGATCGGACCAGCTTATCTGAGCACACGTTGATGCCGGGCTGTGAGATGATGCTGTACATGTCGCCTGCAGCTTGCTACACCTATCAATATCAGAAGCAAGGAAATGAAGGTCTGGAAAGAGGCCATTCTGCAATATTTACTTTGTATGAAGTCTGTCTAGTTCAGAAAAAAAAAATGCTGGTTTCACATCGGGTATCTAAATCACCGTACGCCAAACCTTATGCATGTCTAACCATAGTAGAGTCTTAACAAACGCCATATATCGGAGGGAAAAAGAATCAAGTGCGCCATCCTTGAACAAACTCATGAAAGCGGTCAATTACAACACCAAAGATAGCATTCGCGCTGTCGCCAATAAGCTGCTCGAAATGGCGGATGGCTTCTTCCTCCGACATCTCCAGATGAAACCGCTCCTTGACCTTGAGGACAGCCTTGTCCGGTTCGACGCGGATGTCCGGGATATTAGCGTCGACCATGAGGCTGAAGAGGTTCAGAATCAGGTTGGCGGACTTGCGCAGCGTGGTGTACGCCGTGTAGCAGTACTGTTTGAATTGGAGGTAGTTTGGTGATGTGGTGCCGCCCATGCCCTCGACCATCTCCTTGCCAAGTTTCATCATCGGCGCGAAGGGCTTGGGGTCACGGCCCAGGATGAAGCCGAAGTCTGCATGGAAGAAATGGCCGTCTGGGGCAAGCAGTAAGTTTTCAAGATGGCGGTCGCCCACGCCGAGGATGTAGGTGATAACGCAATATCCAGCGCAGGATTTGATGTATGTGTCCATCGTCTCTTTGCGCACGCCGAGGGGTTCGTTGTCGTCTGGATTGTTCGTTTTCAGGTATGCGAGGATAGATTTGTACTTGGCCATGGCTGCTGAGAGTGACGTGGAAGGGATGAACTGTGCAGCGCCGACTGTTGAACTAGTGGCAAGGACCCGGTAAGGTGTAAGTTTCAAATCCAAATTTTCTTTCTGAAGAAGTTGATCCATGAGAATGATGATCTGGATGACCAGCTGGTCCTGTCGCATATCGTCGCCAACCTTGAACAACAGTGGATATCGGCGGCCGTCCGTAGTCTTGAGAGTGATGTGCAAAGGAGACAATGTTGACTTGAAGACATTGGATTCTTCCGGGAAACACCCTGCCACAAGAACATCCGGGTCCAGGGGGAGTGGTAATGGAGGTTCAATGTGAATTAGTTCATTCTTCGGGTCGCGCAGTGATTTCTTTAATTTTTCAATCTTCTGGGGCCGGGTCTCCCTGGAGAAACGGACATCTTTGGCGATCTTCGACAACACGGCTATAAATTCTCCTTGCCGCAAGAGTGTCTTGCGATAATCAGGATGCACTTTCTCCAGCTCAGTCATGAAATAGTACTCGACTCGCGCAAACAGACGCCGTTGCGTCGATAATGTGCCTGGTCCAGCATCATCACACTCGACCATCAGGTACCAATGCAGGTAATTTCCCAGCTTGAGGTTATTGGCAGCGCGGGTGATCAAGAAATTGGCAAGTGAGGAGTCATGCGCGGCTTCGTCCACGTTGCCCTCGGCGTTTTCTTCGTACTTCAAAGCCTGGACCAACTGCAGCAGATAGAGGAGAAGCTCGTCGTCATCTGCCTTTCGCAGTCGTTCCACAGCATATGACCGCACTGCCGGATTGTCAAATGTGGGACCCAGAAGCTCCAGAGCATCATCCACATCGATTTCGGTCCACTTGGGAAGGATTTCCACAGCCTGCCGGGCTTCCCCCACATCCCGCCAATTTACTGACTTGACGAATTTTGTCAATGCTCTCTTTTCTCGCGTCAAATAGTACCTGAATCTCCAGACAGAATCCTTCTCTTCGGCTGTAAGATCTTGCGTTGGCTCGTACGACAGAATAATGTTGAGCTCATCACGAATCTTGGGATTAGGCTTCAAGTCTCTGTCCATGATACCAGTCCTATGGCTTCGGATCAACCGGCGGTGCTTGTCCTCACAGGGGTTCCCTGCCTGTCCCACTTCCGGATCATATATCCGGATCACAGCTGTAGCGTCTGCTCCCTCAATTCCCGGGCCAAAGCGAACCTCCGGGACCGGTTTCAAGGCCGAGTTTGGATGAATTGGCGCATTCTGGGAATAAGACGAAATGGGGGGAGGAGGATACTGGTGATCGGCCCAGGTAATCGGATGATCGAACCGTGGGAATTCCACATACAAGACAAAGTTCTCGTCATCCCGTTCATCATCATCCGAATCTTCGTCCACCGTCGGCTGGTTTGTAGCTTTCAACAAAATGGCTCGTTTCCGGGCCGCTTCCTCGGCGTTCAACTTGAGCTTTTCCAGCTGGCGGAATACCATTTGGTCCATCCAGTCTATTCGCGGAATTTCACCCATTTCGTGCTTCTTGATCAGAATCTCCACCCGTTCTAGCTCTGTCTCCTCCAACGACGGCCCCAACGGATCACGAGCGTTCGGTATGCGTCGCTTCGGCGGCGGCACTGACGGCGTGGTGGTCGATGAAACCCCATCCGCAGCTTTATTGCGGTACACCTTGCATTTTTGTCTGCCCATCCTCAGCTTGCCCTCGCCGTCAAACAGTCGTATGGTCGTTCCGCCAAAGGGGATATCATGAGCCTGGGCTCCACCACCGGCCAGCGGGGACAGATCCCAAACCGTGATTGCCAGTTGGGAGTTGAGCGGCGCATCCTTGAGGGACATGGGCATCTGCAGCCATTCGTTCCATGCTCGGTTCGCTTTGAACGCTTTGTATGAGGTCTGGAGAGGCACGCCGAGGGGTTTTGAGTCCGACCATATCTGCACTGTGACAAATAAATCCGAGGCCGGGTTCTGCGTAGAACCCAGGTGTCGTAACTCGGGGTTCTTCAGCAGCACTGAGTAGGGGATCTGCTTTTGCTTCCCCTCTAGTGAACCACTGTCGGGTCTGTCAGCTGGATTGCTTGCCTGAGAGAGTTACAGAGGCTCATACATCTTGACGTGGATGGGGAAGTCCACCTGTGTGGAAACGGCAAAGGTGAATGCCTCCATCCTGTGGTCCTTCCAGCAAAAAGAGAGAGAGAGACAAGAGAGAGAATAGAGCGACCCAGACCGTCCAGATGACGCGGGGGGGAATCTGGTCACGTGATAATGCGCGTAATAGAGAGACGCGACTTTGACTTTGCCAGTTTCCTTTTGGTCCTGACGTCGTCGGTTTATCTTCCTTTTTACCTGTCTCTCTCCTTCCCTGTCCTTTGATACCCGTTATACGTGCGACGTCGAGCAATCGTGCTTTTGCGTTTGCTTGTTTGTCCTGTACTTTGTCACCTGCAGGACACGCGCCAGGGTTCGACTTAATCATGGCACGTCTCGCCGGGACTCAGCTCGACGAACCACCCATCAGTTCAAGCCCCTCCTCATCACCAGGGCGATCTTCTGATAAGGAGAATCATCGCCAAAGTGTCAACAAAAGAACCGCGATGCCACCTCCAAGCTCAGCAAATAAACGGCGACGCCTCACCGATCACGACCCGAACATCCAGTCGCAGATGCCAATGTCGCAACGCAACGTCCAGAACAGGTACTACGATCCAGACCAGGATGCGGGTGAGCGAAGGAAGATTCGGAAAGGACTGAGAGATCTGACGCGAGAACTTAACGGTAAATTCACCTCCTCTGGGCGCGGAGGGCCTCCTGCTGACCGTCTCCATCAAGACTCGCGATCGGAATATATGCAAGCCGGAAATGATGGCCTCTATAAGACGATCACCAAAGCCAACGAGATTTTCGTCGGAGTTAAGCAGACTTCCGACGCGACGATCGACTCTCGCCTCCTAGTCAACGCGGCCGATCTCTCCCACAAAAAGACCGCCCAGGTCGCTCTCGGGGACGCGACGGCCGGTATCGATGTTGATGAATTCGTTTCCAAATGTATCTCGTTCATGCGTCAAGGTGAGGCATCCACTCTCTCTCCGTCCCAGGGTACCCAGCGCCGCCGACCGCGTCAAAGCCAAAGAGACCCCGATGCGAGCGACGAGGAGGATGCAGGAGACGCGATGAATTGGGACTGGCTGGGTCGACACGCGTGCGTACCGTATAGTGCGCGACCGGCCGTGTCAGGGTGGTTGTTGGGCCCATTATCCGTGCAAAAGCGCGCGCGCCAATTGACCCAGCGGCGAGCGCACGAGCAGATTGATCCATCACTGGCTGTACAACCCAACGAGCTTAGGCAGCAGGATCTCGGGGATCAGGAAAACGTCAATCTCGCCTCCATGTGCTCGACAATCAACAAACTGCTTGCGGACATACTGAAGGAGCGCAACAAAGCTGCTTCCGACGAGCTGGTTGAGATGCTGGCTAAGACAGGGCAACCTGAACCTAGTTTCGAGCAGGTCAAGGAAGCGGCGGCCAATCATGGAATCACCGATGATGGCGGCCTGAATCTCTTCCACGTCTGTATTAATCCCCGCTCCTTCGGGCAAAGCGTTGAAAATTTGTTCTACGTCAGCTTCCTTGTTCGCGATGGGAATATCGGTCTGCAGGTGGACAGTCGCCAAATTCCGAGTCTTCGTGAGTAGCCACGTGCCCTTGAGGTTTTCCTTTTCGTTGGAAATGCTGACCGTGATCCTGACAGACTCCTCGGTTCCCTGGTTACCCAGCGAGGCTCAAAGGCAAGGCATTAAAAAACAGCAGGCCATCTTCAGTCTGGATTTCGAAACATGGCAAGAGCTTGTGGCCGAGTTCGAGATCGAAGAATGCATCATCCCCCATCGCGAAGAAACAGGGGCGGAGACCAACCAGACCTGGTCTGGTTAGCTCTCGCAACAAGATAATATTCTCACCTATGATACCCCTTGATTTTGTCTTTTTCCAACTCTTTATAATCTCCGTCGCATAGAAAGTTATCGCATGGAATGAATCTTACAGTGTATGAGCTAGAGACGAACAATAATCCTGGTCATGTCTACAGTATATATTTTTGCCCCGTACTGGACTAGCCTGGGCCGAGGCCAATCGATAAGCTCGATGGTTACATCACTCGCCGCCCCCGAGCTTCCCCAGCTCGTTCCACCTCCCAACATCCTGCCAGCCCCCAAAACGAGTGTCTCACGCCTCAACTGGTCTTTGCTTTATTTTAATTCGTGTCTTGCTGAGTTGGGGTAGTCAGCACGCTGCACAAAGACGACCATCTGCGGCGCGAGTCCGAGACAACGAACGCCAGGGAGCTTTACAGCGAAGAAAAAGAGCGCACGAGCGCCACACCACCAAAAATGCCGCAGCTCTTTCCCTCGAACCCATCCGCGGCAATGGTGATTCGACACGTAACGCCGGACATCGTCACTATGAGTCTCCCATTTGCGCGCTTTGGAATCCTGCGCTTCGGCGGCCGAGGGACGCTGGGTGAGTACATAGTGCATTGCACCGACCCTTACAGGAGAAGGACGCGTGAAACCACCTCGATGTCAAACTCCAGCGTGGCTCACCATTCTGCATTTGCTTTTTCCCCTTGCCATGCTGCGATCTGCCAAGCTAACCTCGTCCTTGCATGTGTCTCAGTCAAGCTCTCCACAGGCTCCCTCGCCGTGTTCTCGCCCGTCAGCCTCACCCCCGAAGTGCGCGACAAGGTGGACTCACTGGGCGGGAATGTCAAGTACATTGCTGCGCCAGATCTCCAGCACCATCTTCACATCACAGCGTGGAAGAAGGCGTTCCCGCAAGCGGAGATCTTGGCGCCGGAGGGCTTATGGGAGAAACGGCAGTCGAATCCCGAGCTCAAGGACACCACCACCGCGTTCCAGCACGTGTTCAAGCAGCAAGACTGCGGATCGTCGAAGTCGATCTCGGAGGAGTTCGATGCCGAGTTTGAGAACGAGTACGTCTACGGACACGGGTCGCGCGAGCTCGTGTTTCTGCATAAACCCTCCAAGACCGTTATCGAAGCCGATATGCTCTTTAACCTCCCCGCCAAGGAACAATACTCCCAGAGCGAAGAAGGGGCCAAGCCGAATTTTTTGACGCGGCTGGTACTCCCGATGCTGTCGACGGCGCCGCCCGCGATGGGCCAGCGGCGGTTCGCATGGTGGATTCTCTCACCGCGGAGCCGAGGGGCGTTCACCGAGTCCGTGAGACGGATCGAGAGCTGGGAGTTTGACCGGCTAATTCCGTGCCATGGGGACGTGATCGAGACGGGTGCTAAGGGAGTGTGGCGCGACGTCATGGCGTGGTTCCTGGGAGACAAGAAAAGCGCTTAGTTAGGCTGTTTCAGCTCTCGTGTGCCGTCCCTATCCTTGCGGTCGACAATAATACCTCCACCCTGTACCTACGTACATACATACAGTGGATCTCGAATATGCTATTCATAGTCCACGCACACGCGGTCCACAGGATCTTGACTTAGGTGCCTAATACCAGCACACCGGACGATCCCACGTCATAGGGCTGAGGCAGGTCAGATGATCTGCTGAATCAGCGCAAGGGCGTTCCTTGCCTGGGCGCGAGAGAGAGAGAGAAGAGAGAGAGAAAGTATAATAACAATAATCATGAGCTGGCAGAAATTAATTAAAGTGCCAGTCAGCCAGTGGCGGCCACTGCACATGTCACCACTAGACGCCGATCAGTGGGGCGGCATAGATTAAAGCCCGCGTAGTGTCGTCAATAGTCTAGGGGATCGTGAATAGTACCTCGAGAGGAACAATAACAGAGGCAGTGGACAGGGCAGGGCCACGTCCTCAGCAGACCACAACAATACCGCTCGCAAGCACAACAACAATAATAACAACAATAATCATAATAATAACCAACCATCCAGGGTACTCCCCCTCTCTCCTTACTCCCTGCTCCGAACCATCATCCAGCCACGCATCAGTGGCGGTCAGTCAAGCCGGCGTCGATCAGTTGGTTTCCCGACTAGCCTGCATCCGGGGAGGGATCTGACGACATGACATGGAACTTGCTTTCTGGGCCAGACAATCCGGCCTGTTCGGCCCTTGCGTGCACGCTTGCTGGACTGACTGGGCTTGTGTGACGGGCCCCTCGGGCGCTCTTTATATACCGGTGCTGGATCCCACGCCGCAAGATTTGGTTTGCTACCTCTCCACATAACTTCTTAGTCTTTCCTCTGCTCTTCCCGGCCTCCTCCCAAATAGCTTCTACGCAGCACATCACCACTCATTGCCGTCGCCATGCCTGTGGTCTCGCGCCTCGTGTCTATTATCCTCCGCGTTGGGGAGATTGCCTTTGCGGCGGTATGTGGACGCCACTCTTACCCTGCCATACTTTCTCTCACACACACTGCTCTTACTCTAGGTCGTCGCGGGTATTATCGGCCATTACCTCGCGTCTTTCTCCAACATCCACCCCTGGCCGCAGGCAAGGTGGATCTACACCGAAGTCATCGCCGGCCTATCCATACTCCTGGCCCTGATATGGCTGATTCCCTTCTCGTCGGGCTTCTTCTCGTGGCCATGTAAGCGCAACCAACGCCGCCCGTCCTCCCCTCGTAGCTTCGCTGTTATCTGTTTCTGACATAACCCATCACCAGTGGACCTCCTCATCTCGTTCGCCTGGTTCGCCGCTTTTGGGATCCTCGTCAACGCGATCCAGCAGCTGCCCTGCGGCAGCATCTGGCACTGGAGTGGCTTTCTGCACGACTCGGTCTGCGGGCGCTGGAAGGCCGCTGAGGCGATGAGCTTTGTGTCTGCTATTCTCTGGCTGGTCTCGGCGCTGGTGGTATGTTTCTTTCCTGGTTGCAACTGTAGACAGCGCGCTCATGATGGCTATAGGGGATCTGGTTTACCTTCCGTGTTCGCAAGGACGCTGGCGTCGCTGGCGGAACGTAAGTGATCTATCCATACCCTGTCTCTACCTGTGTCTTGCTAGTGCTAACTTGTCTATCCATTAGCACCCGCCGCCGTCGCTGGGGCCGCTCTCCTGCCGCTGCCGTGTAAAGGACGAGGGCGCGCGGGAGAACATGTTCATCAAACCGCTGCAGTCGGCCCGCGCTCGTCCCTGGCTTGCCGTGGGGAAAGATCGATCGTTTTCATGACTTGGTGGAGTGTCGCATTTCTGCTGCCGATCTAGCGTGGTTGGAGGCAAACGAATCACGACTTATGCTGATACCCTTGGAGGACTAGGTACCTAATTTGGGGTTGCGGGTGTTCTTTGCTAGTCGCTTGTTGAATGACATCAGTTAGTTATTAATGCATTGCATACTTCCAATGTTCCGTGGATCTCTCGCGGGTGGAGAAAAAACGTGTCGCCCCCAAACAATGCGCGGCTGTGGCGCGATGACTAAGGGCAAAAATGGCTCCTTTGGTTGATGATGGTCGTTTTGAAACGATTGCCTTTCTTCCCTTCCCGATCGCTCGTTTGTGGATAGCTTGTTCTTATCCTTATCCCGTGTAGGAATAATGGTCGCCGGCGAAGACTCCGCCAGGTTCTCTGTCGAGAAACCGAGGCAAGAGTATCCGTTGCAGGACCTCCGGTATCGCGACGACGAGGCGCGCGAGTCCGACGATGATCTCGAGCACGGGCCGTTGCTGCAGACCGCTGGCCTAGATGGCACCTCAGAACCCGTCCTCGACGACAATGACAAGCCAAAGCGGAAATCGCGCTCGGGACTTTGTGCCTGGCTGCGCGGTCCCACGCCACCCCACGTTCACCACATCCAGCCCTGGCTACCACAATGGCAGGCCGCGCCGGCGCGGATCATTGACCTGTGGCTCCCGCGCAAAAATGCCAAAATCGCATTGCTTCTCGGCGGATTGGTCTTCTGGATTGTCGTGTTTTTCTCCGCCTTGAAAGCCTCCGTGGCCGAGCAGGAGATTCCGGGGTACGGGCAGCCCGTCAAGCTGTCGTGTCACGATCGCCTGTGGTACGTAACCAATTCCCGACTGGATTCTCTTAAGCCTTGACTAATTCTCATCAGGACCAATGCTACCAACTGCGGCCTGAATGGTGACCTCTGCCAGCCCTTCGATGAGGAGGCCTTTGCCTTCCGCTGTCCCGCTGGCTGCTCCCAGGCCATCCTGCTCGAGCCTTACAATGTCGGCGACCAGGAACTCAATTACCGGCCCCTGGTGATCGGTGGCTCTGGCGAAACCTCACGGAGCAGTGGCAACTACCGCGGCGACTCATCGATTTGTGTATCGGCGCTGCACGCCGGACTGGTCGATGATGCGTCTGGGGGATGTGCCATTCTGCGCCGCACAGGCGCGCATAGCAATTTCCGGTCCGTGAAGCACAACGGCATCGAAAGTATTGGGTTTCCGTCCAGTTTCCCCATGTCTTTCGTGCTCACTCAAGAAACCACGTCGTCCGGCTCAAGTGAGGCCAAGATGGCCGAGTGCTCGGATATCAGGTGGTCACTGTTCGCCTTCTCGGTAGCCCTGACCACAACTCTCTCCCTGACCGTGATATCGGCGCCCGCGTTCTTCACATCGATTTTCTTTATCGTCTGGTTCCAAGTCGCCATGTCGTCCGACCCACCCTCGTCTCCAAACTATTACGAGCTGGTCTCCGCGGCCCTGGGCCGGTTTCTGCCGGGTGCATTCGTCGGCTTCGCGCTGTACTACTTCTTCATGCGGCACACGCTGCGCGACCTCGACGCGCACTGGGATAAAACCGTGCTGTGGCTGGGTGGATGCTGGGTCGGCGCGCTGAACACGGACACCTTCGACCGCATCCCGATCTCGCGCCTGACGCCCCATGACCTCCAACAGCAACCCGGCGCCATCACCGCGCTGATTATCATCGTCTGCTCACTCGTCGCCATTGCCATCGGCCAAGCGCTCGCCTTCCGACGCGAGGGACGCCTCCCGAAAATGTTCCGTTTCTATGTCCTTCTCGTCGCGATCGTGCTCCTCTTCGTCGCTGTCCCGCACATGAACCTGCGCATCCACCACTACATCCTATCACTACTTCTCCTCCCAGGCACAACCTTACAAACACGACCAAGCCTCTTGTACCAAGGCATCCTAATCGGCCTCTTCATCAATGGCATCGCTCGCTGGGGCTTCGACTCTATCCTCCAAACACCCGGCGCCCTCCTCGACGGCGCCCGGCTGGGCACCACGCCGCCCATTATCAACTCGCCCATTCAATCATATGACGATAATAACACCCTAATCTTCAATTTCCCGCCGCTGAACCCGCACGTCAATGGCATCAGTGTGCTAATCAACGACGTTGAGCGTCTCCACGCCCTTCGTCCGAAGGGAGACTATTCCGTTCCTGAATTCGAATGGACCCGCCAACACGAGGACGAGCCTGAATTCTTCCGCTTCGGGTTTATCCATGTTAATGCGCTGGGCGGGGTTTGGTATGAGGATTTCTCGGATGCGGCTGTTTGGGAAGTGGATGGGACTTGGGTGCCATCGTTGTCAATGTTGAACGAGACGCTACCCGCTGCTAACGAGACACGTCTCCGTTAAGAGGTGTCTCCATTAACGGTTGCGCCTGCCTTCCAAGGCTATCTTTGTCTTTCCTTTTTGCATGGTGGTTCTTATACCCTCGGTGACTTGTATAGATCGGGTTTGTCAATATAGATATGTTGGTTTGTCAGATCATCACTCTGCAGCATTAGAACAATGCATGGCTGTCTATAAATTCGTGTTCCCAATTATTGCGGTCCTCGCAGGTATCTACCAACTTCTTAGTTACGTGGGCACTACCCCTGGCATGACAAGCCCTTCGTCTAGTTTCTCTTCTTCTTTCGCCTCGCAACCAGAAACAGATCTCACATAGGAGAGTCTCTGTACCATTATTGTGTGCGCTTTGTATATGATTTCTTGACGAATATTACCAATCTCGACGGCGATGCCACGTTGTGGATTCTGATTGATTTTGATGGCTGCTTTGCCGAAGAGATCCGACTCAGCTTTTGTCCTCCAGAATAAGGGCCTGGTTTGATCAGAGAAGAAGAAGATGGCTTGCTGAAATTGCAGTGACACATTATACTATTATTACTATGCTGCAAGAAATGTGACTTGGTGAAGACAGCTAATCCAACATTCATTCAATATCAATATTCAATCTTAAACGTCCACGTATACTTATCAGCCATGGCCACCTCACTCGGAACATCAAGAACGAGGTGACCATCATCATTGGTCTTTGCATCAATAACAGTGCTGTGCATTGAGCCACCCACAACAGTAACCCTGTCACCATCCAGATACGGAACCAGATCCGGAACAACGGTGCCACTGCCCGGTTGACTGAAAATATGAATATAAAATGCATCGTTCGTGGTCGTGTATCGGAAATCGCCTTGTCCAAAGCCATTCGGCCAATACTTGGTCCCGAAAATACTTTCTTCGTGGGCTTTGATCCAAACTCCAGCCTCGCGAAGATTGGTTTGCATAATATCCGGAATTGAACCGTCACCTTTAGGTCCAATATCCAGAAGCAGGTTGCCATTCTTAGAAACGGTATCGATTAATGTAGTGACAATCCCGCTGGCATTCAGATATGCCGAGTCTGGCGTAGCCGCGTTATACCCAAAGGAGTGCGGATCCAGTCCTCGAGTGGCTTCGAAGTGACGCGTGGAAAGCGGAATGGTGCTTGCATACTCGGCTGAAGTATCGAAATCCCCTACTATGACTCCACATCGGCTGTTGACTGTAACCTGGCGGTTGTTGGCGTACTCGCGATTGATCCATTCAGAGGCAAATTTGGGGGATAGTCTGCTGGTAGGCATGGTAATGTCGCACCACATGATATCGGTTTCGTATTCGTAGGCAAGGATTTGCATTTGCGGGAATTGAATATCTGGGATGAAATCCTCGACTGGGACGAAGCCCGTATAAGGGACTGTTTCGTTGGTGTATGGGTTTTTGGGGGCCCTGGGATATGTGAGTCGCGACTCTAGGAAATAATATCAATGCTGTTCTTACCGACTCCAAACGCATCTAGCCAGGTGTAATTTGAAAAAGCCGGGTTGAACCATTCAGGCATGCTGAAATATGTTCCTCTCCGCAAGGTCGGTTGATATGTTTTCGCTGCATCGAAGATCTCCTGTTTCTATTTTAGAACTTGTTTTCTCCCTATGCGTCGAGCCATTTAGGCGTACGTACCCTGAGGAAATCCCGATGAGGAGATTGCTTCACCGAGTTCCGCTTCGAAACGGTCTCGGGCATATCGAACAAAGCATATCCATCATGGTGTTTGGTGACTGGGACCAGATACTTGGCCCCAGCATCAGCGATCAAGTCAACCCAGTCCTTAGGTTTAAACTTCTCCGCGGTAAAGTTTGCCATGAAGTCGTCGTATAGGAACTTTGGGCCGTAATTTTTGAGATGGTATTGGTAAGTCCTGGTGGGATCATCCGGGCTCATCTGACTCGACCAATACCTATATTCAACGAAGCCTGAGCAAACATCCAGCAGAGGTCATAATGCATGGGTGCTTACCACTCTGCGTAGTTCTCGTTCTTACCAACACCGCCCCATGCAGGCACGGAATACAAACCCCAGTGGATGAAGATGCCATATTTCGCATCTCGGAACCAATCTGGTGATTCGTGCTGATCCACCGATGCCGCAGTGGCATTGTACGTGGGCATACCGTACCTAGCCGTGATAGAGAGGGAGGTTGAAGCATTCTTGCCCCAATGAGCTACTGCTGTCGCAGGTCCTGTCGACCCTTGCGGCACGCCCTTGTTATTTTGGACGCTGACTTGAACAATTACAGAATCGCCGGGGCGGATCCGTTTCACCTTTGCGGGTTGAACTGTTTGAAGGTTTTCGGACTCAACCCAGACATGCAGGTTGTCACTAGTTGTCAACCAGCTCTCGGTGCCCGTGTTGTTGAGCACGATGTCAAAGAGCTGTACATCAGGCCTGCCTTCAACCCATCTCGTGGATGAATTTACTTGAGTAATGCTAATTTCCGGGGTTGTAGTCTCTGCGATATTTATCAGTTCAACAGTCAGAATATATATGTTGGCAATTGCAATTCTTACGGACTTCTGTCAAGGACGGATGTGTCCAGACAGTGCTAGCCAGAGCTAGAAATGGCCATACAAAATTGCGGCGAAGCATGATAAATAGCAGGTTCAAATTGAAGACCGTCAAGGAGCTCCAGTCTTGAGCCCATGCGGTACAACAGGAGTCCTCGCGCCGAAATATATCATCTTCTTTCATACTTCTCCAGCTAGAATTCTATCATCGCCCATTGCCAAGTCTACAGATGGAGCGTATGTTTTGATCTTGGCATCAAAAATACCCGCTAGAATCTTGGAAGAGGTCCATATCTTCCCCGCAATGATCCGTCAATCACAATGAAGGGGGCATTAGATGTGGGGACGAGAAGATCGAGCACACAATTGTACAGGTTCACAACTCTGCAATAATGCAACATGACGATGATTGAATCGGAAAATTACTTGCTCTAACTTGGGTCTAGATTATTTGAAAGTATGTCCGCTTTACTTTATGTGTTGGTTCGTTGTTGTCGGGTGTATCTAAGTTCCCCTCTCCTGCACCAAAACTGCCGATCAGGAATCGGGGATTGTAACTTAACAATGCAACATGGCTCTAAGCGAACCGAGGAAAACTCTCTATACTTGAGGATCAAAGAGTTAGAAAGACTTTGGCCCCTTTTCCCTAGCATGTTGTGACTGTTTATTTGTCGAGCATATTTATTCTTCTCTTCGTTTGCGTCACATGTCCAACAAGGATTCGGACTAAATCAATTAGCCGACCTAAATACTCTTGCTGAGAGGAGAAAATAAAGCAAGTCAACTGATTTCATCTCTTATTGTGATCCGCATCGCAACTTACTGTCGATCTCGAAACACATTCAATAATCAAGTCAGGAAGCCATGAACCTGTACAATTCGGCTCTACTGGTTCTTGGTGGTGGTGCCGCCGCTGCTGTCGCTACAGGTGGCGATACACATGTCCTTTCAGCGACTGCTCCCAAGGCGGCAGGACCTGCGGTGCTTTCATCATTCGTCTGCTTCTCTATTGAATTCGTCTTCTTTCCAGACTTCGCAGGTATGTTTTGTCCAAGATCTATCTTTACTTGACATTAATCTGCTTTAGGAAATAAATCACAGCCAAATCACTTTTCAAATCAGCTCCTCGACAATTTGGCCAATCTCCAGGGAGCCAAGCCGCATATCAGAGTTGGCGGCAATACACAGTATGATTGCTCTTTTTATCTTGTCCGAATACACCTTTAATCTCGGGACGACAGGGACTACGCGCTCTACAATTCATCTTTGGATGTCGCTGTCAATGGGACATACATCCCTTCCAAATCTACGGATTATCCATACATAATTTACATAGGACCCTCATACTTTGAGTCCTACACAACATGGCCGAACACCAAATTCTCACATGGGTTCAACCTAGGCAAGAATAGTTCCCATGATATACAGCTGGAAATGGACAGTGTCCCGCTAGCCTGCGAAGCCCTCAGTCACGGGAACCTGCTCGTCTGGGAGCTAGGAAACGAGCCCGACGACTTTAAGAATGCCATACAAGGACCCGTCAGGCCTCCCTGGTGGGACGAGAAGGATTACGTCAATCAATGGCTAAATCGAACCGCTGCCCTTAAAAAGCAAATGGAAATTCACTGTCCCAAGCTGGCCCAGACGAAATATATGGCGCCTTCATTTGGAGGAATTGATGGCGCTCTGAAGGCGCTTACTACCTGGCAAGATGGGTTGAATGATGCTAAGAATATTGCTTTCAATTCGGAGCACAAGTGAGTATTTCCTCTTCCACTTCTTAATATGACAAGCCTTTGAAGGACTAATCATTGGCATTGTATAGTTACATGGGAGGAGCCGATGAGCCGGGCGTTACGCTTCAGAAGACATTGATGAACCATACAGCGGTAGTCGAGAATGCCGCAGAGCATATCAATCTGATGGACACTCTCGAAGCCCAGAATCTCACCACCGGCATTCCCTATATTCTAGGAGAAACCAACTCGCTCTACAACGAAGGCCGGGAAGGTCTATCTAACTCTTTCGGGGCCGCTCTCTGGGGCGTGGACTGGAACCTGTACTGTGCATCTCAGGGCATCCGCCGAATATATATGCACCAAGGAACGGACTATCGGTACGCATCATGGCAGCCCATCGGAACCAATAAGACCACAATCGGGACAAAGGCCCCTTACTACGGGAATGCGATGGTGGCGGCCATGACTCGGGGCGGGGACGATGTGCAAATTCTCAATATCCCGCTGGGTCAGGATACCGAGTCTGCTTATGCGGCATATGTCGGAGGCAACCTGGCGCGGCTTGCTGTGGTCAATATGGCAGAATATAATTACACTTCTGGCTCTGCTTCGGGCGGTGCTGGTGATCGTCCGTCGGGTAAGTATTCGTTTAAATTGCCCGCTCGGATTGCGTCTGGATCCGTGTCGGTGCAACGCCTCATGGCTAATGGGAGCAATGCCGTTACGGGGGTAACCTGGGATGGTTACTCGTATAATTACGAGTTGAAGGATGGGAAGCCGGTTCGAATGCACAATGTCACGAGCGACGAGAGGCTCAGGGTTGGCACCGATGGAACGGTTCTGGTTGATGTGCCTTACTCCAGTGCTGCTCTTTTGAACTTGGAAGATGGCATGTAAAATCGTATTCTTCATCATTGTTATACAGCGCAAATTGCCTTAATCCGCTCCAATTATTCTTACCGTGGCTTTGGTCTTCACAATCTGGGTCTCTCCTGCAATAGTTACATTTGTATTGAACCTGAGTTCATGGGTATGCTTGATGGTGTACGTTGTGAAATCCGGGGAAATCGTTTTGGGAGTCCATGTAAGCATCTTTTCGTCGCTAAATAGACCACCATTAGAACGGAGAGAAAGACGTAGCATGGTGCCGATATCAATCGGCTTGTTGTCCTCTCCTGTCGATATCACCATCGGAATCTTGAGCTGCTCAAATGCATCTTCCAGGTCCAGGTCGGCAGACCATGACTGTTTAGCTGACTCTGCCTTGGAAGGATTGAAATCATGCAGCGCAAGGAGCGTAGTATGGTGCTTGATATGCAGCCTGATCCAGTTGATTCGAGCCGTCCGTGGAATGTCCCTGATGGAGGCGGTCGTGTTTGAGAGCGAAGGAACAACGTTCAATATAATCGGGACAGGGTCCGGATTGTCAAGTTGGATCACGGTAGGCAACGACACGACAATTCTATATTGGAACATGGGCACCTTACTCGAGCCAAGAAGTTTCTGAGTCTTTTGTCTCAGTGACAAGTCGGCGTCCTCCATCCCCGGGAGCAGTCGTTGGCTTTGCATAAACGTTTCTGGTGAAGAGAACTCCATGAATTCAGATGGGCCAGCCTCTTGGATTGGATGTCGTATCCGTATGGGCAAAGTTGCATTGAAAACCTTGTGGGATGTGCCAACAGTATAGTGCAATCTCGCATGCAGAGCATACTCAATGCGGCCCTCTGAAGAGCGATCCTTCCCATGTGATTCAAAGGATCCTGGTAAAGGATGGCCCTGGAATAGCGGTAGGAAGCTCTCTTTGCTCATATAGTCCTGCCTCGCAACGGTCTGCGAGGGAATCTGTATTGAAAACGGCCAGCTCAGAGCATTTTCACCTCCGTCAGGAAGATGCAGAGGGCCGCTGAAAATGACACTTCCCGTCTGCTCCAGAAAGTCCCAGTCGTCGACATAGCGACGCTGAGTGGTCTTTGCAGATCGTGGTAAGATTGTGGTTCTTATATTCCCTGTCAACCACAGCTTTAGGGTGGCCTTGGGCGTGACGACCGGCGTGTCGCGGATTAGGTGGCCGATGAGCCTGTCACCGGCCGCGAATTTCCAACGCGGGGGCGCAGCGAGTTCAAACTTCAAGTTGGGGCTGCCTTGGCACGGGGGGTCAAGCATTTTTGGCTGGTTGTTCAAGAATAAGATGTGTGGAGCTGAAGCTTGTGTGGGGTACAGTTGAAGGTGAGCAAGGGTGTGGGGAGATAGACACATCAGTGTGGCAAAAAGGGGCCAAAGCACCTCATTAGGTCACGTTGCTGATGTACATGAGTCGGTTCAAGGGTCGGTAAAGGATATGTATTACATATGGCGATCCATTTGTGGTATCTACATTGAACTATTAGACCAATGTCTCTTTTACTTGTGGGAACAAACGACCTAACAAAGAACGTAAAATAGATTCACAAAATCTAATATGCATGACAATTCTATCCCAGGATAATCACATAGAAATGAACAACGCTCAAGACTAACACACCAAAGAAATATTTGAACGCCAGGTGCAATGCAGATAGATGAAAGAAAGCTCTCTTCGAAGCGATCAAGGCTGACCGCCGCAGCCTTGATCGCACCTTTGTCTCGCTATGTGGGAGGGTTCGTAGAATTTGCAGAACCCATGAGGTCAAAGGAGGACAGAGCAATGGTATTGTTGGCTTGAATATTGATGGCCGCGGCATACATGCACCGCCAGCTATGTTCTGAATCGCGAGGCCCCGGAATCCGGTTCTTCGGATCGCAGTCCGCATGGAAGACCATCTTTGTTCCATCGAGAGAAACGGTTGCACCGCCCGGCGATTGGAGATCAAAATCGCCCGTTTCAAAAAGTGGCTGAGCAGCTCGTGTGTAAGGTCCCCTGATCGATCTCGCATGAGCATATTTCACATCGTACCAGAGCGAGGTGTAGCAGTGAGAGGAGTAGAAGAGAATGTAGGTGCCGTCTTCTCTGCGGATGATATTGGGCGCCTCAACAAGCGGGCCATCGCTGGGGATGATGTCGAGAATGATTTCCGGTTCCCCGATCTTGGTGATACCATTGCTCTCCATCTCTTGGAGCATAATTGGGACGGAGACAAGAGGCAACTTGCTATTGCCACAGTAACCTCCGTGGCCCACGCTGTTTCCATCGGCCTTGTATGTGACATACAATTTGCCATCAACATCTCTGAATGGTGAAGGATCGATGGCGCCGCCGTATTTGTGCGGGCAGGCCAACGGCTCCTTTTCGGGGATGTATGGACCCATCGGGTCATCGTCTTGCGACACTGCAACTCCGACACAGTGGTGGTTGTGATAGTGTTTTGCCTCCCCAGCGTAGTAGAGAAGAAACTTTCCATCATCCTGCAAATGTCGTTAGAATCGAGTCGAGATATTTGCGGTAAAGTTTACATACTCGTTGGATCACGTCTGGTGCCCAGTGATTGATTTCGCGCTCCCATCCGCCCGCGCCCGGCATTGCATCGTAGCCATGGTGAAGAGTCCAGTTGATAAAATTGGTCGACGTGGCCACGGGGACATGAACGGAAGCAGGGTCGCTTCTCCTGGGGTTCGTTCCGTACGCATACCAGGTTCCATTGTGGTGGACGAGACCTGGATCCGGAAAATCAAAAACCCCAAACACGGGGCGATTCTCGATGATATGATACGTGGGATCCTGGGGCCGGCCGTTGTACTGGTAGGCGTGTGGGTTTCGGGTGAGGACAATGGGCAGAGCGATGACTAGCGCGAGAAGCACGGCGGCCAGAACCCCAAGAGCGCTCAGAATAATCCGATCCCGGCGATTCCGCGGTGGCCAGAGGAGACATTTTCTCTTCACTTGTTCTGGCTGGGCTAGTGATTTTACATCGAATGTGCCCTGAGAGCTCCTCTCGCTGTCAAACACCTCGCTCACCGACGTAACCTCCGAATGGGCGGGGTCTTTTTTCGGACTGTCCGCCATCGCTTTGTTGGTGCCCCAGGAGACTTTTTGCGGAGGTTTACTGAGTATCCGAGAGCTCTAAGCCCTAGAATGGCCGACAGTGTGCTTCAGTAGGGTGGAGGAAGATGAATTGCAAGGTGGGAAGAAGTGTCATGGCTGGGGCGGGTGTATGGATGAGTTGTAATGCATTGAAATGGTGCAATCCAGATGGGCAACTCCACGTTGCGTGCTTAGATATGTATTTATACTGAATGGCGGGAGGGGCAGGGTTTTCCAAGGATGTTAGGCAGCAGGGGATACACAGTGAGACCCTGAAACTCGGAGTCTGGATCACATCAGCACGGGCTCCGATTATACCATTATTCCTGCGATCTGGGCGAACTAGGGGATTTCCCCACGCTTGGCTAGAGAGATCAACTGCGATCACGCCTTTTTTTGTTTCCGATTGCCATCGCAAATCGTGCCCGGCAAAATAGGACAATCATCAACCGGGAAGGGGGCAAGTCTCCTGTAAACAAGCTTTTCCCAGGGCCCGGGTGGAACCAATCATGGCGAACGGTTGCCTGTTGGTCCCACGTCAAGCAATGATCGCCCTGCAGCTATGTATTCTGAATCCCAAAAATGTTGTCTGCCTGTCACTTTTCGCTTGAAGTTACATCCCTATCCGGATGATGCGGACGCCTGGGATGTCAGCTACGCAGTTCTCCCTTTGCGAGGGCGGCCTGGCCCTTCGTAGGAGATCAACTAGTCAATACAGCTGATCTCCTTCGTCTCTGTCCTCCCCTGTGTTCGTCGTGCTGATCATATCCTGAACCACAGTCCAGACCTTCTTACCTCGCACAACCCCATCAACTCATACCGACGTACAATTGAGCAACGGGGTCGGGTGTATACACCGCGAAAGCTGCGAGGAATTTTGGTTTCGGGGAGTCGGTTGCCGTTAGTCCGGCCGCGTTGCTCAAACACCTCGCGTCTTGCATACCACAAGGTCGTGACGTGATTCTTGTTGGTTATGCAATCCAGAACGATTCGAGGGCCTTACACAAACTGGGTTTCGAATTTCCGACATCATCTATCCGTGGGACGGTTGGCACCTTTCGGATTGCAAACAAGGTATTGGGTGTTGCGAGGGCTCTCTGGGCCCTTCTAAACACCTCGACAATCCGTCCGACCGATTGCCTTGTAGTGGAAATGGCACAAATCTCACGCTGCGGGCTTCGTGGTTGCTGGCAGCTCAAGTTCGTGAGGGCGACACCGAGCAGAAAGCAAGCCTGTCTATCTCGAAGCAGGTTTCGACGGAACCTATTCCCTACCGGGTAAAGATTCAAAGATAGTAGCTCCGCCTCGGGATATCGAAAAACGGGAGAAAATCCGTGCCGATCGTTTAGCTAGACATTTGAAGCTGAGAAGGCAAGGCGGGTATGGAGCACTGGAGCTTCAAGGACTTCAGCGGGATTTAGAACCCCTTTTAATAACATGAAGTGAATGTCTGAGAAAACTATCATTATGATAATGATTATTATTATTATTTGAGCGTAATCGTGGAAGCGAGACGCTAGGTCCTGCGTCGGACACGTTACATGGAACAGGGTAAGCGCGCTAGAGCTCTGTGATCAGGCGAATGATAGGGTGATACAGGAACACAATCTCCAGTGTGATGGGACAACTGGAGAAAAAAAGAAATGAAAAATCACCAGAGAGAATAACGATCCGGTACTCACCACTCACACATACTTGACGTACTTATACTTGGCGGTGTCCAATCCGGCGACCGAGATACAGCGGCAGCCACGTGAGCCCCTACACCAGCCAGCGCAATCCCCAGATCAACGTACGCAATCCTTCCTGTTCCACTCGACCGCCTTGAGCACGCTGGACGGCCTTGGCCTCTTTCTTGCCTCTGCTCTGATCTATTGTTCCGACCTGGGTAGCCATTCCGGTGGTAGTCTCCGTTGTCCCGTTGCCACTACTGTTACGCCCTGTTGGGTCTCCTTTTCTGTTTGCGGATCTCCGACCGGCATCCGAGGTCGCATCTCAGTTACACCTCATCCACCCATTCAAGTCCTTGCAATTGCAAACATGTCCCGCTCATGATACTCCTGACCTGAGATTGGACCACACAGCTACCAAAGACTCATCCGTGATCAATCCGCCGTGTTCCTAGTCTTCGCCTGGCAGAAGACCGGAAGACACCAGCGGAGGAAGTACGGGCAGCGGATTTTAGAATACTCAAGCGCACGCGCTTTTCGAACCGATCTCGTCGCAACCATGCCTACCTTCCGCAAGTCATTGCTCGCCGCCATCTGCCTCATCGCCGTCATCATCATCCTCCGCGCGTCCCGATCCTCCGACCTCCCCAACGCCCCGGGATATCGGCCCGTCCAGAAAATCTTCGAAGAGAAAGAGAATGCGGAAGCGCATCAAGAGGGACAAGACTTGAAATCCAAGGAACGGCAGCAGCAGCAGCATCTGGGCGCTTCGGCGATAGCGCCGCTACGTGAGCGCCTGCGCTACCAGTTCCCGTACGACCTCGAACCTAGTTTCCCGGCGTATATCTGGCAGACATGGAAATACCAACCATCATCATACTGGTTTGCAGAAGAGCTGCGCGTCCCAGAGGCTAGCTGGACGGAGATGAATCCCGGGTTCGTGCACGAGGTCATCCCCGATGACACGCAGCGGGATCTGATCAAATACCTGTATGGAATGGTTCCGGATGTGTTTGAGGCGTATGACTCCATGCCACTTCCCGTCCTGAAAGCAGACTTCTTCCGGTATCTGGTACTGCTGGCCCGCGGTGGCATCTACAGCGACATCGACACCCACGCAATCCAACCCGTCATCCACTGGCTGCCCGAGAATCTCGACAAGTCCACGGTAGGCCTTGTCGTCGGCATCGAGGCCGATCCGGACCGCCCGGACTGGGCCGATTGGTACTCGCGCCGCCTGCAGTTCTGCCAGTGGACCATCATGTCCAAACCGGGGCATCCGATTTTGCGCGATATTGTCGCGCAGATCACCGAGCAGGCGCTGCGTATGAAGAGAGCTGGCATTTTGAAAAAAGGCAAGATGGACCGGACTGTGGTCGAGTTCACGGGCCCGGGCGCCTGGACTGATGCCGTCTTCCGCTACTTCAATAACCCGGAGTATTTTAATATTCAGCCCGGCGATAAGAATATCACGTACGAGGATTTCACGCAGCAGGTCGACTACCGCAAAGTCGGCGATACCCTCGTTTTGCCAATTACCAGCTTTAGCCCTGGCGTCGGCCAGATGGGTGCCGAGGATATTGATCACCCTATGGCCTTTGTGAAGCATGATTTCGGAGGTAAGATTTCTTGTTGTGTTGTTTTCACCTATGATACTAACAATTATTCTTTCAGGGATATGGAAAACTGACCCTTCGCTTTAAATCATACCACCCCCGGTCTCCAACCTACCACTACCATTATTTCCGGCATAGTGAAGACAGTCTGTCCTCTTCACAACAAAAGTAGCCGCTTCGATACCTGTTCGGCCACCATCAAGATATGACCTGTTGTCAGTTCGGCAATGGAAGTGACATCCCCGCTTGAAAGAGTACGCTGCCTTTTTCGGCGAGGCTGGTCGCGCTATGCGGCCAAACCATCCCGTCCGCGGGCTCTTTCCTTGAACGTCCGGCCCACCCCAGACGAACTGAGGTGCACACCAATATGCACATACAGCCCAGATCGGTCCTTCTTCGATATGGACATATATTCACCTTTTGATTTCTTGTGCCATACCTTATGGGATACTTAGATTCGGAAACGCTTGACAGAAATCGAGAGGAACGTAAAGGATAATACATAGATAGAAAGATGCTGAGGGGAGTGGAAAATCTCACGTCACGGTCATCATGAATTCAAACCACGTACCGAACTATCAAGTATTGATTGATCATTGAGAGCGAGCGCGTACACGAACATAACATCAACTTCCAACTGCAAAGCCGAAGAAAGTGTTGATACAGTCTTCCGTACGGGTTAAATAAAATGATCCAGACTATGTTCACAATATATAAAAATCAGCTCGATCAGCAAGCAAGTACAGATAGTAGTTAAGATACACATCGAAGGAATAGCAAGGCATACCGCCAACGATGCCAACGAAAGAAACGGTGAAAGAAACAAAGAATAAACAAACAAAGATGAACGAAAATGGTATGTTCAGATCACGATCAAACAAGTAAGTATGTACGAGACGAGATCGGTGGTGTGGTCAATCGAGAACAGAGAACAGAGGACATCATCACATCGTAATCGGGCTGGAACCAAAACCAGTTTTCGAAATCCGGAAAACAGCCCCGATGGTCCATATGTATCATGATAAACAGCAAGCAGAGCAAAAAGAACACACATCTTTACCAAGCACAATACAATGCCTTGAGAGAAAGAGCTGCGAGAAAGGCAACGCCAAGAATTAAACGGGAGTATGTAGTTCCAAGAAGCAAGAAGTGAACGCCACAAGTCAGACAGGTAGGGTAGGGTACCTCGGTGTCCCGCCATAATCGTAGAGAGAAGGGTGTGTTGAAGTGTATGAATCCGATTGGCGGATGTTCGGGCATGGGTGAGGATGAAGAGGGGATAGGTGTACCCATTGGAAAAAGCTTAAGCCACATCTGGAGGCCTAGAGAACTTCAAAGTCTTTGCTCATTCGGGAGATTCTCTGTGGGGATAGAGAGATATGTAGAAGGAAGGCGCGATGGCAGCAAGCGAGATTTTCCTCCAAATACCAAACTCAGAAATCACTGAACAGTGCCTCATACTTCTTTCTTAGATCGTCAGTATAGAGATTCTGACCCCGACCATCTGGAGGATCGGGATATTCCTCGAAGTTGCTAGTATCCGCCGGGTGCGTCACTCTGGGGAGTATAGGGCCCTTGACACGGCGGTAAAACAGATCATCCCAAACAATGTCTTGGAAAAACGGATGCGCGCGGACTCTTGAAGCGCCGCCGGAGATATGGCCCAGGCGTTCGGACGGGTTAGTCTTGCAGAGGAGTGAGACAATATTCTGCGCCGAGGGGGGCATATTGGGCGGGAAGCGCAGACGCCCTTCCACGATCTGCTCGTAGATGCGCATGGGGTTTTGGTCCCAGAATGGAGGCTGGCCGACCAGGAACTCGTAGATCAGAATACCCAGTGCCCACCAATCCACTGCAAGCCCGTGGCCGCTGTTGTGAATGACTTCGGGAGCGAGGTACTCCGGTGTGCCGCACAGGGTGTATGTCTCGCGGTTTCCGACTTGCTTGGCGAACCCGAAATCGACAAGTCGGAGATGGCCGTCGGCATCCAATAGAATATTCTCTGGCTTGAGATCACGATAGGCAATGCCGTGGGTTTCGTGTAGGTATTCGATCGTCATCGTGATCTCGGCGGCATAGAAACTCGAGGTCTCTAGGTCGAAGCGCCGTGCGCGTCGGAGATAGCTGAAGATCTCGCCTCCAGGGCAGTAATCGAGCTTGCCGACGGTTAGCTTGCCGTCTGGCCTGGCAGCACTGAGGCGCGGGCAACATACCAGCATGTAGAGACTCTGGTCATCAGAGAAGGAAGCGTTCAGGGTTGTGATGAAAGGATGTCCGACCACTGCGGCGAGGGTTTTTCGTTCGTTGCGCACATGTTCTACCTGCTTCAGTTTGATCACTGATCCTGCATTAGCATGCTGCCTTATTTGAGTCTTTATTCCAGGAAAATCACTCACCATCGGCCTTGCGCAGTATCTTCAGAGCGTATACTTTATTCTTGTTCAAGCCCTTTTGCTCTTTCGGTTTCGCGAGCCACACGCGCGCAAAAGTCCCTGGAAAAGAGTCCCAGAGTTAGCCTGCTGCAAGCGTTAGTAGAGGTCAAGACCAGACGCACCAGTGCCGAGGGTCTTCAAGAGGCCAAAATCGCTGAGTTGCAGGTCTCGAGACGAGAGGGTGATCTGCTTCTCTTCGGCGCGCTCGGTGATGAGGAACGGATTCGCCGATCGCGGTGAGGAGCGGATGGACTCGACCAGCTGCTTGCCTCGCTCATGGAGGCCGTCTGCCCGCATGTCGATGCGGGGGGTGACTGTGGTGCCCGGCACCTCAGTAGTGTGTGTGGCGGGAGGGTGTTGGACAGTTCCGGTCGCCATTGGAATGGGCAACGATCATTATCGCCCGGCCGGCGGGTCAGGAGAACCAGATAGAAAATAACAGCGAGTAAGCCGCAACCCCAATCGCAGCTATCCCCGACAATAGGTTCGGGACTCCAAAGTGGGAACAAGGCAGAGAGTATAATAATAATAATGCGCAACGTGTTTTATTATATCACAGGCGACACGGGCTCTGACGTTATCGCATGGGGGCGGGGCTGAAGTACGCTGATCTGGACCAACAGCGGCCGAACGGATCAATACGGAGACATTCTATGTTAGAGTTGGGAGCAACCGACTTGGTCCGAGAGAGTTAGAGTGAACGCTATTTATTATACATGGTCTGCTTGTTCTCCCTCCAGTCAGCGCCAGGTTGATAGGCCCTGATGCAATCGAGGGCCATTGCGCTGCTTGGGCCGCCCCCAGCACTATCATCGCCGCCGGTGAATCGGGCGAATGATACTGCGCCACTAGGGTCGTGGCCGCAGAAGCAATTATAGAGCGCGCGCGCTCAGGACTTCGAGTTCAGGATCAAGCCGACAATCAACCTGGTGGTTCGCGTTAGCGGACTGCGCAGAAGCTAACCCCCAAAAAAAGAGAGAAGGAATACCCGTAAAGCCCCAGAACTTCGCCGAAAATCAGAATCAGAATCATTCCCACGTACACCCGTGATTGTTGCATGTATGCCCGCACGCCCTAGTGAATACATAGCGGTTAGAGAGACACTCGTCGTCGACAGCGGGGGAAACAGTCGTACCGCATCACCGACGGTCCCAATCGTATATCCAGCGGCCACGCCTGCGAGGCCGACGGACAGTCCCGCCCCAAGATGCATAAATCCACTATCCAGCGCTCGTCAGCCTGTTCCGTCCCAGCCACGGTCCAACGCAACGTACGTGTACAAGCTCATGTTCGAGTCTGGGTTCACCGCTCCGGCGATGAGAACGGAGATGACGAGACCGTAGACGGCGATGATACCAGACATAACCACGGGGATGAGCGACTGCGGCAGCGTTGTCTCTGGTTAGCGAACCTTCCCCCACCGTACCGGAGCAAACAACTTGCCTTCATGATCAAGTCCGGCCGGAACGTTCCCACACCTGCAATTCCGATGCCTGACTTGGCTGTGCCATATGCTGCTCCCAGGCCTGTAAGGATTGTAAGCTTTCTGATCGGGGTATGCTCCGTGTTTATCGTTGTCGAGAGGTCAACCACGTACATCCGAAGATCATCTTCGGAGATGGCAGTTAGCAGGACGATTTATCGAGGTGGGGTGTCGATCAGCTTACTGCAGATGCAATACCAGCCTGAAAGAGAGTCTGTTAGCTTCACGGTCCAGTCCAAGTTTAGAGAAGCAGAGGCAGGCCACTCACAAAGGAGAAGAACGGGGCGAACTTCGGCGCGAGATCGCTGTCGGCCATGTTGTCGGTGCTCTCAAAAACAAAATAGAAAAGAAGAGGGAGTGGATGGGGGGAGAGAGGGAAGAGAAGGGAAGAGGTGAAGTCAGTAATAGTGGTGAAGGTGTTGGGTGTCAGTTTCGGGATGGCCGTCACTAATGATTCGGTTGCCAACACTCCGTTTTCTCGAAGAGCGGTATGGTCCGGGTATTACCACTTTCTCTCATAGTTAACGGGGGTCAGCCTGCCTTACATACAGCCTCCATACGATACCGCCCTACGCCGGTCACTCGCCCGTCGCCCGTTCTCTCTTCTTTCTCCTGGGCTTCAACATTGAAACTAACTCCCCTCCTTTACCCCCCCCACACAACACACAACAACCAACACCTATCTCCCTCAACCTCTCCAACCCAACCGGACGACACCCCCCGGGTCTCTCTATCTACTGCGGTTGCCTACAGGAGCATGCTGAGGGTATGATCTTGCGAGGAGCCCTGGTTTTGCTGCGCTCTCGGCTCCTGGCGCTCATCGTTCCCGCTTGATTTTGATCTCGCCTTTTCCACCTTCCCCCCAACAACTGAAGACGACCGATGGCATGGTGATTATTTTGCACAAAGACATTTCGGATCCTGCTTCTTCCTTGGCCCTTTCATTGTCTGCCGTGTGATTGTGGCTTTTTCCAACTCTTTCTTCGTTGACGATCTTCATCCGGACTCTTGCGACGCCCTGAACGCTCTCTACGACCAACGCGAATACCCCCTTTCGGCGTCTTTTCTTCTTTTCGCATCTCGGCCTAACCGTCTCCTCCGATCTCGCAACCTCTTGACTCCCGATCGTCTATCGTTGTCCTTTTTTCCGTGAACATGGCGGACTTGGGGGCCAGCGCAGCCGGAACCACCGGCCCTACGCCCATGCCTCTCCCGTACAGAGAGATGCTGCGTACGCCGATATTTTTGGTAGCGCTCCACCACAGAGTCGCTCGCATACAATGAATGCGCAGACGCCGCACTTCTCCCAGGCTCGTGCTCACACAATGTCCTCGCAAGTCGCCCAACCTCAATTCCAGCGACCACCGCCGCCGCCAACACGCCAGGTGCCAAACGGCTACCCATCGGCGCCACCAGCGCCACCAAACGGCTATGCCCCGGGACCTCCTAACGGCTACTACCAAGCATACAATCCCAGCACAGTGACGATGTCTTCGCAGCAACCTCCGCGACCGTACCCGCCACGCGCCTACCCTCGCCCACAACGCATGGATGCCAGGCCAGTTCCGGCGCCTCAATACCCGGACTCCAGGGACATGCATCGGCCGATGCCTCCTCCAGCTTTGAACTCCGATGCCGCAAGGTCGAGATCGATGGCTAAATTGGGAGGCCCGGCTCCATCTTACCCGGCTCCACCCAGCAACTTCAACCACACCTCTGCTATTGCCTCACGCCGAGAACCGTATCAGGCGGGGCAACCGATAACTCAGTTGGGGCGCTTGGTTCCGGAGAAGCATCACAACGAGCGTGCCATGTCCATGACCACGTATGCGTCGGATCGAGAGCATGCTCACATGCTGAACAGCGGACGGTCCGTTCCGCCCAGGCGGCCACCATCTGGCCACGAGCAACCGGGAATGGGTAGGTTTGATGCGGATCTCCCGCCAATTCCCGATCCTTATGCCAAGTCGCGCCCGCCGAGCGATGCGTCGATCAAGTCTCGGACAATGTCCATGGCATCAACTGCTGTACCCGATCGCACAATGAGTGTCCAGAGCCAGGCCACACAGAAATCCAATGGGCAGGACAAATTCGTGTCTAATGGCTCGCAAAGCAGAAAAGTTCCCGTGGTCTATCCCGCCCTACTTTCTCGTGTGGCCGATATTTTCCGCGAAAAAATCACTCTTATCGAGCGCCAAAAGAACGGATTGTCCTATCAAAACGCTTTTTCTGGATCCGATGCAGTTGATCTGATTGGTACCATCATCAGGACGAATGATCGAAACCTTGCCCTGCTGCTGGGCCGTGCGCTGGATGCCCAGAAGTTCTTTCACGATGTCACCTATGACCATCGTCTTCGAGACGCTCCCGGCGAGGTTTATCAATTCAAAGAAACGATGGGTGAGGAGACCCCTGGCTCGGAGGTCAACGGCGTATTCACCCTCATGACTGAATGCTACTCTCCAACCTGCAATCGGGATAGCCTCTGTTATTCCATTGCCTGTCCGCGACGGCTGGAGCAGCAGGCACGCTTGAATCTGAAACCTCAGCCGATACTGAGATCTACTGGCTCCAAGGGTAGCTTGCATATTGATGACGATGACGACAATGACAACCAAAAGCTGTGGATTAACTCGGTGCCCAAGGAAGTCTCGGATGCGGTGGAGGACCATGAGAAGAAACGCCAGGAGATCATCTTCGAGATCATGTACACGGAACGCGACTTCGTCAAGGATTTGGAATATCTGCGGGACTTCTGGATGCGGCCCCTGCGCAGTGGGAGCGCCACGGTCAATTCCCCCATCCCGGAACATCGACGCGAAAAGTTTATTCGCACTGTGTTTGGGAACTGCTTGGAAGTGTTGAAGGTTAACAGCGGTCTCTGTGAGGCATTGAACGCGCGGCAAAAGGAAAGCCATGTCGTCAAGACCGTTGGTGATATCTTCCTCCAACATGTGCCCCGCTTCGATCCGTTCATCAAGTATGGTGCAAACCAGCTTTATGGAAAATACGAGTTTGAGAAGGAGAAGTCGTCCAACCCGCCCTTTGCCAAATTCGTCGAGGACACCGAGCGCCTCAAAGAATCTCGCAAGCTGGAATTGAACGGTTACCTGACGAAACCGACTACTCGTCTCGCCCGATACCCGCTTCTGCTGGAATCAGTCTTGAAGAACACTGCGGACGACAGCCCGGACAAGGAAGACATTCCCAAGGCCGTGAAAATGATCAAGAGCTTCTTATCTCGAGTCAATACCGAGAGTGGAAAGGCCGAAAACCACTTCAACTTGGTGCAGTTGAACGCCGCATTGAAGTTCAACCCCGGTGATTATGTGGACTTGAAGCTCACGGAAGAGAACCGCCAAATGCTCACGAAGATGGCATTCAAGAAGACCACTGCTGATAGCTCGGAGGTCACGGCATATCTCTTCGACCACGCTGTGCTACTGGTCCGGATCAAAGTGGTGAATAAGCGTGAGGAGTACCGGGTATACAAGAAGCCCATTCCTTTGGAGCTCTTGGTGATCGCCCAGATGGACGAAGTCGTCCCACGACTGGGAATTGCGAAGCGACCTTCGTCCGGTCTTCTAGCCAACAGAGCTGTTGTCAACCCCCCACCTGCCAAGGACGGGCAGCTCCCGATCACATTCCGACACCTCGGCAAAGGAGGCTACGAGCAGACTCTCTATGCCACAACACCTTCTCAGCGGCGCAAGTTTATCGAATTGGTAGAAGAGCAACAGAGGAAGCTCTGGGAGCGAAACAGCAACTTCTATAACAAGACCATTCTGTCCCAGAATTTCTTCACGGCCATCAACCGAGTGAACTGCCTTGTACCGATTGATGGTGGTCGGAAGTTGGTCCACGGAACGGACAGCGGCATCTACATTTCAGATCGTTGGCCAAAGGACAAGACCGCTACACCGAAAAGGGTCCTGGAAGCAAGCCAGGTCACTCAGATTGATATTCTGGAGGAGTATCAACTACTCCTGGTGTTGGCAAACAAGACCCTCTCGTCGTACCCCATGGAGGCTCTCAACTCAACGGAGAGCCAGAACTCCGTCGCCAAACGACCCAAGAAGATCCAGGGCCATGCGAACTTTTTCAAGACCGGCATCGGCTTGGGTCGTCACCTGGTGTGCTCGGTCAAGACTTCCGCCTTGTCAAGTACCATCAAGGTTTACGAGCCTATGGACAATCTGGCCAATGGCAAGAAGAAGTCGGCAGTCAGCAAGATGTTCCAAAGTGGTCAGGACACGCTCAAGCCATTCAAGGAGTACTATATCCCTGCTGAGTCCTCGTCAATTCACTTCCTGCGCTCTACGCTCTGTGTCGGTTGCGCTCGCGGTTTCGAGGTGGTCAGTCTCGAGACAACAGAGACCCAGTCGCTCCTGGATCAGGCCGATACATCACTCGACTTCGTTGCACGGAAAGAGAACGTCAAGCCGATCCACATCGAGCGTCTGAATGGAGAGTTCCTTCTCAACTACAGTGACTTTTCCTTCTTCGTGAACCGCAATGGCTGGCGGGCCCGTCCAGACTGGAAGATCTCTTGGGAGGGTACGCCGAACGCATTTGCGCTTTCGTACCCGTACATCCTAGCGTTTGAGCCCAATTTTGTTGAGATTCGACACGTCGAAACCAGCGAACTCATTCACATCATGACCGGGAAGAACATTCGCATGTTGCATTCTTCCACCAGAGAGGTAAGTTTTTATAGTCTTTGTCACTTACATCCAAGTGCTAACTTTTTGACAAATAGATCATCTACGCCTACGAAGACGAAGGCGGTGAGGACGTCGTTGCCAGCTTGGACTTCTGGAGCAAACAACCAAATCAAATCTAAAGTGCCGCAGGGGCATAGCATTCAGTGAACCCTCCCTCTGGTTCCTTCGCCTTGGAACTGTCTTCCAAGGAGACCTGGGATTGAAACGAGAAAATGGAGACGAAAGAAGGGAGGAACACATGGGCCGCTTCGCTTTTTTGAATTCATGAAAAACCCCCTTTTTTAATACTGGTTTGAACCTTTTTTCACCGTCCATATTCCTATTCCACGCCGAGCGTATCATCTCTTCGACTACCCGCGCACCTTCTCTCTCCTCCCTCCCTCCCTTCCTCCGTCTCGCTACCCGATTTCCGCCGCCCAGGGTTTTCTCTTCTTATCTTCCCTTCTCACCATCTCATTTCCTCCCTCTGTACAATGGAGCGCAAATACCACTTCTTGCGTGTCGTGTCTGCTTGTTGTTCTTATCTTATTCTTGTCTTCTCCTTTGTGTGTGTGCTCATTGCTTTGCGCCTCTTATCTATCTCTCTTCTTGCTTTTCCCCCTTCCGTCTGCAGCATCTTTTGCCTCCCTTAACCCTAAACAATTTTTCTATTTCTCTTCTGTCTGTACCTAGGCACTGTTGCAATTCGAGGTATCTATCCGCTTTTACTTTATTTTAAACAGGCAGGCAATTTAATGCCTTTATATGGGATGTGTGGGTGTGCCGCAGGTGTTGTAGTTCTTGTGTATGTGTAGATGGGTCGTCGTCAGGGTCTCATTGGTCGAGAAGGACCTTAATGAAAGAACACCGTGTTTCGCAAAGAGACTGGTATTTAATCGAGTCACACAATTCTGTAGGACATGTCTTCACTGGGATAAGCAAGCGCAATTGCAAATACAACAAGTACGGTCTGCTAGGACTTAGTGTCCAATGTATCAGTAATGAAGACCACACAACCGACGATATCTCTCTTAAGTATCTACATGACGCAACCGCCCTTAAAAAGCCCACTCAAGCAAGAGGAGAGAGAGAGAGAGAAGGTGCAGTCAAATTCCAAAAGGCTGGCGGAAAGTAGTCAGGGTACTTTTTCTTCCTCATTTACTAGTTGCGGGCTAGGAAGACAGACGAGAAAGATATAAGGAACAGACAAAGGGGCGGGGTAGAGGATGGATAGAGAGAGAGAAGCATTAGCAAAAAGAGAAAAAAAAAGACAAAAGACAAGGCAAGAAGGAGAAGAGGGAATCTTGCTGCGCTGCGACTTTGGACATGGTACCAGGGATGAAACAGGAGATAGTAATCGACACAAGAGTGAGAGAGGTAGATAGAGAGGACTGGAAACTGGGGAATGATGTATGTCTCTGGTGACGATGCTGCCATTGTCATTGCCGGAGACAGACTTCAGAGCAAGACCGAAAAGAAACACAGAGGTCAAGGTGGTAGTACTTGAACCTGCTTTTTTGCCCCAACTTCCTTTCCCCGGAGACAGGAAGGTGTGGGCGGGTTTTCTATATCCGTCCATCCCCAAGAAAGAAAAAGGAAAAGGAAAGACGAAAAAAAACTATTAACGTGAATAAACAGTCAATATTATCCCCATAAACAGAAATGAGCATTGTGCCACGAAGTCCATGATGTTGGCACAATCGGTATCACATTGCGAACCGGCGCCCCGCTGAATGAGCCGCATCGACAACAACAGGGTATATCTAGGCCTCTACATTGGCTTCGCTGACATTGCTCTGGCTTGCCTCGCGGGCCATGCGAGCCTCGATCTCTCTGAGCTGGCTCTCGCGGGCCAGCAGCTCCTGCCGCTTCTCGGCGATCTCGCGCTGTACCTTGAGCTCGATCTCGCGCAGCTTCTCCTCCTCGCGGCGGAGCTGCTCCTCCTTGAGGCGCACGGATTGCGAAGCAAGGTCTTCGGGGTTCATGCTGGAATCTTGGCCCCTGTTCCGTGGGTTAGCTAGGGTTTCTCTTTGGGGAGGGGATGTAGATAAAAACATACGAAGTACCGTCCACGCTCTTGCTGAGCTTCTCGGTACGGTAATTCTCGTAGAGGAAGTCGTGGGTGATCTCCTTCAGGTCAGCCAAGTGGCTGTGCAGCAGAGCGCTGCGGATGGCCAGGAAGTCCGAGTGCCGGGGGTTCTCAACCTCGACCACGCCCCATGGGTACTGTCGGGCGCGCACTTTTCGGTTGTCGATCTCGACAAAGTCCTCTGAGCCGACAATGGCGAACGGCATCAGGCCACGGAGCTCGGCGTTCTCCTCCACGGTGTCCTCATCATCCTCTTCGATATCGTAGGGGAAGTTGTAGACGGGGATGCGGTAGTGTTCAATATCCTCCATGATCAGCTTCTTGGACTCGGCCAGTTCGGCGGGGGTGAGCGAGTCGGCCTTTCCGATGACGGGGATGACGTTGACACGCGGAGACAGACGCTTCATCAATTCGATGTCGAGTTCGCGCAGGCCGTGGCCCGTGGGCGTGATGAAGTACATCATGACATGCACTCGGTTGTCCCTGAATCGCGGGTTACGCTTGATCCGCGACTCCTCCGCCAGAATGTCATCGTATTGGCGCTCGAGATAACCGACAATCTCACCGAAGCTGGATGAAAACCATTAGTCAGGGGGAGGAGCGCTGGGTGGGCGGTGATGGGGGTAGCGTACCTCGCCTCATTGTCAATCTGGTCACCAAAGCCGGGGGTATCGACGATGGTCAGGGAGATGCGAGTGCCCTCCTCATCCAATTCCAGCTCTGTCATCCGCAAGTCAGCATTGGCCCCGCCTGGGACATAAGAATCCACTCACCGACGGTGACGGGCTTGATGCGGACACCTTCCTCGATGTGGGCGTGGTCCGGATCGTCAGCCTCCTTGCTCTCCAGGACCTGCTTGCCACAGAGAGTGTTGACAAAGGTTGTGCGCCCTAGGAGGTGGTTGTGTCAGCAACAATTGGCGGCATGAACACCTGGAGCGAGGCATACCGGTTCCGCTGGCACCGCACACCATCAAACAAAACTGAATTCCCTTCTTGACATTCTTCTTGCGGCGAATCTTGATCTAGCAAGGCGGCACCGTTAGCATTTCTGTGGATGAGACCGCCGTCACTTTTTTTTGTTGGGCGGGTGTCGGGGGGAGAATGGAAGCATGGAGCGAGTGGAGGGCCGAAAAAAAGGGGAAGAGCATACCGCGTTGAGAGCCGACGACATGGTGGGCTAGACAAGGAGGAAGAGAAGGGGATGCAAGACAGCAATGAAAGTCGCAGGGAGAGGAGTGGACGGGCACAGAAGGGAAGGAGGGTGTGAAACTCGAAGCTCTCCTGAGTTGAGTTAGGGGGAAAGAGCGAGTGTTGCCCCCTTTCCCTTTCCATCGGACCAATCACGGGACAGGCCCGGCTGGCGCCCACACTACTATACTTCGTGCTCTCGAGTCAACAAGAATAATTGATAGGGATGCCGACAATATTACAACGGCCACTTCTCGTCACGGACTCTTCTCTACCTCCCTCTCTAATCCATGCGCCGCGGTGTTCCTCCGTTGCGCGGCTCAGGGGTTGACCCGCGGCCCACATACTAGTGATTATGTAATTTTTGTTGCCTGAGGCATCCACAGCTCGCCCCGGGGGAGCTTATCCGCTTATCGCAGCAGCTGGGGAATCATTCGCCGTTCCATGATTCTTCCTCACAAAGATGCCCACGCGCCATGAACACCCGCCAGGTCATCGATGAGTCAGTTGGGCCCTACTCCCTCTCTGCCACCTTCAACCATGACAGCAGCTGCTTCTCGGTCTGCCTGGACACTGGGTTCTGCGGTAAGAGATGGGCTCACTCCAACTACCTACAGGGCTAACCAACAACACACCCCAGTGTTCAACTCAAATCCATGCGAGCTCAAAGTCTCCAGAGGTGAGACAAACCCCCACCTTCCCCCCGCCTGGTAACACCCCTTGCTGATAAATCCGCTGCGGAATTCTGCGATAGACTTCAATGCAGGCATCGGTGTCGCCGAAATGCTTGGCCAGTCCAACTACCTGGCCATCGTGGGCGGAGGACGGAATCCCAAGTTCCCCCAGAACAAGGTGCGCGCGGCAATCGGTCTGATAGCATCACCCCTATACTCACGTCAAACTATTCCTCGCTACAGCTGGTGATCTGGGACGATGCAAAGCAAAAAGCGGCCATCACGCTCGAGTTTCGCACCTCTGTCCTGGGAGTCCGACTCTCCAAATCGCGCATCGTGGTAGCGCTGCTGAACAGCGTGCACGTCTTCGCCTTTTCCAATCCGCCACAGAAGCTGTCCGTGTTCGAGACGACGGATAACCCTTTGGGACTGGCTTGTTTGGGACGCAAACTACTCGCATTTCCGGGTCGGTCCGCTGGCCAGGTGCAGATGATCGAGCTGGAGACGGGCAATATCAGCATCATCCCCGCCCACAGCTCGCCACTACGTGCGATGGCGTTGAGTCCCGACGGGGAGGTGCTGGCCACGGCGAGCGAGGTGGGGACGCTGATTCGAATATTTGCGACGGCCAACTGCACCAAACTGGCCGAGTTACGACGGGGCGTGGACCACGCGGTGATATTCTCTCTGGCATTTTCTCCATCTAATACATTACTGGCTGTGACGTCCGACAAATCTACCCTGCATATCTTTGATCTGCCCCATCCGCATCACACTCCGCGCCGCAGCCAGTCGCCGGCATCGCCGTCCGAAGAGACGGCCAGCCACAAATGGGGAATCCTAGGGAGGATTCCTCTGCTGCCCCGAATGTTCTCTGACGTATACTCCTTTGCCCACGCGCATTTCGAGATGGGCGATGAGGCGGCCACTCCGGGGTCCCCCTACGTGCCACCGCTCGGGTCGTCGTTGGGCCGTCCTCCCAAGGGCGTCATCGGCTGGCTGGATGACCAGACCCTGTTGGTGATTGGCTCGGGCAGAGAAGGGCGCTGGGAGAAGTTTGCTCTTCGGGAAGGCGAGGAAGGAAAGAGAGATTGTGTGCGGGAGGGCTGGAAGCGATATCTCGGCGGTGGGTGATTATAGTAGCATGCCGCCACCACAATTTAGATGCAATAATGAATCCAACGATAATCTTTCAGCGACGGCGGTCATGTCGGTCCCGGTCACTCCGATGCCTGCGAGACTGGGGCGAGCGCGATCTCCCCGGCGTCCGATCTCTGTATTTCTCTTCCCGATCCTGCTCGCGGTGCCGCGATCGCTTCTCTTTAGCCGGAGACCGGTCCTCTCGATGCTTGCGCTCGCGAGAACGAGACCGATGCCGACGATGATGGCGGCCCGATCGTTCTCTGCTGTCGTCCCGGCGGCGGGAGGACTTCTTCTCGCTGCTCTTCCACATCTCAACGGCGCGCGCAACCTCCTCCTTCTTCTCCTCGATGAGGAATTCCTTCATGGGATCTTCCTCGTCGTGGTCACGGATCAACGCCTCGAGCTCCCTCTCCTCCTTGAGCATGGGCCGTATCGTCTGTGTGTCGCTCGTCCGTCTCCTTCTCTGGCCGCCATGCCGGTCCCCGTCTCTGTCCTCACTGGCCGTCGCATCGCCCATCAATTTGGCGACATTGCCTTCCTCTTCTTCCTCATCTTTGCGTTTGTATCGCGCATGGTCTACCCGGAGCATCCGACCAAGAACCGTCGCGCCACCCAGATTGTCCACGGCGAGATCGGTGCTGCGCTGGTCCTCATATTTGAGAAATGCGAAGCCCTTGCTTTTGCCCGTCTCCTTGTCGCGGATCAGGTTGATGTGCACTGGTTCGCCGTACTGAGAGAATATGGTCACGATGTCGCCCTCGGACAGATCGAATGGGAGCCCGCCGATGTAGATGTAAGCTGTATCGCGGTAGTCGGCGTGCCATGATGCTTCGGGAGGTCTGTTGTAGGAAAGCAAGAGAGTGAGTAACTCTTCACGATGTATCGGGGGGCAACGGCAGCATAGAACTTACACGGCATTCTCCAGCTCGCGCTTGTTCAGCGCCTGTGTCTGGCGGATGGCGTTCATGGTGGTCGTGTTGCAGAAGGGGAAGACGGGCAAAGAAAGAAAGAAAGTCAGTCGGGTCCCACCCGCACGCCGCCCATGTTTACGGAAACTTGACCGTGTTAGCAACTCCTGACTTGACATTACTTGGTCTGGCAACAACCCATTTATTTTTTTTGGAAGGGCTTTCACGATCCCACCAAGTGGTGTCTATCGCGTTGAGCATCTCGCGCCCTCCACCTCAACACTCTTTCATCACCCGAGTCGATTCCCCTGACCCGATCGCTGCACCCTCCTTCCAACCTAACCCCCCCGACACGGCACCGCATTTTCGCGCCCGTCCTGTCGACGACCCTGCGGCTTGTCCCCGGCGCTTGGAATGATTGATGTCCGATTGAGGCATGGTGGGACTTGACCAGACGATGTCGTCCAGCCCGAATCGCGGTTCGAAATCGGCGGCCAACAGCAACATCAACAACAGTCGGCCAACCAGCAAAGATGGCTCCAAAAAGAACATTTGGTCTTCGCTGCTGGACGGCGTCGCTAACGGAAAGCGCTTGCCGGAGAAGAACCTTTTGATTCTTGGTGCGTACTCTCCTGATCAGAGACTATCTATACACTGCCTTCTCCTTCCGGACTTGGGAGCTGATTTGATTGATTGTCTTGACTATAGGTGGAACACCGGACAGCCAGAGGGAGTTTCTAGAGACTCTTTCAGCTGACACATCGGCCGACCCCAGCTTGGTGAATGATAAGCGCAGAGGCAAGACGCCGCCGATTGCCAACCAGTTTGCGCTGGGATACACATATCGAGATGTCCTCGATGCCGATCGAGAAGGTATATTTACGGCAACTCTCTGTTGGATTTTGAGCTCTGCTAATCTCGCCTTTTATCAAGATACTCTGGCGCGTGTCTCGGCGTACCTCCTATCTGAACCTTCTCTGTCCTTCGCACCTCTCCTTAAACCGCTCTTGACTCCCCAATCCGTGCCGGAAACGCTGGTGGTAATTCTTATGGATTGGTCAGACCCGTGGACATGGATCCGGCGACTACGGGAATGGATCCGTCTGCTTCGTTCGGTGCTGGTTTCTGTGGACGACGAGACCAAAATTGCCATGGAGGAGACGATGACGGAGTGGCGTGATCGTAAGAGGGGTATAGACGCCAGTGCTGCTGCTGCAGCGAGTTCGGGAGGTCCTGTCACGATACCCTTGGGACCGGGCGAATGGGATGAAGGGCTTGGAATTCCCATGTGTGTTGTCTGTCAAGGAGTAGGCGACACTGCACGATTCGAGTTGTCAGGAGGGTTGCTGATTGTTTCCTGCAGGCCGATAAAATCGAGAAGTTGGAGAAAGACCACGGATGGCACGAAGAGGAGTTTGACTTCATTCTGCAGTTCTTGCGAACAATCTTATTGAAGCGTGAGTTCTCCTACCGATATGGCAGCAGATATGATTGGTTCTAATCCATGACAGACGGCGCATCTCTCATCTATACGACACCTTTCCTTGCAAACTCACTCCAGAGTCTGATCCATTCGTCACTGGGTATACACTCTCTTTTGAAGCGACAGTCATTAAAACACAATGTCATCGACCGCGACAAGATTCTCGTCCCAGCAAACTGGGACTCATGGGGCAAGATCCGGATTATTCGGGAAGGATTCGACATGGAAGGCGTGTCAACGGCATGGTCGATTGAAATCCAAGATGCCCCCGAGCCACTCGATTTTGAGCAGCCTGTCGAGACCGCACCTGGCGGAAACACCGCATCCGAGGAGGACGGCAGCAGCGCCGTGACGGTGTTCGAGCAGACGATCCAGGATCCCCGCCGGGACAGGACGGTCGCCCACCCCAGCAGCAACGCCCGTGGCGACTCCGTGGAAATCGAGACGTCCGACATGCAGAACTTCCTCTCTAAGCAACTCGAGAAGCTTGAGCAGCTCAAGGCCGAGGATGAAAAAGACCGCGCGAATCAGCAAACTCCGCAGCTGGAAATGTCGCCGATGGACGATCAGGGCCGGGTCAATGAGCACATCGGGCCCGTGCAGTTCAATATGGGAGGCATCCAGGTGGATGCGGATGATATGCTGAAGAAGCTGAGGGTGAGTACCATCTTTCTCTATTCATCCGCCAATCCCCCGCTAACTCTGTCTCTCTCTTTTTCTAGGACCGCGAAGCTAGTCGCTCCCAAAGGAAGGAAGGGCCCCCGACCAGTCCAGGCGACGAAAAAGCGCACAACCAGGCGCTGGCCAACTTCTTCGCCGGCCTGGTCAAGAAACCTGGCAGCAGTCCTCGCGGCAGTCCGTCCACGTGAGGATGGGGGAAGAAGACATTCTCTGTATTTTAGTTGATCTCGAGTACATAATCATTTGGAGAATCCAGGCTTTTCGGGGCTAGACACGATGATACCAATCAATCAATTCTTTTGTGTTTGATCGCGGAAGTGAAGTGGTACGTACATACTTCTGAGGTTAAGATTAAGGTTGCAGGCATGTGACGGGCCTCGGTTTCGTTCCACCTCAACTTCACTTGCCACTCACTTCATCGTCCATCTGTTGAACTACTGCAACATATGTGTGACAATAAGCAAAAATGCCCCCTTCGCATCCCTCACCGCCAGCTAGCGGGTCTACCGGCTTCTTCCAGCAGCCACCGCGCCTGACAAACGCCTTCGACGAAGACGAGGCCTTCAAGCGGGTCTTCAGCTGTAGCTACTCCCCACTCCCCACGCCTCAATGAAACTCCCTCCCTAAGTCCAAATACTAACCAAATAATACAGTCTACCTCCCTCCATCCCTACAGCAAACCCTCAAACCTGACATCTCCAGCTTCGGGGCCCGCGTGCTCGATCGCCACGTGCTCGCCCATCTAGCAGACGCAGAGCGCAACCCGCCGTACTTACGCACATGGGACAGTTTTGGGCATCGCGTCGACGAGCTCGTCACCTCGGAGGGATGGCGCGCGCTCTCGGCTATAGGTATCTCCGAGGGGATGGTTGCCATCGCCTACGAAAACCGCTATGGTCCGCATAGCCGGGTGTATCAGTTCCTGAAGTACCATCTCTGGAGCGGGAGCAGTGCCATTGTGACCTGTCCATCAGCGATGACGGATGGGGCGGCGAGATTACTGTCCAGACAGCTTGCGAAAACCTCTTCAGACCCGCAAGCTCAAGCTCAAGCTCAAACTCTGGGTTCTGCAGAGAGACAGGTCTTCGAGACCGCTTATCGCCATCTTATATCCCGAGACCCGAAAAATGCATGGACGAGCGGGCAATGGATGACGGAACGCCCGGGTGGTAGCGATGTCCGCAACACGGAGACGCAGGCTACTTACACGCCCGACTTCAGCGAATCCGACAGCCACCTCGACGCAGACAGCATTAGCCAACCACTCGGACCGTGGTCCATCTCGGGCTTCAAATGGTTCAGCTCCGCAACAGACTCACAGATGGCAGTGATGCTGGCAAAACTCCCCGACGGCACACTATCAGCCTTCTTCGCGCCCATGCGTCGCCAAAACCGACAAACCAGCGAACCCGAGCTCAACGGTGTGCAGATCCAGCGACTCAAATCTAAACTCGGCACCCGCGCCCTCCCAACCGCTGAACTGGTCCTGTCGCGCATGCGCGCGTACATGATTGGTGCCCCGGGCGCGGGCGTCAAGGAAATCAGCACCATCCTCAATATCACGCGCATCCATAACATCGTCTCCGCGGTGGGACTCTGGGGCCGCGGACTAGCGATCTCGCGCGGGTGGGCGCGGGTGCGTTCCTCCGGGGGAAGACTTCTCCTCGACACACCGGCGCATGTGCGCACACTGGCGCAGCAGCATGTCGAGTATAGAGCGATGATGCATCTTTCATTCCTGGTCGTTTTACTACTCGGCATTTCAGAGAATGGGGGTGTAACGGCGCAGCTCGACACACCCGTGCTGGGGATTTCATCCCCGAAAATAGCAGCCCATCTGCTCAGGCTGGTCACCCCGCTCGCGAAAGCTGCTACTGCGCGCGCGGCGATTGCCGGTTTGGCGGAGTGCATGGAGTCTATGGGTGGAGTTGGATACTTGGAGAATGAGGATGCGGAGCTGAATATCGCGCGGCTGTATCGCGATGCTAACGTGCTGAGTATTTGGGAGGGTACGACAAATGTCATGGCTGATGATGTGGTGCGCGTGCTCAAAGCCCGAGACGGGGCGCAGGTGCTCGAGAGTCTGGACCAGTGGATTCAGGGCATTACCTCTGTTGGTTCGGCTTCGTCCCTGTCCGCGTCTGCGTCGAAGACACTCCGTGCTGCGTCCGCCGCTCTGAAAGCACATATCCTCGCCCAATCGGCGGATAGTCTCCGGCTGAATAGCCGTACCTTGCTTTCCAGACTGGGCTGGCTGGTTTGTGGTGCGTTACTTGTGGCGGATGCGGCGAGGGACGGCGAGCTGGTTGCTTGGGAGGTGGTGGCGCGGTGGTTGCAAAGGAAGGAGACGGCCTTGTACGGGTTTGAGTTTTTGGAGGATGGGCGGTCTCTGGCGAGTCTTGCTGGTGGTGATGAAGTGTCTGCCCGGAGTGTGGATATGGATCGCCGGATTGTCTTTGGGGAGTCCGCGCAGCGGGCGCAGCGGGCGAGGATATGAGTTTGATGCCAAAGGGCTGAAGAGCTGTATATAGGGTACATAGTAGGTAGACTTATCAACTGTTTTTCTAATATTTCCATGAACCAACTACTTGTGCACATTTTGAATAGACACCAAGTAACCGCCCACCACAATAATATACCACCATCTCATCTCACCAATTCTCCCACACAGCATGAGGCAACACCTTCCTCATAATAGCCCAATGCTCCAACGCGCCCCGATCCTGAAACTTATGCAATCTACCCACCTCCTTCTGCACAAGCACCGCTCTCCCGCCCTTGGGAACAGCAGCGAACATATCCGGGCTGAGCTCATGTTTGGGCAGGAGATACGACTCGCGCGACTTGCTGCGCAGGAAGTCCGCCTCCACAGGGTCACGGAAGCGCAGCGGGGTTCTGGTGCTCTTCTTGCAGAATAGTACCATGTTCGTGAAGTTGGGGTTCTCTGCATCAGCGCTGCCGGGTGCGTCCTCGCGGAAGATGCGGCAGCCTGGGAATACGGAAAGGATGGTGCGGACTATTAGACCAGTTGGGTAGAGGGCTAGGTCACCGGCGTAATTCTGGATTTGGGTCAGTAAATGTATTAGAAAGAGATTGGGTTGTTGGGGAAGGTGTTGAGGGCAGGCTTACAATGGCGATGACTCCATCATCTCTGAGCAGCGAGTTCAGCTCTTCGAGGAACTCGAAGGTGAATAGCTCCGCAGGCTCGGCGCCGCCAGTGAACACATCGTGCACGATGTAGTCGTATTTCTGGGCCTTTGCCTGGGCACGCTTGACGAATTTCGTAGCATCCTCGATGGCAGCGATGTGGTTGGAGGGCAGGTTGAAATATTGCGTGGCGAATTTGTACACGACAGGGTCGAGCTCGACGATGGTCGTGTCGATGCCATGCTTCATTAGGGCAGAAGGCGTCGTGCCGATTCCCAGGCCGCTATTAGAAGCTTTTTGTCAATTTTCTGCTTTGCGAATAAGATGAAAATGGGGGAGATCATACATCACCAGCGCTTTACTGGCTGCGTCCACGCGCGATGCAGCGTGCTCCGGCTCAACTAGTCGAACGGCCTCGAGCATGGCAAAGACCGCGTAAATAGGATCTTCCACTTCGGGCTGGTAACCCGGCACCGTCTTGGTCCACTGTCCGCCGAGGAGGCTGTGGTCACAGCGCATGACCCGGAAACCGTCCTGGTGATTCTCCAAAACGGAGATGTATCCCGTGTACGAATCCTGGCGTGCAAGCAAGGAGTAACCTTCAGTCTTCAGGGCCAAATTCACCGCGGAGCTTCGGCCAATATGGACGTTTGAAGTCATCGAGAAAAGCAGTGATGGAAGTGCCAGAAGCAGCAACTTCGACGGGATCACTGCGGCATAGCCCGCAGCAATGAGCAACTGCATGCCGGTGCGGGTAAAAAGAAACGTGAACCCAATGGCCCTAGACACAAAAGCTTTGGCGAAGTGCTCGCCGATGGTATAGATGAAATACGACCCCAGCAGCGGGACATGTTCAACAACCAAGTCCCCCTGCGCCTCGAGACGAAGCGACGCCTGGATCTGCTTGCCGGCAAACGCAACCGTCAGAAAGACCAGCGGATAGTACCCGAAAAGCTCGGTGACCGCAGGACCAGCGGGGTTTCCTAACAGCGAACTCTGTTGCATGACAAAGTACTGCAGGGTTGGGATCCAGAACGCCAGCACTGGAAGTAGGTAACCCGCTAGACGGCCGATGCGTCGCCGCACCTGGTCTTTCAGGAACCAGCCTGCTCCGGCGAAGATGGCTACGCCGTAGCTGTGGAAGATGTGCGCTGGCACGCTGCCATACACGGGGGAGAGCACCAGTAGCGACACGGGAGAATAGAATGCCAGGAGGACGAGTAGCCCGGCGCCGGCGCCAAGGCGCGGGATGTCGACTCGCCGGAGGAATTGATCAACAGGCATATTGACGCGCGATGTGGGGAGCAGCGCGTCTGTTGAGGACAGTTAGCATGCAGTTAGAGAATCGAAGCATGCAGGATAGAATAAATTGGTTGAGTGAGGATCTTACATGTCCAAGAGAGTGTATGCCAGGATAACAAGCAAAAAAAAAGCTATCGCATAATTTGGAGCTTTTGCTTTTGCCGCCGCCTTCCGCGTTCCCCAACTTCTTCTGACGACATCACTCCATTCATCTTCTCCATTAATATTGTTCCAACGACAACCACCATGCCCCATTTCCCCATGGACAGCGGCTTCAAGTCGTCCTCGCCGGGGTCCTCCCGCGACAACACTCACAAGCTCTCCATCCAGACGAAGAACCGTCGAAAGCGGTATCTGGACCTACATCCCGAGTACTTCTCGGCAGAGCTCGAGCTAGCCGGTCCGCGTGCTCTCTCTCTTTCTCTCTCTTTCTCTCTCTTTCTCTCTCTTTCTCTCTCTTTCTCTCTCTTTTTCTCGCGCACAACATAGCAACAACTAGACACAATAATCATAACTACCGTTTTTCCAAATACTAATGCTAACACATACCCACCCAATCAACAGATCCGCTCCTCTACGACCGCCTCATCCGACGCTTCCAAACCCCGCAAGAAAGAGAAGCATCCGGGCGTGCAAAGGGATTCTCAGGTGTCCTGCAGGCAGATCTGGCACGGTCCGAAGCGAAGATGGATGCGCTGGCGCACCCAGATCCCAACGCCATGCTGAGCTACGCGCGCGGTCCGGACGGGGAGATCCTCGCCGAGGACCGCGATGAGATCCCCAGCAGCAAGGAGGAGGGCGAGAAGCTATGGCACTGGGAGATGGGGCTACGGTTTCTGCGCGGTGACGATTCGGATTTTGAGTATGAGGCTGTGGATGAGGATGAGGAGTTGGATGATTGGTCGGAGACGCAGGAGAAGTATTTTGAGGAAGAGGAGCCGGAGTGGCTGGTTGGGGATGATGATGCTGGGGGGAGGAGCATAGGGAGAGGGAGTTGAAGGGCGAGACTGGGGTTCAGGATTTTTGATTTATTGGGCTGGCGGGCTGCTTTGGTGCTGGTCGCCGGGCTGAAGTGACGATACTACGATACGATACTAATAGGATCAATTGCATATCCATCCATATCCATCCTTTGGTGGACTATTTACAGCTCAAGCTTATTTATATACACACGGTCATTGCTCCATCAACCGCTTGACGGCCATCTCCCTCAGCTTGAACTTCTGGATCTTCCCACTCGCCGTCTTGGGGAAGGGCTCCGACGGTCCCAGGAAGAAGACATACTTGGGAACTACCAGATGGATCAGCATGGTGCATCCTCAGCGACATGTCTAACTTACCAAGATGGCTACTCAACTTCTCGCGCACCCATTGCTGGATCTCCTCCGAGCGGATGGCATTCGAGCCATGGTCCCGCGCGATCACAAAAGCGGCGACGACCTCGCCGTATCGCTCATCAGGAACCCCGACAATAGACACATCAGAGATCCCTTCGTGGGCGAGCAGGCAGTTCTCGATCTCGAGCGGGTGAATGTTCTCGCCGCCGCGGATAATCAGGTCTTTGATCCGGCCGGTGATGCTGATGTAGCCGTCCGGGGACATGGAAGCTTCGTCACCGGTCTAGTTCAGGTAAGGTCAGCACTTTCCAAACCGAGGGAGATGGTCAACTTACATGCATCCAGACCTTCCCTGTCTCATCTGGGATCATCACCTCCACCGTCTTTGCGGAGTCGCCCCAGTACTCCTTCATCAGCAGATATCCGCTAACGGCCAACTCACCCCGTGTCTCAATGGGAAGGATCTGGCTCTTGTCTGTCGGGCTAACGATCTTAGCCTCAACATGGGGCATGAGTCTACCCACTGAGTTAATCCGCTTATCAATCGGATCATCGGTCGTGGTCATCGCTGAAACGGGGCTGGTCTCCGTCATGCCATAGCAGATCGTCAGCTCGGTGAGATTGAGCACACGGTGCAACTTCTTCATCAGCTCCGCGGGGATACTGCTGCCCGCGGCAATCCCCGTACGTAGATGCTGGAAGCCCTCGCTAGCGACCTTGCCCTCCTCGATCAGACCAAGTTCTTCGAGGAACATGGTCGGCACACCGTACAGCGCCGTGCATTGTTCTTCCTGGACTGCTTTCAGTGCAGCGCGGGCATTGAACGACTCCGTCGGGAAGACGATCGCGGAGCCGTGCGTGGCTGTCGCCATGTATCCTAGAATGCAGCCGAAGCAATGAAATAGCGGTGGCGGGCAGCAGACGATGTCGTTCGGAGTGAGGAGCATTCGATCGCCGATCTGGGCGCCGTTGTTCAGGATTGACCGGTGGCTGAGGCATGCAGCCTTGGGCATGGCAGTTGTTCCGGAGGTGAATTGGATGTTGACGATGTCATGCGGTGAGAGGTCCTGTGGTGGCAGTGACTGTCCGTCTGCCGTTAGTTGAGATATGACCGAGGAGAACGGCGTGAGGCTCTTATATGACGAGAGGTCTACACGGCCCGCGGAATTGTCCACCGTGATAATGTTCTTCAACGAAGGAACCACGGCCGATTGCAGCTTTGGCTGGGACAGATCCTCGACCAAGTTCTTGAGCAGCGGGAGGTTGCTGCGTGGATCTTTTCGGGGTAGATTGGCCTCGGCGCTGATGATCAGATGGCTGGCTTCTAGGTGGCCGAGTGCCGAGACTACCTGGGCAGCATTGAAGGATGGGTTGATCGGGACCTGGAGTATGGTGTCAATGCCATCATCTCTCACAAGTACTGGCTTGCTTACCAGGATAGCCCCGAGTTTGAACAATGCGTACGTAGCCTGCCCGGGATGATGAATAGCGTGTTGGCGATATGCGCAGCAAGGTGCAGACATACCACGGCAAACTCCATCGAATTCCCCAACATAACCCCAACCCGTTCTCCTTTGCGAACACCAACCGACTCCAGACCCCGGGCGAGGGCATTACTTCTAAAGTCGAGCGCAGCATAGGTAACTCTATCATTCTGGTGTTTCGAGATAACGCTGAACACTTGATCAATGCCCTATTCTTACACCCATCAACAAAGGGAGCTATCTCACGCTGTCCGGTCTCCGCACTGCGCAACGATCTTGGCAAAGTGTTCCCCAACTGTCGATTCGATCAAGGGAGGCTATGTACATCGCGAGTTTGTTAGTCTGGCATTGAACTCATTTCGGTTAGTGATCAAGGGGAGAAAGAGAGAAGGTTTTACGTGTGATGGGCCCCGGGCATAGCTCTCCGTCAACAGGCCCCTTCGGATCTGGTGTTGGGCTCGAATCCGGGTTGAACGGGTGATGCCAGAACGGAGACGCGCCCGAGGGGCGGCCTTTCCCAGCAGTCCGTAGTAAGAACCAGACATGTTTGTTGTTGAAGTGGGGGTTGGTAGGGTGTTACCGAAGCTGCATGACTCGCGTGTCTGGTGGGCGGTGATAGAGTTCCAGAGTAGGACAATGTGTAAGGAAAATCAATATGGACTGTACAGTCAAGGGTGGGTAGGAATGAGCGAAGGATTGAAAGAACGGAAAGAAAGTGAAGAGGTACGAAGTTGGCCGGGGAGCTTTCCCCGCACCGGGATGGATACGGGGCCGAACAGCCAACCTAGGCGATTATGATAGACAGAGGAAATGGTAACACGATGAGATATCGGCTAGGAGGATTAGGAGTAGTATCAACAATTAGTTGGTTAGGTCACAGTACTCTATGGTAGGGAGGGGGGACGAGTTTAGCGTGGATCTTCCCGACTATTGATGGGTGGTACGCCTAGAGACTGTCCTCACTTGTTTATGAGGTCCGAGAATGAATTACGGGAGTCGAATGGCTAGGTTCGGTGAAGTGATGCGCATTTACAGCATTGGGTGTTTGTACCTGCAGAAGCATGTGAGATGGAAATATATCTTGCATCCCCGCTAGGAGAGTGACAGTTGATGGGTGATACATGAGTAGCTTTGAACTAGCCATTGAGAGTGAATATCTATCACGACATGTTTGTATTAATAGTGAACTACATGGGTCTGCAAAAGGAACATCGCTCATCCTGCAGGCATTGCTTATCTGCGGACTCGTCATGTGGTGGGGAAGATCGACTCCCGCATGTCTTCGCGACGGGATCATTTCTTCTCCTTCCGCCGACCTCCAGCGTGCCATGCCCTGCTAACCACCGGTCGCACACTCCTTCGAATGCCGAACACTGATAGCCCGCCATGGACAAAGAACCGCCCGAGGAGGCCATCGCCAACTTCGTCAGCTTCACGAGCACCACGCGCGAGCAGGCCATCAGCTTCCTCAAGGTACGACTAAGCGATCCGCCATCACTCTCTCCCATTCCCACGCCGAGACTGATCCAATATCCCCCAGGCAAACTACCTCGACTCCCAAAAAGCCATCAACGCCTACTTTGAAGATCCCACAGGTCCTCACCCAAAGGTACAGTACCTTCGGTTGACGTCCTGGAGCTCCAGGCCTCCGGCATTCGCGCTGACAGACAGCTTCCCATATAGACGAGTGGCTACTTTCATGACAACCCCTTACCATGTATGTTTTCCTGTCTTTGGGCGACTTGCGCAGTGACTGATCCCTCTCCCTCCAGCTTTCGAATTTCCTCCACACGACAATGCCCCGCGAGCTCCAGTGACCGTCCCTCCTTCTCGTCCTCCGTCCCGAGCGAATACACATGATCCTCCAGAAAGCACTAGCTACCAAGCACCGACAGAGACTACTGCGCAAGGTGCTACGGGTGAGGAAGCCCAAACAATGACCATGGAAGGACCGCGTGCTGATCCGATGTCACAGATTCCGGGCAGGGATTAAGTCTGGCCGAGCGAGAAGAAAAGGAACTCCAGCGGGCCATGGCCATGTCTCTTAATCAGGGAATGGGCGAGCAAGAGACTGGGGTGGTGGCCTCGACCGGCGAATCGCATTTTGGTAAGGCCACACGGGACCACTACGACGAGGGCGCGTGGGCGATGACCCTGTTCAACACGTCCTCCCAGGAAGTCATCATCAGCCCGGACCCCGAAGACCGGAAGAAAATCAACGACGAGCCTGCTTTCATCCGACCGTCCCAGGACAATCTCTACCTGGGGGGGTTCTTGACCATTCTCCACAACATCCCCCTCGCCCGTGAGGCTCTTCTTCTACGAAACAAGGTCTTGTATGACTATGGACACGACGCGCAGTGGTGGAATGGCCAACCCATCAACCTACCCAAGATTGTGACCATCCACGAGGCCAAGGATGGCGACGAAGGCTGGGACGACATCATCTATGAAACCCAACGGCTGATGGCTTTCTTGGATTCCACCAACCGCGCTTTCGGCAGCGCCGACGCCCTGGCAAACCTCAAAAGCATCTTTTCCACCTCGGCCGACTCCGAGGAGGCCGTCACTCGGTTCCTCGAAGCATGGCACGGCGCCGCCATCCGAGCAGACCCGGACAACCAGATGGCCTCTACGTTCCTGTCACACGCATACAAACACGACCCTTATGACTATGAAGAACCTCAATCCAAAGAGCTCTTCACCTTCGCGCCTCCCGTCGAGAATTACCACCGCCAGACGGCAGGTCAGACTCTCTACGACGTCTTCGACTACGCAATGTGGAGTGACACACCCGGACAAGACCTGGATGATGTCTGGCTGGAGCACGTCGCAGAGGTTCTCACAATCAAGCTTGATGCTACCGGAGACGCGACGTCAGTGGGTATCAAGATACCAGCTGTTTTTTACCCGGATCGATATCTGAGCAGTTGCCGAGAGCTGGCCCGTGAATACCGGATCAAGCGATTGCAGATGGAGGAAGACTTGTTGGAAGTGGAGCGACGCATCGATCACTACACCCATCCAAAGACAATTGAGGGTAATCTGACATACGTCGAGCTCTTTGAGCAAGCTGCGGCGGCGGCGCCTGTTGCCGTGCCGAAATACTGGCCGAAGAATGCCGACGGTAGCGAACGCGAGCCCCCATTGACCATGGAACGCGCAGGGTGGATTGTGGAGGAACTGCGAAAGAAAATTGCCTGGATCGAAGAAAAGCTAAAAAGTAAGAATGTTCCAAGAGAGCGTGCACGCGTAACCTGCTAATACGATGTGCAGACCTGGAGATCCGCAAACAGAGTGCACTGGAAGCTCTTCGCAATTATTCCAAGACACTTACTGAGCCTTCCGACTCTCCCACCGAACCCCCAGTCCACAAATACACCCTCCGTGGCGTGTGTACCCAACCGCATGTAACCTATGTCTTGCGGCGCAACAACCCCAGCGGGTCTGGAGATGCGATGGATGTTGACAGCGAGTACCACTGGTGGCGGATCAGCTTTTCCGCAGAGGATGGCAAGACCAAACTGGCCGAGAAACGTGCAGCACAAGGCGATAGCAATGCCTCTCAGCACGGCGACATGATCGGATATACCGCTAAACCAGTCCGTGAGGTTGAAGTCCTCCATGCTGCGCGTGAAGAGTGGAGGAATGCCCTCCTGGTTTATGCGAGCGAGAACGCCATGCGCGTTTCGGAGGAGGCCGCTCTTTCACAGCTTCGGGTAAGATTTTCTTGTGATGTGGTTTAATTGCGCGAAGCTAATTCAGCAACAGAGCTTCACCGACAAAGACAACGAGGCATTCGCGGCGGAATTCGAGCAGGCCTCGGCGGATCCGATTGACCGTGACTGGCCGGGGACTGCGGACTGGGATATACCGCAGAATAATGCCGAGAGCCAGTCTGCTTCTCAACAAGGCCAACTGGTGAATGTTTCCGCCGAAGAGGTTCTGGGCCAAAGCCAGCAAGAGATGCAGGAAAAGGCCGGGTCTAGTTTCCTGGGCGCTGCATCAACGGCGGATTCGGGCCGGGCGGAGGTGAAACGTGATGAGAACATGACGGAGCCGGAGTAGACGCATGATGCCCACACGATATGAGCGACGAGCAAACGAGCATGCCATGACATAAAAGATGCATCTAGTTTACGAGATTCGTTAGTTAATGATCCTGGCCGATGTTGTTGTTGATCAAGCCCAGGAGTTAGTGGAGTGTCCCCACCTATGATTATTTGGCGTGTTTGCATCCACCCTCCTTACCATCCATCTTCCTAACAAAACCCCAAGTCAACCGTTCACCACCATGGCCGACAGCGATGCCATAGCCGGCGCGACCATCGAGCTCCTAGAGGCGCGTCTCCGCCGCCTGTCCTACCTTCTCACCGGCGCCAGCGATTACACGGGCGTTCCCACCACCCCGGACCGACCAGACTCGCTCGACGAGACGGTCTCCCGCCGCGTCGCCCGCCTGGACCGCGAGCTCGAGAAACTTAGCAGAAGCGTTCCTGCTGTGCGCGACGTGCTCCAACTCCGTATGTTTCCGTTCCCCCCCGGATCTATACTCCCACTAACAGCCCGGCACAGACTCCCGCTTCCCAGACCTCTTCCAATCCACCACCTCCTCATCATCCTCTCAAGAAATTCCGGAAGGCCTATCACCCCAAACCCTAACATCAATCATCCTTTCTTACGCAACCGCCTTCCCCGAAACCGCCTCGCGGCTCACATCGCTCAACGACCTCCCCATCCCAGACGCAGAGAGCTCCGCTTCACTCATCGCGCTGCAGCCGCAGCTCGACCGACTCGCGCACACGCAGGTGGAGCAGGCGGCCTCTATCTCGGAGCTAAGGGTACGAACTGCGCGCGTGCTGCAGCGCTGGTATGAGGTTGGGGTTGTGGGGAGTGGTGAGTGTTGGGCGGAGTGGGAGGGTAGGCTTGAAGAGGTTGAGAGGGAGGTTAGGAGGAGGGAGGTTGTTAGGGAGGGTAGGGAGAATGAGGTTTAGATTGATTCTTGCTGTTTGTTTGTCGGCCTGTCGGTCTGACCGTGTTTTTTTTCTTGGGACATGTACATACACATGCGCGATGGTGTTGGTGGCGTGTTTTTTTGGCTGGCTAGTCTGCGCCTCGGCACTAATTCAGTTGCCATTGCATCGCACGCAGCCTTGTCGAGGTTGGATGTTGTCCTGATGATTATTATTATCTTTTCCAGTCGCATTCCGGGTGAAGTCATGGAATGTCTTGACGTTTTCGTGTCCGGCGCATGGTCATGTTACTATGTATACTTACGATTGGCTGATTTTTTCACTGTGGTTCAACTATACGAAGTCCATTAACTTATGCCGTTACATCGACGGTAGTACGTCGGAGTGGAGCTCGTTCGCAATAACAATTCGGCGTGCCCAGGTGGCTCGTGTGCCATCGGACTAACGTTTTAGCCTCGATATTAATAGATCGGGCCACTGGAGAGAAGAATTCCACCGGATGGAATCGAGTAGGCTCAGGAGATTCCTATCTGGTAGATCGTAATGGAGCGATAACTATCATCGTAATCATCTATAATCATCATCACTATGCGAATCGTCTCAGTCGACTTTCGCCTTGGCCTAAGTATACCACGCCCCTGGAATGTGATTGGGGCCGGATCCACCCGTGCCTGGGCCTTACCGTCCTCCTTTTCGGTTTCCGCCTTGTTGGCTTTTCTCTCTCTCTCTTCTCTCTCCCCTTCTCCTTCATCAATATTATCTATTATTCGCTCCTTTCGCTCATTTTCTTTCTTGCCCAGCCTGGTGCTGCGAACTGTCTTCTCTGGTAAGTCTCACTCACAAATCTGGGGTAATCTTCCTTGTTCTTCCCCCTCCCCCCTGCGTCTCCTATTACGCCCCCTCTTCTGAGCCTCTCTTTCGCTTCTCTCCACGGGGCCGCGACCGCGGTTCCTGGACCCCACGACTACTTTTTTTCGACTTTTTTTTTCTTTTCGACTGACATTTTCATCAAGCTACGTACTCTCCTTAAAAAACCCTGTCGCCATCGAACTCCCAGCCAATTCATCTGGGGGATCACTGTCTTTCTATATCACCTGCCCCCGACTCGTCTGCAGACTTCCCAGCGACATCGAGCCGGCCCTCATCCGTCCACCCCCCTTGTGTGAACCTCGTTCATGGTGACATATACCGAAAAGTCTCCTCCCAATCCCTCAAGCAAAATGGCCGGATTCCGCCCGAGCAATATCCTCGGTGATCCGTTCGCTCTCGCGACCATCTCCATCTCCATCCTGGCATGGCTCATCGCCTTCGTCTCGTCCATCATCGGTGATCTCAACGTCCCCAATTACCCTAACTACTCATGGTGGGCAAACTCGTACATGTTCTGCCTGATCATCGGGTTGACCATCGTGTTTGGAACGGATACGGCTCATATCTACGGCGTTGCTGTATGTCTTGACTGGACCTCCCTCCCAATTGTTGTGATTGGTATAACTAAACGGGTCTAGATTGTCGGTTATCTATCGTGCGGCCTCGTCCTGACCTCGGTGAGCGCCAACAATTTGGTCTATGGCAGCGCGGGGTCGTGGCAAGCCGCTGGAGCTGGGTTCATTCTCCTCTCCATGGTGATCATCGTGTGGATCTTCTACTTCGGCTCAACCCCCCAGGCTTCGCACCGTGGCTTCATCGACTCCTTCGCCCTGAACAAGGAACATCCGGGCTCCTATCGCGACAGCCGCCCAATGTCCGTTCCGTTCACTGGCCGCCCAGAGACCATGGCCACCAACAACACTCCCCAGATGTATACATCCGCCCAGCTGAGCGGCTTCGAGACTTCGTCGCCCATGTCTGGTTACCCCGGCGGCCCGCCCGGCGCCGAGCAACGCGATTCGACTCTAACTCGCTTCGGCGCAACCAGCGCCAGCCCAGGGCCCAACGCGACCGCCCCAGATGTCGGCAGCGAAGTACCCCAGCCCACCGACTACCCTTACCGCGCCAAGGCCATCTACTCGTACGATGCCAACCCGGAGGACGCCAACGAGATCAGCTTCGGCAAGCACGAGATTCTCGAAGTATCCGACGTGAGCGGCCGATGGTGGCAGGCCAGGAAATCCAACGGAGACACCGGCATCGCACCCTCGAACTACCTGATCCTCCTGTGATCGTGCTAGTTCGTCGTGTTCTTGATGTCCGCTCTATCCCCCCTTCATTTCGGGGCTCCCTACTCTCTGTCGCAAAATCGATTCCTCATCTCCCCTTGATACCCTTTGGAATCTGATCTCGATGTATGTGTGTGTTGTTGTCTCCCCTATTTTAACGTGACGTCTTGATGGCCTCCCTTGTTCTTGTTGTCATACACGGTCCCTTTCTCCGCCTCCATCTCTATCTCTTTGACTTTTGGAACGTATTTAGTTTGGATGGAATTAGTATTTATTGTCCTCTCAAGCGGGTGCCTTACCCGCGGTTTCTCTTTGATGTGTTTCTGCGTGCTGGTTCAGTTTTCGTTCTTTATTGTTGGGATTCGCCTCGAAACCCCTGAGTACGTGAATGCTACATGGACAGAAAAATCTTACATATCTCAGGATTGGATCTGCTGTCTCTGCGCTGCGTATCATTTGAGTGTTGTAGTTGGTTACTGAGGGCTTCTTTCCGTCAAGTGGAGCGAGTGCCCGATTCTAGACCGTTGTGAAGAGATTTCGTTTCCTTGTCTCGCCCGCAAAGGGCCTTTGGCGGAGTTCCACATTCATCATTCCACTCCACTTGTACCGCTGCCGATCTGCATAGCATGTGCCATCTCAAGAGATCTGATTATGTATATGCAGGTATGTACATACTATACATACCTGAACCACGTGCGGGATATGTGTCGGAGAATTTATTTTATTTCATACTTCATACTCCAAACCCAAGCCCAATTCCCACACATCCAATAATCCTCATAGATTAGTCTCAGAAGTATCCTATCCATATCAGAGAGATCGCTATCTTTCTGTAGGATAAGTTCAGGTTTTAGTATACGTCCATTACTGTACCCAGATATAGTATCGTAGAAATCTACCGATTGAATGGATCAAAAAGATACATCGCGAAGCACCGTAAAAAACTCGGCATAGTTGACAGACTTATTACATATAGCTGGAACGCTTGTTTCCTCGACCCTGGCAATGTTATTTACGTCTGCGCCGGCTTAATTGCCTTCACAAACTTCGCTGTCACACCCTGTATATATTTGTCTTCCATCAACTTTTGAATAATGGGCTGCGCGTTATGTTCATGGAAGGCTTTTTGCCCGGTGTACCGCTCAAAGAAATGAAAAATCGTCGGATCATCCCCATCTCTGGCAAGGCAGTAATAGATTATGCCCGGTTCGGCCTCGGAGAGTCGGGTGGTCTTGGCGTAGACGGCTTCTAACGCGTCTGCGTGCTCCGGGTAGGCATAGACTGTGCCGAAGATGCAAAATTCGTCGTCAGGTAGCGAGGGAAGTTCGGTTAAGAAGTCTTCTTCCGGTACGCGTTGAGGAGGCATCTTGTCCGGTAGTTCTAATTAGGGTTTCGTAGGAAGCGAAAGTATGTAAACTGACTGCCTGAGGGTTGATCTGTCGATCTCTTGGGTTTGTCAGAGAGAGATAGGCGGGGAAAAGAAAGAGGGTGAGGGGGGAATGGACAGTTGGCCAAATCCACTATGCTCTCTAACTGTTTGATTGGTTTGGTCTGCATTAACAAGCGAGAGTTCTACTAGCCACCATGGACTTCTCTATACTAACCAACGTGGGAGTAAAATGGGCGGGTAATTTTCGCCTAAATAAAAGGTCAGTGCGTTCGGGTTTTGCGGGCGTGCCACATGGATCTCCAGCACAGACAAGGTCCTGGATGCCTAAAGCGGAAATAGAGCCCGACTCTTAGTTCAAACGACATACCCGACAGCCTCAACAGATGTCGCGTGGACGATCAAAAAGACCCGCGAGACTCGCTAACGCATGTCCTGATCAAGCAATCCAGCCCATCTTCTGTGGCGACACGGGGCCACAAAGAGATGACGGACGGCGATATCTCCTAGATCCAATGATAGCCTGAACTCGAGTTGCTTGGGGGCTGAATGATACTCCGCTTGCCTGCATTCGGCGCTGTCATTAATATATGGGACAGTAACTCCGACGACACTTCCTTCTTCTCGCATATCTCGCCGGAGCCACCACGTCCAGACTTTTCTACCATCACAAACTCACTGCCGTCTTTAATATGGGTGCTCTTGCTATCGATGGCAACGACAGCCCCTTGCCTCAGCTGTTTGCCAACGATGGTCCATTGGCACCAGAGAGTGTAACCCGTCTGAAACCGTCCTCGCCAGACGAACCGGTCGAGGACCTCCTAGCTCGTCTACACAGAGATGGCTACCTGTTTCTCAAACAGCTTCTGCCCCGAGCCGACGTGCTGAAGGCACGAGAGGAGTATTTCAAGTTCCTGTCTCCCACTGGCGTCCTCAAACCAGGTTCCGCGCCTGTCGATGGCATCTATGATAGCTCAAAGGACACCTCTGCCTTTCCCGGCATAGGCGCTGGCTCCACCGGACAGAACTCTCGCCCCGACGCTGAGCAGGCCCAGCTATTCGTAGATCTGGCAATCGATGCACATCGCAAGGAGTGGTACACGGAGACCTTTTGCCGGAACCCTGTTCTGACAGCGTTCATTGCCCGCCTGACTGGCTGGGGCGACAAGACGTTGCTCTTCCGGCGCAGCCTGCTGCGCAACAATATCCCCGGCACGAAGGCCATCGGTGTGCACTATGACCAGATCTTCCTGCGCTGGGGTGACCTGTCGAACCTGACGGCGTGGTGTCCGATGGGGGACATCAGCATCGATGGCGGGGGGCTGATCTACCTGGAGGGCAGCCAGGAGCTGGGCGAGCAGCTTGAGAAGGACTTTTTGGAGAGAGCTAGGAAGGAAGGCTTCTCGGAGACGGAGACTAAGAATGCGTTCAACCGCAACATGCTGTCCAACGGACTGCTTTCCAACAATCCGGCTGAGTTTGGGCAGAAATATGGAAAGCGGTGGATGGCGTCCGACTACGAGGCTGGAGACGTGGTACTCCATTTACCTTATATGGTGAGTCTCGGCAGCAGAGCAGCCAGCTGGAGTGAGCAGCACTGACATTTGGCAGCTCCATGCATCGACCATCAACTATAGCCCCGAGAATGTCATCAGACTGGCAACCGATATCCGATTCTGCGACAGCTCCAGACCCTATGATAAGAGGTGGTGTAACTTTTTTGATGTGAAGTGAGTGATTTCCAAGGCATCCTTGCGCACAGATTGTATGCTTCCAGTTTCGCTAACAGCTGTTAACTAGCGACGGTGTATGATCACGCTTCAGATCGGGTCCAGATAGAGAATGATCTTCAAATGTTTAGACGTAATCTCATTCAAACCTAAGGGTATTCTATTTCAACCAGCATCGTTCCAAACCTGCGTCAGTGTTCTCGCAATAGAAGCCGTAGGCCACCCTCGCTTATCTTCTGTGAACTCCAGCAAAAAGCACAGCCGCTCCCGATCCCTGTGGTCATCAAAACAGTCACCACACAGAGCAATCGCCATGCAGGCAATCAAGATGGCCGCAGGGCTCGATGGGTTGGACAAGCCCACACCACACATGACCCTGACGCGCTGCCGTGCCATCTCCCTTACGGTCTGCATCGCAATGCGATGCGCAGGGTCGTTCCTATCGAGCACGATCCGGGCGAGAGAGAAGAACTGCGCCGCTATGATTTGGTCTTCAGTGGCGTAGCGAATGTCCGGGAAATCGCTGCCTCCGTCTCTGTAGAAGAATGGCTGCGGGACGCTGTCGGAAGCTCGACGGATAGACTCGAGAAGATCATGATGCAGTGATCGAGGGCCGTCTCCGTATGCGAACAGAATTGCCTCTGCGCAGTGGAGGGTCGCTGAACAGGCCAGGGAATATTTGTCGCCGGGCTGGACAGCCTGCATTTTGCGAAAGAGTTGCAGGTCCAGACGGATGGGTCGGCGGTCTCTCAGTGACATGTAAATCTCTTGTCGAAGACAGGCCCAGTACGCTGCCTGGCGCAACCCCGAGTCCATGCCAAGGCGCTCCTGCGCGCGGGCTAGTGACTGGGCGCCGAGAAGATGGCCCTGTGGGTCTGCCCCCATGATAGGCACGTCTATCTCTTCCAGGAGCCGTAGAATGACTACGATAATGAGCAGCGTTTCGTCAAAAACAGACGGGCCGTCGTTGAGTGCGGGTATCAGAGTCCGCAGGCAGTCATCATAGTGCCGGTCCGCGACTGTGGGATCGAAGTTGCTGATGCGGCTGAGATGGCGAGCGGACAGGGCGAAGACAGCGCTCAGGAGAGTGCTGCATGTGCGGACGCGCTGGGGCACGACGGTTGCGAAGTGGCGCTCCTTGTCACAGAAGTCAAACTAGCAGGGGCAAATTATTAAGGACGTCGACTAGGGCATCTCGCGGGCTCACTTACAAATAATGATACCTGGTTGATGAAGTGCTGTAGAAGAGTCGCCTCTTCGGGGTCTTGCAATGGCCAGGTTGGCGGGTCTAGGTAAATGCGTCTCACGGGCGTTGGCAGATGGGTACCGGCGTCTACGATGGTTACATCTTCCCGGATAGACTGAGCTGCCTGAAAGCCAGATTGCACATTTCCTCCAGACGGGTAGACAGGTGGGTCCCACGAAGCAGGTTTGGTCTGAGCTCGGGATGTAGATACTAGGATCGAGGATGGCGAGGCAGAAAGGGAAGACGGGGAAGAAGAGGCCAGGTTCTCCCCAGCTGGAGTCGACCAGGCGGCTTCATGTGCTGGGAATGTTGGGGTTGCAGTCGTGTTCATATGCCCATCCTTTTCTCCTTGGCCAGTACTGGCGGAATCGGGACTGGACTCGGCACCAAATGGCTCTGCGACGTTGACGAAATTAACCACTCCTAGTATGGTGTCAGCCGACGACCGTTGAGAGAAAGTTTGGCACACACCCTTTGCAGGCAGAGGCAGCCATGTCTGGCTGGACGAGAATGAGCGCTCTTCCCCATGGCGAGAAACCTTGTAGAACTGGCGGGGCGGCTCGCGCACGCAGTCACGCCCGGCTCGGACACATCGGCCACAGCGAGGAAGCCGTCCGTCGCCTGGTACAGAGTATATCAGCCAGGGCCTTGCTTGGAGAGCACAGTCATTACACAAAGGTGCTGCTAAGGACCCTACATTTGTAATGGCATCGCCGACATGTCGTGCTGTTTAGACAGTCAGAGCCGCATCCTATTCCATGCTGCTGCGCTAGGAGCTCACCAACTCATCGTTAGCGAATGGGGTAATGCCGCATATTGATCGTCGTCACAAATCCACCGCGAAGAAGCGATACGATAAACACAGTCGGGGCGAGCTGCCGTTTTAAACACAATTTTCTCCGGCTTTTCCCCGCGTTGTGGGATTGTGTGGAGTATGTGGGGTAGTTGTACATGAGCATTTGGAAGGATGAAACATGCCGAGGATACGAAGTGTCTCTTGGATCCGAACACAGCCAAGCATTGACAACTTGGACATATCGTTGGGTTCAGTGGATTGTCTGGGTAAGTTCAAAGTCTGTCGCCGGAATTGCCCACAAGCACAGATGCAGAGAAATGTCTGCTAATGGAGACAGAGGAGGGAACATAGACTCTGGCTAGTTGCTGGGATCCAAAATAGCATGATTCGTACCACCTGGTGAAAGAAAACTAATTCACATGAGATGTACAATTTCATATTGTTGGTGCTATACTAGAAGCTACATCAAACTCGCGACTGCTTAGAGCTCGTCTTTTTTCCCGTCAACCTGCTGCCTCAAGCGCAGCATCACCACGCCGTGGGCCTTGGCATGCACCGTGACCTTACCGCCAGGTTTCACGGCTCCGATATGGGTGCCCATCAGCGCTGTGCTATTCGACGGCGGCGTCTGCGCGTAGACCTCTCTGGGCGAGCCACCGTGAGCAGTCATGTTAAACGGGATTGTAGCGTTGCCGGCAATGATGCCCGCAGCCCTGGCGTTCGACATGCGGTCCCCCCACAGGTCGTAAATGTCCCACGCCTCCTGGATCTGCGGCGCCGTGCCACCCACGCCGCTCTCCCAGAAGATCTCCTTGAGCGTGGCGTTCATCTCGCGATCCTTCGCGCCCGCGTTAAGGAACAGCACCAGCTGGTCGCCACCTGATAGAGGGCCCGTGAAGAGCTGGATCTCGCCCTGGCCGAAGACGTCGGTGTCGTCGACGAAGTAGCGCCAGCGACGGGTCGCGGATGAGCCGGCCGAATCCTGCGAGACGGCTAGCACAGCCGTGTTCTGCAGGATGGATAGCGTACGGGTGTCAATCTTGGCGAAGACGTTGGTCATGATCATGGGCGACTTCATGGCAGCCCAAAGGGAGAAGTGCGTGATGTACTCCTCGTCCGTCATTGCACCATTACCAACCTCTGTTATACGAGATGTTAGCTTCCAAGTTTCCTTCCGAAGGGGTAGAAATTGCGACTGCGAAACTTACGGAGGAGATCCAAATCATTCCAAGCCCCGGGGAAGGCCTTGGAGGGGAAGTAAACGACCTTGTTCAGGACGTTCATCAAGGAGCAGTAAAAGCCAGGAACCTTGCAGTCCAGGCCCTCCTTCTCGACGCAGGGGCACTGCGGGTCGTCCCGGTCAAAGGTGTCTATCAGGTCGCCAGCGATACGCCATGAGTTGGCAATGGTAGGACCAAAGAGCCACGGCCCGTCAACGCCCCAGTTGCACATGCTGTACAGTATGGGCCGGCCAGTCTTGTTGAGGGCCATGCTCATGGCGTTGTAGCGGTCAAAAGACAGCTTCTCGGTGCCTTCCTGGCCCTCGTTGAAGCAGTTGTCGTACTTGAGGTAGTCGATGCCCCATTCGGCCCAAACAGCGGCGTCCTTGTCCTCGTATCCAAGAGAGCCGGCGTAGCGCGCGCAGGTTAGGGTGCCGGCGCTGGAGTAGATGCCAATCTTCATGCCCAGGTCGTGGATCTGGTCTGCGAGGCCTTTGATGCCGTCGGGGAACTTGGTCATGTTAGGCTGTAAGTAGCCCGTGGAATTACGGCCATCGGACCAGCAGTCGTCGAGGATGATATATTCGTAGCCAATGTCCTTGAAGCCGTACTTGACGATCTGTCGGGCCGTGTCCATGATGACACTGGCGTCAAGATCGCAGCCAAAGGAGCTCCAGGTGTTCTATATTGGGCAGTGTTAGTCCAGTCTCTCATAGAACGGTCAATTATCGTGGTCAAGATGTCAAGACATACCCATCCCATTTGGGGAGTGATGGCGAGGCCATTGTCTGATGCAGAGACAGTCCCAATGTTGAGAACAGCAGCCAAAACGGCCGCACCGAGTTCCAATCGCACCATGCTGGAGTAACAGTCCGTGTAATGGCCTGTAGCTTGTTTGATCCCTATTCTGGTATCGAAATTGACACGGAAAGCAGCTCTTGAACGCAAGGCAAGGGGCGATCGGCAACACACGAAAAGAGCGACCTCCCTCACATATTAATAGGCGCGCCGCCAGATACCCAGAACAGCTCAACAGCAGTGAGTCCCGCAGCTGATGCCACTAGGGGCGTTGATTGTTCGCAAAGTATCGTTAGTCGGAAGAATTTTTGGTGCTCTAGGCATCTCGTACCTGCCTACCTTGGCCTCCCCGCACGCCGAGTCGGCCCCATATTCCCATTTAGAGAAAATTGCGGGGAAGTAGATATGTACTCAATCTCCGGCCTGGAGGATTAGGAAATTGACTACAGTTCTTTAATCGGCTTTCATCGGCCAAGGCGGCTATTTTCCTCGCCTGAAGCGGTAACTGGCTACGACTCCCTGAGGACTTAACAGGCAGCATACAGCATTGATGCATCCCATTCGAGGTAATCCCTAGTTAATACCGCTCGGTCGGACTCAATTGGGCTGGAGGGGATGAAGCAAAATCTGAGGCATCCGGGGCTTAGCGAGGTATATGAGGGCCGCGTCCTGCCCCAGTGAAATCAGCACTTCATAGTTCCCGGGCGATCTGAGTCAAACTTCTGGGGTCTTCTGTACTTCAAGTGACAAGCAGTTATCATTTATATCAGGTCAGTTCTTTAGCACCGCCAAGATGAAGCCCATTGGCAACATCTACGCCATCGCCGCCGTCGCGATTGTTGGCGGTGGCCTGTTTGGTTTTGACATCTCCTCCATGTCTGCCATGTAAGTCCTCAGCAGCAGGTAATGGTTGTCCTCCTCTCGATACGATATTGACCATCCCGCCCCTCCAGAATCTCCACGCAGCAATTTCTCTGCTACTTCAACCAGTCCCCCGAGACGTATGATCCGACCAAGGACGTCCAGCAGTGCGCTGGCCCCAGGCCGGATGTCCAGGGCGGCATCGTTGCATCCATGGCTGGGGGCTCGTTCCTCGGCGCCATCATCTCTGGTCACCTGTCTGACATCTTCGGCCGCAAGACGTCAATTCAGATTGGTTCCGTCATCTGGTAGGCTCGTGGTGCCTCTTCTACCTTGTTCATGTGCTAACCACCGGCTCAGGTGTGTCGGATCCATCCTGGTCTGCGCCGCCCAGAACATCCCCATGCTCATCGTCGGCCGCATCATCAACGGCCTCTCTGTCGGCATCTGCTCCGCCCAGGTCCCCGTCTACATCACCGAGATTGCACCTCCCACCAAGCGTGGTCGCCTCGTCGGCGCGCAGCAGTGGGCCATAACCTGGGGCATTCTCATCATGTACTACATCTCTTACGGGTGCTCCTTCATTGGAGTCCATGAGCACCCACCCTCGCCCACCGCGTTCAGGATCCCCTGGGGCCTGCAGATGATCCCCGCCATCTTCCTGTTCTTTGCCATGTTCCTGCTTCCCGAGTCGCCGCGCTGGCTGGCGAAGAAGGACAGGTGGGAAGAGGCGGAGGAAGTTATTGCTCTGGTGCATGCCAAGGGCGATAGGACACACCCTTTCGTCGTCTCAGAGATGCAAGAGATCAAAGACTTCTGTCAGTTTGAGAGGGAGAACGCCGATGTGACCTGGCTAGAACTAGTGAAGCCCAATATGATCTGGCGGACACATATTGCCGTCTTCACCCAGTTCTGGTCTCAGCTGACCGGCATGAACGTCATCATGTACTATGTCACCTACGTTTTTGCCATGGTAAGGTGCCTTCCAGTCAAGTCGCGACCTCCGACGACGCGCTTTGTGCTAACCATTTTTCTCTAGGCCGGCCTCTCTGGAAACGCCGGGCTCATTGCATCATCAATCAATTATGTGATCAATGTCTGCATGACAGTTCCAGCTCTCCTGCTCATTGACCGCATTGGCCGGCGCCCTGCTCTTGTTGGTGGCGCAATATCCCTGTCCATCTGGTGGTATGCCACGGCCGGTATTCTCGCTACCTATGGCCATCCTGCCCCGCCAGGCGGACTGAACCACGTCTCTGCCGAGTCGTGGGTCATCTCTGGGCACGCGTCTAAGGCCGTCATTGCCGCATCGTATCTCATTGTAGCTTCATTTGCTCCGACCTGGGGCCCGGTGTCGTGGACATACCCGCCCGAGCTGTTCCCTCTTCGCCTTCGTGCCAAGGGTGTGTCCGTCTCCACTGCCGCCTGCTGGGCCATGAATTTTGCGCTTGGATACTTCACCCCGCCAGCGTTCGTCAATATTGCTTGGAAAACTTACCTTGGTCAGTGCAATGCCCCCTACTTGCTCCCGCTTCGGAGCCCTGCCTAACGTTCATTTTTTTGTAGTTTTTGGTGTCTTTTGCACTGTCATGGCAATTCACTCTTTCCTGTGCTTTCCTGAGACAGCCGGAAAGCCACTGGAAGAGGTCGAGGAAATTTTTGCTCTCAACACTCCAGCCTGGAAGACAAAGGGCGGCTTTGCTCAAGGGCGAGAGATGGAGAAGGGTGAGCGAGCTACTGAGAAGCAGCTACAGTTTGCGCTGCACAAGGAGGACGCGTAGGTCTGGAGCGATGTTTTTTCGAGCCATGAATTTCCTCTCTTGAGTCTGGTGCATCAGGGCTTAGGATTCGGCTTGGATATCTGCCGTGCATCTGCACGTCTCCTTTCCGGGATTGCTTCGCTAATTCTCTCTGCCCTTCTTACCAAGAAACCGCGAAGAATAACTACATGCCCGGGGTTCAGTAATCGTAATATTTGTAGCATTACGCAAAATAGAGCTCGCGAATAAACTGAAGAGAATAGGATGATGAAGCTTATCATCATCAGTTACTTCTCCGAATATGTGTTTTCCCGTAAGCCATCAAAACAAGAAGAATTTGATGAAGACATGAAAATAGAGTCATTTTCCAAAAGAAGACGCAAGCCGCGAAAGGTATTCGCCATTTCAAGGAAGCAAGAATCAAGCAGCTGGGAAGTGTTTGTATCCTATGTCCTTGACAAAAGTCTGTTGCCAAGGACCCTGGAATTTGTGCTCAGCGAGCTCAGCATAGAATTTTCCATGTGCCTCTCCATTAATCTCAGAGTATGCGGGAGCCCCATCAGCCTTCCGCTCATCGGCATAATAGAATCTTCCCTTTGTCAGTTTCAAAACCGTTTTAGTCGAACAAAGAAGTGCTTACTTAAAGCCTCTATTAGAGTACGCGGAAGCAGCAGAGCGGATAATGTGAGCCGTTGCAGATTTACCCACACCAAGATCCAGAAGGTTTGCAATTGTGGTCGAGTTGAGTATGTTACCAGTGTAGATAAATGTCTTGGACTCAGAGCTAGGAAGTTGCTCGAAACCTAAAGCTGCCTGTTGAGCAGCGACAAACGCACTGGTCGTGTTGATATGGAAGTCTCGACTGAAATCAGCCAAGGGAAGAGACAGAGGGTTCTCTGGATCGTTTCGAGTCGCGGCAGCAGCTTCAAGGGTGTTAGCGGGATTTCAGGAAAGGGCTTCTTCCATAAGGAACATGCTTACCATTGTAAACAACAACACTTGGCAGACCGAGCGAAGCTTTGACTTTCGAAAAGACGCCTCTCACTGAATGAGGATCCGATAGGTCGGTGGGAATGTGGACTTGGTCCGCGCTGCTTTCTTCTTCTTTGCGGCTTCTAGATGCAATGGCAACTTTGTAGCCCTTTGTAGCAAAGACCCGAGCCACATGCTGCCCAACATTGGGACCCGATCCGAGAATGAGAATTACCGGAGATGTGCTAGTCATATTTGAATTGTATGAATTGATGAGACAGAGCGACCATTGAGGAAGACATACGAGAATTTATATGTTTACTTCAATAATCAGACAGCAGTTCTATCTGTATTATCAATCGGCGTGTTTGCTTATTTTGAGCTGTTTGCGTGAACTTTATCATGATCTACCTTTAAGCTGGCCCACACTGCTCTGGGGGGGATGTCTCCGAGCAAGTTGTTTTGTTTGCAACATAGTTTGTGCTGTTTGTTTTGATAAAGACCAATCAAGTCGATGATGAGTCGTAAGAGATGATTAATCTCATCTTTCCCGAACACCGAGGCTTGGTAATCGTTCCCGTTAATGGAATGTCTCGCGTTTTTCCATTCCGAAAGTGACTTATGGCGGAAACGTCACGTAGAGGTGTGTTTTGCTTCATATATAGCTCTACAGTCGCGACCGTTATTGCCTTCCATGTCCGAAACACCGAGATGCTCTTTCAAACCCTAATCACATGATGCGATAAACCTAACGTGAACTGTTCACGTCTGTAGAACCACGCGTCTTAGTATGTATGCGTGTAATCAAGTTTACTGTCCCCATCGAGCCCCGTGGGTTATGAAAGACAAAGTAGTTCACGAGCATGAGCTCCGACTCCGTTCCTTTTATTCACAAACTCGATGTCTTGAGTGTTCAGAAGCTGACTTGTTTGAATGTCCTTTGGGCGAAACTCTGGATAATAGGATCTCCGAGTTCATTGCTAAAACACCTACCCACTGAGATAATGCCACTGTCTTAGTTTATCGGGAAAAAAAATTCTTTTTGCCTTTCATTGTACTTCTTAGTTACCAGTGTATCTTTGTATAATTTTGTATTGAGGTGTACAAGCTATTCCGAAGATAGTTTAGTAATTAATACTCAGCGCGTCTTGGATGTGACCCCAGAAAACACGCTAAAACCTCCAAGTTCACTCGGATAGGGGATACGGCCTTACTATAAATCTGTCTCTATTACTTACCACGTGATATTAAAATCTGACAGGGTTGTTACCCCTTTTTCCTTAAGTATAAATAGGCAGGATCATTCGTACTAGTGACCACTTCTGTTTAAAACTTTATACCTCCCCACTTTTTGGACCCGTTTATTTCCTCCTTACGCTCGCTACCATGAAGATCACTCCTTTGTGGGTCTCAATCGCCCTATTAGTTCCACGGGCTCTAGCAGTCCCCACTGAATCCATAGCGATATCTGCTACGTCCACTACCTCTACTGCCGCGACACCAAGCTGTACATCTTCCCTCATCACCAGTCTCTGCCGCTACCCAGAACCTGGCCCAGACTTTGCCGTCGCCATCGACAGCGGGGTCTCCTGCTGGGACTACTGTAACGCCCACCCTCCCTGCAGCTTTGTTATCTTCGCTGCCGGCAACCCTAACACGGGCACCGGCACGTGCTGGCTGTACCCGGGTGAAACTTTCGATGCGAGCAAGGGTAATTCGAATTGCGCCAATCCCTGGCTGTCCGTTTACAGCCAACCCGTGTGTGCTGGCGGGAGCGCAACCACCACTGCTGGTGCCTGCGCCGCCACCGCGACTCCCTCTGCTATTGCCTCGGTCTGCGGGTACCCGCAGCCGCCTGGTGACTGCTTTAACGACTGTACTGCTAGTACGGGTGCACCGGACTGCTTGAGTCAATGTGCAAAGGCCGATACCTGCAGCTATGTCGTCTTTAATCCGCACAATCCAAGCCACTCGCCGTATGCCTCGGGCAGTTGCTGGATCTACCCGAACGGCACATTTAACGCTGGGTCTGCGACCACTTGTAGTGGCGCTCCCGAACAGTTTGTGTATAAAAACTTGTGTCCCAAGCCATCAACTTCATCGTCCTCCCTTTTATCATCTCCTACGGAACAATCTAATGCCACTGGAACTGCAGGCACTACTCCAGGCTCAACCACTGGCGCTGCTACGGGCTCTAATGGCACTGGAACCGCAGGCACTAGTACGGGCTCAACTACCAGCAGCAAGAATTCTGCGCCTACCGGCTCCTCGCTTACCGATCCATTGGCTATAGGCGTGGCTATGTTAATATGGCAGGCCCTTTAATAATATTCCTGTATGTATTGGTTGTTTGCTGAGCTAAACAAGTTATTGGAAACGATATATTATAGATTAATGGACTTCGTATGAAGTCACTTCTCCTTGTGTATCTCTCGCTATTGTAGAGGCTATGTTAGGTTTCATTGCGATCCGTTGCTATCTGCATATTGGCTAAGCATCTCCGTCTTGAAAAACGATACATTTCAGAGGAAATCAAACGACGTCTTATTATGTTTCCATGAGTACTGACAAAGGGTCCATATCTTTGAATACTGTAACTTTGAATCAATATTCAAGGGTTCTGAAGAACACCATCGTTGCAGTGTGCACTGACTATACATTCTGAGGCCTACGTAGAGTACACAGTCACACTGATAGTGGAAAAAATCAATTTACCAGGAACGCCGAACCATATAGGCGTAAAATAAAAGCAATACAAATACAGTCTATTCAATTTGCTGCATTAACTCAGGAAAGGTCCAGGAGACCATCTTAGGTGGCTCGCTTGTGAATTAAGTTATCTATAACGAAAATAAAACCCTAGTAGATCAGGCACCAAGGATGGGAAGGTCGGTGTTGCTTGGGAGCAAAGCCGATCCTACTTTTGGACCAAATTATTTCCATCCAACGACTATATTTGACGCCAAGCCGGGAATGCTTTTCTGCCAGGAAGAGATATTTGGCCCCGTGGCGTTTCTGATCTCGTTTTCAACACAACAGGAAGTTTTTCATCTTGCAAGTAACATGGACTCGGGACTGGCAGGCTATATTTACATGGAGAACATGACACGCTTATGGAATGTTTCTGAAGCACTCCAGGTAGGTATGATTGGATGCTGTTTCGGACTCATTAGTGCCTGTGAACAGCCTTTCAGTGGTGTCAAAGAAAGCGGGATTGGCATTGAGGGATCGAGTCATGCACTTGATGAGTATGTAAATATGAAGAGCATTACTATTGGTGGCATATAACTTGCTTTCTAAATACCGAGTTTTTCAACTATTGCTATGGGTTTTAATTCATATACTCTATAAACTGGCTGAAGTCGTCATGACTTGCTATTAGATAGTATCGTTTTTATGTTAATGGGACTCCTTTCCTCAGTGGCTCTCAATTGGACTATGGCACAGTGTTAGCGACACGTGCTAACGGCCAAACAAGAAACCAAAATGAATACTCCGACGACAGGTTCTAACAAAAGCCGGAAACAATGATCGCCGATTGGACAGATGTAGTTGTGCCGACATATCCGGGGTAAATGGAGAGAGTCCTTCACAAAATGCGGAGTAGGGTCTCAAATAACGCCGGATTTTTCGCGTTTACCCGACCCCGCTCTTGACCAAAGAAGATGATGAGGTTTGAGGTGTAATGCGAAATCTCCCTCTATATATAGACAACAAACCTGTGCGAGCCCTGATTATGATCACCGATAATCATACTAGTACTCGTTCATCTCCGTTTCTTCGCAAACTTGCCAATATGGCCTCCTGGAATCTCAAATCATGTTTCGAACAACTTACTTTTGCTATAGAAACAGCTCTTAACGGTGACAAGGAGTTCAAGGCCGCTACTATCACACAAGATATTAAATTCTCCATTATCGCATCGGACACGAACGAAAATCTCCTCGTGTCTATTCAGTCCGGCGTTGCTCGCATCAAGCTCGATCATTCTACAGTCGCCGAATTCGCCTTGTCAGCAAGATCACAGGATTGGCAAGAATTCTTTGCGCGGGTGCCGAGACCACCCTATCAATCATACTGGGGCATTCTCCGTGTTTTTGGAAATGAATCCGGCGTTGGGATTTCAGGCGATCTTAGTGCATTTAGCAAGAGCGTCAGTGTATGGCGCATTTTCCTTGAAACCGCTCGGGAAATCATGCACAATCAGTCAGCCCTAGCAATTGATCAAGATATCGACGAGGGCATCGTGAAAGAGGATAGCATCGTGGGAAAGTACCTATGGCTCAAACTTTCTTCTTTTGGTCAAACCAAGATATTTTACGAGTGCGCGGGACATGGACCAAAGCCTATATTGTGGCTACATACAGCTGGTGCTGACTCGCGACAATTCCACGAATTGATGAACAACAAGAGTCTTCAAGAGCGGTACACCATGTATGCTTTCGACATGCCAGCCCACGGCAGGTCATCTCCGGGCTCAAAACAAGTACCGCAAGGTTATACAAACAATGAGGAAATATATATCGAAGTCATACACCAGGTGATTAAAAAGCTGCATCTGACGCAGCCCATTGTTTCTGGTGCTAGCATGGCTGGTCATGTTTGTCTTGCGGTCGCTTTGAGAGCCCAAGAAATGGGGGTAGGTGGCGTTATCCCAGTTGAAGCAGCCGAATATCTGCCTCTTGTACAACCTAATTATGAACTGGGAGGTCACTTCAACGAGTCGATCATCAATCCAGAACGCGTATGTGGGATGACATCACCTACATCAACGAAGGCACGCAAACAACTCATATGGTGGATATACTCATCTCAGGCTGCACGAGTGTTTCAAGGAGATTTGAAATTCTACTTCAAAGGTTGGGATGGCAGAAACCGCCTGGAACACATTGACACATCAAAATGTCCTGTGTATATGCTTACCGGCGAATATGACTACAGCTGCACACCTGAAGCAAGTGCAGCAGCGGCAGCAAAAATTCCGGGTGCTCAATTTGAGAGGATGGATTATATGGGTCATTTCCCGATGACAGAAGACCCAGAGCAATTTTTGGTCTACTTAAACAGGGCTTTAGATTTTATCGAGAAATCTCGAGTTGGCTAGGGATGACAATAAGGTTAATCTGCTCTTCAAATTACAGTGTCAGCGATATTGCCGCCGATTGATGCATTCAAAGCACCGAAACGCCGGTGCAAGCCGTGGCACAAGGATCCGCAAGCTGTGTAGATGGACAAGATCAAATCATTTCTTATAGGTTGGAGGCGCTTTTGCCTTCATTCTTTGCATACCAGTTTGGTATTTACTTATCACACAAATTTTTGAGGCAGCGAACTTCCCGCTTGGTCTTCCTGTTGGAGATATGAGTACGCTGACATTAGGGAGGTCCTAGAATGTAAAGCAGCACGAGGAATGAATGCGGACATCAGGCTTGTGGCCTTTGCGGTCGAGGTATAGTTTCTTATCCTTATCACTGGCGTTCATTATCTATTCCTCGCGTTTCCCTCAATTAATGGCGTTAAAGTGCTGGCTGTACCGTGAAAACGTCAGTCTTTTGGGGACCTCAGCTTTCGCGGGTCTGGTATAAATACCTATCATTGCTTGTACTGTTCTTTATCTTTCCACGGTTTATCAGTGCTAGAAATTGGAATGTCCTTCTATATCAAAGGCTGGCTTTAGAGTTGTAATATTCTCACTAAGGATCAAAAATTAGACTAGGCATTATTGAGCATACACATTGCCAACAATGGATGGGCATCGATCAACTAGGCACGCTGACTATATCGTCGCCCTTGAAGGAAACCTTGAACTTCTCGAGCAGACGCTTAGCCGCCTTTTCGCCGGTGGCAAATGCACCGTGGACACAACCCTGGCCTACGCGAGTCAGATGCTCGCCTGCAAACTGCAGGACGCTGTGGCGATGGTTTTCGAGTGCCGCAATGATGAGGTGTGGATTATCACCGACTTTCTCGCAGGAATAAGTACCAAAGCCGGCCAGCGGGTCTTGAGTCCACTGGGTACATTCCATCTTTATGAGGCGTGGGAGAGCTTTGTAGGGCTCGGTGCGGATGAGCTTGAACAGCGGCTCGAAGAACTTGTACCGCTTCTTCGGGTCGGTCATGGCTTCTATCCGCTGGGTCAACGGCTCGGCGATCTGCACGCAGAGCTCCCTGCGGTCGGCGACTAGCATCAAGTTGACAGTCACCGTTGGATAGTTGAGGATGTTGTCCTCTGGCGTTTCGCGGCTGCTGGACGACCTGGGTGAGGAGCCCAAGAAGTCGGCGCCGTCCTCATTGAGCTCGGGCGGGGACGGATAATAGATGATCTGGTCGTTGTCTTTCGACCAGAATACCTCACTGAATTCAAAGAATATCTTCCCCAGCGCGCCGTAGCTGAGCTGAGAAAAGCCATGCTGGATATCGTCCGGCAACGGCGGGTCGAATGTGAGGAGTTTATGATGGAGGGCTCCCAGCGGCACGGTCACGATCACTGCGTCACCTGTCACCGTCTTACAGCAGCCTGTAGCATCCTCGCACTCCACGCGGACAGCATCCTGTCCCTGTGCGTTATCGCTCCAGGCCACTCGGGTTACTCGATGGTTCAGTTGCAGCGCATGGGGGCTCTCCAGTAGCGGCCCGGCGGTCCAGTCGACGATTCGATCGTAGCCGCCCTTCATGTATAGGTTGCGCTCAGTGATAAAATACTGGAGATATTTGCACGAAGCTTCGGCCGTACCCGTAGCGATCCACTGTTCAATCTCGCGGACGGCCTGCGGCGCCCACAGGCGCTCATCTTGGGTGATCAACTCATGCCGACTGATAAACTCCTGCATGAAATCATCGACGCTGCGGTCTTCCGCATCAGGATGGGCTTTGTAGTACCAGTCGACGTAGTCCGCGAACTCGTCGGCAACTTTCTTGGCCTTGAACTGGGCGCCGGCCCGACCCTGCGCTGTGTAGTACAGCGGGGTACCATCGTCGTAGTAATATTCGATCCCGAGGGCGCGAATGAGTTTGACGAGCGGATTCTGCGACGTTTCATGCATCCACGCCGCACCTAGAGACGTTTAGTCGCCTCGCAACAGGGGGTTGGAGTAGGGAGGGAGAAGAGGAGCAAAGTCCAGCAACCGAGAGTTCTGACACAGCGTCAAGCGTGATATCCAAAGGGCCCATCGCAAGCCCGGCGGTCAGTACCGACTCGTGTGTCCAAGGCACACATACCTAAGTCCCACGTCGTCTGGCCTCCGTTGCGCGTCGTGCAGATGCGACCGCCGATGCGGTCTCGCGCTTCCAGAACGACAACATCGACTCCGTGGCGCTGCAAAGTCGAGGCGGCACGCAGGCCGGAGATGCCGGCGCCGATGACGATGATGCGCTTCTTTTTCTTTTCCTCCTGCAGAGGCTGTGGCTCTGGCGCTGGCATGACGGTTGGGCTGCTTTGAAGGGTGTTGCGCAGCATCTCAGCCAGGCCAGAGCCACAATTACTTGGTTTACTCCGACTGGAGGATATCACGGAGGCATAGGCAAAGCTCTGAGACATCTTGAGTTGGCAGGTCGACATCTATGTGTAATTTGGTGGTAGTAGTGCTTGCTATCGATGTGTTGCGAGGGCTTGAGCAGTAGTTGCAGTGATGGAGTGGTAGATTGTAGCGTAGACGCTTGGAAGATATAAGTAAGGCTGTCCCTGCTGACACTAGACCAAAGCAGTATGTCCATCCTTTTATTATTACCGTCCATTTCTGGCCTAGTAACCGCATCCCGGGTCAAGTGATAGTGGAGTTTTACCCCAGAGAATTGTGTCAAAAACGCTATACCGCTAGACCAAAAGCACCATGGACTCGACGAGCTAATACAGTCATTTTCATATTGACACATGGTTAACTACCCTAATTCCCTGGGCCATTCGAGATTTCCCCGTGTTTCTTTCACTCCCCGCCATATTACGCGTCCATTCCCCCCACCCAGCTAATACCCAATGAGAAAGAATCAAGGGAATTGCCAAATGCTTGTTAGTGCTTGTTAGTGCTTGTTATCTATCCCTCAGGATGAAGGGTTCTGCATGGGCTTGGGCCTCCCCTGTCCTCACTTTTGCCGCTCTCGGGCGCAAATCGGGCGTCCGAAACAGTATGTCCAACCGGGTGAAGATAAGGCTAAGCCTATGATAACGGGCAGTTTGGGTGCACAGACACCCGCCCGGTATGTTTTGGGCCACGCTGGCGAAACTTTCTTCCTTGGCTCTGTCGGTAGTTGAGGCCACCGCGGATAACAACAGGTGCACGAGTCGTCGGTAGGCAATATTCTAGATCGTGATGATTTAGTATTAACATATAATAAGGTATTATTACCCGCTCTCTTCCTAGGTATATGGTGGTCAGCTCAACATGGCCTCCGAGAACCTGGAGAACTTGGCCGGCACTCGCATCCTCTTCACCAGCGACGAGCATCTGAAGCTAACCCCGGAGCCGACCAAATCACCCAATGACCCGCTCAATTGGTCACCAGCGCGCAAATACTGGCATGCCACGCTCGTGCTGTTTATCGTCGGCTTCACGGCGGCCACGTCCAACGACGCAGCAGCTGCCCAGTATGGTATGAACAGCCAACTAGGCATTTCGTGGACTCTGATGAATACGTCGGCCGGTATCCTCTTTGTCGGGATCGGCTACGGCACGCTGCTGACCTCGCCCATCCCCTCGCTGTATGGCCGTCGCATGATGTACATCGTGTGTCTGCTCTCGTCCATAATCGGATGTACCTGGCTGGCGCGCACAATGGGCCCAAATGACGCTTTATGGAACCAGCTCTTCGTTGGCGCCTCAGAGGCGTGTGCTGAGGCCACTGCCCAACTGTCGCTTTCGGATCTCTTCTTCGAGCAGCAGCGTGGCTCCGTCATGGGTCTCTATGTGCTGGCCACCAGTATCGGCACCTATCTAGGCCCTTTGCTGGCCGGATTCATTGCCAACAGTGTCGGCTGGCGCTGGGTCGGATGGTTCGCCCTCATAATCTCCTTCGGGACCCTCATCGTTTTTTATTTCACATTCGAGGAGACTACGTTTGACCGCAAAATCTACCTGCGCGGGGATATTCCCGCGATCGATACCACATTGAGTACCTCACTGGCCGCAGAGGAGGTGATACCGGTCACGAAGGAGCATACGCCTGTATGTGCCACATCGCTGAGTGATGTGGATGACAACGGCAGCAGCGAGGCGCCCAAATCATACTGGCAGCGGATCGCCCTCGTCACACCATCGCCACTCCTGCGCGGCACCGGCTTTGTACAATACTGGAAAACCATGTGGCATATCCTGCGAGTTTTCAGCTTCCCTGGCGTCTGGTACTCAGGCCTGCAATGGGGTGCACAGGACGCGTGGCTCACCTTCTATCTCACTGTTGAGGATAACGATTGGGTTATGCCGCCGTGGAATTATTCGCCGAATGGTGCCGCCATGATGAATATCCCGACATTGATCGGCGCGATAATCGGCTGTTGTTATGGCGGTTGGTTCTCGGACAAGTTTGTGGAGTGGTATGCACGGCGAAACAACAATCTCTTCGAAGCCGAACATCGTCTGTGGCTCATGTATCCGGCCGCCTTCATCGGGTCGGCAGGTCTGATGCTCTTCGGGATAGGTACCGACATGGGCATGAACTGGCCCGCGCCGTACGTCGGCCTCGGCATGATTGGCTTTGGCTGGGGCTGCGCCGGAGATTTGTCTCTGGCCTATCTGCAGGATGCTTATCCCGAAATGGTTCTCGAGGGCATGGTTGGCGTGTCAGTCATAAACAACTCAATTGGCTGTATCTTTACGTTCTGTGCTGGTAAGTCTTTCTCTCCTCACGGAATTTTTGACAGCTTTTCTTATAATTGGTAAATATAGGGATCTGGCTAGACGTACAGAGCACCAAGATGGTGTTTGTTGAAATTGGCATCCTCAGCTTCGTGTTTATGATGACCACAGTTCCGATGATGATCTGGGGCAAAGCTGCGCGCCGCTGGACACGCACGCGATATGAGAATTTCGTATCTCGTCGCGATGGCAATTGATAATGGTCTTTTTCGTGCAATCAGGAGCTCCCTCATCCTGTCTTTCGTGGATTCCTCATCAATCATGCCACGAACAATGCAATCATCCCTCTATTTTCTATTCGATTTTGCCCTATGGGCGACCTGCATTTTGGTGCTAGATACTTTCCAACCACTTTTTTACTTTTTCTACTGCCGGGAGATGTGTTCGGGTATTGTAAATATACGCTGACACTGTTGAATATGAAGCGGTCGGCAGGCCTGATATCTTGAGAGATCGTATTACGTTTCTCTGGATCGTTGTGAGATCGATAGCCATTTCTCCCAAGATAACTACACGCGGATCCACAATGCAGGAACGATAGGCCCCGATCTATATTGGGTTAGCGTAATACTGGGAAACTGTCCATGCCGAATGGAGCAAGTCCACACGAATTCCCCCAAAGCTTGTCTCCAAGTCACTCGGCATTTCGACAAGCACTCATTTCCAAGGGACCTTGATTAATGCGGAATATCTGGCCATTATTCTAAAATACAACTAATATTTCAGGACACCCATTTCTGTCTCAATTCGAACGTCCATATGCCCATCGCCTTGACGCACAAAGCAACATTTTCACCATGGACCGGAAACCTCATGTCGCTGTCATTGGCGCCGGACTGGCGGGGCTGCGATGTGCTGATCTCTTGATCCAAAACGGCGCCCAAGTTACCATCTTTGAGGCGAGGGATCGAATGGGTGGCAGAGTGCGTCGAGAAACCCCTTCTCCGATGAACCGTACTGACGATTTCGATATCAGATCGTTCAAGAAAAGATTGGAGACCATCTTGTTGACCTGTATGTCATAACGTTATTTCTTTGCGATCAACAATTCTAATTTTCGCATTGCCTAGCGGGGCCAATTGGATCCACTGTACCAGGACAAACCCCATCATCGAGCTGGCCGAACTGACTAAAACCCATCTCGAGGACTGGGATGGCGTCCAGGCCACTTTGGGGCCGAACGGAAAGCTTATAGACGAGCAGACGGACGATAAAATCTCCAAGTTCGTATGGGGAACCATCAATGATGCCTTCGCATATAGCGAGAAGTACGGTGACAGCATTCCTCCCGAACGCAGCTTGCTGGATTACTTCTGCGAGAAAGTGGAAGAGACCAGCTTCACAGCCGCGGAGAAGGCGCTTTGTATGGAATCATGCAAGCTGTGGGGGACATATATGGGAGAGCCGGTGTGGCGACAGAGCCTGAAGTTTTTCAAACTCGAGCAATGTATCGATGGAAGTAAGTCAAGTTGCACCTTGCCCCTAAAATGATAGACTGACATGTTTCCACGCACAGCCAATCTCTTTGTGACCGCCACCTTCAAGGCCATCCTTGACGCCGTTGCCCGCACCGCGAAGCAACATGCCGACATCCACCTCAGCGAACCCGTTACCAGGATCGACGCTCAGCCGCGACAATCACTCACGTCCCGGTCTCCCATAACCGTCACAACTTCTGCCAATAAAACATACAACTTCGATGAAATAATTGTCACGAGCCCTCTGGGCTGGCTCAAACAGAACAAAGCGGTATTCAGTCCCGCGCTGACCCCCCGCTTATCTGCAGCAATTGACAACATCTCCTACGGCCGCCTGGAAAAAGTATATGTGACCTTTCCGCGGGCATGGTGGCACAGCGAGAAAACTAAATTCCAGGCCATTGCCAACGGCTACCCACCGTTCACCCAATTCCTCGAACCAGACCCTAAATATGTCTCGGGCATCGTACGCCCGGACAACATACCCTGGAACCAAGAATGTCTTTCCCTGGCCGCCCTGGGCAAGGACTTTGCTCACCCAACCCTCCTCTTCTACACCTACGGCGATTGCGGGAGCTACATCCTCTCGCAAATCAAGGACCTACCTAAACACTCGCAGCAGTATAACACCTTCCTGGACGCCTTTGTTCGACCATTCTATTCCCTGCTCCCACAGTTCTCGGCCTCCGATCCAGACTGCGTGCCAACTGCGTTCCTTGCGACGGAGTGGCAGAATGATCCTTGGGCTGGGAATGGGTCCTACTGCAATTTCCAGGTCGGGGTTCAGGAAGCGGACAAGGATATCGAGATTATGAGGGAAGGCATGGGGAAGGAGAGGGGGGTGTGGTTTGCTGGTGAGCATACCTCGCCTTTTGAGGGTCTGGGCACTACGACTGGTGCTTATTGGAGTGGTAATCGGGTCGCAGGGCAGGTGTGTGATGCTTTGGGTCTGAGTGGGAAGGGAGTCGGCGCTGGTCAGGCTGTGCCGAGGGTGTCGCACTTGTAAATAGAAATCCTCAGGTTCTCGGGCTTGTGAGTCTAACTTACACCACAATGCTAAGAAACAGCATGTCGATAAATTCATTATTGGGTTCTTGTAGCTACAAGAGAGGGCTGAAGATACGGTCTTTAGATAAACTCCAACGATTGAGAGCAGGACTCGTGGCTAAACATACTTCGGACCTAAGGACGAGCCCAGCCGGTAGCCTACGCTAAGTAAACGATATGAAAAACTCGGCCTCGGTCTTGCGCCAGCAATACAAGTGACTTTGTCTGGCATTCCGCAGAATACTATTCTGGAACAATGCCAGCCGGATCCGAATTCTGATCCGTGTTTCCAATCTGAAGAGCTCTACATGCTGTTCTACTCAACAATTCCGCCCTGGAAACAAGATGAGATGTGGGCAATACGGCGCTGGCACGAACATCGGAGTAAATTCTTGACGTAGTTGGTCAGCCAGATTTCGCTGGAGTTAAGTTACCCAAAATCTTACCTCGGCAACTATTGCTTATGTAATACAGATCGCCTCGCAATGTCTTTCCGTTACCGAGGTACTCAACTGAGTCCCTTCTGGCTTTCGTTTTCCTAAACCTTGTCCCTGATCCTCGGGATTGAAGGAGCAGTTCTTCGTGAATATCATGTCTTCGACAAATCAAAATCCTCGAGCTCGCCGCCATAGGTCTGCCGTCGCGTGCCAAGCCTGTCGCCAACGCAAAGTACGATGCAGCCTGACCGTAACTGGTGTTCCTTGCGCCGGGTGTACCCAGGACGGTTCTCAGTGTATTGTAAACACGAAGCGACTGAAAGTGTAAGAGAGCTCCAGATAGATGCCGTATATCTTGAATATACTGAATACCAATACCTTCTCAGCACGAAACAGATTGCCCAGCTAGCACCTCGCCAGCGTCGTCAGAGTTCAAGCGAAGCTTTTGACTCGAATTATATCCCCAGCATGAACCAAGGGCCTTCACTCACGAGCGAACCTGACCCTCCGGATGTCCCCAGCCTTCATATCCAATCAGAACACCCTACTCCTAGTTTGAGGAGAGCTTCTCCAGATCCCGCGCTGGACAACTTCGAAGAAGAAGAGCGCAATGGGCTCGAGATAGCATCCGCGGCCCTTGGCCAACCGGAAAGAGTGGGAGAAGTCCCCTTTTATGCTGGTAGGAATAACCAAAGCATGAGGCAAATGAAAAACAAATGTCACTCACTTCTCACATAGGAGAGCGGACCGGACCCACGTCAGCATTAGATGTCTGCTCATCCGATCAGTCGTTGCCAAGGCATTTCCTCATCCCGCTTCAGAGGACGCAGCTATCTGATGAAGACCAGGAATTTCTCCACAAAAAGGGCGTTTTTACCCTTCCTGGGGGAACTGCCTGTGACAGCCTGATCGAGGCATACCTTCTCCATGTACATCCCGTGCTGCCAGTGATTGAAGCTGATGTGCTTTTGCGTCATCATCAAGCGGGGCAGCTCGCGGTGTACAATCTCTTGCTTCTGTGGAGCATTTTCTTCGTCGCCGTCAATGTATGTCGGTGAAAGGACTGCTCGCGCCTTGCCCAATAGACGCAGCTGACATATACAGTTCATTCCATCACACATATGCGATCAAGAGGGTTTTAGATCAAGAAGGGCGATGAGATATGCGTTTTACTCCCGAGCCAAGGAAAGAAGCTTTCCTCTGCCCATCGTGATCTGCTAGAGTTTTCAACTAACTTCGAATCCTCGTATTTTCTCGAACAGTGCATATTCGATAACGGCAACGAACGGAATAAAATCGTGCTCTTGCAATCCTCACTTTTGCTGGGGTTCTGGCATTCGGACAGAGACGAACATGCACAACCATGGTACTGGATAGGTATTGCAATAAGCCTGTGCCAAATCCTTGGCCTGCATCGAGACCCTGATATCTCAAAGTACAATCCCTCCATCACCACTCGACAGCGATCTTTTTGGCGTCGTCTTTGGTGGAGCTGCTTTTTCCGTGATCGCTGGCTTGGTCTCACATTGGGAAGGCCGCTGCGAATCAACCTAGAGGACTGTGACATTCCCATGCCTTTGGTGACTGATATGCTTTTTGACATTGATAGTCCAAGAGAGCTCTCTCTTACTACCCACTTACCGAGCGACATGCCAAGATTGGCTGATTATTGGGTTATGCTCATTGAATTAAGCCGCAAATTGGGCAACATTCTGGCTACGAATTATCGGACTGCTCGACCCAGGCCGTCACTTGATGAAACCGAAGCGCTCGAGAAGCAGCTTCTACAGAGTAGACTTCCAGATCAATACGAAGGAGGTCTGACGAGTATTGCGAGGTTTTACTCCAATCATGTCCATTTGCATTACCAGTTAGCTCTGCCTATCTCTGCCTATCTTCAACCATTCGGCCTGCTAACATAAAGCCGCAGAGCAATGTTGATTATCTTCTATCGGCCTTGGGGAACGGAATTCCCGGATGGTCTTCATCCCGACGCAAGGCACGATTGGCAACATCGAATGAGACTGAGGACTGAGGCTGCTGCCTCTCGAACTAACGAAATCGTGGATGCGCTCGTTCAAGACAACCTGCTTGGATTTGCAGGGCCTATGACGTTAGTATCCCCAAGCAGTCGGTATCTTCTGCTGTTTCGAAGTAGAGACACCCCTACGCGCTGCTCTCGGCTAACTTGTGTTTAAATGATCAAGACCACCGCTTCTGGTTCCAGCAATGCAAACTCACCTGCTTCAATGCAAATCCTGCGATCCTCTCACCAAACGCATCAGGCTCAATAAGCTTGAAATGTACATGCTGGTCATGGAAGAACTCCAGAAAACATATACTGTCGCTTCGATATATCGTGGGATTTTCACGACGGCTATTCAACAGATTTTCCCTGGTTACTCATCTCCCGTCGCGCCCTATAGTTCTCCAGTCAATGCTGCCACTGATCCCGAGACCGAAAATCAAGCTCAGGGTTCACTCACGGAAGCAGAAAATCCTCGCGACAACGGTCAGTTCCATGACACCTTAACTGGTGTCGCAGACGAGGGTGATTTGATGCAGGCATTGATGGATGAGTCTTCAATTTTCGGCTTTTGGGAGACGTGGAATCAAATTTGAGATCCATTGAACTTGCTTGGTTGCTTTTTGGGTTAAGGAGACCGAAATATAAATAGCCTTTGTCTCCTGTTTTGCATTGGGCGAAAGACATGCGGATCCAACAAGACCACTAGGTCGTTGCCAATAAACTGCAGATGGCTGTGTCACGGCTAGACCTGGCCCTCAATAGTCAACAACAGGGCCTTCTATGACCAATATTCTCACAGGAGGCAGCTTCAGGCAACTTTTGGAGCATATCGGCAACACCGTCAAAGTATAGACAGAAGACATGAAGAGGTATACCTTTGATCTCAATACGGAGACCTATCATGCTTTGGATATGAACATGAGGAATCAATTGAGGCTGTTGACATGCCATCCCTTAAAAATACCACGACCATGTTCTGTTGGACCTCATTGCACTAAAGCCAGACAGAGTCTCTTTTCAATAAGGGTAGATGAATTTTGCGAGGAGTAAATCACAAGTGATAGTATAGATACAAAGATTTCCCATCCCTGAAGCCCCTGCATTATGGGTTGCGGCGAGGTCTAGATGTAACGTGCTTTGCGCTGAAAGCAACCTTGATGCGCAACTACGGACCGGTGGAGCCGGGCAGGCGTTGTTGAATATTCGGACTGCATATTGTCTTGCTGACCTATTTGGCGTTTGCTAAACTTCCGAGGAGTGACGAAAATGGATTAGTAGAACAACAACCCAGCAACATCCCGCCAGACCTCGGTTACAAAGTTGCTGAGGCCATACCTATACCTCCAACTGAGAGTTTCGGATAATCTGAAACTTCCTTTGAAAATGTGCCTTCTGGATTCCTTAAGCTCTGAAATAATGTTTAAATCCGACCCCATAGCCCAGCATTATTGACCCTGGCCTCATTTTTCAAGTATTTTCTTTGACGTTTTGACAAATGGTTTTCATATCTAGCTTTGTAAAAGATGCTTGTGAACGATTTCAATATCTATGACTTTTTGCCAAGTTGAAGCTAAAACAGCTCAATATTTTATAGTGAAAAAAATATCTATTCAATTTTAACACGCAGTAACATGAAACTGTAGGAGGCGCTCCTGATCAAGGGATAGATACTTCTGAAGTTATAGACAGGAATGCAGCCGACATGATCAGACGGATGTTTTCTTTTCCGTGGTCTGCGCCGTCCTTGGAGGCCATTTAACTCTTCGCTCTGCCCGAACATAGAGATTGTTCGGCCTGATCAATTGAAACATTGGATCGTACTCAATAGGCCCATCGCCCTCACGGCTGAATTTGTATCGATAGATCAATTTCGGAAGGAAAACCTTGATCTCTTGCAGCGCGAAGTTGAATCCAATACACATTCGCGGACCTGCAGCAAATGGCACATATGCTGTTTTGTGGCGATTCTTCACCTCCTCCGTATCCCATCTGTCTGGGTTGAAACGGTTGGGATTGTCCCACAGGTTGGGATTGTTGTGAATGTGGTGCAAAGCAGGTATCACAACAGCATCCTTAGGAATCTTGTAGCCCCCGGGCAACACGAGATCAACTTTGGCGGTGCGGCCGGGTTGGAAAGATGGATTGTGTCGACGTTGTGTCTCTTTGATGTACTTGTCGAGGAAATCCAAGCCGTCCGTGACATCCGCTGTGATCTCGGTATTCTCATCGATATCATTGTCAATCAACTCCTGAAGCAGCTTCTCTTGCATGCCTGGATAGCTGACAAGACCATAGATTAGCCAGGAGAGTAGAGAGCTGGTTGTGGTGAAACCAGCCCCCGTCGCGACCACAAGGGCCCAGACTAGGGAAGATTTAGGAAGCTTTTCTCCTTTGTTATCGGTGGCGCGTATGGCATAATCTGATTGACGTTAATAATCTTGCAATGAACCAATGGGAAGGGACCCGAGGAGACAATGCAACTTACCAACCATATTCGACGCCTTTAATGCGGCATCTTGTAGGGGGAGATCGCTAGTGCCACCACTTGCCGCGTTCTGGATAGACTCCTCAACCAGGTCCTCGATCCGCGATTTTACGAGTTTGAGACGCCGCGGATCTCCAAATGGCAATCTGCTGTACCAGTCACCCTTGGAAGTGACCTTCTTGTTGAGAGAAAGAATTTCGGCAATCAGGTGCACCATTTCATGCAGGGGAGCATCGGGCGAAGAGAAGTGTTCGAAGTCCAAACCAAGAGTAAGCTTTCCAACCGCTTGCGAACCCAATTTCAGCATATATTGGTAGACGTTCCAAGCCTCATTTTTCTCGTCAAAGGCATCAAGTATCGGGAAGGCATCTTCAACTGTTTTCTGCATAGTCGGGGCATAATGACGGACTGCCTTAGGGCCAAGAGCAGGCGGCAGGAATTTGTGAGCCACTTTCCATTCTGGTGTATCCGTGTCACCCAGAAAGACACCAGCAGGGGGTGTTTTCAGGGCATGGAGAGGGTGAGCTTCATTGATCTTCTTCGTGAAAAAGTCAGATTCGCTGAACACAATGGCCGAGATCTCAGGGTCGTTAGTCTGATAAAGGATCCGGCCCATAGTATTCGTCTGAATTATCGGGCCGTACTGTTCAAACAGGCGCTGGTGGTTGCCGAGATGGTCGGGATATACTTCAAAGTAGTTTCCGACGTAAGGTAAACCTTTCGGGCCAAGCGGAGAGCGCACTCCATGTCCGTCAATGGTGATTGCCACAGGACCGCTTGCTGAGACGACATCGGAAGCATCTGAAAGAGTGACATCTTCGGCTTGAAATCCAATGCCTGCTCGTCTGTTAATAAATACCGTTTCAATTGAAGGTGAAGAACGCAACAGAAAGGACATGAGAATTTTACTAAATCAGCTACTCACCATTTGGCTCAACAATGGCAAAATGAGCAGCGATCAGATTTCTGAGCCCATCAAAGTCCAGAGTCGAATCAATATCAATACTCCTCTTGGTAGAGACTGGCTCTCCGAGAAGATAAAACTGTTGAACAGACATGGTCGTAGTGCAAGTTGCATGCAAGTACAATTCTTGCGTTACTATAGAAATGAGAGCTGGCTTAAATACATCATCGGCAGGAGATAGGGGACCCGATTCAATCTTTCTACTCTGCAAAAATGTCGCATGTTCGGCATGCCGGTGCAGGAGGACAACGCCGCGGCTTTCTCGGAATCCGATGTATCGATCCCGATTGGTCCACCTTACCTCGGAATTTCAAAATTTACGTAACATGTTTACTTCTTGCCGAGAAGTACAAAATTCAGTATAGCCGCACTATAGGCGCGTGGGTCTAGTTGCTTTCCGCGGCATTGTTCTTCGGTACTCTACGCGTGGTCCGCAAACCAGGGGGCGCACTTTGTTCATTCGGCATGCCGAAGTTCCTGAACTTGTGAAAAGCCGGTCCCTCTATAAGAAGGACCATGGACCAGCTGCTTAGCTCTCGAGCATCTAGACGAACCCTTTTTGCCAACCGCCATACACTACCTCCATAGTTGCTTGAAATGGCAACCACAACAGAGTATACTTTGGAAGACGTTGCAGCACACAAGACCAAGAAGGACTTGTGGATTATCGTTCATGGCAAAGGTAAGGTTTCACCATTGGACCACATCCTGGAATAAACCCGATTATTTGGACGTGTATCTAACAGATATAATATAGTCTACAATGTCACGGAATACGTGCGTGACCACCCTGGCGGAGCAGACGTCCTGGTTGACGTTGCCGGCTCCGATGCGACAGAGGCATACGAGGATGTCGGACATTCTGGAGACGCAAATGAAATTCTGCATACATACTTGATCGGCACGCTCAAGGGCGCTCGCGAGTTCACCCGTCCGAGAGGCGTCACTGTCATTCAGCAAATACCCAAGGAAACAAAGACAACAAAGTCTTCAACATCTTCTGTTGTCCTTACCAGCGGCTCACTTGGAGGGGCCGCTCTTTTGCTTTACCTTGTTCTACAGGGCCACATCAACCTCAGCGATACGACTGCGAAGCTCTCCAAGCTCTTGCCAAAGTGGCTACCTGCGGCTTCTTTGCCACGCGGTGGCCTCCCCTGGGGAGGTTTCTCCAATGGTTTCCTCACAGCTTTTGTCCTCTTCTCAGCCGGTGGTGGCGTGTTAGGGAGCAAACTCTCTGCTCTTACTCGGATTGAGTCTGGCTTCACCCGATTCCCTCCCCATTTGCCGAGCCACAGAATCCCAAGACTGGATCCGCATCTCAAAAAAGGCTTCCTCGAGCCCAAAGACTTCAAAGAGCTTCCGCTCATACAGAAAGAAACTTTGTCGCCGAGCGTTTATCGTTTTGTGTTTCAACTGCCGGCTCCCGAAACCGTCATTGGGCTTCCTATCGGACAGCATGTGGCCATCAAAGCTACCGTGAAGGGACAATCTGTCTCCAGGTCGTATACTCCAACCTCAAACAATCTGGACCTGGGTAGATTGGAGTTGGTTATCAAATGCTACCCGGATGGGCTACTGACCGGCCAGTACCTTGCAAATCTCAAAGTGGGAGACAAAGTTCTCTTCCGAGGGCCCAAAGGTGCGATGAAATATCGGAACGGTCTTTGCAAGAAGATTGGAATGATAGCTGGCGGAACTGGTATAACTCCAATGTATCAGCTCATTCGAGCAATCTGTGAAGATGACACCGACACAACCGAAATTAGCTTGGTCTATGCCAACCGATCTGAAGAGGATATCCTCCTTCGAGAAGAGCTGGAGAGATTTAGTCAAAACTATCCCAAAAATCTCAAGATTTGGTATATGTTGGATACTCCTCCGCAGAAGTGGAAATACGGAAAAGGCTATGTGACCTCGGCAGTCATGGCCGACAAGCTGCCCGGTCCATCTCCTGATACCAAAATTATGCTCTGTGGGCCACCGGGAATGGTGAACGCCTCAAAGAAGGCCTTGGAATCTCTTGGATTCCAAGCTGCAGGTTCTGTCACCAAGATGACCGATCAAACTTTCTGTTTCTAAAATTGCTGCGGTGTTGCCTTCTTATCTTTCCATTTTGCTTTTCCCCCAATAATCTTTATCTACGGCTCGTTTAATAGATTGCAATTGATTCGTCTTTTCGTTTTTAGAACTAATTCCAAGTAGCATTATATCACCGCGTAATATACGGACTGTCTCATAATAGGTTTAGTAGAAAGAGTCTGCGGATCAAGAACAAGAATGCTGTCAGGTCGGTGCTAGCAACAATAGCCGAAATATCTACCCAGCACGCAGAAGACAGAAAAGAGCAATCAGGTCGGTTTCTCAAATTTTACCTCGAACAGGCTTTTTGTTACGCCACAACCCGTTTCCTAGAGAACATCTTGCTTATTCCATTTCCAGTGGAGCATAATTCTTGCTCGGTCAGGACATTGCGGCAATGAAACAACAGGCCTGATAATCTGCCTCGGTAACTTCGGTATATCCGCCAATCGGAAAGACACATTTTCGCTGCAAGGTCTGAGCTAAGTGGGTCACAAAACAGCCGTAGCCCCTTGGCGAAGTACGACTATCCTGCGATCAAGTTTACGATCTTAACCGCGGATATAACGGGCCGACAAGCTCGGGTTACCGATCTTGAATCTAGGCAGTATTGCTTTCCCTCAAGCAATCGGGCCGGAAAGGATCGCTCGGCACTGCCAGCCGTGCAGATGTATATAAACCACGAAAGCAAGGAAATCGCTCTTGATCGTTCATTGAAATCAACCAAGTCTTAACGCCTTCCACAATTTTCCTTATTTTAAATTACCAATCTATCAAACCAACACCTCAGACAATCATTGCAACAATGCGTTCAGTTTGGCAACCACCCCGAAATTACAAAGACCGGCCTGTGACTATTCTCGGAGCTGGCGTGCTTGGACGACGAATCGGTAAGCAGTTCTTTCGGTTATACCGGCCGATAGTTTCAATAATGACAACTTTATAGGATGCATCTGGGCTTCAGCTGGATATAACATCCGAATTCGAGATCCCAGTGCCCAACAACGCGCGGATGGAATCGCATACATCAAAGAAAATGTAGCCTCCTACGCGGCCGCCGCTGGAAGCAAACTCGATCCCGGCAATGTGGAGACATTCGAGCACATGGAGGACGCCATTGCTAATTCCTGGCTGGTGATCGAAGCCGTACCCGAGAAACTCCAACTCAAAATCGATACTTTTGCCCAGCTCGACGCTCTGGCATCCAGCGATTGCATCCTGGCTTCGAACTCATCTTCGTACAAGACCTCCGAGATGCTTGAGAAAGTGTCTGTCGATACCAAAGCTCGCATTCTGAATATGCATTACTACATGCCTCCCCAATGCATGATCGTGGAGCTAATGACTGACGGCTATACCACAGCCGAGATCTTCCCGTTCATGGTTGAGCGTTCGAAGGAGGTGGGGACTTTGCCTTATGTTGCAAGAAAGGAATCTACTGGCTTTATCTTCAATCGTCTCTGGGCGGCTGTCAAGCGAGAGGCTTTGACCATTTTGGCGGAGGGGGTGTCAGTTCCTGAGGAAATAGACTCCATGTGGACTGAGATGTTTGTCAAAGGAGGCAGTGCCCCCTGCAAGACAATGGATAGTCAGTTCTTCCTTTCATTTTTGTCTTGATTATCAGTAGGACATGCTAACATGAGCTTCCAGATGTCGGGCTGGACACTGTTGCGTTCATCGAGGCCCATTATATTGAGGAACGTGGTCTTTCTCCTAAGAACACGGTGGAGTTCTTGAACAGGAACTACCTGTGCGACGGAAAGCTCGGCTCTAAGAGTCCACACGGTGGTCTTTATCCTCCTCAGAAAGCTACGGACTTGTCAAATGAACCTAAGCTTCTCGTCTTGGATGTTGGATTGTCCGCCGTTTCACCAACAACCTCCTCGGGCAGCATCATTGAGTGTTCTGCTGATGGAAAGATTCAACGGACTTTGCTCCAAAGCCAATCTTTGCCTGATGGTGTGGCTGTCGACCCTGCCAGCAACAGATTCTTCTGGACCAACATGGGCGTCCCGGGGAAAAGGGATGGTGCTGTTTATTCCGCCGACCTAAGCGGCTCAGACATTCAAACCATCGTGCCCATCGGTGACATCAATACCCCGAAGCAGCTAACCCTGGACATCGAGGCAAAGAAAGTCTACTTCTGTGACCGTGAAGGGCTTCGCGTCTACTGCTGCAACTTTGACGGCTCTGACCTGGAAGCGATCATCACAGCAGGCAACCCGGAAGATCCCCAGCACGGCAACGATGGCACTAAATGGTGTGTTGGAATTACTGTCGCTCCCAAACTGGGAAAATTCTACTGGTCTCAAAAAGGGCCTTCGAAAGGTGGCCAGGGAAGGATCTTCTGCGCCGATATCTTGACGCCAGCGGGTTCTTCGCCAGAAAAGAGACTGGATATTCAGTGTCTTCTTAGTGGCCTTCCTGAGCCCATTGATTTGGAAGTCGATGAAGAGTCTCGCTCTCTGTATTGGACTGATCGCGGCGAGATACCATTTGGTAATTCGTTGAATCGGATCCTGTTGGATGAGTCAGGCTTGCCGCTTGTTACATCCGCTTCGTCGAAGTATGAAGTCCTTACTAGACACCTCAAGGAAGCCATCGGACTGAAGTTGGATACCAAGAACGGTCATATTTATCTGACGGACTTGGGTGGCAGCATCTATCGATGCGATCTGGATGGCAAGCAGAAGATGAAGATATATTCAAACGACCATCGCGCTTTCACCGGAATCACCACATTTTGAGTATCATCGGACTGTCTTTGTTGCTCTTCATTTCGAGAAAACTCTCAATCGATGTGCGGGGTAATGGAAGTTCATGATATTTATGGCTATTTGTATGCCCATGTGTAATAGATCTGTTTAATAAACAATCGTTAATGAAGCGTTGTAACTCTTTTTCTTTGTGCAGTTGATAGCATATCAGGGCCAGGGGAAACTATATTCTTTGTATTCAACGAGCAAGTAAAGCATTCGAGTCGTTCACATCGCCTATTTTGCTTGAAACCATTATTCCACAGTTCATGCCCTTCAAAGCCACGAAATACTGAGGTCGTAGCAACAGTGTGGCACAGGCGTACTCAACCAACTGGGAGTCACAGAATCTTCCCCTAGTCGGACTATGGGACCGAGCAACTGCAAATGGCCCCAGTGCCCCTTCTTAGACGTGGTAATTATGGGCGAATTTAGAGCGAATAGCTCTGAATAACCATTTCCCAACCATTCATGACAACTGTGACTACCTCTGATACATACTATGAGGGTTCCATAAGTTCGCACTGAAAGTCTCTTTATTGTTTCGCACCACTGCTGGCGAGTAAAGCCCAATTAAGGGACCCGAGGAATGGGGATAGCGTAAGATGTATGAGAATGATTGATCAAGGGATGATATTCAGGGCGCTTGCCCATCGATGTAGTGTCAGTTTCGCACGAGCTAGCTGAATAATACAGGAAAAAGGACTAATAATTAATCGTCCATGAGAGGTCCGGTGCTGCAGAGGGAGTGTGACCGAACGAATCAGGAATCTAGTCTCTCTGTCCACACTATCGATCTACTTAAAGCTCAGCACTAAGGTGCAGCTTTCTTGAACTAGACCCCACGTACACCTTCTTTGGATAGTCGCTGATGAACCAGTCCTGAGTGACAACATCCCAATTGCTTAGATCCCGACGAGTAAGCTGGGTAGTGAACTCTCCCGTCTCTCCCGGCTTGAGCGACAACTTATCAAAACCGCGCAACTGAACCTTGGGGTCCTTGGGCCCTCCAAGGCTGACGTACAACTGTGGGACCTCGGCGCCGGCGATGGAACCGGTGTTCTTGATGGAGGCTGTCACGGTGTACAGCTCTTCATAGAGAAGTGGGTTACCACCAGGCCCGCCACCGGCGGGCAATAGAGGCTGGGATTTTCCATCATTGGCATTCGGGGGCAGGAACTTCGAGGCAGGCTGGAGGTTGCTCGTGCCCGCAATCTTGGCGGGGTCGCTGCTAGTGAAGTACGGATAGATGTAGTACTTCACATTTTTCCAGGTCTTGGGAAACAGGTAGTCGGACAGAGATTTGCTGAAGGTGCCAAAGGAAGGTGCAGAGATGGTCTTGCCTGATGTCGGCTTATACGGAGACGCCTTGTTCTTCTTGACCCGAATGTTGGAGTATTCGAACGTAGTGTAGCTGAGGCCGAAACCGAACTCGAATGCGGGCGTGATGTCGGCCTTGTCCAGAGCGCGGTAGTCAATGAAGACGCCCTCGGTGAAATCGATCTGCGGTGCCAGCTCGCCGTTGTTGGGTTCGTACAGGACGTCGGGCAGCTGAGTGCGATCACTCGCCCAGCTGAAAGGACTCTTGCCTGACGGGTTGACGTCTCCGTAGAGGACATCCACAATAGCGTTGCCAGACTGATCGCCCGGAATACCGGCCCAGATAATAGCTGATACGTTCGGGTTACTGTACCACTCATCAACAACAACAGGGCCAACAGAGTGGATCACCACAACGGTCTTGTCGCACAAGGCCGACACATTCTTGATCAGGTCGTCGCCGCCGTGCCAAAGGGTCAGATTGTTGCGGTCACCTGCATTCCCGCCAACAGTAATATAGCCCTCGCCCGAGTCGGCGTTCACAAAGACAATGGATACAGTCTCGGCCTGTGAAACCAAATCCGGGATGGCTGTTTGGCCATTGCCTTGTTGCGTGTTAGAATCGTCGGTTACGTAGTCGTCGAAGATGCTCTGGTACGCCGAACCCTCTTGGATGGCCCGGGCCTGGATGGCGGCATCAGGTGTGACGAGGTAGGCGAAGTTGGCAGTGCCGGAACCCCAGGCCATGCCCAAAGTGCCGTTATCACAACCTCGATCGCTGCAACCGTTGGGACCATCCAAATTCGGGCCGGCATCGGACCCGATGACTGCCACCTGCTTCACCTTCTTCAGGGGAAGGATGCCATTATTCTTCAACAGCACGGAGCCTTCAGCAGCAACTTGCCGGGCCACCTTCGCATGGTCGCCACGCACATCAACGTGCCAATTGATCTGTTGGTAGCCCTCGTCCGCGGCAAAGTGGAGGGGGCCTTCTGTCGCAAAGGACCACGAGTCAAAGTTGACCGGTACTTGGTTCTCCATAGTCCGGCCAACCTTGAAGTAGGCAGCCATGATCCGCATGGCCATATCGTCGATCCGCCACTCGGGAACGGTACCGTTAACCACAGCCAAAGTCAGGTTCGCACCCCAAAAGCTCTCGCCCGAGTCAAACGCAGTGTCTCCTGGCATCGTCATATCGAGACCAGCCGCAGCACTTGCGATACCAGTAAGCTGGCCAGTCCAGTCGCTCATAACGAAGCCCTGGAACCCGAGCTCGTTCTTTAGTAAGCCGTTGAGTACCTTCGAGTTCTGGCATGCGTACGAGTTGTTGATCTGGTTGTATGAGCACATAACTGAGCCAACACCAGCGCGGACGGCGTCGGCAAAGGGCCAAAGATACAGCTCATGCATAGTCTGGTCATCAATGTTGGACGAGTACGACGCAACGACTCCATCCTGACCGGCGCTCCGGAAATGCTCCTGCTCGTAACCGATAAAGTGCTTAACACATGCAATCACACCGGCGTCCTGGATGCCCTTGATGGTCTCAGCAACCCCAACACCTGAGAGGACTGGATCCGGTGAGAATCCCTCCCAGTTCCGGCCGGCCTCAGGAGCACGGCCTATCGGGCCACAAACTGGGCCGAGTTGGACAGTGCTACCTTTCCCATGATGTTCCTGGCCCATCGCCAGACCACGGGCGTACATGAGGGCACGATCCCACGTGGCAGCTGCCGTCAGTCCCCCAGGAAATACCGTGTTGTAGTCGGCTAGACGGACGCCGACTGGCGAGTCCTGAGTGCAGAAGCCATTGAAACCCAATCGGGGCACAGATCCAGTGTTTCCGACGCACTGACCGCTCTCCCAACTAAATAATCAGCGTTAGCGTTCGTCCAGTGCATAACAAAAGCTGATGGAGTTAGAACTCCCTACTCACCCAATGCCAGTCGTCAGATTGACCTTCTCCATCAGCGTCAACTGGGAGACAAACGATTTGGCCTTCTCATAGGCTGCTTCCCAGCCCACCTCCTCGGGATTCATCCAAGGCGATGGGTAGCTCGGTGGCGATGGGGGCATGGGCAGCTTATTTCTCTTGTTGAGAGTCTGTCACAGCAAGGAAAGAGTTCGTGTTAATGAAGTTATCTTTTGTATTTCGTTATGGGACTGGCGGGGCCCAATTCATGGGTTCACGTACATCAGTGCCATCTTGACCACGAGAGCTAACATGCGTTGCGACCACGGAGTCGCAGCTCGCTAGGAGGGCAACAGCGACAGTGGTCACCTTCATGCTTAAGGATAGTGAGTGTCTGTCTGAACTAAGTCGACAAGCGCTTCTAGGGAATGGGGATGATCGGTGCCTCTTGAAAAGAGGAGCGAGCTCTGGTGTAAAGATCTCGTCCACAAGCCCCAGGGCAGCTGAAGCCGTTGCTTCTTATATGAAATGTGATCCGTCTCGATCAAATTTGGGAGTCGGTCGGCATTTGCTCCGTCTTACTTCCGCTCACCGTTCAAACTTCTCGGTTGCCCGTGAGCCAATATTTTTGTGGCCGGAGAGGGGAATAGAGCGGAGATCACAATAGGGTCTCCTCCCCCCCCGGTCCTTCCCAAGTTTACATGTTGTAGTAGTGTCTTTGCGCCTGCAGTAGCGCCACCCTAATGCACTAAAGAGCCCGAATATGTACAGGGTACATAGCCCCGAGCTGACTCCACAAACAAAAGCCACCAAAAGTCCGGCTTTTCCAAGACATCTTTTGTGGGATTTCAGATTTCTAGAATTCGACCCTCTTCTCTTTTATTGATAATTCAACACACCAACGGTCGCTGGCATCCACTCAGCATCTTTTATATCTGGATTCGGTCGATTTCCCCAATCCGAACGTTAGCATTCTCCCATTATTGTCTCATGTTACGTAGCAGATTGTCCTTTGATCCTGATGTGAGCCCCCAGCTCGCCAAAAGCCACCACCCTCGTGCCGAGTCTGGTCTGCCGGGTCACGAAATTAAGACAGAGAGAGAGAGAGAGAGAAAGAGAGAGAAAAGAAAACAGAGAAAATAATAAGGGGCTAAGTTGTGCCAAAAGCTTGTTCTCTGCTTGGTTTGCGGGGAATTAAGGCCGATGCTAGTCCCAAGTGGGCCACTTCCGACCATTTTCCGGGCCGCGTTTCAGTCAACAAGGGGCGCGAGAAGACCGACATTCCGCCCAGTGGAGGGGATCCAGGGCCTTTCCGTCCTGTCCTCCCTTCACTCACACAGAAAGTATAATACTAGAAATCCTCTCTTTGATCAACAGGAGGCCAGTGCTGAGATTAGCGAATCCAGAAGTCGATGACAAGGTCCTCCATGCATGGAGCTACGCTGATGGTGCCGACTGAGAGCTGTCAACAATCTTTGAAACAAAGCGCTGGGTCAATTCGTAGGGTAACTACCTTCCCTTTAGGGCTTTGGTGTCACCGCGACTTCCAGTGTAGATCAGCCACGTCTGGGGAAAGCAGGACCTGGAAAGCAGGACCTAGAACGCACACCGCATCTAACTAGACCGAGCCTCGGAAATTGCCCTGTAGGAAACAACGGGTCCTGGGCACAGATCCTTTTGACAAGTGTAACCGTAACAGAGAAATGTGCAAAATTGTTGCACTAATGGCCATAAACCGACATTATCCCGCTATTCCAAGCTAAACTACTAATAGCAGTAGTATGATGGAGTAGAATTCGCTTGCTCGATCTAGCTTGCTTACATGCATGCTGCTATGCGGGGCTGCTATGCGGGGCTGCTATGCGGGGCTGCTATCTAGCGTGGCTCGAAGTGAGCAAGCGCCCACGCCATGAAGACTGAGCCCCGAACTCTATGGCCTCCCAAGCCACCGAGTAGGAGCGCTTGAAGCCGCAATAGAGGCTTAATCTCCCGAAGAAGTATAATTTCAGATTGCGCAATGTATTACTCGTCTCCAATCTCCGCCTATCCCAGAACATTGAGGTCTCATATCCATAGGCTCGACTCCCCGAGCCCATTGCCGAAAGCCTCTCTCCCGATACCACCTCCGCTTCGGCCGGCGCCACTGCCTGTGTGTGCTACCATGGCATCCTCGGTAGCCTTAACAGATCTAGTGTCTCATTTGGGCGTCCTCATAACTACCATACACTACCATCCGTGTGTTCCGGGACCAGGCTTTCCTCACCCCCAGAGCCTTTCTGTTTGGGTTTAGTTACACCGTCGCCTCAGGAGCAGGTCGTGATTTCGTACCTCCGATTGGCTCACTTCCCAGATACCGCGCGATTCTCTTGTGCACACTGGTACGATGGCTCAGGCAACTCTCTAAGCCGCGATTTCCTAATTAGAAGATTGGTCCCATCAAAACGCGATTTTAGGATTCAGCCGTGACTTCTAATAGAGTAAATCAGCGCCACCTAAAGCTAGCAATAAGTTAGATGCCGAAAGAATCCAGAATGTGACAAGTGGAAGTACTGACCAAGTGTTCATGTATCTTAGGCTGGGATAAGGCGAGATCTCGTGCATGCGATTATCGTGAGAACTTCGGCACGCGGAAGCCTTTCTTGAGACCCGCCTGGACTCACCCCATTGTGACAATGATTATTTTTCTACTCTTGCGTCCCAGGAATCTACGGTCAAACACCTTGGGCTCTCTTCGTGGTACAGAGTGTTGAAATAGTAGTTGTGAAAGATTTCGTGGCAACTGCAAAACTGGCCAATATTCAGCCTTCGGTTTCAATAAACGGATTGAAAAACATAAAATATACCTCCAGCGGGTCCAGCTCTACACCAAATATGACAAAGGCTTGCGCTGTAAGTCGTTCCTCTTCTGGATCCGTCTAAGAGCACTCTCATACTCCCGGATGACTAACGAGGTGTATAACCCGGGCTGTTCGTGATAGAACTGGATGCCTTCAAGTTTCTATGGCCTATAGCTGATCATAGGCCCCTTCATGAATTGCTTCAAGGGCTAAGTGACCTTATCGAATTCCCAGTCGATAGGGGTTCGTCGATGTGGCTCTCTGAAACTGGATGCGAGAACTTGCCGCCATCGTTATGGTATTGATGGGGCTCTGAATCTTGGATACTTGGCCAAGATTCGTGTTTCAAAAACCCATTCGTATGGGTGTGAACCTGTGTGAATGATATGTTGCTGTTATTACCACATACCGAAAGATCTCCAGTTCGAGATGATAGGTGGAAGTAGAAAGGAAAAGGTAGAGGCAATGATTCGTATCATGAAAAGCAACAAAACTGCTTCTTAAATAGTAGCATAGAGACAGGATAATAATGGCTATTCAATATTTGAACAATGAAAGATAGCTATACTCGATCTCAGCTAGGCTACTCTGCAGACTCAACTTCGTTCCAGCAGTTCCCCATCGCAACAGATTTAAAGCAGTCGCTTCCAACGAAAAAGTACTTTCTGTCGGCCCTGTTGCAATTTGAGAAAGGCCCATTATAATCCATACATGTCGTCCCATCAAACTGCGAACTACAGCTCCCACTATACTTCCCTGTCGAAGAATCATAATTGATACCGTACGCTTTACTGCAATTCTCGCCGCCATGATTTTTGGCACAGCCGTTGTTTTTCGCGGAGGGGTTCTCGCCGTTATCGTCGTTATTCGGATTCGTGTCACCGCCCGAACCAGCTGTAGGCTCTGGTGCAGCAGAACCGTACTGGCGCTTCTTGACTGGGGAGCGAAAATGATGGTGGTGGTCTAGGGAGCGGCGTCCAAAGTCATAGACGCGAGTATTATCGATCTGACGGATAGGGTGATTCCGTTTTGCGAGGAATATCGTGCCGTCTTGGATGATATTGTTGGCAACTCCGTGTACATGCGACGTCTGTTTCCGGCCTAAAACCGCGTAGTCGCCATCTAGGGCATCGTGCTCGAATTCCCCAAGATGGTTCGCCTCTACCATAAATTCGTTGTGATCTAGGAGCGCAGAAGCCACGGGAAAGTAGACACGCAGCTCTGCTGCATATGAGTCGTAGAAGTGGGACGGGAAGTCTTCTTGAAGGGCGTAGGCATTAATGGAGTAGTACTCCTCAAACAAATCAAGACTCTCAGCTGGGATCTTGATTGTCTGGTACCCAATCAGCTTGACACTCTGATTGTGATACTGGTAATTCTGAGTGCGGATGTAGCGTTCCTCGTAGGCTTCTAGTTCTCGCTTGACAACGCTATGGGATAGTCGTTGCGCTGCTAGGACTGTCGTAGCCGCGGCTAGCAACATTGGTAGGTATAGGAGGAGCATTGTATCAAGAAATGTTGTTAATACAGAATATGAAGAATATCTGAAGCTTTTTTACCCGCGAGTAAATGAGGGGGTTTGTTTGTTTTTATATGTTGTATTCGATTGTGGTTCATGTATTTATTCACATTCAGCAGAGGCTGAGTTGGCTGCATGATGTGTGGAAAATACGAACAGTACTGACTATAATTAGAACCAGAACCTGCCTAAGTAGATGGTAGCAAGCATGAAAAGTGTAAGTGGTCGCCATCCCGTATAGCCAAACCCGTATCGCCAACTCGTATTCAAGCGGCAAACTCAGCCTGAAGGGGCTGACACTTAGGTAAGGAACGAGATTGGCCATTCCTCATGGGTTTAAGCTCAGCCAGGACAATATTTGAATACGGACAGCTGATCTCCACTCACCAGTGCGAACCATTCCACCGCATCGTATACGTATTATAGTGGGGACCCATCTAACAATGTCACCACTATAAATGAAATATACGTACATCCGTTTAAGGCTTAGATCTACGTGGGCAGATACTGACCTCATAACTCAGGCTCTCTACTCTCTACCATCCCGGGAACCTACCAATATTCAACAATCTGGTAGCTCTTCTTCCGAGTCAATCATTTAGAGAACCACCATGCTAATGTTGGTAGCTGCTTCCTTATTTCGCAGGATAGTGGTGAGATCTTAGGGGGCTGAGCTTATTACGACAACGAATACCTACAGTATTTTAGAGGAACAACAACAAGTGGCGATATCTTTATGAAGATTCAAACCTTCGGTCTGTGGAAAATCTCAAAGTCTGGGCAAATGCACCATTTCAGTTGCCCAGTCGTCACGGTTGCGCTTCATGTCAAGGAAATGTAATAGAAGTGAGACACAAAGTCTTTTGGAACCTACATGGCTCTCTTCTCCGGTACCCAGGAAGTCTGGTTACAACAGTTGCACGCGATGCATCCTGACGTTGACTGAGCGAGGCTCTGCCCCCATCATTGGCAGCTCTATTACACGCACTACCCATTTTGAGTGCACGCGCTGCATCGAAAATTGACTATTGGATCACATAACATAGAAAGACTCGCATGACCATATCTTAAAGTCTTTAGGCCTTTGTTTTCGAGGTATCAGGGTCGTTTACGTAAGAACGGCCCATTTAATTTAACTAACGTTACTTATAAGTAATGCGCTATAGAGGATGTAGTGGGAGTAGCCAGAATGGCAGTGTGTCGAGATGGTCCCATGATTTGTTAGTTGTAGAAGTATACGCAGGCTTCGGAGGCAGGAGGGTTTTTGCAGCGCGTACCTGGGTCTTGTCAAACCAAAATGTGGTGGGTTTTATACCGTTAGTCCGAAAAGCGCCACTGGTCGAGTTTCTGCTCTAAATGGTGAACTTCTGTCCAGAATCCGGTACACATAGGGTTCATAATTATACATTATTTGTTATGTGCTGGAGTTTGATGACATCGTAGAGGATTCGGCCCCTCATCCCATCCCCACCGAGCGAACACTGATTGATCACAGTTTTCACAATGTCCGCTTTGTTAGTCACTGGCTTCTCCATCGATTGACCAAAACAGTACTAGCCCCTCTCTGCCAAGCGTACGTGACAAAGAAGATTGATAATTATATGGGATAATCAGGCTCTGCCCGTTTCTTCAGACAGACAGAAAACCGTATTGCGGAGTATTAATCGGGCTCTTATCACTGTGCTGCTGCAGACTTGATGACACCCCCAAGCGGTTGGCGTCCTATCCCACCCCGACCCCTCTCTCCTCCTCCCCACTGGATCTAGGTCAGGCCTTCGGTTCACCGCTGCATTGTTTGCTAGCTATACTTCATCCTGACTCGACATTATCACACTTCCCTTACCTGCTAGACTTTCAGTTATCCGACCACCGGACAACGGGTACCCCCGGGATTATTTCCTTTATTGCTGCTGCTTCCAACCACACTCCCGACACTGTTTTCTGCTCTGACGGGCTCCGACGTCATATTTGGCCATTCATGTGCCACGCGGTGCATAGCGAAATCGCCTGTAGCTGCGTTCTGGGCGTTGTGTGTGTGCGTGGCCGTGAGAGTTTGGAGTGTTGGGTCGAGTATAGATATCAAGAGTTTGCCGTAGGGCGACAGAAGAAAGTATTGGTCTGCTCTCATCTGGTCCAGTCTGAACTTCGAACCATCGGGTCTTTCATCTCGTCACCATGTCCGATGCAGGCGACGTCACAGTGGCGTCTAACGTCCTAGGCACCATCGGCACCGTTCTCTGGTGTATCCAGCTGGTGCCTCAGATCTGGTACAATTGGAAACGCAAGAAGACAGATGGGTTTCCAGCAACTATGATGTTTCTGTGGGCAATCTGTATGTTGGCCTTCTTGTTGGACCCAACAACAGGATAAAGATAGTGCTGATGCTGCTGTCCGATTCTCGTGCAGGCTCTGTTCCTATGGGTGCCTATCTGATTCTGCAGGTGAGATCGTGACTCGGAAGACATAGATGCATACCACCCAGGGCTGACCTTTTTGTTTGGCATAGCAAGTGAATATCCCGCTGCAGATCCAGCCTCAGATCTTTGGCTTCTTTTCCCTGATTAGTTGGAGTCAGATATTGTACTACAATCAGTGGGTTCTGTTCAGCGGCATGTGAAGAATTTCTGCTAATCGTTTGGCGATAGTAACTATACCCTGGTCAAGGCTGTCTTTGCATGTGCCGCCACGATCGCATTATTTGGTGGCTTGGAGGCCCTTTTGATCCTCACGTTGCGAGTATGTGCTTCTCCTCGATGTGAGATACCAGCCATGCTCACCGTCACTTGCAGATTCCATACAATAACGGCGTGCGATGGCCAGATCTCGTTGTTGGAGTCGTCGCCGCCATTCTCCTTAGTGCGGGCTTGTTGCCTCCGTACTTTGAGCTGTGGAAGAGAGATGGGCGCGTGATCGGGTTCAGTGAGTGTGGTCATCCCTGGACGAGATGGAAATGGAAATCCTAACGCAGCTCGGCCAGATTGGGTGTTCTTGGGCATTGACACGATGGGCGGGCTCTTCTCTCTGTTCGCTTTAGGTATGATTGATGGCGTGGGAAATGATCGATCGCTATGTACCTGACTGACCTATTCTCAGCGGCCCAAGGGACCTTTGACATTCTGGCTGGGGTGTTGTATATCATTGTGTAGGTTAACCTATCCTGATAGGGTCGCATGCCAACTAACAACTCCCCACAGGGTGGTCCTTGAACTGGGCATCTATATTAGCCACATCATCTGGCGGTTCCGGTACCGCCAACTTCGGAGAGAGGCCAAGGCTGCTGGGAAGAGTATTGATGATCTGTTGGAATCGCAGCGGAATGACACGGAGGAAAGTCAGGACCCGGAGAAGGGCGTAGGGGTCGGGAATGTAGACCATGGGCAGACAGAATGCAGTTAGTTCCGACCAAGCAGACCAGTCAATACTAATCCCGCGTTATAGTTAGTGTCGGATAGGTGCATGAATGGATCGTCAAACGATCCCCCCTCTTCTTCTGGCATCCTTCTCTCTTTGCTCATCTTTTCTTTTGTTTCTCTTCTGCTCTTTGTCTTTTATCCTGCTTTCCGCCCCTCGGGGCTGTTTACTCACGCCCTACATCCGAGTCATCGGTCTCTGCCCCCAAAAAACCAAATACCGAAGCGTTGATCAGCCCCTGACCCTGACCCTGACCCCTCTAGCTACTAGCTCCAGCCCTCCTTAGCCTCCCTGGTAGCTGTGGTAGACAGCGGTGATGTGACCAGCACCATCACTCTCATGATGCCTGACCGACGGCTGTCGCGTCTGAAGGCCAAGTTCCTACGCCGATCACCGCTGTCGCCCAAAACGGTCAACGGGGCGGACCCGCGTGGTGTCCACCACCCCATCTCTTCTCCCTGTCCTCCGCACCTCTTCGACTCCGCCAGCGACAAGTCCCCCTACAGCATCGTCTCCCGCTGCTCAGGCGACTTCGATCCTGCTGACGACGCTCCGTCGCCGCTCGCCCAGGAAGGTCCCGATACCAGGAGCTCGCAGCCTCCGTCAGCCGGCTCGCCACCGCCCGGAGAGCTCCAGTTTTCTCACGACCATCGCGCGTGTACCCCTCCGCCGACCGAGCCCACGCATTCGTCGTTACATACGCCTCTCATCGTCGACGTCCCGTCTTCCCTTGACACCCCTCCGCTGCTGACGCCCGAAGCTTCAGAGGATACTCCCTTCCAGCCGGTACCCTTCGAAGTTCGACCACCGACATCAATCGAGACTCCGATCTCCCCAACAACCCTCGAGACCGTCGTTGAGACCCCTGTAGACGACCGTCGCCCTTCTGTATCTTGGTCTTTGCCCGACAGCCGTCCCAGCCTTGCCATCCGTCGACAATCCCTTCTCCCTGCATCGCACCACCACTTGATCAACGGGCTGTTGGGGCGAGATTCCATCTCCTCGCAAGGTGGCCAGGGCAGTGCACAGGCTCCTCCCGCCCCTGCCGAGATGGTGCAGCGCCGGATTTGGGTCAAACGGCCGGGTGGCTCGGCCACCCTGGTCCCGTGCTTGGAGGACGCGGTAGTGGACGAGCTGCGCGACCAGGTTATCATGAAATACGCGAATTCGCTCGGTAAGAGTTTTGATTCTCCGGATATTGTGATAAGAATCACCCCAAGGGAAGGCTCGAATCGACAAGCTCACCCGGAGAGGCTGCTCAGCCCGGAGGAATTATTGGCCACAGTCCTCGACACATACTATCCCGGAGGCCAGGCTATCGAAGAGGCGTTGGTCATTGATGCGCCAGCGCGTCGAACCCCGAAACCATCGCCGCGCCATTCGATCTATCACCACCACCATTCCGAGCCGGGCGAACATGGCGACTATTTCCCTCTCATGCCTGTGAACGCCAATGGACAAACACCGCCTCCACACCCGGCGAGTGCGGGCGGCGGTACCGCTGCACCGTCCATCTCCATTCTTAATACCGGCGTGGCCCCTCCCCTGCCATCCCCGGGGACCCGGGGATCCCGGCATCACCGTCGACCGCCGCTCACGCGGCATACAACAAATTCGCCAACCCTAATTGAAGGACCTCCCGTGGCGGGTATGTGTTGCGAACAATATGCAGAATGATCACTGACTTTTTTAGATATTGGCATCTCTCCTCATAGTCAAACTCCCGCCGCACCGCCGGCCCCGGCTGTGCCTACACCACCCGCAGTACCAGCTGAACCTTCACAGCTGAAGACGCACACGCCACCAGCACCGATGGTATCGCCGCGAAATTTACGCAAAGGAAAGGCTTCCCCATCACCCGCTACGGTTTTTGGTGGCCTAATCGACGGCACCGTGCCTCCTATCAATGTCCTGATCGTGGAAGACAACATCATCAATCAACGGTTGCTTGAGGCGTTTATGAAACGGTTGAGCGTGCGTTGGAAGTGCGCAGCAAATGGAGAAGAGGCGGTGCGGAAATGGCGACAGGGTGGATTTCATTTGGTTCTGATGGACATTCAGCTGCCGGTTATGAACGGATTAGACGCGACCAAGGAGATCCGACGGCTGGAGCGGTTGAATGGAATTGGAGTCTTTTCCAAAACGGCCTCTGGGCGCTCCAGCGCGTCAAGCACCAATGCTGCAGCTCCACACGAGAAACGACCTGGTCTTCAACGTTCTCTCAGTGAGGAGGATACGCTGACTGATCTCACACAGTTCCGGAGTCCGGTGATTATTGTCGCGTTGACGGCCAGCAGTTTGCAAAGTGACCGGCACGAGGCACTAGCTGCTGGCTGTAATGATTTCTTGACAAAACCCGTCGGTTTCCCATGGCTTCGGCAAAAAATGACCGAGTGGGGTTGTATGCAGGCCCTGATCGATTTTGAGGGCTGGCGCAAATGGCGCGGGTTCATGGACTCCCCCTATCTTCGTCGCCCTCCGGCGATAGCGCAGTCAGCCCGATGCAGACAGGCGACAACAAACAGATCGGCCGAGACCCAATGTCTCCATCGACTCGGCGCACTACTGCCGCCAACAAACCCCACGGACAACGCCCTACCCTACCTGATGCCGCAGAGATCATGCGCGAAGACTCCTGGGGCAGCGGCAGCGGCGACACGGATTCGCCCACAAGTCCGAACCTAACGCCTGCGGATTCTATTGTTCCTGCTCCTGTGGATGAGCCTTCTCTGAATGGTCAGTGATCTAGGAACCACCCACTCTTCTCTCTGCATACGGCCACCACCTATATTTCCACTTGGATACCCCGCATGGCAATTCTATTCTTCTCAATTATTTTCGGGTCTGCATCAATGCCATCAGACCTTTTTTGCATTAACCTTTCTTGACGTTTTGTGACTGCATACGCGTTTGTCTTTTTTCTCTCTGTCTACTCTTGTCTTTTGGCTTGGTGTTCCTGAATGTTTACATGCATATACATGGAGGGGGCATCTCGCACACGACTTTTGAGATGTCCGAATGTCTTGCTTGATGTTCAAATGTCTAAACTTGGGCCTTGTCTCGGCCTTTGGCCTCCTTTTTTTATATTATCGAGTAGTAATCTTAGTAGGATATGACTGCATCTATATCTCATCTATAGTTCAACATCTTGTCATTCATGAGCAGTATCCAACGGTCTATCGCCTATCCTACATGATCCAGCAACTTCACTGTGGCTCAATGGCCCTAAGCTCCGGGTACTCGGGCAGTTTCCCACCCCCCCCCCCCCCCCCCTCCCCGACCCGCCGCAGAAAACTTCGAGATAAAATCAGGAATCTTCAGAGAACAAACACCCCCGTAAAGTAGCATCGTATGCGAATCGCCCACTGCGACATGGGCATGGCAAGATGCACCAATCCCAGATAAAGCGTCTGCATCTCATTGACAAACGGCCTGAATACGGCCTCATAGCTTGCCAGCGCACCGCCCAGATCCCCAGGATGTTGCATAATCTCTCCGGCGAGGACATAAGCCCCAACAAAGCTAGCTGTAGATCCCATCCCCGTCAACGGCGACGGACAGTAACCTGCAATCCCCAGAAGAACCACCCGCCCCTTATACCAAGTATCCGTTCTCACCTGAACAAGCTCCTGGCAGTAAAAATTATCCGCGGACTTCATCCCCTCCACAAACCGCTCCGTCTCCCACAATGATATCAGGCTCCAGCAGCATCAAAGTTAAAGAAATCCAGATCCCGGTTGATGTCTGGAGAGTTTCTGCTGCCACCGGCCCGAAACTCTGCGCCTGTGCCAATCAAGTTTTCAGTTAGCCCAAGGTCCCCAGAACTGTTTGGGCCAGCAGTCAGATTGTTCAACAGCGTCCAGTACCAGGTGTCATTGAGACAGGGGTCTTGTGTGTTTGGAGCACTGTTGTTCCGGAGTTTGTTATGTTTTTCGACTGTCGTCTCTACCCGGTCATCAATCAAATCCTTGGGCGCCTCGATGGTCCACGGCAGCTTAGGCAATCCCAAAATCATGGATATTGTCCCCTGCACCAGGGGCGGAAGCGACTCGGCTCGTGGAAGTCTGCCGCTCGCCAAGCTCTGATCAATACACGTTGATAATAGAAGGTAAGCTCGGGGGTACTTCAGAAAGGCCTCAATCCAGCCTTTAATTTTCAGTCGTTTAAATGAAGGAACCATTCCGCCATGTTGCTTTTCGTCACCGGTAGAGTGAGAATCTAAGCATCGAGGGATTTCGCTCGTCGATGTCGCATTCCCTTGCGTTTCATTTTCGAGAAAGAGATTCTTCGTGATTGTGTACGCAAGATGAAGTATCTCATTTGTGCCCTCGGAAAAGAAGTCTGTCACGTCGTAGGCTTTTCGAGATTGAGTGACGACTCCTGAGCAGTGGTCGAGAGCGCGCCCTCGTTCCAGCATCTCCGAATATGAGGACGACAGTTTGACATCTATCGCTGCTAGAACCATGGGAGTTCCGCAATACGCCAGTCTGTAAAGTTTTATAGGTCTGAGCAATCCGTCCATGGCTATAAACCAAACAAATTTAGTGTACTTACACACCAAGTGGGATGTTTTCTGTAAAGTCCTTGGAGGCAAAATATGCCATTGTTTGGGTCATTTGAGACACAGAGCCTTGCAGTTCTTTTGCTATAGCCAAGAGCATTGTAGTAGACTTGTCTCGTAGAACCTCGCGATGTGTTTCCAGAAGAAGTGTTTCATGGTGAGCAAGCGCCATGCGGGCAGTCCTAAAGGAAATCGGTAATTAGTAAATTTGCAACTCAAGTTGGCAATTCCTGGCATTCAGCCAAGCCACTGGTGCTTACTGGCAATGCATCATGGTCAGATGAGTGAGAATATCAATGGTCTCTTGCTGTGGGAGGTCCGTTGGACGCAAAGACGTTTGGAACTCGTTCTTCCACCGTGCGAGGCTGCTCTTTATCGTTCCAATCCTATCGAGACTTACATGAAGTTCATCGGATGACAGACATGGAACAAAACCGTCTGATGCTGAGAAAGCGATCGATATGACATCTGTCAAAATAATTGCCAGTCGACATTGCGCTTGGAATATCTTCAAAGACGCGCGCTTAGACTTTGGCTCATATACTGCAGAAAACATGATCTCGTCTGAAAAGACCTCGTCCTCCAAATAACCGATTCTCGGAGTGAAATTTGCTGAAATAAACTGAGGCCGACGATGACGTCCGAGCCACAGTATTCTGTCGCGCACAAAGACGGACCACCACAGCCGCTTTTTGGCAACATTCTTTGGGTCATTATCTGGGATATTTGTATCGATTCGCAACACCATGGCGTTTTGAATTGCACATAGATTCCATGTCATTGTGGCCTGTGGATCTTCCGCCGTGGTGTGAAATGTAAGCAGCATAGAACCTTGAGCTCTGGCTAAGGGATCATTTTCGAAGCCTGTGTCATACAGAACCTGTTTAAATAAGCACCGGACGTTTTTAGCCAATCCATTAATTGCATCGTATTAAGTGAGCCGTAGTACTAGAACTAATAGTGGGCTAAAAGTGAAAAATTCGTCGTAACCCACCTTGGCGCGATTGTAAAGTATCTTTCTGGCCTCATGAATGTTGAGAAAGCCACATTGTTGAATGATCTCAATGGGTACATACTAGGTTGTTTATAAGATTCCGACGAAGATGGGGATACACCTGTGGATACGTACCGCACAGCTAGCAAATAGCATTGCTTGAAACACGAAAAGGGAAATTTTCGGTAAACCAATTGGACTGTCATTAGACTGGAGGTAAATATTCCAGAAATGCGACTCATCCAATATAGGAAGGCAGGGGTGCAAAAGTAAGAAGTACTTTCCAAGGAACACATCGATTGCGAGCTTCGGTGGTATCTCCAGACAGCCATTTGTTGCCAAAATATGTACTTCGCTCATTGGAAGAGTAGATAGACCCTCTAATTCCAGGAAATTCTGTCCAGGAACGGCAAATCCAGTATTGCCTATCATCATTTGAGACGTATCCACGCTAAACGGACCAGGCAGGTTGCTTGAATCGGGCATTTCAATGAGTAAATCTGAGCCCATTTGCGCCTGCATATCAGGATAGCCCGAGTCCTGCAGAATGGTCTCGGCTTGAGGAGGTGACTCATTCTCACTGGATACCGAGGGGTTCACACGCTGGTGGCCAACCGCTCTTGTCGATTTTGGACGCGAGCATGCGCCATCATCTTTTTGAAGTTTTTTGAAGCGTGCGGTGGTGTTAGGGCGCAAAGTACAGTCAGTCCGATCATCCAGTTTGCAGTTTGTGCAGGGGTATCCGGAAAGTGCTGCATCGCATCGTACTTTACGCCAATGGCAGTGATAGCAAGCCGCAGCTGCTCTTCGAATGCGCCTCTCGGGTGGTCGAGACACTTTGTTTTGATACATTTGTAAGAATAATTTTCTGGATTGAGTTTGATGAGGACAATAACTGAACGACGTCTGAATGATACTTTTTAGGAGACAAGAATTCTCCACGGGGAGTTGACAGACAGGACTCTCTCCCACCTTGGGGATCATTGTGATACCCCACAATATTCTTAAAGTGTGCACAGACACTTCCCCAGAAAACCGCGCGCCCGTCCAAGCGAGAGAATCAGGAACTGGTCCGATAATGGTCAAGTTTGGGATATTGATCAAGTGCAAATAATCTCGGGAGTGCCATTGCCCCGCACATTGGATGCTTTCCTCGGTCCGCTCATCCCGATATCCTAAGGGAGCAAGTGGGGCGGGCTTCTTCCCCCGTGCTCTCGGTTCGTTCACGAGGCTTGCGCGCGTTGGGGAAGAGCTTCGTTATTAAAGTCAACCGAGGCCGAAAAATCAATTCTGAGAAGCTATGTTAATTCAAGACCAAGTTGCTCTAGTGCCAATTGTGTTAAGTGAAGTAGACAGATAGATAAGTCCGTAATCCTCCTCCTTGCATCTCTACTATCACGAAGCTCAAATTTGTGTTTTTAAGATTCCCAATTCAAGGGCCATGGAAGATGTGAAAGCTACCAGGCATTGTCAACACTGGCGCAGCCCCGCGAAGAGTAATCACGAGATTGATCTCGAAGCCGCCTAAAAAATGCAGAAAGTTGATTTTCATATGTCTGGAGGGGTCTCAGAAGCCGATTTCAAAGCTTCTTCAATTGGGCGCTTTCTATACTTTTGTTTCTCAACATTGCCTTTCGGTATAATAGGTCCGCCGCAAGGTAGTCTATACTGGTCCTATTATTCAAGAGGGGACATTATCTTCTTCATGATGACACATGTTCATAATTTCGAAGGTTTATAACTTTGTCCTCTCTTCTCGATCCGTCGAGAAACTTTTTCTCGACCATATAGTTACAGTACTTTCGAGAAACGGTGTCACCACTTACTCTCTTCGACTCTTTCTCGAGCCCTAATTTCAAGAGCCATTAGGCTGCTGTGTCGAGAGTAGTCCATGAATCGCATGTTTTGAAACCGTGTCGTAAATACAGCCTCGTTTCACAACGGCAAGCTACAGTAAAAATACGTTATGCCTCAACTTGGAGCACTCCAGTGCCCGGTGGTCAGAAAGAATGTCGAAAGACTCTTATGCCCTTAGTCCCAATCAACTCCGGTCTCCAGCCGCGGTATTCACAAAAGACAAATGCTATTCCGCGGTGACGAACCAACCTTCTCTCCTGCTGAGGGTGGGGTTTTCGATCCACATCGGACCGCAGTAAGTAAGGATCTAATTTTAAATCTGTATTTTTTGTGCGTAATCCTGAGGGGTTCATGTCAAAATTGAGCCATGCCGCGGAGGTTTCCTAGGCCGAGATATTAATTGGCTGGCACGAGGCCGGCGCACAGACGCGGTGCTCAGCCCTCTTCTCTTATCATCCCTCTTCTCTCGTCATACCTCTTCTCTTGTCATCCCTCTTCTCTTGTCATCCCTCTTCTCTTATCACCTTCAAGGCATCATCCATCTCTATCTATCCTCCCTCTATATGATTTTCTATTTATCTACAAGATGTCGCTATTAGAACTCCCTACTGAATTAATCCTGCTCATTGCACTCTCCCTCCCTGAAAGCGCTCTCGCCCATCTACTACAAGTTCATCGCTCCCTTTACAAACGTCTCCTGCCGAATCTTTACCAGCGCCATCTACGAGACAGTAAACTTCAAGAAGGGCTCTTCTGGTGCACTGCCACGGGCAATGAAGCTGCTGTCAAAAACTTCCTTCACTACGGGGCAGACGTGAACGCCTGCATGGGAATTTTCTCAATTCGTCATTCAAAAATACCTTTCCAGCCGTGGTTCAAGGTGCAGGCACCCCTGAATATAGCAGCAAACACAGGAAACGACAAATTAGTTGCCTTACTACTAAACCATGGGGCGAATGTTCACGGATTCCCTTCACGTTACTGGGGCACAACCCAGCCGGCGGTAGTAGATGCCCTGTTATCCGGCCATGAGAGCACGGTCCGGCTTTTATTATTGCATGGGTCACCTATCCATGAGCCTGACATGGAACAAAGTGGGCTGGTCCACTGCGCAATATATAGGGGGCAAATTTCTCTTCTCAAATTGTTAGTTGAGTTCAAGGCAGATCTCAATATTCCCTTGCAGGGAAGGTATCCTTTGAACAGAGCTGTATCATCTCGCAATCTCTCAACAGAGATAGTTCAGCTCCTGCTGGATAATGGCGCAGATATAAGTTTAGCGAATGGTCATCCTGGCTTCCTGTTAGACCAAGCGATTCATGGCACAATTGATACTTTGCGTCTATTGCTTGACCGTGGAGTAACCTATCCACGAGATGAATTTGGGGATTGGTTTGTGAGATTGGTTAGCAACTGTACAGTCGAGACGGTGCATCTGTTGCTCGAATACGGTTATGCGCCGAATATCGAGACGCTGTCGAGTGCGGTAAGGGCTCGGCGGGGAGATATTCTGCAGCTCTTCATTGACAGCGGTGTGGATCTAAATATGAGAGATACGAGAGGGTTTACTCTTCTCCACACGGCCATCTTTTGCTGTATACCCATAAGTCCGCCAACTGGAATCTGTGGCAGGGGGGTGACATGTCGCAAGCCCGGTAGGGAGAATCTGGTGCGTAAAATAGAACCTGTTCCGCAGCGGGTCTCACCTACGTGTATGAGTGACAAGGTTGAAAAAGACTCCCCGGAGGAAATCGTGCGCTGCCTGATCCGCGAGGGTGCAGACCTCAACGCCCTAGACGCGCGGGGGCGCACCCCGCTGGATCTCGCCAGAGAATGCCCTCCGGCGATACAGCAGATTCTTATCGATGGTGGAGGTAAACAGGGAAAGATGGCATGAATAATAAATTTACTAGCTAGGTAGATATTATCTCTCCTCCATGAGCTTAGAGGAATATCCCACCAATATACTTATGGAATTGCATCTGCAATGATACCACCAGTATCCACCGTGCCAAAATTCGAAGTCAGGAAATAGATATCTTGCATGCCCGGTATCATCCCTATGTTTTGTTTAATTTGTCCTCAAACCTTGTGAATGGTCTTTATTCCATACGGAAGATCACCCCGTCTGTGTAATTTGTTTTGCGGGAGAAATGCAAAGGCAGGTAGTACAAGGAGACAGCGTGCCAGATCGTGACGTATCCTGTCGCTGGTTCAATGATTTGCATTTGAATCCATAAATCTAGGAATAAATCCCACCTCGAAGCTCATTGTACAGTTTTTTACAAGTACGATGTAATCATGTTCTCTGCGTACCTGTAGCCATGACGTACGGAAACTTTTGCTACGATTCAACTACTCTATACACGAAATAGCGCATCTTGGCATAGGGTTCGAGAAAGAGTCGAAGAGTGTAAGTGGTGACACCGGTTTCCGGAAGTACTGTAGCAGCCTAGAACAAATCGTGGGTACCTGAGGGTTTTCGATGCTAATCTTCTACATGACAACACATGTATAATCTTTATCCAAATGAGGAGGATAAAGAGAAGGCTCACGATATGAGAGACTCTCCTATTGTTGTTGATCGTAAAGAATACAAAATGTATAGGAACACAAAAAAAGAATTTAACGGGAAAAACGCAAGGAGAGCAAAGAACAGTGAAGATCATTCAAGACATGTCAACACCGCTAGGCCATATTCCGCAATCGACGGCGCATGTCCCTCATGTAATATTTCATAGGTATAGTGCGAATGAACCTCGGGATAATTGGGTAAGCGACCTTGGCTCCAAGCATAACTGATTTGTAGAATGTTCGCCGAGTGCTGCTCGTTTTCAAACCGTATCCTTCGCGGACATGGTCTGGAAGCATTTGAGCTGTCATTATGCGGACGATCGGCAGACCCATCCGCAGAGGCAAGAACAAATGCTTGTTGTAAAGAAGATCCTTCGCAATGCTTTGTGCGTGAGCTGTGATCTCCAGCCCAGCCACCGTAGTATCCCAGTATCGCCAGAAAGCCTTCCGATTCTTTGGCCACTTCTCCGGGGGCACGCGAAGAGACACAGCCAGGACCGAAAATTCCTGGTATATATGATTTGCCTTTTTCGGCTCCATTTCTCCATATATCTCTTCGTACATGTAAATTCCGCTGGCATAGAGAGTAGCGGCAACCCATACCTGGAGTTCGGGATCATCTGCAGAATAGTCGGACCCTTGCACCTCTGCATGAGCTCGATTGACCATTGTAATAACCGCTTTCTTCTCCTCTTTTGTGCCGTATGCCATGCAGTAGACAAATGTGAGGGTAGTCCGAAGTCGACGCAACGGGCTGTAGGCAAAACTGCTATGGTTGTCTACGCCCTTGGCGACCCCTGGCATAGCAACCTGTAACAAAATTGCTGCGGCTCCCGCCGCTAGCAGGATGCCTTCTCGAACGACTTTCTGCACCTGTTGGGAATTCTGCAGAGAATCGAGCAGGTCATCTTCGGGGACAACACCCAGATGTTTTTGCTCAAAGAATTTTGACTGCCGGGGCTCTGGAGTATTCAATCGGTCTAACTGCGCTGATCCTTGAAGATCGGCTGTGGCCGTGCTGGGCTTCTCGGTCATCTCGTCCATAGTTACCAGTTTTGAATAGATAATGTTTTGGTCAGTTTAGTGATTCAGGGAGGGAAGATTGATCCGTTCATCGACTCAGTAAACAAAAGTATTAAATAGTTCCAAGCAGCAAGCTGTAGTAGTAGCTCACCTCCCAGATTGCAAACCACGGGAAAGGGTTGATAAGTTTCTGAGGGGTTGCCGTGGTGGACGGTCCGAGGCGCAGATGCTCCCGCGGTAGCATGCATTATTGCAAAAGCCCTATTATGGTAGCGAAGGAGCGAGTCTACTGATTCTCGTTTTAGGTGTAGCGAAAGTGGATCCAACACATGCAGCCTTCTGCGAGGTGACTGTCTCATGGTCTTTTAGGTTAATGGGATCTGGGGTTCCCCGCACGGTTAGTATGTAGACACCTAACCGAAGGAGTTGATGAAAGTTTTACTTTCATGATTGTTCTAAAACATATAACAAACAATAAAAACGCTTTTAGAAGACCCCCCACACCATCTCGGCCTTTAGCACTTCATTCTTCCTTTCAGCCATACAGAAGATAAGACACCAGATCTTCAAAGAATTTGACAATTATGCCTATTGGAGAATCCCATCGACCGTTCGATGGTATAGGTGCCCGCAAATTGTCTGTGGACTCAGAGTCATCCTGTGGAGATGACGAAATTGCTAAGGAATCTCGAGCGTCCGGTGCCGGAATGCACATAGGGCCAAAACCCAAGGATTCAACTAGTAGGAATCCCCGAGGTTTCTGGGCCAGGATATGGAAGCACTATAAACGGTACTGGCTCTGCTATGGATTACTTGGAGTTATCTTTCTAGCAATTTTTTTGCCCCTCTTGTAAGTTCCTCGTCCGTCGATAAGATTTATAAAGTGAGACTCATGGCTAACTAGTGTATCCCAGCTTCCTTATCATTCTTCCGGCTATCGCACAAAGACTGGTGGATAATGCCAGCATCCCAATTCGTTCGGCAGAGGTCATTAGACCAACTCCGAGCACTATCACATTTTCTCTTGCTGCAACTCTTGATGTTCCACTTGGGTTGAGTGTGCAAATAGATCAATTCAATCTGAGCTTGTTTAATCGCGATGTCAAGCCAATGCAGCCATATGTGATAGTCCCACTAGGGCCAATTCATCTCAAAGGGAAATCAGCTGTGGATGTTTCCCAACAAACAACGAAAATTTTAGATGAGGATCAGTTTACGAAGTTCCTGTCAAACGCCGTTTACTCCAAGGGATTTACTCTATCAGCCTACGGGAAGACGACTGCCCACTTGGGGAAATTAAAAATACCGTTGAAACTGGATAAAGATATTAAACTGAATGGTACAGCATTTGCTATCACTCTATTCGGCTACATACTTTGCCCTGCTAAACTTCTAACCCTATAGGACTTGATAAGCTGAGTGGTTTTGCCATCAATTCAGCCAGACTGGCTCTTCCACCGGAGGACGATGGGACTGATCTCCTCGGAAGCGCAACAATACCAAATTACTCCGTGGTCACATTTGCTTTGGTAATATCGTTTTGCATATGTGTCTTTATCTATCGGACTTATGAACTGATTATCTGGATAGGGGAATGTCACTCTCAATTTGAAAGTTGGCGACCTCGTTTTGGGGACCGGAACTATCAACAATGTATTCTTGAAGCCTGGAAACAACACAGTTCCATTACGTGGAGCATTGAACATCAGCAATGCCATCAGCCACCTTGGAGAGCTTCTCGAAGCAGAGTCAAGCTCTCTTAGTGAAGGGCAGTTATTGCTTTCAGCCTCTGGAAAGTCGACAATTTATGACGACCTACATATACCCTATTTTGAACAGGTATTAAACCACCTAACTGTGACTGCAAATGTGCCGATTCTCAAGGTGCTATTTGGCAGCATCGGTCAGTTAGTATCATCGAATCCCGGGGCAATGCAGAATGTAACGAGTGCGCTTGAAGGCCTCGATTTATCGAGTAGCCCCAAGATGTATTCGACAAATGGTCACACGAGAATGATTCGAGAGGACCATTAGTTCTATTAACATTTCGTTCAGGGAAAATGTGTTTGGGCCCGTTAGTCTACAGTATTCTAGCTTTGCCTATTAAATTTAGCAGCTGAAGCCGAATTACTATTTCAACATGTAGCCGCCCGTACACGATTCCCATTTAAAAAACTAATAAGCATATGTTATGGGCTTACTATCTAATCCGCCGAACGGTGTCCCCAAGTCATCATGTTACATTTCCGACCTGTGTTGTGGGCCGCCAGGCTACGGGAATCGCATGCTACTTACCCAACTGATTGCAGTGCATGCTTCATGTGACGAATGTTCCTTCAACACATACCATTTTAATCAATTAATCTTTCTCTCCATGCTGGATCAGCGGGGCATCGTATGCATGAACTAGGTCAAATCCTTTTTACCCCATTTTTCTCCACAGATCTCTCCCCATACCCCGCGAGCGGTCCGAGGCAAGGCTAACCGAGCTTTACCTAGTTAATTTTGTGAAATGGATCATGACAGTTTTAGTTTCGGGATATTAATCTAGATCCGAAGGACGAAGGGAGCAAAATAGGTAAAAAACCGAATATTGATCGACCTTGTCTCGGACCACTCATCCTAGCCGATTGGGTGTTATGATCAAGCTAGCGTAACGGTGCTATAACTACATCGGTGATATTTGCACTAGCTCCTAAAAAGTACAGTTTTCTAGGAAAAAGGTCAAACTAGTACGGTCGGTTAACCTATCTGGATATCACAGGCGAGTTTCTGAATGACCACATCACGGAAGGAAGAAAATCACAGTGCTGTTGGTCCTCGGTAACTGGAGAGGACCAACAGAGTCAACTAATCCTATAGCTTTAATAAATGCTGTAACTTACCCTACTTGCTCTTGATGCAGTCAGGATTTTCCCACGCGACTGCTCTCGAACTGCCAGTCAGATTTATTGAAAATGAGAATTTTTCCTTCTCTGATCCCACTGCTGGCTGCAAGCATTGCTGCATCTCTATCAAGCCAAAACGAAGTCAAGCAAACGACATCCTCCCTCAACAGTATTGGTGCGGTTGCAACGGGCGGAGTCAATGAGCCTTTAAATAATGAGCATGGTCTCGTTGGAGAGGTCAAAACGGCCCATGACTCTCCTAAAACCCCCGGGGAGGGTATCATATCTTCAATTGTAAACAAGGTCACGCAAGCAATTCCAGATGAAGTTCCCGGTACAATGACGACTTCATTAGATACATTGACTACAACTGAATCTAGTTCAATTCCACAGTCACATCCAACTGTTTCAAGCTCATCTGGTGACAGTGGAGCCTTTGGAAGCCTTGGGGATGCCTTGTCTGGTATTTTGGGCGACAGCGGTTCGGATGGATCAGTGGAGTCCATGATCTCCGAAGCAGAAACTATTATGAAGAATGTTGGCAGTCTTTTTACTCCCACTTTTGTTAAAGATGCCAGCGGCTTGGTCAGTCAGGCCTCGAGCTTTTTCGACGACGGAACCGTGAACGATACCAAAGCAATGATTAGCACCATTGCAGGGCTCAAGCCATTACTTTCCTCAACAAATGGAGATGACTTTTGGTCTATCTTTCAGAACGGCACTTTTCTTCACGACATCGACAACATCATCCAGGATATCATTGCTCTTCCGCCGATCATAGAAGAGATCGTCAAAATTTTGACAAGTAACGATATGAAAGACTTCCTCAAAGCATTCCCGTCAATCCTTGATGGTCTTATGCCTATTTTGAATCCGGAATTGCTGAAAGCAATTGAGTCTCTGATCACAACAAATGTAACACCGCAATTTGTCAACGACTTGTCGTCAATACTCAGTGCCGTGCGACCGCTCGTTCACGATCTTCAGCCAGCCCTAGGAAACGACACAATACGAACTCTCTCGAATCTTGTCAAAACCATTGTCTCCCCAGATTTCATCAATGAAATCGACAGCCTATTGAATAAATTACCGCCAATCCTGGAAGAAATCATACCCCTTCTTGGCTCGGATGTCATAAACCCACTCATCAACCTTTTCAAAGAGATTTTGACGCCAGATCTCATAAAGGAACTTGCTTCATTGGTCAACGACTTGCCGGTTCTTCTAAAGGACCTTCTGTCTTTAGTCAAGCCACTTGAAGATCTCATCACCGACATTTTGACACCGGAATTTATCAGTGAAATCAAGCCTATCTTAAAGAGTCTACCCTCAATTATCAATGACCTGTTGCCTCTTGTAAAGCCACTGGAAGATGCTCTGACGAGTCTTTTGACAAAGGAGTTTATCGATGACATCCGCACTTTGCTCAAAGATTTGCCCCCCATCTTACATGATTTCTTGCCTCTCTTGAGCTCAGCCATCATCCAACCTATTGGCAACCTCTTGAAAGAAATCCTAACCCCCGAGTTCATCAAAGAGATTGGAGCACTTATCAGCGCATTACCGCCCATCATCAAGCAGATAGTTCCTCTTCTCGACCCACTTGAGGGTTTGATCAAGGACGTCTTGACACCTCAGCTTCTGAAAGACGCCACGTCATTATTAAAACAAGTTCCTGGGCTGCTAAGCAATCTGCTGCCACTGGTTCCAAAGGTTGTGGAGCTTATTAAAGAAATCCTCACTCCTGACGTGATTGACACACTTGGTCAAGCAATTGATGGACTGCCCGGCCTTCTTAAAGCTGTTTTGCCCCTCTTGCCGACAGCTGAAAATCTCATCAAAGAAGTCTTGACACCTCAGCTTCTGAAAGACGTCACGTCGTTATTAAAACAAGTTCCTGGGCTGCTAAGCAATCTGCTGCCACTGGTTCCAAAGGTTGTGGAGCTTATCAAAGAAATCCTCACTCCTGACGTGATTGACACACTTGGTCAAGCAATTGACGGACTGCCCGGCCTTCTTAAAGCTGTTTTGCCCCTCTTGCCGACAGCTGAAAATCTCATCAAAGAAGTCTTGACACCTGCTTTCATACAGGACATCAAGTCATTGCTTGGACAAGTACCTGTTCTTCTCAACACCCTTCTTCCTCTCATCCCGTCGATCGAAGACTTGATCAAGAAGGTTGTAACTCCAGATTTGATCAGTGTCCTTGAATCGGTCATCAATGCAGTGCCAGGGCTTGTGGATCGACTGTTACCACTATTACCAGCACTTGAAAGCTTGATCGTCGACACTCTTACGCCCAACTTCATCAGTGAGATTAAGAAGGTTCTCGCTGCAGTGCCAGGGATATTGAATGCTCTATTGCCACTGATTCCACCAATTGAAAATCTCATTCCCAAGATTCTGACAAAGGACCTCATCTCCTCTGTTGAATCTGTGCTCCAAGCTGTCCCTTCGATTATCCAGGATATACTCCCTCTGTTGAATGGCAATCTTATCAAATCATTGGTCGACATGGTTACCGCGCTTCTTACGCCACAATTTATCAAGGATGTGGAAACAGTGCTCAGTGCAGCCCCACAACTGCTTCATAGCGTGGTTCCAGTCTTCGGAAATGACCTACTTTCTCCAGTGGAGAATTTGCTCTCTACGGTATTCACAGCCGATGTGATTCAAGATGTGGGTGGACTGATAGGAACTTTGCCGCCTCTTCTCAATGATATGTTGCCGTTGTTCCACAAGGACATCATTGTGCCAGGAGAAAACATTGCCAAAGATCTCTTAAAGCCAACGCTCATGAATGACATTGGAACGGTCCTCAACACCGTTCCAGACATAGTGCAGAGCTTGCTATCTGTCATAGCTAGCAATGCAGTTACTTCGATCCTTGATGCGGTACCAAAACTTTTGGATGACCTTCTCCCATTGTTGAATGGCGATTACATTTCAAAACTTGTCAATGACCTGGTCAACATCCTGACTCCCGAATTTATTAACGATGTTGGGAAAGTCCTGGCTTCAATACCGGGCCTCGCAAAGGCGGTTTTGCCAATCTTCACGGGCAATATTCTGACAACACTCGTACAAAACTTGATTCCTTTAGTGAAGGCTGTGGCCGCGGTAGGTCAGCTTTTATCAAATTATCCATCTCTAACTAACTGAACATTTCACAGCTGCTGCCCGTAGTGACTTCTCTCCTGGGCTCTCTGGGACAAGGTATAGGAGGCTCATAGTCAGCATTGGCCAGAAGGCATGAAAGATATGAATCTTTGGTACTCGACTAGTACATGAGAGAGCAGATCTATGTTATGTTTTAATGTCGAAACGTCTCTTTTTTCATTTTAAATGTTCATAATGTTAGTAAAGCTAGCCCGAACTCCGCATGAAACTCTTCTGATTGGCCAGCTCACATTGGTTGCGCCAGCCATAATTGGAAACTTTAATGTCTGATATTTTAGGCTCTCCGTTTACAAGTTAAACCCCCAAAATAGGAAAACTTTTACTGTACTTGTTGGGACGGATGAAAGCAGTTTCCTATCCTCAAAATAACTTTGCCTTTGACTGTGAGTTTGAGTTCTCTGTATGTTGCTACCCTTAGTATGGGAGTATAGATATAGACAAAATGATGTTCAACAATATATATTTATGTGGAAATATAGACAGCCATGAGAAACCCAAAACAAACCGGTATAAATGCTCAGACAGACCTGTTAGATGTACCGATTATTATGAGAAAAACACACCTTCGAAATGTTGTAGATTGAGAAGATGACCTGAGGTCATTTATTGCAGGCCACCCATAACAATGGTACCTTCCGTATGTCTGAATAGATTGACAAAACTCCATTTACATATACAAGTACAAGTACAGCCGGAGGCATCCAACCAGAGTCCGACTACCACGCCATGGTAAAATCACGCCCCCACACGAGTCGGAATCTTGACGATACCGCGCTTCCGATCCTCAGAAGGCACTCCATACCTCCGACCGGGAGCGAGGTGACCCTTGCCGTGAGGACCAGTAGTCTCCTTGCTAACGACAGTATCATGGAAGCGATACTCAAAGCGCGAATCCGCAGGCTCGACCTTAGCGATACGGTCCTGGCGGCGCGCCTGGGCGCGCTCGCGACGCTTCTGCTCCAATTCATCTTGCTTTTTGATCCGCTGGGCCTGGCGCTCTGCGCGCTCCCGGCGGGCGAGAGGTTCGTTGATGCGATCGATCTCGAAGTTGACTAGTTGTGGATGCGGAATGCGCACATCCGCGGGCTGCAGCACCTGGCGGGCGTTGTCACCCTTGCCGACCCATTCAATTGAGTTGGGCTTCTCCATTATGCCCTCGGCTAGGTCGGATGGGTGGGAGATCTTCGCTGCTGTTTCATGGTCCATTGCCGGAGCGCCGGAGAAGACTCGGCCGGCGTCTACGCGGGTGAATTTTCGCGACTCAGGCACCGGGTAGAAGATCTGAGCGCCGGTCGATGGGTGGGTGGGGAGGTCGTTGATGGGCTCGTGGTAAGTTTGTCGCTCGCCATCTTGGGAGAGCGGTGTGACAGGGACCATTTCGTGGATTGCCCGTGCATAGGGCAGGGCCAGTGGTTTTCCCTGATTTGAAAGTCAGTCAGTCATTGTCACACGAATATCAATACAGCGAAACAAATCCCGAACGGTGACAGCAATTTTCAGCAACAAAGGGAGTTTTAACCAGTCAGGCAGTAATGCCCGATGTCTTCAAGACTAATCGATTTTGTTGTGTCTCATCATATGAAGGAGGATGGATGGGGGGCAAGAAAAATAAGGGAGAAAAATGCATACCTGAGCTCTTTGCCTCTTCTCCAACTCGACTAATCTCACCACGGCGGCCACACGATTCATATCGATCCCCATATCGACACTGACAGCGCGAATACTCTTCTGCTGCTTCGTGACACGCGCATAGATCTCATTGCGCAGCTCCTCGCTCAAGACGGGTTCGCTGAAAAAACTAGGATTGTTAGGGAATGGGAGTTTCGAGCCGCCATCGCTCATGACGTTTCTGACCACCCCGGTCACATAGTTGGTCTCGCCGGGGACGTGGTGTTTCAGTGTGGCTCCCGTGGTGTTGAGCCATGCGAACATTTCTCGGCGCAGCTTGGTCTGCTGTGCTGGTGTGCTTGAGAATTGGCGGGAAGTAAGAAGGGAGGAGTGAGAGGCTGGAGATGAGGAGGAGGAGGAAAGGTAGGGGAGGAGGGTGTTGGACACACGCCGGCTTTGTATCCGGGGTGGCATCTTGAAGGGAATTGTGGCAGCAATGGTTTGAAAAAGAATGAAGAAAGAAGAAAAGAAGAGATAAAAAGATTAAAAACGAAGAGATATCACCACCATTGACCCAGTTGAGAAGAAATGGGTTTGGTGGCCGCGAGGTGGACGAGGTGTTTGGAAGTGCAGGGGAACCGCGGAGGAAGAAGTTTTCCCACTAGATCACGTGATTACAAAGCCCTTAACATTATGTACGGAATAAATACATCAAAAGTCGATAGCCGGTTTCTGAGCTTGGTTCTGGTGCAGCAGTCCATTTGTGTATAAAGTACAGATAGAAGGAACTGTATCTTTATCAGTGCCAACAAGCAAGATGGGAGATTTGGTAAAAAAGGTCAAGTGATAGCAGTTAATACAGCGGAAAGCCATCGAGCGAAGCAATGCAAGCTACTCCCCGAGCAAATGCGCAAATTGGAAACCAAACATGAGAGCCGGACGCCGTCTGCCCCGTCGCTAGGAGAAATACGACAGGTTTTTTTATGGCGGCAAAGACCATACCGAGAAACGCCAGCGACAATGTCGAGCGAGGACCACGGAATCCAGTAGCTCATGCCAGTGGGGGAGAAAATGGAAAGAAAAAGATATTAAAGCCGACATTAGACCATTCTTCCGTACTCGCAAACAGGATAAGACAAAACGCAAGATCCATTCCAGCCCGCGCGTGACAATGCAACAATAATAAGGATCCTGCAGATGAATGTAAAAGAGGGGGAATCACAGTAGAACAACAGGGAGGATCAGAGACCCCAGGCTAGCCGGACACAACGACGCGTCCTGCCACAGACCTAGGATGTAGGCGTGTGAAGAAAGAAATGAGCAAGCAAGACAAGAACAAAAAATAAAAATAAACACAAGGGTATGAGGGTGACAAAAAGCGAACATGGAATCGATCGCCTTGCTCGAGCGCATCGAACAGATAGGAATACAAACTTATCAATGACCTGAAATGCAATCCTCCCAAGCGAATAGAAAGGCAAACTGTGAAAAGAGAAGCGCCCGGGTTCCCATGCAAAAAGACAAAGAGCCAAAAAACACATCATCCATAAGATCAAAAACAATACTCCCGAGAGGTATGCAGCCGCCGAATGCTGATCTAGCTCGCGAATAGAAAAGGAAAGTAGTCCCCCAATGCGCCTGATACCCCAGTTCGTCAAAACATGCCGGACATTATCGAAGATATAATGCTTCTTGAAGACAAGGGGTTTAGCGACCCATCATGTAGTCGGGGTAGAAGGAATTGTAGCCGTTCATATTCGGCGCCGCGTTGTTGCCCGCTCCGCTTCCAGGAGGAGGAGGAGGTGACATCATCATCGAATTCACCCCGTTGGTCCGGATTCCTAAGCCGGAGTTAGGGTTGAACGAGCCGTTGCCCACCATGCCTGCGTGGGGGTTGCCAGGTGGGTGCATGGCTCCTCCGCCGTTGCGCACTTGCATCGGCACGTTGAGACCGGGAGGAGCAGCGAGGCCAGGGGGCGGGCCGTTCACAGCGGAGAACATGTGGTTGTGCATGCCTCCCAGGCTGCTACCGCCAGGAACCGCGCCCGGTGCAGACAGGGGATTGGCAGTGCTCATGCTGCCGGGCTGACCCGAGCGCACACCCAGCGGATTCTTCGAGAAACTTAGACGAATGCCGGTCTTGACGCTATTGGACAACTTGTAGCCGTACAGTTCGTTGAGCGCTTTGCTTGCCATGGCCACCTCATCGAATTCCACAAAACACATGGGGCCATTCTGCTTGTTGCGGAAGCAGAGTCGCTTGTAGCCACGCTGCTTCGAGAAGAGCGCCTTGAGCTCCTCCTCCGACGTATCGGGCGGCAGGTTCCCCACATAGAGTGTGTTGCATGGCGGATTCAGATCGTTCGGGTTTGCAGCGGGAAGGCTGTGGCGCGGAGTGTGCTGGGCACCGTATGGATAGCCATGACCACCACCGACAGGGGCTTGGTTGGTCGACGGCGGGTAGCCCGAAGCACCACTTCCCATGCGCGAGGAGTGACCACCCGGGGCATAGCCGGGGAGAGGCGGTGAGGACATATTGGTTGACAGAGACATGTTGGCAAAACGACCAGCCGGAATCTGGGGGTTTGTAGAGCGGCGCGGGGCGGAAGCCGACGCAGAGTGACCATTCTCTGCGTAGCCAACTGGATCCTTGAGCAGCTCTCCCGTTTCCTCGTCCGGATCTTCATCGATCATGGACTTTCCGGTAACGCGGGGCAGATCGCCAACGCCGTTTCCGATCGGAGACTGCGGAGAGAAAAGACTGTGGAGGCGCGATCCGGACTCTGAGGCGGGGGGCAAGCCTTCGCCGATCGCCTGGGCAGACGGATTGGCGGCTGAGAGGCGCTCGAGGCTCTGGAAGGTACCGTTGAATCTGGACGATTGACGCGAGACGGGGCCGTTAGACGGAACGCCACCCAGAAGCCCGCGATTGGCGGTATGATCAATTGTGTTACGACGCGTGTTCGACCCGACGGGACCTGGATACATTTCCACGATCATGGTGGCGTCGTTCTTCGAGTTTGGCTTCCCATCAAGAAGAGCCCTTGCTTCTTCGGCGGCGGGCAAAGTGCTGAAGCGCGCGATCGCGCTCAAAAATCCATTATCCTCCGGCAGGTCCAGCGACACAAAGTCTGCATCGACGAAATCCTTTGCGAACAGAAGCATGCTGCGCAGTGCTTCGCGGCTCGTGTTGCGCGGCAGCTTGCGCATCAGGATCGCGCCGCCGCTATTGGCGCGAACCAGGCCGTTGAGGCTGCGGTCGGAGTCGTTTAGGCGCATACTGGTGTCCAACGACGCTGACGGACCGAGAGGGGAGAAAGGGTAGGAAAAGGAGTTGCTTAGCGATGTGGGCGCTTGTGACGCATTCGGGCTGTACACGTCGGTCGACATCGCATGCTGAGCCGTCAAAGGCGCCTCAGTGAGTGACTGGTGCGGTGGCGGCGAGCCCGATGAGACGGATTCAGTGCGCTGCGTGGTTCCAAAAGAGCCTGGACTCGTGCGAGTGGACTGGTTGGAGCTGCCGCTCATCCCTCACAAAGTGGCGTCTTTCAGAAGACCTAGGTTCGTGGTTGTGCAGACAAGAACGATGGCCGTTCTATAATCCTCCCAAGGGATCAGCGATGGGGGTCGCACGGGGGCGGAGGGATCGCGAACAGGGATCTCGAGTCAGGCGTGATGCGAAAACGCGACGGGTGAAAATGACCGATTCAGTCGGATGGTGAAGGCGTGAGACAATCGCTCATCGGATGCGACACGGTTAAAGCTGATTTTTTTTTCGCGCGCTGAGGATTTGGTGGATGGACGGATGCAGTCTGCGCGGGAGGCGAATGCGACTGAGTGGATGATATTGGGGGGGTTACCAGGTGTGATTTCTGGAGGAGAGAGATGGAGAGTCGCGTCGAGTAGAGGATGTGGGAGATGGCGTGGATGGAGAGATGGCAGAGAAAGGGAAGCGGATGGGGATGAGATGATGCGAAAGAGTGGGAAGAGAGAGAGAGAGAGAGAGATGAGAGAGTGAGGGAGGCAGAAGGGGGAAGAAAAGCAGGCCGGAACGGTCGCAACAACCCACGGTACGCTTGCCTCTGCGACGCGCGACCATAGACTGGTATAGCATGGTACAGTATTAGGGGGCGATACTTGTGCGGAGCATACTAGACTCGGCGGGGGCTGAGGTACCCAGGGGGCAATGTGACAGTATAATACCTGTCACAAATACGCCTCAGGTGCCGTTTTCAGAACGTGGGCGTGCCCCAATAATCCGCTACGAAGGGTCCCCGTACATGGCAGCCAGACCCTATGCAGGAATGTACCGATATGTACACAACGTGCATTCCTCGAGTCTGCCCCAAAAAAGACGTCAACGGCGGCTCTCCCCAGAACACAGAGGAGGGGAGGCTATAAAATGGGCGTGCAGCGGTTCATCCGTCAGTCACGATCGAAATACATAATTGTGCCTAGTAGCTTCTTCGCTTTCTAAGGAGAGCGCGACTCCTGCTCTCAGCCCGACCCATGGAAGCGCAAACTCTACACTGGCGATCCTCCAGTGCGGGCCAATAAACCGGTGGATTGGGTGGGCGGCGTGATGGCCTGGGCTTGATCGAGGCATTCGCCGGGCTCTGGGGTTGGTATGGTTGGGCCGTGCCCACAAGGGCCTTTGTTCGGGGGACACACTTGGTTCCCGCCAAAACGGGCCTCGACCGGTCATAGGCGCGTCACGGATGATTACTAGTTAGTGCCTGGCCAAGGCACATGCGAGGTACGGTTATGCCTCAGGTACGTTATTTAACGATAGGCAAAAGACCAAAGCCACCAAAAAAGAAATAGAGGTATAGTTCGGCGTCTAATATACAGGGCCCGCCGAAATCATCGTAAACGCCAGAAATGCCAATAGAGAAATCATAACACAGAGACAGAGCCTCGGCAGCGATCAGCATGCAGTAGAGCCGCAGTAGACCCCCAGTAGAAGCTGGGATATTACCGACCGACGATCCACCCGTCCACAAAATATCCATACAATGCCCTCTACCCGGCTCAGACAGACAGACAAGACAGTTTCAAGCCTTGTTATGGGTAATCGGTTTCGGCTCAACCAAACCAGCCTAGAGAGGAAAGGTCCCGAGTTAGCTAACATCCCCAAAACAATGCGAGTACCAACAAGAACTCCATCACGACCAAAGGACAACACCCAAAGGGCCAGCTCTCATCACACCCGCATCGTCAATCCAGCCAATACTTTACTTACCATGCTCAGGAGTTTCCACACAGGATCGCTGGGTTGCGCGCCTACACCTAGCCAATACTTTGTGCGTGACCGGTCAAGTGCAACCTCTTTGAATGCGCGCGCGTTGGCGTTCTCATTGTACAGGTTCGTCGGCTGTTTCGGGATGGGGTTGTAGGTGCCGATGACTTCGAGGGGTTTCGCACCACGGGCGGATCTAAGTGGAGAGCACGTCAGTTCGCAATTCATATGATTTCGAGGCGGGAAAAGGAATTGAAGGGTCTGGATCGTTGGCGCCGCAGCAGCCAGGTCGTTGATGATGATAATAGCCAGGGCAATTAAAAAAAAAGCGTACCGTGCTTGCGCAACCACGATGTTGTAGAATGGGTTGTGTTTGTTGCCGAAGCGAGACAGCCGAATCCGGAGGACCATGTTGGCGAATGCCCCGTCCTGACGCTAAGGGAGGCAGTGAGATGGAGGAGGTGGTGGTGTTGGCGATGCCGCAAACTCGCTGAGTTGGAAAGGAAAGGAAAGTTTAGCGGAGAATGGTTGATCCGGACATGCCGAATGCGGGTTAGCGCGGATTCGGGACTCTGGTATGATGCAATTGTATACAACCTCACTTTAGTTTCAACTATCTGGATGTTCCGCTCGGCATTGATCCCACGAATATCCGTTTCTGCCGTTCGACACTACACCAAGACAGCAACTATGTCGTTGAAGGTAGTCATGTTACCACAGACTGGACACACTGGAAACTAACATTTGGCCAGGCGATTTCAGCCAAAGATGCCGCTTCCCTGGACAAGGATCTTATGGACATGGGCGGCTGGTCCTTGGACCAGTTGATGGAGCTGGCGGGTCTGTCGGTCTCGCAAGCCGGTGAGCTCTTGGATAGACACGACTGAAGTTACGTTAGTAGCTGATTCTGATCACATCGCAACGACAGTATGGAAAGTTCATCCACCGAGCAAGGGCAAGAACATCCTCGTCGTGTGCGGACCAGGCAACAACGGTATGAGCTTTTAGAACATGAGTCAGCCACGATTCTACCCTACCAAGTCTAACACTACTCATCCAGGCGGAGACGGCCTCGTAGCAGCACGCCACCTAGCGCAGTACGGCTACACACCCACCGTGTACTACCCCAAAGAAGGTAAAAATGAGCTGTACCAGCGCCTGAAAACACAACTACACAACCTCTCCGTCCCTTTCACAACAGACTTCGCCGGCGCGCTCAGCTCAACGACCTTCCTCGTCGACGCCATCTTCGGCTTCTCCTTCGGCGGGCCACTCCGCGCTCCCTTCGGGGAGATCATCTCGCAGATCGAGGCCTCGTCTGTCCCCGTGCTGAGCGTTGACGCACCTAGCTCGTGGGATATACAGAGCGGACCGCCGAAGGAGGGACCGGGGGCTAAGTTCATGCCACAGGCGCTGATTAGTTTGACCGCGCCGAAGCCATGTGTGAAGTATTACCGTGGACGGCATTTTATTGGGGGGAGGTTCCTGACGAAGTCTATCACGGAAAAATATGGGCTGGATTGTCCGCAGTATCCCGGGATTGAGCAGGTGTTGGAGACTGGGGTGGATGCGGAGGGGAGGCTGTAATCATTGCGCATATTACGGAGAGAAATAAAAACCAAAGGATTTGCTAAATGACTGACTTGCTTGCATTTATCATATGGGGTGTTGTGTATCTTGTCTATGCGAGAACCCATTTCTTGTTCAGACTTACAACGCACCGCGGATCTCGTCCACGAGGCCCCTGATGCGGGGCTCCTTGCCTGGACCAGATGTTGACACTTTCGTGAGGATCGAGGGGACATCGTATACTTCCTTGGCGGCGCTCTGAACTTCGCTTCCCAGAGCCTGGATCAGGGTGCCCACCGCGACAAGCCCACGGTATATCGCCTCGGAATCCTTCTCCGCAGCAACGATCCTGGTCAATTCCTCCAGAAGAACGAGGCCGCGCTCAGCAGATTCAGGTGAGACGTCTCTGCCTTCCGAGGTGAGATAGACGGCAAAGTTGATGTACAGCGTCGTGATGGCGATGGTGAGGTTGCGGTTCGGAGCATTAGCGCTCTCGGCCAGGGCGGATTTCACCGCAGTCAGGATCTGGTCGAATCGAGTCACAGCGAGGTTACGGCCTGCGGTGGTTTCGAACAGATTCGCGAATGTGCGGATGGTGAGCATCGCGTTGTTGACGTTCAGTGGAGAGTCGAGGACCCCGCTTGATAAAAGACCCGTCACAAGATCCTGGCCCCGGTATTCAGCGGTTGCAGTGAACGGTGTTGCGGCTGCCAATAGACGCAGCAGATCCAGTCCGGGCAGTCGGTTCGCAGCCGGCCATGAGGTTGCGATCTTGAAAATTAAAGGTACTCCAGACTCCACAGCCGCCGAGTCTTTCAGGCGCTGGGATGATTCTACTTGGCCACAAAGAACAACAACCGTTTCCATCTCCGTAGGATCCAAGGCAATGTTCTTGGATCCTTCGGCAACGAGCTTCTCGTTTAGCTCTTGGAGCTTCTTGGCGATAACTTTGAGGTTGGCCGTCCGAATTGACAGATATGTCTTTTGAGGCAGAACTTTAGGGCGGGACTCCGGAACAGATGGTGCAGCCGTATCGGCTTCTCCTGGACGATAGCGTCGCTCCGACCCCCAGGGATCTGCCGCTACTGGTTCAGATGACTGTCCAATGCTCGCGCCCTGGGTATTCTGCGTGATGAAATTTGCAACCTGGTCGAGATAGCCCATGGGAAGCTCATTATCCTGAATGAATTTGGTGGCCGCTTCGTATGGATTCTGGGAGAGGTTGTAGGGGAGCTTTAGCGGTGGCTTTCCATCCTCGATGTCCACATCAAAAACATAATCGTAGTCTTGTCCGAGGTATTCCGTTTTGCGTCCACTGCTCCCAACTGAATCTACCACCGTACCGACGGCAATCCATTCCTGCGTGGCGGACGACCATGTGTGCGCCGTCACACTTCCATCCGCTTCTCGAATCATTTGCACTTGGCCCTCCTTTGTCCCCGACTTTTGTTTCAGAAAATCCGGGCTGGGCAGTTGCTCTTTGTTGACTTTCCCAACCTGCTGTTCCGGAATAGCCGATTCTTTTACGGTTTGCTCAAACTGCTGCATGACCTCCGCGGCCGCATGACGTTCAGGGTTTCTGCTGAAAACTCGAGCGATGCGGTCACTGGCACCGGTGACAATATCACCAGTCTCGTTGCAGACCGCAACACTCCATACCGAGATAGCCGGGTGGGTGATGGTTTGCACACATTGCGTCCCTTGCCACACTCTCACAGTCCGATCCTCCCCCGAGCTGACTAGCTCTCCCGAAGGGAGCGAGGCGAGCGAGTAGATGAAGCTCTCATGGCCATGTAAAGAGGCAACGAGCTCTCCATCCAATGTGAAGAGGCGGATGACCCCGTCGTTACTGGCCGAGGCGAACTGAGCTCCCGTGGGATTCGATACAGGGAGTCGGCATAAAGCTCGGACAACGTCGTTGGAGTTTTTGATAGTCTTACGCAGAGTGCCCGAGGTGTTGAAAATCCGAATGTTTTGGTCCGCGCAACCTGTAGTGGCATTAGCATGTCAGGTCAGACCCATAGAAAACCAACAGAGCATACCGGTTATGACGGTGTCCTTGTCGTAAGCCAACACGGCCCAGACACTGCCGCCGTGACCATCCAGCACAACGTCGCACTCCCATTTCCCTACCTTCCAGAGCCTCGCGGTGGAGTCCCAGCTACCGCTGACAATCCAGCCGCTGTCTGGGGATACATCAAGTGCACAGACGTTGTGGGCGTGGCCCAGTAGCATGGCATCCGCATTGTCCTCTGCCGCCTTGCTCGGCTGCCGAGCTTCAATGATTGTATCCTGGCCACCAGAAAGAACAAGCCCTTCGGGGAATTCCGGGGTTGGTGAGAGATATGCTAGACTGTTGATGAACGCGGAGCCGTGCGCGGTGATGGTGTAATCGTAGGTGGGGGGAGGGGTTGACACCAGCTTCCAGAGCCGGACAGTCGCATCTCGAGAGGCTGAGAAGAGGGCATTGGCATTGGGAAAGACCACGGCGCGAACCTGGGATAGAGGATCAATCAGCTAAGCGGAAGTTGTTGACCTGGTTGCGACTTACATCATCGCCGTGGCCCTCGAGAGTTGCGGAGAGCTTGAAGTCAGGCATACATACAACAGTCGGGCAGAGAAAGAGAGAAAGCGAGGCGAACGTCTGGATAGTAAGGAATTTCAAAGAAGGTAAAGAGGAGCTCTGGTGCTCTCCTTGATGCTGTGGTTGTTGTCGGTTGCTCTCGGCCCTCCTGGTCCCCCGCCAAAGCGTATCATCTCACGTGGGCGGTCAGGATTCGATCTACCGGGTGCGAGAACTTACAGGGCAACATACTGTAACTTCTATGGTGAGGACATGAGAGGACATGAGAATCTGATGATGAAGTTCAATTAGAGTGCCTATGATGAGGTAGTCATTATGTGACTTTGTTCGTATCTAGTACACAGACGGATATAAAAACCAATCCAAAGAGACAATCTAAGCATCGAGCATTGTTCCTTCTTCTCATGTACAAAATCGATCATGTATGATTCACCACAGGGAACCGATTAGCTGTCCACATGTCCTTGGGGCAGGGACCTAGCGGTGAAACCGAGTATCTACGGTGCGTGAGCTTATAGATATAGTCGCCGACTCACGTGCTCCGCCATCGATGACATAAGCCGCGGGACCATGATAGAGCGACTTTGCGACTGACTGTGTGTGTGTGTGTGCATCAGACTCACTTCCCCTCCTTGCCTGGGGTTTTTCGAACCTCGTCGAACCTTTGGTCCCCTTTGACTTGATGACTTGACGACCCTGACGAATCTCCTATGTACTTTTGCAACGAATGATCACGTCTGAATTTTGCAGTCTCATGGACTAATCCCAGACCTCATCATCCTGCTCCCACCATGTCTTCCGGTACGCTGGACTGATACTCCACCAGGAAAATGTGCCTGTGGCTAACCCGCTCAATTAGATACTCCCAAGGTCGTCCCGTTGACCTGTCATGGACACTCACGTCCTGTGACGCATCTCAGCTTTTCCTCCACGGTCGAGGATGATCAGTACTACTTAATCTCGGCGTGCAAAGGTAAAGAAAGCTGTTTATTCTTCTGCGTGGGATTTTATGACTGACACGCTTTCCAGACAACAATCCCATGCTCCGGGATGGCATCACTGGCGACTGGTGCGTGTCCACTATGTTCGCAAGCTTTAAATGGCAGCTAACGTATCCATTCCAGGATTGGAACATTTCTCGGCCACAAGGGCGCTGTCTGGCAAGCGCGTCTCTCATCCGATGCTACCATCGCCGCCACTGCGGCAGCAGATTTCTCCGCGTTAGTTTTTTTCCCCATGCCAACCATCTCTAAATCTAAATTTAACAATTTCCCACAGAAAAGTCTGGGATACTTTTACAGGTGAATGCCTGCACACGCTACAGCACGCACACATTGTGCGGTCCGTGGCCTTCCCCATGCAAGCCAACCCACAGGTGTTAGCCACGGGCGGCGCCGAGAAAAAGCTACGGATCTTCGACCTCACGCGCAGCAGCACAGCAGGAAGCGGCGGCAGCAATAGTAACGGATCCTCGCCACCACCACCAGCACCGACTACATCCTCATCCTCAGGCACCGGTGAGGACCTAGCAAGCTTTGAGATCGGGCCTGGCGTGCACGGCGGCACTATCAAGTCCATAATCTGGAACCAGGACTACAACATCGTAACAACTGCAGCGGAGGACCGCAAGGTGCGCTGGTGGGACCTGCGCTCGCGTCACCCCGTGCTAGAGTATGCCGTTGAAGGCGCGATTGGGAGCTGCGAGCTGAATAATCTCGCGGTGAGACCTAATGACCCGGGGATCCTGACTGTCGCTGCGGGGAAGAGTGTTTACCTGTTTGATGGCGTGCAGCCGGGCCGGTTGTTAAAGAAGGCTGATTTTGGGTATGAGGTTGCCAGCGCTGCTGTTAATAGCGAGAGCGGCCGCTTGGTTACTGGCAGTGCGAGCGATACCTGGGCTCGAGTTTATGACCTGCACACAGATGAGGAGCTTGGTATGTCCTGTCCTTTACTTCACCCTTCGATTGTTATCATTTTGTTCTAATGATCCGCAGAGGTTCAAAAGGGCCACCACGGTCCCATCTGGTCTGTCAGCTTCTCTCCCGATGGCAAGATCTACGGCACAGGCAGTGAAGATGGCACCATCAAACTGTGGAAGGCATGCCGGGAGCCATACGGCCTGTGGCGGTAGTCGTCTAGATTTGATATCCAGTCTCAACTGTGTCCAGCGGGAATGCTTTCTACAAGACTGCCTCTCTTCTCATTGCTCTCTACTTACCCCATACAACGAGTGGTGGTTCTTGCGGATGCATCTGCATGGAAACGTGGGCATCTCAAGCCCCGTGGTCACTTCCTTAGCGGCTTCTAGCAATCTTGTTCTATCCTGAGAGAAAATGAGAACCCAGAAACAAACACCTCGACTCGCCATGATACACATTCATGCAAGTAAAGAAAGAGAGAAATCAGATGCAAATTATCCCAATGGCAATTTCATGAGGTAGATAAAATTACAAAGAACCCCAACAATTCAAGCGATTCCGTCAAGGAGCGAAACAGCGTGAAATGACATGGGACATCGTTAGATAGGCGACTGGGACTGCCAGACATCGACGGTGAAACCCTCCCAAATATCAAAACGGGCACAATCGTATGCTCCACTAAGCTCCAGTCAAGCCTTTTCTTTCGTCGTATTTCTACTCGATCATATCGATGTCGTCGTCCGCAATCGCAGGAGCTGCAGCAGGGGCCGCAGCTGGAGCGGCCTGCTCCTGACCAGGCTGCTTATCAGCCTCACCGGCGCCCTCCTTGACACCGCCCCAGTAATCATCCATCTCCTGGTCGAGTTCCTCCTGCGTCTTGCGAGGACGGCCATTGGCTGTGCGCCGGCCCTCGTCGTTACGAGGCCGGTTGTCGCGTCCTCCGCGCCGAGCACCGCCCGAGCGGCGGGCAGGAGAGCGGCCGCCCCCGGGGACGTAACGATCAATGTTATCGGGAGCAGGCTTAGAGACGTCGCTGCGGCCGGAGCGGCCTCCACCACCACGGCGACGACGGCGATCTTCGGTATCGGATCCGGGGCTCAGACTGCGGGAATCCCTTGGGCGCTCGACGCGGTCGAAAAGGCTGGACTTTGGGCGTTCGGCATTGCGACGGCCGGGCACAAGCGTCAGACGGATGGGCTGGCCCTTTGCATTGGCTCCGTCGAACTCGCGGACGGAGGTGTGTGCGTCTTTCAGGCGGCCGTACGTGACGTAGGCAATGCCCTGAGAGCGGCCGGCGCGGTCGTAGGAAAGAGACAGGTTCGAGACGGGTCCGATTTGGGAGAACAAATCCTGTATCTTTATTAAGCGGTGATTTCTTTTATAAAATGCAGAATCTGGCGCGTACCTCGAGATCGCTCTCGGTGATGTCATAGTGAAGGTTTTCCACGCGAACTTTGGTAAGAGTAGATCCACTGCCATGTAATTAGCATCGCAGGCTTGATATATGCATGCTGCCATTGCGAGCTTCATACCGATCAGGCGACGCAGAGTGACGTTCACGGCCACGGCGACCACCACGGGACGGGCGAGCTGGAAGAGCTGTCAGAACAAGACGCAAAGAACCGTCCAAGTGCCTCGCATACCATCATCGTCGTACTTGTCATGCACCCAGTCGCTAGAGATTCATCGCAACGCGTCAGTGCCCATCCAATCTAGTAGTCAGAGGAGTGAGGTTCAGGGAAGGTGTAGTTACAGATTCAAATCCACGCGATCTTGGGTATAGGGCTGTTGCGATCCAAAAGAAAGTGAGCAGTTAGCTCCAAGTCAGATAGTTGAGGTGTATTCAATGTTGCGTTTTATGCATATTCTTAGCCGCGGCCATGGTCGTTCGCAAGCCTCCGATGATCCAGAGAGCAGGCGAAGAACGAAACGGTGTCACGGCGCAAGAGGAGAATTCGCAGGAGGAAGAGGAGGGCGGACCTGGAGGGAACAAATATTAGCCACTTATTGTTCAATGCAAGTGCTGGATCGAGACCCGAGAAGACGCAATAATACCTTTCTAATGCCATCGCCACGCTCACGCCGACGGCCCTGGCCGCGTCGACCACCACCGGTGGAGCGATTCTGTCTCTGCTATAGTCCAGTTAGTATAGCTGTTTCTGGACACTTGTCTGAACTGCGAGCCGCATTGCGAAGATGGGTCTGGCTGGGCCTTACTGGGTCTTCGGCAATGATCTCATCCAAGCTGCGATCCATGTTGGCGGCTGTGGGAGAAGGAATTGACAGAGGGAAAATGAAATGCGACACAAAAAGGGTCTAGTTAACGTCTGTTCTGGCCGCAGAGTATGGGGATGTGGGTTGAAGGAGTCGCAGAGGCAACGGCCTGGCAAACTGGGGATTGGTATCTGGCCCATCACGTGATGATCTGCGCTACAAATAGAGGCGAAAGTATGAACAATCAATCATCATTACAAACAGAACATCGGGAATCAATTCACTCAATACACCGACTCACTCATACAAAGTTAACTCCGCCCAGTTCGATCCTTGAAACACCAGCAACAAAGCAATAAGACCCCTCCCCAAAATGGACCGGCAACGCTGTGCAAAATCAAACCAACGGCAGCCTCACTAACTCCCGTTCCTCTTGTTCTGCTCTATCATCTTTTCCATAAAACTGATGTAGTCAAACTTGGCCAAGTCCCGATCTTCAAGAAGATCAGGGCCTTCATGCTGAGGCATGGTCTTTACCAGGTGTTCAATCACTTCGTCGGGGATGAGCGAGTGACGCAGATCAAGCTCAGTCACGTAGGGCTGAAACCATGTCAGTATTCCATATATTAAGAACAATATGAGGGTAGAGGGCCGTACCTTGCCATCAGCGACTTCCTTGAAACTCTGGAAGACTTGCTCCGCCGTGTTTTGGTCCTCGGTCACGCTGACCATAAACCGAATGAACTGCTCGAAGCTGACTCCTGCATTCTGTGCCAGCCGACTTGACCCACAGACCTCCAGATACACTTCGTGCATCTCATCTTCATCATAAACCAAACCCAGACTGGCCAGCGCCGCAGAGAACTCAAGTTCTTGCAAGGTGTTGGAAGCATCCCGGTCAAAGTGGCGGAAGACTGATTCGAATTCTTCCAGTTGGATGGGAGTCAGATTGGTCATGTTTCGAGCAACCGTTTGGTTCTCTAGGAAGGCAAGCTTCTTGGAGATGCTGGACTTGACGAGACTCAGCTCGTATGATAGCTCGTCCAACGTGTAGGTGGTGAAATCGTTCTCCTCGATATTCGCCTCTGCGCATTGCTCATCCAGGTCTGCGATCGTGTCGAGGAACGCGTCGAGAGGGGGCAAATTGTCATTCAGTTTCTGGACATGATTTAGCTGGTCTTCGACATCGCCATCCAGCCCGGAAATGGCTAGCGACAGAGTCTTCAGTGTGAGCGCAAAGTCGTTAGCCTTATCAGCGAAGGAGCGGCGCAGGTTGTTCTTGATATCGCGGATGGTCTCGTTGATCAACTGACTGCGTTTATGCTCGTCGTGGGTCAAACGCTCCCACTCCTGGTCGCAGATCTCCAGACTCAGCTCGCGCGGCGGCTCGTAAGGGCGCAGTCGATAGGTCCCCAGCTTGGTCTTGATATTGCCCAGCAAAGCGGCCAGGTCTGACTTCTCGGCAACCCACTGACGTTTCTCATTCCGCTTGTACAGCGCGAACTGGTTGGCCTGCTCCTTGACATCCTTGTAGGTCCCTTCAAAAGAAGCATTCTTCCACCCCTCACGCTGGGCGCCAATCGCCCGCAGCAGCTCTCTCACCCGGCGCTCGTACGAGTTTTCCATCTCCCACGCTCCGTGCATATTGTTAACAAACTTCTCCACCCGCCGCCCGGCATTTTCCACTTTCTCCAGCTGCGAAAAGGCATGGAACCAGTAGGCAATATATGTCATGAGCGAGCGTTCATCGGGCCGAGGCACGTCGCATACATCGTCCACATCCAGCAGGTCCGGGATACCGATCTCGTTTGCTGCAATATCAAACGCCAGCTGCATGTTACCGCGGTGGTCTTTTTTGTCCAGGGTGTCATAGTCGATCAGGTCCGGACGGTGGATGTCAAGCAAGGCACAGAAAGCCAATCCGTCATTCCAGCTGGAAGAGAAGTCGCGCACCTCGACATCTTCGTAGCATGCCGTCTTCCTCTGGCACCAGAGCAACAACCCTTCCTTGGCGGTCAGGCCCTCAGCGTTGATGTCGCTGATAGTAAAACGTAGAATCAGCGTCCAAATCAGACCCAGCACGATCTTCCGATTGCCATCGACTATATCCTCGGCGCCGATGTTGGTCATTTGGATCTTGCGCGACTTGATGAAGTCGAGGCTCTTGTTGACATTTTCGAATTTCTGCACGCGCAGTTTTGGCTTGGAGGCATATCGGCCCAGCGACTCCCCGCCCAGGATCTCGAGCAGGTGAATGAGTATGACCTTGTGAGGGTATGTTAGGATGGTGTTGATTGTGGTTCGGGGGGTGGGGACACTCACTCCATCGGAGAGATCAGTGGTCAGATTCTCGATGGCTAGGTCGCGTGCCTTCAGCTTATTGTTCAGCCTGGCAGGATTCGTCAGTCCGTGGAGGGGCAGGGGTAAGGGGGAATGGGGGGAGGGGATGCCACGGACCATTTGGTGAAGGTCTTTTCCTGTACGTTGACCCATGACTTTTCGACCGTCAACATGGTGGCTGAATCAGGGCGGCATCCAGAGTGAGCGAGTCAATGACCAGCGGAGTAGTCAGGAGGCAAGAGGGGGAAGAGTAAGAGGTGGAAGGGTTTCTTTGACCGACTGATTGATTGACTGGTTATCGGATAAAGGATGGGAAGGATGAAGGCCAGGGGCGGGGAGGGAACGACAAGTCACCTGGGCAACCAGACAGAAAAGTATACACAACTATGAATCCTTTCAGTGGTCGGTCCGTCCAGGCCGCACTCCTCTCGATTGATATATGTGATGGTCACCGCGGATGCGATTTCCATCTGAGGAATGATCGAACTATGGACTGTGTTTACTCTTGTGAACCATGGGGCAGCGTCCACGACAATCGGGCCCACGACAGGGTGATCCGTCACCACCACGACATATTCCTAAACCTATATTATGTCTGTGTATCCTTTCAATGGGCGACCTTTCTCGCTTGGAATAACACACTGCCGAATAAATAATCTATTCCACCACTTCCTCCCTCCGATTAATAAGCCTGATGATATCATCCGCCCGAAGCGGGGCGAGGGGGGAAAAAGAGCAGCTTTTATTATGGCGGGACTTCGGCTCTTTCTCCTCTCCTCCTGTCAAACCCGCCCACCACCATGTCCTCCTACACAATCACCGACCGCCTCCCCCTCCCCAACTCCAGCCTGCGCATCCCGCGCCTGGGCTTCGGCGTCTACAAGTCGCCGGTCCACCAATGCGTGACCTCGTGCCACAAGGCGCTGGACGCGGGCTACCGGCACATCGACACAGCGCAGTTCTACGGCAACGAGGACGAAGTCGGCGAAGCCCTGCGCACCTCCAATATCCCACGCAGCGAGGTCTTCGTCACCACCAAGATCCTCAGTCCGGCGGGCTCGCCCGAGGCGACCTACGATAAACTGCTGGCGAGCGTGGAGAAGATCGGAGGCCTCGGCGGATACGTCGATCTGTTTCTGATTCATAGCTCCAAATCGGGGTCTGCGGGGCGCAAGCAGCTGTGGCAGGCATTGGAGAAGTTGTTGGAGGAAGGAAAGACTAAGAGTATTGGCGTCAGTAATTTCGGGGTCCAACATATCGAGGAGATGCGGTCGTATGCCAAGGTCTGGCCGCCACATGTGAATCAAATTGAGGTTGGTTTTCTTCTTTTCTTTCTCTATGGGACGGAGACTAACTAGGATCCCTTCCGCGCAGCTCCACCCATGGTGCCAGCAACGAGCCATTGATCAATACTGCAAGCAGCACGGGATCGTCGTCGAGGCCTACTCGCCCATCGTGCGCAACTATAAAGCCAACGACCCGACGCTGGTCGAGGTGTCGAAGAAATATAACCGCGCAACACAGCAGGTGCTGATCCGCTACGCACTGCAGAAGGGCTGGGTGCCGCTGCCCAAGACGGACGACCCAGGCCGCATCGTCTCGAACGCGGATGTCTTCGATTTCAACATCAGCCAGGAGGATATGGTGATCTTGGATTCGCTCGACCAGGGCAGCGCGGGAGCCATTGTGGAGGCGGTGGTCAACGAGTGACGGGATCAACCCAGGAGGACGGATTGACTCAAGCGGTAGAAGCGACACCCGTCTGTTTTCAATAATCTGGCGGCTCCATCAAAAAGGCGTTCACCGATTGCAGCGTCGACCGAGACGGATTCACGTCATGCTTCGATGACACGATCCACGCGAGACGCTGTCGGATAAACTGTTTGCCTATACTGCGTGTCTTGGGAGACGCATCGAAATTTCCTATTTGTTTATGTATCAGCTGTTCGTTCTAGCGTTATAACCCAAGGAAATGAAGGACTCAATTTACCATCGTCATCATAGAACAGACAGAGGATGGCCAGCAGCGCACCCGCCGCCAGATCCTTGCCCGTATCACAGGTCACCAGCAACGAGCGTGTCGGATGAGGCCCCAGCTGCGAGCTCACAAACTCCCGGGCTTTATCTAGGGACTTGCGCAGGTCGCGACTCCCCAGCTTCGCCGACGCACAGCCCAAGTTCAGACGTTTGGGATTCCCCTCGACGGCTGCGGGGGTGCCATTACAATCGATCACAAGATCGTAACGACCTCCTTCGGCATCAGTATCAATATCATTCGCGCCGATGTAGAGGTTGTTGGTTGGGACAATGAGCGTCGCATCGAGAGCGGCATTCTGTCGTTGATGCTCGGCCACCAGATCCGCAATCAGATTGGGCAGGTCCTCCTCCGCGGTTCGTTTCAGGATCGCCTGGTTTCCCCAGAAGACGGGCGGTGTCAATCCATGCGCCCATCCCTCGCTGTCATCGCCGGCACCTTGGATATAACCGCCTTCGGACATCTCTGCGCCGTGCACGCGCTTGGAGGCGGAGCAGAGGACTAGAAGATGATAGGCGTTGCCTGTTTGGAGATCTGTAGGGTAGAAATATGCTCGGTTCGCCCAGGCAATCCGGATCGGTTTGCCGAGCTGTTGGCGAAGGTGGTTGAGGTCGAGTTTGAGGTCCTGTATTGATTATCAGCTGGGAACAATGACAATTGGAAATCAAAATGAAGAAACAAAACAAACCGTGAGAGAATCTACAAATCCATCAATCCGACTCTCGATCTGCGACTCCTCGGAAACACCGAGGTAATTCGGCGGCAATTGCACGGGGTGATACGCCGTCTCGGACGGGAAGAGGGCTCGATTCAGCACGGCGCACCAAATGGGGATTGTTTTCGACAGGGCATCAGGCATGACTGTCACGCAAATGATTGTCAGCTTCTTTGATTCAATGCACTGTGGCACTGACAGTGGTCCACTTTAAACACAACACATACGTTTGCCGCGACGGGTAGAATCAACGATTACACAACTGCAGCGACGAAAGAAATATGCGATTGCTCGTCAGCTTCCAATGTTTTTCTCTTGTTTTCTTTTTTAAGCCTTAGCTATCATGGACGGGGTGGACAAACCCCCCATGCTCCCGGGCCAAGGGCAACAACTGCAGATTCAGCCTCCGGAAACTAAAATCCCACTGACCGGCGTGGCCATCCGTGCTCTTGAAATAAGCACTCCCGGACTTGGCCGCCGGCGGAATATACCAGCTGCCGCAACGCTCGTTGGCAACCAGCGGCAAAGCATAGTGGTCCGCGACTTCCTGCACAAACGCCGCGTCCGTCTCGATGGACTGTAGCCGGTTGGAGACGGTTAGCGCCGAGCGGCGTAGTGAGGAGAGAGTCTGCGAGATGGATTGCTGGGCAGAGGGGAAATGGAGCGCCTCCAGTGTCGGGAATGAGTCCGACATGTTCTGAAAGCGCCAAGTATGTGCTATCGGCACACGACACGTCCCGGCCACGGAGATTCTTGGGCTGGCTCCCTCCTTACCTACCACCGGGCTTTCTTAGCGATTGGGATTCCGGTGAGAGAGAGGGGTGTTTCTACGGTCTGGTTCCGGAGCGCAATCCTCCGCCGGTCGAATGAACGAGAACAAGAGTAGGTGTTGTTCGCGAAAATGATGCCGCGGGCTCGCCGGAGCGGCCAATCAAGGATGACCTGGTGGGGGGGCAGGAGAAAATCAGGGCCTGGCGGCGTGCAACATGCGATTAGCCATGAAGGATACACAAGGCGGACCAAATGCCAAATAGTTAGCGTTGCATCCGACTCACTCACTGGTAGAACGAACATAGCGGTCTCGTCTGTCGGCTGGGTGGGTGGAGATTGGTCACAGACTGGAGATTTAGGATCCAAAATCAAAACCAAGTAACTCTAGTTACGCTAAAGTAGGGATGTGATAAGTGGCTCTGCCACCGTTTCTGATCTAGACTTCTTTGTCACTAGGATTGTTCGGGATGGCTTGCGTTTACCTAGTAGTCTGCACTAACGGAGCCAGGGGCGGACGAATGGAGCGGCGCTAGGGTCTGGTTGAGACACCACGATACAATAATATCCGGTTGGGTGATACTGCAACGACAAAAACGCGGGACCTGACCCCGTGCGGGAACAAGTTTTGCCCCGCCGTTTACATTCTGGCCATCTTCTACATTGGCCACGCTGTAGTAGAACTGTAGATGGTCAGCTGATATCGAAGATTGGGCTTTTACCAAGTCGGATGACTATCATGAAGTGGTTTTCGATGTGGACTAGGATCATCATCATAATGTCAATTAAATGGGACTACCTATACTACCTCTTCATTCTGCGACTTTCTACGAGTGCAGATGAAGGTGGCACCTTCCCCGTTTGGGTGAACACTAGATCAAAAAAGGGAAAGCGCTGCTGACTACATCGTGGCCGCACGGGCCAACCTTGATTGGTCCACCGTTGCGTAAAGTACCCGGTACTTCTCTTTGTGTAGGCATTTGTATGACATCCGGTGTAACAGTACCTCTCGGCCCCGACGTCAGTCGATGATCTCAGCCGCCATAATGCCCCATCTCGCAAGAACCGGGCCTGCCCGCTCTGAAGCAAGGACCCTCCCTTACTCGGGCCCAATAATCTACTTAAGGCAGGCACGCACTCACTCACTCATCCCTTCTACCCTTCCTGTCCTCAATTGCAACTCTTCCCTCCCGCACTCTTTTGCACTTCCAACACTTCCAATTCTCTTGCACTACAGTACTTGAACCACCACCATGCCCAAGGTTCGTTTGGCAATCCGGTCACCATGACCATGACCCACCAACTAATCCAGCTCTGTAGATCACGGAAATCTTCTTCGACTGCGACAACACCCTCGTGTTGTCGGAGGAGCTGGCCTTCGAAGCCTGCGCCGACCTGGCCAACGAGATCCTCGAGAAGCACAACATCCCCGATCGCTACACGGGCGACCAGCTGATCAAGGACTTTGTCGGCCAGAATTTCCGCGGCATGATGGTCTCGCTGCAGGCCAAGTACCACTTTGAGATGGGCAAGGACGAGCTGGAGTACTACGTCACCAAGGAAGAGGACCAGGTTATCGCCAAGCTGGAGGCAAGGGCTCAACCCTGCGTCGGCGCCACCGAGGTGCTCGAGAAACTCTTCGCAAAGAAGACGTACGGCCTCGCCGTGGTGTCATCGTCTGCGCTGCGTCGTGTGCGCGCCTCCATCAAGAAGGTTAACCAGGACCAGTACTTTGACGAGGACAAGATCTTCAGTGCGGCTACCTCGCTACCTAAGCCGACGTCCAAGCCCGACCCGGCTATCTACCTGCACGCCCTTGACTACGTCAAGAAGACTGCCGGCGAGACCGTCGCCATCGAGGACAGCAAGTCCGGTGCCTTGTCGGCTATCCGCGCCGGCATTCCCGTCATCGGGTATGTGGGCAGCTACAAGGGTGAAGAAATGCAGACGGAGATGGCCAGCCGTCTCTCCGACCTGGGGGCCAAGACCATCATGAGGAACTGGTCCGAGTTTGACAAGTGCCTGGCCGATATCGAAAATTCCCCGACCAGTCCCGGCCGGCAAACTTCCCTCTAAGAGTTTTTCCTCCTGTTGAATTTCTAAACACACATGATGTCATGACAGCGAGCGAATGGTTGTTTCGGTTTCCTTTGCATGTGCGAAATTCTATCCTACTTTCTGCGGAAGGGATCCCTTCCAGTTCTCGCGAATTGGAGGATTTCCCTTCAGGCCGCTCCGGACTGTGTCTGCTGCGGTTTTGTTTTTCTTTTCGTTCGGCACGAAGCTGTATGCATTACTACGTAGTATCTTTGGCTTTTCCGTATAGACAGGCCCTTTATTAAGCTGGCCTGCAGAGATAGTGCAATCAACTGAGATTTCCCAATTCTTGTCTGTCTGTAGGGTATAGATCTCGAGCGATAAGATAAGGGCTAACCCCCGTCATTCTGCTGGTGAGTCTGGCCCCTCTTGCTTCCGCCTTGAGTCTCTTCTCTGACCATTTGTTGATTTATCTACCTACTACTCTGACTGCAGCATACACGGTTCTTCCCCAGTATCTACATTTCCTTGATCAATATGACACAGCCCAGCGAGGCCAAGTCTAAGATCCTGGCGCGGGGACCCTTAGTATGTCAGCCTACTATTATGCACACTTCCCCGCCTGTCTTCGCTCTCCAAAGTAGTATATGTGTGACAACAGAGGTTGTTCCGTCGCTGACTTGAATCCCGCCCTCAGGAAAACAGTGAAGCAAAATGGGCTAGACTCGTCAAAACCACCTACTGCGATCCTTTAGGCGTAGAGCGGATTTGGGAGTCAGCTGAACGCCAGGTAAGAAAGGAAAGGCTTCATCTATTTCTGCCTCACTTTTTTTTTTTTTTCTTCCCTCTTTTGGTGTTTTGCAGATCTGCGATGTGATATGCCCTGCCCCATTTAGACCAGTGCAGGATTGATTGGTCTTGTCTTTTCGGGGTAATATTATTCTCCAACTATAGCTGCCCAGGTGCCCAAGGCTGTCTACCTGAGACATAGCTAGCCGCTGACAGCGAATTCTCTTGGAGCCAACTCGCTCAAGAGAGGGCATAAGCTTACAGCGGGGCTTCTACAACTCCAGTGTTGGCAATAATCAATCACCATCACATAAAGTTTGACGTCTCAATTGGCTGCCCGGAATGACAAGACCCGTCTCTCTGCCCACAGCACAAATCTCATGGTCGAATTCTCTATCCGCTCCCACAATTGACGCTAACTAACTCGCCTCACCTTACCAGACCCGCCCAGCAGACTGTGCCATTGACGGCGTTGGGATCGTCACAATCCTTAACAAACCTACTGGCGCCGAGCTCCTCCTGCAGAAACAATACCGGCCCCCAATCGACAAGGTCGTCATCGAAGTACCCGCCGGTCTGATCGACGCGGGCGAGACGCCTGAGGAATGTGCCGTGCGCGAGCTGAAAGAGGAGACAGGTTACGTTGGTGAGGCGGAGCAGGTTAGTCCGGTTATGTACAATGGTGAGTTGGGTCTACTTCCCCCGTGGGTAACTACATCATGCCTGCTGACTCTGTGTGATTTTCTTTTCTTGCGTTTTTAGATCCCGGTTTCTGTAACACGAACTTGAACATGGTCCATGTCCGGGTGGACATGTCTCTGGCCGAGAACCAGAATCCGAAGCCCGAGCTCGAGGATAATGAGTTTATTGAGTGTTTCAGTGTCCCGTTGGCTTCTTTGTTCGAGGAAATGAAGAAGCTGGAGAAGGAGGGCTATGCCATCGATGCGCGGGTGGGTACGCTCGCGGAGGGACTGGAGCTGGCGAAGAAGTTGAAGACGTGAGTTTCTGATCCGATAGATGCAATACCCGGTGTGAATAGCAAGCGATAAAGAATCCTGTCGATTTTCATTATGAAAAAAGAAGTACACGCAATGATACTACATACATCTCTTATTTTCTTCTGTCTATATCTTCCCATCCTGCTTCAAACCCATGTAAAGCGCCCAAGCCGCCAGCGTCTTTCCATCCCTCAAACCCACTTTCCACAAATCCTCCAGGGGCACAACCTTCAGGGTGATCTTCTCGCCTTCCTGTCTCAGCCCCGTCAACTTCCCCTGCAACCCCTCAATCTCCGCGCGCGGCATCCGCTTCTGGCAGAGGAACAGAGGAATAAACTCATCACTACCTCCGGGGGAAGGATACACGGCTCGCTGAAGCGTCTCGCCATCTTCAGGCTCCGGGATGCCCTGCAGCGCAAGAGAGGTCATATCGATTAGTTCACTCTGCGTGACAGATAGTCCCGTCTCTTCTTGGATCTCTTTCGCTGCGCCACCGGCAAATGTCCCGCTGTCGTCTAGCATCCCGGCTGGGATCTCGGGGAATGCTAGTGAGCCTGCGGGAATGCGAGGTTGAATTGTCAGAATGGCGCGCTTGTCGGCCTCTTGCGAGGCGGGAATATCATCCGGTTGGAGGATGAGCTGAAAGGTTGTGTGAGTCTCATACATAAATCGGCATGGAAAATATTCAAAAAGAAAAAGAGAAAAGCCATACTAGCATGCCCACACTCCCTCCTCGCAGAAACACACTCCCCGGTAAAGTCTCACCGTGACTATTCGACACGTCCGCCTTGAGTTTCACGAATCCCAACCGGCCGCCGCCAAACCGGTCAATCGACTGGATGTCGATCTGCCGGAGGACAAATGGATCATGGTGGAACTCGTGTGTTGGGTGGTGCTGTCGAGCTAGCGAGCGCTGCAGCGTTGCGATCCATACTTTGAACGCGGGAAACGATAGAAGGTCCTCTTGCGACAGATCGGGTGTGCTCTTGATTGGGATTTGAGCTCCCGGAAATGTGAAGGTTGACATGACCGCTCGGTCCAGTCGTGTCGCTGGTCGGAAGCTGAAATGCGGCGCTCTTAGACGGAGTCGGGGGATCATGGATTGGAAATTGGGATATGTTGGGTGCTCAAAGCCTTTCAATACTTCCAAGTCGTTTCTGTATCTTCTGGACTATGGCTGGAATGGCGTTGCGCGTTGAAAGGGAGTTGTTTTGGCATCGCTACAGCGATGACGTCGTTCGCGACCGTCATTTCTGATCTATATCCTGCACCACCAATACTTCCTGTGGTATTTTTCTTGTTGATCTCCCTTCAATACCATTTAATTCTATCATAAATATGTCTCGCTTTTTAGATATCTCCCTCTGTCTCTACCATTTCTTTTCGGCAGATCTATCTCATGGAAGTGCCAGTCAGCCCAAGTACTTACTTCCCTAGTCAACAGCCATGCTGGGGAATCAGAAAATCATCAGGGTCAAATCATTTCCCCGATGTTGCTGCTTCAATATGGTCTCCTATCATAGAATTTTCATTACCGCGATAACCACGGCCAACTGGCAGCTGCTCCTCCGCCGGTCACGCCCTCGCCCTCTCCCAGGTGATAACTAGCCCGCTCGGCCCTATTGAGGGGAAGGGCGGACCCTCAAAAAGGTCGAACATATTCCAAAAATATAGTACTTGATTAGTGGCATTGTAAATACGTTTAACCTGCCTTACAGCAACTCCAACGCCAATCACATTCCCGGCAAAAGGGCATGGAATACGAGGCAGATTCAACTAGTCATGACCTCCCGCAAACTAATCCTGTTGTGGGGAATGGATGCAGGGCCACATATTTCTCGGTCGCTTCTCGCGTGCTCTAGAACAACGCGAAGCCCCCCTGCTTGAAACCCGGGTGAACATGCAAGCTAGTGACGGGATCACCCCCACCTCAAACAACGCTCGGCCGGTGTCATCGGAGATAGTCTGGTGCACTACTGTACGCGAAATAAATTGCTCATGTGGAACTTTTAGATGATTGGAGACAGTAGTGGTTACAGGGTGTATTATCTGTGCTGTCTGTGTATGTCTGCGCGAGGCGAATTAAGTACCGTACTTCCGGCCCCAAGAGACTTTTCTCCGCAATCCAGGAAGGTCCCTTGCTCGTGGAAGCAGGGATACGAATCCTGCGTCGATCGCAACTGCGAGGTACTACTTACCTACCTACTACGCAAAAGCAAAGACCTTCATTATTGAAGGGTTGCCTTAAATTCAGGATGCGAACCGGGCCCGCAAGCAATGGTGAGACAGATGTAACACAATTGAGCTCCGATGCCCCTGCAGGCGGGCTTTACCTCGTGCGTCACAATTTAATAATTGCAAACAGGGTTACTATCGATCTAAAAGCAACAATCTCACAAAGAATAATATGCAGGTCAGCGAGACCTAATACTAAGTAGCTCTATGACTTGGGCAGCAGCCCCAAACACAGTACATCCTCCGAAGCTATGATCAACCATGCACCGGCTGAATAACACCCGGACTCCGCGATCCAACGGATTACGGCGTGGAGGTATGTTCCCAAACCGACACGATTGGTTCCGCACCATCGTGATTGGATGGGCGTGGTGGCTGGCGCTCGGGATTGCCACGTGAAGTATAAAGGGTAATGCTATAGCCCTTTTCAGATCGTGATATTGGTGGGAGTACACGAAACAGCTCAGCGTTGGCGCCCACATGAGCCATGGCTGCATCAAAGGTTTTCGACAAAGGTCATTACGTTGCGCATAGTGAATAAAACATTCAAATTTCCCCCTATGGTTGGATGCCTAGGTCGAGGTTGGTGTGGAGCACATGCCCGGGTGGATCGAAAAGATACAACTAAAAAGTTCGAGACCGTTGTTTATCCCAGGGCTGGCTGCTGTCATTGCCAAATTCGTAGTTCCGAGATGATCATATCAGCAGCTTTGTCACGTTGTGTAGACAGATCTGCAGATTGCCAAATGTGACATGGACATGGGGATTGCAGGACTTCCAATCATTTACCCGGGAAGGACGACTCTGTAACTTATTATCTGCGTGTTGGATGCCGTGTATGAGTCCTAGACGAGCCATGTGTTCACCCGTCATCAGCAGGTTATTGGCAGCATTGGCCCGGCCCATCTATGCCTCGTGACGGCACTGCCTCAAGCACTGTGAGATGCGGGAGGGAGCAATAGGCTCATGTTGGGATGTTTGAACCCAGTTGGAAGTGGGCGCTCAGCGGACTGTCCTATCAAAGGTTGATGATCGAACTCTGTTCGCCATCGGCATGATGCTCCAGGGAAAGCCACTGATCTAATTTTCGAAGGCGAGTTCCACGGCACCTGCAGAGAGATCGTCATCAATTGATCCAAGGGATAAATGGGAAGAGAAAGAGGGGGGATCCTGTCGGCCCACCCAGGTACTTGGGAAGTCTCAGGATTCGGGCTTGTTTTCCATTGGCTTCAGCCACAGCTCAGCGTCGGTAGCCTGGATGGGTTGAAAGAGCGGTCACGGCCGGCACACAAGCAGGCGCATATAACCGCGCCAGGCCCAGCAAGGGAGCATCCCCATAATCAAGACCATTTCCCGAACACCCAAGATGCAAAAGTGACGAAGTAATTGGGACATGAGGCTGTAGTTTTGAAAAGTGTTGGCAGCGCTTACGCTACTCTGCAACTGAACACGACCCCTGTGGATAGGCGCGAAACGACCCCGGCGTTCGTGACAAGTCGTCACTATCCGCTGGGGGCTGAAGTGTCCCTGTGCAGGCAGCCAACAATAGCATTCCGTAGCATCCACGACGAGCGTGTCCAAGTTTTGGGAGTAGACAAACGAGTCAAGAGTGGATGGGGTTGGAGTCGCGGATATTTCGAACTGACTACTACGGGTGGTCCGGTCCCAGCAGGAGGCAACCAAAACAGCCCGCCCCCCTGGCACATCACACGGGACTTCCATTCCACAGAGCCTTTTAGCTCGGTCGGCCGTTGCCTTGTTTAAAAGCGCCCCCTCCTCCCTAGTAGTAGTTTCCCACACTGCAAACAATCAGTGACGCCGAGTTTCTATACTTCCAGAAATAAAGAAAACTGTGGGTTCACCCCCGGTCGTTCCCGCCATTTCTCACATCCTTTCTATCTCCCCCACCAACAACGACCTGTCAGCTTATACAGTAGTCTAGATGGCATCATGTTTGAAATAGACGATGGGTGACAACCCTCCATATTTCCGATCGGAGACGAGGCCAGCGCGGCGCGCCTTTCGCAAACACGGCGGCGCCGGAGACCCCAGCGCTCTCCGGACGCCTGAAACATTTCGTGGCAAAGTTTCGCCTAGGCAAGTTATCTCTTTCCCCCTGCTTTACTCGTATCTAATCATTATGCAGAAGATCGATGGGGCTATTGCTATCGGAAGAATTCGCCCCAAAATCTTCTATGGTCAACCGGGCCTGTCATTCGGCCAGTCCCCCGCTCTCCAGTGGCCGCACAAATTCAACTGGAGTCTTGATGGACGATTGTATTCTGGATACGATCAGTAGTCGAAGCGCACGAGCTGTTAAAGGCTCGCCACGCGCATGTGCAGCGTTTACCACACCATTCCGCCACCAGGGCAGCTTTCGAGCTTCGCCGAGGCGGCGGAGGCTTTCTGCAACTTCTCACCGGCAATTAAGCTCCTACATTACGTCTTCTGGAGCGAAGAAATGGAGTTCCGAGATGGACGTGACCTCCGGGATTATTACTGAGACAGACGTGGCTCAAGACGCATGCGATGAACCTTCGCAGTCGCCGCAACCACACCCTCCTGCTGCTCTTGATGATGGTAATTCACAGGATGAGAGTGGGCCTTCAGAAAATACCGAGCAGGCTACTCAAAAGGACCAGGAAGTAGTTGATGGCGAGACCAAGACGCACTTTGAAATGTTTCGACAGCCAGAAATCAATTCAATCACGGACGAACAATTGATCGGTGAAGTTCGGCAGATCTATACCGGGCTGGTCGCGGTGGAAAAGAAGTGCATTGAGCTCGACAAACAAGTACTAGAATCCAAGACCGTTCTGACATCCCAGCAATGGCAAGCGATGATCGCGGTCCACCGAAGTTTGCTGTATGAGCACCACGACTTCTTTCTTGCCTCCCAGCACCCATCAGCGAGTCCAGTCGTGAAGCGATTAGCGGAGAAATATGCCATGCCCGCTCGAATGTGGCGCTATGGCATCCACTCCTTCCTTGAACTCTTGCGCCACAAGCTCCAGGACTCCTTGGAGTACATGCTGTCCTTCATCTATATCGCCTATTCGATGATGACGCTGTTGTTAGAGACCGTGCCTATCTACAAGGAGAATTGGATCGAATGTCTCGGTGACCTGGCACGGTATCGCATGGCCGTTGAAGATACTGACATGCGCGATCGCGAGGTCTGGGCTAGTGTATCGCGATACTGGTACAGAAAGGACTCTGACAGAAATCCCGAGGTGGGTCGGATTCAGCATCATCTCGCAGTGCTGGCCCGTCCAGACATGCTCATGCAGCTCTTCTACTACACCAAGGCCATGATCAGCGTCCAGCCATTTCCTTATGCCAAGGATAGCGCCCTTTTGCTCTTCAATCCATTATTGAATGAGCAAGCATCTGAGAAACGCACAATGATTACCGCATTCGTTGCAGCACATGGAGCTCTTTTCACTGGCCGCCCAACTGAGCAATTTGTCGCCCTAGGGAATGAGTTTTTGTCCCTACTGCGCAAGGATATTGGACATCTGGACCAACAGGGCCAACAAGGCGTCTATATTACTTCCTGTAATCTAGCCGCAGTATTTCAATATGGCGATCCCGAAGTGGACATTGTCAAAGCGTTCTCTCAACAACACGCTAGTCTCGCAGAGGTTTATACCTCTGCACAAGAGCAATGGAGATCTAGCAAAGCAGCTTCTAGCCCTCCAACAATTGAATCTCCCACGACCTTGGGAACCTCTCTCGCATCACACACTCTCTCCGTCATTATCAGCCAAATCGGGGATCCAAACATGTATCCAAGCACCCACATTTCCCTGGCTTTTATCTGGTGCTTATCACTTCACCCTTCCGCGATGCGACACCATGAACAACTGATCCCATGGACGGGGATCGCCACTTTCCTAAACACTCTGATCCGCTCCGATATCGACATTTCAAAGATCGAAAACGAATCATTCCCCCGTCTCGATGATGGAGTCACCCCCCAACTCGCCGAAGACTATCAGATCCGCGGCCAAGTATGGAGTCAACTGTACTACCCAGAAGGATTCTTCGACGATGCCCCCGATGAGGACGAGAGGCCAACCATTGAGGAACCGTCTGCAGTTATCCCAAGGAAACACCGGTGTCTCTGGCTAGGTGTCCGGCTTGCAACTGTTCGTACTCGACTTTAAAGAAAGAGAAACACCCAGCTAATTGATTATAACAGTTCCGCCGTTGGCTCTCGTACGATTCTACTATACCGCGCTTCACAGCAACTCCCCTGGCCCTAGAATCCGCACCTATCGCAGAATCTTGTGGTGGTCTCACCAGCACGCCACAACCCTCCACCACCGCTGAGAAATCACCACCTGATGATGTTGAGATGCACGGAGTTTGAGAGATGGTCATTTCACTACGAGCTTTTGGGCTGTTTGGAGAATAGTATGTGATTGAATTTGCATGCGAATAATTTCTCTGGACGGGAGCGCCTCAGGAGCTACAACATAGCTGGTGGTGGACCTTTCCCGTTCTCTCGTGTATCTCTGAATTCAGACCTGATAAAGCATCCCACTAAGCCCATCCCACTGAGTACAAACGGTATGTCTAGATGAAAAATCGTCCTTTTTTAAAAAAGAAAAATTCAGAATAAACAATACCGGAAATGGACCATTCCTTATGCAAAGAACACCGAAGGATTCCAAGGCCGCCCACCGTACTTCCCATCCTCGGGGAATTGACCTGGATCGCTGGATCAAGAGGCCACATCCAATGGAGTGTTTTATTCCTCTTTATTTGGAGTCCAGGTTCCATCCATTAGGCCCCCAAAGATATAAGTTTCTAAAGGCCCACCCGCTTCGGAAAACAATGGATGTCTTCGTTCCCCCGTACCTGGATGTTGTCCTAGGATTGATGCCCCAACAAAGAGTAGCTGGTCATATTATTTAAGGGTCGGATATACCTGAATTGCAGTAGAGCACTGGGAGAGAAGACAGAAATAGAGTGAAGAGCTGAAGTGAGCGGCAGTAATTTACGCTCTTGGATTGGATTCATATTTATTCCATTTGTCCTAGCTTTTCTCTCCTGACCTGATCCCAAATGTTTGTGAAAGCTGAGACTCGACCTTGAATCGTACTACTATAATACTACTCAGTGCCCGCAACTCAACAGTAGCTCGCTCATAAACAACACAGTATCCATTCATCATGCAATAAAAATGCTGTAATCAACTAACCCTTGCCAGTCCCCTCACTGGGAGCCATGGATATAGGCCGGATCCTGAATACTCCCACCCGCAGCATTCAGCCCGGCAACGGGCTGATGAAAGCTGAAGCCAACAAAGTGACCCTGCTGGGTCTGGGAGAGGATGGGATCATCATTCCACGAGTCCTGCGCGGGCTCATCGATGAAAATAGATGCAATATTGTCTGTGTCGATGGCACTGGCCTGTGTATAGTGTTAGCTTGCATGTATCTGGTCTTGAATCCGTCACTGTATAGGGGTAGGAAATGGGATGCGTACGTACCACGTTCGGCTTGAAGGTTGGTTCGTATTTCCGCTGAAGCAGCTTTCTCCAGTCAATTGCATGGAAGAACGGATGTGATTTTATTTCCGGCGCACCGTTGGCCCCGAGTCGGTTGGCTGGATTGCGACTGAGCAGTTTTGTGAGTAGATCTTTGGCCACAGGTGGGACGACGTCCGAGCCGGGGAAAGAGAGTGGCTCCATTAGGATCTTGCGGTACATCTCGTTGATGTTCTCGTCGTAGAAGGGTGGTAGGCCAGTGAGCATTTCGTATAGCAGCACGCCGAGCGTCCACCAGTCCACCGTCTTGTTGTACCCTTTTCCGAGAAGGAGTTCCGGTGCGAGATACTCCGGTGTGCCGCAGAATGTATTCGTGCTGTCTTCGTCTTTCATTTCGAGCTTGCAGAGCCCGAAATCGCATAGTGCAATGTGGCCTTGATAGTCCAGCAGGATGTTCTCGGGTTTGAGATCGCGATAGATCACGTTGAAGCCGTGCAGGCATTCGAGTGCACAGAGGAGCTCGGCGGTGTAGAAGCGCGCGCGGTTGATGTCGAAGCGGCCTTCCTGCGAGAGATGGTGGAACAGCTCTCCGCCGTTCACAAAAGCCAGTACGAAGTATAGTTTCTCGGGAGACTGGAAGGTGAACTTGAGCGGCACGATGAACGGGTTGTTGATCTGCGCCAGCACAGACCGTTCGGCGAGGGTGTGGATGACTTCGCGCTGGGAGATGATCTTGGCTTTGCGGATGGTCTTGAGCGCGTAGATGCGGTTGGTATCTATCTTGCGCACTTGCATGACTTTGCCAAAACTACCCTTCCCCACCACCTTGAGCAGGTCGAAGTCGTCGATGCTCAGCTTGCCGGCTTGGTTCTCCACGTACTCGACGCCGAGCTGGAGCTTGCCTGTTCCATGTTGCATATCGACCCACTCCACTCCACTGTATCCTGCGCTCCTCGATCCATTATTTTGCCCCGTGTCAAATCGCGGATGGAGGCGAAGGACCCCGAGACAGATATCCTGTGTTCGCCCCGTTCCTCGAGACGCGCTTGGATTCCGGATAAACACGTGCACGGTGAGCTCGGCGGCGTGGGACACGTCGAATTTATACTGCGTGTTGGAGCCGGCCCAGAGTGGGTTCTCGCGGGTGCCATCGACGGAATTGATAAAGACTTGGACTTTTTCGAAATCCACCAGAGCGTACGGCATGTATCTGGCAAACTCGCGGTCCCGAAGTGAGGGCGTTCCCTGGCTGCCATGAGCTAATAAGCGGCGAGTCCGGTCGAGGAGAGAGGGATTGTGGTAGTGTCCAGGCAGTGAGAGGCCCCGGGCTTCGTGGAGGGTTACGACGAGGATGCCCGGCTTGAGAGCTGCTGGAGCTGGAGCTCCGGACATGGCTGCGCTGGCCGCTGTGGAGAGCATATGAGTCCTCCCCGGGGAGAAGACACACTCCAGCCCTAAGGTGGATCACACCGGTATTTGCATGCGTTGGAAATGAGGGCGGGTGTCCGGCATTGGGGCTCTTACGTGGCTGAGAGGCGCAGCGTGAGCAGGGAGATAGATGATCGAGTCGTGGGCAACTATCGACTTATGGCTCAGCCACCTTTTGGGTTTGCCAGGGGCGTTCATTCCACGACCTGTTTGGGCGCCGAATCCGAGGTAAGTAATGGGGATGGAAGCTAAAAGACGGGAGGGTACGTCGTCCGCTTGTTATTTATTGATCTATGTAGTCCTTTCAGGTTGCTCTCACTTATATATAGATCCACTACTGTCTCGGTGAGCCCACGGTGACTGTACCACTGCAAAGATATATATTGTACACCCAGCGCATACCTGAACGAAACAAATCTCTCCACGCAGGTAGTTAGTTATAAACAACAATAATCAACCGACTAGGCGAAGAATACCACCTAACTCCGGCTCTCCACTCTTGGAGTTGCATTGCGCGTTATGTGCCGATAAGGACAAGCTGGCGATTGTCAACATCCCCCCCTTCCCCAACTTTCCCCTCTCCACTTCGCTCCCTCATTATTATTCATGGCGGTTCCTGAACTCACCACTAAGCACCCTCGTTCCACCGGGCCACTCTCTATCTCTCGCCAGTCTCCATTGCTTGGCCCCCTTCCACCATGGCGAGCTCATGGGCTGTCTGCCACCAATGCGCGCAGTTCGTGTCAGATGTGCCAGCCCATATCCTACTAGCTGCACTCTCAGCGACAGCTCTGGGATTCTTTGTCCTGGTAAGCCCATTTCCTACTACCCGCGTCGTATATCTCTCGCAAGGCGCTCACTGCTCCCTGGTTTGTTTGGAAAATCAGTTCTTTCTCTTTCTATCCTTCGTCGCACCCGTTCCACGAAAACCCCTACCAGAGGAGGAAAAGTACACGACCCTCGCGACAGATGGTGCCGTCACCGCACCACAATCGCTACCATGCTGGGTCAAAGCACTAGATGCCGAGAAACAAAAACACCCGCAAGCCGATCGCATCGCGATGGAACCCGCGGAGCTGTTCGTGTCGGTGGTGGTCCCGGCTTACAACGAGGAAGATCGCCTGACGGGCATGCTGGAAGAGGCCGTGGATTACCTAGAACGCATGTACGGGACTCTAGCTAGTGAGCAGGACAGCAGCGCGGGCGCTGTAGCAACGCGATCGATGCGAAAACGCAAGTCGAACGGACATGCCACGAATGGACATGCCACAAACGGTCACGCCACAGGCTCAGCGGCAGATCGGGGTTGGGAGATCCTGATTGTCTCCGATGGGTCTACGGATCATACAGAGGATGTGGCCTTTGGGTTCGCGCGCGATCATCAGTTATCCCTGCATCCAAAGGGCCATGCAGGACCGTGGACTCCCCAGGCGCACGAGGGCGTCCCGATCCCGCCTGGAACCATTCGCATGGTCAATCTCGCGCATAATCGGGGCAAGGGCGGCGCCGTCACGCATGGAATGCGGCATGTTCGAGGTCAGTACGTCGTGTTTGCCGATGCAGATGGGGCAAGCAAGTTCACCGATCTTGGGAAGCTCGTCACGGCTTGTCAGGAGATCGAGGATGCAGAGGGCCGTGGCGTGGCTGTCGGATCGCGAGCGCACATGGTGGGCAGTGAGGCAGTGGTGAAGGTAAGACGCGAAAGAATCCGGACTGGAAACAATCGAACTAGGAGGAGCTGACATCGGCTAAAACATAGCGGTCCAAGCTTCGCAATTTCCTCATGCATTCCTTCCATCTGATCCTGTGGCTTATGACGCCGCCTCAGACAGCCATGATCAAGGACACGCAGTGCGGGTTCAAGCTGTTCTCGCGGCCTGCTCTTCCATATATCGTGCCATATATGCACTCCGAGGGCTGGATCTTCGACGTGGAGATGCTGATGCTGGCCGAGTTTGCGCACATTCCGGTGGCCGAGGTGCCCGTGGGCTGGCGAGAGGTCAAGGGGAGCAAGCTGAATGTGCTATGGGATAGCGTCGGCATGGCCTGGGGATTGGCCGTGCTGCGGGCAGCGTGGTCTCTTGGCGTCTACAAGACTTGAACGGCGGGGCCCAATCGGCGGATGCGGTAGTTAGTGGACCGGAGTAGGTAGAACAAGTCTAACTGTGCTTGGGAGGGTATATCGCTTCCCAATAGAGAAATGCTCCGAAGCGACAGTCAGGTTGTACAACTTGATAGATACATCTGCGCGATGATCCCAGGAGGGCGAACCTATTTCATCTTCATTAGCATCAACAACTGGCGGACACGGAGGGGTTATTCTCCACAGGCTGCCGTTTCACCCTGCGAAAGGAATCCCTCGTTGAATTCTATCAATCCTTTCCGGTGTTTCCCCGTTGGGACAGCTCAGTATATTATCGCATATCGTGCGGAGATGTTGGCGCCCTACTATCACACAGATGTGATATGCTCATCCAACCCCCTTGTGCCGTGTCTCAGCCTGGCCCAGACCAGACCGAGGTGTTAATCACTCGATAGGTACCGGCGAAGGATTTGTATACTAAAAGATTAGATCACCGCCAGGACGGGTCCGTTGCGGCCTTTCTCGTGGCAATGGTGGAGTTGCAGGAAGCGGTCCCCTGGTGTTTTCGCCCCAATTTGACCGGCCTCGATCCTCTGTAGAACCGTTGCGACGGGCGTTAGCTGTTGACAAGTGGATTATTAGGCGATGCTCCTATATTAATTGGGTAAGACACTAGAGTGCTACATCCTGTTTTCCTCGACTGTGTCGAGAAAGAAGGAGGGGTGAATATACTCCACTGGAGGTATTCACGCCGCCACCACTATCATCGTACCACCCATACCCCCTTTATGCTGCATATCTATTCCCCAGCAGGAGCAAGCTGCGGTCTTAGCTAGGGAGCTCATGGGCACAAAACCAATTGGCCATATGGGAAACACAGCAGGTGGCAAGCAGAGCGCTGATCTTCCAACCTCGTGGAAGATAAAGAACACAAAGGATTGTCAGGCTATCCTCGATTAGACCGACATCTGCTACATACTCCGGTAGTTTCACCCCCCCTCCCCTGGTTCCCAGCGCACCCAATCAAGTATAGATATTCCTGGTCCTTCACCTCAGGATTTGACTTGCATGATCAGCGAATTCCTCCGTCAGGGTATTCGAGCCTTCATTGCCCCAGTGGGGGCCGGTCTTAGTGGTTAGTTGCCGGTGCTGGCTTCGTCGTCCGCGGCCCCAAATTGGTGCATATCCAAATGAAATTTAGCGCGGAGGGATGGACCGCTGCCATGTGGACGACGGATTTGATGCTGCAGAACAAGTGCCATGTGGGAGAAAGTAATGGTCCATGTGGTCACGACGGTGTTGGATGTCGATCCTCCTGGTTGAACATATATAGTAGCTCCTGAACGGTCGAATCCTTCGAAGGGATTGGAATTGGAAAACCGTTCACGCCCAGCCTTTTGATATCTACTAGTTTTGTTCCCCCTTCTCTCTCATTCGTTTGATATCCAGCTCGCCATTGCGTGGTGGATAGATCAGCCGAGTGTTTGCCGTTGAGAGCCGTATGAGGTTCAGGATTATTGCCCTTCATTTATTTCAATTGCCGTGCTTGAGTCAAGAACCACCAAAATGCCCGTGGAGAACCCGTCCTCCAAGTCCCATGGCTCACGCTTCCTTCAACTGCCCCTGGAGCTGCGGCTGAAGATCTACGAATACGCTCTCACCGTGCCCAATGACTACATGGATAAACCACTGATGGTAGTCCATGACCGCGGTAATGTCTTCACCTCGCGCGGCCGATTCAGAGCCCTGAATATGTGTCCCAGCTGGGCGAACGAGGACGGCACCGCGCGCAACATGATGGCCGTCAACCGCCGGATCCACGCCGAAGTCGAGGACTACTTGTACTCGAAACACACGCTGTTCTTCCGCAACTCCGTCGACCTGGACAAGCTGGGCTCATTCCTCGACACGCTGAGCGACACCGCACGCCGCCGCATCCGCAACGTCGGCTTCGAGGTCTTCTTCTTCGTGCACACCCAGATCGGAGTGCCCAAGCGCACCATCAAACAGTACGAGAAGGCCGGCCAGATACTCGCCTCGCGGCTGCCCTGCCTCAAAAATATCCTTTTCTACCTCGACCCGCGCTTCTACTACCCTTCCGCCTGCGTCGGCGGCGGCGAGCTCGCTGCCCGCGGCGTCCTCGACCTGGCCACTCGCTTCGGACCCTTGCGCAAGTCTCTCAGCTTCTACCCGTTGCCGTCCGGCCACCAGCATCTCGCCGATGAGATCAAGGACTTGCCGCTATGGGGCGACGCCGCCTCCATCGTCCCTAACTACCCGCCCATCCCGGAGCCGCCGTCCGCACTGAAGCCGAGGGATTACGACTGCGTCGACGAGGTCCACAAGGGTGTCTGCAAAGATGTCCGCAAGGACTCCCTCTTGTATCGACAATTGTCGTCGCTGGTGTGGTGAATGTGGAGACGAATCTGAGGTTTAGGGTTTCGGCGTTGTGGCATAACTATTCTTGACACTTTACACATCGGTCTGGACCAGCGCACCCCTGCAGCATGACGTCGGAGCTGATAACCCCCGGGTCATCACCCGGGGTTCCCCGTATGATGATGAAACATTCAAGATATTAGGGCATACACGGATATTGGATGGTGCATATTATATGCCCACTGACAGGCTAAGCCCTGGTGGGATCATTTGGCGCAGGACTTTCGGCATTTGGACAAAAGGCGTTTTATATATGCATGATTTGTTCACACACGGATATTATGTGTGTGGGATATATATATTAAATATATATATATGAAAACAAGGCGACAGAGGATGACAGGTCTCATACAATCAAATGGATCTCAAATGGATCCCCGTATATACTCACTTCTATACACTCAACTTATACATTCTCCGTCTGACGTCATTTCCCGTGACCCGCCAATCGCCTGTTTCTTCCTCAGTCGAGTTCACAACTTTCTGTTTTCGTCTTTGTCTTTCCCCTTATCTTCACCCAGTGCTGATAGTTATCTTAATACAGTACCTTATCAGGTATTATTATGCCCACCTGCCCTGGCTAGTACTGCCGGAAGTGCCCAGCCTCGGCTCGCCCTAACGTGACCAACTCAAAATTCCACCTTAATTCCCACGCTTTCCCCCGCGATCCATCATCATCATCTTCTTCCTCTTCTGAATGTTGCCCTGATGCGGCCCAACCTAACCTGGCCCACTCCATCATCCCGCCAGTTGCTGGTGACCGCGTGGCAGCTCACTGCAAATGCTGCTGACAGCTTACAACACGCGCCGTGATTGACCGCTTTGGTTCCTGCTGGATCGGACTCCACTGACGGTCTCGACCTTCTCGTGCTTGGTTGGAGACACTCACCGTCGCTGGCCCCCATTATTCTTGATAATTTTACTCTCTGCTATCGTCCGCCTCGGCAGGATTCACCGTCCCTACCGTCTGATCAGCCGATTTCGATAAATTTACTATAATCGCATACTCCCCTCCGGGCAGGCCATTGTGCGACCCTTCAAACATGAGATCCTCCGCGCGAACACTTCCCGAAGGCCATGGCAGTCTTTACAAGGAAGTACGCTTCTCTCCGACAGCGACACCAATGCGCCGTGCGAGATCGGTAGCCGGCAGCAATCCCTCCACGAGCGCACAATTCTCGAATACCCCCCCCCACATATCCCGCCTTCGAAGCGTCCTATCTGGACCAGTCGCGAGCTCTCCTCGAGAGCCAGCGAGCGAACTTTGAGGCAGAGAGGGCGCTCTTTGCACAGGAAAGACAGCTGTGGGAGAAGGAGCGAAGCGTCTTGAAGTCGAGGATTGCTGAATTGGAGTCGTTGCTTAAGGGCCAAGGGGTTTCGGTGACTACATCGACCGTCACCTCTCCCCAGCCGGTGTTTGGCACACCACAGTATAATGGGACGACAGGAACGCTGGACGGCGGTCTGGCCCTCACCTCGGCGCAGGTGTGGGAAGGGTCGAGCCCTGGCGGTCGACCAACCCGTGTATTTTTGGAAGCAGAGATCCCAGATCCAAGCCACTTGCCGCCGATCCTCGAAGGGTCAAGTAACAACCCGCCCTCCCTTGATGCGGCACTCTCTTCGCAGTTCCGTGCCAGTGATCCCTCTGGCTTGACCGGCATCCCAGTGCCGATCGAAAAGCTTGACAGCAGGCTGGACGGGATTACGCTCAAGTCGACAGCCTTGCCACCTGGGATCGTGGCGCGGGTGATCACTCCGCCGTCCCCATCGCCCCTTGAGAATACATCTTCGCCTGCGACCGCCCTTTCTCCAGGGTCTGCAAGGCCGAGCGCCGAGCATCGAAACAGTCTCAAACTGAAGCTCTCCGAGCTAAGTCATCCCAGTGAGAACTTGGTGAGGGACGCCGGTCACACCCCAATGGCAGTCATCGAGGGCGACCCCAGCCAGCGAACCACCCAGGAGGCTTCCCCTACTGAGAAGCCTGAAGAGGAGGGTCTCTTCGAGGGCGAGGAGGCCCCTCTTGCACCCACGGTTACCAAATCTACGCAGCCTATTGAGACTTCGGACTCATATTTTCCCGATCTGCCCGACGACCCGGCCCTCAAAGGGCCGCTTGGTCTCACCAATGACGAAAAAGAGGATAACAGCTTCCTCACAGAACTCGATCAAAAACTCCTGGATCAGGCCAGGCGGATCCTCTCCACTTCGTCAGGGTCGGGCGGCGACCCGAATGAAACTGATCCGGAAGACCTTGCCAGCCAGGGTGAGGCGGATCCGGAGATCAAGTTCAAGAATTCAACCAACTTTGGCACTGCCTTCGGACTATCGAACTGCGGTGAAATCTGAGAAAAAAAAAAATTTCATTTCTTCGGACATAGGTGATCTGTCGACCTTGGGCGCGTTTTTTCTGCCTGATTCCCCTATGCGTCCCTAGGGAGACGCTTGACGAGATAATGAGATACACTTGTTTTTTTTCCTTCTTTTTCTCAATACCCAGTTGTCTTTCTTGCTGTTTTGAATAATAGGGGGAGATTTATCCCTGCACCTTCCTATTGTTTTGATATTGGAAAATGCCTTGCGTGTGATGTGTATGCAGTTGCAGCGGATCTAACTCACCGAACCAATCCGATTGCGACAACCTCCTACCGTGGGGATCTTGTTGTCCGATAGTCCCGCGATCTCCCTTGCATCTTCCACTCCACTCCACGTGGATTTGCTTTGCATCTCGCCCTAGCTTGCACCGCGCAATTCCCGACCCTAAATCTAACAATGAATACGTTCATGCTTATCCCCGTTGAGGCTCGTGCATATACTTCGGATCTACGCCTACCTAGTCCCGTTTCTGCCTTCCCGTGCACAACACAGGAGTATTGCCAAGCTGATTGCTCTCACGCCGCCTGTCCTCCTGGTATCCTTGCTGATCCGCGGGCCCTTGTGGCTGTCCTATAATAGGGCCACCAAGGACTAGCCTTTTACCTTGCAGCATCCTGGTTCCAGACTAGGCCCTTGGATGGTCACGTACGGCTTGCTCTTGTGATACGTAGTTCGCCCGAAAGGAAAAAACTACATAAAGGCCCTCGAGTTCGGCCCCCTCCAGCTCTTGTTGTTCTTCATCAAATTCAGCATTTGACAATCAACAGACAGTCACTCGTTCTCCTGTCCTTTATTATCTATTCTTGGAGCTCGCTCCCCATCAACGCTCTTTTACTCACGCACACTTTTTATATCATTCATCCATTCCTTTGCTCATCCACCATTCTATTCCGATACAATGTCTCCTAACATGAATACGCTCCTGTGTCTTCTTCTGGCTGTTGGCCCCGCCGCTGTCCTGTCGGCTCCTCAGGTAAGAACCAAGTATCTCAACGTACATATGACACGAACTAACTTCCAGACCCAGGGTCTCGCCATGCCCGGTTCTACTGGCTCCAGCGGCTTGGGCTCCGGTCTGATCCCTGGCTCCTCTAGCAGCGGCAGCTCACTGCCCGGCCTGGGTGGCGCCTCCGACAGCGCCACCCCGGCGACCGGCACCAGCGAAGAAGACGCCGGCAGCGGCTTCAGCGCTGGCATCCCCGGTGGCCCAGGCGTGCACTTCGGCGCTGGCGTCCACAAGGTCCAGTACGGCCCATGTGGCCCTGGCTACAGCGAGGCCAAGCACGCCGGCAGCGGCTTCCGCGTTGGAATTCCCGGCGGCCCGGGCGTTTCCTTCGGCGCCCACGCCGACGAGGCTCACCAGGCTATTCCCTGCCCGGAGCAGCCTTCACCAGTCATTGTTACTCCCATCATCATCCCCTCCACCACCCCTGCGCCGGCATATGTCGCGCCTCCCGCACCTGTGCACTCCACCCCGCTGATCTCGCACCCTGCGCCGTCTGCTAAGCCCCCTATGCCTGTGTACAACGCCGGCTCGTCGCTTGTGCCGGGCTCTGGCGTCCTAGCTGTTGCCCTTCCTATCATCCTGGGCCTGTTCTAAATAATACCGAACAGTTGAAACAGAACAGAACACGGCGTGGTTGGTTCGCGTGGAGAAAAAGGACATTTTCTTTTGTCGGATGCTTGGTTGCTTGTGACGATATCATCTTGTTGTCTTGTCGACATATGATTTTCTTTCTTGACTTGCTCCTTTTTCGTTTAGGGTTTGTGCTTGTTTGTGACTTCTCACTTCCTTCTTTCTTCTGTCTACTTTTATTTTTAATGTTCGCCGCGATCTCTCGCTGGTCGACTACAGATACCTGTTCAGAGCCTGTGTATTATGAGGGCCATGCTCTTTGGAGAAAGTTGAATCATTGAAATACGGCGTCCGGGCGTGCGCGTGCACATTCGGTCTTGATTTAATTTACATCATCTTGCATTCTTTAGATTGAAATGTTATTCATCAACCTATTGACAAATTTGACATGATAATCTCTTGCCCTTTCCTCCATCGCCATGAACCGAGTAAATTGTTCCCAAGAACCAGACAACGTGTTCTCAGGGAACCCAACTGCATTCCCAGGAATATTTGTTCTCACTTTTGAGCTGCACCACGTTAGCTCTTCTTGGAAAATCACCAACTGCGCTTGAACTATTGTCCACTGGGGCATGATATAGTTCTGACTTGGATTGCATAGTCTTGGGTTTTATTTTGCCCGAATGGAAAGCTTGGAGCAGGCCTGCTGCGCTTGGTGAGTGAGACATAACTAGCACATACAAGCGATCTAAGCAGAAGTGCTCACCTCGCATGCATGATTTATTAAGCCTCAGTATCCATACTTGGAGGGCGTACTATAGGCAGAGACTTGCCGATGAATAAGATGAGATGTAGGCACTAAATTCCGTCAAACAATATTTCAGTTCCTGTCTGTCTCGCACCAAACCGGGAAAGACAATCTCCCAAGTTCTGGATGGGTTGACGATGATCGACGGACGCAGGGGATACGATATGCACGAAAGGAATAGTGCCATGTCATGTGCTTTTCATCTTTCTCTACAATGTGACAGGTCCATACAGAACGTTAAGGTCTTTATACTGACTGTGGTTTGCTTCTTCAATAATTCCGGCAGCAGGTCTTTCAAGTAAAATGAGAGGAAAGCAGGCAGGTTGGGTAGCAGCGAAGACAAATAGATCGAGTGTTGCCACGGGGGAGTCAAGAAAGGAATAGCAGCCAGAATAATAGCAAGAGCAACGCCGGGTCATGTCATGTCATATCATGCATATCCATCACATCCCTTCCCCAAAATCAAAAATTTCAACTGAAAATTGAAAAACCAAAGAAAAGCAAAGTCTTATACTCCCATAGTAAAATCATGCTCGATGCCGGGTGTCACGCTGGCAATAAACTTGAGGAAGACCACCAAATACTGATCCACACGGATGGCAACCTGCTCCTCCTCCTCACGCTGGAGAACCTCCCACTCATCGCCACCAGGCTGGGTCTGTTGCTGCTGGTGCTGCTCGCCCAGCGACAGGGCATTCGTGTCATCGACTAGACCCTCCAAACCACTACTCCCCGCCGCGCGCAAGACGCGTTCCGCCTCTTCGCGCGACTGGGTCTGCTTCAGCTTTTCGCGACGGAGCTTGAGCGCCGCGTCTGCGCGGTCGAGGAGGATTTTCATGACGGAGGCGTGCCGGCATGGATGGACTGTGGCCATCTTCACGCTGCCGTCGAACCAGGGGAAGTCTTCTAGCGTCACGGTCTTGTCCTTGTAGTCGCCGACGATGTCTTCCATCATCAGGTGTGGTGGGAGGGGTTCCGATGGTGACAGGTACCCGGACAGATAGAGCCGTGGCGTGCGGTAGAAGTTGGAGTATGTGATGTAGAGGGTGTAGGTGCGAAGGGGTCTAGAAGAGCGTGCGTGCCTCAGTAAGAGTGGAGATGGGATGGGATGAAATGGGAGGTAACTTACTGCGTCGTGCCCGAGCCTCCAGCGGGTTCCCGGATAATAGCTTCATCGTCATCGTCATCATCTTCCATATCAGGGATCTCGTCCTCATCCTCCTGCTCGCCCAGATTCCCCGATTCGTTGATGGTGCGCACATCCCGGATATTTGCCGCCTGGTTCCCAGCCGGATCACGCCCGCCGCCTGTCCGGAGCCAGCCATCTTCATCGCCGCCAGCGGCACCTTCTTGCCCTTCGATCCCACCGGAGAGCATATCCCGTACGATCTCATCGTCGAGGCCAGCATCGCCAGCGAAGTTGTCGTTCAGCCGCCGGTGGCAGGGCACCCCGCGCGTTACTAGGAACTGTTTCCCCGCGGGCAGGTAGGATACTCGCTTGGCTTCGGAGGATGCATCGGCCCAGGACCAGGTGGGGAACTTATAGACGAGGTAGTCGCCTGCTAGGACGAACTCTTCCGGGGTGATTTGGCCGGTGGAGCGGAAGGTGGAGGTGCGTGAGACCGGGGCTAGACGGTCTCGCCAGGTGGATAGTGTGGAATGCAGGATATTCATGATGATGGTGGTGTAAGAGTATAGGAATAACTCATCAATGTGGGAGTTGACAAAAGACAAACGATGGTGAAAGTGAAGTAGAGGGGGAGCTCACGCGGGGCGATCATGTGCTTATCAGTGACATAACCAGAGGGTGTAGCATGTGTTGTACGTATCATGTCTATCATGTCTATTATTTTAGTATATCTATTAGGAGTTATGTTTCCTGATTTCAGATTCCACCGCTTCAACAACCATCGGAATGCCCTGATCCCGCCACCGATCCTTCTCTGAGCGCATAAAGCCCTCCGTGCTCTTCATAGCCACAACCAGAAACCCAAGCTCTTCACGATCAACATCAAAAACCTCCCACCACTCCCCATCGACCAGCTTCACGCCTTCTTCACGCGAAGCTAGATAGATAGCCGCCACCGCCAATGCATTCGGCTGATGCGTGACGTACAGTAGTTGCGGCGAGAGCAGCGAGGCGTTCAGATGCTGGATCACCCGCCGGGACACCGCCGGTCGCGCTGCGCCCAGCGTTTGGAGGTAGGTCAGTGCGATGGTATGTGGTAGCGCGACATGTGTGTCGAAGCCCAGGGTGCGGAGGATGACGGATTCGATGCGTAGGAGGACCAGGCGCGCGGACTGGTAGCCACCTTCGGAGAGGATGTATGTTTCTGGTGCGGGGGTTGGGCTGGGGTCCCGCGCGGATTCACGAACCAGAGCGGGGAAGCATCGCGGGAGAGGAGAATGTGGTAGACGTTGAGTACGGAGCGAGGGGAGGTCGGTTGGAAGGAGAGCTTGGCTGTGAGGTAGAGGGCGGCGGCGGAGACATCCTGGAATCGGGCGTCAGTGTGAATCCTAGATCGATAAGAAGATCATATCTTACCTTGACGGAGTAAATGCGCAGACTGCCTCCGTCTGCTCCCAGCCAGAACCTGGTGAAGGTCACGATCGCTTGGGCGATGACGTCCTGCGACAGGCGCAACAGCACGCCGGCGGTTTGGGTGAGCTGCGCCCCGGCGCAGCGGATGGAGGTCTCGAGGTCGGAGGGAACGCCATCAAGGGAAGAGGATGAATTGGACAGTTGATCCGGGGTGGCGAGGGCGTTCGATAGATGCTTCAGCCCTGCGGTGGGTGCCATGACTGCTCGGGCTCGAGAGAACGTGGGAGTTGCTTGAATGTGGAGTCTTCTTCAGCCACCACGATTTCATCGTTAATCAGCTGATTCCAGCCTCTCCATTATTTTTGTTTTTCTGGATCTCCCAGATCGACCGGACATACATATTCATACATATTCGACATCTTTGGTACATTCCGCGCATATTGTGTCACACATTCCCCTTCTCTCACGCAGGATGACCGCCCCTTCGTCTCCTCGGCCTGTCAGCCTACATTCCGATGAAGCTCCCCGGCAGCCTTGCCTACCGGCCCCTGTTCCCTCCTTGGCCCCAGGCTCGACCCCTTCGGGCCCTTCTCCAGATAGTACCCGTTATTTCCAGAGCCCCCCGTCTCGACACCGTCGAGTAAACACCGAATACATTCCCCGAGCACCTCTATTCGAACAGGGACTGGACGCGACCCGGGACGATCCATCCGCCCACAGCCCTTTCCCACCACTGTCCTGGACAGACACCCTCAACAAACGGAAAGCGAGAGTCTTGTCGGACTGGTTTCAGGGGAAGTCGGAATCGGTGGATTTGGGAAACTTCAAGCTGCGCGCCGAGGATATCAACCCGGACCGGACCACAACCATGGACGCTACCCGTCTCACCCCAAACTCCACGCTGCTATCTCGAAAGAAATCGGTCTCGCCCACGCGTCGGTTCTCATTCTTCGGCCTGCGCCGGCAATCAGAGGCCAAGCCAGGACTGCCAGCGCCCGTGGACGATGAATTCCTCAACCTCGATATTGACGAGGCCCTCGCGCCGGACGCGAACGCGGCGAGCAGCGAGGCCGCATTAGACTCCCTGCGGGGCCAGGCCGACTCGGTAATCCGACGGATGCAGGAGGCCTACAAGCAGCGCACGTTCGCCTTGCACCAGGCCCTCATCGACAAAGACGAGAAGCAGGAGGAACTCGTCGAGACCCGCGCGCTGGTCGAGCATTTGAGGATGCAGCTGGATGGGATGGCCGCCAAGGCCCTGGAGCAGGAGAAAGCCATGCAGGCCATGGCTGAGGAACTGGAGGAGGAGAGATGTCTCCGGCAACAACAAGATCAACAACAAGATCAACAACAAGATCAACAACAAGATCAACAACAAGACATCACGCCGAGCACAACACGGACACGGTCCGCCGACGACGACATTCCTTCCATCGCCCTTCAAACCCCTCAGCGCGGTGGGAAACGTGCCAGCCACGGTACCTTCACGAGCGACTCCGGGTTTGAGTCGGGGGACAATGAGAGCGTTGCCGACAGTATCTTCTCTCAACGCGAGGGGATCGAATCTCCGCCTTCTACACTCGTGGCAGCGTCGCCAAATATCTCGCAGGTTGCTCTTCCTACACCTAAACCTGTCCCATCTACGGCTGCACCCGGCCCGGCACCATCACCAACCCCAAGACCTGCGCGCACCTCGACTTACGACCGCGTGAAAGGATTTGCCTCGACGCGACTCGGCAATTTGTCTGGCCACTCAGCCCAGTGTGGCATTTGTCACGGCGTTCCGGCTTCCGAGGCCTGGAGTGTGATGGGGGTGCTCAAGGACGAGAACCGGGGTCTGAAGACGCGGTTAGGCGAACTCGAGCTGGTGATTGATGACTGTCTGGGTATGGTTGGGCCCTGAGCAGGACTCGGATGGAGTATACCCGGTCGTTATAGCATCCTCGTTATCAACTAATGAATTGACTGCATTGGGTCGTCTCTATACTAGATCGTAGTGTGGGGATAGCTCCTTTCCGAGTACGTTAGGGCACCTGGCCCCCGACTGCGGACTTGCAGCCGGGTCTGCCTGTCTGTCTAGAGAAATTGTAGTGCATCATTTTGGTCCACGGTCATTCTTCCATTAATCCTGTTTATGATCGTTCGATTGCGTGGAGTCCTCGCCATAGTGACTCAGGGTGTCCAGAAGGCAGGCGAACAAGTGTCCTTAGCGCCGACCGGGAAAAAGTGGCCAGCGAACCACTTCCCTTCTCTTCCTCTCTCTTCCCCCAACTCTTCCCCAACCTTTCCCTCCCACATTCCCTTTCTTCCCCTTCCTTCCCTTCAATTCATTCCTCTCCTTTTGCTGGCATCTCCAGCATCCTCCTCCCCTCTTTTTTCTCTTGTTTCGTCGCATTGAGGGAGGACTGTCACCATGAGCGGCCGTGAGTGCCCCCAGCCCCGTTGTCGCACCCACCGCACACGCGATCGCGACAAGCCATCAATTGTGGCCCAGCTCAATGCTAACCACACCTACCAGTTCGCTTCCTTGACTTGATCAAGCCCTTCACGCCCCTCCTCCCGGAGGTGGCAGCTCCTGAGACCAAGGTGCCATTCAACCAGAAGTTGATGTGGACGGGCGTACGTTGTGTTTTCTGGCGCGGAAAAATGCTCGTGGGACTGACGCATTGCAGTTGACTCTCCTGATCTTCTTGGTCATGAGCCAGATGCCGCTATATGGCATTGTTTCCTCCGACACCTCCGACCCCCTGTACTGGCTTCGGATGATGCTGGCCTCCAACCGGGGTACCCTGATGGAGCTGGGTATTACCCCTATCATCTCCTCGGGCATGGTCTTCCAGGTATGTCATCACCAAATTCGTGGGTCGGCATGTACTCATAACCTGTTTCTTGCTAGCTCCTTGCCGGTACCCACCTCATCGATGTCAACCTGGACCTCAAGACCGACCGTGAGCTGTACCAGACTGCTCAGAAGCTGTTCGCCATCATCATCTCCTTCGGTCAGGCCTGTGTCTACGTTCTGACTGGCCTCTACGGCCAGCCCAGTGACTTGGGTGCTGGTATCTGTGTTCTCTTGATCGTTCAGCTGGTGGTGGCTGGTCTGGTGGCCATCCTGCTGGATGAGCTGCTCCAGAAGGGCTACGGTCTGGGCAGCGGTATCTCGCTCTTCATTGCCACCAATATCTGCGAGTCAATTGTTTGGAAGGCCTTCTCCCCCACGACCATCAACACCGGCCGTGGCCCTGAGTTCGAGGGCGCCATCATCGCTCTGTTCCACCTGCTCCTGACCTGGCCCGACAAGCAGCGTGCTCTGTACGAGGCCTTCTACCGCCAGAACTTGCCCAACGTGATGAACCTGCTGGCAACCCTGGCTGTCTTCGCCGCGGTCATCTACCTGCAGGGCTTCCGTGTTGAGATCCCCGTCAAGTCCTCGCGCCAGCGTGGCATGCGCGGCTCCTACCCCGTCCGCCTCTTCTATACCTCGAACATGCCCATCATGCTCCAGTCCGCTCTGTCCTCAAACGTCTTCCTGATCAGCCAGATGCTGTACTCGCGCTTCTCGGACAACCTGCTGGTCAAGCTTCTCGGAGTCTGGGAGCCCCGTGAGGGTTCTGCCCAGCTCTACGCTTCGTCGGGCATTGCCTACTACATGTCGCCTCCGCTGAACTTCAAGGAGGCCGTCCTCGACCCCATCCACACGGCTATCTACCTTAGCTTCATGCTGATTGCCTGTGCGCTCTTCTCCAAGACCTGGATCGAGGTCTCGGGCTCCGCTCCCCGTGACGTGGCCAAGCAGCTCAAGGATCAGGGCCTGGTCATGTCCGGCCACCGTGAGCAGAGCATGTACAAGGAGCTCAAGCGCATCATCCCCACCGCCGCCGCCTTCGGTGGTGCCTGCATTGGTGCTTTGTCTGTTGCCTCCGACCTCCTCGGGGCTCTGGGTAGCGGCACGGGTATCCTGCTCGCTGTCACGTAAATTTCTCTCCTCTATCTTCTAGATCCGTACGCTAATTGTCCTTCCAGCATCATCTACGGTTACTTCGAAATTGCTGCCCGCGAGGGTGACATCGGCTCGGGCCTGAAGGGTCTGGTGCCCGGCAGCTAAACGGATTCAAAGACCTGCTTCTATTTCCACAAGCAGCATGCCGAAGAGACCGCTCCCTTGCGTTCCTTCGCAATGTCTTCGTTTAGTGTTTTGTTTTTTCATTGCTTTGTCTTTTAACTTTTCCTCTCGCTCTTCGCTTGACTGATGCCGTTTGGGGTGACTGGATTGGTATTGGTATGCTATTTGTTGTTGGCTGGCCTTCCCCGGCTGGTGGATGAGCATTGGCGCCAACAACCCGTCCACACGCTCTTCCCTGCATTTTCGACGGACCGGTGTATGAGTAACTTCGCACGGGCAAGTGGTACTGTGTGGGTGGTGGTGAAGCTCTGGTGGGAGGCAGGCGTTCAGCTCAGGTCTCTTGTCCCTGCTAGATTCGAGAGCGCCCTGTTCAGCAGGGAGTCCTGTAATCATATATTCTCAAAAACCCGAAATAAATCTACTTTGCCGTGATTCTGTCCTTGACTGCTACCTTCAGCCGGTAATGGGTAGGTAGGTATACACGGATATCCACCTCCTACACAGCATAATGTCTACCGGTGGGGCCTTTAATGAGGAGGACAGATTCCTTGTCCTTTTTCTATGGCTTCTGCCAACTATATCGCGCGTCATTCGTTGCCAGCCTCAAACTGGATCCGGCTCTCCCAATACTCTAAATATCCTAACAGGGACCTTGTGATTACTTTCCAGAGATGGCCCAGAGCCCTTATTGTCGTTTATATCAATAGAAAAAACACATCACAACTCGAAATGCTCAACCAGCCCCCCGGCTACTGTAGCAGCCAGCCAACCAACAACATCTTGCCAACCCATTCCCGATCACAGCACGAAAAGACTGGCAATCACTGCGGCACCGCCTGACACTATTTCAAACCGAAGTGATTTTGGCATTACCAACACAATACCGCTTATGAATCGGCCTTGATAATTTCCGCGGCTCGTTCAGCCACGGCATAAACCGTAGACATGATGTTGGCTGCTGGTATCAGCGGAAAGATACTGGCATCACAGACCCGCAAATTGGTCGTCCCGTATACCCGCAGCTTTTCATCCACTACTCCACCGCCCTTCTTTGGGAGCATCGCTGCGGTACCGCAGGGGTGGTAAGTTGTAGTCGCGGTATCGCGGAGATATTTTTTGGCCGATTCAATATCTGTGAGGAACGCATCGGGATGATTGCGTCGCCCGGCTGGTTTCAGGAAATGGGCCAGAGGTTCCGCCTTGTGCAGTTTCTCGACATCCAGCAAGTTGTGCGCCATGATGTCCAAGTCCAAAGGATGAGAAAAGTAGCGGGGGTCAACAGTCTGCTGGTCACTAGGGCCGGCTGACGAAATGTGGACGCTGCCACGAGAGAAGGGCAGACTCTGTATGATACCTAAACTGAGATAGTTGCCAGGCAGAAGATCCTGGCCAACAAAGCTCTTGCCTGTCTCATGTAGATTTGCCTGGGCAAGGAACATGAACATTTGGCACTTAGGGGAATCGGGTTGTTCGAGGATGTCGCGGACCGCCTGATCTCGGTCGTTAGGGTCCGGGAGGAAGCGGTCCATATGCTCCTTCGTGAATCCTTGATTCTTAGCTCCATAGTCGTCCAGAAAAGGCATGTAGGCGCTTGACTGTACACCACCTATAGTCATAGGGCCTGCTTTGTGTTCAGCGTACAGCTGCATAGCTTTCTGTACGGCCTCATGTTCCTGACGCAATAGAGGATCCCCTGTGGCCACTTCCTCGGCAACTTCAAAGCTAATGCCGGTCATAAGATGATCCTGGAGATTCTCCCCAACATTAGGGTTACTTAAAACGACAGGAATGTTGAACTGACGAAGAATGTTCTCGTCTCCAATTCCAGAGAGCTCTAGAATCTTCGGCGTGTTGAGAGCACCGGCCGAGATAATGACCTCTTTCTTAGCTTTGATGGTATAGGATTTCTCGTTCATAGTGATCTCAACCCCGGTAGCTGTGACCTCTGTGTCATTGGTTCTGTTGAAATGAACCTTATTGACCAATGCCTCTGTCACAATGTCGACATTCGGTCGCTGTTTTGCCGGGAGGCCATAACCCGTCGCAGCATAACTTCTAGTTTTGGTCTTAAAATCGACCGCGGCCATATTGCTATATCCCCCAAGGGCACTACCAGAAAACGGGTCCGCTGTGACACCGTGACCGATCGTATTAAAGGTGTCAACCCACGCTTTGGCCAGTGGGTCTTGAATGACGGCGGGAAAGGAAATCTTGAGCGGGCCTGATGACCCATGGCATTGGTCATCCACCCAGGCAAGACCAATATGCTCGCAAGTGGCAGGATCTGGGAGCTGGAGGGTATAGGCCCTTTTATAATACTGGTGGAGATTCTCCCACGTCCAACCCGCCGCTCCCAATTTCGACCAGGCGTCGATTCCGGCTTGAGATGGTGCGATGAAAGCTTGACCATTGATACCGGAACTGCCTCCTAGAAGCTTGCCCTGCGTCAACTTGACAATTCGGTTACCCAAGGCATACTGCTGCTATCAGAAATTGTCTTCTCCTACTCCCAGCCTCGCAAGTGTACACGCACCTGAGGAGCCGTTTTCAGTTGCCAATCTACCTCTGATCCCATCAGAGTGGTCCACAGAGCTGGGATTTGTACCCGAGTATCTTCAGTCATATCTTTCCCGGCTTCGAGGACTACGACGGTCTTTGTGGGGTCCTCAGAGAGTCGGGAGGCGAGGACCAAGCCTGCAGTTCCCCCTCCCACGATGACATAGTCTGCCTCCAAAGGGAAGTTCTCGATAGCCATGGTTTGTCAATGAATAAACAAAGAAGTGTCTTTTTTCCAGAACTGGTGACTATAAGAACTATCGGGGCGGAGGCTTTATATGGCGAGGTGAGAATGGCATGGACCAAAAACACCTAGCCGTCCCTAACAGCGGGGCCCACACCCACTGGGGTGTTGTATTAACGTAGTAATGCTCTAGCTTACTAACGTTACAGTGCCGGGCAATGAAATAAATCAGCGCTAGTAGACCCACCCTACGCTATACTATATTAGGATAGGCCTTATTTTGAAATCTACTTACTAGATTATCTCAACGCGTCGCGTTGCTTTTGCATAGCATCATCGAAACCCTTATATCTCTCGTTCTCCTCTCCTCATAGTTTCCCACATTCCCTGTCTGACCATGGCTAACCCTTTCCGCTCCGCCCGCCTCATCTACCGCGCCGTAGAACCCACCGAGGACGAGGCTTTCATCCTCACTATGCAACAAGATCCAGTATCATTCAGCAATTCGAACGCAATGATCGCTAAACCGCAGAGCAAGAAGGATGCTCTCAAATGCATTCAATCTTTGGAAGAAGCGCTCCTCGGAGTCGTAATATGCTTGCCACCCACGGAGGCGCATGGGAAGCCCATCCCTATTGGCGCGATTTCTCTGAAGCCGGTGCCCGTGCCGATGATGCACCATCGATCTACGGAGATTGGGATTGGCATAGGTCGGAGAACTTTCTCTCGGATGCGTATTGATGCTGACCCTTATTATAGTACAAGCGTATCAAGGCCAAGGTTATGGGAGCGAAGCGATCAACTGGATCCTTGAATGGGCTTTTGAGACCGCCGGGATGCATAGAGTGAGCGTTCGGCATTTCGAGTATAACGAAGGCGCGGGAAGACTGTACAAGCGACTAGGATTCAAGGTCGAGGGCGTGATTAGAGAGGAGTTGTGGCATAAAGGTCGATGGTGGAATGGTGTCCAAATGGGAATGCTTTCGCAGGAGTGGACGGAGCTACAACAGAAACGGGAGACGCACAACTAAGTAGAAGAGACTTTTGGCGTTGAGGTTACCGTCTTGGAGAGGCACGAAAGCCGACTTGAAATGCATAGTAGTAGTATTGGGATGTGGGGTAGTTCAGCTCCTCGTCTTGACCTCTTCTCCGGTCTTTTGGACTGGCTCGGGAGGACCAGCAGGTGGATTTGATATCATGTGATATATCTCGGTGGTGGTATCGCATCGAACTTATGGGCAATTTTTCCCATATGATTCGCAGCGTGACATTACTGACACTCGCTGGTCTGATCCGACCCCATCGACACGGGGGGACAATGGGACTCATGTACTCAGCACCCTCTTTCCCAGAGGCGCTGCTCAAATGGCTCGTAGAACGTAGTCTGGGAGGTGATAAAGCCACCATCGGAACCAACTGCAAGGCCCAGAACCACAAGTCTGGGATCTACTTCAGCTTCAATATCCTGAATGGGACATCTGAAGAGCTTCTCAAGCAAAATGGCCCAGATGAAGGCTCGCTGATAGAGGCATACCCCCAAGTCAATGTAGGTAAGCTTACTCAGTGTGGTTGCTAGCTATGGCATATCGTATTGATTTCTTAAAAAGTCCAGCAGCGCTCTAAGCAAGGACACTTTACACGCACATATCAACAACTATAATCAGTCTGCTACTATATTAAGAGCCAGACCATCCGTCACACACTGTTCTTGCCGTTGGGCTCATATGGCAGAGTCATGGCCAACGTGCCAGCAGAGAGCAACATGGTACCGCTAACCCACATGGGCGCGCTAGATCTTAGGTCTACAAATGCTGGGAAAGCAATATAAGCAAGCGTTTTACGCTGTTGAGACGGAATCAGGACTTACAAGCAATAATCGGGACCATTGTGTTACAGATGCGGCAGAAAGCGCTTGCAATTCCGATACCAGTTCCTCGATGTGGAGCCGGGAATACCTCTGGAGTGTAGGCGTAAAGCACACCGTACATCAAGCTATGTGTTCAATTAGAAAGGTAAAATTGTGGTTTGGAGGGTGGGGTTAGGGTTTGACAGCAAGCATACTTCTGAGTGACGGAGATGCCACATGAAAAGCCTAGGACGCCGGAAGCAGTGGTGGCCTGGGTATAGCAAAATAAGAAGATGCCGGTTATCAAGGTGGACCCGACTAGGGTGCCCCTTCGACCGACCCATTTCTGCTCGACGAGCCAGCCACCGATGAGTGAGCCGGGAATCCCGCACACAGAAGTGATCGCGTAGTGTTGGTAGGTTATGTTCAGCGAGTTATTCCCGCCCGAGCTGCCCGTGCCGTGCGTTTCGAGATAGACCGGTAGAAAGACGTTGAAGAGATTATAGCCAATTCCGATCAGTCCCCAGATAAGAACGATGACTGTGGTCGAGTAGGCCATCTTCTTATTGCTGAAAAGCGCCTTGAGATGGTTGCCTTTGAGTTCCCGAAGGTTGTGTGCTATCAGCTGTCTCCTGCTTAGCCGACGAGTCTGGTCCGCTTCAGGGGACCCTTGCAGGCCTAGGCGCCCTCGGGTTTCGTTTTCGATGCGCTGGAGTTTCTCCAGAGAAATGTCGGGAGCTGGGACGCCGTTATATTTTGCCAAGGAGAAGACAACATCTAGCGCTTTCTCGTCCTGACCGTGGGCGAGGTAAAATTTGGGTGACTCGTAAAGCTTGAAGACAAAAGTTCGGACAACAAACATAGCGATTGTGACAAATCCTAATCTGAAAGAAGTGAGTATAGTTCATAAAATGGAAGTCGACGGCATAGAGTCGGTGCGTACACGATGATTGTATAGCGCCAACCCATATTCTCTGACCGCGGACAGTGTCCCGGTTCCGTTGATGTAGGGCAGGAGAAGTTCACAATGAATGGCCATCCAATCAGGGAGGCGAAAACCTGTCCAAAACACCACCTACACCGAAGCCATGAGTGAGTATAGTCAAGCAGGGCGCGCCGTACACTTACCATATAGACATGACGGTGAGCAGCCATTGATGTGAAGCAGGGCAGAATTCGATGAAGATGGCGCTGTCAACAGGAACTAAAGAATTAGTTAGCGCAGAGATAAGCAAGGCACATAGGAATCATTACGGTTGCCACCGATGCCAATACCAGCAACGCCCAAAAGCGCGTCTATTGCGACGAAATTTAGAGCTCCTGCTGATGCCGTACTAAAGATGGAAGCAATTGCAAGGGTCATATTAAACGCAATTCGCCGTCCGATGGTGTCCGAACTTAGACCCCATACGGTAGCACCTATAATAAGACCAATTTGCTGGCCTATACCCAGCATAGCAGAGTATTTAGGGTTAAATTCCAGGATGATTACTGGGAGAATAACAGCAATACACTGCTCCCACATCTAGCAAAAACAATCAGCCATAGTGATATAAATAGGGCGCTGATGTGCTCACATTGTCCACCATCCACCCGAATCCAGTCAGGAACCACAGGCACCACTGGTAGCGTCCCATACCAATGTCTCTCAAAGCCTGGTTCAGGCAATGCACCTTTGCAGCGTAGATAGGATCTAGTCCATCGAGCTGCAGGTCTTTGACAGTATCTGTACGCTCCAGCGAGCGCTTCTCAACTCTGTTGTCTTGCTGCGTGGTCGAGATCGCATCGTGGCTGTTCAAGGAGGAAATGGGAGAGTCCTCCTTGGCCGGGACGGGTTTCTCCATGATACTGTCGAGGGAACCGTTTCCTCTAGTTAGGGTAAGAGGCTTGTCTAACGTGTACAGTAGACGACTTGCCCATTGCCAATTGTGGGATGAACCAAGTTTAAATCCACGATTTGTGGAGGAGGACAGACCGGTCTCACCTTAGTATGGGGGGAGAGAAGCCAGAATTTTTCCCGATTGGGCGATTGCGCTAAACCGAAAATCGTTGAATTTAAGGTTGAATAATCCATGGTTGGAATGTAGGAAATTGTGCGGTATCCCTACTTGAAAACCCGGCGAGATAAGACAATACAGCGAGATAAGACGTATTGGACTTCTGCCACGACGGTATAGATTTGACCAATTAGAGCTTATAGATAGCTAAAAGTGGCGCCAGTCGTTAACGATGTTGGGTATAAGAATCCGGGGTGTGGAGACCGTCGGATAAACTCGAACCCCGTTACTAAGTGGTAGAACACCACAGTTTTACATGTTTTCCACGCCCCTCGACACGATCGCCCGAGTACGTTTCCCCGAGTGAAAGTCGAATTGCCCGCCAAGTGACATCACAGAGTTCAAAGTTTAAGCGTCGTCGGACAAAGAAGCCCACGCCTAGTCGAGCGCACGACCGACTTCAATCAACACTCTCTACTCGATTAGATATTAAACTGATCGTCCATATGCCTCCCAAACCGAATAGGAGTCGATTAGGATGCTGGACGTGTAAAAGGCGGCATCGGAAGGTTTGCTGGACACTCGTCCGTATCTTGTCTAGTGACAGGCTAATGTAATCCTGATAAGTGCGACGAGTCACTGCCATCGTGTCAGAAATGCGCGTTCCATAGTGAAGAATGCGAAGGATATGGAGCACAGCGACTTGCCTTCCGGGACTGCACCGTCACCGGTAGCTCCAGAAGAAACAGAAATCAATATCAGCGCCAACTCCAATCCCAGCGCCGAAAACCGGTCTCCCCGGCAATACAGCTCAGTTCATTCTTCTCACTGGACTTGATGGCTTCAAGCCCAGGTGATATGCCCATATTGAAAGAGTTCATAGAGTCGGTAGCCCAAACGCTTGCGCTATCTGAGTCTCACAATCTCTGGCGCGAAGATATAGCGCCATTGATTTCCAATAGCGGAGACCAGAAATATTTACGGCACTCAATGATTGCGGTAACTCTCATGTATCGGACTCATCTGGAGTACAGAATTACATCTCATGCGGCCCTACACTACGAATATGCGCTGTGCGGTCTCAGACAAGCCCTTAGCATGATAGAGAATGAGCAGAATTCAGGGCAATTAGACTCGATTCTTGCTTCGCTATTCATGCTCATATGGTTCGAAGTATGTGTGTTGAACTTCGTATATCTTATCCAATGCTGATGTGTGCTCCATCTAGATTTTGGCCCGCGACTGGCACAAGTGGAATGTGCATCTTCAAATTCTCACGCATTTAATTACCAGTCTCGATGGTGCACGAGCATTCGACTCCCGCTTTCGGAGACGCTTGATCTTAGCCACGGCCAGGCTTGAGGTACCCAATATGCTATGGACGCTGCATCCCCCAATTTTAGGTTCTCGACTGTATGAACAAATGCTGTTTTCATATCAACCGTACCCTGAGGACGACATGGAGGATGCCGCCGTCCTGGCCTTCCATCGTCTCCATGTGATCATGGCTCGGTTTGCGATTCCTTACGCGGATTGGATGCGTGGCGGTTTAACCAGATCGGCTGTTCGAGCTTGCATGGCGGATATCCTGGAGCAACTCAAGGAGTGGCATTACAACCTCCCTTTTCCCCTGCAGCGACTCGGTAACCCTTCTTCACTTACTACGCGTCCCAGAACCCCACTCCAGACGACCCTTTTCATCCATTATCTCTCAACAAAGCTCTTTGTCATGCATGTCCTCGACCCTAATTGCTCGGTGCCCGGAGACTCTGCCTACCAATTTTGCCGCGAAGTGTCATGGGATATCTGTCGGCTTGTTGCAGACCTAGGACCTCCGGAGAAGCGCAGTACTGCCTCATTCCGAGGTGACGTTGGTGTCATACTTCCCTTAGCTGTAGTGAGCATGTTTCTACGTGAGGAGGCTGAGCGCGCGTGGATTTGTCAGTGGGCGCGCCGCGTGGACCAGGAGGGTATGTGGTGTGGAAGACGGAGGAGCATGATCATTGAGGCATGGGCCATATGTGCTCAGGAACACAGCCTTGCTCTCCCATTTCATACGATGGTTGGGCAAGACAATATCCACTGGAAACCAGGGCAAAAGCTCAAAGTCTCTATCATGACCTACGATGCCGCCCAGGACTGGCGGTCGTCTGTTGAAGTTTACATGGATGATGAAGATCCACCAGCGACGTCTGTATGAGGGAGGCGAAATATCGACTCTCAACGACTACCTATTGTTATTCAGAAGATTACTTGTTTTCTTGAGACAGGAAACTTGAGGGTTTATATACAGCATTCAATCTCCAGATTGAGTTCTAATCAATTTTGGTAATTCGATAGAGAAGAGGAATAGATTCTGGGATATTTGGTAGATTTGGTAGAGCACAGCACTACCAACTGTATTTACGACACCAACTCCCGGGAGACTGGAGGATAAGTTCACTCTGAGTAAAGAAGAGAAGATATCTAGGTGTTAAGGTCACATATTTCTACTTCTTGCTGCCCAACATTGCCATTTGTCATAAATGCGATCAAATATCTCAAGAACCGTCTGGCGTAGGTGATACACCTGTTCTTCCACTGGGCCCCTCTAGCGGTCGGAACAAGCATGTTCCGAGGTAAACGCCGCATTTGCCTCCCCTAAATACTGTTCGGAGATACCCACGCTGCCCTCACTCTCCCCGCCCAATTTGTCTGCTCCAAGCTTTTCATCAATCGCCTTTCAGTTACTGCAATCGAGATTGAATACTGGCCTGCCTAGCAACAAAATATGAGTAATAATGTTCATAGAGAGAGCTCGGTCCCTGGTAATGGCTTGTCAGCACCGTGTTACCGCCGAACGAGATCCGGATGCTGGACGTGTCGCAAACGGTAAATTACTCACAGTCCTCAGTCGCCATTTTGATTACATATGAATCAAGGTTAATCAGCCTACAGGAAAAAGAAATGCGACGGCGACGCTTTCCCATGCCAGAGCTGTGTCCGACTTGGACTAGAATGTGACACAGGCACCAGACTAGTGTGGGAAGATGACGCGAGGAGGGAGGGGATGAGGAGAAGAGGATCGTCTAAAGCTACAAAGAAGCAATTCTCTGGTGCTTCGTTTATCAATAGGGCTAGCAACAGACCGATACCAGATACTTTCGAGATCTACTCCCGGGGAGGTTCTCAATTGCTGCCAAACGAAAGTCTCATCTGTGACGCACCAGCTGCCATTTCGCAGCCCAAACTCACAATTCCAAGGCAGACTTTTACATGTGTGAATTTGTTGCCCACAAAACTTACAGGCAACGAGTCTATGCTATTGGATCACTATATCCAGCGCTTCTCACGCACCTACCCAACCTGCTCGGAACCCACGAATCCTTTTCTCTCGATTTTATTACCTTTGGCTATGAAAAGCAGCGTGGTTCTTGATGCTCTCCTCGCGCTGAGTGGTGCTCAGTCCTGGAACGAGCGTAGTTTGACCATGGAAAAAACCACTCTTAACCTTAGGCACCGTGCACTGAGAGGCTGTCGAAGGCTATTGACCCAATCTGGCCCAATGGCCTCTAAGAAGCTCGGGGAGATAAGCCAATTTTGGATGAGCAATTTGGCCGACAATAACATTCTCTTTTCTCTCGCAAGCTGCATCCTCATGCTTCTGTATGAGAAACTTGTCGGCGACGGAAAGGCAAATTGGATGCCCCATCTGAAATTTTTGGCAGGGATTTTCGATCATCCATTATGCCCTCGAGCTGACATGATGTCGAATCTGACTGCACAACAGTCCCATCAATACATGGCGTTTCGGTTCCTACATACCCTCTTTTTGTACAATGACCTTGTCCAGTCCACGGCAAGGGGAATGCCGACTCTTTCTGGCTTTTATCTACAAGTTGGACAACGCACTCTGTTCAGGAGTGATGATTTGGTGACTGAATGTGTTTCTTCTTTACCACCTACCTGGCCCGAAGAGACATATCAGGGCGGACGTTTCCATTATCCTCATCTCATTGCCCGGATCAGTGCAGGCGATGAAGTGATTACTGACGCTGAAATTATGGCATGGGATGGGCGGGTTGATTGGCTTCCAAGCTTCTCTCTGACAACAAGCCCGGGCTCAGCTCCAAACTCTTTTACCGGACAGCCCTTTACAATGGCAGCCTTAAATGAAATTTACGATCACCCTCCGAAACCATCCCCTCATGACCCAGAAAAATGCCTAATATCACAACTTTACCGCACCTCAGCGAGAGTTTATCTTATCCGAGCCACGCGCCAAAGGTGCAACCAAGATGCAGATGCGAGGCATACGTTTGACACCGCTTACCTCTCCTCCCAAGCAATCTATCAAATCTCGCAACTTCGTGAAGGTTCTGTCTTCGAGAATGCGCTCCTCTGGCCGATTTCCATAGTTTCCAGGGAACTCACAAACGATCACATTGCCGAAAGGGAATACGTATTGCATCGGCTGCAAGCGCTGGAAAGGCGATTTCACATGAAACATTTCGCAAGGATGCAGGAGGTTCTTAAGTCTGAGTGGATTCGGAAAGATGAAGGGCGCATAAATGAGAAAACAAGAACTGAAGACGACGTATTCTTGTTTGGATAATCCCTGCTTCACGAGAATACCTGCCTTTCCATTGAAGCGCCAGAGCTTCATTTCATACGACATCTCCCAGAACTCCGCCCGGACTTTAATTTTTTTCAAGTTCATTTTTCCCACACAACTTCTTTCTTACTGCCTTCGTCTCTCGCATTCTTTTCGAGTCTCTATGTTAGCTATTAGACCTCGATCAGCTCACATCGATCAGCGCACGCTCTGTTAAGAAGACTTCTAGCTTGTTCGTCGTACACTGGTAGCTTATCTCCTACAGATGCGGCTCAATTCTAACGATTTCATTGGTGGTTTCATTGAGAACCATGGGCTTTTGAGAGGGAAGGAAGTGATGATGGTGATGCGCTGGGCATGTTCGCGGCGGGTAAAGCGGTGTTTATTTACGTACTGGCCTTGGATGCTGACGATGCAATCCTACGTAAGGGACCTCTTCTTGAGAACGAAGAGGGCAAGGGAAGGATTGAATGGCTGGGATAAAGCATTACGGGATTATATTGCTTGGATAAGGCACAAGACAGAAGTCCATATCAATGGCTAAGTGATAGATCTCGCTCCAAATTTCACTCCACTTGGGGGATATAGTTCTTGTTGATGTTGTCCTCGGCTGTAACAGGTCGCATCTCAAAGAGTGTTTGGCGCATATAGCGCATCTGCTCTTCCATCCAGCGCGTGAGCGCTTCGACGTCAACCGTTTCGATAGTGCAATGACCTGGTCTACCCTCCGGATCGCACTTCTGAACGGCACGATTGTAAGAATCCTCCAAGGACTTCGCCTCGTGCTTGAATCGTTCACTTAGTAGGCGCAGTCGATAATGCGACCATTGGTAATAGAGTTCCGGTAGAAGGGACTTGGTCCGAACGTTCATAAGGCTTGAATCATCAACCAGAAGGGGAGACCGGGGCCGGAACGATGTCACAAGAGTGATGCGCTCGGGCATGTTTCCTGCCGGAATAGCGATGTGGCTTACATGTCGCCCTTGCAGAACAACCGCTCCGCCCTGTGACAGGCCATTAGCATCTGGGTATCAAGCATATTGTGAAGTTGAGAGAACACAAGGCACCACATACTGTTTCCGGGGATCTAACTTTGACAGTCGATCCGTCGCCCTTTTGCATCTCCGTTTCACCGTCTGTCATCGTACTCGTGTCTGACAACATCACAACACAAACAAACGGATATGAGTCTCTGTGCCATGGGACGACAGCCGAAGGCTTCTCTCCGTTATCCCCATTTGACGTTTCTTTGTATCCAGGAAGTGCGCTTGGAGGATCAACAGGTGTATGTCTAACACCTTCAAGCCCTTCCGGTCCTAGCTGCACATTGGTATGACAGATCTCCTGGTCTATAACCGGTATGAGATCCACGCCGGCCAGACTGCTTACAATTTCCAGAACTTCAGGTGAAGTCCAGAACTGGGTGGTGAATGGTGCGAAACGCGGGGCCATGCCACGTATTTGTACTGACCCAGGGCGAGTCTTGTAGCTGCAATTATCCAATACATCCTTGGAGAAGAGTTCGCGTCGGAAGGCTCGCACACCTTCGGCGGAAAGGAAGGGAAATGGGTCAGTTGAGGCAATCTCTGATATTGGAGAATTCTCCAACTTAATATCAGAAAGCGTGTGGATTTCCTTTGGCTTCTGATAGGCCAGATGAATTGAAGGATCAAAATTCTGCTGTTATTGGCTTCAGCATGGGACGGCAAATCGGCCGAGGGACTAGGGTCTTGAGAATGTATTTACCGATGTTGATGGCATTTTGAAATGCAGTCACTTTACTGACAAGTGCGAAATTGATTTGTGAAAGGTGTAGTGATATAGTGGAACAGCCAGTCTAGTTATGTCAGGTTTCCGCCGCACGAGGACATGTGTTGAAAGTAGATATTGTATCCGCGGGGTCAGGCGAATATTAATTTTTTACTACTTATTGCCCAAAAATGTTAATTTTAGAAAATAAGTGCGTCCTTTTAGGACAACCAATATTCCGCTGAGCAGGCCTCAATCATTGCGGTATATGCCGATCTTACCCAAATGTGGTACTACGAGCCGCCTGGCTAAGCCGATTCGTACATATCAGTGAAGAAGCCTCTCTGTAACCAAAACTCCGCCCGTGGGTGGGTCTGGTGGGTCTTACGTCCCTATCCATTCCTCCGCCGTGTTCTTGCGGACTAAGACGTGACAGACCCTCGGCCGGGTCATTACTGCTTCGCACCATGAAGAAGCGCGGGGCCTCTGTGCTATTATTAAGATGGAAGTTGATGCCGCTGGCCCAATGACTGAATTTTCGTGACCCAATGCTTAATACATGGAATTGAATTCGGAGAAATCCAACGCGTCAAAGCGAGCAGCGGGTAATTTTGTCTATTAAATCACTTCTAAGGTAGCTGGTGGTCTAGTGGTAGACCATCTGGCCGGCACCGAAGAGACGTCTAGTGGATTGGGACCCTGCTCACGTCTATGACAAGGTGTTGTGTGTTCGATTCCGCAGCCACCAAGGATCCTGTAGTTGGCAGTGCTATCTGTGTTGACAGTCTCCCAGACAACCTATTGATTCGCGATCGTAAGATTGGCGAAAGCTTCTTCAGAAACGTGCCAGGAGACTTGGCCGTCCCGGAGGTCAGGTGGGGCGACTCTTCGTTCTGGGTCTTCGGAACATGAATCATCATGGAGACGCGCAGGGAGGGAGGTTGTTCAGCAGGCTCGGCTCCGTCCATCGAATCCCCGCGAGACGTGGAATGTCGTCCAGACTCAATAGGTGTGCAAGGTACGTCGCACTGGCTGAAGCCAGAATTTGACTAGATTGGGCAACAAAGTCCGGTAGGTGGGTGCTGAGGTGAGCGAAAAAAGGTAGGGGATTCCCATGAATTGATCAAAGACCGAGTAGCCCAACCATGGTCCCCCATTTTAATTTTATGCAACCAAGTGGGAAGTCCCGCCGAAGCCAGATGTTAGCCCGAATCGGGAACGGGACAGCGCCAGCGAACCCTAAATACAAACTCAAAGCCATGTAACTGGCTGAGACACTGTTGAATGCACAGGAACAGAAGAATGATCATGTGCTCTCTTGTCCAACCAAAGCTGGAAATATACGGCATTGGGGAAAACTGTCCCGGTCCATTGGGGCAACGTGGAAACGACTATTGGGAAACCAAACCATACACAGCACATCGGTGTCAGTGGAACCCGAGGCCGGCTATCTTGACACTCCACGGCCTTATAAACAAAAAACCCTTATCGGGCATTTAGATCCTGGCCCATGCCCTATCGTTGGCATGAAAAATGCAGTTTCTTCTTTGCCATTTGAACTCATCCCTAACGTTCGATTCCGTCTTTTGGTAGCTGGCCATTTTTCTCTCTTTTTTTTAATTCGCTATCTTCCTCTCAGAGTCTTGAGTTGTCGCGGCGCTCCAAGGAATCTATGGCGCCAAACACGGTCCATGTTGCCGTCCTAGACACTGATACGCCATGTCTGCGAGTCTACAAGACACGCGGTCTTTACAGTTCTCAATTTCGGGCTCGTCTCCAGGGTGCTGCAGAGCGTTTAAACAAGGACCCAGACTGCCAGCTAAGGAATGGGCCGCTTGCCGTCCACGTCACGGCCTTTGATGCTGTGGGAAGGTCATTGCCGCCTCTCGAGTCGTTGCGAGTCAGTCCACGATCACCCAACAAGCCTCACACAGGCGGGCCCTTGGGCTTCTTGGGCGTGATCGACGCAATAATGATCACCGGCTCGATGGTGGCCTCAGTGTACGAAGATCAGCCCTGGATTCATGAGCTAGAGCTTTTCATCCAGACGGTGCATACGAAGTTCCCGCACGTCAAAGTCTTCGGAGCTTGTTTCGGCCACCAGATCATCGCTCAGGCCTTGCTCTCAGCCAAATTCGCGCCCCCATCCTCTACTTTCCACGTAGAGCACGCGCAGTCCGGATACGAAATAGGCATTGAGCCGATCACTCTAAACCCGTCATTCACGATGCATTTTCCACCTCTTGCACGCGCCTCGTCGTCGCAGAACACATTCCGCATCCAGCTCATCCACTACGACCAGGTGGTGCCTACACCCGAGGCACTGGCCGCGGCAGGAACAAGCTGCGAAGTGCCTCTACCGGCGCCATGGATGAAAATTGGTAGCAGTGCGCAATGCCCGATCCAGGGTCTCTATAGCCCCGGGAGAGTTCTTACTTTCCAGGGCCATTTCGAGTTCGATACCTTTGTCAACAGCGAGCTATGTGAGGAGGTTGGCCGACAGGCTAACTGGCCGGCGCCGCTGGTCAAGTCTTATGTAGAGCGTATCTCGCGCTCCCTTGTCCCTGGCAAAGACGATGATGATGACTCTAAGGCTGCGGCAGAGGCGGTGCTGTTATTCATTGCGGGCGAGGATTGCCCAAAGACAGAGTGGTTTTTCCAGGACAGTGGTCTGATTACGCCTCCGCTTGAAGAGCATGTAGTAGGTTGGAAAGTATAGATTTCAAAAAGTCTAGATATAGATGGCCTGATCTGCTCTAATTTAAAATCTATTGCTTAAATATGAGACGAATGTCGATAATTTAGGTGGGATATGTGAAAATAACATAAAAATTATCAAATCATATATATGTTCTTCACAACGATAGGCTCTAGTTCTGCACAAACAAGACAAGTAAACTCGAAATCTTCACATCCGTCTAGGCCATCTTCACCACCGTCTGCTTCTCACTTGGCGAGGCCTTGTACCCCTTCTCAATGGCATCATCTAAGCTGACAACATTCATTGAAGATTCGTCTCGTGGTCGCATTAAACCGTGTTCAAAGAAACGGGTCAAAGTTTTCACCTCTTCTGCAGTATCCTCAATAGTAGCAAGCCCAGAGTTGCAGCCCACAAGCTCAATCTCCTTTCGATAGGCCTCGAAAATGTCTAGACTGAGCTTCGTGGGAACGCCTCCTCGCGGTGCAGCAATCCATGCATACCGGCCTTTGACAGCTAGGGCTTCGATGGCAGCATTCATGATACTGAGGTTTCCGACAGTGTCGATTATCACATCAACACCCTTTCCGCTGGTGAGGGAAGATATCTTGCTCCGGAGCTCTGCATCGATATTTCCATCCAACAAGACATCTGGATCTTCATCCTCGTTGCGAGTTGCAGTCAATATACGCTTGCATCCCATCGCTTTAGCGACCTGGACGACAGAGGATCCCACGGCACCGCTTGCGCCCAAAACAAGAACAACATCATCGGTCTTAGTTCTTGCCCGTGTAAGGCACCGTAGCGCTGTCGTAAAAGGAACCCCAACGGTGGCAGCTTGAATAGAAGAAATTGTACTGGGCTTTTCAATAAGCATGCGCTCAGGGATCAGACAGTATTGCGCGTGTGGGCCGTCAATCTTGAAGCCAAGCTCGGCACCACCAGTCCCGTAGATGGTTTTCCCGACCCATTTGGAGCGCATGGCACCTGAGACCTGATCCAAAGCGATCACTGTACCAGAATAGTCGCGGCCAGGAATGCGGGGGAAGATTGTTTTAGGGAATCCGCCGATACTGTTGATTCTATCAGACGGATGAATGCAGGAATACTGGATTTTGATGAGAGCGTGGCCGGGGGTGACGGTGGGAATTGGAGTATTGGTCAATGAAAGAGTTGGCAGAGATGCCTCCAACTCTTTCGAGAGTTGCAAAGCCTTCATCATCGTGTATGAGATGAATTCGGTGGGGATATTTCAATATTGGTCGTGATGGGAGAGGGGTAAAAATGATGTGTTTGAAATACTGGGAACCAGATAGACAATTCGCAAGCATTATATCTCGAATTTGGCTGTTGAATTTATATAATATGACTCTCTGAGGGCTGGTAATTTTCCGTGAGAGCTGCTGCGAGGCCCATAGTTTGGTCCGCTCCGATCCGTTACCGATCCGATCCGTTCCCACGAACTCAGTTTGCGCCTCAAGGTGCCGAATTACCATGCGATTTGATTGAGTCGATTTACAAAATTTTCGCCTTTCCTGATTTATTTTTATCATCCCCCTTTCCCACCTAAAGAATTATTTACTGTCCGTCAAGTCTCTTGGTTGTCGAATGCAACTCTCTACTACTTGATTGAACATCTGGCAGGCCATATACTTAACACCGACCACTCCGCATCCCTTTCTTTCAGTTCGCCTTTGCTTGCTTATGGAGATCTCCGATAATCCAGCAGAAAGCCACGAAAAGCCTTCCAATGAGCCAACCGGCCTATACCCCGACGCGGAGTCTCTAAACCCCGACCGAGTGAATTTCACTCGGGAAACCACCCGCGAGTCGACAATGGAAATTCCAAAGAGCTTGTTGCATGAGTGCATATTCATTGCAGTTGTCTGTGCTGCGCAATTCATGACACAGGCGGGCCTTGCCCTTGCTATCGTGCCTCTTCATGTTATTGGCGATAGCTTCCATGTAACGAAATCCGGACAACTGAGTTGGTACGCAGCCGCGTACAGCCTAACGGTCGGCACATTCATTCTCGTTGCAGGAAGACTGGGGGACCTCTATGGGCATAGGCTCATGTTTATCGGTGGGTTTGCTTGGTTTGGCCTATGGTCCCTTCTTGGAGGGTTTTCGGTGTGGTCGAATCAAGTCTTTTTCGATATCTGTCGTGCATTTCAAGGAATCGGCCCGGCCTTTCTGCTACCTAATGCCCTCGCTATCCTAGGACGTACCTACCCGCCTGGCCCCCGAAAAGATATGATCTTTAGTATCTTTGGAGCCACCGCACCGGGAGGATATGCGGTTGGGGGGGCGTTCTCAGCCCTCCTAGCCGAACGTGCATGGTGGCCATGGGGGTACTGGATCCAGGGAATTGCTTGCATTACATTTTCCGTCCTTGGAATCCTCGTTATCCCTAGATCCTCTTCTCCAAAGATATCAGACCAAACGCCATGGTGGATCAAATGCGATCTACTAGGTGGCTCACTCGGTGTTGCGGCCCTTATTCTCATCAATTTCGCTTGGAATCAAGGGCCAAGCGTCGGGTGGCCGACTGTTTATGTCTACGTTCTCTTAATCGTCGGTTTTCTATGCCTAACCCTATTCTTGTGGGTTGAGTTTCATACAACCTGTCCCTTACTTCCACGGGAGATTTTCTCCGAGGATGTTGCATGGGTATTAAGTTGTATCGCTGCTGGTTGGTCCAGCTTTGGCATTGTGGTCTTCTACTTTTTCCAATTTATGGAAGTCACCAAGGAGGATGCACCCCTTTTAGCGCTTGCGAAGTGGGCACCGTCGGCTGTCTCAGGTGCAATCGCTGCAGTTGCAACCGGCTTTATTCTGGCTCGAGTAGGCCCCAGCGTGATCATGTTGGCCGCTATGCTCGCCTTTACAGCCGGTCAAATCCTCTTGGCCACACTGCCCGTTCATCAAACATACTGGGCCCAAGCATTTGTCCTTTCTATCTTGACACCATGGGGCATGTAAGTGTTTATTTGGTTCCAATTTTCTCATGGGTATATGCTTGCGATACTAATCATTTGTTAGGGACATGTCGTTCCCATCTGGAACACTTATCCTTAGCAACAGTATGCCACGAGAACATCAAGGGCTCGCTGCCTCACTCGTCAACACCGTTGTGAACTATTCAATTTCTATCGGACTTGGATTTGCGGGAACCGTCGAAAGTCAAGTCAACCATGGCGGCACAGACAAACTAAGAGGTTATCGGGGGGCGAGCTACATGGGTATCGGCCTCGCTAGTCTGGGAGTTGGCGTTGCAATCATGTTTGTCATTCGAAGCCTGACCAGAAATCAGAAGGCCGGCTCCACAGCCAGTACGGATAACTGAAATTGTCGAACTGAGGTGTGGTAGCTTACCACTAAGGACAGGATTATTCATGAAGTACCCATTTTCTCTTTGTCTTTGTATGGTAAATGTCCCATGTTCGGAATATCCCGTAGTAACACGCGAAGAACAACTCCTGAGATCTGACAACGCTTCAACAGCGAGATCCAGTGAAAAACACACATCAGTGCATCTCAATGAAACACCTCAATACTAGCACATACCAGTGTCCGTCAATCTGGCAGAGACATCAACCTGAGTATTCGGCGTATTAAATAGCACTTGACATGTCCAATTGAACCCATGATTGTGGTGAAAGGATCCGTTGAGAGGTCCAGCAAGGTGATCATCCAATATCTTATGATTTCGTACTTCCCAATCAATCCAAATTACAATATTGTTGGAAGACCGGTGGACGATGAATAAGCCAGCTTTTTAAGACCCACGGCAGTAACCTATACTCGATACTTAAGCATGGAAGGTATTCTTGTCAGGCAGTACTATTAACCATAGTATATTCTTGTAATTTTAAATATTAAAAATTGCGTTCAAATCAATGAATGGTGATTCCTGATAATGTTCAAGGAGAAGAGCAATCTGTGGGTTACTCATAGACCAATCACCCTGTTCCAGAATCGAAGTACCACTTCCTGACCGCGTTCCTTTAGCTTGCTGAAGAATGTTAACTTGTTCCTCTTTCTGCCCCTGGCATGCACCTATTAATAGGAGTGCTGTGTTGAAGGCTTCTTGGACAAGATGAGTGTTGAAGTGCTGAATGATCGACTCGAAAGTTTCAATTGTTGGTTGAAGATTTGCAAGAGTCTCGGTGGTACCAATTGAGAGACAAATACAGATGAACTGAAAGAGGGTGTTTGTGACATTCCACCATGGATGACGTTGAGCAGCCAACCGTCGGGCTGCAGGCAAGGCCGCGGTACCTGCTGCAACTATGAACTTGGTCTGCTGTCCATGGAGACCAATGTGTAGCATCTGGAGACGACGGTGAATGGAAAAACACAACTCAGCTCTTGCAAGCAGCAAAAAGTCATGGTCCACTGCTGCTGCCATTAAAAGTTCCATGGCCTGCAAGAGCTCCGCCTGCGTAGCGATGGGGTCCGTGTGAGTCGTTGCAATCAAGACTGTCTCGGTGAGTTTACATAATTGGACCGTGAAGTCACCTTGTCGTGGTTGAATATAGCGATATGCAGCGGGATCAAGGTGCATACAAGTCTTTCCATAATCATACGCAATAATTATGTGAAGGCTTTGTGCAACCGATGTGATGCGCGCACGAACATCGGCGGTGTCATCTGGCGACGAATTTGTCGATTCATCATCATAATGTACTCCAGTGATCTCGATCAAATGCAGCGTGGTGGCACTTTGTAACCAAGCCGCATTAGGCCGACTTGTCGCACGGGAGTAAATAGTCCTCAAAATCCAGGCCATGACTACGTCCTGTGAGGGGTTACGGCTGATAACGGGATCCTCGAGAAGAGTCTTTGCATGAAGCACAATCTCCAACTCTTTTTCCTCGTCGAGGAAGTTGGAGAATAAAGACCCTAAGGCAATAAGACCGCAGAGGACTGCCTCGAAGGGGTACTCCTCGGATCGGCCCTGCCAGTGTCCCTGGGCCCTTTGACATATGCTTTCCATTTTCATAAAGCCAAAGACTGGGTGAATGACAGATGTGAATACATCAATGCAGTTTCTTGCTTGATTCCAAGAAAGAAGCTGTGGAAGTCGAATCGACAAGGCACTCTCGGGCTCTTTTCGAACGCCAGTATGATACCCAAATGAATGAAGGCGTGGAGGATTAGGCAACCCAAGTCTCAACCCTATAGATCTAGCCTGGGAAACAGAGGAAGCATGGCTCAGGAACCGTGCTTTCTGCCGCTCCAGAAAGTTCGCCTGTTGTTCAACGCCTCCCTCTGGAATATGTTCGGGGGTTGATGTCGGACGTTCCGTAGGCCTCATCTGTAAAGGAGTATGTGCAGCTCGAGCACTTCTGTGCGACCTGCTATATTCGTATCGACAGGTGTATTGATAGCGGATGCAGGTCGAGCAAGGCCGTTCGCCATCGCATTTTCGCTTTCGCTTTCGGCAATCATCGCACGCGCGCCGGGGCCGCGGTCGCATTGGATCTACTCTTGTGTTGAGTGTCTGGGAACTCATCATCATGAAGGATGCTAAGGTGCATGCGGTTTGCAAAATCGGAATCTGAAACAAGACTGATCGCAGGATGGATGCGTCGTTGTAGTGGGCGTGGAACGGAACAAGCGGAAGAGGTCGGCTTACGATCGGAGATCGGAGCTGAGAACGTCGGGGCCGGGAGCCTTATCGGGCTCAGGCCTCGCCAAAACCCGGCCATGAATGCCCGGCCCACCCATGCCCGGCCCACGGGTAGGGGTCTTATCTGGATAGGTCAGGGCACTTCAGAAGTCTCCGCTCCGATGGCCGATGGATGTTCCGTTCTCCGTCTGTTTGCACGCGAAATGCCGATGCTTACTTTCGCGAGCTCCACTCGGCGAAAGGGGAAACACTGATGTGAATCTCGGTTAGACTATGCCGTGGGCGGGTATGCTTTTATTATAAGTATGCAACTTTCTTTCTTTCTATATGTCAAACGTTTCCCTTCAACCCGTATCCTCAATCCTATCCGGGTAGTCTCCTCCAGATCAAGATCAAGTCCGGTAATCCCCATTGATAGTCACATACTCATGACTGAAATCACAAAACCAATAAACCGCATCCTCGCCACCACACCCATCAGCACCCATCTCCCCCCCACCAAGATCAACCTCAATCTCCAAGTCCTCATTCTGGAGAATAGCACTCGCGCGTTCCTCATCCACCATCTCAGGCTCCCCATCAACCAGCAACCGGAGCGGGGAACTGCCATCAACAGGCCTGAAACTAACAGACGTCCGCTCAGGCACGACAACCCCGTCGCGCACACCCTGCGTATATCCCACCGCGCACAGAATCCGGCCCCAGTTGGCGTCGCGGCCGTACAGCGCTGTTTTGACGAGCGGACTGCGCGCGATGGTTGAGGCGATTGCTCGCGCGGAGTCGTAGTCAGGGCTGTTGCGCACGCGCACAGTTACGAATTTCGTCGCGCCTTCACCGTCGCGGACGACGAGCTGGGAAAGGTCTTGCGCGAAGGAGGTGATTACTTTCTGGAGGGCGCTGTAGTCGGCACTAGGTTGTGCAGATGATGATGCGGGAGCTTGGACTGTCTCGCCGCCGGCAGCGCCGTTGGCAAGCACGGCGATGGTGTCGTTCGTGCTCGTGTCACCGTCGATGGAGATAGAGTTGAAGGAGCGCGAGACTGCATGTTTCAGGAGGGACTGCAGTGCCGCAGGTGAGACGGCTGCGTCCGTGCAGAGCACGCCTAGCAAAGTGGCCATGTTCGGGTGGATCATCCCTGCGCCTTTGGTCATGCCTGCTAGGCGGTAGGTGCGCTCTGGCGCGGAAGGGAGCGTGAATGTGCGCGAGAGGAGCTTCGGGAAGGTATCTGTGGTGCAGATGGCGCGCGCGGTGGTCAGCCAGGCCTCATGGGTTGAGGCGAGTTTGGCGTGCGCTGTGGGGATGCGGTCGAGGATCTTGGAGATGGGGAGTCTAATCATAAACAGTCAGTCGATTGTTCTCTCTTTCTTCGTTTGAGGGAGTGTAGAACCCACCGCTGTCCAATGACGCCCGTACTCATCACCAACGAACTATCCCCTTCAACCCCATTACACTCATCCACCTTCCTCCCCATTGAGACCGCATCCTCCAACCCTCCCTTCCCCGTAACCGCGTTCGCGCACCCGGAATTAATAACCACAGCCCGGATGCCCTCTCCCTTCCGACTGCGCAGCGTCTCCCGACTAACCTGCACCGGCGCCGCCTGGAACTTATTGGTAGTGAACACCGCCGCAGCGGAACAAGGCGTCTCGGAGGCAATGAGCGCCAGGTCCGGGAAGCGGGTGTTGGATGCCTTGACGCCGACGTGAGTGCCCGACACCAAGAAGCCTTGTGGGTAGGTGCCTGTTGTGGGGATGTAGCGCTGTTTCGAGACGGGAATGGCCTTGTCGGCTGGTGCGGAGTAGCTCCGCACTTGGGTTTTGATGAGACGAGAGAAGGAGGCTGCCATCGTGGTAGAAGACGGGTGGTAGGCCATTGTCGAAGGGAAAGAGGAACCGCTGGCGGTTCAATGGCGGGTTTCTACCCGGGGGAGATGGAATTGGTGAGTCACGGAGGAAGAGAGAGTCGAATTGAAGATTATTGCCGCTTATCTGATGGAGAGGGTCACGTGGATATCAATCTATTCGTCCCTGAATAAACACTCAGTCAGGTCCCGTGGATGATGAGAATAGCCGAGTACCATTAATCGGGTAAATAATCATGATCGAATATTGGACAACATTTGGAATTGCATGATGATTTATCTACCATCTGCCCATTGAAGCTGATGGTGCCGCCGATTATTAGTGGAGTCGGAGAAACCAATCGGTGCGTGGATCAATCAACACATCAACACAAATTGACAGGAGCAACGCACTGAATGAACGGCACCCTGTCTGGCACATTCTTCCCCCCAGATCGATCGCTCCACCAGTCCACCCTCCACTGGCCAGATCAGCGCTGAGACGCCTGCCAGGCACCGCCCCTCCCTTGCGTCGTTCCCCCTGCACACATTCTCCGGATCGGACTGATGGTATTGTTGACTCCCTCCCTTCTGACCTTTCTGTCCTCTGACTCGCCCGTCACCATGAAGCGCAAGCGTTCAGATTCCGGTCTAGAAGAGGACCACCCGGCCGCCTCGACCCCGAAGAGGCCGCGACGAACCGCCCTGGTGCCGGCCAGTGGCGCCCTGAACGGCGCGCCCAACGGTGACGCCCCCTACGAACTCCCGCCATCGCAAGGACAGTCGACACCCAAGAAGGCCAATGGGATAGCGGCGACGCCATTAAAAGAATCTGGCCTGAAGACGCCTACCCACAAATCCAAGGCCCGGGGACTGTTTGCTACGCCTACAAAACCAAAGTCTGCCAACGCCGCTCCGACGCCCTCTCGCATTAGGAACGCAGACCGGTCTGCAAAGAAGAAGAGCGCACGGGTCCTTTTTGAGCCTGATGAGGACGGAGAATGGGATGGTTCTGAGCGGCTGGCGGAGGAGATTCTTCAGGACGACGACGACGATGAGCCAGAGGCAGATCAGGCCGTGGAGAGCGTGGAAACCGGAGAAGATACGGCAGAACAACCCCCCCAAAAGGAGAAGAAGGGCCCGAAGCGTCGCGCTGGACGACCCAAAGGCGCAAAGAATAAGCGGTCCCCAACGCCCGAGGGCGAGCTGCCAGCCCATGAGCGGTACTTCTTCCAGAACCGTGCTGGCCCCGTGAAGACGTCCAACACGACACTCAACAAAGTACCGCTGTTGACACACGAGGAGTATTTTGAGAAACTGAGACAGTACCGCGACCCTTGCAGGGATGAAAAGGACTATCTACGTGCGCTGCATCACCGGTCCTTCCCGCAATGGGCCTTCGAGTTCGAGGAAGGATTTAACATCTGCTTGTTTGGATATGGGTCGAAGGGGAAACTTGTGCAGCAGTTCGCCGACTGGATTTATCAACGTGGCGCCAAGTCTTCTCCGGCTATCGTCATTGTCAATGGCTACACACCCGGCATATCGATCCGGTCGATATTTGCAACCATCGCCTCCGCCGTGATGGGTGATGACCTGCCTTCCAAGCTCGGTGCCCAACCAACCGAGGTGCTGGAGCTGCTCCAATCGGCGCTAAAGTCTCGTCCGGCAGAAGACCCGGTGACCGTGCTGGTCAACTCGGTCGACGCACCACCGCTACGACGCGCAACGAACCAAGCCCTCCTCGGGCGTCTGGCTGCCACCCCGGGCATCCGCATTCTCGTGACGGCCGATACGCCCAATTTCCCGCTCATGTGGGACATCAGCCTGCGCGACCAATTCAACCTCGTCTTCCACGACTGCACAACCTTTGCCCCCTTCACCACAGAAACAGACATCGTCGAAGAAGTCCATGCCCTGCTAGGCCGAAAGGGCCGGCGCGTCGGCGGCAAAGAGGGCGTTGGCTTCGTGCTGAAGAGTCTTCCGGAGAACGCGCGGAACTTATACCGCCTCCTGCTAACCGAGTTGCTCTCGGTGATTAACGAAGATGGGCACCAATCGGACGACGAGTCTCCCGCTGATGCTGTAGCCATCAAACAACACGATGAGACAGGCATCGAGTTCCGCATGCTATACCAGAAAGCGACGGAGGAGTTTATCGCCTCGTCCGAGATGATGTTCCGGACATTGTTGAAGGAGTTCCACGATCACCAGATGATCACTTCGCGCATGGATGCGAGCGGTATGGAGATCCTGGGCGTGCCACTGTCCCGCGATGAGATGGAGGGCGTGCTGGAGGACCTGGTTCTGGCCTAGGACGAGACGGAATGGACTACCGACAAGAGAATTTCATGATACCCCCTGTAATTTTATCCACTTCCTCTACCTATGTGACACTTATATTATAACGCTTCCGCATCTAAAACTGCGCAAACGCAGCCAGCGCCATCACCGTCCCGAAACTCATCTTAAAGGGCCGGTTTGCCGACATCGCGTGCCGTAGGTCGACATTCTTGACGTACTTTTGCAAGCGGTTGATGGGGAGGATATTGTATCCCTTGGAGGCAGCCCACTGCAAGTAGTTACGACGTTAGTCTTAAGTCAGCATATCAACGGCAAAACCTCCCCTTCCCGTCAGGACTGGGAGTGAATACCTCAACAAGGACAATCCCCATCCCCAAAACAACAACCAACACCTTCGAAAACGCACGTAATCCAACACCGGCCACAAGCCCCAACACGCTCCCCAAACTAACTTGCCGCATCGTCCGCGCGGACATGAATGTAGATGACTGGTTCGTAGTCTGTGGGCGGCCCTGCTTCTGCAGGATGGGATCGTTGGCATGTATGGCCCAGCTGTTGTCCGGGTTTGTCTGTGAGTCGGGCCGGGAGGACGACGCGGTGTACTGGCATTGCATCGGTGCGGCGCGGAAGGGGGACTGTGGGTGGAGGTGTAGGGTTGTTGCGGCGGAGAGGCCGATGGTGAGGCCGAGGCCGAGGCGGACCATTGAGGGGAGAGGCATTTTGTTGGCGTGGTTGGTTTCACTAATTCAATTGATGGATGGAAAGGGAATGAAGCAGGTAGAGGAGAGCATTGCTCCCAGTAGTTAGATCAGGAAAGCGTGACGTCAGTTGATACATCCCCAATGTTATTACGAACGAGTCCGGAGGAACTATAATTCCAGAACATGACTGGTACTGAAACCGAAAGTTACGCCGTTTTCCCAGAGTTTCCCGTCCGGGAAACTCTAAGTTAGAGGGACGAGAATGCGGATCCGAACCTGATTGGCGGCCGAAACCATTGGCGGGGAAGTTAATAATGTTTCCTGAGTTATCTTTGCCTGGTTGACTCACTTCCTCTCTTCCTTCATCTTCATTTCACTCTTTCTTTCTTGTCTCCCTTTCTCCTTGCCTCTCCCTTCTCTTCTTCCTTCATATCCGTTGCAATGGCTGCTACCAATGGCACCCCCGCCAACGACTTCACCGTCAAGGCCGGCCTCGCCCAGATGTTGAAGGGTGGCGTGATCATGGACGTGGTCAATGCCGAGCAAGTGGGTGACTCCATGCATGAGATATGAGGTCCAGACTAACAGCGTGAACTCTCTCCAGGCTCGCATCGCTGAAGAAGCCGGTGCCGCTGCCGTTATGGCGCTCGAACGTGTCCCGGCCGATATCCGCGTCCAGGGCGGCGTGGCGCGCATGTCTGACCCTAGCATGATCAAGGAGATCATGGAGGCTGTGACCATCCCCGTGATGGCTAAGGCTCGCATTGGCCACTTTGTTGAGTGTCAGGTGGGTGATCCTCGGAGTAGAAATTGACAGATGAGAGATCCCAGACTAACACGGCGGGCAACGCCACAGATCCTCGAGGCCATTGGCGTTGACTACATCGACGAGTCGGAGGTACTCACCCCCGCCGACGACGTCTACCACGTCACCAAGTCCGGCTTCAAGGCCCCCTTCGTCTGCGGGTGCCGCAACCTTGGAGAGGCACTCCGCCGCATCTCCGAAGGCGCCGCCATGATCCGCACGAAGGGTGAAGCGGGCACAGGCGACGTCGTCGAAGCGGTCAAGCACATGCGCACTGTGAATGCGCAGATCTCCCGCGCGCGCGGCATCCTGCTCGCGAGCCAGGACCCCGAGCCCGAGCTGCGTGCCTTTGCGCGCGAGATCGAGGCCCCCTACGAGCTGGTCCGCGAGTGTGCGGAGAAGGGCCGGCTGCCGGTTGTTAACTTTGCTGCTGGCGGTGTGGCTACCCCTGCAGATGCGGCGCTGATGATGCAGCTTGGTTGTGATGGAGTTTTTGTGGGATCGGGGATTTTCAAGTCGGGCGATGCGAAGAAGCGCGCCAGGGCTATTGTCCAGGCCGTTACGCACTACAAGGATGCCAAGGTGCTGGCGGAGGTTAGCCAAGGGCTGGGTGAGGCCATGGTCGGTATTAATGTCAAGTCGATGGCTGAGGGGGACAAGTTGGCTGGTCGCGGCTGGTAGATTTAAAAAGTTCCAGGGTTCTATGTATATGAGAATATGAATGGCATTATACGGTTTGTAGATATTATGTCTGGAGTTCATGTCCTGTAAAAGTCCCTTCTTTGTATACGAGATGTGAATGGCACTACCCGCCTCCGAATGTCACTCTCGCTGGCGAGGGCCTGGTTTCGGAAGCGGATAGACCGTATCTACTCAATTTGAGTTCATGTCCTTCTCCGTGGCCTGATAGGCCCCAGGCGCCGAGATCGGATCACCGAAGGCGGGAGCGGGCAGATCACCGGATCATTCGCGTATGTATGTACAATACAACCGTTTTGGTGCCTGAGGCTGATAAAGAACCATATCTTATCAGCGAGTGGAGAGTGGAGAGCTCTGTCCTCTTCTAGCCTCCATCACATCAACATCAACATCAACATCCACTTATATATGCATAATGGCCACCCCCAACTCCCAATCCACAAAAAACACCTCCCAACCAACAACCACCTTCCCCTTCCTCCCACCAGGCGATGACCATGACCACACCACGAATACCACCACAGACTCTCCCAGTCACAATGACGAAGCCACCACCCCAACCACATCCAGCACCAACACAACGTATACCCTCCAGCAAACCCTAACAGGCCTCCTAACCCACCTCCCCGACCAAGCAACATCCCTCCTCTCCACAATCCTCACCCTCTGGGAACGCTACCCGCGCCTATCAACCTTCCTCCTAAGCCAAACCGTCTGCGCAACCTTCCCGCTCCTCCTCTTCGTCGTCGGCGCCACCGTGACAACGCTAACCGCCGCACTGATCGCGCTGATCATATTCGTCGACCTGTCGCAGCTGATCCTCGTTCCGTCACTGCTTCTGTCTTCGGTTTTTGCGACACTACTCTGGGCTTGGGGGTGGGCTGTATTTTTGGGGGGAAGGTGGGTGCTTAGGCTTTGCTCTGGGGATGGGAATGGGGGGCAGGATGGGGGGAGGGTTGAGTGGTGGGGAGAGTGGGAGGAGGATGTGGAGGGTAGGGACAAGGAGAAGGACAAGGGGAGGGACTATGTGCGGGAGTTTAAGGAGAAGGTTAAACAGGAGGAGAAGGAGAGGGAAATGCAAAAGAAGAAAGAAAGGGAGAAGGGTGTTACTGGTGATCTTGGTGCTGAGACGCCGAAGGGTGAGCTGGAAGGGATCCCTGAGAAAGATGTCGGCAAGCCGAGTGAGAAGTAAAGAACTTGATTTATTCTTTATGAAATGATATCCGATGCTCCTATGATTATTACTGAGCATACCTCTACCTGCTATGTCAGGCTAAAGCCGCCCTCTAAACTTGTGGGCAGAGTATTACGGCTGAATAGGTAGTCAGGCTGCCCGCCCATCCTTGTCAGTTTCCGTATTCTCGTCCCAGCACATTACGCTGCCTGCCTTGCACTTGGTTGTTTCCATACTCACTAGCCAAGTCACTCATATACAACTGCTCTTTCAACGTCGTACGGTATGATTCTGCGAGCCACTTCTCTTGGTCAGGGATTGTATCAGCGGCGTAGTAGCAGGTAGCTCTGGCCCCAGAACATTAAGTGTCGTTTTAGACCTCTGTAAGAACCGGTGCCATCTAAAGTCCTTAGTACTGCAGTACAGGTGGGTGTTTCCCTTCTAATTGGTTATGGTGATTCCCACGCTGAAGTGATCTAGGGATCACAATATAGGCTACAATGGAGCTGGGGGCGCCAATGTATGCAACTGCGCCGCACTAGACCTTGTTAAGCACGATCGACAGATACGGGCAGCTGGTCGGCAGGAAGAACGATTAGCGACGGGGAATGCTTCGTCCGAGAAGGTCAATGCACATTGATTAGCCATTTGGGTGAGCCTCTTTACCCCCTCCCTGATACTATGGCACAGATCACGCGACCCAGTCCGGGCGCGCCCTACGGTTTAATCCTTTGACAAGATTGGTATAAGTAGCGGCTCAATTAATCATTTAAAAGCTGTCATCCCACGTCATTTATTGCACTCTTCCCAGCCCACGACTGCAAAACAGCCTGTTATCGGGCTCATTGGGGTTCAGTTAGGGATCCGATTAGAATTTCCAAATCCAGAATCAAAGCCAAAGAAGATGTGACTAATGATATCTAAATTCTCTGCTCCTGTAGAGGCTACTCTATGGGCAATTAGGGCTGTTCACGATAAACGATATCGTCGTGGATTTTTTTTTGACGATACGATATACGACAATTATCGTTGGAGATTCTAGTTAGACGATACGATATACGATATTAGAAAATCCCGACGATATCGTATCGTGAACAGCCCTATGAGCAATGCAGGACTGAGTACTTTACTCGACACATTGATCCATATATTAGTATATAAAAGCTGACCAGCATTTTACACCACAACGCTAAGTGACGGTAAATTGGGCGCCGAAAAGGCTAGTTTTGACGCCGTTTTAAGTGTCCTATTTACCAGAATATTAGTCATTGTATCATCACGTGATTTTCTAATACTTAAAGAGTCTTTCCCCCGTTAACTCTTAGCTCCTACTAACCTATAAGAGAAAATTGCTTTGTTCGCTCGATATATATCTCCGCTAGGGTTAGTAGACTAGGACTATATGTTGGTCTAAGAATTAGAGGTTACGATGAAGGCTTATAGAATTCTGATCCTATCTAACCCTAGGAAGTAAGACTTTTACTTCTCTCTAGATTCTGATTTTTCTGAAAATCTAGCCTAAAACATAGTTTAATAACCGCTTTGTTTGCGAAAATCAAGATTTGAGATGAGACTTAGAAAGGAGCGAAGATTCTGGATAGAGGGTTGTAGTAAGTAATGAAATGAAGTCAAAATTTCGGAAATGACTACTTAAAAATAGTGCGCTTACTGTGATTGTCCTTATCACGTTCTTATTCGCCGCTCAAAACTTACACTCTCTCGTCGCTGCTTGTCCTATAGAATGACGACATAGTAACATGATCATTTTGTTCCTTGTGAGTATTAGTCAATCCATAGCTAGTCTACTAACGTTAGCTATGAAAATAGAAATACATTTAGTAAGCCAGAGAGACCACGTGACATGATCTCAACAAATATTAATCAAGGAAACATAAAGAAGGGAAGGACGAATGAGAGACAGGAGTAGATAAATCAAGGAAACAGCATTATAGGGAGAATAAATGAAAGACGAATGTGAAAAACCCAGGTAAGAACGACTTGGGTAAATACACTATAGAAATTTTCCTCTTTTGGACATAGAGATCAGTTTCCGGCACCTCTCCTGCTCCTGTGTTTGTCTACCAGGCAATCTTAGCCAAGAACCCAGTTGGCCACCTTCTGACTGCTGCCTTTCTAGCCTCGTCGAGAGAGAGGACTCCAAGACCAAACGCGGCAGGAAGGAAGTAGTGTTCGGCGGGAACACTCGTTGTATCCAGTACATTCTGCAATGCGGGGATATAGAGCCAGAAGACGGCAATGCAGAGAGCAAATGCGATGGCAGGGAAAAGGCGGAGATTCTGAGTACTCTTGTTGAATGCAGGGGGGTGTTGAAAGATCGAAAGGCGTCGGGTACGGACGGCCATAAGATTGAACCATTGCCTGGTGTGCCATATTGTTAGTGTTGAATTTTATTTTTATTTTCTTCTTCTTGCTTCATAGGCCAATAGTTTGACATCAGGAAGCCCAAGGAGGAAAAAAGGTACTCACATGACAACCAGGTTGATGAAATAAATTGAACTTGCTTCGTTGAGAAGAGCCTCATACGTCTCTGAGGTCATATAGGGGGGGACAGTGCCGTATTTAAACCAGAAAACGGAGAATGGAAGACCATTACGCTGGAGATACCAGAATGACATGGAAAAGGATGAGATGCACTCCAGAATACCGATGAAACCGTAGGCTTGGAAGAAGAGCTTCGCGTTGACCAGGCGATCTTTCTTTGGGTTGCGGGGAGGACGAAGGAGAACATCTGCTTCAGCCGTTTCATATGCAAGGACACTGGCTGCGATGCAGTCGGTGAAGCAACTAATTTTATTTTATTTTTGTGAGTATGCCAGGTTAAGCAACAGTTGGTAGGTAGTAGGATGGGTCGTTATGCTCACCAGATAATGATCATCAGGAATGACGACAAGACCTGAGGGATACCAAAGACGACGTTTGTGAACACAGGCCAGAACTCTGAGAATGAACCAGCTGGAAGCAAGTATGCACAGGTTTTCTTCAGGTTATCAAACACAACTCTGCCGGATTTGACAGCCTCGACGACGGCCGAGAAAGAGTCAAGAAGAACCATGTCGGCGGCTTCAATGGCAATATCAGATCCACTGCCAAGCGCAATACCAATGTCGGCAGCCTTCAGTGATGGAGCATCATTGACACCATCACCAGTCATGCCCACAATTTCATCTCTGGCCTGGAATTCACGCACGATTCGAAGTTTTTGATCTGGAGTTGTGCGGGAAAACACAATCTCAGGATACTTGCAAAGCTGCTCCCATTCGTCATCCTTGAGGGTTATGAGATCTGATCCACTGATGACGATTGCTGAACTTGTTGTTGCCTTGTCGTTAGATTGCATGATCCTTCGCAGTGCGGCAACATCGTGAGCCTGATCAGTGGTAACAATACCGCACTGTCGGGCAATGGCCAAGGCTGTCAGTCCAAAGTCACCGGTAACCTGCCAAAACATTCCCGTCAGCAAGTTAAATTTTAAACACTGCAGAATAGGGGTCTTAGTTCAGTGAAAACGAACCATGAAGACGCGAATTCCGGCCCGTCTGAGGGTCTTGACGACAGAAGGGATCTCCTCTCTGGGTGGATCCACGATACCAACCAAGCCAACAAGGACCAAATCAGTTTTCACATGTCTGAGCACTTCAGCCTCATATTCCGCTGATGTAGGTTCGTGGATAAGATCCTTGGCCTTGACAACCTTCCGAGCAAGCAGGATAACACGTTTGCCTTCACTTGACCACCGATCCTTGAGCTCTTTAACAGTGTTTAGAGTTGGTTCATCCAAACGCTGGACATTCCCATTGTTGTCAATAATCTGTCCACACCTCTCGACCAAGATATCCGGAGCACCCTTGATGGTAATCAGACTGAGGATCAGAATTAGCGAATGGGTTCAAAACAAATTGAAGTCCACCATTTTAGAAGACACACTTACATGTCATTGGATGCAAACTGTGAAGCTTCAGAGGGGGAAAGAGCGATGTCAAGTCCTTGGGGCGCCGGAGAAGTAAATGTCCTGATCATAAACTTATTCTTACTGTTGAAAGCAAGCTCATAAGTCTTCTTCCACAGTTGCCGCAGATCAGACACTGAGCCAAGAGACTCAGAAAATCTGAGAATAGCCTGGTCGGTAGCATCTCCAAAGACGGTTCTTTCATGAATATGAAGTGACATAGTTGCTGCATCAAACTCTGACGCATTGCAAAGACCAGCGATTGCTCGGAGTTGATGTGTGCCAGAGGCCTTGCCCTTGGTAACAATTTCATCTCTTGTTTCTTGGTCCGTGAAAGAGGAGGTATAGATCCCGCAATCGGTAACAACCATTTTATTCTAGAGTGACTTAGTTCAAGTAGAAAGACAAGGGGCGTTAAATCGATGTCTTACCCTTGTCAAAGTTCCTGTTTTGTCAGAACAGATGACGGAGACTGCTCCCAATGTTTCGACTGTCTTTAGAGACTTGCAGAGGATTTTGTTCTTCTTCATGATATTGGCTGTAATAGTCAAGCTCATTGTCAAGGCCATGGGAAGACCTTCAGGGATAAATGCTGTAGCAACGCTGACGCAGTCGACGATCAGAGTAGGCACATTGATCCAATCGGGATGATGTTTGCGAAGGTATGCAGCCCTAATAATTGACAAAGGGAAGGAAAAAAAATCAGCTGAGAAATAGAGATTTTTTTAGCAGAATCAATAACATACCAAACAATGATCACAAGAACGATCATGGTGACAATGAAACTACAAATAATTCCCACAAAGCGCAGGACTTCAATCTCCAGCGTGGTCAAACCAGTTTTTGGCTCACTGGACAACTTTGCAATATGACCAAACACAGTCGAATCACCAGTCGACACCACTATTCCAACGGCGTTTCCAGAAACACAGTGAGTGCCCTGAAGACCAATACAGTGGGTCTCGAGGTAGTTGTCATCTGTTGAGTCGACAGTTGCAGTGATGGGAAGCGATTCACCTTGAGCAATTCCGTCAGAACTCCTGTCTGGAAGGATACAGTATTTTTGGATGACATACCTGTGAGGATGGACCGGTCAAGGTATGCATCTCCTGAGACCTGAATGAAGCGTATATCTGCTGGCAATTTATTGCCAGCCTTGATAAAGATAATGTCACCGGGGACAATATCCTTTGCTTCAACGGAACATTGGGAACCATCGCGAAGGAGTAGACAGTTTTCTGGAAGCATGGATGTGATGGAAGCCATGACTCGGGATGAAGACCAATCCTGATACGCGTTGAAAGCAGCCTGAATAACGAAAACTGCGAGAAGAACGATTGCAAGAGCCAGGTTGGCTACCGCCGGATCAGGCTCGCCTAGAGGCTTCCAGCAGATGAAGACAAGAATCGAAGCGACTAGCAAAATGGATCCAAACCCTTTGAAGAAATACCCAAATATGGTCCAGAACCAGGGCGTTGGGATAGGTGATATGCGATTTTTGCCATATTTCTGCAATCGGCTCTGAACGTTGCTCCCTGAGAGACCGACAGCGGGATCGACCTCCCACTTCTTCTGAAGTTCCTCGGGAGATAGAAGGTGCCATTCAACATTGCCCAGCTCTGAAACCCAACCAGTCAGTCATCAAATATAGGCTTCCCGTGGGTAAAGCTGGGTGTTAGTACCGACTGAAACTTCATTCTTCGCGTTGTTGACTGCAGCTCGCTTTGCGTCTCGTGCTTCGTCGATCTCGTATGAGCTAGTTATAAAGTTAGATCAATGGCGAAAATGGTAGTAGAAACCCTAAAAAAAAAGTCCCACTTACACAGTGCGATACTGAATGGGAAGAGTGACTGCCAGGTCCATTGATTTTCTGGCACGGCTGATTCGTGAGCTAGTTGAATTGGCACGACAGCGGGGTCTGATTTCGACCGAAGTGTCGTCAGCAACCTCTTCGTCCGTCACTTGCCATCGCAAGTGGGACTTATCCGTGATGGTCTCGTCCATGATGCCTGTTGATCACGTTGACGAAGCTTGCAACCTGTCTAGAGAGAGCACAAGCAGGAAACGGGAAGGACCAACATGAGACGCGGTTGTGACGCTTTTTATATTCTATTTAAAAAAATGCCGCAAAAAAGTTTGTGGTCCACCGGATAGTTATGGAACATACAGTGGCGTTCAAAAGTCTCCATACCTCCTATGGAAGCCGATAGTGGCAAGGTCGAAGTCGAAAACAGATTGTCCTTCGTATATTCACCTACTCCCTAGTGTGTCCCGACGTTGGGGTCACACAATCGCCTGTTTCTTCATCGCTGGCCTTCCAGCGCAGGGATAATCCCAACGGACGCATATTTGGAGAGAAGGGTGAAGGGAAGGGACGGTTGTACGAACTTGAGACGAGGTCTAGGAACAGTGCAGAACAAAGGGAAAAAGTTCGTGCCCTGCAGGAACGGGAGGGGTTTTAAAACCTATTCCCTCGTCAGGAGCTTCCTGATCCGTTTGCAATTACCTTCCGCATCTCTGCGGAAGGATTTCTTCGCCCATGGCCGGTTTTTGTTGACTGCCGTGAGATATTTGGCCCCGCCAATGACATTTAACTCCGGCTTTCTTAGATCGGGCTTGACTCGCACGGCCCACGCTTTAACACGTGGGAGTGCTAGTCCATGCTTTCCACTTACACAGCAGGTAGTCAGGTCAACATTGAGACACGTCGAGAAGAAATAATTTAATTGTCCAAGTAGAATTCGTTTCCTTTGCATCCGTATACTTCGGTCACTCTGATATGTTGACTGGGAGAAAACAACTCCAATGTGCGCGCAACGACATCATTCGCTCGTATATATCGCTCTTGTTGAAATCTCCACACTGCCGTTGTTCACAAATCGCTCATACAATACAGTGGCACCGCAAAAGTCTGAGACCCCCCTTCCCTGACGGCCCTACTTCACCGCCTATACCGCTTTCCTAAATAAGACTAGTAGAACGCGTCGCGAATACAGCAAATCCTCGTTTTAACGAACCAAATTTGCCAACCAGTACGGTTCGCTAATCCGAGGAATTCGTTAAACTGCGACGGTTTTATATGGTGTAACGATAATGTTGGAAACCAGATTGGTTCAGTGATACGAGGAATTCGCTATACAGAGGTTCGTTAAAATGAGGATTTCCTGTAGCCTCGCAAGTGCCTTCTGCGAACTCCCTCCCCCTCGAATCCATGTGCCCGTGATCCCGCCCATCCCGACATCTATATAGTCCAGACCACCGTCCCACTACCTGTACCTGATACTCCACTGGACATCGATATCACCAATGGCCCATGGGAGCTCTTGCAAAATATCTTCCCTAATACAAACTTTCTGGCTACCCCCCATGCCTTCGAGGTTCCCCAACCTCAAACCCCCATCTCCGTGGCAAATGTGCCCACGCCGCTACCATACACTAATAATGCAGTATATCCTCTCATGAGCCAGGATAATGTGCCTGCCGAGATCCAGCTCAGCTATGAGGAGTGGGATCAGGTCATGCGCGACTTCCAGATGGAGGTTGAGAAGTCAGAGCCTAATTTATCGATGGGCCCATCGATGGGGATGAACGTGACTGAATGGTTTGCATGATTAATTGCCTTGGGCTGAAAGGTCTTTGGAGCAGAATTGCCATTTAGATGGGTTTTTTCTTATCTGATGATCATGATGTGACGAAATTTTTTTTTTTTCAAAAAGTTTACATATCCCTCTTCTTCTTGGTGTTGTCATGCTGCTCTTCCCTCCTACTCTACGATCCCCACTCCGATTTGATCTCTTGCAATGTACATTTACATATTGAAAAAATTGAATAAATCTCAAAACCTATACTTCTCGAGGATTGTTGCGAGTAAGTTCTCTCAAGTATCGCTTGAAACCTCTACCTACACCAATATACACTGTGTAGCAAGCATTTTCTGACACCACAGTTCTAGTAACACTTTACTTATTTCTCGGCAATTTAACCTGTAGCAAACGCAAACACTGAGTTGCGTTCTTGATTATTCACTCTACAGTGGCCCACTCGCCCGTGAATTACGTTAGTTGGTTAACGTAAATCAAACCCGTAAGCCCGGAAGGTTTGAACCAAAAACCCGTAAACCCGCGGGTACCCGCCAAGAAACCGATTTTGCATAATCTTCCCGATTCGGACGTGCCAAGATGCATAACACCTTCATTCTATCAAATCTAAGTGGAGAGCATCAGTAATCACCACGGAAATACGGAAAACACCTTCGGAGCTGTAAAATATCGCTCAGCCAGACTAAACTCTATGGCATGAATGACTATGTTGCATGATTCGTCTCCTTTGATTAGCAACCTCCTGGATTTTTTCCGTGCCCAGTGGTTCTGTACTGTTACACAGGCAACTTCAATAATGAGCGGTCCGGAAAAAGGAGTTAAATCCTTCCCTAGATCTCCCTCCAGTTCTATAACCCCTATTACCGTGTCCCCACTTTATTCATTTTGTGCCAACCATCTCATTGCCACACCAGACATTTTCTGTATCCTTGTACGCGAATCAAGAATATGGCGCTTCTTACTTGTTATTCCGGAGCTTTGCTCCGGCTCGCACATCTATTATGATAGGAAATGGCTCCGAAGTTCCGAGAGCTTGGATTGGCCAGCATCCATATATGTATTTGTATGAAATAAAACACAGTAGACCTGATGGTAGCTCCTTTTTAATTTTTCCCAAATCTGAGTGATCCATGTCGCCTCTTTTCACGTGAGAGATCTATAGACTGTCATCACCAAACATGGAGGTTCGTATGACGGAAACTTCGCCAGATTATGACATGGTATCTGCAGAGACGGATACCGGTATTGAACACCATCTCAAGACAAGAAAGGACTTCGAGAAGCATGTCGGCAAGGACAATGGCCACTGGCACCTGAAGCACAAGGTCGAGGAGATCCACGCACGCAACATTGAGTCAGGAGTCAAACCTCGACAATTGGGCGTGACATGGAACAACCTCAGTGTGGAAGTCATGAGTGCAGACGCAGCCATCAATGAAAATGTGGCTTCGCAGTTCAACATTCCGAAATTGTTCAAGGAGGCTCGCCACAAACCTCCGTTGAAAAAGATCCTCAATGAGAGTCATGGCTGCGTCAAGCCAGGAGAGATGCTCCTGGTCCTCGGAAGACCCGGTTCCGGTTGTACAACTTTGCTCAACATTATCGCCAATCGTCGTCGTGGCTATGGTTCTGTGTTGGGGGATGTCTGGTATGGCTCTATGCCTGCTAGCGAAGCAACCCAGGTCAGTAACCTTCCATCCAATCCAGCATTCCCAGTACTTGAACTTCCTGATTCTCTATGAATTATTCGATTGGAAATATAGCTGATAATCTCTTTCCTGATACAGTATCGGGGGCAGATTGTCATGAATACGGAAGAAGAACTCTTCTATCCAACTTTGACTGTTGCTCAGACCATGGACTTTGCAACCCGCATGAAGGTCCCCTTCCACCTTCCCGACAACGTACCATCCGCTGAGCAATATCAAACCATGAACCGTGATTTTCTTCTGCAATCGATGAGTATTGAACACACTCATGAGACGAAAGTCGGCAACGAATATGTCCGAGGAGTTTCCGGAGGTGAGCGGAAGCGTGTCTCGATTATTGAAACTCTCGCCACCCGGGGCTCAGTTTTCTGCTGGGATAATAGTACGAGAGGGCTAGACGCAAGCTCTGCATTAGACTACATCAAAGCTATCCGCGCTATGACTGATGTGCTCGGCCTAACATCGATCGTGACATTATATCAGGCTGGAAATGGTATTTATGACCTATTCGACAAAGTTCTTGTCTTGGATGTAGGCAATCAAATCTATTACGGCCCGATGACAGAAGCCCGTTCATTCATGGAGAATCTTGGTTTCGTCTGTCAAGACGGTTCCAATGTTGCTGATTTTCTGACTGGCGTAACTGTCCCAACTGAGCGAATGATTCGATCTGGCTATGAGCGCACATTTCCTCGAAACGCAGAAATGGTGCTGGCGGAATATAAAAGATCACCAATCTTGGTTCAGATGACTGCAGAATACGATTATCCAACAACAGCGCTTGCAAAAGAACGAACCGAAGCATTCAAAGAATCAGTGGCCCATGAGAAGCACCCGCGCGTCCCAAAATCCAGTGCTCTGACTACGGATTTCTTAACACAAGTCAAAGCGGCGGTCATCCGCCAGTATCAAATAATCTGGGGTGACAAAGCCACCTTTCTCATCAAGCAAATCTCAACTCTGGTACAAGCGTTCGTCTCAGGCTCAGCTCTATATAATGCTCCGGGGAATAGCGGCGGTTTGTTCTTGAAATCTAGTGCCCTGTTCTTCGCGATTCTTTTTAATACCTTGATGGCTATGAGCGAAGTGACCGATTCATTCGCCGGCCGTCCAGTTCTCATCAAGCATAAATCCTTTGCATTTTATCATCCTGCGGCTTTCTGCGTCGCACAGATCGCAGCCGATATCCCTATTATCTTCTTTCAGGTTAGTATCTTCTCAGTCATCTTTTATTTCTTAGTGGGCTTGACGACTACTGCAAACGCCTTCTTTACCTATTGGATCATAGTTGTCGCAGCCACGATGGTGAGTAGCCCCAGGTGAAGGACAACCCATAGAGGCAGGCTGACCATAGTATCCAGTGCATGACTGCTATGTTTCGAGCCATCGGGGCCACTGCTCAAACATTTGATTCGGCGTCCAAGATTTCCGGTCTCATCATCACTGCAACAGTCATGTACACCGGCTTCTTGATCCAAAAGATGGCGATGCACCCGTGGTTTGTCTGGATCTACTGGATCGATCCACTTGCCTATGCCTTTGAAGCGCTGCTCGCCAATGAATTTCATGACAAGATTATTCCGTGCGTTGGAAATAACCTGATCCCCAATGGCCCGAGTTATTTGAATTCGCAGGCATTTCAGTCTTGTGCTGGCGTTGGTGGGGCGATTCAAGGTGAGACTGTCGTACATGGAGACAACTACCTCGCGTCATTGGCCTACAGCCATGCGCATGTCTGGCGCAACTTTGGCATCATCTGGGCAATGTGGTTCCTGTTTGTCGCTACTACCGTCGTCGCCACCAGCCGCTGGCGCTCCTCTTCGGAGAAAGGACCATCCTTGCTCATTCCTCGCGAAAACTTGAAAACGGTCCGGATTAAGCAGTCAACCGATGAAGAATCACAGACACAAGGGAAAGACGGCTCGACAAGCGACTTTGATAATACTACCACGGATGCTGAGGGAAATCAGAACTCAGATATTGACTATAGGCTGATTCGAAACACCTCGGTCTTCACTTGGAAAAATTTGACCTATACAGTGAAAACTCAGTCTGGTGATCGTGTCCTACTGGACAACGTGCAGGGTTGGGTCAAGCCAGGAATGCTGGGAGCACTGATGGGATCATCGGGTGCCGGCAAAACCACGCTGCTGGATGTATTGGCTCAGCGCAAAACCGATGGCACCGTTCATGGATCGATTATGGTCGATGGTCGGCCGCTGCCAGTCACTTTCCAACGATCTGCTGGTTATTGCGAACAACTAGACGTGCATGAACCCTTTGCAACGGTCCGTGAGGCTTTGGAATTTTCTGCCCTTCTCCGTCAACCACGAGATGTTCCTCGTGAGGAGAAGCTGAAATATGTTGATGCTATCGTCGACCTCCTCGAACTCCATGATATAGCAGACACTCTTATTGGACGAGTTGGTGCAGGCTTATCAGTTGAGCAGAGGAAGCGTGTGACTATTGGGGTGGAATTGGTCGCCAAACCAAGCATCCTCATTTTTTTAGATGAGCCCACTTCTGGTCTTGATGGACAATCAGCCTTCAATACTGTAAGATTCTTGAGGAAGCTGGCTGATGTTGGCCAAGCGGTGTTAGTCACTATTCATCAACCTTCCGCACAGCTCTTCGCCCAATTTGATACACTTCTTCTGCTCGCGAAAGGTGGGAAGACTGTGTATTTTGGCAACATCGGCGACAATGGACAAACACTGAAGGATTACTTCTCTCGATACGGAGTACCTTGCCCTCCAGAGGCCAACCCTGCAGAGTATATGATTGATATTGTGTCTGGAAGCTTGTCACAAGGCCACGATTGGAATAAAATATGGCTTGAGTCTCCTGAGCATATCAGGGTGACGAAGGAACTTGATCAAATCATTGCAGATGCTGCCGCTAAACCACCAAGCACAGTGGATGATGGTCATGAATTTGCGACATCACTCTGGGATCAGTGCAAGCTGGTCACTCACAGAATGAACATCTCATTGTACCGGGATACTGATTATCTCAACAATAAGTTCATGCTGCATATCACCACGTCCTTATTCAACGGTTTCACTTTCTGGATGATTGGGGACACTGCTAGTGACCTACAAATGCGCCTCTTCACCATCTTCAACTTCATATTCGTGGCCCCTGGTGTCATTGCCCAACTGCAGCCCTTCTTCATTGATCGACGATCGATCTATGAAGCGCGCGAGTCGAAGTCAAAGATGTACTCGTGGAAGGCATTTGTCACCGGACTCATTACATCTGAGATGCCATACCTGTGCATTTGCGCTGTGCTCTACTTCTTGTGTTGGTACTATACTGTTGGATTTCAGCACGACTCGAATCGGGCAGGTGCCACATTTTTCGTGATGTTGATGTATGTGTTCCTGTACACCGGCCTGGGTCAGATGATCGCCTCATATGCTCCTAATGCTGTTTTTGCTGCCCTTGCCAACCCGCTTATTCTCGGGACTTTGGTGACTTTCTGTGGTGTGGTCATACCGTACCCAGAAATCGAGGTCTTCTGGCGGTTCTGGTTGTACTACTTGAACCCATTCACCTACATGATCGGCAGTCTGCTCACATTTAACATGTGGGATATCGATGTCACCTGCTCTGAATTAGAGCTTGCCATCTTCAATCCTCCAAGCGGAACAACCTGCGGACAGTATCTCGCCGATTATATGCAAGGACTGGGATCAGGCACAAACTTGCTCAACCCAGATTCTACGTCAAACTGTAAAGTATGCGAGTATCGGACGGGAAGCGACTACCTCATGAGTATCGACATCACGCACTACTATGACGGCTGGCGAAACGCTGGTATTGTCGTTATCTTTATCATCTCCTCCTATTCTCTGGTCTATGGGATGATGAAACTTCGCACAAAGACTTCCAAGAAGGCTGAGTAGACTGGGCTTAGTCCTCAGAATGCGGTATATTCGAGTCTGATTGGTGGCGGTGCAATGTTTCTCTCGACATACCCGTCATTTTCTTGATCGATCGACTAGGTCGACGAACAATGGCTCTCACATTCGTCCCTGGAGTCTGTGTAGGACTGTTTATCACCGGATTTTCATTCATGGCAACTAGCTTGGGTACACGGATGGGCGTCTACCTTACCGGCATGATTTTGTTTACAGCCATCTGGTCTCTTGCTGTCGGAGCTGGGCCCAAGGAAATGCGACACCGCCTTTTTCGGAGCTCAGATATTTTTCGGAGCTCAGATATTTCTATCCTCTGTCCTTGCTCAATATTGAGCGGAGTTTTTTTTTTGGTTGAGTGTCAGCTTTTCTCCAACAATCATGGTTCGATACTCTTCATGTCAGAATAATGACAGAACATTATGTCGAGATGCCAGGATGGTGGATCCATGCATAAAAGTTTGTCAGCACTAAACTGCTTTTGTATTTTCACATTTTTGTTATTGTGTGCTTATTTCGCTTACTATGCATTGTGCACTATTAAAGAGATAGCCAGAGTATCCTTAGAATGTCAGAGTTCTTCTATCTTGCGGTCATGATATTACTAGTTGGGTAATTAGTGGCGGATCAATTCTCCACCTGGATTCGACACATTATCCTTTGCGTCTCACCGCCTCTTCATCTGGGACTTGTACAGAATTAAAGACTTAGATCAAAGCATCCGTTGAAACATAATTTGTGCATATACTTCTATTGCTTTCTGAATAGGAGAAGCAGATACTTGTAAGTAATGACTAGTTCCATGTGACCGCAATTTTTCAACCTACCACGCTTCACATTGAAAGTATAGCTGCCTTGATTACCTCCATGACTTTCTCGGGCTGACTCAACTGCGGTACGTGGCCAGCACTACATCTTTGGATTTTACTGTTTGCAAGAGCGGCCAGCTGCTCTTGCAAAGGTACCGGAAGTGCCTTGTCACCTTCACATATGAGATACACACTCGGAACATCTTTCCATCCGGTATAAGTAACTTTGCCATCCCACCCTGACGCGGGCTGCGGCCTGAGCTCAGCCAGCCATTTGGCCTTTTCTTGCTCAGGAATATCGTTGAAAAGAAGGACATCTGGCTGGGCACAATAGGAAGCTCCTCCCTTCATTCAACGAGACCCCATCGTCAGTCTACAAACAAAAGGAAAGACCTGGATGAGCCATACCTCGACAACAGCAAAAGGTAGCGGCTGGTGCTCATAGCCCTCTGGGAACACTGCCCCGGACAGAAACACAATGCCCACCACTCCTCCCTTCTGCCCGCTCTCTTTGCGCTGCTTCTTGCTCAATCCCTGCATCGCTTCGCTTCCAATGAAGCCTCCTGCTGAATGCAACACTAATAGTACATCCTCTCCCTGGGCCACGACTTCTTGGAGGTGCTGACGCACTGCTGCAATGTCGTCCTTCATGGTCGGATTTCCCGGAGATACGGTGCCCGTACTGAGCAGTACCGCACTTTCAGTCGTGAAACCATTGGCAGTCATTAGGGCGGAAAGTGGCTCAAACACCGAAGGGCCTTCCCAAAGGCCGGGGACGAGGAAAATCACGGGCGCCATCTTAGCTGAAAGAGCAAGTCGATCGATCACTATGTAGTCAGGTCCAGAGGTTAGGATGGTGAAGTGTATTCGAACGAGGGAGAGTCGGAATGCCCTGAAACGAACGAAGTGAGAGAAAGGGAACGAACAGAACCACCCCGGACTGCTCCACCAAACTTTGCTGCGCTCCCCACTGTAGAGGCTCGCGCCAAGCCTGCTGCTGGTTGGCTGGCTCTCACGCTCTCTTGGGTTTAGCGTACTCATCTGGTGTGTTGACCCTGCCTCCCTTGTGACTGGTTGCGCCTGCAAGCCCTGAAACGAACGAAGTGAGAGGAAGGGTTTACCATCGTGGGCAGAGAATACCCCTGCTGTCAAAAGCTTTGTCTATGATGTTGCTTTTACCCAACTTCTGCTCTTTCATTCGATGATGATGGTGATTATGATGATGATGAATTCTATTATAGTCTGATGTAGCTTCCCGCAGCTCTTGTTAGGGGCTATGCAGACTTTTATCGGCTTAGATACAGGCGGTACGTCTGGGAAGTCATTCGCTCGATCAGTCCGGCCGATATGTGAACAGAGATAGATAAAGAAGACCTGTGGCCATGCTCAGCAAAGCATATAGCGAATCGTATGGTGGCAACGCGATGAAAGTCCTAACCAAACACAATTACGTGGTGGATTACGATGCTTTTGATGAAGTGCTTCTGCAGCTCGGCAAGTCGATGACCCCGAAAAGCCGCTGTACAATGGGCCGAAAATATCAAACAAAAACGCAAGCAGAGAGCTGTGGTCGAAACAGGGGCTGCGGCCGGAACAGGTCCAAAGGAGGACTATGTCCTTTACCACAGTCAACCTGGCAGTGACTTTACTGGGCAACCATAAGCCAGCACTCCAATAGCAGAGTATGCAATGCCTGTTTGGATGATAAACTATGCTGTATTGCTGTCAGATGGATGCTAAAGCACCGTGACTTGCAGGCTATCTTGAATCAAGCGGTTGGAAATTCAGCCTGACGAGCAGTGTGGGTCATTATCTCATTTATCTTTCAACCGAAGCACATGCTCGGGCTAGTCAGAGACATGCTTTCTCTACGCTTCCGATGCCATACAATACTTGGTCTATATTGCGAGGCACTCCCGACAGCCATTAAGCGTAATATCGAACCATACAAGCCTCTTAGAACAAAGATACATATCAAATAATACGCGACTAGTTCCGTGCAGAAATCTGGCACGACATGACGCCCCTATCTCCTCTTCCCTTTTTTAACCGACTTCCATTCGATACCAAGCGTGCTGAGTACGACCAGACATGTAAGACCTAATGCAATATAGAAAACGTCCACAAGAGCCCTGTTATAGGAGATCAGGACCTGATCTCGAAATTTTGCCGAGACCGCATTAATGAGGCCTAGCGCACCACTATCTAATACCTTGTTGGAGTCAAACTCCGGTATTTGTGTGGCCAGATTGTAGGCCAGTCGGTTACGGAACACATTTTGCGCAATGGATAGGATCACGATACCGCCGAATTGCTGTGTGAAGCTCAACATAACCAGTGCCATGGGCACCATAGAGTCAGGAAGTACGGTCTGGACGGCGATGTAGGGCGGTTGGAAAGCTAGACCAATGCCGATCCCGTAGATGATCTGATACGAGATCCATTTTCCGGCACCGGTGTCAGGCCGGAGTGTAGTTATGAGCCCGCTTCCCACCGTCATGAGAACGCTACCGAGCATCAAGACCGGGTTGTAGTAGCCTATATAACTCGTCAAAGAACCGCCGGCTAGTGCGGTAATCGCCAATGTCACGGCCAAGGGCAGGTACATGAGCCCAGATCCAAGTGTGCTTGCGCCGCGCACTGCTTGGAAGTAAAAAGGCAACTGGTCACAAGTCAGCACAGCACCTTACCAGTGCAAAGTGGATGGACTGCGGCTTACGTAGTACGCAATCACCGCAAGGTGCGAAAAATTGCAAAAGGTGATGAGGCTAGCGAAAGCGACAGACCGCTGACGCAGCATTTTCAGTGGGACCATGCTGTTGTCTCTAGCCCTGTACTCCACGAACAGGAATATAGCAAGGAGCACGGCAGAAATTGTGAGCAAAAGAATGATTCGCCAATTGGTCCAGGAGTATGCCGTTCCCGCCCACTCCAAAGCCAGTACCAAACATAGAGTCATCGGTACATTTATGGAGAAGCCTGTCCAGTCGATGCGCTTCAGCCCATCCTTGCTGCTGAGGTGTGCGTTCTCGGGTCGACGAATGTGACTGATGCTAAAGAAGACCATTACAATGATGGCAGCGCTAATCGGGATGATGATATAGAAGCTGACCCTCCATGTCGAGTAATGGGCTATACTTCCACTGATGAAAGGACCAAAGGCCAGAGCGATACATTCTACGCCACCGGCGATTGAAGAATAGATAGGCCGGTGCTTGAGTGAGGTTGTATGTGCGAGGATACTAGACACAGTGGATTAGTTTCACCCAGCTCGTCGTGATTGAGAAGTATATCGGTCGAGGGCTCACATGTTCATGCCCGCTAATATGCCGGCTGCTCCCAGACCACTCAGTGCGCGCCCAACGATGAATGCTGGGGATGTTGGAGCTGTAGCAGATAGTACTGAGCCAATAACGAAGACAAACATTGATGCCATGTAGAGTGTTTTCATGGAATAAAAGGAGTACAGTTGTCCATAAATCAACATTGTTGCAGATTGTGCGAGTAAGCTTTTCGGAAAATGTCAGTCGGGAGACTCGTCTCATCCTTGTCTCGTAGAACCTACTATGCAATTTGATACCACCCAACGTCGTTGAGAGCGTGAAATTGATCGGTGATGACTGGGGTCAATGTCGCAATACAGCTGGTATCCTATAGCTAAACATCAGCTTGGACATCTCTTTTACGATAGATCAACACGAACATAACCAATAAAGAAACTTCCAAGAAGGATGCATGTAAACAACAGAGCGAATCTGATCCCCTTGGGGCGGTGGTCGTTTTCAGGCTTTTCGTCGACTTGTGCGGTCGCAGATCCGGATTCTACATCAGCATTGGCCTCATCTGGCGAGCGAGGGAGCGTTTGCCGAGCCTCCTCGAATTCACCAGCATGTTGTAGCTCCATCCCAAGCGCTTCAGTCTGGGCATCATCGTCGAACTGCGATGTCTTCGAGTTCATTTTGAATGCTGATATAGTAGAGTGACTACTTAAGAAATGTGCGATTGACACAGGAGAAAGACGCTTTATCGTTGTGCGTAGACTGGCTGTACAATTCCGCGGGTTTTATACTGTAGCGAAAGGACAGAAGAAACGACGGCGCAGCTTTTCCGGCGTGTGCTCCGACAAAAGTCTCGCTCGTGCTCGGACATGCCGGCACTCGGAGTCCGAACCCTGCATTGAATTCGTGACAGTGCTACGGCTTAGGAAGCAACTTTTAGAGGTACGGAGGAAGGTATGGATTTAGAGGGTTCGGCGGTGGAGTCTACTCCGACAATCTAGATCCGGAAATTGATCTCGGAACACTAGGCCTAATATAGCTTAGCACTCCGACGGGACAGGCCAGCACATTTAATCCTCAACTAAGGTAACCAATCTATTGTAATCCTCTTCTGCGTCCAAAGCCTTTCAGCATTTGCGTTACCGGCAGTGGAACCTAGCCACCTGTCGACATGACCGACAGAATTCGCCGCAATGGCAAGCCTTCGTCATGTGAGCCTTGCCGACGGTCGAAGCTTCGTTGCGATCATGCAAGGCCACATTGTACTCGTTGCGTACGCCGCAACTTTCAACGACAGTGCTATTACCACCCATCGCCGATGACACGAGGTACAGACTCCTATACCGAGATCTTACTGTAAGAAACCCTCTCTTCGCCTAGATGTTGAGGTTCAACGAACGTAACGTCAACTTCTCAGCACACCGCAAAGCGCGAGACAGATTGATACCGCCACTTCCTCTTCAGTGCGCGGTTCATTTTCGCCGACTGAAAACCCGCCAGCTAACGACTATGACCGGGGAACTGGTCTGGTAACCATGCATAATTCTTTGATGCCGTTCGCAGACTTTAATGGCAGGCAACCCCATCGCAAATTCGCATACTTGACCCGAACAAGCGTGTTTACACCTAAACGGACGTATCCGGTGACACCAGCTGCGATTGCAGAAGGCGTAGAAGTTCTACGATCCCTCCTTGAATTTAACGCGGACTTTCCTGAACTTATCCGGGACCAGTGCGAGAACGATGAACTATGTGGTTCACTTCTTTCTAAAGCAGCATGGCGAGCGACGCAAAGTACACTACAATGCTTAGGGGCTAGATCGACCCTGGATCAATTAACAAGCACAGCTCTAGCAATATTTGAACAGACTACGTGCCCACTCGAGCTACCTATATCGGCGGAGAACGACACTCTCGAGCTGGCCCTTTCTGGAAACCGCTTGCGCTGGGAGACCATTGGCATGTGCTTCGTACGCTTTGGGTTATACAGCGGAATGGTGAAGGCCAGCGGCCAAGTCTTCCATGGCTGTGGACAGTCAAATTTCGATCGTCAAAAGACTATGCTTAAGGCATTCGACGCTTGCATGCAAACTCGGGCATTCTGCGATCAAGTCGAGCAGACAAATGACTTGACACTGTGGCTATTGACATCAGTATACACCCTTGCCACTTGGTGCTTTGGGGACGATTCTTCCCGTGCCTGGCGCTTAATGGGCGACTTATCATCAGCTATAGCAGCTCTTGGCTTCCATAAAGGGTTCAAAGGCGGAGAACCAGGACCCCCATATTTGGTAGAGCTTCGCAAAAGAGTCATAGCTCTTGCCCATGAGCGCGACAAGGAGCTAGCAACCTTCGTTGGTCGACCGCCCCGTCTTAATCGAAGGTATTATGCGGTGGATCTACCACTTGACTTGCCAGATTCAATCATTATAGGCCCCGTCGAGCATTTTGAAGCTGCCAGATTAAAACTCGACGAGAACGGCTGGAGTGGGGATGTTATGGTTAATCCGGTTTCTCGTCTTCGAGCGATTCTTTTACTGAGCATGATCCGCGAAGAGGTCTTGGAGCTCTCACTTGGTCCATCAATGCCAAATATCGCCCAACAAGCTAGGTGATCCGCAGCTCGTTCCGTATAGTCGAAATAAAGATTTAGATGCTGACCTTTTCCCTAGACAAATCTTATCGAAATTGACCTGTACTTGGGAATCAATCCCTCACAAGGAATACGAACAGTCAATGTGTGACACTATGCTACCAAGTGCTATCTGGGTGGTCATAGGCCCTCGACTTGAATACCTTTATACCAAGTTTCTTCTCTATAAGCTGCTCATTAGTCAAAACCAGGGCAGTCGCGATAAAATGATCCGGACGTCGCAAGAAATTCTACATTTGGCACTGTCGCTTTTGAAGAAGAACGATGTGATAGCTACGCCAAATTTGGAGGGTATGGTGAGTTGCAAAATTGTTTCCCTACTGAAAAAAGGGAGACTGATGTTAATCATAGATGGTGGTTTACGCAATGCCATGTGCGAGCGTTCTTGTCTTGGAGCTATTTCGACAGAATCGACAGCCTCGTCAGTCTGCGACGCTCAATCGGTCGACTTTAATCCAGGACATAAGCGTGCTCATATCGTGCTGTGACTCGCTAGCCATATCTGGACAGAGCAACTATCAGATCTGCAAGCAAGCTCAGACGGTTTTCTCGCGATGCCTAGATCAAATCTTGAACCCAAATGCGGCATCATCTCACGGTTTAATGAATGAGCCTGGAAAACCAGAAGTGCAAGAACCTTTCTCCCTAGGTTCGATGGACTTCGGTCTGACAGAGCTATATCCCCAAGACCCGGAATGGTCCTCGTGGCTCGAGTCATTCGACTTATACGAAACATGATGATGATGTGGGTCACCTAGTCCAACAATATTATAAGGTCTGGAGAACGGAAGAACCGACAATAAGCCTGTATTGGTGACACTGAGGAGAAGAAGGAGAGAGAGGAATAATGCTATCTCGAACTATTTAGTGAAACACCCTCTAGAAAGGGAACACCAATGTCATTTACAACCAAATCTATGAAGTGGGTTTCATAATTTCGTTATTTATTGAGACCTCTTAGGTCCTACTAGGATATTAATCCTCCCCAAACATCACCTCCCGCCCAAGCAACCCACCTCCGCACACATTCATCCACCCGTCGCAGGGCATCCTTGCACGCCTCGATCTCGAACCACTCGCGGTGCTCCTTCCCACACTCTACACACGGACCCAGGTCCCGCACGCGCAGATCTGCGAGTTCGATGTGGATCAGGCGTTCGACGCGGTGGACGTGCGGGACTTTTCTCCCAGACGTCAATGACAATGTTTCGGAAGATGTAGGACGCTGCTGCAGGTAATTCTGTCCAGATGGAGATAACCGCGCCGAAGAGGGGGACTGCTGTGGCGTCGGTGTTGACGTCGGCGTTAATTTTGAAGGGGTATATGGGTAGTATCGAATAAGCGTCAGGTCGTTAGAGCACTGACGCGTCCATTCAGTTAACCTGCGGTGTACGTTGCTTGCGCGCCCGATTTTCAGTCGTATTGTGCCCGGCGCTGTTGCGGTTGGATTGCTGCTTAGGGCGTTGAGATCCTGTGCTGCGCGGAGAGCATCGCTGATGCTTCGGCGTTGGGCTGGTCTGCCACTATTTGGGATTGGCGGGAGTAGGGACGATGCAATCTCTCGTGGTGGTGGACGAAATGAAGCGGTGCCGGTATTCCGTGTAGTACTTGGAGGCGTCACCCAGAACATGTAGATGTAGCCCTCTTCGTCAGTGCCGGAGATGGGCTTGGCGAGTTCGGTGAGAAGCAGAGATATCGTCCGGGGAGAGAGGCTGGGTGGGATCCAGGAAATGAGGGACTGGGTTTGCGAGGATGAAGACGAGTTCCGCTTGTGTTGCGGAGGTCGAGACGGTGCCTGTGTAGTTGGTGATAATTTGGTCTCAGATGAGGAAAGGCGTGAATGCTGGGGAGTTGGCGACAGCGACGCATGCATACACTGCGGGGCTGAGCTGGGCCTCGATTCTTGTAGATGGAGATTCAGAGGCGCGGACGCCGGTCGATGGGCGGGACGAATCTGTTGCTGTTGCACTGGTCTTATAACCGGCTGGGGAATTCGATGTTCCATGTCGTCTTCGTCGACAATCTCAAAGCAGCAGAAGGTTCTCTTGGGTGATTGACGATGCTTCTCTTTTACTCGAACCACATCTGGTCTTTTGCGATTATGGCGATGTTTCTGCTGAGCTGTAGGTTGTTCATGTTGATCTGAAACTTCAAGCACGCCCAGCCGATCCAGCAGCGTATCGATGCTGGATCTGGGCTCCGGCTCAGGCTGGAGACTCGAAGTGGCCCATGTCGACGCCGAGGCGATAGCCTGATCTTTATGCTGCCAGCAATACAAATGGGTGTCGTCCAATGGGTGTCCATTCCATGATTTTGCGTAGTTTTTCGATGCTAGAGAGCGGCGACAAGGCCGGCCACTCGTGGTGATCCCTCTACAGGTCGTTGCTGGGTTGCGCGAATCCGAGCGAGGGAGTCGAGACTCTGGTGTGTTGGCGATATGGGGCATCGTCCGGAAGGGAGAGGATGCGGAGGGAAGGGGAGTCAGCTTGCACGGATTTCATCATGAAGCACCTCTGGAATGTATGGAAAATATTTAATGTGTCAGGCAATGTCCATCTCGTCGGTGTGGGTATCTCTGCCCAATGCTATTTTTGTATGCACCGCCACAGAGGCGGTGCATGACTTGGGGTATGTCAGCATGCACCATGATGATTTCGCTGAGAAACATCATTGGCCTAATCTACGAAAATGGGCCCAGTCGCCTGTGAGAATCCTGGTAATTGGAATGAAGTACAACGCACCATATGTCAATTGCAAATAGATATCTTGGGGCCCCACCAAACAAGTCCCATTTCATAGATCCGCAAACTCCACTCCATCTATGCACTCCCGGCACCATATCAAAATCCCCAATCTACCGCGCATAGTCATAGCTCACACCCCGACATTTCAACCAAAAGGACCGCACAAGATCCAGCGACTGCTGTCGGGCTCCTCGTGCAACAAAGAGAGACTCGAGAAAGCGCGATTTTTCCTTCGGCTCTAAGAGCGGAACGTGCTGCCCGTTTGCATCAACGACATGGGCATCGATTGCATCCAGTGCGGTTGTTAGGCTTGGTCGTGCTATAGCCATGTGCTTGAATATCCCACGCCGAAGGACATCGGTTAGAAACACCAGATCTGAGCGTGCGCAACGGCCCGCTATTTGCTGGATCAGGGTGTGGCATAGAGAAGGCACGAATTGCTCGAGCACTTGCTGTAGCACGATTGTATCCTCTGAGGCGCTGGGGCGAAGAACTAAGAGGTTAGCCCAGAAGGTGGAGGCGGATCGAATGGGAAGAGGTTCCGGGCGCGAGAGGGCATGCAGTGTGAAGTTGATCAGGACGACGAGAATGGGTGGCCGCTGCGAGCCCGGGTCTTCAGTCAGGGACGGCAGCGGGCTTGTAAGTGAGAACAAAACTGTATAGTATTTAGGCAACAGGCGCTCGAGAAAATCAATCCCCGCGTTGGCCGTTTCTGGGTCATAGAGACCCGGGGTTTCCAGCATGGTGTAGAACAGTTGTGCCACATGGCCAATCAGTGCAACGGCTTCGTCCCGAATATGCAGTGGATGTGAGCCGTGGGACGCCAGAAATGAGGACGCGGTGGCCATGATGATATCCGTCCCGGAAATGCCGAGCGGGAAGCTCTTGATGAAGTCGACAGTCATAGACGGAGGAAACACAAATGGGCCGGACTTCTCGGTATAGCCAGCTCTTAGGATTTCGCATGCGGCTTCGATGATGCTGATATCGACCGGAAAGTCGACAATGAGGAGTCTCATGGCCTCCATGATTAGGCGTTGAACCTCGGTGCCCGGTCCAGAACTCCAGAACGATTCGTCTTCAGGTACTTCGTCATCCGTGAGCTCTATTTCGGTGGATTGAAGCCCTTTCCCAACGCTGGCAATGCAACTGAGAACGAGGTCGCCCCGGGCACGAGCAGATTCATAAGCAGAAGCATGGCCTTCTTTTCTTGCTGTGTGGGCTTCTTGAACCAGAAGCCGCAGAATTCGCTCCAGGGGTTGCACCTTGTCCTGGTCTTGAGGCAAGGCGTAAATGATAGCTGCAATTCCCTGTAGAACTCTGGGCATCGTGTTGACCGTCGCCGTTGGCTTGACTCGAAATTGATCTAGTTGGTCCAGGAATACCGGAATGTCTCCGATCAGGGCTTGAGAGCACGATCTTGCGAGAGTCTGAATAGACCGTGATGCAGCCTGAGCACATGGTTCAAAGTTGAGAGACTCGAACAAAATGGTTAAAACCCCTGGGAGCAAAGGGGTGTGTCGTTTGAAATAAGATTCGTATTTCCCAATTGCATCCACCAATGTCTGGCGAGCTTTGAGTGGTATAGCTGCTCCAGCATTTGTGAAGACCTGGGTAAGTGTGTTGCCTCCAAAAATAGCATCCAAACATTCATCAGCATGCCCATTCTCATCTACCGCCTCTGATAGGTAAGTGAGGCAGAACATGGCCGTCTCAAAGCTTCGCCAATTCTGGTTGGTAAGATTGGATGTTGCACTCTCTTGGAAGACACGGATGAGGTCAACACCGAGGAATTGATAGACCGAGAGTAGGTAGTCACAGCCTTCAGAGCGGAAAATGTTGAATTCACTCCGCTCTTCATCGGTCCAGCCCTGAAGGTGCTCCGTACCTGGATATAGCAGCTTATCGAATAAGCCTAGCACGACTGCGGCCAGCTGATCTTTCACGACTGAAAATAGGGGATCATCGGATTCGAGCTTGTCCGGCAGATATTCAGCGGTCTCGTTCCAAAATTCGAGCACTCGCGGTGTTGCCATATCCTCCGTTGCGGCATATCCAGGGGTCTTGAAAACATTGTGGAGAAGTTCCAAGAGCTGGCTATTTGGAGGAGACAGATGCTCCCTAAAAAGATCCAGGTCCAGGTAGTAAGCAAAGGCCACCAGGAGATCCATAAGTGTCAGATGGTCCCCGTCTTCCTCTTCATCGGACATTTTTCTTGCACTGATGGTCTCGATGAGAATTTGTGAAAGCCGACCTTTAGTCTTGCTGTCAAGGGACACAAGTCGGCTCTCCATGACCGAGGTCAAGATAGATACTGCGCTATCCCTCAGATCAGGTAACCTCACAGCTTCGATAATGTCATGGACACATAACGTTTTGAGATGAGAGACATCATCTGGTATGTCTTCTGTCGTTGGGGATGGATAGTTTCCATGTACAACAAGCCAAGTCTGTGCGACCATCAATACTCGGATCTCGCAGTGAATTAAAGGGTAATCCGATCTTACCTTCCAAGAGTTCATGGCCTCTGTACCCAACTCCGGAACTGTGGCTTGCTGTGAAACCTGCCGCAAGACATACTGGGAAAGAAGAAACGCATCCCGGGTATTGTGGGCAACGCGCACAGACACCGACATTCCTTTGCGATCGCGCATAATATCCGGATCCCCTTCTGCAACGACATCTTGATCATACTTGTCCCCGCCCAGCCGCATGGTTTCCTCCGCCAGGTGATTCGAGAAGAACAGCAAGGCAATGACTTGTTTCTGGGAAAGAGCCGGGATCACCGTATTCTGGAAGTCCAATGACCGGCAGCCATCCTCCGAAACATATCCTCCGTTGGCGAGACTAGCTGCAAGCTGCAATACGGCCCGTTTCCACGGCGTAGCCGGCTGCATGAAGAGAGCCACCAAGCTGGAGGCCAGCTTCCTGATCACCATGGCCTGCTCGCCTTCATTGACCAATGCAACAAAATGGTTGACCAGATGCTGCATGGCCTCCACTGCCGCGTCTTCTTTGATATCTTTACTGAAATGGAGTCAGTAACTTTGGAGATATAAACCAGATGCGAGTCCTTACCCGGAGACATTGATCTTCACTGTAAAAGTGAGAGCACCGATGAAACGGTGGTGGGTGGATGGCTCCCGAAGAAGCACATCTGCGATCATCCACCCATGCTCGCCCTTCTGGAGTTGCTGCAGACGCGCCTGGATTTCATGGACCTTGGAGGGGTTGCGCTGGTTGGCGGGGTCGTAGAGCTCCGTCACGAGCTGAGACGCTGGTCAGCAGGCTGGAGGTCAAGATTGAGGAGTCAGCCACATACCAGATGAGCCTCTTTCGCAGACTCCATGGCTCCCAAGCCTTTCTCCACGAAGAGGCCAAGAACTCCGACGGTCACAGGAGGGAACAAACAGATGGTTATCATCACGTGCTGATAGAGGAGATGGCAGAATTAGGGGCGGTGAAGCTGCCCACCAAAGCCGTCGCAGGAGCAGTGAGAGAATAATAAGAATAAGAATAATACTTAAGTTAATTCAGTTCCTGGACAATGCCAATATTCTCCTTGTCCTGTGTGTGTCGAATCCCCCATCATCATCTCCAGTAAAGTCCGGCTAGTGCAAATAGGACAACCGTGGGGGCCCGCGGTTTCAACCGGAGATCACCAACATATCCACTCACTTATCTGCGCCGCTACCCATCCTCTCTCCCCTCTTCTTCCTTCTGGTCGCTTAGTTATCGCAACGAACTCCCCTTCCTCCTTCCCGCTCGTGCGGTGTCCATGCTCTTCTCCCAATCCATCCGCTTTTGTTGGACACCCTTTCGTTCACTGCAACGGCCACTTTCGCACGCTCGATTCTTTTCTGTTCTTGGCCCACGATACTCGGTCGAGATGGGGACCGTGGATACCACTGATCGCCTGACGAGGCTGAGGCAGTTGATGCAGGAGAACAAGGTGGATGTCTACAGTACGCCATCATTCAATGCCAAGTGCGACGTGTCGAGACTCATGTTCGCATCCAACAGTTGTTCCTTCCGAGGATAGCCATCAATCCGAGTACATTGCGCCGTGTGATGCCCGTCGAGGTCAGCGATCGGTCCTCTTTCTCCCTGTCTACACTCTCAACTGACCACTGTCCCTGCAGAGTTCATTTCTGGTTTCTCTGGCTCCGCCGGTACCGCGATCGTCTCCCTGACCAAGGCCGCCCTGTCTACGGACGGACGGTACTTCAACCAGGCCGCGAAGCAATTGGACAGCAACTGGGAGCTGCTTAAGCGTGGAATTGAAGGGGTCCCGACTTGGCAGGAATGGTACGGATCGATTGACTAAAGGAAAATCCGGTGCAGAAGCTGAATGTGCTTTAGGACCACGGAACAGGCTCAGGGCGGCAAGGCAGTGGGTGTGGATCCGTCTTTGATCACAGCCTGTAAGTTGGTTTTGCCTGTGAAGATATGAGCCACGATGCTAATATCTATAGCTGGCGCGCGCAAACTCGCCGAGACTCTTGAGAAGAACGGTTCGTCGCTCGTGGGGATCCAGCAAAACCTGGTCGATTTGGTCTGGGGCAAAGACCGCCCGCCACGCCCCAGTGAGAAGGTTCGGGTGCATCCCAACAAATATGCTGGCAAGTCCTTCCAGGACAAGGTCGCCGACCTTCGCAAGGAGTTAGAAACCAAGAAAAAGGGCGCCTTCTTTATTTGTAGGAAAAATCGTTTGTTTTTTTCCCATCACCATTGCTGACGGATAACAGCCATGCTTGATGAGATTGCCTGGTTGTTTAACCTGCGAGGAAGCGAGTAAGAGCCCGTGTTTCCCGATAGTATATTCAAAATTGACCATTCCTAGCATTCCCTACAACCCGGTGTTTTTCTCGTATGCCGTTGTCACGCCCACCACTGCGGAGCTCTATGTCGAAGATGACAAGCTCACACCAGAGGTCAAGGCTCATCTCGGCAATGATGTGATCATCAAGCCGTACGACTCCATCTATGCGGATGCGAAATCTTTGAGCGAAGCTCGAAGCAAGTCCAGCGGCAATGCTGAAGCCCCGTTCAAATTTTTGCTTTCAAACAAAGCTTCCTGGGCTCTTAGTCTCAATTTGGGAGGTGAGGAGCAGGTCGAGGAGGCCCGCAGCCCGATCGGCGATGCCAAAGCTGTCAAAAATGACACTGAGCTGGACGGCATGCGGGCGTGTCACATCCGAGATGGCGCCTCGCTGACAGAGTACTTTGCTTGGCTTGAGAACGAACTGATCAACAAGAAGACGACCCTGGATGAAGTCGACGCTGCAGACAAGCTCGAACAGATCCGCTCCAAGAACGAGCTATTCGCCGGTCTTTCGTTCGACACCATCTCTTCCACGGGCCCTAACGGTGCGGTTATCCACTACAAGCCGGAGAAGGGAAGCTGCTCTATCATTGACCCCAAGGCCATCTACCTCTGCGACTCTGGCGCCCAGTACCTGGATGGAACCACGGATACCACCCGGACGCACCACTTTGGTCAACCCACGGAGTTCGAGAAGCGAGCTTTCACTTTGGTGCTCAAGGGTATGATTGGCATTGACACTGCAGTGTTCCCCAAGGGCACTAGTGGGTTTGCCATTGATGTTTTGGCCCGTCAGTTCCTGTGGAAGGAAGGCCTTGACTTTCTCCACGGCACGGGGCACGGAATTGGATCTTATCTGGTAAGCACGCCGAGCTCGATCCTGCGCGATTCGTCCTGCTAATCCCGGTCAGAATGTTCACGAGGGACCCATGGGCATCGGCACTCGTGTGCAATACACTGAAGTGCCCATTGCTGCTGGAAACGTCATCTCGGATGGTTCGTCTACCTCCTCCTGTACATCTCCATCAACGCTAATTGTGGCTCATAGAACCCGGCTACTACGAGGACGGCAAGTTTGGCATCCGAATTGAGAGTAAGAGCTCCACCAATCCCAACTTGCTATATGTGCTGATATATCTGCTGTTAGATGTCGTTCTGTGCAAGGAGGTCAACCCGCCCAACAAGTTCGGCGACAAGCAGTGGCTGGGCTTCGAACACGTTACCATGACGCCGATCGGTCGCAAGCTGATTGAGCCGTCGCTGCTGAGCGATGCGGAGCTCAAGTGGGTGAACGACTACCACGCCGAGATTTGGGACAAGACGCACCACTTCTTTACAGAGGACGAGCTGACAACCAAGTGGCTGGAGCGGGAGACCAAGCCTATCTCTAAGTAGACCTGAGAGTTAAACTGCCAGTATGAGAGAGAACAAGGTAGAAAGAAGATCTGCTCGGCATGATTCTAGGGTTTTTGTGGCAATCCGTGTATATATAGTAGAGTGGAAGTAAGTCAGTGGAATGAATGAACATGGAAAGGGAAGCTCGTGTGGAGCCCCGACTTCATCCCGCCCCGACTGCCGTTCCTCCATCGCTACCGCCAACACAACAACACAACCCCATCTAATCACAACCACAACCCCTCCATCACTGCTCCCAGTCACCCTGCAATTGCGCGACCAAGAATGCTCGCTGTTCTTGTCCGCCCCTCGTTGCGCGAAATCCACTGGACCTAAAGCGATACCTCTACCGCCCCTCCCCTCGGATTGCGCCTCCACGACCCCTTGGTCGCACCGAACCAGCGTGTTCTCAACAGCTTAACCTCCTGGACCTGACCACTCGAAGCCGTTTGGAATGAGCGGCCGATACGGATACGGCGACACCGGCCGGTACGATCGCGGCGATGGCGGCTACGGCGGCAGCAATCTCGGTGTGAATGGGTACGGCGGAGCAGGAGGAGCAAGCAGGGACCGCCGCCCTGGTGGCTACGGTGGTTTCTACGGCGAGTCCCCTTCACCGCGCTCTGTGTCACCCAATCCGTCTCCGGAACGACGGCGCGACCAAGGAGATCGGGACGGGCAGCAACAACCATCGTCCAATTCGCGGCCGCGCACAAGGAATGGGGATGGAGAGAACAGATATCAGGGCTCCAGACCTGATCGTCCGAAGGAGGCACCACGGTATCCGGAAAGCAGGAATCGGGATAGAAATGGGTATAACGTTCCGAAAGTGGATGACAATCCTGGGGAGCTGCAATCAGTTGAATGTCCGTCGTGAAACGTTTCCTTGGAAGAGACATCTTTGCTGATACGTTTATGATATATAGCCGTCCTGCAGTCGATCCAACGCGAGTGGGATTTCATGACGGATACCGAGTGCATCCCGGTGCATGTGGCGTTGAGTCTGATGGACATGAGTACATTGGGCAAGGCGGATCGCGAGCCGGACTTTCTCCGGATGCATAATCAGATTCAGAGGACTTTGAAGGCGATTGTCAACGGTAGGTGACTGGATGTTGATTGAGACGGGCTCGAGGCTGACATGACGGGTCATAGAACATCACCAGGGATTCAACAGCTCCATCGGGACATACCACAAAATCCAGTCGAGTATTGCAAGCTCCCAGGGCCGAGTTCGTGATCTGAGACATTCCCTAGAGGAGGCAAAGTCTGGGTTACTGTCGACGAAGCCGGAACTCAAGGGGCTGGCAACGTCCTCACAGAATTACGATGATATCATTCAGTTGTTCTGCCATATCGAGGAAATTCAATCCCTCCCTGAGAAACTGGAGGCTCACATCTCCGACAAACGATTCCTCGCTGCAGTGGATGTGCTTCACACTGGCTTGCGGTTGCTCCGCCGCTCTGAATTGGACAACCTTGGTGCCTTGGCAGATGTCCGTGCGTTCTTCAGCAATCAAGAAATATCACTCACAGATATCTTGATTGAAGAATTGCACGATCACTTGTACCTGAAGTCTCCGTACTGCACTGATCGATGGAAACCACCGAGCGCCGAGGGAGACATCAGCTCATTCAGTTGGACCGGCAACCGCTCTTGGGAACGGCCAGTATACACTTTTCTGGCAAAGTTGGATGCGTCGACGCCCATGGTCGAAGATGCTTCGCGGAATCCCGAGGCCGACACATTCTCATATATCCACTTGTTGATCGAAGCCCTGAATAAAATGGGCCACCTTGATGTAGCGATTGATCGGATTGAACAGCGTCTTCCGGTTGAACTGTTCGCGGTGGTCGACAAAACGAACGCAGATGTTGATGCTCGCTACCCCAGCTCGGCCAAAGGGTTTCCATCTCACGACAGCTCCCTCAAGACCAGTCTACCCACCGAGGCGATCGAAAAGCGAGGTCACGTGCTAGCGGAATTCCTATGGGCGTTGTACGCCAAATTCGAGGCCATCGCTGAGGGCCACCGGGTCATTCACGATGTGGTCGCGGCTATTGTGCAACGTGAGGGTCTCACCACCGGCGATACTCTTGCTGGAGGGTTCAAGGAGTTGTGGAAACTTTACCAAAGCGAGGTAAGAGACATTTCTTTTTCCCTTGTATTTCTCACTAATTATATTTATTAGATCCGATCTCTCATGCACGACTACCTTGCAACTGATGGCGAGGCTTCTTATCGTTCTCGGGGCGAGGAAGCCGACGCTAGGCGGCAGCTCTATTCCGGTCGAGATAAAACAAAGGTAGAAGATTTATATGGTTTTATCGATTTGACAGTAGCTGACGAAAGGTATATCGCAGAAAATGTTCAAGTTATCGGATATTGATCAGAACTCAGAGATGAAGGCTGAGCAGGATGAGCTGGATGAGATTCTAAAGTCCTCTGTGCCTGGAATGGTCTCCAAAACAAGACAGAAATCATCCACAAACGACACTACCCAATCCAGACAGGGCAACTCCGGAACTGGCCACAAGATCCTAATCGAGCCAAGTGTCTTTAACATGGGTCTGCTGCTACCGCCTTCGCTTTCTTTCATCCAACGCTTGAAGGACATTGTTCCGGTCAACTCGGACATCCCGATGAACACACTGACCTCTTTCCTGGACGACTTCATGGTCAACGTTTTCCACCCTCAGCTGGATGAGACTGTGACGGACCTGTGTACGCTCAGCTTTATCGCTGCTGATGCATTTACGGAAGACCCTCAGTGGGCCAAGGTGTCTCCTCGTCCCATTTTCAGGGTGAGTTTTCTCACAACGAGATTTTCTCCATTGTCTAATTTGACTATTTGACAGGGTACGGTCAAATTCATGTCCATTGTGCGGGAATTTAGCAAGATGTTATCGAGCATCCCGCACGACCAGTCTTTCACACAACTTCTCATTGACCAGATTGTGACGTATTACGACAAGTGTTTCGGATGGTATAAAGGTACGAATTTTCCGATCATTTCCCCTGCAATCACAGGCTCATTTGTCCCTAGCAATGGTTACCAAAGTCTCAACTCGGAATCAGGGAGGTGGAGTCCGACTCAAAGCTGCAGCGCAGTTTGCAGACTCCGGAGATATTCGTGACACCGTCAATGAGTTGTGGGAAGGAACCACGACAAAAAAGCAGATCTTGCTTGATAAGGTAAACCCTGAGCCTTCGTAAATAATGACTTTGACTAACAGGAGCAGGAAATCGAACTCCTTCTCAAACGGACTAATCAGGTGCCCCTGGAACCATACGACATCATATCGGATCCCAAAACAGTCGTTTCTCTTTCCCTCCTGTACAACAGCATGGTAAGAGAATTTTGTGTATCCGTGTCTAAGCAGATACTAACTTTCACATTATAGAAATGGCTTGGCAGCCATCTCACCAAAATTCGGCTGGTGATGGACCCGGCAGCGGAGGCTGATTCGTCGCCATCTCTAACTGCGAGCGGACGACCGTCGCGACGGTGGACCTTATTTGGAGCCATGAGACCCAAGCGTGACAGTATTAACCAGCCTGTATTTCTTCCACTCAATCAGGAGACAGCAGCGGCGTTTGATCGAACCCTGCAATCCTTGCACGGTCTTGGTTCTACCGCGCTTCTGACATTGCACGTTGACATCCGGTGTGGAATCATCCACATGCTAACAAAAACAATGTCTGGCCCGAATCCCCCCGACTATCCGAAACTCCGAGCCTCAGACCCCATCCATCAGCTCAAGCGAAGCCTGGTGGCACATCCTCATGAACCAGCCGACAGCCGCGTCACCAACCATCCTTGAGCTGAACAACGACCTCATCGCCTTCGACACAAACATTTCGCTATACCTCGGCTCCCCAGAGCGCTGGTTCATCACCTCTGGCCTGGCACGGTTCATCGACCACGTCTTCGTCGCCTGCACGCGCTACATCGGTGCTATGAATGAGAACGGCGCTTTACGTCTGCAGCTCGATGTGCTGGTTCTCCAACAGAACCTGAAGAACATCATCATCGACCCGACAGCAGCGGACGGGAGCGACTCCTCGCACGAGATCGTCGCCTTGCCGCGCAGTGCTAAGTTCCTGGACTGGTTCCTTGAGGGTGCGGAAAAGACTATCGACAATGCCAAATATGAGAAGGAGGAGTTCGCCACTCAGGGAGATAAGGCCCTTGCGGCTGGGAACGGCGAACCCTTCACCTACGATGAGCTGCGCGTGCTCGTGGACCTCTGTTTCTCGGAGATCTTGCGCGGGCCCCGCGGTGCAGACAACCGTGAGGATTTTATGGCGGCGAAGAAGGCTAGTGGTGATGCGATGCTAAGTCTAAGTGAGATTATGTGGGACGCCCGGTAGTGGTGTGGTGTGTGGTTGGCATGCATTTCTGGTGAATTTTAGTGATATTTACTCCTAGATAACAACAGGTAATTAGCGAATCTATCCCGAAATTATTCTTTTCTCCTCTGCATCATAGCTCCCATTGATTCGGAGTTAGTCAGTCCTGGCAATATTTCCCTTGATTAAAGTGCTAAATTAAGCCACCACTAACAATCCCAGGCCCTACTCCACGCGTGTTTCAGATGACGCCGGACTTAGTTCTGCTCTCCCGTCAGCAGAGTGCCGTGGCCCTCTTTTTCGTCCTGCTATTTCTTTTTCTTTCCTTTCTTTCCCATCACTGTTACCAGACTGTTCGTTCCTTTCTCTTGCTACGGGCAGTGCCTTGGCCATTCCAATTCCATTAAGTCTGCGATTCGATATCCAGACGTCCCTTCCTTTCGTTCAACTACCAAGTGCAAGCAACTTGGCACGTTCTTTCTTTCCTTGAGACAGTATACGCTGTTGATTTATCTTCTTCATTTGAATATATTCTCAACGGATACCCTACCTAGTCTAGGTTAGGTCTATCACTGTACAGTCTCCATCTATCAGATCACCCTCACACCAGCCGACCCTTTCGTTTCAAAAAAAAAACCAAGAACAAGAAACAAAAACGACGAATAGGACAAGATGAAATATCTGCGTCTACCATTTATCGGCGCCGCCGCTCTCCTCAGCATCGCCGCCACTGCGTCTGCATCTGTCAATTCGCGCCTTCTACCCAATGATGCAGGACAGTGTCCGTCGGGATATATGATTGTCGTTAATACCATCGCTGTCGAGGTGACGCTGACACCATCTTCGACGGTTTCAACTACCACTACCCCGACTACGACTTCTACCACTACTACCACCACCACCACCACTGAGCCTGTTGCTCCGTTGTCGACGGTGACGGTTCAATCCACCAAGACGAAGACGCTTACCCTTGTTGATGTCTCGACTAGTAGTTCTGACGCTGCTGCTGCCACTACCACCACTGCTGCTATTGCCGCCGTTCCTGCGGCTGACAATGCAGCCAGCGAGCAGTCCACAACAACCTCGGAGAGGTCCCCTGCAGCTGAAACAACCACTGCCTCTTCATCTTCTTCCTCGTCAAGCTCCTCCACCGGAGACAACACCGGCGAAGCCACATACTACAGTGGCGATGTCTCCAGCGGCACATGCTCGTTCACGGGGTACACGCTGCCGAGCGGCATCTTTGGCGCTGCGCTGTCGGTCGATAGATGGGATGCCGCAGCGCATTGCGGAGAGTGTGTGTCCATCCAAGGACCGGGGGGAATTCGATTAAGGCTATGGTATGTAAAGACCAGTTCATTCATCTACCCTTTCATGCAATCATTATTCTCCCCTAACCCTAACCCCTTCACGACTCTTAACCCCCTCCCCGACAAAACAAACCAACCCAGCCCTAAACTAACCAACACGCCATAGATCGTGGACCAATGCCCCTCCTGCGCAGCAAACCACATCGACCTATTCAGCAACGCCTTCTCAACCCTCTCGGAGCTAGCAACAGGCGTAATCGACATAACCTGGTCGTTCACACCCTGCGACGTATCCGGCCCACTATCCCTGCACTCGAAAGACGGCTCATCGGCCTACTGGTTCGCCATGCAGGTTGTTAACGCCAATGAGGCCGTCACGCGGTTGGAGGTTAGTACTGATAACGGGGACTCGTGGGCGGACACCACGCGCACGTATTATAATTTCTTTGAGAAAGATGGTGGGTTTGGGACGGACACTGTTGATGTGAGGGTTACGGGGGAGCTCGGGGAAGAAGGTGGTTGTTAAGGGTGTTGGGTGTGGATCTGGGGATGTGGTACAGGCGGAGGACAATTTTTGATGATGAGTGAGTGGGTGTTGGTTCTTGGTTATGTAGTCTGATGCTTGGATTCGTTGTTCATGTCTACTTCGCTTGTGAAGCAATGCTTAAGAGAGCAACAGTCAGGTTCTACCAGCACTACGGCAAGAGGGCAAGGGGTAAGAAAGAATAATCATCAAATTATACCGCAGCTCCAGAGCCTCAAAACGCAAATCCCATCCCGACCTTAGATTTCGCCGCCCAGTCCATTAAAGATGAAAGACAACGTAAAGAAAGTGGTAGCATACAAACACAAAAAAGGAAACGAGGAAGAGAAGACGCCAGACGGCCAGTGTACCCGTTGAGAATCACGCGGGTGCTTGGAGGGACCAAAAACACTGATCTCTGGTGGCAGATATACACTGTATCGTTGATGATAGCGTCAAGGGAATGGGAGGAAGAATCGAAGAGAGGAGTTTCAACCAGCGAAAAAGAAAGAAAAGGAGCAACCACGCGCAAAAACAAGAGAAGTGAGGGTATGTTCGGGTGTCAATCTTAACCTCCAGAAAAAGAAAGAAAAAAACAGCAACGGTCGAGCCACATTCAGAAAAGAAAACCACTCTAGTCCATCTCCAGCGTCTCGAGCTCCTTGGCATCCTCGTAGTCATCAAAGTCCAGGCCAGCCTCGCGGCAGCGCGACAGCCACTTCATGGCAATGGTATTGCGACGACCGACCTCGGCCTTGAGCTTTGAGTTGGAGGTGCTGATCTCGGTGATGGCGTGGTTGGCTGTCAGGCTGTGCTGCTCGAACCGCTCGTCCATGCTCTTCTTCTCTTCCTGCAGTTGGCAGATGTACTCGATGGCACGCTGCAGAATGGCGCCCTTGTTCTTGTCGCAGTTCGGCACAAGACGGGCAATCTGGTTGATCCCTTCATTGATGGCCTCACGGCGTCGGCGCTCAACTGGTTTTCGGGGTCAGCACTGACATCAACTGGTATGGCGAGAGATCTCTGTCTTACCTTCCTTGTGGTTGTTCTTGCGGATCTGGTGCCACTCGGGCGAGCCGACATTCGGCTTCTGGTTCATGCTCTGAGCCTCACGGGCAGCATAGACCGCAGCAGCGGTAGAGTTGTGGTTGTGGCCACCACCCATGGGGGTCTGGTTCATTTCATCGAACGACAGGGAAGAGGTGAGGTTGTTGGCATCGAACGGGGTATCCGGGGGAGGCGGATACTTGTGTTGCGGAGTGTGTGCCGCCAGCGCCGCTTTGGCATTAGCAGTCAGGGCATTGTCATCCGACATGCCATTTTGGGGCCCAACATGCTGAAGGATTTGCTGGTCGATGTTGAGGTCCGAGCTATGCTCGTAGTTCAGGGAGCCATGGCCGAAGTTGGGCTGGTTCTCGCCCGGCATGCTGCCATTACTGCCGTGGGAGGAGCGGTTGAGACGCTGAGGGTCTGGGCCTAGGCTGTCAGAGCCGTCGCGCTTGCGCTTGTGAGTGGTTCCATCGGGGCTGTTCATGGTGGGATGAGACTTCCGTCGATCTGCTTAGGGTCACAGTTAGCCATCGCGTGCCGACCGGAGAGTAACGGCATCGAAACAAATAAGAGAGTGAAGGACAATCATGGGCCAGTGACGGTCAGATAGCCCTGGTGGAGCATCTGTAGTCACTCCCCACGATAAACAGAGACGCGTGGTGCAGACGCGCTTGCCAGGCCTCTGCGACCGCACAGTGGGATTCAGCTCATCCGAACCAAGCCCCCTGACCATCACACGCGCACTGAACCCCGTCTACGGGATAGCGGCCATAGTCAAGAAGTTCATCGAGTGTATACACCCCGACGACATCAGATACGCGTCATTCGCGCTCGGTCGGGGGGCAACACAGGGGCAGCGACATCATCAGGGGGCGCAAGGCAGGTCCGGACTCATGGCAGACGCGCCGCGACCGCATCATCGCGCTCAACTTGTAGGATGGGGATGAACGACGGGATGAGGAAGGCGTACCTTGGGATGATCGCTTTATCACCTGACAGGAAGTCACCTGCTCAAACAACAAGAAGTCACGTTGTTTGCGCGAGCCGAATTTGGCAAATCGAACGTGAAATCAGAAAAGGTGGAAGATTGTTAGGGGGACAAGTGGCCGTAGAAAAAACGACAGCCAACGCCCAAAATGGGGATAAATTGCAAAGAAGGGATGCTTGATGGGGGGGAGATGTAGAGTGCAAGAGTCGAGTTGAGAGGGACCGCTCACGTGGCGAGGAGTGCAGTCGAGGGTGGGCGAGGGTGTGCGGGTAGGCAGATAGACCAGTTGTGCACTATGATCAGGTGACGGGCCGATCGCCGGATGGGGGCAGTCCGGGGTCGTATATAATCGAGCCGGCTACGAGTGCACTACGAGTACAGAGTCCATAAATGACAGTCATTGCTCCGGATAGAATCACGGTTGATAATAATAGATAGCACTACCCTCCATCGTATCAAGTCAGGTGCAACGATCCCGTGCCCCTCCTGTGGCTCCTCGACCTGATTGGCCCGCTCGAACCAAGGGGGGGAAGGGCCAGATCACGTGGTGAGGGCTGCACGACAATCGCGATGAGCAGATGGCGGATCCCACATGTCTAGGCACCCTCTAGCCTGTGATCTAGACTCTCGCGGTTGGCGCTAACCATACAAAGGGTTGCATCCTCGTGGGAGGCGGGTCATGCGACGGGATATCATCGATGGAGAAAATTAAGGTGGGTGTCTGAGCGTCTGAAGAAGCCGATCGGGGCGATCAAGGTGCATGTATGTCATCCCGGATGTCTGCATATTGTCACCTGGATCCTGAGGATCGACCAAGGTGGCAACGTCTGGTTCCGTGATGCAGGCCGTCGTGCCGGACGGTAGCGGGATCTGCGGCCGGGGTGGAGAATGGTATGCATATACATATGAGGATGTCGAAAGAAGAGATTGGGAGACCAGGGAGGAGGAGGGGGGGTAGTACCACAAGTGATCATGACCATCATTGTAGTCTTCCCAGAATGTGCACCGCTTCGGCCTTGCCACGGATTTAACCAAAACACCAAAAAAAACAAGGCATCGGCATACACTGCGTCCAGTGTGGGTGGGTCTGACGCGTCGTGAAAGCGCCTCAAACGGACGCCTTTCGCAGCCCAAACACCATTTGAGGGTCTGCCGTGGTATCCGCGAAACAAATGCCCTCCTCCGCTGCGCCCAGCATGTCCCAGCAGAGGATCTTCGCATCCAATGGGGGCTCTGCTGCATCGTTTGTCTCAGATGCCTTCTTCTCTTCCCGTGACCCAGGCCCGGGCCGTGGCCCTGGCTCCCCACCAGTACCGGGCACGGGACGCTGCGTGATGGCGATGATGGCGCTCGTCCCCGCATAGCGAGCGGGGGGCTTGCCTTCTTCCACGGGAGGCTCCTCGCCCGCGCGATTGGCGAATACAAGAATGGTTTGCTTGTTACCGTCTAGATCGACGTCCTCGTGCTGCATTCTTTTCTTGAGAAGCGGCCAGAACCGCTGGATCCAGTAGTTGAACGTATCCATCTCGGGCTCGCCGTTCAGCGCATCCAGTTCTTCGCGACTCAACGTCGTCAGCCAGGCCATGGACAAGACCACGAGCTGGGATTTGGAGTCTAGCACACGGTGCGCAAATTCCCATTTCGTCCATGGGGCTTCGAACTTGTAGGGATTGATATCCATGCAGATGCCAAACGAAGTAGCAACCTGCTTGGACCCGAACGACAGCGCATGGAACCCTCGCTCCACATTGCCCTCTGCAGCCCAGGTCTCATCAGTAAAATACAAGAAGCTCTTGCGATAGTTTAGGATGAGTTCTCCGTTCTCATCAAGCATAAGAAGCGAGTTGTAACATGCTGTTTCGTTGGTTTCTGACGTCTTTTCAATCTCGGGATACCCCACACAGACTTTGCACTGTAGTCGCCTGGCCGTCTCCCGAGCCCAGGATGCACTTGGCCCCTCACCAGCTGGTTCGAGATATGGCCTGATCTCTTCTAGTGACGGGAAGTTGTAGCCTGGCAAGACATTAGTCATTCTGATATTTTTTTCTTCCTTAGTCAAAAAGAACAGATCACGTACCTGTTAAGGCCAACTCGGGCAATACCAAGATATCGGGTCTCAAAAGCTCAATACCAATCCCAGCCCCGAGCTTTTTCCCATCCAGCGAGATGGTCTTGCCATTTTTCAGAAGAGCATTTGCTCTCTCGATATTTCCTTGGACATCACCTAGCCTCGGGGCGAATTGCAGGGTCGCAATTCGCATCTCTGGAGATTGCGAGGTGGAAAAATTTCTCACGCTCCACTGCGTACCAGGTCGAATGCGCAGTCTTGCAAGGTGATGGTGGTTGCCAAGTGCTGGGGATATATGATGATGAAGTCGCAAAGTCGTGGCCCCAAGTCGGACGAATCTCTGCGCTGCTGTTGCCAGGATGGTGGTAAGTATGGTGATATGGCAAGATTTTTAATTCTGTTTAACACAGTTGATGTAGAGTCTCCGTTTCACTCGAGAATTGAGCGGTAATGGATCGAGGACGTTGATGCGTTGGCGATGTGGAGAGGAGTGCGGCTGTTGGTGCCTGAGGATGCAAAAGTCTGCTCCAGTTCGCTGTGGTTTCTTTTACTGCTCAACACAATCATGTCATACATAATTAATAGATTGGTAGGTGTTTTGTCAAGAAAACATCATGGACAATATGTACTGGGCACACTTCCCTAACACCATACAATGTAAAGCTGATGATCTCAAACGCCCTTCGACCAGAATGCAAAATGAACCTCAACATGTGGAGGTATGTAGCACAATCAATCGCAGACCAATTCATCACCCATTATCCATAACAGCTATCTACTCCGTGCAAATTTCGGCTTGCCATCGGGCGTGAAGTTCAAAGGCTTGTATGCCAACCCATGTCCACCGGTTGTTCGAATTCGCTGCTCGGTACGCGACATCGTCCTGCCTAGGCCCAAGGGGGTATCGGGAGCGTAGGCGACATTGTAACTCTGGGCAAACAACTGCGGAGGCGACGCACTGCGGGTAAAATGCTGCGAGGAGACACTGCTGCTAGGGCTGAAGGAGGATCTTCGTCCTTCGCCGTATTCAGACCAGTTGTCAGAAAGCTTTGGGCCGCTCCTCAATGATTCAGCGGCGATCCGTGCAGCAGAAAGTAGCATTTCGTCTTCGTCCACCTGAGTGGATCTGGGCCTGGCCGCCTCGGTCTCTTCCTCGCTGGGCCGCTTGCGTTCCGTCAAGGCCTTGACCCGTTCCAGGATAGGAAGAGTCGGCAGGGGTTTGACCGAGGAGCGTGCCATCGAGAACTTGGCTTGCGGAGAAGGTCCTTTTCCTTCTGACACCTTAGCAGCCTTGGGGCCTGGGCCTTTCTCAGTCGGTCCAGTTTCAATCGGTTCTTCATACATCCGTTTCCGACTGGGCACTTGTGTGTATCGTCGTCTCATCGCAGCTCTGTTCAACAACTCCACCCAAGCACGGTGTCGTTCTTCACTCATATCCGGGGCTAAAGGATGAATAGGTTAGTCTTTGGTGAGGGGATATTCGACATGTAGGGGTCCTTACAGAGACTCGCGGAAATTGGCGGGCCTCTCGATTCGGAAAGTGTTTCAGGCGTGGTGGTCGACTCTACATGCACCGTTTGTTCAGTAGAAGCATCGGGTTTGGCGGTGAACTCGGTTGTAACAGTTTGTGATGGCAGTAGAGGACCATCGACATTGTTCGCGGCAGGGGTGTCGTTTAGTACAATCGTCTTTGACCTGCTCACTTCAGTCGAACCATCAAGGCTTTCCTGTGATCGGTTCGACTCCTGTTGCACTGCGGGACTGCTTCCAGACAGATCCAAGGGCGTTGCTGGTTGGAAGAGACTACCAAAGGCAGGAGTTGTTGGCGCACTGTCGAAAAGTTGTTTTGGTGCTGGCCTGAGTTCAGAGAATACAGGTCGTGCAGGCTCCGTCACCGAAGCACCTTGAGCAGAATTTTCTTCGTCAGTCGTAGTAGCCTGAGCAGAGGCGAACAAGGGAGCTTGGGAGACTCCGTTAAAAGACGATGTATTCACAGAGCTGAAGAGACTAGTCGACTTCTGGCTAGAACCAAGTGTCATTCCAGCCGAGGGAGCAGTTTGTTCCAACTGGGAGGCAGATGGAGATGAGAAGTTGAACAAAGAGGTTGGTTGAGAGGTAGTAGGAAGGCCGAACTGTGGAGTGAGACTGGTCGAGGGACTGGTCTCCCTCTGCTCGACTGAAGTAGCCGAGGCTGGCAGGGTAGGGAATAGGGAAGGCGCCCTCTCTGGTGTTGATTGTGCCGCATACTCAACTTGCTGGAGTGGGGATGGTGCCTTGGGAGGCGTGAAAGGCGAGAACGAAGCCGTAAAAGGCTTCGAAGTCACAAATGGTGTCTGTTGGACATTCGATGTCGATACAGAGGCCTTGGTAGGCGATAAAGTTGATATGGAAGCCGTGAAAGGATTCGAAGCCACAGGTGGTGTCTGCTGGATAGTCGATGTCGATGCAGCGGCCGCTTCTTGTTGACTTGGCTCTGGGGACTTGAAGGACGGGAATGAAGATAACGAAGCTGCAAACGGGTTGGGTGCTGCAGATGGCTTTGCGGTTGTGCTGGTAAAACTGTTACCAGAGAAGATCGATGATGGCTGCTGAGTAGGTGCGGTAGTGGAGGGGGTGTCTTCTTTCTCAGCTGACTCGGGCTCCTTTGGAAGCGCCAATGGTGATTGCAAAGGAGCGAAGGGGCTCGATGTCGTGGATGCTAGAGCAGCAAAAGGGTTGGGAGATGCTGAAGAGGATGCCGCGAGGTTACTACTCGTGGTGGCCCCAGAGAAGAGCGAACCGAACGTCTTAGAAGGCTCAGAAGGCTGGAAAGGGTTCTGGGGCTGTGAAGGGGTGGAAGAAGGTGGCGGCGTGGCACCTCCAAACATGTTGCCGAAACCGGATGATGTGGGGGACTCCGGACGGACATTCTCCAGAAGAGACGCGTTTGGTTGAACGACAGGAGCCGGTGTCGTATTGTCCTCATCGCTGACAAAAAGAGAATCATCCTGTGTAGGAGTCTCGGATTTAACGGCAGATGGCGTGGTTATTTGTTCAGGCAGACTTGAACGGTCGATCATGCCCATCCTCGCTGCCTCGCGAATGTTCAAACCAAGGACGATGGCAACCAAGGTTCTCCCACTCCGTTTTGACTCCACAAATGTGTCGGAAAAGACATGCTCAGAAGACGGTTGGAAGCCTGGAGATGTGTCAATCATGGACCCTAAGACCACCCAGTCAGAGGATAGAACATACCAACGGAGTCAACAGCGCGGTTACCCCAATTGAGATAGAGATCTCCATCCGCATTCTCAGCCAGTTCCAAGTCCTGTTCTTCGCAAAACTTAATCGTCTGGTCATCGTCGTCGAAGTGTAGCACCTTGGTAAGTTCCTCCACAGTCCATTCTTCATTCTTGTGCTGCTGCGAAGCCGGTGAACGACAGTAGGCTTTCCAGATCGCACGAATGGCAGTCTGCCGCATGTGATTGAAGTAAATTTCAGCCACACATGCCATCAGGTAGGATACGCTTGGAGAATTGATCAAGTTGAAAAAGCGAGCGTAAAATCCCTGTGCGATGGCATTTGGCCGACGAGCATCCAGAGCACCCTGGTACTCCCATGTATTCGAGGCAGCCGCGAAGATCTCCAGGGCGACTTGAACGCGTGGTGAGTTCAGCATCGCGGCCGGCCACTTCTGAACACGAGCTTCAAGGTCTGGTCGTTGATCGTGAATGGAGAAGATGATGTAGTAGGCGCGAAATTCATCTTCATTCCGAAACGCAATACGGCCGCGATTGTCGTCGTAGTAGTACATAAGCGACAGCATGGTGTTGTTCAATTGCTCGCGTTCCTGGTGACGGTCAAACGGCTCCTCGTTCGCCGGGTTGGTGAGGAGGTGAAGAGACATGATGTGAAATCGGGCAATCCGTTCCAGACAAGTGACTGCTGTTCGTACGTCGGCCTCCTGGGTGAGTTGCTGGACCGAGAAGTCGTTGCGAATGGACCGCGTACGATCCCAGACATATTTGTGGACAGTGCCAAGAGGCTCACTTCCACCAAGAATATGCCGAGTAAGATAATTGGTGGCTTGGAGGAGTGTCTTGGGTGTTCGAATATCCGAAGGGAGTTGCTCGTCATATCCAGCAGCCGATCGTCGAAAACGTTTGAGCATTTTCGTTTCCATATTCTGCAGAGACCCCGTCGACGGGTGAAGAAACTAGGTGGCAATGTAAGCGCATCATTAAACCGACACTAACGCGCGTCGAAGGTACCTTTTCGTTTTTGTCGACCATCTTCTGCACAATGCGTTCCACGCTCTCGAATTCGGGACACATGCTGGTGCAAGTGCCAATCGGGGTGATGGCTTGATTCAACGAGGTAGGCTGGTTGGGGTCTGCCATCTGTCCATCTTTGATAGCCTTCTGTCGTCGTTTCGCCCGGTCGACTTTGAGCTGTGGCATTTGTGAGATTTTCTGTCACGCACGACTGAAGAGTTTGCTAGGTAGGAGTTTGCTGACCTGCTCGTAGCGCTCGTGGTAATGATTCAGGACCGGCGCATCCTCTACAGGCACGGATCCTCCAATTCCTCCCCCCATGGTGTTCGCTTGAAACGATTTCGACGCGTCATTGGTGTGACTGGACGTCGCGACGCCATTGGTGAGACCGGGAAAGGAGGACTTTTGCTGCGCAGCCTGTTCGCCAAAGAGGGACGAAAAAGATTTCTTCTGGTTCAACTGAGCGAACGGCGAATTAACCGAGCCTGTCGTAGATGACCCGGCAACACTTTGCGATGGGCTGGTGATCGACCCAGAAACAGCGGCGCCACGGCCTCGAGCCGACCGCGCACCGGATCCTCGCCCACGGCCACGAAACTTTGATTGCTGCGAGGTATTGGAGTTCTTGGTCTGAAAGGATGGCGAGCGCGCATTGAGTGCGCTGCCGCGCCCACGTCCAGGCGTGCCTGTTGCCCCGGCTCTCTGGCCACGGCCAGCAAACGGGTTGAACGGGGTGGCCATCCTGTCCGCGGCAGCGGAAGAGAGTGGACAGGCCGCCTCCTTCCGATTTAACACTCCACCTTGTAAAATACCTTCAGCGTGTGTTGTCCTTGAGTTGCTTCCGGCGGCAAAATTCCGAGTGGGAATGGGTCCGGATGAGGGGATTGAGGGCAGAGAGATCTGAAGCGCTGTTTGGTCGCGAACAATTCGCCGCCGAGGC